TTTTTCGAAACATGTGTTCGCATCTACTTCTTAGACTTACGAGGTCGCTTCCCACGTCCTGCAGGCGAGGGAGATCGCCGATTTTCGCTATCACCAGTCTTTGGCGGCAACATCGCCACCATGGCTCTCAACTGTTCAGGTTCTAACTGTGCTAAAATTGACTCTGACGTCGATGTTGCCGTTGAAGTCGCCTCGCTTTCGTACAAACCGGGGGTCTGAGGATGATACGCCTCGGGTGGAAGTCTCGAAGTCGACGCCGATGGAGTATTTCGACCACCCCCAACGTCATGTTCTTCTGTGACACTAATTATAAGATTAACACCGTTCTGACGCCTTGTCACAGAAGAAAGACTCACACTTTCTTCTTCTCACGAGAACGATTGGTTGGTTCTAAGTCCGGCACTTCATTCACGCTGGATGACGAGTCAGTGTGAAGATAGAAATGGGCACAACTGCAGACTCACGTCGCGCTCTTCGTACCACTAACACGGGCGGAGAAGCGATCTTTCTTCGACGGCGTGTTGGCGGCCGGATTCACAGTGACAGTCCGCGCGGCTAAACTTCCTGATCCACCAACGGAAACGTTGTTCGCAACGTTTAGGGCAAGTGAAAGCAACTCAAACTGAATATATCCATCGGATGTTTTTGCCGCGCTCATTCCTAGCACACCAACACTGCTATTAACAGCAGGAGTAGGCGTATGGGACCAGCGTGAAGTTGAGCTGTTGAATACCATTCTACACAGAGAGTTAGCGCAAATAATCCGAAGCAGTAAACATAACAAACTCTGCTTTGCTGTGCTGCACCGTATTTCTCACGTACTCCGACACAGCGATATCGAAACGTTGCAACGGCGGAAGAAGAGAGTCAATGGTGGACGGAGCGTTTACACGCCCCACTGCAAAAAGAAGAGGGAAGTCGAATTCAGGAACATGATCGTAATACGCTTCTTCCGAGGGATCGCCTGGGAAAGCATAAAACTGCTGTGGCTGAGCATCTAAAAGGATTGGGCCCTCGCGATCAAAGTACGCCTTTGCGACCACAAAAGCGAGAGTATCGTCGGGGAGGGTCAAGCCACCCAAAGGACTGTATACTCGAAGCTGAGCAGGAGAAGCGTCGGATCCGTTGCTGTAGCGAAACGCTGTCTCATAGAAGCAGTAAAATGTCTGGGTACTTCCATTCTGCTCCGCCCGACGATCGCCATTGACGAGGCTGAACAAACCAACGACAAAAGCGGTAGACATGATGCGTGAGTTATGGAAGCAATGAGATGAGAGGATGCGACTTCGATTCTTCAAATCTTCGGTGGATTCGAAGCGACTGTGGGAGGCAAGAATGAGAGAGGTGCTTCACGGGTGCCGTTAAAAACCGATAAAGGGTCGATAGCGATAATAGGGTGATCTGATCGCGGAGCGATATCGAAGCCATACTCTATAGCATCAGGGAAACGCGCAATACATTGTCGGATAATGTAGAACAAAGGAGAAAACAACAATTGAGCAAGTGCCTTTATACGCCACAAAGGAGATGCGGGGAACGAAGCGCAATATATTCGACTTAAGCTCCGATTTCCGTCCCATACATAACATTCTAGCGGCTGAGGGGCGTCCGTCATAAGCAAGTGTAGGCCGCACGCAGCCATACAATACAGGTGCCACGCCACCAAAATACAGGGGACGACTCAACTCAGTTCAACCTCCGCCGACCAAGCACGACCAAGCAGTTCGCGTCGAAAGATTGAAGATACGATTAATATATCTAGATCCTTACCTCGGCAGGCATAATGAGCACTGAGGGTAAATGAGATGAGTAAGGTGCGTCGACCCCAAAAGAATCAAGACATACACCAGTCATAAAACGTTATTGTGAGACAGGCCGCCCCTTTGCATTGAATGTCTCTGTGAGTCGTTCTGAGATCTGTATGCGTATTTGGCGAGCATACCAGTGAAATAGCTTGTTGTAAGCTGTGAAAATACGTTTTCTTCGAGTGTCATGGCGGTGTCTTGAAAGCTAGAGTTGGAAGACATGTTTCGGGGAGATTAACTTGTTGTGAGGGATATTAACACTGACATATCAGCTAAAAGCCCTGAGAGAGACCTTATAGGTAACGTATTTGAAACAAAAGATGGAAGAGAGTTTGATCATCTTGTTTCAAGGAGCGTGGCTATGTGGCAATGCGCCTGATGCGCGATCATGTTCCTTATATTTCTTGCCCGGGTAAGAGACTTTATATTAATTTCTAAAAGCATCATTCATCTTGTCACGCAACTGAGGGAAACTGACTATGCAGTGGAACAACGCTTGTAATCGCCACATGTTCTCCTCAAGGTGAATCACTCACGGGAGCTTGAGTAAACTTCAGATTCTGAAACCGACTGTCACAGCATGAGAACCACCGCCTCATTCGCTACCTATTTCAAATTTAGTAGTCATCCCATGCTGAGATGGCGCTAGCTTGTCATCAAACCCTAAGGGAGCTTCCAATCGCGTGTCTGTATAGCATGTTTCACCTTATGTACGCCATGAGAATAGCTCCATTTCGACTCATCAGAGGGATGATGCATGATGCATGATGAGGTATAGAGAATGTATCAGGAACATTCGTATTAGAATGTCTGTCAAAACGATGCGCGAGCTGTGGCAACTTCGTCAACGAGCGCCAATAGCAGCTTCGGAAATGCGATGTGGCTCTGAGAGGCCAGAGGAATAACCCACGAGAACGTCTAGACACGGTGTCATCTCATGTCAATGCCAGCGCTAGTTGGACAATTATGTATTTTTGCTAGTCGTTACAGTTGTTAAAGTGAGGGGGGTATCATTAGCCTATCAATTCGCAGCGCATTATACGTTTTCAATACCAGAAGTGTGCCCAATACGATCATAATCTATATCTATTATCCCATCGATACGACACCTGCTCTTCTCAGCAATGCCGGGAAGCCTCAGCCGTGGAGACCAGTCGTTTTGCCGTCCCAGTCATCTCCACATATCAAGCACCAGAGGGGATGCCATAATATACACGGCTCATGGGCATTTGAGTTAGATTCCATGACTTATCTTGATTTCATCTTCATCCCCATCGTCAGAGCCATCCTTCTCGTAGTGTTTATGCTCCTCACGGACATCCATCGACAACGCACTTGGCATGGATTCCGGCGTTGTACCGCAGTACACTTCGCCGTTGAGATCGTCCGTGTGCGTGACAGTCTCCATACGAACACATATGTTCGTGGGACCTACGTTCCTGGCGACTTTGGTAGACCCAGAGCGAGTGAGAACACGTGTAGGGGCGGGAGCGCTGCGTAGCACGAGGTTGGGCCTAGAAGGCGGTTCGGAGTCGGTGCTGCGTGGATCATGAGCAAGAAGCAGCGGGCAGGAATGAGATACTCACTAGACTTCAGGATCGGTGAAGCTATGGTCGCCGAGGCGCCGAACGATGCGGGAAGCAGAAATAGAGGACATGACGACCGCGGGCACGCTAAAGATGACGCTCATGAATGCATTCCAGTTGAGGAGCGTGAAGGCGACGGCGACGGCGTTGAAAGCGATTGCCAAGACAAAGTAGATGAGGCCATCGGTGAACATCACCTCAGCAAGGCGGCTTGAGGTGCTTGGTTTGTTGCATCGGATAGAGTTGAGCTTGTACGCTGAAAGTAGGAAGACGAGCAGGTTGAAGCACGTAGAGTAGAGGAATGTGGCAGCGGAGATGGTGGTGTTCTCGTTGACAGCATCGCAGGTCTGTCCGGGTATATACGTTGCCTCTAGGAGGATAACGCTTCGAAGAATTAAGGTCCATTGACCGAGAATGACCGTTACAAGGAGGGTAATTATCCATTTATTGCGCGACCAGATTGCGATACTGAATCGACCAAAGGTGAGCAAGGAAGGGGTAAGGAGTAATGAAGCAAGCTCACGTTCGCAGGGAGAATATGATGCTAGCCAGGCCCGCGGCAGCGTCGCATGAAAATTGGATCCACGCGTAAAGCGCATGGCAGTTGATCGGCTTTGTGGTGTCTAGCGCGATCGCGCTGCATGACGCGTCAGCCTCTTTATGTGCACAACACCAAACAGATGACTTACATGCCGACAAGCCCGAACATCAAAATGTATCGGTTGGCCAGATAGAACGTTAAAGGCCACTTGAACCTCGTCTTGCCTGAAACTACGGCCCAATCGAAGTCCATCGAACAGATGAACTCCCAGCTGGTGACCATAAGTACCAACGCAGTCGGCAAGCAAACGTCTTGAAAGATTGGCCTACCCGTATAGCCCGAACAATCCATGTTGAAGGTTGGCGAGCGCGTCTACGAGAATAAATGTGTCACCGAAGGTAAATCACAGAGTGCTGAAGCCAACTTACTCGTATCCGTAAGTAGCTCCGCTGGTGACGACCAATTCGGCATTTTGGTAAGTAGAAGAAACAGCAGTCGGTGGTATGAACGAGAGAATCTGACTGAACGAGTGGCAGGTGGACGAACACTGGCAGCCTTGACAGGCTTACGCGTCGTGGGGAAGAGAGAAGAGAATCCAGAGGAAGCGAAAAACAAACGTGACCATTTATTGCTGCTAGCCCCGACTGGCTCCGGATTCGCCGTATTGCACAAAGGGGTTGCCAGGGTGCATCGACACGTTCCTGAAGCTGTGTCGGAACTAAGCAATTACTTCATATGGCTCGGGCCGCAATGTTCGGAGGTGACAAGCACGACTACCTCGGACCGTACATCCTGAGCGCTTTCGTCATGGCTCGGGGCTTGGGATGGCCGAGACAGTGGAGGTAAGGAGCGGTTTGTGCGAAGTGCATGATGTTGGTAAGATGAAGGATAAGAACAACCAAAACCGGGCTTACATTGACATCGGGAGATGCCGACTATCAGGGGCCATGATATTCAGGCTTTCAAGCAGAGATGATGAAAAGCTAGTATGTCCCATTTACAATCCATTTTTGCCAGGAAATACGATGGTCGAAAGGATTTTACCAGTTAATCTATATGTCAGTGAAGTAACATTCTCAAATCAACATTTATGTTGTAGGATTGGAGATGGGAACCATGGCCCTGGGGGAACCCAAGAAAACGCCATTTGCTGTAATATGTCTTCTCATATCGTAAATTCATAAAGATAGTGATACCAAGGGCTACATCGCGCGTGGTTTCAGTAATGCATAAAATCGATCACTTATTGTTCAATCATCCTCGTCGAGGGAAGCGTTGATGATGAGTCGTATGTGAGTGGGTTTGGCAAATGTGGCTGGATTTGATGCGCTTCCGTGGCCTCGGGGGCTCCGGTGGAACGCAAGGCGTTGTCACCGTTCGTTACGCCATCAGAAGTGGCCATTGGCGGGCGATTCATGCCCAAACTGCAATTTCTCTCGACGTCAACGTTCTCCGTGCAAGTAAAGGTTTCCATCTCGATATGAACGCTGGTCCGACCGCCGTACATAGCAGGCTTTTTCAGTGCCGAGCTACTCATTGTCCGTGAATCACTTCCGCCACTACGGGAAGCAACAGTGGAAGTGTCATGCCGCATAGTAGGGCTGAAGTATGGCATGGTGAGAAAAAGAGAGGTAGGCAAAAGCGGACACTCACAAGACCTTGGGACCAAAATCGAAATCGTAGAGACGCCGCACAACACGACATGCGACTACTGTAGATGTTGTGGTAGCTGTACAGTTGAAGAAGATGCTCATTATCGAGTTCAAGTCGAGAAGCATGAACACCACAGCGATCGTGTTAGCAATAAACGCGATGAAAAAATATACGAGTCCATCCACGAAGACCATTTTGACAAGACGGCTTTGAAATCCCATTCCCCTGCTATGGCGTTGCCACGCGAGTTTAAACGCAGAAAGGACAAGGACGAGGAGGTCGAAGCACATTGTGTAGATGAATGTCGCCGCAAGAATTGTGTTATTTTCCTTGATTATCGTACATCCTTCTCCAGGGATATATGCAGCCGTAAGGAGAGCACCCTGAAGAATCAACGACCAGTGGCCAAAAGTAACCATCACGAGGAGGGCAACGATCCACTTGTTCCGCGACCATATGGCGATGCTGAACAACGAGAGTGCCCTGAGTATCCATCACTAGTGTCCTCAACGGATGCAACTCACGTACGAATGGAAAGATTAATGCTGGGTAAACCTGCAGTTGCATCCCCTACGAGCTGGTTGAATGTGTACAACGCCTGGCAGTTCATTTCTTTCGTCGTGTCCAGTGCAATGATGCTTGATCAGGGAACATTTGCTTCAATGAAAGTTGCAGCAAGAAGAGGCCACTCACGTGCCAATGAGGGCGAACAGGAGGATGTATCTGGCAGCAAAATAGAAGACCAGAGGCCACCTGAACCTTGTCCTACCTGTAAGGACAGCCCAGTCAAATCCTAGAGATAGAGTAAACTCCCAACTGCAGCAACGCCCTGTCGTGAGGGTCCTTGTGATGATAGTCCAGCGAAATCATGACTCACGCATATAATCCTAGGATAGCATGTACAAGCTTCATCTGTGCCACTGGGAACAGATTTCGAGTAAACAACAGAACCTCGCCAAAATACACACCCTTTGCTTACCAGCATCCTGGTTACGCTCAGCCGAGGAAGACCAATCAGGCATAAAGTCAAAGTTGAAAAAGTTCAAGGTCACAGTCTGATCGCTGCCAACCTTGTCGGTGCCGTTGATGGGAATTCTAGACATCAGGGAGAGCCTGGAGCATTTTATAGTGAGATGACCTGCCATCAGTGATCGATGCAAGGCGGATACCGCAAGCTCTGCTTGGACGTACACGCAGTACTGGTCAGTGAGCTTGGTCAGAACAGCATTTGTATGCGTTGACATACTAGAAAGGCATATGAAATATCAAGGCCATGCTCATCGCCAGACAAACCATCACGGATACTTGCGGGGCCGAACTCTTGAGAGGACTGGAGGAGGACAGCGTGGTCACTACGGTGACAGCGGGCGGGGTTTGACCAATGTCATCTTGTCATCTTGTCACCATTGCATCAACGTTTCAACGTTAACACGTGGCAGTTTCCAAAAGGGTTCTGCTGCGATGATGATTTGTATTTGTTGTTGTCGGAGCTAGACTACATTAAGCAAACATACGGACGGCCATGATACGGCTGATCGCAGCGACACCCCAATTTCTCAGGTTATTGTTGGATGATGTGCTCCTAATAGCAAACCAGTACATGCTGGTATACTACCGTAAAGATATCAACACACCTGTCCACCGATCATTACGGCCCTCTGCTGTGGCTTTGTTGATCAAAAGCCGCAACAAAAATCGGCGTGGGGCTTGTTGCCGGCTCCATACTCATGCGTCTGACATTTCCAGATTCTGTGCATCCGTGGATACCGCTACGCCTATGAGACTCAAGCCCGTATCTGAGTGTTGGTCCACCTCGGCGCTATCCATGCGACTGAACGTTTCCATCTCGACGTGAACGCTTGTCGGGCGGCTGCGCTGGCCAACCTTCGTCGAGCCAGAGCGGCTGGCCATACCTGGCATGTCAATGGTGCGGAACACAAGGTTGGAGGAAAGTCGTGAAGGCGCAGGGCTACCAACGAGATTATAAGGGTCAATGGCTGGGATAGAGGGAATGATGGCGTACATGACTTCAGGCTCCAAGCTAAAATCGCTGAGGCAGCGAACGACACGAGAGGCAACAATGGTGGATACAACAGTTGCCGGGACGTTAAAGATAACTCCCATGATTGGATTCCAGTTGAGCTCCATAAACACGACCGCGATCACGTTGACAACAAATGCACAGAAGAAGTACGCGAGGCCATCATCGAACATCATCTTGGTGAGGCATTGAGGACCGATGTTCCCCTTGCGACGGACAAGCTGCACGACTTTGTACCCTGAGAGGAAGAAGACGATAAGGTCGAAACACGTTGCGTAGATGAACACCGCAGCCAGGATGACCGTCTTTTCCTTGACGATCTGGCAGCCATCGCCGGGGGTATGATTAGCAGTAAGTATAACACCTCGGAAAATCACGACCCAGTGGCCGATGATGATGAGCGCGAGGAGGGTAACAATCCATCTGTTACGAGACCAAATGGCGATGCTGAGCGTAGAAGGGAAAGTATAATAGTGAACTTCAGCGTTGCATTTGAACTCAAAAGTTTGACCCACGTGTGCATGGATAAAATGACGCTGCTTAGGCCTGTAGCTGCGCCGCCCATAAATTGGATATACGCATAGAGCACTCGGCAATTGATCGCCGTTCTCGTATCAAGCGCAATGGCACTGCAAAGCGCGTCAGTTTTATAGGTCACCGGAGGAGTAAATCTCGCACAGTCCAATGAGCGCAAACAGCAACACGTAGCGATTGACAAAGTAGAACATCAGCGGCCATTTGAACTTCGTCTTTCTAGTGAGCAAAGCCCATTCAAAGTCCAGCGAGAAGAGGAACTCCCAGCTGCAGTAGATTCATCGACTCGAGAGCGAGATGGGAGGATACGATGATGCTCACGCATACAGCCCAAGTAAAGCGTGCTGAAGCTTGACGAATACCTCTGCGATGCGGAACAAGGACAGATCAGCTACGACAACAAACCATAACGTGTCACTCACGGGTGTCCCTGAAGAGCTCCTCCTGCGAAGACCAGTCAGGCATTGCTGGCGAAGCAAGAGTGTGTCAAGACACTAATCAAAATTTGGGATGAGCCCGGCGAGCGGCGCCGACTTCGCGAACACTGAGGAGAGACCTCAGTGGGGGGAATCGAGAGGAACCGAGCATGCGCGTCCCCTCCGTTGACGCCTCGATGTATCTCGATGTCTGCATAAGATAAATATAACAACAACGTTACTAAGGGGAAGCTATCATGATCCTGACGGGCAATTCGGGGAAAATGAGCCTCGGAGGAGAGTAGCCTGACCGTGGTCCCGAACAGCTCGAGCGCTCGCACTTTGGAAAGCTATCAAAGGTGCGATACAGTAAGACGGGACCAGACCTGTGAAGACTTGACCTGCGCTGCATTGAGGTGACAATGTACGTAGTGGGAAGAAGAGGTAATCCAAGGTTTCCTAAACTTCCGCGCGATGCGCACTTTCTCAGGAACCGGGCTTGTATCAGCCTCGCGGATGCGGATTCCGAGTCGGACTCAATAATTCGAGTGCCCGCCCGCATCACTCTTCCATTTTGCCTGAACAACGTAAAGAGGGCTTGCTGAAGCTGAAATAGGCCTTGTTCGTCTGCAGATACTGAGTGCGATACTTCGCGGCGTTTCAGACGCGCGAGACTGGGAAATGGAATGGACATTGACCGAGACTTGTGCAGAGCAGCTCTTGTCCAAATAAGCGCTGAGAGTTTCCATTCCTGGTGTTACACTGGTAGACCATGGACAGCATGTATATGACATACAAGCTTCCTACCCTGGATCGAAAAAGAAAAAGGAGGATCTGGTACTACAACTTACTACGCTTTACTTCGCTCCTGATCAAACCCAATACTCGGCGTTGCCAGCAACCGCCGCGGCATGAAGACGATGGTGCCCAGGTCGTACGAGTTATTGCTTTCCTCCGTGTTGAGCATCCCGTCGCAGCGTTCGCGCACATCAAGCACGAGGTGCGGGACGAGAATGTACTGCTAGATGTAGCCAAGCCAGAAGTTGGATGCGTTATACAGGAGCTCGTTGATGAATGGCTGAGAATCAGGCACCGAGAATGGTTCAGGATTTGTCACGGATATAGTGGCCAGACGCGAGACTTACAGCTGACGAGTCGCTCAGGTTAGAGACGCCGTTCATCGTGCCCCAGACCATATATCTGATCATGCCTAAGTGTGAGTTCATGCTGACGGCTAGACGGAGATCCGAATGAAGCAGGGGGTGCGTACAGGACAAAATACAACGTATGATCTCTTATCATCGTTGCAAACAGATCGTTCCAATCCCATCTGCGATATCGCCTACGAACGTCCCTCGCATGACGAACCAGACAGAACACCGAGACGGCGACCATCATCGTCTCGAACGTGAGTTGCATGAAGTACCACGGCGCTGTGATAGCGTCTTGCAGGGGTATGAAGGTGTTGCAGTTGTGGTACCCGTGTATAGTCGACTCGATGCCTAGGCGAGGTGAAAAACACGATACAATCAGCAAATATGCAAAATGGAATAGGGAGATGGGGCGAACCGTAAGCCCTATAACCGTTGTATGTCAAGAAGGCGATCGTCTGCAATCCGACCTGCTAAAGGACAAACGCGACCTTGAGGATCTTGTGCACTCAACACGATGGTCCGTAGGTCGCGCATGGACGCATCAGCATGATACCTGGATCAGTGATAATGTGAGCTCAACTCGGGTATCCACAGGTGAATGACCCTAACCTTGAACACAGGGGATAGAAAACGCGATGAGAAACTGGACCGCAAGGTTGATTCGGAGACCTTGGGTATATTATCGAAGGCTGTGATATGGAGGGGCGGCTAGGAACCTACACCTGTAAGACAGTGTGGCCATGCTCGTCAGTGCAGCATTTGGAGGAGCGTTCTCAAAAGCTCACATCTATAATACGATATATTGGCGCTAAGGGACAGACTCAGGACCTGATGATTACAGTGACTTACCTCATCGGTCATCACGAGGTTGTAGCCCCAAACTAATCCACGACTTCAGCCAGCCAGGAAGATGGAGTTTAAGGTAGAGAGACGCACTAGTGTGTAGCCTGAAATAGAGACGAGGCTGGGTCAAGTAGGGGGAGCTCGAGTAATGTAAGCACTTACATGATCATCGTCAGGGACATATATCGAAGCTGAACAGGGCAGTTGTCAGTGTCAGAAGGGACTGGGAAGGGCGTTGTGCGGAGACTCACGAGAACGTAAAGCACCGAGGCCAATGAGAATCTCCTCCGCTAAAAGCACTGTCAAACACCTCACATTTGTCGCCAGATCGAACATCATACACACACGACGTTTATCTGCGAGCAAGAAGCCATGTTAGAACAGCGTTTTCACAATAAGCAGCCACAAACGAACCTCTAATGGAAGATTCAACACTTCATCGCCAGAGTTGGCATCAGCCCCACCCGCAGCATCCAGAGTCTGACAAGCTTACCCCAGTCATAGTACATCATCGTCAGCCCGATAGCTGAGAGTGAAGTCCGATGTAAGTATCGCGGTGTTGAACAAGCGACACCGACTCACTATATAGATACTCCGCCGCCCTATCATTCCGAATGTCGACAAAATGCTCGGGCCCATCCTCCTCAACATACATCTTTAGGGTAAGGAGTAGGGGCTCAGAGAAGAAGGGGTCCGGTGCGATACATGAGGGTGGTCGAGCAATATGTACCACTTACCCAACTAGTCCGGAAGCTCTGCGTCACAGGGCCACATGTACATATGTACCTTTGACGTCGTGACTCTCGAAGAAGCGTGAGGCTTGTGGAGCACGCGCTGATAAAAGCAGCGGGACGACGTCGAAGGTGGCCTCCGTTGCGACAGGTTGCAGCGTATCGCAACCTAGTTTATCAGATGATGAGCGGTTCAATATTAGTCGGGCTCCTGTTTTGGTATACATTTGTTGGGCGTGCTGATGTGCAAGTTCGCACTATCAAAGGCTATCGGGCGATGGATGAGATGGACGCTGTAGGCGGCTTTTAAAATTTGAACACTTGCCAGTGTATCCTTCAATTTGCTGCGATCAGGACTAGCGAGATGCGTCCAAGTCGTGACAGAGGAGCCGTCCAACACGTCGAAGAGAAGGGAAGAGCGTGGGTCGTCTTCAAGCATACGGCCTCATAGTTATAGTTGTAGTCACAGACACGGGACCTCGTCGACACGAGAGCGTTTCAGACCCATATTCAGGGCAAGTACAGTAACAAACGACAGAGGCAGAGTCGCGGAGTTGTTGCCTGTTGTTGCAGGAGAGGCCATCTGTCAGGATTCTCGACATCAGAGCAGGAATACATGACGAAGTCACCAATGCAACCAATGCTCCCGCCCACAACCTTGCGATGGCACAGCTTCGGCCCGAACATCCCTTCTCGCGTCTGAAACACGCTGCATCCTCAAACGCACCATGCACTACCATGCATCCTGCTCTGCGCCTTGACGAAGTCGTATCGATCATTGCACGACAAGGACTGTCCAATGGAGACCTCGCAGTCCTTGCACGGGTGTCCCGGTCCTTCACTTCGCATGCCCTCGATGTCCTGTGGTACGAGCTATACAGCATGATCCCGTTGCTCCAGTGTCTTCCGCCCCATCTAGTTCGGGTGGAAAGTCAGAAAGCTGATGAAGTAACTCTAGTATGTAAAGATCTCATCTCAGATGGGATGCTATTTCATTGTTGTCTGCTCTGATAGAATTGCACCTCCGCTCGTCCATTCACCACCGCCGATTGGGATGTCTTCTTGAAGTACGCACGGCGCGTCGTGCATCTGCATGGTGCCTCATCAAATCTCAGGCGACCCGTCACTATCGCCAGAGGCGAACCCATCCTCATGAAGTGGGATGTTGATCAAAGCGTCTTTGAACTCCTCTGCAATGCGCCATGTCCGCGTCCCCTCCTTCCTAAACTTCGCCAGCTGCGTTGGACAGACTCAACCGCACAGAATGTGATTTGGTTTCTTCGCTTCTTGCTGGGCCCATCAGTGACTGAGCTGGCGTTTCATACGTCATCGTTGGATGTTCCTGTGTTGAGTCTCGTCTCCATAATCCCAACACTATGTCCTTCCATGAAGTATTTCTCGTGGCTTAACACTGCCAAGCTTTCTAATTATGCAATCCGCGTGTCATCGGACGTCGCGTGCGCATGGGATGGTCTTAGAGAACTGACCTGTCCTGCGATAAGCAGTCACTCTTTGCATCGTCTCTCATCCTTGACTTTCCTCGAAGATCTTTCCATCAACCTCGCGGAGCCCTTTCCAGAGAAACTCAACTTGAGCCCCGACTCTGTCGCATTCCCTTCCCTGTATCGGCTCGCCCTGAGCAGCATCCCGTACTGCTCCCTAGCGCATCTAGCAAACTATGTGAAGCAAATGACACTTTACCCCTCCGGTTTGACGTTGCGCGCGTCCAGTGGCTCGGAAAACGAATTCACAGAGCTATTGGAAGTTCTCTCCAGCGACTCCGGGCACGAAGGACTTGAATATTTGCGTATCTTTGAGTTTGATACAGATCCGATGCCCGGGGTACACCAACTATTAACGAATCCGATGCTTCGCCCTGTATCTCGGCTTAAGAACATGACGGACCTCACTATCGACACGGATCGTGGCGTCATGCTTGATGACGCTGGAATCCTTGAGCTTGTCGTTGGGCTGCCTGGGCTCTGCACGCTCAGCATTAACGAACAAAACGGATGGCGGACTCGCCCATTCGCCGTCCCGCTTGTTACCATGCAAGGCCTAAGGCAGATCGTCACCCACCTTCACGACCTGGAAAGGCTCGCGATTGCCATTAACGCCGAAAGTTCCGTCATAGCTGAGGATGACCTCAAGGCGGCCGCGAGGGAGAGTACCCACCGTAACATTGATTGGAACTTCTCGCTTAACCTCCTCGATTCGCGCGTGGGCTCGGATAACATGTCGATCGTCGCCGCTTTCCTTTCTGATATGTTTTACAACTTTCAGGAGTTCGAGTTCTGGAGTTTTATGGGGCTGCAGAGCTTGGACATGGTTCAGGATTTAGAAATAGTTCATGAGGCGAGGGTACAGACGTTTCGCTGGTCGCAAGTGCAGAGCTTAGTGAAGGTCATGCAGGAGATTAGAAGGCAAGAGAAAGCGCGATGGACGAAGGGTCTAAACTCGTCTTAGCTACTTTCATGATTCAATGTTTCAATGACTACTTGATATCGGAGCGTTCACTGCAGGGTAACCTCATAGTAACTTTGCGGAACGCATCGGAGGCAATTGCCGACGCGATGCTCACGCGTTGATCGATCGTCGTTGATCAAACACTTTCATCCCCTTCGCCATCCATCTCTGCTGCAAAACAGTACCTTTACTTAGTCATAAGTTCGTCTCAATACCCTTCGGCGTCTCTCAATGCAGAGCACCAAATCCCGACAGCGGTCTACCACCTAGTCGTGGTTGAGTCGTGGTCAGCTGAGCCCAAACCTCATGATCATCGCCGCAATGCACTGTCACAAACTTCGCATCCATCAGTACGGTCATTGACGCCTTCCGGTGGAACCAAGGTGCTACTGCTCATGAGCACTGTATCAGAAGAGTGTCCCAATCAGAGACTACCATCTTTTCAACAGGCCAAAGTAAGCAGGCGTTGCCCTTTCATTGACCTGCTGACTCTCACGTTCATCGACAGGATTAGGTGCTTTTTCTCTCATGAACTTCTCGAAGCTCCCCGGATTCTATTCCTAGCTACACTTCCTCAGCGGAAATCCAGGTTATCTCTCTGTCCTATCAGCTCGCTATGAATCTTTGCGGGCCACCACAGTGCTGGCCTAGCTGGAACATGTATACGCCCTTCTTCGGCATGCAGCGAGGACAAAGTTGCTTCCGCCGTCCATGTATCCCAAGGCACGTATAGCCTCGACCTTCGGTCTACCCTTCCATCGAACATAGCCGCAAACCAAGTGTTCTACGAAGAATGTGTCCGGCGAGGCCGGGAACGTGTTCCGTATCTTGGGCGCTTGAGGGGATCCGATAAAGACAGACAGACGCTTAAGGTGTACGCGTGGTAGGCGGCCAATCTCTACAGCTTCACAGCATAACAAGAGGCGAGCACACCACGAGCTACCCTCTTCCCCCCACCTCCGCCCTAGTCTCCTTCCACCTCTTGCTGCGTCTCCATGATGACTCTACTCACCGCTATTCTGCGATGCCTTCGGAGAGCCTCTGCGCCTCTCAAGAGGATGATTGGGCGGGTTCTGTTCTTGTTCAGTTACATCTTCCGGTTGCGACGGTGCTCGCGTACCCCATCAGATCACCAACCACCCCCTGCAGTAAAGGAACACTCTTTCATCGCTGCTATGACTCTTCCAGAGCGCTTACAAGGGTGCGTCTTTGCTAGCATAGCGTCCGCTCGCCCGAGCTCACATTACGATTTCCCGTCTAGCCCTATCGAGGCGAGTGGGCCAGGGACGTGTCCACCTCCCCGACCACCCTCTTCGGCATCTTCAGGCCCCATCGGCATCTGCGTTGATGATTCGCACTTTACACCCGACGATGGACGTAGCACTCGATCGTGCTCACCAAACCATGGACTGGCGCCATCTTCGATACAGCACTTGAGGTACGATAACACTAAAAGCCAAATTGCATGTGCCTGACGTCAATTTCGCTTATACTACACTTCAGCCCCGATGCTAGCCCAAGAAGTACATCGCGCTCGCGGCTTTGGGCCCCGTCAGAAGATGAGCCCGGCACTAGCAATCGGCCTTATGGTGTCTACTTGGAAGCGCCCGATCATCCCGGAGGCGTCAACGGGTCCACTCAGAGTTTCACTTCTTCCCTGACCGGACGAAGACCGCCCAGCATGCTAAGCAGGGAGAGCGTAGAGTCCCGGAAGGGCAAGTATCGTTCTTACAATGGCTCGACCCATTCCATTGGCAAGGTGACAGGGCCTGCGAGATCTCCTGTGGTATCTGCCAGGGCTAGCCAGGAGCTCCATATTGGTCAAATAGGGATTCCTGTATCTTCCAATCAGGCGCTAACCATGCCTCCCGGTCGAACGTTGGCTCCGCCTGTCGATGGACAAGGTGACTCGATATCATTAGGAACTACTCAGGTTGCTGGAACGATTGAGTTAGTTCCTTCCGAACAATCATATGATGTCCCCGTCGCTCCGATGTTGCCCGTCGAGCTGCAACGATACGAGCGCCGCGGTATCAATAAAATGACAACCTCGGACTATGCAGTCCCATGCATGACAGCGTACTGTCCCGAACATGAATCCGATTATCCCTCCGGAGACTCGTAAGTCTCATCCATATTCTTCGACTGGCTTCGTTGCTTACCAATGAGAAGGAATCCAATCCCACAGGATTGGCAAATGTGTTCACATCCCGAAGGTGCAGCCTTCTACTACTGCGAGAGCAAGGTAAGTTCTCAGTTGCTCGCTTTACAACGCTGCTTATGTTGGGTGTGCCCTTAGAGAGCGTTTACAGACGTTGACGTATGCGACAACGACATCCAGTCGGATGTCGAATGGTATATTGATTACCTCCACGACAAACTAAAGGACATGCTGGCTTGCAACCGTCACTATAGTAAGCAACAGAAAAGTGCGATAGAGCATAACTCTATGCTAGTCGTCGAACCGCAGCTCAAACGCACTGCGGGCGAGGACGAGGTGATCATCCTTTACTACTTTGTCAACCCCGATGGTCGGACTATATTCTGGCTGCACGACACCGACTACACATTTTTTGGCGTTGAAGGCGTCACCCAAATGTCACACAAAAGTTCGTCTTTACATTTCAGTTGATGATTGGTACACCAACCTTTGTCGTCGCCAGAACTAGCGATAACTGCACATTATTGGTGCGTGTAATCCCCCCTCGCTGATGTCAAACTCATGAGAGATCATCAAACAGGAAGCACTGGGATATGTACCCGCTGAATTGCAAAGTTGACAGCGCCTTAGTAAACGAAGTTAAAGACATCATCCTTCACGCTAAGTGTGGTGAGTTATCTAAAAATACAAATACGGCCGGAGTGATGATTGTCGTTCATTCTAGATCATGCGACCTCTAAGTACACTGCTGGGCCTGTTGGCCCTGGAGAAGTGAATGAATATCTGTCAATACTTGATAAGATCAAACAACGTTCGTCTGATCATGCATTTGTCTTTTAGCTTCCGTACTAAGGCCTGAGGCATTGGGTAGCGGACAAGTCAGAGTCCAACCTCTACGTGTCGTGTATCATTGGTTAGTAAACCACAGATCAGTACTAGCCTTCGCTTTGGCTTGCTAACCGAGTCTTAGGACGTATGATGTTTACCATTGGTAAGCTGCTGCTCCGGTTGTTCCCGCCGTCCAAGTCCCGAGCTGAAGCTGCAGTCAAGCCTACAATCAGTATCTTAACTTTCACGGACAACCGTGCGCACGCCTCAACTCGAATGACAGTGTCTATGGATGGAAGTACAAACCTTCGCTATGGATGAAGGTTGGTTCGTGGTTACTGCTCCGCGCACCAGAGTCCCATGTCTCCGCCCTTCATGATATTTGTACGGACGGCATTGCTAGCAAACACACATGGAGTGATTTTGTAGCGGGGTTGAATGCACAGCTTCAAGACTTTAACCTTCTCGTGAGTTGTTTTCTTCTTCGTCTACCATCAATCTCTGGACTTTTTTTGCAGGCTACTGTGCTGTTGAACGCCAACGTCGGGTTCCTTGCCATACAGTCCGTTGATAATGGATCCAACCCACAAGCGGTTGCGAATGATGCGGCTGACCCCACGCGCTCATGGACCCAGATAGCGAGCTACTGGTCGTTGGCGTTTAGTATTGGAAGTATGATCCTCGGTACCTTCCTCGTCCGCTTTCATCAGGGCCCAGAACACAAAGATGCCCATGCAGTGGTAAGTGAGGAAACGAGCCGTCCAGCACGATTGCTCACTATTGCACAAATTCAGGCTCAGTTTCTGAAGAAAATGCGATCCGAAAAGCGTGGCCTTGAGCGTTTAGCGGTTGTCTACAGTCTTCCGTACGCGCTTCTCATGTGGGGGTGAGAGTCTGCTCGAACGCATCTCTTCCTACGTATTCGCTGACATCACACTATCCAGTATCGTCTGCTTCTTTTGTGCATTTGCCATTGAATCGTGTCAACGCGGACAACGACGTGACTTCGTCTCTGTAGGCTCGATATTCGGGATTATCTTCGGTCTCATCGTATACGCCATCATTTCGATCCTGTATGGACCATGCGAAAGAAGGGTTAAAGATCACGTCTCGTCGTTCAGACCCAAACTGTCTGACTTCGAGGCGCTCAAAAGCAAGATTGGACTTGCTTCTTCATCCGCCGAGAAGCGGGGGAAAGGGCCGTCGTGGTGGAATCGTCGCAAGCCTCTCGATTCCGAAGCCGGAGATTACCTCTCCGATAATATCAGGGGGTCGCCTAGTAGGGGCGCACAAGTTGAGGTTTTCAGTCATACAAGCTTTGCAGATGGAACACAGCATGAATCCTCCCTCGTGTCGATGAGTGACGACATACCCCTTCACAGCCTATCGTCCGGTCGGCCACAGCGTCCTGCGATCACCATCTCAGATGAGCGACATCATGATCTGTCCCGTTCCCAGAGTTCGCCCACGTAGTACTGCATTGATACGCACACTCAGATGATCTATACTCATATACCTCACATTTAATTGTATCTTCACTATATTCCATTGTATAATGACCGAAAATTGTCTTAGCTACTTTCATGTTTCAGCGACTACGTACTCTGTTGCGTTCATTGTAAGGTAACCCTAGTACCAACTTCAGCATAGTTTTGCAAGAGAGAGCTGACCTCGGAGGCAATAGCGACGCGATGCGCGCGTCACACCGTTGGTCAACAAACACCGTGACTTTCATCCATCCCCTTCGCCATCCACCTCTGCCTATAAAGCAGTACCTTTGCCTGCTCTTCATACATTAATACCTTAATACCTTACGAGGTTTCCAAATGCACAGAACGCAAATTCTGACGGCGGTCCACCACTGCTCCTTAGGCCTTAATCACGGCCAGGGCGAGCCCAACCCTCATAGCCACCGCAATGCATCGGTCGCGGACGCATTCATTAGTAAATCACTAATGCCTGTGTTATTGCCCATACTGATACTGTCTGATTCGGAAGAATGTCTTAATTTGAACCTACTCCCCTTTCAATAGGTTAAAGTAAGCCAGCGTTATCCTCTCACTGACGTGCTGACTCTCACGTTCATCGATAGCCTGAGGTTTGGGTCACTCTTCTCCCATGAACTTCTCGAAACGCCCCGGATCCTGTTCCCCACCAAGCTTCCTCAGTGGAAATCCAGGTTATCATCCTGCCCTATCAGTTCGCTATGAATTCTTGCAGGCCACCATGCTGGCAACTTCCTAGCTGGAACATGCATACACCCTTCTTCGGCATGGCCGCGAGGACAAAGTTGCTTCTGCCATCCATGTGTCCTAAGGCACGTATAGCCTCGACCTTCGGTCTACCCTTCCATCGAACATAGCCGCAAATCAGGACCCATAACCATCGATTCAAGTGTTCCACGAAGAATGTGTCCGGAGAGGCCGGGAACGTGTTCCGCATCTTGGGCGCTTGAGGGGATCCGATAAAGACAGACTGACGCCCAAAGCGTACGCGTGGTAGGCACCCAGTATATACAGCCTTGCACACAGCAAACAAGAGGCGAGAACGTTGCTTGCTACCCCCTCCCTCCCACCTTCGCCCTGATCCCCCGCCACTCCCTGGTATGTGTCCATAATGATAACTTTGTCTATCCCTTTGCTAAAGCGCCACCTCCGTAAAGCCTCTGTGCTTCTCGCCACGCTAATTAGCTGTTTTTGTCCTTAGTGAATTACACGCTTTCCGGCAGCGGCGCGACTCACGGACCCCATCAAACCACCAACCACAGGAACACTCCTTTATCGAGGCAATGGCACATTCAGAGCAGTTCCTCAGGTGCGTCATTGTCGGGAAAGCGCTTGATTGCACCCAGCTCACGATATCACGCACCCACTCAGCCCCGAGACAAACCGCCCAGGGACGCCTTCGCCTTCACAGCCTTCATCCCCTGTTACCTTGGACCACCCTCTTCTCCAAGATGATACTCGCTCGGTGCATAGTAATCGCCCTAACACTCGGCCGCCTTCGCTTCAGTACTTGAGGTAGGATCCATCCTAGCATAATCCTCACGACGTCTGACCTCTTTGAATTGTTAGTCCTCCTAGTCCGAATGCTATTGGCACACAAACGCTACCTCTTCCAAGCCCTTCATCGCCTTCATTTTATCGACCACATTCTATCCACTCTAATCACTCCTCACCAAGTATCGCTCGTTCATCAGCTTCAACTAGGCCCCCTAGCCTCAGAAGCATGGATAGTAGGATAAGCGAATATCGCAAGCATACCGGCTCAGGGAGTTCTGTACGCGTGGAACGGTATTTTCCTGCCGTTTCTCCCTTGAACGATACGTCCAGTAGGGGAACGGCCAGCCAGCAGTTTCAGCCTCACCCGTCTCACGGTCAACCTCTACTTGCGGATGGGGAGCGGATAGTGGCGCTTCCTCTTGACGGCCAACGTAACTCAATAATGACTGGGACAACCAACGTCGCTGGGCTGTCTAATGCTGTTGCGGGAGAAGAGGCATACACCCTGAACATTGATCCTATGCTACCCACTGGCTTGAAGCGATACGACTTGCGTAGACCTGACGAAGAAGAACCGGATGACTCGGTTCCACGTCTGACTGCATATTACCCTGATCACGAATCAGACTACCCGCATCGGCAGTGGTATGTTTTACGTGGGAAATACTTACAAAGTCTTCGCTGACCCTTGTTAGGAACCCCATTCCAGAGGGCTGGCAAATATGTACGCACCCAGAAGGAGCAGTCTTTTATTACCATGAGGGATTGGTATGTTTTCATAACTTCGTCCCAGATGCCGTCACCAATGGTGTACCTGCAGAGGACGTTTACGGACGTAAACGTGTGCAAAGAGGATATCCACGTGGATATAATGTTTTATGCTGGCCATTTTTGGGATAAACTCATGATGCTTCTCGGCGAAAACAGTTGTAATATCAAAGACCATCAGAAGCAAATCCTCAAAAGTCAGAGTATGCTTGTGGTTGAACCTCAGCTCAACGAAGCCGGGGATGAGGTGATCATTCGCTACTACTTTGTCAACCCCGACGGTCAGAGCGTATTCTGGCTTCACGATATGAACCACGATTTCTTCGGTATTCCAGGGGTCAAAAGAATGACACACAAAAGTCTGCCCTCGCATTTTACTACCTGAGACGTGTCTTAATCAGTCTCAACAGAGCTCGCAATTACCGCGCTTTACTGGTATGTTGTGTTTGACTGTCGATCGGTCATTCTGACCAACCCACCATAGGAAACATTGGGATATGTACCCAGTTCAATGCGATGTCAACGAGACTCTCGTGCATAAAATTAAGAACATCATTCTCCATGCGAAATGTGGTAGGTGAAGTCGTGATAGAGTTGCGCTTGCAAGATGGCTCAGATTATCAACTAGACCATACCACTTCCAGATTTGCTGCCGGGCTGACCCCAACAGAAATAAACGACTGCTTGTCGATCCTCTCCAACATCAAAGGTTTGTCGTACTGCATGAGCTGCGCGTTTGAGTTTAGTCCTGACCATCAACTGGTAGCGGACTGTGCCGAAACGGGCATGCATGTCGCGTGTACTATCGGTGAGTGGCCCTGTTCAATAGGGTGTCATCTCCCTGACCTCTCTGAAGGTCGAATAATGTTCACTATAAGTAAGCAATAACTGCGCTATCGCTAAATCATGACAGCCAGCTAACCTGTTTTCACGTCCTAGCATATTATCAGTACATCAATTTTCATGGTCAGCCGTGCGCACGGCTCAACTCAAACGATAGCGTGTATGGATGGAAGTATCAGCGGTCGCTGTGGATGAAAGTCTGTTCATGGCTTCTGTTTCGTGCACCTGACTCCTACATCACAATGTTACATGATATATACGTGGACTCCATAGCGAACAAATATACGTGGCGCAACTTCATTACAGAGCTCATCACGCAGCTACAAGACTTCAATCTTCTCGTACGTTGACTTGTTATCTCGACTTCGCAGTAGCTCAACCCCCTTTCAGGCTACCGTCCTACTGAACGCGAACGTTGGATTCCTCGCCATACAGAGCGTCGACGGAAGCTCTGGAGAACCACGCTCCTGGACACAAATTGCCAGCTATTGGTCCTTGACATCTAGCATAGGAAGTATTGTTCTCGGCGCATTCCTTGTTCGTTTCCATCAAGGATCCGTTCACAAAGACGCCGAAGCTGTGGTAAGCCTAAACATCAACGATCCTTGAAAGGAAGAGCTTGCTTCTCACGATGTCACAGGCGAAATTCCTGAACAAAATGCATTCTCAACGGAATGGTCTCGAGCGTCTGGCTATAGTCTACAGTATTCCGTATGCACTTCTCATGTGGGGGTAAGTTGCTATGGCGCATTGTACGTGTATGTCATTGCTCATGCCCCGAACTTCAAAGGATTGTCGCATTCTTCTCCGCCTTTGTCATCGAGTCATGCCAGAAAGGACAACGCCGCGACCTTGTTTGTGTCAGCACTGTTTTCGGGATCACATTGACTCTCATCGTGTACGGCATATCGACCATCCTCCACGGCTCCTGCAACAGGGGGATCCTGGAAAGGCTTTCGTCCGTCACCTTCAAATTTCCTCGTCGTCAAAATGTTGCGGTTGCTTCCTCCTCAGACGATCCGTCTATTAGCTCTCACAGCAGAGCGCTTGCAGATCACGTCAAGACACAGTGGCATGGTGCCTTTGGCGATGAAAGTTCGGTAGCAAGGAGTCATCGCGAAGAAGCTTCGGCTGAAACGGCTCAGGATTTTGCCATGACTCCCGTTCACGTACCACGTTTCACCCTCACTAGCCCAGAGGAACAGCATCAAAGCCATGAGCTACCTCTACACCGGTCCCGAAGCTCTCCTACCTAGCGGCGTGGTGTAGTAACGGCCTAATATCTGGCTCGCCGGGTTTTATCACTGCATGATCGTTCTCTGCGTTCGTCGAAGTGGAAATAGCATACGTTCTCAGATGATCGATACTCGTATACCCCGCATTTGACTGTATCCTTACAATTTATCATTGTACAACAAACGCTATTCGCTCAGAATACATGGCCTCCGCCATCTACTATCAGATCGCTTCCGCTTATCCAGCACCCAGCCGAGCTGCAGAACAGGACCACGGCACCAGTGAGCTCCTCTGGTGAGCCCATCCTTCCGGTAGGGTTCCTGGAGTTCCAGATGGAACGCGCGTGTGCGAGGCCTTCCCCATGGTTGAGGATGGTATCTATATATCCCGGAGAGATCGTGTTCACTCGGATGCCGTATCTGACGTCAAAATATTAGTCGCGCATGATTTTGAGGGAAAGGGCAGAACGCACCTAGCCCATTCGGCAGAGAGTGAGCGCGAGAGCTGCAGCAGTGCGCCTTTAGATGCGTTGTAGGCAACCTGAGGCTGGGGGAAGTTCACGGCGTGTGCTGAGATTGACGCAGTGAGGAGGATCGCGCCTCCTGATTGCTGCGCTATCATTTGCCTTTGAGATCATGTTAGGTCTCGACGTGTTGTCGACCAAAGAGAGATGTCACACGCACTTTGCCGCCGCCTGGCTGACGAAAAAGCTCCCGCTCGTGTTGACCTGCAAGGTCTTGCTCCAGTCATCCGGCGTCAGGTCCGTGGCATGCACGCAGCTAACGATGCCCGCAAAGCAAATGCAGATGTTAATGCTGCCCATCTCCTCGGCAGCCTCGTCGACTGCCTTGCTGACGCTGTCCGCGTTCGAAACGTCCACGGGGATGGCGTGGATCTTGACATCGGGGAAGTCTCGTTGGAGTGAGTCGAACGCAGCGGACGCTGCGGGGGATTTGATCGTGCCCTGAAGGTCCAGCAGCGCAAGGCCAGAGAGGCCATGCTCCAGCAGAGCGCGCGCACAGACAAGCGCTATGTTCCCCAGGCCACCGGTGACTAGATCGACGTATGTGAGTGAATAGAAGCAAGTTGGTGTAAGACCTTAGACGTACTGATGGCGTTCCCATTGACAGCGAAACGCGATGCAGCACGCTGGACGGGAGTGAGACCTTGCGCCTGGTCGAGTGGGCGTGTCAGCGGGTTGTCCCCGGTGGAAAGGACCATCTCGGGGAGGACGCGGGTGGTGAGATTGTCCCGTTCAGACATGGTGCTTCAGCTGGAGGACTGGAGAGGGCAAGGTTAGAGTTCTGAAGGGAACGGTTGTCTAGGTTGCTGCTGTAGAAATCCGCACCCTTTCCGCCATCGCTGCTCGGACACTCCAACTTGAGATCAGATTGATAACGTCCGACTCGGAACAGACATAGCCGGTCACCGTCCACGCAGCTGCGGTTAAGTTGCTGGTCCGTGTGCTAGATCCTTGTAACTTGTAAGTGTCACTGTAATAGAAAGATGTGTCGACCTGCTGACCTCCCCATCGTCCTTTGAGGAACGAGGGGAGCTTCGGGGCGTGGGAAGTAACACTACACGCCTGATCAAGAACAGGGGTGACCTCAGAGACCATGACAAGCAAAGGGATTCTCTGGATCTGAAAGACCTCCGATTTTATATAGTGGCAGTATTGTTGATTTAGCGGGCTTCATACCGTCGATATTTTATAGCTAAATGTCAGAGCGATGCGATTGCAACAAGCAAGTTCAAACCACGTAGCGCGACTTATATCAGGGCGTCAGACTGTGGGGTACAACATCTATCCATGTGACTGCGCACATGCAAAGATCTCTAGCAAGAAACAATATACTAGCACATTGCTTGGACAATATTCGATTTTTGGATGGTGTCGATGTAATGTTCGCCTACGGCGAAGTCTCAAAGGAATGGGCTTGAGCGTGAGAAAAGAGATACACCTGCATTTTATCCCAACAAGCCACCACTCGACGCATCATCCTCAACGCAACAACAAGCCATGGCCCACCAACAACGACCAGCCCCATCAACAACGTATGCCCTATACTCTTGCTGAGGTATAATAACTAATTGAGAGCAGCAACGACACCGCCTGGAAGTCTGGCCTCCGTCCACCACCCAAAGACTTTCGCCCTCAAACCGAAGATGTAACTGCAACCAAGGGCATGGACTTCGAGGACATGTTCCTCCGGCGAGATCTCCTCATGGGCATCTTTGAAGCGGGTTTCGAGAAACCATCACCAATCCAAGAAGAGGCTATCCCCATCGCACTCACAAAACGCGACGTCCTCGCCCGCGCCAAGAACGGCACAGGCAAGACCGCCGCCTTCGTCATCCCCTCCCTCCAGCAAGTCGACATCACCAAGAACAAGATTCAAGCTCTCCTTCTCGTCCCCACACGAGAACTCGCGCTCCAGACAAGTCAGGTCTGCAAGACTCTCGGCAAGCACATGGGCGTTCAGGTCATGGTTACCACCGGCGGTACCACCCTCAAGGACGACATCATGCGCTTGGGCGAAGTCGTTCACGTACTTGTCGGCACCCCTGGGCGGATACTGGATTTGGCGGGGAAGAACGTCGCGGACCTCAGCGAGTGCCCAGTGTTCGTGATGGACGAAGCAGATAAGCTGCTTTCCCCCGAGTTTACGCCTGTTATGGAGCAGCTGCTTGCGTATCTTCCCAAGGAACGTCAAGTCATGCTCTTCAGTGCAACGTTCCCGATGATCGTCAAGGATTTCAAGGTATGATAATTCACTACTTTTTTGTCGTGCGCCTACTGATCAGTTATTGTTAAAATTAGGGAAAGCACATGCGGAACCCCTACGAGATCAACCTCATGGAGGAGCTTACTTTACGTGGCGTCACACAATACTACGCGTATCTCGAGGAGAAACAGAAAGTGCACTGCCTCAACACCCTTTTCTCGAAAGTGAGTTTTTGCCCATTATTTTTTCGCCGTTCTTTGGGCGCGCTCCTGCCTAGATTTTTCTTTGATTTATTTGAGCCATAATTCATGTATCACTGGCACCCCTCGCGAACATTCTTAATATGTCTTCTTCATGTCGTTTTAAATTCTATCCTGAAAATATTAATCGCGCTTGCAGCTTCAAATCAACCAATCCATCATCTTCTGTAACTCTACCAACCGTGTCGAACTTCTCGCGAAGAAAGTCACGGAACTGGGTTACTCCTGCTTCTACTCGCATGCCAAGATGCTCCAATCACACCGTAACCGGGTCTTCCACGATTTCCGCCATGGCGCCTTCCGTAACCTTGTCTGCTCAGACCTCTTGACGCGTGGTATCGATATCCAGGCTGTCAATGTCGTCATCAACTTCGACTTCCCCAAGAACGCCGAGACCTACCTCCACAGAATTGGCCGTAGCGGTCGATTTGGTCATCTCGGTATTGCCATCAATCTCGTCACGTACGAGGACCGCTTCAATCTTTACCGCGTCGAGCAGGAGCTGGGTACGGAAATTATGCCCATCCCTAGCGTCATTGATCGCGGCCTTTACGTCGCACCCGGGGCAACGGACGAACCCCAGCAGAAGACGCAGCAGCAGCAATCTCAGCAACGAAACGGAGCCCCTGCCTATGGCCAGGCGCAAGCTCAACAGCAAAACGGCAGGCAGGCGCAGCAGCAAGCCCAGGGACAAGCACAGAGGCGATGAGAGAGCGATGCGATGCTTCTCGTTTTCTTCTTCTGTTTGTATTCTTCCCTCTATTCTATCGGTACGTCTGTCCGACATAATCGAGAATCGATAACCTTATTGACGTCCTCTCAGTACGCCGTCTCTTCAATGTTCCTTGACACTGCTGCCCCATCCGTCATCGTTCAATCATTCCACGACTGGTTTTCTCCATCGACATTGAAACGAACCTCAGCTTTCACACATAACGCTAAATCCCGTCCCGTAACGTATCCCCTCTGTGCTATACACACCCCAGACGCCAGTGCTATTCCTCCCTCTGAACCATGAATCACGCATTCCGATCATTTCCGCCTGCGTTATTCCTCCACCTAGTTCCCGAGTTAACAACTCGTATCCACGCATCATCCTCGCTCTCAATGTTCTGGTCGCCCCTCGCGACTTCCCCCGATCAACTCAACTGTCACCGTAATATCACTCTACGGACCTCTTGCGCCTGGTGCTTGATGTGCACCCTCCGCTCTCCTCAAGATTTTCGACAGCCTTTGTCGATTTTTCATCATCATCATCACCATCGCCACCAACCCTACCTATCACTCGCCCTGTCCTTCCTCCACAACCTACCCTTCCACGTCATCGCTACCGCCCACTCAATACCTTCCACCCCGACTACCGATCATCACCCTGCCTCCCCGATACTTGTTGACTTCGATGTCTCTGTACCTACCTGCCTTTACCCCTACCCTCATCGTACCCCCATCTCTATCCTTTACCCCCATCGAAGTCGTTTCTCGTTCTAGCGTCAGGCTACCGTATCACTCTTACGTATACATCGCTGGATGCTAATGAGACAAGTGTCCCCCCGTGCATTTGGATTCCCTCTGAAAGACGCGCGTCGCTCTTACGACGCGGTGGAGACATTGCTGCGCATTTTCCGTAAAGGCTGCTGACTAAGCCTCGTCTATGTATGGGCTAACCCCTGAGTGCCTTTTATTGCGCCTTCGCGCCTGGCATTCGTTCGATCGACCGTTTATCAGAACACAGCGAGTCTGGTGCCCTCTGTTAGCGCGGCAACGTCTACGTCGTAGCTGTGTGCATCCCCCAGGTAGAGTGAAAGCCCAATTTATGGATGATCGAAGGGAGCTGATATCACTACTGCGACAGTATTGACGGTTTTCCGCGTATTCATAACATGGAATCGCAACAGAACAGTCTTAAACTTCTCCTAATTGGAGCGACATGCGCTTGCGTTATAGGCTTGGCGTCTTTGATAGCGGCCAACCATGCCGTACGTGAGCTTTGTTCCCTGCTGCCTGATCAACGCTTTAAAAAGCTTTCGATCCATGGACGGAAGCATCATCTGGAGTCCGAGCACGAAGGGGGACTCTCCTGGTCAATGTGACCTAATAAACAGCAACAGCGTGCTAATGGGTGTTTACATTTCTCAGGTAACCTAGAGAAATCTCCGTAATCGTTGAAATTCGCTTACTTTGATGGTGGACCGTCTTCGACATTTATGCGCTTTCCTTGCAATGCAGCAGACGTTCCACATGCTTAGACCAGAGTCTTAGTAGATTGCCCGTGGATCATGGAGCGCCTTACATGACGGTATGCACCATTTCTGAAACCTGACACTTTGGACCTCTTTGACGATAAAGGTCAGGCTATGTTCAATAAGACACCTAAGCGCTGGGCCTTGACTACGGCTGTTGATATCATATGAGCGTAGTCTTACGACTCCTGAATATTCTGTTTACCGCAGTTGGATCGGTGAGTTCGTGGGCGACATGAATATGGCTCTGTACTAAGCCATGCTGTAGAACACCACGATGGGCTTTGGAGTAACGTGAGCGCATGCCCGACGGTGTCCCTGGCTCAGGATGTTGGCTCAAGCTGGATTGTCAGATTCTCAGCGCCTCTTATCTCCATGCTAAACGCTCGGCTGTACATCAAGCTTCGCTTCTTCTGCGAACGCCTCGGGCCTTATCATTCTGCCGGCGAGCTTATATCGGATCATGAGGTAAGTCAGATGAATGCTATCAATGGATCTACAGAATAACGGGGTTTACAAGTGGTAGGAGCTATAACACCAACGCAGACAATGTGAAAGCTGTTAACATACTCTTATGTACGTTCAGAACATTACGAATCTACCCTCAGGGCTGCGAAACCGCCTTTACAACACATACTGTAGGTTACGGGCTGAGTCATTTCGTAGGATCATCGCTTCCCGCAGATCTACGAACCAAAGTATCAACGGATCGAACCGGCTGGTAAAATATTCGGATGCAGGTACGAGAATGTTTTCCTCCGTAGGATGAATCGACAGCGTTCGTTTCCCTCTATTGACAAGCCTGAGGGACCAGAAAAGTTCAGTGTTATATTAGAGGTGCGTTTTAGTCCTTTGCCAGTGGTTTCAACATTCATATAAGACTCAGTCGAGGCGAACAACAGTTCTCGCCTATACTTTATCCCAGCTTGTGATGCTCAAAATAGTGTGAGAGTGCTTCCATCTGTTCCATCCATAGTATTTATGGCCAGTCCAAAGCCAAGTCCAGCGTGCCTCAACTGATATATGAAGTGTACAGGCTTCTCATGGGAACTGAAACCTTTAAATATAAACCATGACCTCGAGGCGCGCCCATTGCCAGCTGTCTCTCCTATACGCGTACCCAAGGCCTCAAAGCCTCACCGGTCATCCTGCCTCCATTATTACCTCCACTCCATTCATTTTCCTGAAAAGACTTTCGATCCACCTACTAAGGTCCCGTCACGGTTTACACACCCGACGTCCACCATTTCCTTGTCGTGAACTCTACCTCGTCAATGTACGATGCCCGTTACATCTACGAACTTTCTCTTGCTCAAGCCGGACGTTACATAACGCGTATGAGTTCGTGGTCAACGTCATCATCCGAGTGACTAACAGAGAGCTGTAGTGGTGTCGTTGACTGCACTGATATGGGACTCCGTCCTCATGTTCGGCCGAGAGCGGATATTTGTCTGGGGAAAGCTCCCTTGGTACGTGCAATTGGCGTATGCTACAAACAAGCTGGGCATTGGTTTGGTAATTTCTGCATACCTGTGGAGTGAGTTATATGTCCGGAGATGTGCTGGTTGATTCGAACACAGAAGGCTGCCAGTGACCGTTCCGTTACACTCGTGGAGCACAGAGACGGTACGCGGCGTCAAATCACGGAATGTATCATCCAAGTATCATCGCTGACATCTTGCTCAGTAAGTACCTTGATCTTGACACAACCAACAAGGTGGTAACAAACAGCTTGAAGCTGTTTGCGGTCGATGTGGCTGATAACTGTGCTCTACTCTATATCCGACGCGGCTGGTAATGGTGATGTTGTTACCTTTTGCTTAAAGGGCTGCACACTGACGCTCAGTACAGCAATGATCATGTTTCGAATATTCATTCAATGGGGCCGAAGCAGAAAAGTCAAGTGGTATTTGATGGCTGGTGCCCTCGTGGTCTTCGGGAGCACGATCACTATGGCAATCTATATCTGCAGTCGTTACGGTACACTGCCAAGTGCTAAATCTATAATGTGCGAGCTGACCTGTTTCACTTCAGGTAACACCCTTACCTTCGACTCAGACCGCTACATGTGCGTAGCAAACATCCCAACTAGGTTATTCTCCATTGTTTTCACTGGACAGGTACGCATACTTCCGTAGACGTGTCGCACCTTTAGAAAATTCATTAACGAGAAACAAGGCTGTTTTCGACATTTTTGTTGGACTTTTGGTTTTCCTAAACGCCATGGATATACCCCGAACGTGCGACAAGTCCCTTGTTAACTTGTTAACCGACCAAGGCATTATTGTCGTAGTAGTAAGTTGCGTTCTAGTTATCTATGATAGCCGTTTACCATTGGCATCCCCGTAGATCACATTCAGTGCGTTCCATAAATCACTGGATGCACTCTCGTTGGATGATGTTGATGTATTTGAATCTATGTATTAGTTTTGCGGCTAGTGGACATTGCGATGGGATCGTTGGGCGAGGTGCGCAGTAGCTTACCTTTGGGAAAATTCTGATATGAGCGACAAATCAATGTTCCAGATTTCGCTTGCGTTAGTAGGGATGACGTATGTGACTTCTGCTTAGTGCCTTGCAGCAAACTTACACCCATTTATTCAGATTCGTAGCTACTTTGATTGAAATCCTTAACACTCGCCTCCTGGTCAAGCTGGTATCGGGGGCGGAGAAACATAACCAGCATGACAGTATTTCATTCCCATATCGCTCCGAGAATTCAGATATTCGAATTGAGGACGATGCAACATTGGCAGTTAAGTTCATCTTTCTCAAGTCGACAGCCTTGGACTCACGTATGGTATCATAGAATGACTCGGATGGGTTTGAGCTTGATTCGATGGTGACACCAAAAGTGCCGCAAACTCCTTGATTATGCGAGCTTATAAGGTGTTTCGATAAGGCTGTAAAAAGCTCTTGTAGACATATTTCACCTTTTACATATCACGGACTAGAGAATGCTTAATTCCAGTTCATGCTGGGGCAACATTCCTGAAGAAATGTGGTTTATATATCTGTGTAATCCATTGACTGACAATTACATAATCCCAGGGATTAAAGGCAGCGAAGCTCGCTGCATCCCGTCCAGTCCTAGTCAAGCCTTCGAGGACGGGGAAGAGTTGATTCGGAAGCTTTTGGGGCAGATATCGGGCTCTCGGGAATTGCCTAGCGGAGTTTAATTCCGGGGAGCACCAAGCGCTCACGCGCTCACGTTTTTCCCATGTGCCTTTCATATTCTGCGCGCTTTTGATGACATAAAGAAGAGCACGAGCGTGAATGGGGAACCGATTTTGTTCCCTCGCCATCTGGGACCTCCCATAATTTGAAAAATCTCTATGGACTCAATGCCTGCTGCAGGTTTGCAGAGAAATGATGGCTTGCTTAGGTCGAGAATGGTGCGCTTTAGACCCGCCCTCTGAAGTGAGCAATGGACACTGAAGCGAAGTGCTTTGGTGTTGTAGATTGCGTCGGCATTTCAGGTATGGCGTGCTTCCTACCCACACTCCTCAAGGTCTCACCACTTCCTGTTTGACATGCAGCCCGACATTAACGCCACCACCGTGAAATTGCCAGGTCAGGGGCATGTCCATTTCCAGGCTGAGTCGGACGACCACTCCATGTCGTTTGTGTTCAAGGTGGACGAAGACTGTCGTATAGCCGATGCGGACTCGAGACTCGTACTGGTGAGAGCCGCGATAGCGAGGCTTCAGGAGATAGAAGCAGCATTGACGCTAAGTGTGGAGTGCAAGACGGCCATAGACTCGCTAGCGCCTATGTTTCCTGCGTCGATATCCAACCTACCTCCGGAGATACTGGCCGAGGTCTTCACTCACACCCTTGCGCCTTGCCCATACGTTGAGCCATCTGTATCTTGCTCCCCCATAGTCCTCGTCAGGGTCTGTCGTCGTTGGCGAGACGTTGCCCTCGCCACGCCGCGGCTATGGTCTTCATTGCACGTATCTCTCTCCAAGGTATACCAGTCATGCTGGACCGGGTACTCCCACTGGCTCATGCGAGCTAAAGCTGCCCCAACATCGCTACGTATCTTGTGTGATGTCGACCCGACATCGCTGGATCCTACGCAGCACACGCAACTCTCGTCTCGTCTGGAGCCACTCATCTCTCGCTGTAGTAACGTATGCCTCCATGGCATCCCTATTGACGGCCTCTTGAGCCATGTGCCGAAACTCACTCATCTTGAACTCTCCGGCAGCCAGCGAAACGTGGCCCGAACCTCTTTTGCGGTTTCAAACATTGTCCCACGTCTCACTAGCGCGTCGCTTCACTTCATGGCCTATGAAGTGGACGACCACCAGTCGCTCGCACGCTTCCAGCTACCCTGGATGCAGCTTACAGATCTGCGCGTTCACTTCATCCTCCTCAGCAGCACCATGTTTTTGACAATCATCGGCATGTGCCCGTCCCTGACCGTACTCTGCGCTTCTTGTGTATCTACAACGGATGACGTCGAGTTGGGCCGACACGTGCACCGACACGGCGGCTTAGACGAGTGCATCTCCCATCCTACGCTACGTCATTTGGAGATGAAAGTTCTTCGTCCGCGGCTGGACGTGCTCTTCAGCGCGCTCGAGCTCCCCGCGCTTCGTATTCTGGATCTTTCTTTTTGTCTTAGAGAACGTGACATCTGGCCACACGAGGAGTTTGCCGCTTTTGTGAGGCGGTCGGAATGCACGCTAGATACGCTCACCATTCGGCAGAACAAGACCGCGCACCCATTCAAGGAAGCGTATGAGAGGCTTCTGTGCAAACACGTGGTCATGCTCCCTCCTGCTTGATCGACGTAGGTCTGCCTTAAACCGCAAGTGGTACGCCATATCCAGATATCGTTCTCTGTTCCGGGATATTGATCCTTGTCACGTTCAGACGGGCGGGCATTTACCTCGTTTTAACGTATATTTTTATTCCCGCGCCCACGTTCGCAGCCATCAATGTTCCATACTTCTCTTACCCCACGGCCGATGTACCCATTACCCTATTACGATCACTTACGCCAAATCCATCGTCCAATGTCATTGCACAGATCATGGCAAATCTCCACTTTCCGGATCTTATCCTGGCGTCTTGTACTACTCGTCCGATGGGTGCGATCGCGGTAACGCCATGGAAGACGCGGTGATGCCCGCGATCGTGGCGCCCTGAGCATGCTGGCCTCCTCGCCTTCAACGAAACACGTTGCTCAACATCTACATGGCTTCACTATCTTTACAGACTCAGCTCGTCAGGTGGGCACCCTGTGGGTAATCTACGGGCATCAGGGGCACTAATAGATTGTCCATCGGACATTAACTCGAATCTTTGAAAAGCTGGATATTTGTGGTTGAACTCCGCTTGAACGAGGCGAGCTAGAAGAGCACGCCTCGATACAACGGTTACTCCGGTGAGTGCCGGACGTCGTCGAGCGTGACAGGAGCATGTACGCCCGGCAACTAGGCTGTGTCGAGGGGTAAAGCTTAAGGTAAAGCGTGGACAGGAAGTTCCCGTTGTGAGGCGATGATTTGTGGTATCACTTTCACAATCGTCTGCGTTCCTTGGACCTTAATTCCAAGCTTTCAACGAGATGGACCCACATAGATGCATATTGCCGCAGCAACAGATTCGGGGCAGCCACAGGTCCCAGGAGATGGAGGCACTACTGAGGCAGATCCCTTTCGTCGCCATCACGACGTTTGAGTTGAGTAAGCAACGTCCTATCAGGCGTAACCATTTAAACGCGTACCACACGGAGCTCAGGGGGAGCAGGCTTTTAGTAAGTACTCCTGGCCGCCGGAACAAGGGGCTCGTTGTCTATTTGTCACACGGCCACCTCGAGAGGACGCTTTCTATTCAACACGCCTCCAGGCTGCGGTGCACCGGTCCGAGCCCCGTAAACTCCGAAAGCTGCAACCGCGCATCTGCTCTCCATCCTGTGCTCGTATAGGCTCGTATGCTGCCTCCGCCAATTTTGTTGCGCTTCAGGTGTGCATGCCCCGCTCCACTCAATGTATGAACGGCTATGGATAGCCGTGCTCGCCTGATGGCACCATCTATCTATATCGCATTGGAAACCCATTTTCAAGATTAGCTCAACAATAGAGGAGGCCGATGAGTGGACCTTTCTCTGCCAAATCCGTGTTGTCACGCCCTACTCGACCCCTACATCTTGGCTCGAACGCGACACGCTAACGTGAGGCTGACCCGGGACCGTGGCGGTTACTTTTGAGGTGTCGCATGACCCCAACACTATGAAAAGTGATTGATGCGAAATTTGCACTACCGGTACCCAAATCGATTGATTTGCAGCAAACTGGTGCAAATCAGATTTGGATACCTGACAGAGCAATGCGAATTTTGTGACTTCGCGGAGTGGAGCGCGATTGTGGCATCGGCTGTGCTGATGGGAATAGATGACTAAGCGTGGGCACTTATGACGCACTTGAGTTCTACCTTCTTCCGCGTCTCACCTCCATCGTCCCCTTTCCGTCCCCTTCCCGTTCCATCAGTCACCATCGCTTCTGTGCCCGTACATCGTGCCGGAGCGCTCTTCAAACCATAATGGTAAGTGCTCTGTTCTCGCTGCCCGTCTGATGCATGTGCTGACGCTGCACTCTCCCAGTCTTAGAACATTTCGCCACTGCCGCACTAAAGTAAGCACCCCATACTCTACTTGTCATATGCGCCCTGCCCCGTCCTTACTACCAACGTGCTGTTGGGGCCTTACCCGTCCCCTCCCCGGTCTATCCTACCTCTCACCTCTCCTCGTCCCCACTTTTCCCCACCTTCCCTGGGCATTATGCGTTACCTATGCCATGGTGTACTGTATTTAGGACCTCGCCATCCCTGTATTGTAGTCACCGTCTCAATATATCGTCGTGTGCTTGATTTACGGCGCGTGAATGCGTGAATACCGGTTGGTCAATATCTAAGGGTAAGGGGTCTATGCCGGCCAATTTGCACTAAAATGTGGCAAAATTTGCACTTAGAGTACCCAAAATCGATAAGCAAAATCTTAACTTTTCCCGGCAAAATTTGCAACTCAGTTTATAGCAAAAATTGCATTACCGTGAGCAAAAATTGCACTGAAAGGACGCAAATTTCACGCATAAACAGTGCAAATGAGTAGTGCAAAATTCACGTCATTCAAACCCTACAGTGCAAGGTGCGGCGCGGACCGGTGCCAGCATCGTTGAGGACCGGAGATGAACGCGAACCTACACGAACGCGATCTATGATAAACGACAGACAATCAGCTTGCCGAGTCCATGGTATTTTGTTTGTTTGCCTTCACAGGCCGCCGATGCTATAATCTGATTGATGGTCACAATACGGGCACGGAGACCCAATGCGGTGATGTGGGTTAGACTGAGCATCGTACTCGAGTGACAACATTTACCAGTTTGTTTCATAGTACACATCGCTAACGATTACACGCATGGGCTGGCGCCGAAAAATACTCTGGTAAGGTCGGCTATGGCGGCACATCCTACATTGGTGCTATGTGCTCGTAATCTGTTCCGAAGACTAAATGCTGAGCAATCTACATCCCCATAAGTTTGGGTTTAAGATGGGCTCGGCTTGAATGTGCATTGCATGTTCAGATGAGCCTATAGCTGGTTCAAACGTTCATGTGCCACCTTTGACAGACTACGTTCGAGAAATCAGTCCGAAAAGCTAGACATACTATTCCCTAGTAGCTGACCATGCGTCGATTTCTTTGTTTCCTCGGCGATGTCAGCAACTCGGCAGGCGACCGGTCGATGATCTACACATCTACCTTACTCTCGGATCTTGCCCGTCGATAGCCGTCGATCGCAGGTTCTTGCATTCTGCCTATCGGAAGTCCTCGCGCGCGACTTTGGCCAGGTCCAGGCCGCCCTCGGAGGCTATGTCATCGCTGGCCATGATACATCATGCATCGCGTCGACGCGACGCGACAGCGTTCTAGAACGCAAGGGAAGCTTTCTAAGTGTCCGAAAAAACGTAGTTAGCGAGGTGACCATGAGAGACCACTGAGACCCACCTGCAGCGCATATGCTGCATATCATGTCATGCTTGACGTAATACCAGGACACTAGCTAAGGACACTTCAGGGCATTCTAGAGTAAGCACCCGGTGATGTAGCACCTTGTAGCACTGGATAGGGGCATTCCTTCCAGGCGCATCGAGCTCCGTTCCGAGTGCATTGCACATTGCTGCAGATCTTGAGAAAATCAGGAACAGCCGCACAGGGGAACTGCGGGTGTGTTTAGCCTGGAACATGCAGTGGTCTGCGGGAGGTTTGAAGTTTTGCTGAGCGATGCATCGCGGGTGTCACAGAGGCTCGAGTCACGCCTTTACCTTGGTCGCCGGTGACCCGAACTTCAAGTTCAAACGATCGCGCGATCTTGTCAAGGTACTATACAGCCACGTGCGACGCGTGTCATGACACCGAGACGCGTCGTGTTTGAGACCTGTAACGCCTTGTAACGCATGATCAAAGAAAACTTGAAAGAGGGTTTCGAAGCGAAGACAGGTAACCACCGAGCAACCCATGTGTAGATGCTTACAACTTCGGTTGCGTTTTAGTTACCGGCATATGGGTTGCACGGACACCGTCATGAGTCACAAAGCTTCAAGGCAACCTTCACGGTGTCGCGAGGCATGAACGATAAGGTCGAAAGGAACGAGGCACGTCGGTATGGACGCGTGTGAAGTTTCAGAAGCGCTCATATGCAGGCTCCGATAACAACTTTTAAGATTTCAAGGTGACCCTCGAAGTCCCGATCGTATGGACCTGCCTGGCTTCATCTATCTTTCATCTCTCGAGATCTCGCGTCCATGGCCGAACATGAGGCAGAGCAGTCTCGAAGATCGAGCACAGGCTTCTCCGAGTACGTGTTTCATGTTGAATCCCCCTCTGGCACCTGACTTCGGGGACGTTATTTGATTGCCTGAGCCGAACGACTCGCCGCGGGGATGTTAATGTGTTACGACAAGACGGAGGTTTGTTACGGACGCGCTGATACAGTAGCAGCAAGCTTAGGTTCAGGCACATAACACGTACTTGCATACGCGAGGTGGCGGATCCCCGACAATAGTATTTGCCGAGTCCAAAGCACCGAGCGGGCACCTGGGGGCGCTTGAATATCGTACACCAGTTTCATGTCAGCGTCTGCCAGTGTTTGGTCTCGGCAGCTCCGACGTCGGTGATTACGAGGACGCGTTCCGAAGAAGTATGAGAGTGCAGCTATAGATAAGGTAGAGCCAATCAAGAACTGTCGTTGCAAAAACAGCTGAAGCAGTGCAACAATCTCTTCCCTCCGGTGTGAGCGCCAACGTTCCGCAGCCGGGAACTTAGCTTTCTGGGGTGCGAATTCGAGGTCACACTGCGTCCTCGAGGCGGCGCCTCTGTGGCGCTGACGCAAACTTACTACTGTAAGCCTTCACTACTTCGCACATGAACGTATGCCGACTCCCGAGGTCGTCGGTGGGCAGCAGACACCTAGATATGCGCAAGGTGTATTCGCCTCCGAGTCCGGGCCTTGCAGCAGCGTGACACCTCTGAAGATCCATTCTGGCCCATCGCCAGTGGCAGATGACATCCTTGAGGAGCGCATCAGAATGCATCGCGGTGCCGACGAGCCTCTGCAACGAGCCGTAAGTAGTGTCTCGGAGACTGTTGTAGTCAATGGGAGAGTCGGCCGGGGGCTAGACGCTGGCTAGAAGAGTCCATTACAGTAATATTAACTATTCTCCACAGTCGCTGCCTCGCAAGGCAATATCTCCAGGGCCGCATACCGAACGCCGAACGCCATATGCACAAATGACCCACGCTTTCAAGTCTCGGGACGCCCATTGGGGCCATTGGACATGCGCCATCGCAAAAACGGCAGTGGGCAATCAGACCTCCAGACCCCTGAAGGTGGAGCTGGACTACTGAATTAGCTCATTGCGACCCAGCAGCGCGGAAGGAAGGCGGCAGCCTTGGACAGCTGTGGGCACCTGTATGGTCCACCAAGTCATTGGGCTAGCCGGTCATGGCCTGCAGACGTGACAGTGGGAGATGAATTTAGTTTGTGCAGACCATAGGGTGATGTCGATGAACTGGCATTCCGCAGTGTTTCGGGAGAGTGCGAAGTCTGTGTGACCGCCACTGACGCGAGCTCCAGCGCCCCTTTCGCTGGGTGGGGAAGGGTTCCTGTCGAGTGGTCGAGTCTTTCCGAGAGCCGCAACACCCTGTAACTTTGCGTACCGATAACTTTAAGACAACGATCACAAGTTGTGGTTGACACCTCAAATGTGCTTACAACGGGGGTAGTCGAAAGCATTGAGTGGCAGACGGGTGTCAAAAAATCTTTCGTCCCGGAAATAGGTACTACAACGACGAACAAGGATGCAAGCAACAGGATGATAACGAGGTGATAATGATGATGGTCGTATTACTGAGTGGAAAACAATGACAAGTAGATAGCGTATACATTGATGGCAGTCACAACCTGATCTATAGTACGATAATGATAATGCGCCGAAACCCATGATAATATATAATGCAACGAAGACCAAAAAAACGTGGAAGATCGTAAAAAACGACAGGTGAAACAGAGAGAAATGGAAAGATTAGTGAAACACAGTAACTGGATCCAGCCGAAAAAGAAACGAAACAAACATGCTTGAGGAAAGAAGCAGCGAAAACCGATGACAACACATAAAACCCTTCAAAACTCCGCGCGTAGGGACGCGTTTGTTGCGTCTGTCTTCTCTGCTGATTTGGATGACGCAGAGGGGAATGGTGACGAATTGGTTATGGGGTGTCGGGAGAACCACGCGAAGACAACTTGTTGGTTATGCAAACGTCGCAATGTGGTGGGGTATGGGGCGGCGGTGACTTTGAGATGAGCAAGTCCACAGCGCCACCTGGATGGGGTGGGACGCATCAAGTCCTCTCCTCGGATTGAGCAAAGGCCCAGGTCGATTGTTATCGGCGGGCAACATATCGCCAGAAGACTGGATTAGGGGGCTGTGGGGAAAGACACTGGTCAGCGGCAATCCGGACACGCGAGAGGGAAGGCACATGAATGGAGTGTGGTTGCTCACCTGAGTAGTGGGCGTGGAGTCATCTATTTCGGGGTCATCGGCGCGTTAGTGAACAATGAGAGGACGCGATGCGATAGCGACTCACGGGCTTGAATGCACTCCCATACATCGACGCCGCGACCCTTGGCGTCCCAGACGCAGCACTGAGAGTAGAGGCCCCAATGCACGTTGATCTCCCATATCCTTGTCGCGTTACTAATGACTGTGCCCGGCATAGCTAATAGCAAGGAGAAGAAAGGAGGGATGGGCACAGACGCAGTGGATGCGAAGTGGGGGAGGAGGGGGAAAGCGAAGATTCGGTCGCTGAAAAGGGATTTTGGAGAGGGGCTGAGCTTGTCTTGTCAAAGGGGGACGTTCGGGTGGAGGACTCGAAATTTATATGGATGGGCGGGGACTTGGACCGATCTCTTGGACGAGCCCGATTGTCACAGAAGGAGTGTGTGACAACGACAGCCTTCCTTTCCGGAACCATGACTAGTCACAGTCCCTAACCGAAACCCTCATCGGAGATTGTCGAAAAGTAATCTAAAAATTGCATCCATTTCGAATAGAAATTATCAAATGATGTGTGGAGGTGCCTATTCCGGGCAGCCGCGACGATTCTTTCGAGATCTCGTCTGATCGATGGATCTCCACGCGGCCGATAACAGGACAGCCTGGCCACGAGAGCGTCCAAGACGGTTTCGCCAATGACGAGCGATGTACCCGGTCCAGGGGGAATTGCTGAACGCTGAGCGCTTCAAGCCCCCGACGCAGACATGCGCCGCGCGGAGCTGCTCAGTGGAATATTTGACAGAATCCGTGCCATGCTGGACGCATATACGCGCGCCCATGAGATCTTGAGATGTCACGTCAATCCAATCCAATTCGAAGAGTCGAAAGTGTGGGGTTCTCTGCTCTAGCCCCTCGAGTCTCCACCCAGCATCATCGCCACACATATCACCCCTGTATTATAGGTACGCCATTCCCTTCCACCGGCGTTCTCTTCCATGGGCGCAAGATTCGACAGAGGGGCTGGACGTCGGCATCGTTGGAGCTAAGCGCGAAAGGGTGCGAAGTTCCAACGTTCAAACATGCTGGAGGGGTCGAAGGAGCCTAGGCAAGACGCGGGCGAGGCAACTCATCGGACCTTTGTCGCCCGCCATCGCTTCCTTATGTACTCTTTTGCCAATCGAAAATCGGGCGCGGAAAATGACTGTGATCGCAGGCGGGACAAAGGTCTGGGCCGGGCGCTGATCATATCTCTGTCCTGTCCTATTAGCGCGCCATCCCGCTGGGCTCGGGAAAGTCCCGGGACGAACAGGCCCCTACAGGCCCCGCTCTGCGGCGCACGTCCAACGACGTCATCGTGTCTTCCATCTGAGTCCCAGGTCGTTCGCTCGTTATCGTGCTCTTTCCTACACGGGCACCATCATGTGTGCAGACGGTGACCAACGGTGAGAGAAGCCAGGAACACGAATGTATTGCACCCCACCGACGCCCCGCCCACTTGGCATTTTCCGCCCACTGTGATCGGAATGGTTCCAAGCCCCGTTCAGCAGTGAAGCTAGTGAAGTCAAGATGCTCCAATACGACGTGCATACATGGTCATGGCGCTCTTGGATTACGCCGAAGTCTGCATGTTCTAGACTCGTGCCAACATGCATCAGCATCAGCAGTGTTCGAACACAGGCTGATTGTGCGGTTCTATACCGAACTATCTCAACGTTGTGACAATCAGAGCACGATAAAACCTTGTCAGTAAGTTGGGGCCAGCTCCAGCACACCGGAGTTTGTGTACCCTCGGAGGTGCCCACTTTCCCCTCCAAGCCTAGTTCAAACGCTATGCACTGACTATTCGGTTGAACAACACTCAAGCGCCGTTCCCTCGCACCCATCGTGCAAGCTTATTAATAGTTTATTCATCTCGACCAAATGTACATAGATGGACATGCCTGCATAGCTTATACGACAGCCAATGACAGCGTGGCAAGCCGCCTCGTTCGTCCACCAACTGCGGTCAACTTCGACTCACGCGGACCACCAGCGCTTCGGAGTGCACAGCTAACGTAAAGCGAGCCCTCCTTCGCGAGACCTATGAAACTCTGCCTTCGAAGCCTCGAACGCGCCTTCGCCTTCGTCGCGGAGATAAGCAATAAGCAGAATCCTTTTCAAATATGCGAAGCCACCGCAGCCTGACAACCGAGCGAAGGGTCAGATGAGCAGACTCGCGGCACCGTGAACCATTATTAAGCTTCGCTTTATCCCTAAGCGGCCCGCCCATTCAAACGCGTCTGTCAATCAACGAATGGCGAGCGCTTGTTGGTATTGAAAGAGTGGCACGATACGAATATTCCAGGAAGGCTGGTGAGAGCAGTGGCGCTCATCACGGTTTAGTTTTTTTCTTGCGCTTGATGCATGGGAATAAAAGCAGCCTGGTCCACGAAGAGAAGCAGGGGGGTGTAGCCCAGACCGTTGATAAGTATACGATAACAGCCCATGAGGCAGGAAATGTGAGCCTGAATGAGTATACCAGTGGGTCAGACGACAGTGAGCACAGAGCATTAGAAAGTTACGGTTGAACTGAATCCCGAGCGACCCCCCATTACAACAGTGCAACTTTAGTACATGATGTAGTAGGCCAGCTCATTAATCAGACCTTTCGCGGACGGCGCCGCATCGGTGATTGTCTGGGAGAAAGTTCGATGTGCTGCAATACACTGCGCAGGCACTCGTCAAAGGCAGGTATAAATACAGGCCATTCACTCACTGCACGCTCAGAATTGAAACGCGACGATCTCTTCTCAAGAGTCACTGGGTAGGAACGTTTAGCGTTCCTCCGAGGTTTCTCTCTGGTCGGGCAGCGTCGGGTAGCACAAAGCAGCTGATGATAGATCAGCTTAGCAACGCGAGGAAAGGGTGCTAGAGCTGAAACGAGGCACTCACAGGACTGTATTGCCGACTCGGGCCTCGAACCTTTGTCTGAACAAGCGCCCGCCGCTTGCGCTCCCACTGCGGCAATCGTCCGAGCAGCTCGCAGGTGGACCACACAGCAGCTGAGCAAGTGTATTGCTGTCCGCGCCAAGCGTTCTTCCGCCATATCGTTGTCTCTGCAAACGCAAACGAAGCTGTTTGAATGCATTTAGCACACAGCGTGACTGATCGCAGTCAGTGTCAAAAGCCTCGGAGACCAGGTACAACGCACTTTGCAGGGTCACTTCATTTCATCAGCAGTTCTCGCGCTCGTGCGAGGCAGCGCAGGGCCAGCGAGCGAATGACTGGGGCGGACGTCCATTAGAATTGCCGGCGGGAAGCGTTCACGTTATTGAACTTATTCTGCTTGCTGCGCAGAGCGGTGCGCGCTGCGCAGGTGTGACATGTACACCTCCCTCGGTGCAGTGCACGACCCCCGGGCTACGTTTCACGCGTACACGCACATCGGGCACCCCAGTTCCTGAGCTATCGCACCATTGGCTGGCGCGTGCGACTCGGAGCGCCGCATCGCTATCTCTTCGGCGGCTTACGGTATAGTACTGGGCTCTTCAAGTCCAGGAAAGTCGGCCGTGGGCCCGGGGGACACACAGTTCCGTCAAGAAACGTGGTGTGTGGTCTGATGCATCCAAAGGGGGGAGACTTACCCCCTGCCTTTTGGGTCGGCCTGTGGAGTAGAGAGGTTGAACTTTGTGCACTTAGTGACGAATCCGATGACGAAGAGCAGAAGCGCCTCGCTTGCTAGCTGTGCTTTTGATAACCGGGGGAAAAGGGTACTGACATTGGCTGGGTGGTCGTCGGCCGGAGAAGAGTAATGTTCCCTTCCGGTGTGTGACGCGCTTCGTTGCAGGAAATACAGTAAACGTGTTTCCTGTTGTGGCTTTAAGCACTTTCTTTCGTGTCCAGCCTCCCGGACATACATACGACTGTCCCTTGACGCAAGCCAGATCGTCTTCCTCGACGCGCTTGAGACGCTGGCGCTGAGCAGTATCGCTGATGGCTCGGAGAAAACGGACTTTAGCCCAATAGGCTAGAGAAGCGATGATCCGGGGACCGCATCCAGGTTGTCAATTGGCTACCCAGTAAGTGGTGAATAAGGAAAGTTTGTGGACCTACAGTAGCGTGATGGTGTTTGTCATCTCTATGCGGCTTTTTCTGATAATCTGAAGGTAATGGAGTGTCGAGATATTGAATGGTCGCGCTAACTGTCACAAGCCAGCGAATAGAAAAAAGAAAAGAACTAGAGGGAGGAGATCGGACAGACCCTCCCCAGATTTCCCCAGACAAGCTAATTAAGCATGTTATAGCAAGAAGCGCTCCGGCAGCCCGGCGTGCTCGAGGATCAGCGGTCCGTGCCAACGCAGAGCAGTGCCACAACATTGCTATACGGGTCCCCTAAAGTTTGCGAGGGTTAGAAACTTTATCCGCGGAAGCAAAAAAAAGAAACTTGAAACGCTGAGAAACCAACTCACCTGCCCTTTGCGTCAGTTCAAGTGTGATAGCCGAGCAAGATGATTGAGATGTTCTTCCTTTATTCTTATTGGCTGTGTTAGTCACTGTCAGCTGCTGTGCACGACACAATTAATTTGCGATCTTGGTGGATAGTTAGCCGGTTGAGCGAGCCCGCTAGCATGGCGTCGGAGCCGTCGGGCATGGAAGCAGGAAGCTGAAGGGCCATTTTCCTTGTCACGTCGCCTGTCATTCATTCTCAGCTCGCGGACTGCGTCGGACGACCGCTGGGCGACGCGCGGAACGCGGAGCGCGAACGTCCGGCTTCTCCCGAACATCGTCTGCTCTTGCTTTCCTCACCACTTGGACATCCTAAGCGTGGAGGCACTGAAGGCTTCAGTCTACACTTTCCTTACTGGGCCAGCATCTTGCTTACCTAGGTTAACTTTGGTTTGAACACCTGTCGTCTGGGGTACACCATCGCCTCGAAGCAAACGTCTAGAAGGGTCTGATGATGTTCACCAAATCTCCGAAGACACTGGCGAGTCCCCACCTCTTATTGGACTGCCATTGGATCACATGAACTCTCTGGGCACCTCCCCCCACTTTCGAAGGCCTTTGGCTGCGGAGGGCTTATCTTAGCTGCCGGTGCAGGCTTCTTGTATACGAAAAAGATCAACAACGACCGCTGGAGGCAACAGATGCGGGATAACAGACTTGGAGGAGCGCGTGTGCAGGAACCAAAGACGGGTGCGTGACCTTTCCCTGAGACTTAATATGGGCGTCCGCGGACACTGCGAAATTCCAAAGCCATGTATAAGGCTCGCCGTTCAACGGCGTTTTCACTGCAATGAACACCCTTTTTCTACCCCTTACACTTCCCCGCCGATTGATATCATGATGCTGACTGCACTTTGGTTGCTTCCCCGCAGGAAGCCACGACTCGAAGAGCCAATAGCGTTTCGTCAGATACACCTATAGTTCTGTGTATTTTCCCTTGCCAATAGGACTCGAATAGAAGCCCGTTCATCTCCCAAAACACCCTCGATCATGATACCGTAAGCTTAGCGTCGAGGTGCCACAACTTGCTCGAAGCCCTATCGAGACGCGAGTACTGTACACTGGGGATTCCGTTGCGACGCGGGCTCCGTGCTTTTCCGATCGCTTACCAATCGTGGAGCCTGCGCGATCTGCGTCTAGTCTTGGTCCAATCCTCGAGCTCGATCCCGGGACTGAGCTATGTCAGCCAATGTACCCCGTGCCTGGGACCATCGTGGCTGACGCAACTCTTGAGCATATGACCCTTGATTGAAATTCAGATCGAGTTTCACAAATCGAGGGGCTAGCGAGCATTGGAGTCGGGGTCTGGTCTGATACATAACGCTCCTAAGCAAGACTGGTCAAAAACCCCAGTTCTGAACGCAAAGTCTGCCGAACATTCGCATATCGTCTACTGATCATGTCTACGGCGCACGCGAACCCGACAACGCACAGGCCGCCCCAGATTCGCACGAGACCACCTGAACTGCCAGTGCCGCCTGGTGTTGGAAGGGTGAGTGGATTGCCGCTGAGTTAGCGATGTTCATCTCGTGCTGACTGCGCCTCAGACAATAGCTGTTGGGGTGGGTGTGGTGGTCGCAATCATCGGTGGGTCTGTGGTTTGGCAGAACCAGAGGCAGAAACGCAAGGAAACGGAAGATGCGAGACACTTGGGAGGAGGAATTCCGACTTGTGAGCGCATTTCCCTTTACTCGTCCTTAGACACGCAGCTAACCATATGTATGTTCGTCGACCATCAGGGCAATACCGTATCTTCCAAGTTAACAACCCCGATCTTGTCTCGCATCTCCCCAAGACGACCAAGGCCGGTGTTGAGCAGGGCATCAGGGGCGAGCAGGTGCACAGGCCCATCACACACGAGCATAACTCCAACCATATGAACGTGCAGCGATTCGAGGAAAAGTACGGCCCCAACCACGAGCGGAAGTATACGCAGCCTACTGCGCAGCGGTCGCACACCTACGACGACAACCTTGTCTACACCAAGAAATCGTCCAGCCGCGATGCGTCGGAGCCAGTGGGCGAGGATATGGCAAAGCATGGCGAGAGGAAACCGAAGGACCAGCCTAATCCTACTTCGCTGAAGAACCCTGACCTCCCAAGCGGGTCCGAGTCGTAAATTGCGCTCGAACGAGTGAACAGAAATCAAGTTCGAACATCAAAGGCTACCACCATTCTCATGGCTCATGTGTATAAAGATGATCGTTTCGCAGTGTATAATGTACAATAGACTACCGATGCTTCCTAATATCTATCTGCCTTTGTTGCATATCGCAACGGTTTACAAGCTCTCATGCACAAGTTTTGCTAAACTTTCCCCGCGTGAAAGAAATTATCGTTTGCCGATATTTCCTCTAACACTTCATCATGCCCTTACTCGCGTACGGGTCTACCACCACAGTCAAGACAAGGCGCTAGGCAACAGCTCAGTACGATGCCTTGCCCTTGACATGGCAACTTGCGATATCGAAGAGGGGCGTACGCCGCCTCGGGATCATTGATGATGCGTCGTGACATCATCGCGCAACAACCCAAGTCGTCCCCGTCCCTATATGAAAAGGGGTATCACCTCCGCACGACCTCACCTTCGACAAACAACCATGATTCACCCCAGCCTCGTCCGAAGACAAGACCCACACACGACGCTTGGCGACAAGTATTGGAATCGCAGGGATGCTCGCGGCAAATTTGTGAGTCCACGTTCTTACACGGTCCCTCGTTGATATCCAGATGAGAAGAGCGCTGACTAAATCGGGGGTCTGTCGTGGTCCACTGGGCAGGCTGTCGCTTCAGCAATACTTGCCGTAGTGGCAGGGTTGACGTATGTTGTCACTTACAAGGGCGCAGACGACGGACAGCGCCGCCCGAGTGCGTATTTCAGCGTTACGTTGCTTTCATCGCTGTTGATCAACCTGTCGTTGCTACAGGACCTGGCAGCGAGAAACCTAGCATCGCACAGGGTAGCAAATAATTCAGAACCTGTGAGCAGAATGGTGTTTGGGGACGCTCGGGATAGTCAGTCGGCTCTAGCGATAGCTGGTCCAGATATTGCCACAGAAAGTCCAGAACTAAAAGATTACTGTATTTCATTGCGCATAATAACGTACTTTTTACTTTGATTCCAACCTTCAAATGGGCTCGCACAACTGGAGTTACCAGTAGTGCGTGCATAATGAGACGCGATTACTCTGATCCATCGCTTGTATCGCTTGCGGCACTTGATGGGGGCTCCTGCCCTTGTGTTTCTTTTGAGTGCTTAAGTTTACCCTGGTCAACCAGGTATTGCAGCGTTGACGTGTTCTCATCGCATCTAAGAAACGGTATACGAGTCAGCGCAACCTCTAATGATCAAAATTGTTAAAATACGGGAAACGCTCACATCTTCGATAGCGACCCCTCGGTATCGACCAGAGCCTTCTGTGCCATTCTCAACGAGGGTGCGAACTCGCCGTTGCGGTCGCGGAGGTACCGCCCGTGCGTCATGAGCACTGCATTGAGCCACAGCAGATCGAACTCAAGGTGCGGGCTTTTCTCGAGGTGCAGCGCGGTGAACTCGAGAAGCGCGGCGATGTACGTCACGGGCAGCTGCCGCGCGACGAGCTTGATGTCCGCGCGGGGTATATGCTCGTAGACGTGCCGGAGGAGGGGCTTCTCGTTCAACCGGAACGCGAGCACGAGCGCCTTGAGATGTTCGCCCTCGCCTAGCACGTCTAGGACGGCTTGGGGGGTGAGGTCGATGGAGAGGTCGAACGGGTCGAACGCGACGGTGTCGTCCAGGGAGTAGATGAGCAAGCCTTCGGTGCTCGCGGCTGCCCACGCGCGTCCCGTGGGGGAAAACTGGACGCACTTGGTCCGCGCCTCCTGGCGGTAGCGGCGGACGGACATGTCGCCCGCGCCCCGGGAAGCACCGGGCAGGCTCGTGTCCATCCGGTCTTCGAGGTCGCTCGCGTCCCCTCTGTCGTCGATGAGGTCCACGTTGATGCCTGCGCTGTTGACCCGCCGGCTGTCCAAGAATTCCTGCGTTCCGTCCAAGGAAAGGTTCTCCGAGATCTGGAACTTTTTCACAAGCGTGCCCTCGCCCTTGCGCACATCGTATAGCACGACATATTTACTGTTCCCGCCTGCGAGAATGCATGACCCATCCGCGGTATACGCCAGGCTCGTGAAGGCTTTCGTAGAGGAGCTGTTCGCTGCTGAGACGCGATCGTCCGCCTTGCGTCCACCCGAGATGTCCTTGCGGCCGTCAATCACGTTCGACTGCTTGCCCGAGCGCGTGTCGAAGAGTGTGATCTGCCCGTCGAGTGTCGCTACCGCGATCTCGCCTCCATCGGGGCGGTACGCCAGCGCGAGCACGTCGGCAGAGACCGTGAAGGGCTCGACAGCATGCGAGCGCCCGAATACGTTCCATATACGGATCATCTTGTCCCAGGAGCCGCTGGCGAGCTGGTTCGACCCCGTCGGGCAGAACGTGAGGGATGAGATGGGCGCTTCGTGACCCGAGAGGATGTCAAGCAGCTTGCCAGTCTGCACAGACCAGAGGAAGACTTCGAACGAGTCGGTGGATCCGGCTGCGACGACCTCGCCTGATGGGTCGACGGCCAGAGCGGAGAACTGGACAGGCGACGGGGAGGTGAACGTGCGGAAGTTGCGGTACCGAATGAGGTCGTACGCGCGCACGGTCCCGTCGAGCGACGCGGAGAACACGACCGAGCCGTGCTTCGCGAACGCGACTTCCGAGACGGGCGCGGAGTGCTCCGAGAAGGTGACAAAGCAGAAGCCGTTGTTAACTGACCAGATCTTGACCTTGCCGTCGTCTCCTCCCGTGACCACCGTCTGCCCATCAGGCGTGTATGCCAGTGTGTTCATGTCAAAGTAGTGGCCCTGTTGCTTGAGGATGTAGGACTCGGACTGCCATTCCCAGACCAGAAGTTGGCCCAGCTTTCGTGCGCCGAAGGCTAGCCATTCCCCAGAGGGAGAGATGGCGACGGACGATATCTTCTCCTGGGAGATGCTGAGGGTGTGGATGTTGGAGAAGGCGGGCATCTCCCAGAGACCGAAGACACCAGTTGAAAATCCGATGACAAGCAAATTCGATGCACTGTGAAAGACAGAGGACACGACTTTTGTGTTGGGGAGATTGAAGTACTGTCGTTCGTAGATGCCCCATCTTGTATTTGCTATTGAGACGCCTAGCGATTTAGAACCGGAGGGAATCGGAGAAACATCTTCATCGTCGGTCTCCATGTCTTCGGAAGCCTTTGCCCTCCACGTAAACACGGCACCGTCCCGACTAACAGTGTAGATCTACTGCACGTCAGGCAAGAGGAGAGTTGTAATGTCCATGGGAAACCCACCGTTTCACCGTCAGAAGTGAAATAAGCGCCAACAACTGCATCTCTATGCCCAGCAAATGTTTTCGGTCGGAACCCCTCCAATGGATCCAAAGTAAACAGACGAGCCGTCATGTCACGAGATGTGGTTAGGAAACATCTGCGCACCGAGGTCAGCTCACGTCTCTTACAGATAAAATATAGACTCACTGAGAGTCTGGCGACCATCGTATACTCAAAACGTCGTCGTGATGTCCGGTGTAGGTTCGGTGGAGGACAAAGGGTGCAAATTCGCGGGCGAGGTGGTTTGGGGTTCTCCACACTTGGACGTGCGAGCCATGGGTAACGGCGATGTACCTAGTGCCAGGAACCATTGAGCAGGAGAAAAACAGAAGTGCGTTTCAAGCACGTACCGTCCGTCTGGGGAGAACTGGATGTCTTTCACGGGCTTTTTGAAGTTGAAGTGATGCAGAACAGTGCCACGTCGAAAGTTGACGAGTACCGCACGTCCATCTGGAGGGAGAACGTGAGCTGCACACCACGCGATGGAGTGGCTGAGCGACGTACCTTCATCCACCGAGATTAACACGTTCCCATCTGGGCTGAGAGCTATGGCAGCAATGTTTTTGCGGTTCTCCACTGGCAACGTTCGTGCTCGGTTGCTAAAAGGGCTGTGGTGAGTGCAGGTGGCGGATGAGACAAGATAGTCGACTCACTTGGTGAGATCGAAGACCGAAACTCGATTCCCTACCGGACTGAGCAAGGAGTTGCCATCAGAGGTGAATACGAGGTTCCCTTGTCGGTATACAGTCCCACATATGTTCGAGAACTATGCGAGGGAGGTGAGGATGGAGCATTGTCGATGAGAAATGGTGTCCCGACCTTGTAGTTCACCTTCATGGCTTTTGCGAAATCTGGCACAGCCACAATATCTCTCGCAAGGTGGGCCAGAGCGGAGTTCGGTCCGAGCCGGCTCGTTCTCCTCACCGCCCACCCTCGTCCAATTATTCGTGCCGGTTTATCGCTGTCTTGGATGTTAAAACTCATGTTGACTAGGTAAGCGTATGAAATAAATTACGTAGCACAAATCCAATTTACCACAGCTCCTAACGTTGCTCCTCCCAGCATACAGTATCTTCCTCATTCCGAGGCTTGAGCGATCTCTTCTCTCCCTCGATTGTCCCTCGACTCTAGCAGTTGACTCGTCACGACTCATGACTACAGGTGTGAAATTATGACGCCGTCGATGTCTCCCGTTATCAATGCAGATACCATGACGAATTAAAGACGACTCTCTAGACTTGCATCTCAGCTTGACAGCCCTTGCGAACTTGAAGGAGCTAGTACTACGGGTGTCTTTGCCATCCCACTTGTTCATCGCTCCCTTTTCCAGGCTCACAGTACTGCCAGTTCCACCTATATGGCACAATTGCGTCGATAGCGTAACTTTATAACCTTTCTCGACTCTTCTCATCTAGCCAGGTTCGCATCTGACGCTGTTACGACACACCTTCAAAGAAAGCCTGAATGATCCTAAGCCTACGTGAATATTTCACATCTTTGCATAGACACTGCAAGGCACGATGTATGCCAATGTATAGACACCAGTGTTGACAGGTTTTGGAAGATCTGACCGTCATCCAAATGAATGAGGATGTTCTTCATACTGAAATACGTTGAGCAGTGAGCCTTACATACAACGACACACTACAAAGACAGTTCCTCGCACTCATAAAACATTAATCATGTCCAAATTTCGTATTTTTTTATGTATCAGTAGTCTGATGACCATTCCTCGTGCTCGTCGACGTCATCGCCATAGTCGCCAGTGACAGTCGCGGTGGTGTGAACTTGACCGAACCGAGGCTGACATCATTCAGTGAGACGTCCTCATCACCCAGGACGCTGCACCGCTTGCGCATGTCAAGGACGAGGTGCGGCACGAGGATGTACTGCTGGATGTACCCGAGCAGAAAGTTGAACCCGTTGTACAACTCTTCCCGGATGAATGGCTGAAAGCGTATAGATGAAGGCAGGCATCAGAGAAGCGAGACGAGAAGGGACTTACAGCTACGGAATCGCTGAGGTTGGAGGTACCGTTCATCGTCCCCCAGACGACATACCTATCCAAGAAGTCAGCCATTTTATTTACACCCGCGGATACAAGAGGTTGGTTAACGCACATGACGAAATACAGCGTATGATCTCGAATCATCGTCATGAAGAGATCGTTCCAGTCCCACCGCCGATAGCGAGCGCGCACCTCGCACGCATGGCGGTAGAGGCAGAATAGCGAGACCGAGAGCATCATCAGCTCAAACGTGAGCTGCACGAAGTACCATGGCGCGAACAGTGTGTCCTGCAGCGCAATCTCTGTGTTGCAGTTCGACCAGCTGTAAAATCTCGACTCGATACCTGGGCCAACCGCAGGCCAAGAAGCACATTCGCATGTTAGAGAACGCTTCGTGATCAAGAAGTAAACCACGACGTACCGTGAGTGCCAGGCCCATATCGGTATGTCGCAAAAGTCATGGACTGGATCGCTACCTGCTCGATCACAAACCCGATCTTGAGGATCTTGTGCACATATCTAGACGGCCCGTAGATGGCGCAGACGCGCATGAGCATGATCCCTGAAACAGTGTCAGTCCGACCCCATTGCAGGACTTGATGGCTCGGCGAAGCCCAACCTTGTATGCACGGAATGCAAAATGAGATCAGGTAGTAGACAGCGATGTTGATCCTCAAGCCTGGTATTGCCAGAGCACGCGAGTGAGCGTCCGGTCTATCTTCGGAGGGCGTTTATGGAGGGACTTACACCTTCACGACGGGTCGCACGCAGGTCAGACTTAAGCTGTCTCCCAAAAAAGAACAGGGTTTGCTTACATCTGCGGGCGTATGGGCGAAACCGAGACCAAGGATCAGAGCGAAGACGTGGCGCAGTGGGAGTGATTGCTCAGCGCTCAGTGTTAAGTGGAGAAACGCCGCCCTGCGCGAGAGCAGTGGATGCGACTTACCTCATCGGTCATTGGTACGTTATATCCCCAAACTAAGTACAGTAAGGGCAAATGTTGAGCGATGTAATCAGGCGGTGGCGTTGAGAACACGTACGTGCGTGGAGTCTGTGGACGAATGAGGAAAACATAACTCTTAGAAAGCCGAGAAAGGTGCTTGCGGGGCCTTACAAGATCATGGCGAGAGACATGTACCGAAGCTGTGAGGGCGGAGTTAGGCAAGGATGTGTAGAGGTGAGTAGGACACACCAAGAGGTATAGTACCGACGCCAAAGACATGCGTCGCCGCTGAGCAAGTTGTCATTCTACAGACTCGACGGTTCGGATGAACAAGTCATACCCATACAAAATCAATCTGTGCAAAGACATTAGAGGTTAGAGGAGCTCAAATCATTGTGACCCGTCATCCAGAAAGTTCGACGTACCTCGCTCGGCAAGTTCAAGACTGCACGCAAGGCATACGAATCAGCTTCAGACACCTTAGACATAATGGTTGAAGCATACTCCAATCGTAATACATCATTGCCAGTCCCACCACTAAAGATAGACCCATCATCAGCTCTCGTGGTCTCAATCAACGGACAAAGGCAAAGGCAAAACACGACACGCACCATAGAAGTTCTCCGCCGTCTTCCACTTGAGGATGGTGTACCAGTCATCCGGATCGTCCTCGACGACGTACATCTAAGTAAGAAAAGGACGTGCCCACGGGGGTGACGGGCAAAGAGGAGGAGCGGAGGGGACGGGCGGATGGGTGAGAACCGGCGTACGAGATGAACGGGGGCATAAGTATGCCCGCTTACCCCGCTAGTGTTCGGCTCTTTTAAGTACACACGCTGGATCTGTGCGCTTATTTGTGAGTGAAGAGGAAACTTAAAATCGTCATCTCGTGTGTTAGTCCGGAGCATTTACCTGCCTCTACGTGGACGCAGTCGTGCGCAAGCTGGTCGCCCGGTCGGCCCCCAAAGGCAATATGATACTCTTGTTGCAAGCGGTGCAATGGTGCTAGCTACTAGTCGATGCTGAGTTAGACTCAAGCTCCTGAAAACATTCGCTTGTGCTCACCGCAGCAAATACCGGTGTTGATTCCTTGAGCGCCTCTGCAGCGACGTGGAATGGGGACGCTGGCGGGATCACGCGTCTGCGGATAGTAACTCTGGTGCTTCAACGAGACCCAGGGGCCGTCTGGAAGCGTCGAACGGCACGAAGGGTAGACGACGCCTCTCCATATGTACCATCTGGCCATGCCATGTGCACATTCTGGACGATCGTGGTAAAAGAATAGAGTGAGGCGGGTTGAACCAATGAGCCTTCGGTGTCAAGCGATCTGACAGAGTGAGACATGTCCTCGAATGGCTCCTGCATTCGACCTCAGGGTTGCGTTGATGTATAATATCTGGTCAGGAACGCACGTTTGGAGCACCCCTTGTCTGGCCGGCGCTCTGAGCGAACATGTCAAGTTTCAGCTGCATGCGGAGCGTGCTGTATGGCGCGTCTCTTAGTTTCCCATGCAGTCCAGTGACGGGCAAAGTAGAAGAAGCAACTGTCAGAGCGTCAGATGGTGAGTGTCAGCGTCGCCAACTCAACGGCGGCGTTATTTCGTGTGGCTGGAGCCTGCTGGAGAGTCCCGAGGTGCGTCCCGTTACGTCGGGCAGGCGAACCCGATGGTACCGAAAGACTCCGGTCGGCGGCACAGGGCGGCACTGTGCAAGACACAAACCTCTCCTCTTCTGAGAACGTGGCCATGATCTCGCCAGCAACCTAGCCTTCCCACTTATCCTTCCCACTTATTCAATTTGTACGAGTGCGAGTGCACACTCGGCCTCCTCGAGAAGAAAATATTGTGTTTGGGGAGCTTTTCAAGGCTTCGCGGGTTTTGCATTCTTCCTTCATCTTCCACTGGCTCATGTGTTCCCGCTTGGCTCCCGCTGTCATTGAGTTCGATGCCGACGGTGGTCCGAGCGGCTCGACGGCGGAACAAAATCGCGTTTGTATCGATCTTTCATGCCCAGGCAAGCACATATGGTCACGTCCAGTTTGTCGGTCGAAACCTCGTGCCTCGAGATGATGAAAACCAGACGAAAGAAAACATGCGCCCACTGCAGGGACGCAGTGTGACGAAATCACAAGCTTGATTTGCAAGGTGATATTAGAGCTGTGTGAGAATCGACGTCGCCTCGCAGTGCGTTAGCTGAGCAGCCTCACACCTACCCATGGTGGACAAGACTTTGCGGAACGGGCGAAGGGAAATTAGAGAGCGAACTTTGGAAGGGCTGCAGCTTTGATAAGCGTTCCAAGCGTGTATGACCTTCCCCACTGTGCCGGAGTCTCCCACTGGGCTGTATATATGCGCCTAGCATCTTGTGGGCTGTCGAATGGGAGGGTCCGAAAGTGAGAGAAATGAAGAACGAGCTCAAGGAGCGCGAATCTGAAGGCAAAGCAGTCATGCATTACAGCTGCAGTGTGGTCAATGGCAAAGAGCGTTGCTGTGTAGCCTGGATTCGCCACGGGCTGATGTGGGCCAAATTGTGCATTTATGTCTCGCGGTCAAAGTCCAACGCGCAGAAGACCCACCCCTCGCATGGCCGACAAACCCTACGACTACGAGCAGCTTCCCCTTCATTCTGCGTCGGACCCGCCTGACCCACTCTCCTCACGCTCATCGTCGCCCTCCCGTCGTCACGCTCCTCCACGCTCTCGCTATGGCACTAGACTACCTTCGTTCGTACCAGCACCAGTAGCAAGGTGTCTGTCAGCCCTTCCAATACCATGCCTACGACTGCGGACACGTACACTCCTCATCCTAGCACCCCTCCTCGTCGGCGCCCTTGTTCTCGCCCTGTTCTCAGCGTACGAGCCTCACATCGAAATCACATTCTACCCCCGCTCGTGGATATCCTCCGCCATCGACATCGACACCCTCCCACCCGCCCTCTTCACCGCCGTCGAAAAATGCTTCCACCCAGACCACCTCGACCCCACATACCCCAACATATCCGCCGTGCCCAGCGAGCTTGAGATCCTTTCAGGCATGGCCATGAGGCTCGGCACCGACTGCTATGACTTTGCAGGCTCCATCAAGTCTGCGCAGCCCCAGTCTGTCGCGGCGGATGCACCGGGCGAGAAACGCATCTTCCACACGTACTGGCGCGTCGACCTCGCGCCGTTCTCAGAGCGCCAGTCGCAGATGCTGCGCTCATTTTTCGCCACGCAGAGACTTCACACCTCGCGCCTGATTCTGTGGACGAATGGCCCCGGGCTCGACGAGAATGTGTTCGTGAAGCATTATCTGGACCGGTACCCAGACAACTTGGAGGTCAAGGTCGTGGATATGCAGGCGCTTGCACAGGGGACGGCGATGGCCGATAGTCCGCTGTTGGGGAACCACGGCGTGGAGGACACGAAGGCGTGGGTTGATGGAGACATTGTGAGGTTGCTGGTTATCTGGGCGAATGGTGGAACATGGGTGGACATGGACTCGCTCCTCACGCGCGACCTCAGCCCTCTGCTTGATGGCGAGTGGGTCTCGCAGTGGGACTGCTACGGTGCGTCCACCCCCCTCGCATATTCTCTACCTTCGCACTCACACTCGCATACAGACAAGCTCTACCGCCCGCTCAACGGCGCACTCATGTCCTTCCACAAACACTCCCCCTACCTCTGCGGCGCCTTCGAGCTCATGGCCAGTGGACCCCCGCCCCGCGCGGACAGCACCGACTGGGGCAGCACGCTCTACCTCCGCCTCTGGCGCATCCTCGTCCGCCTCGGCGGCGACGCCTCCGTCCCGCTCAACCTCCTCCCCTCGGGGCCCTACCCGCCCCCGCGCGGCGCCCCTATCAGGCCGTTCAAGATCTTGCCCTGGTGTTTCTCGGACGGGCGCTCGTGCAGGCTCGACTCGCGCCTGCCGGATCCGTTCGAGAAGGACGGGGGCGGGAGCGGGAGGTGGTGGCGCGAGAAGGCGGACAAGGCTGTCGCTGTTGCCGGGACGAAGATGGGGAAGGAGGTGCATGTGTCTGGGTCGCCGCTCGATCGGGCGTTGCATCAGGTGTTCGCGGTGCATCTGCACAACCAGTGGGAGAAGTCGTTTCCCAAGGATGGATGGGTTGAGCGGCTGATGCTGGATCGATACACCGAGGTTTTGGGGGACGGAGGGTCTAAAAACCTCTAGAGTTCCTTCGAAGATGACATTGTTTAACTGTTATATAAGTATTGTAGAACTTTACTAGTGTCCTACAATCTTCACGAGTGTACATCGTCTCTCGCGCGCGACGTGCGAATCCCCTATGCCTCCCAGCCTTGGCGCAAGTGGCCACCATTAGACAAGCAGTGAAAGCCTGGATCCCGGCCGGCGCGCCTCGGGGCGTAACTCTCAGCATACCAACATGCAATGCATTCAGAAGCATGTAAATCTTTTGCAATTGGCATCTCTTGAGCCGACTCTGACTTTGCACCACAACCACCATCATGCACCGCCTTTTCTTCATCGACGAGATCACCCTCGCCATCGTTAACCATGTACCCGCCGACAGGGACCTCTCAGTCCTCGCCAGAGTCTGCCAGTCGTTCAGCGAGCCTGCTCTTGACGTCTTGTGGGCGGCCTTGCATTCCATCGTACCTCTCCTTAAGTGCCTGCCGCCTGATCTTATTGAAGAGACACTCCACGACAAACAAAGGCTCGCGGTATGTGTTGCTTTCTCGTTTGCAGCACTTTCTCGTTATAACAAGTTAGTAGGCATATACCCTCAAACGCCCATTCACTACCACCGACTGGAACATCTTGTTGAAGTACGCCCGGCGCGTCACGGCTCTTATCAGTATGATCATCGATCCTGTCGAGGCTTCAAAGCGCGGGCGTTTCTACAAGTACGAGAGGGTCGACGATGCCATCTTTGGTGTCCTCTGCAACCCTCCATTTCTGCGCCTTTTCCCGAAGTTGCGCAAGCTCGTGTGGTGCGACTTGGATGCTCGGGAGCCGCTGGCGTTTCTGCGATTACTGCTTGTTCCATCGATTTCAGACCTTACCGTTGTTGTGGAACGCTTGCCCATGGATGTATGCACCCAAAGTCTCATCGTCCTGTTGCCAAACTTCTGTCCTGCGGTCGAAAACTTCTGTTGGGTTCATAAGTGCTCTTACCCCCTCAAGAACGCCCGTGTCTTCTCTGACATCGTGTATCAGTGGGATCGTCTCACGGACCTCAGATGCCCTACGCTCACCGGCAAGGGTTTCCAATCCTTGTCATCGTCTAAGGTCCTCGAAACCCTGGATACGGTTCTAGACAGCCCTCTGCAGGATGGTATTGAACTTTGTGCTCACGCGTTTCCCGGACTGAAGTCCTTGACCCTGTGGAGCCCTCCGAGACATTCTCTGGCAGCCATTTCGAGTCTCCTGAGGAAGGCAATCTTCTCGCCAACCAAAATCGCACTCTTCGCGGGCTCGACCGACGACCCCGCGCTTTCCGAGCTTATCCGGGTACTTTCGAACCATTGCTGCCAACGTAGTCTCCGCTGCCTGAAACTCAGGGAACACACCGATGACCCGCTGCCTGACTCTGCCCTCACTCCCGTGTCGCTCTCAATGCTTCGCCCCCTTTTGCGTTTTAGTGATCTTAGTAGCCTTGACATCAGCACAGGCCGCAGTGTCGATATGGACGATGCCAGTTTGCTCCAGATCGCTAGCGCGTTTCCAAACCTCGAGGAACTTCGCATCAACGACGGCTGCGGCTGGGGACCTCACTCACACACATCGTTGAACTGTTTGCGAGCCTTGGTTACGCGGCTACCGAACTTGAGGGCCCTCTCCCTTGCTATCGACGGCGAACGTCTGGTCCCCGCAGGCGAAGCAGTACCTGGTTCCGTGCGCGTCGTCTTAGGCGACTTCTCCCTTAATTTGATGGATTCACGAGTAGCGCTCAGCAACATCTTGGGTGTCGCAGCATTCCTCTCCGACCTATTTCCCAACATGAAACATTTCCATTATGCTCATGACGCAGCGCATTTTGAGCGATGGAAACAGGTTGTCACGAGGATGAACGCTAAGGGTCAAGTTAGAAAGTAGGAGAAGGCCCGGTGGATGAGGGAAGCGCTGCTGCGAGAGGGAGTCTGATGCGGTGGAATATCGTTTGGCTGATCCGGATTTTGATAATTCATTTCATGTGCATCGCTACAAATCTGTTAGTACTCCGCAATTTTCACGAGCTGTTCACAGAGACAATGTTCTGGATGATAGGAGGCGAAAGAGCGATTGTGCAGTCGTTTATGTATTGAACACATTGGTGCCACGCTCTTTGAGGTTATGTGCAACGCGACGCGCGACACCGGCGCTCATCCCTTTTTGGCGGAACCCCCCTCTGTTCCGTACTCCCAACATGCCATCAGAATACATGCGCATTCCGAACCAAGGACATAAAGCGCGTCGCCTGACGCGCCTATGTTGACTTTTACACCCAGACGCCACCCATGCACCGCGTTCTCCTCATCAACGAGATCATCCTCACCGTTGCACACCACGTGCCCGCCGATAAGGACCTCTCTGCCCTCGCCAGAGTATGCAAGTCCTTCAGTAATCCTGCTCTCGACGTCTTGTGGTCGGCCCTTGGTTCGATTGTGCCGCTACTTCGGTGCTTGCCGTCCGACCTCATCAAAGAGACCCTGCATGAAGGAGGATGCATCGCGGTGCGTACTATCCCTCGTTTACGTTCCATCATGGTTACAACCTCGCAATAGTCGTACACCCTCAAACGCCCTTTCACTGCCGCCGACTGGACCATCTTGTGGAAGTACAGCTGGCGCGTCACTGCCCTCAACGGTATCACCCGGGTTGGACCTGACGAATCAGTCGAATCCGAACGCGGCATCGTCGAAGAGAGAATTGATCCCACTATCTTTGGCGTTCTCTGCAGCCCTCCCGTTTCGCGCCTCTTTCCGAGGTTACGCAAGCTCGCATGCGCAGATGTTCATGCTCGCGATCCGCTGGCATTCTTTCGGTCCTTGCTTGTTCCGTCGATTACGGAGTTGAGTTTTTTCAACAGTCGCGTGCCTATGGATGTATGCACCCAAAGCCTCATCTCCCTTTTGCCGAGCATCTGCCCTGCAGTACAACGTTTCTCCTGGCTGGGCTTACCCTCCTCTCCTGCTAAATGGCCTGACGTTCTCTCTGCCGCTGCCTGTCACTGGGGCCGCCTCACGCATCTGAGGTGTTTGGTTCTGAATAGCAGCGCTTTGCAACATCTGTCTTTGTCGAGATTCCTCCAAGAACTAGACGTGACCCTCGAGGGCCATTTCCCGGACGACTTGAGTCTCGGTCCCGAGGCGTTCCCAGTTATTAGGACTTTGCGTTTATCGAGCCCCCGTGGCAAATCTCTCGCTATCATCTCGACATTGTTGAGGAGATCGAGGTTCTCGCCCACTAACCTGGCACTCTTTGCGGATACGGCCAACGACGGTGCAATAGCTGAGCTCATCGAGGTCATCTCAGCACACTGCTGTCGATCTGTCCTTAGGTACCTGGAACTTACGGAACGGAACGACATATTGCCGCACCACCCAGCTCTGGCATCTATGACACGATTGACACTCCTCCCTTTGTTCCATTTTACCGCTCTTACGCACCTCAAAATCTCTACCGGCCATCTCGTTGCGCTCGATGACCAAGACATACTCAAGATCGCCGGCGCGTTCGAGGATCTTCAAGAACTTCATATCAACGACGGCTATGGCTGGGGACCTCATTCACGCATCTCTTTACGCTGTCTACGAGCGCTCCTCGCTCGCGCACCAAACTTGAAGAGTCTCGCTGTTGCTATCGACGGCGAGCACCCGCTGCTGAACATAATCGAATACGCCGTCCCTACCAACGAGGCGACATTCAGATCGCCGCACGTGGCCTCTGGTGATTTCTCTCTCAACCTACTAGACTCGCGGGTGACCAGCGACAATCTTGTAAACGTTGCGGCATTTCTCTCCGATCTCTTTCCTAACGTGGTTGGTTTCGGTGCTTCCCCTATAACGGTTCCGCGACGGGACGGGAAGCAATATCAGCGATGGAGGTACGTTATGGCGATGATGAACGTCATGAGTCAGGTGAGAAGGCAGGAGAAGGCCCGGTGGACGAGGAACCCACAGCTGTGAGATGGTCGGTTGCTCGTTGGTCAGTGGACCAAGGGCCCGCCGGTTTCTGAACACGTCATCGAATGTACATTACTTTTCTGTCGATTGGGGCCACTGTATCATTATATAGAGCCTCAGCATTTGTCTCGCACTTGTATCTGATTCGCAAACGAATATACTGTGACATAGTCCAACTTTTCTGCGTACGTCCCTGCGCGGTCCCAAGCATGAGTGATGTCCATCGAACGGTTTATCCGTGGGAAACGGCTCTTTGCATTAGGGCAGGGTTTTGGCCTTTAGTGACGATTGTAGGGCTATCAATTCACGTCGTTCATCAGCTTTTGTTTTCATGAATTCCGAAAGCTGAAAAGGTGAGTTGGCAGTAACCTTCTCTACGAATATGTCTGATCAAATCCTTGATCAAGTCTCTTCAACTCGTATACGTGAAACTTGTAGCTCTTTGAGAGCATGGGTTCCGACACACCACCATACACTCTGACTCCACCCATCTTCCTCCTACCGGACGAAATACTCCACGACATCTTTCTTGCATGTGCGGAATGGTGTTTTCAAACAGACACCCAGACCAACATCTGGCCTTTTGGCGCCCAACGCTCACCTAGCTGGCGTACGCACGTTCACTGCTGCGTTACCCTATGCTGGGAATGGTCCCGTGTCATGCTGGTTTGCCGTCGCTGGCATCGGATCATAATGAGCAGAGGTCAACTTTGGAGTAACCTTGCGTTCTTATCCAGAAAAAGCTCCCGCGTTGAGAGATGCTCTCCCGCGTAGGCGACGCCCCCATTATCGTCGCTCTTCACGGTCGATCCCTGGTTCATCGAGCTTCTACGTTCGTCTAAGGGATACACGCAATGTCGTCAGCTTCTCATCAAGTTCGTCGCCTACGACAAGCCCGGTCTCCATGGACTTATCGAGCACTTGCCTCACTCTGCCCCCTGCATTGAAGTGTTTGCACTGTCCTCTCATGCAGGCATGGACACCCACCTTGCGCTTGCGTGTCTTCCCGAGGCGCTGCTCCGAGGCGCACCGCGCTTGCGCACGCTCGCGTTAGAAAACTGCACAATCGAGACTTGGACGTCCTTCCCTTTGCCATGGCTTAACGACATTGATCATTGACGAGATTGCTGGTGCTCGCAATGCCTGTCCCACCACCTCAGACGCTCTAGCACTGCTGAAGCAAACACCACAGCTTCAAACTCTCGTACTGTGGTGTCTTAGCCGACAGGAAGAGCGCAGCCCCGGCGCGACGGATGTAGTAACACTCCATGCGTTATCAAGGATCGGGCTCGGTGGTACAGGCACGCAAGCCCTAGACGTTTTGGATTGCCTTCGTATTCCAAGGGAAGCGATAATAGACTTGCGGATGAATAGCCTTGGGTCTGCAAACGAGGTTCCATTGAGGTTGACAAACTCGCTACGGGGACGTTACCGTAAATCACCCACAGTCTCGTCGGCAGACCCGACTGCTCTTCAGGACATAGGGGCTCCGCCAGTTCTCCGCAGAATCTGGCTCTCCTGCATGATGGACTGGATCGCTGTCACAGGCTCCGTGCGGCCCGCCACGCGCGACTCCGCGAACGTAGAGTCGTTTAACGACGACAAAGACCATCACATCCACATCGCTCTCAAGGTCAGCATATATAATCACCCTGAGGTTGTCCCAAAGGTGTTCCATTCCTTGCCAGTCAATTCCATCACGTCCCTTTCTCTTGCGGGCCTTCGCTTTCAAGATGTTCACTCATCCCACTGGGAGACGCTGTGGGCCGCCGTGCCCGCCCTACGCGTTCTGCACGTTGCAAGCCTGTCACTCGCGAGTACTTACACATTCATCATTTCCTTCTCGAAAAAAGACTGTTTTTGCGAACAACTAGCGGAAATCACACTTGATAACATGCAGTTTTCGGTGGCATCGCGTGCTCTACTTCGCATATTCTTAAAGGCGCGCACGGAACGGGGCAGCCGTCTACAGCTCTTGAAGTTCATACAATGCTGGGGTTTGGCTGAAGAGGATGTAAAACAGATGAGAAATGACAAAACGGTTGCAGGAATAATCTGGGAAGAGGTCATAAAAGACGATGATGAATGTACTGATCCTGGTTACCCTCTATTTGACTGAGGCGTTAAGTTGTCCCTAGACCATCTTATGATCCACCGTGCTGTATCAATAACACGTACTGGTAGATAGCACTCAAGGACACGGATTAGGTTTATCGATTGGTCACCATGCTGGTCGGATTTCTTCGGCGAAGAGGTACGTGAAGAACTATCACTATACACAGGCAAAGCTGATTTTATATCCGAGCTCAATCTACGTATAAAGCCTCTCCTGCGTATGGCTGTGGTTGAGGTTTCGTGCACTGAGGACAAATCTTCCACAGATTATTATTGAGTATGCCATTAGAAAAGCGTTAGTGATGTTGAGGTATTTTGAGTACAAGCGGGTCGACACGGTATGAGTGAGCTCTATGCGAGCTGGGGTCCTCAATAGCTGCACTATGATTACTTACAGGTAAGCCAAAGTACATCCCAGTTGCTATGGCGCAACCAGCGAAATATCTGAAAGAAAATGCAACGGTGAGACTTATGGTATCTGATGACCAACTTGAACAGATGTAGCTCACAGCACGAAATACACGATACTATACTTAAGCAACATTTTCACCGTCAAGCCAATGCTCGTCGCCTTCCACTCCCGCTTGACACTGCCCAAGCGCTTGAACACTGCGAACAGCGCAAGAGAAAACATGATGAGCTCGTAGCAGAATATCGGCGCGTATATGGCCGTCAAGAGCGTTCCTATGCTAGAGAAGGCGCACATCCTCCAAACTGACGGGTAAAATTCTGGGCCAAGTGGTAGATTGGTGTATGCAACACTGTGCAGCCATACAAACAGAGCAGCCATTATGCCTGCAATCTCTGCTGGCAGGAGTCCGAGCGTTGTAACGAGAATCTTCTTTGAGTTGCTATACATAACGCAAAGTCGTATCAGCATGATTACTATCGTGGAGATGGGTCAGGAGTGCAGCGGTGCAGAAGAGGATAGTGGGACATACCTTGGTTTGACCATACGGAGACGAATGGCCCGAAAACAGTGACTAGATCAAGAATTTTGCCTAACGTTAAAATTAGTTAATGAAATATTATAAGCGTTGTATTTGACGTACACCTAGAAAATGTGGGAAATAAGCTTGGAAGTTAGTAAAGACATGTGAGATCGTGGCTCCAGGTTCACATCTATAAGCCATAACAAGGCTTTCAACTCGGAAATTGGAGTGAACTAAATGTGAATTTACAGTCACTGAGAACGAAGTGCGGAATGATACTAAGGGAGATAAAAGCAAATCCGAGTCAGCGGTGCAGCGCCACTTGTGGCCAAACAAATTCCGCGCTCACGTAGACTATTGACGCTTCGTACAAGGTCAGCACGTGTTGCAACGAAAAGAAACCAAATCATCTATCACTTACATCATGACTCCGCCTCCAATGTATCGATTCTATGAGGTTGTCATGTGTCAGACACTAAGCATCATGCGCACGACATAAACAGCTTACCACAAAGTAGAAGAAAGTCACTACGGAAAATTTCCTTCCCTAGGTATATTTCCGAGGTCAGTACAAGTATGCTGAAGATCGTGCATGATGAGAAACTTACCCACATGATACGAATCTCGAGGCACATTAGATACATATCATAAACTGGTTAACCATAGCGTCCACCTCATCGTCGAAGGTCAAGACTGGTGAAACATAGACATCGGTCACGGTATTAGTATATGATAACGAAGAATAGAACCGACCATGGTCATATATGATGATAAGGGTAGCAGCAACTGTAAATTTCGAAGCGTGAGCTGACCTTGTATGAGCGCATGCGAGAGCAGACCTACCCTGGCCGAACCCGGTCAGTTGCAGGGTTCGCGCAGTATGGAAGACAGAGCTAAGCATTTCTCGCTCTTGCTGTAAAGCTATCACTATAATAGTGCTGAAGGACATTCAGAGGAAGGAGAAAAGAAGGACACGGCGCGTTGTCCCAAGCATCTTCCGCACTCTTGATATTAAGTCCGTTGGCACTGATCCAGCCTCGTAGAGTTTATCACGGATAGCATGACACATGATGTGATTCTGATATAGATGCACCGGTGCGATTCCGAGAAACCTTATGACCATGTTTTGAGTGACGGCTTCGGCCGCCGCTAACCACGAAAGCCCTCGGTTTCAACGTCGATGCTTCCGATTGGTTCTTTTGGAAGTGCAAAGTGGGAAGCTGTACAAAATGATGTCCTTGAAACGACTTCTAAGCCTGTGCTATTGGAATTCCGTGCCTTCATCAATGATTGTGCTCACTGCTCATCGCATTCGTACTCACCGCAATCTAACACTATACGTGTCTACAAAATTAATGTCAACAGCATTCATACTGGACGGGAACAACATACATGACGGTCGGAAGATACCGATGGACGTGATATGAAGACATAGCCAAAAGTTATTCAGGATAGCCAATCATATCAGATTCCGGGATGGGGATTGTGCCACAGCGAAACAAGGCAAAGAGGACATAGGATACTGCGAAGGTCTGGACAACTGATACGAGGCCACCGGAGTGCGGCCCGACCCGACAGAACCACTCAAAGGTGATGTAAAATGTTCGCGGATACGTGAAGTCATGTCGAGCTGTTCGCTTGGCGTCAGTAATTTGCTATGCAATCCGATCGTGACATCCTCTGGACGAAGGCCCTGTACTTCTGAGGAATAGTTGAACCTTCGTGCGCTGAGGACTATGTGGCTTCCAAGCAGTCATCAGTAACATCGTCGGCGACTTGGCGACTTGTGAGTCTTGGCAAAAGATTGCCCAGTCACACAATGTCACACCCATGCGCGAAATCATGTTCTATGTAACTTTGAGGTCAGTTTTTAGCCACAGTGCGGCTGTGTACACTAACCATTAGTTCTTCCTGCAACGAGGCATTTTTGAACCAGGGAATTGCACGGGAATGTCGATTCGAGTGGACTCGGCTACTCAGTGACATGCGTTATTTATGTGACATGTCACGGATTTAATCACGTTTTGAGAGTAAACTTTTCAAATTTTCTTACTTTCTGGTCGGCTTTCGGCCTGTCCGGACTTTCGGGGCTTGTACAAGCTTGCACAAGCTTGTTCAAGCTCCGACCAGTCGGCTGTAAGGTTCCTGATGCAGAACAGACGCGGACATGAGAAATGCATCGAGTGTTACGATCTGTTTATTTCACTCTTCGTATCTGGACATCTACTAGTATCAGCAACTGGACACTTCTAGTAGATTCGATTTCATTCTATCTTTTTCCTTGTAATATCTTGGATTCCTTACGAATCCTACCGGCTTGATTACGAACCACAAGTCCTTATGACTTGTTTTCTTTATCAGCGCATTGTATTAGGATTAGCAATAATATGAATCCTGATGATTCATATTACTTCTTTCTCAGTCAGCGACTGACTGATTTCTTAGCAATCACTGTAAGATCTTACGAATCACAGTGTCATTGCAACTTGGTAAGCAACTAGTAGAAAGGTATATAAACTCGCATGTACGAGGCCCAAAAGCCTCAGACTAGTTCTACCTCTATTACTACAGACAATCGTTCTCACTCTAAGATCGTAGTCGCGGACTACCGATAGTAAGATAACACGAAAGATAAGATAGTAAAACCTAAGAGATCAGTTCTCTTCGAACCTCATACGCAAGGCGTATTATCAGATTCTTATCAGAACATCGAGATAGTAATCTACGAGGTTCCGAACCCTAACATCGAGAAGGTTAATGTATGTCGACTTGTCGTGGAGGTTGATAAAAGTGAGCAAGTGGTTTGTATACCGGAGGAAAACCTTGAGTAGCTCACAGGTAAACCAAGGTACATGCCGGTGGCCACCGTGCAGGCTATAATATACCTAAAGTATGGGATAAAAGTGAGTCACTTCATCGTAAATCAGAGATTATGTACGATGTACAACTTACACCAAGAAATACACCACACTGTACTTTAAAAGCATCATCACCAGTTCCCTGAACCTATTCATCTTCGACGATTCCTGGCTGATGCCACCCAGCCGTCGAAAAACAGCAAAAAGCGCAAGGAGGAACATGACCACCTCGTAACAGAAGATGGGCACGTAAACTGCTGTTATCGACCTGTTCGGTAGTGGCATAGCGCACATGTGCCATGAGTCAAAAATAGATCTGAGGGGCTGATTTGTGTACGTGATGTCGCGTAGACACATAGCCAAAACAACTGCTATAGCTGTGACCTCTGCCGTGAAGAGAATGAGCGTAAACAGAAGGAGTCTCTTTGACTTATTATACATGGCATAGAGACGCAGCTGCATGATCACTGTGAAAAGATGTAGTTATCCGCATTGTAGCTATCTACAGGTTACGCACGTTGGGCTGCCCATACACACAAGTAAGCGCCGAAGATTGCGATTAATTGAATAACCTTGCCTGAAGAATAACTGTGAGGAACTTTCAATATAGCCAGATATTTGCTCACAGCTTTATGGTCGAACACCCATGTTTCGAGGGAAACTCAGCGGGAACTTGGCAATAAACAAAAGGTTTCTTACGTCTAGAGTATCATAAGATGGTGATATTGAGTGTTAAAATAATGTGACAATATTGCTTACATAGACCGTGAACGTTGTGTTAACATAGGCTGCGTCAGAGCGGTGTTAATTTAAGCTAACTTTGAATAGCTTCACGGCTCACATAGCGCATTAAAGCTGCACATCGCCTGAACACATTTGACGACGATAAAAAAATGGACAACTCACAAGAGAACCGCATCACCCAAGTATCGAATCTAGTTGTGGTCTTTATGCTGTTAGGATACCCGGATTGCAAAAACTTACCATGAGGTAAAAGAATGTCACAGGAGAGAAATGCCTTCTCTTGAGAAACGATTCAACTCTGCTGCCCATACTAGCCCTGAGGATTGGATCACTAACCCAAACAAGTTGGACCTGGATGAGCTAATTAGCAATCAGATGTATGCGGCAGTGGTCGTGGTTACTCGTCTCATCTCCCAAGCTTAGAGCTGGAACACAGATGAGCGCCTCATAGTTAAATTATGGAGAGTACTACTGACCATGGTCGTATAACGTGACAGCGACAGCTGCGACTATTTGTTGTCTGATGATCAGCGTGTTTCTCCGTCATAACGAAGGCTGACCTTGGCAGAATCTGGTTGTTTGTAAGATACGGATAGTTTGAAGTAGTACTTCGAGCCCTTCCTCTCCCGATTGTAACCGTAAGTGGGCCATCTTGTACTGCGTGCTCAGATGGTTGAAACTGTTGGAGAGAGATGAGAAAGCGGCGGAACACTCTTCTAGGGCTCCGAGTCACGGGAAGGCTGATGTAGACTATATAAGAGCAGTTGGACCTTCACAGGCGCATGCAGGCCGCCTCTTTCTGACGAAGGCGGTGCATTAAGGAGCTTTGGTTGGGTAGAGCCGGTAATAACGGTACTATACTGCAGGCGCTTAGCATCGACTCACCAAATCACCTCAGGTACATGGTACTGAAGACTCGACACTCACACACTAATTTGAGAATCTTGATCATTCATTGTTCCTTCGTTGACCAGATGAATTCGTGATTCTACCCACAGAAGAGGAGTGAGATGAGCACACGCACTGACGTTCCTGGAAAAGGTATCCAAATTCGGGTCTTGTGCCATGAGAAGTATACGGAATTAGCCCTTGCTAACGAGGTACATGACCGAAAATATCACCGCAGTTTGTGCAGAGAATAAGATCTCATTCTCCAACGAAGACGGGGATCAATCTAGGGCATACTTACGCACGCGACATCCGCACGCATAGCCGGAGCTCTGCTATTGACTAGTCAATGTAGCCCAATCGACATTTAGGCAAAGGCTTGCCCGAGTAACTGTTGTGCAGTTGGGACGCATTGAATCTTTGTGGTTCCGCTTGACAAAGTGAATATACACTGAAATGAATTAGATCGTGATTCAGCATAGCTTCCGCAGCGGGGCGAGGGTTAGAAGGCCCAGGCTATTGGAGCATATGTAGAGAGGAATGGGCTAATACTTTCACAACTCCGCTGCAACCTCAGACACCCAGGATACCCTGGTTTTGGACGCAGCATGAGTCCGCAGCATGAAGTTATGCTGTGAGCGTTGATTCCAAGAGTGTTGGACAATACCTTGAGTGTATGAGGGTGAGCTGAAGGCCGCATTTTCTATCAGAATTCAGGGCTCTGAACGGTATATTATTAGATATCGTCCAGTAAGACAGATCCAGGGCGGGCATCATAGTGAGTCTTTTCCTTCTCTGCCTGATGCCATCTGCGCCGCATATGGATTCCCTAGCGGTGAACCACGCTCAGGTTAGATTCCTCGTCAGATTCCACAGGAAAAGGCTCAAGGAACGTACGGGATCCCCAGGACGGTACTGGTGCCATGGGCATCTCCGGCCTCTCCTGTGCCCCTGGCTGACTATCTTGTGCCGCCTCTCCTCCAGCCAACTCAACTCCGCCAGTAAACTGAGGCGGCGGGTAAGGCGGAGGGGCGTATTGCGATGGTATTGGAGGAGCCGTTCCATTTGCTCCCCCGCCATCTCCGCTGTTACCGCTGTGGGCGACTTGATCGAACAATCGTCTTCGATAACCATCGAGCTCCCCGCGTGCATGGCTAAGCGCGTTAGAGGCTTGGAGGAGATCGTTACCGATGACGTCGGCCCGACTGCGTGAACTTGAAAGCTGGTGCGTCAGCTAGAAAAGTAACATGTGTGCGTGTGCAAGTTAGCCACGGAAAGATAGGAGTTAGGGAAATGCGCACGAATTGACGAGCTTCTTGAAGCTGGTTTGTCGCCATCTCAATCTTGTCTGATTCGCCACGAATGAGGACGAGAGAATCCAAGACATGGGAGGAACTCACGGTGAGCATTCATGTCGGTGATGATGTTATCAAAGAATATGTCCATTGTTGACGAGCTGTGTCGCAGATGACTATGTCGCTTCATGGCGGAGGTAAAGGTGACCACACTCACATCTGTGGGATTTGCAATCCCGGGATTGGTTGCACATCGTCCGGTGAGTTCGCGTGTATGATCGCCTGATGCACCAACATGTCTGCTTGGCCTGCGTAGCTCGTCGCCGTACTGACCGCATTGCGTTCCATCATATCCGCTCCAACCCCACCGCCCCACATGTCCCAAGTCGAGTATGATAAGGCCTGCTGCATCTCCTGCTGAGCGCGAGCGCTGAGGTCGTAAGCACGAGAAAGCAGGTCAACGACTTGCGACTCGCTGTTAAGACACAGCTGGATCTGGTCATAACGCTGCTGAGCTTGGTGAACGGCGCGTTCGAGTTGGTCATCGAGAGGGAACTCTGAGAAACTGATCAACGGAAATAGCGGACGAGACGAAGTGAGCCAAGAAACCTGAGGTAGGACCGTCAAAGATCGATTTGTAGAGGTGATCAAGTTGCGCCTTCAGCTCGCTGTGACGGGACGCTTCGGCGGTGAGGTTCCTTAACTAAGGCAATGGCACTGAAGCTCAGACAGTCGCTCAGACGTAATGATCAGCAGGCTTACGCACAACTTCGTTGCCCTCATCTAGTATCTTCTTGAACAGCTCTGCTTCCTCCTTCGCCCTCATCTCCTTCTCTAGCGCTTCCACGAACTCCCTAGGAAGATATTAGTTGAAATGCCTTTTGTACTCAGAACATGTGAAAAGTGCGCACCTGTGCTCTTTTTCAACACGCTGGTCATACTTGTTCCCCTGGCCACCCACACGATACGCGAACTTCCTGTGCGTGAACGCGATGAGCACAGGTATGCAGTGGAATGCATATGGTACCTTTACCATACCTGATCTTACTTTCTGAAACCTCCTTATGCTCCTTCTTCTCTTTCTTCGTAGTCTTCTCGAGCTCCTGAATGTTCTTCGTAACCACCTCTAGCTGCGTGTTAAGCCCTCGAATGTACTCCTGCTGGCTCTGGAGAGCCTTGGGCGCGTAATCGAGGGCTCCAATCAGGCGAATGAGGTCGTCGTGATGCGACACACTACTACGAATTGTGTCTGTGGTTGACATGTAGTATCAAGCTTTCGGTAGAGTTTTGCCTAAGCAGGGGCTGGCAGGTGGGTGGTGCGATGAAAGCGAAGTACGGTCTGAGATGGCCATCTGGGATGAAGAGGATAGTTTATGTAAGTTTTAGGCTGAGGCTGTGGTGGGTGAACAGTGGCCTTCCATGGAAGATGGTGGCGACGTCGTGGTCAGAAGGCGATAAGTGCTCGGTAACTTTCGGCGGGACTACCATGTCAGGCATTTGCCGACATATATAACTCAAGCTGCCGTCGGTACATATTGTCAGCGATGTTGCCAAGACATGGATGCATAGCCCTCTACAGCATCTCCAGCATGCGACAAACCCGAGACTCATTTGTTCATGCTCCAGCTCAAAGTAGCGTTGTACTGAATATGTTACGACTAAATAAATCCAATAGCCCCTATTCCCCATTACATCACTTCCAGCCCGAGGTCCTGCTATGTTATTGTATGTATTTCACGACATAGACTCGAGGCAACACTCTGTATCCGTAGATTTCCTGGTTCATGTATCTGAGAGAGTCGCCTGCCAATCGAGTGACGGAACGTAGTTGCACCGAGTCTATCCTACTAATATTATGACGATGTGAGTGTAATTACCAACGGAGAACAGGCACGTACTTGTCCCATTCCACATTGCAATGGCAATTGAGCAACCGAAGCACATGAGCCTGAGGAGGCCAAAGAGTGGGAAGCTCTGCAAGAGTGAGCCGCAAATTTGGCTGAAGGCGGACTCGGAGGAATTGCCGGCCCCGCGCAAGATGACCTCGGAGGTACAATCGAGTGGCGTGGCGAGCCTGGCAGAGACATCATTTCAAATCGATTTCCATCGATGAATGCCATTGGGACTTGGCTCTCGCGAAGAATAACTCCGCTCGTGTCGAGGCGTTCGACACCAGGACCAGCAGGATTGAATTTTCGTGCGCTGAGAACCATGTGGCTTCCAAGGAGAACTGATGCGGTCATGAGGAACACATCGAGAAGGTTAATGTAGTCTGCCTGGATGTATTGATATCAAGCCAATCAATTAAGTAGATGCAGCTAAAAAATTCGCTTACTGGGAGTCCAAGGTACATCCCCGTCGCAACAGCGCAGGCTATCACATATCTGCGCTTGACTTCAGTCCGAGCGTGTATATATGGGTAATGGAGTGGGCTTACACCAAGAAGTATGCAACGCTATGTCTGAACAACATATTGACCGTCGCGTGTAGCCTGTTCACCTTTGAATCTTTCCCAATACCACCTAGCCGCCGAAAGACTGCGAACATTGCCAGCACAAGCATGACAACTTCGTAGCAAAAGATTGGTAAATAAACCGCTGTTATCGACTTGACGGGGCCAGGCATGGAGCACATGTGCCACGAAGAGAGCACAGGCGCGAGGGGTTCGTTCTCGTAGGTAGTTTGGCGAAGATACATGGCAAATACGGCCGACATGCCTGTGACCTCCGCCGCATAGAGAATGAAGGTGAAACCAAACATCCTACACGAGTTTCCGTACATTGCATACAGACTCAATTGCATGATCACTTCGACGAGCTTAGCTGATTTTCTTTTGCACTGAGTAGTCCAAGAAATAACTCACGCTGAGTAGCCCATACACACACAAACGTGCCATAGATTGCCGCCAGCTGGAGTACCTTACCTAAATCAAATATTGCTGGTGAGCTCAGTGTGAAAACCGACAGCTAGCAAACTTGCAACTGCATGTTATTGTATGGTCCGAAGCGCGTCAATTCCGAGTCAATCGAATGAGGACTTGAATGGGAGCTTACGTCTATGTAACCGTTAGGATTTACTCTCAGCGTCAAGACAGAATATGGACTCACATCCACGGAGAAAGTTGTCGTAACATATGCTGAGGACATTGTCATGCGAGTGTTTATCGAAACGTGTTCTCAACTTACATAGGGCATTAAGGCTTCGAACAAGTCAAGGTCAGCAAAACGAGGCTGCGTCTCTACCACTTACACAAGCACGACGTCGCCCAGATATCGAATCTAAAAGCAAGTTTGTAAAATGTCGTTTCGAAAACATAAAGGGCCTACCAAGAAGTAAAGAAATGTTACTGGAGAAAACGGCCTTCCCTTCAGACGAGGAGTTGAGTCTGAGTAGTAAAACATTAAGAAGAATGATACAAACCCATACGAGTCGAATCTATAGGAACGTTCAATAGATTAGTGCACAACACACGGCGTGAAACGGTACGTACTTCACGTCCAATACTGAGAGCTGCGAGAGATTCAAGATGAGTTATGAGTCTGGCATATCGTGGGCTGAATGTCTCACTGTGATCATAAATGGTGACCGCCGCCGCGACGACTAGTAAGGACAACGCGGGGGTTAATTCATCGAGATCAAGAGCAAAAACACAGATGCCTTGCCTTGACAATACCTAGTTGCTTCAAAGACTCGAACAGTCTGAAGTAATGTTTGAAGCGCTCGCTGCTCTTGTTCCAGCGGCAAGCTCGACATCCTTGCACTGTCGAGAAAATTTGCTCTACGGAGAGACCAGGGGAAGGGCAGATTCACTCGGTGCTGCAAGCCATACCCTTCATGTATGTGCACGAGAACAGCCCGGTTGGATGATGGGACTACAGCCTGAGAACTTGCAGATGATCCTGAGATATTGTTCGTCTCTGCCCCGTTCCAATGATGGGAAACATAGCACCTAGTGAGCGGTGTTAGCATGTCATGGTACTTTCCTGGATAAATCCCAAGCACTTGAGTGCGGAACCGACTGAATCTAAACATTCGGAACGTGGTCATAACGTGGATGAACGTAACGTGAGATGCTACTCCGCATAAAATGTTGCGCAATGGGGTCGGATATTCTTATATGCATTTGGATCAGTGTCGCGCATGGCACTAACAACATCATGCTGATCCCGCTGCCTTCTTGTCTGATGCCGCCAATCTAGCATATGGATTCCCTGGCAATGGATAACTTGGATGAAATCGATACTGTTGGACTCGATTAAGTACAGATTCAAAGATGACTCACATAACCCCGGTAGGTTCTCTGCTCCTCAGGATGCACCACTGCTACTTCGAGCAACCGTGACTTGATAACCGTCTGGAATCCGTATCGAGTCTCGCGAGCGCCTGGAGCAACGTGTGTAATTTTGGGGTAGGTTATCATGAGGGACAGACGAGGCGTAGATTTTGGTAGGTGCTTGCCAAGGAAGTCACCCACTTGCTTCAAGCGTAGGTAGTGAGTGAGACGACGAGAGAAGACATAGAGAACAGGGGCTTGACCCCATTGGCATGGGGCTGTGCAATACTGGTTCAAAACGGGTAACCTGGCCCTTTTTTGCCCGTTGACAAGAGTCGGGGGAGGATCCGCGTCGTGTTTGCTGCCGTCCGCGTCGTCCATCCTGCGCGCGCACTCTAGACGCTAGGTTGAAATGCATCGTGTCTTACTCATCAACGAGATCATCCTCCATATTTCTCGCCATGTACCGTCCAACAAGGATCTTTCGGTACTCGCCAGAGTCTGCCGGCCATTCAGCGAACCCGCTCTCGACGTTCTGTGGTCAACTCTGGGCTCTCTCATTCCTCTCCTAAGGTGCCTGCCCGGCAACCTGGTTGGCATTATAAGGGACAAGGGTAACATAGTAAGTGATGTTTCAAGTCTTCTGTGGTACGCAGCAGATTCAAGTCATCCCTGCTCAGGTGTACATCCTCAAACGTCCCTTTTCTCGCGCCGACTGGAACGTCGTCCTAAAATATGCTCGCCGTCTCGTACACCTTCAAGGAATCGCGAACAGCGCGCACGCTGGCAGGGCGTACATCAACACTCGCTGTCTGATTGATAGGACCATCTTGAACGTTCTTGGCGATGCTCCAACGACACGACTTTTCCCAAAACTTCGAAAGCTGACGAATATATATATACCTGGCCTAGACACTATGCGGTTCTTTCGATCTCTGCTCGGGCCATCATTGACGCACCTAGAAGTCAAGGCTTTTGGACCGCCCTTGAATGCACATGTTCTGAGCTTCGTCGCTTCCATTGGAGACATCTGTCCCTCGATGCGTCATTTCAGCTGGCAAAATAGCGTCAATCTTTCGAAGCCTGTGGTGGATAGTTTCGCTGAAGCGGTATGCTCATGGAGTAACATCACGCATATCACATGTCCTGTGCTTGATAGTGCAGCATTATACCGCCTTTCATCCCATACCAGTCTTCGCGAACTTTCTTCCGCTCTTTCTGGGCCTTTCCCGGACTATCTAGAACCTAGAGCCGCCGCTTTTCCTTCCCTCACGTGGCTTGCTTTGACGACCCCACCGGACCAGTCCCTTGCTACAGTCACGAGTTGCTTGAAGAAAATGGACATTTCGCCCGCTCGCCTCACCTTCTCTGCTAGCTTGGCTGAAAAGCGTTCGCTAGTCGATCTTCTACGGGCAGTCTCAACACGTTGCTGCGCCCAAAACCTGACCTCTCTTGGCGTTAGCGAATGCAATGCACTCAAAGACAGCGACGATGCGACACAGTTCGCTATAACCTTTTCAGCTTTCCGTCCCATACTGTGCCTAAACAACCTCACTTCTCTCGTGATCGACACGTATCGGGACATTCGGCTTGACGATGACGATCTTCTCGAGATGGCCAAGGCATGGCCCAATCTCCAAGACCTTACTCTCAGCTCGCACTGGGGCTGGAACATCCGTTCACTCGTCACACTGTATGGTCTTCGCAGTTTCATAGCCAGGTTGCCAAGATTAGGGTATCTTTCTGTCTCCATTGACGCCGAGCGTCCCCTTCTAACCGAGTCATATCTCGAGAAGGATGCGGACGCGACAACGTTTGAGAGCACTCGGTGCACTTCTAGGGTTTTTGGCTTGAATTTGTTGGACTCTCACATCGGGGCCGATAACATACTCATTGTTGCCGCATTTTTATCTGACTTGTTTCCGAACACAGATGCAATCCAAACTTTCGGCAATGATCCAGTACAGGAAGAGCGGTGGGAGAATGTGCGGAGGACAATGTCAGTCTTGCGTCAGGTCAGGAGGCAGGAGAAGGCTCGGTGGACAGGAGATCCGAGTTTGAGCCATGAATAAGGGTATCGTTGACGTCAGGTCTTATTGCATGGACTTGTTGCCTAATTGCTCATTACTGTTATGAGATCTGTTCGAATGCATGGGCGACTATCATCGATTCGCAGTTTTCAACAGCGGTGTAGAAAAGCTATGTTTCACTGCTATGTCTATTTCATGGAGTGTGGTCCACCGCCGAGTAAGCAGCAAACTACAAAGAATGTGATGGATTCAGACTAGTTCAAGAACTGTGTTGCAGAATTAGGAGAAGCAACATCGGAGAACTCATCGTCCACAGTAGCTAGAGAAGAAGAAAACGGCGAGTGGACTCGTTCACACTCCACATCATGACGCAAGGGTGACTGTGCCACCGAAGCGCACGATACCGACGATGTGGGGAACTGCGAGGGTCTGAACGGGTGATAGGGATAAGAAACTGCGGGGGAGTGCACTGTTCCGAGCGCGTGCGCCGAGCACGAGAATGAGGCGAACGAAGTTGTCGGGGCGAACGTGGGAGGTACTATGGTTGTACTCGTCATCTCGAATGGCTGATTCACAGCGGCTGCTGGTGTCTTCCCCGAGCCGACGGTCCTATAGCACAGGTTGGACGCGTTCGCGCTCACTTCAGGTGTGGGGCTGAAGCCTCGTGCGCCTAGGACCATGTGACTCCCTAGGAGCACGGAGATGGCCATAAGAAACACGTTGAGGACGTCGATGTATGTCGGCTGTCCGTAGACGTCAGATAAGGAAGTGAAAGAAAATGGAAGCCAGATTTAGACGATACAAGAAACTTACAGGTAATCCGAGATACATCCCGATCGCAACTGCGCAGGCAATGAAGTACCTAAGGTTGGAACTCAGCAAGGAGACACCTTTCCGATCTGAGAAATAGAAACGGTCTTACACCGCAAAGTAAACGATACTGTACTTGAACAGCATATTCACCGTCGCCTGCAGCCTCGTCCTCGACTGGACTGCAGCACCGATACCACCAAGCTTGTGAAACACGGCGAAGAGCGCCAGTCCGAACATGACCATCTCATATGCGAATATGGGCACATAGATGGCGGTGAGAGACCTGTTCGGGCTGGATGTCGCGCACATGTGCCAAGAGTCGATCCACGGGGCAAAGGGACGGTTGTTGTAGGTGATGATGCGCATCCATATCACAATGACGGTCACCGTGCCAGCCATCTCGAGGAGGAGAAGCGTAAGCGTGAAGGAAAGAATTCGTTTGCTGTTGCTGTACATTGCGTATAGGCGTAGCTGCATGATGACTTATCGTGGCATTTAGTTAGCTGTGTTTATGCGATCGGCATCTTTTGAACACGCACGCTGAGTGGACCATATAGATATAAAGGGACCAAAACAGGCTATTAGCTGGAAGATTTTGCCTGAGAGACGATGTGAGTTACGGTATATTATTTGCTGGGATAGAGACCTACAGCTACACAGAGACACGCGAGTCGTTTCAGCGCTAACCATGAGGAGATTACAAGAGGCCCTTACGTCTGTACTTGCTGTCAGACTAAAGTTGAAGCATGAGCAGACTTCGTCACTTACTTGTACTGAGAAGGACGTATTTGTAAACACTGCGACAAGACCGTTAGTCGATTCCTCCTATAAACGGTAGGAGATGCTTACGAAGTGCATCGCAGCTATTCATGGAGTTGGTGAGAAACGTGCTTGCTGAGATCAAAATCGACTTGGTTCGCTTACATGATAATGATGCTTCCTACATATCGATTCTATGGCGAATGACTCTCATCAGGCCTACTCACGGAAGCGCAAAACGTACCACGAGGTAGAGAACCGTTACTAGGGAGAATCGTTTCCCCTTATTGACGATGTCAGTTACAAGGGCAGTCAAACATGACCGAGGCACCCACCCATATGTGGCGAATCTGAGAATCGTTCAGCGACAGAGACGTAGCGCTCTTAGAGCAAGGTCATACATACCTCGTTATCAAAGTTGAGGACTGCAGATAGGTGGGAATGAGTTATGATGTAGAAAGAGCGTAACGTTTGATATTTACCATAGTCGTGGATCACAATGACAACTGCAGCGACTAGGCGACTATGGTCATCATCATGCTAACACATTAGAAGTTTGAGCACTGGTACGGAACTTACCTTGACAGAACCTGGTCGCCTGCAACACATCAACAGTCTGAATCAGCGCATCGAACTCCTGCTGCTGCTGCATCGTCGCCATGTTTCCCTGATCCTTGAGAGTGAGAATAAGAGTCAAATATACGAACGGGTGACGGGAACGGAAAGCAAGGGAGATGGGAGATGTGCTCAAGCATTATCGAGCCTGCTGGTACAGCCTATAAGAGTTGGAGATGTATGGCACGGCGGTGATGAACTATGCCTGGATTAAGCCAAACTCAGAAGGAATGTACTAGCGATATGATGAATGTGCAACATGAGTGCCTATAAGATGCCCGATATCAGATATTTTGGACGCACGCTTGTGATGGACAAGTATGATGAGGACTCGTAAGGTATTAGAGCCTTGGGTGTCATAAGAGCACACTACCTATTAGAGAACCGTTTAAATGGATCCGCCCGCGGCTTAGCGTCTGATGGGGGATGTCTGGAACATAAGTGCGTCGGGAGATAGAGGGCGTGCTCTGATCTTCGGGGATTCGTTGTGGCGGTCCGGGGGAAACGGGGGATATTTCCTCGATCAAGAATTTTAGTTCATGGGCTGTGAGGGATGCTGGCGTCAAATGAGATGGTTTGCGGGTAAAAGAACATCTGCTCCATCGCGCCCTGAAACTCCGTCTTGATGGCCTCGAAAGGCCTTGCATCTGTGCGATGGTCAATGATGCCGTGGGTAGAGGTTCATCAGTAGCTCATCGGGCTGAGCAAGTTTCGTTATCGTTCTGCCCATGATATACTGCGACAACGTTGCCTGGCCAAGCCAAACCTGACAAGCTCAGCCTAGACAAGGGTAAACCTTGAAACAATAACAAGAGCAAGGGTTCAAGAATATCAACAGCTGAGTTATAGATAGCATGGGTCTTGCTAGAAATCAGAGATACACAGCTTATCATCGCGAAGCTTTGAGGACGCTCATCACTGATCTTCAAGATGCTAGTGGGTAATCCGAGGCCGGAAGAGCGTTCACATGGCCAAGAGAGGCTGTAGCCAACTGCAACGCACTCGGCATCGTAAAGTCTCGTCGTTTCAAGTCTTATCGTTAAGGAACGCTTTCCAGAACTAGAGAGCTTCTCTTTGGTAGAGGCACCGGCGGGGTGAGAAAGGGGTAGACTGCGGACGCACCGCCCGAGCCAGTGACCTGAGGGGACCGAAGCAAGCAGGCACGTTGGTCCCACACAGGTGAAGGGGTGAGAACAGGGGAAGCAGCCTGGTATCCTCGCAACGGGGCTACCATCGCCATGGTGAACAGCCAATATGTGAATGTGGACTAGATGAGGACAAGGCAACGCGAGCCTGCCGGGAAAAGCGAGCTCGGACATATCTGCTTTAGGCCTGGATTTGTATGACATGATGTGGGAATTTACTGATAGTGGAAATTAGCCGGACCAGTTTAACGCGTCTGGCTGTAAATCTAAGGACAAAAATCCGGGAGCAAACTGGTTCGGGAGCGGGGAGGCAGCTGTCGTATCGAGAACAAAAACAAGACCGCTCTTATAGTCCCTTGCCTCCGTCCTCACTTCCTCTCGCCTCTTCCTTCCACACTTCCTTCCCCAACTTCCCCTCATTCCTCTCCTCACGCAGACATGCCGGACTCGACCAGCCAGACAGTAGAAAAGTCGCAATCCAAGTCCAAGAGTCATGGCTCTTCCCAGGCTCAGCCCGCTCCTCGCAAGGTCAGGTTCAATGTCGGTGAGTCACATACGCGCGTATGTGTATAGAAGAGGCGACTCATGCGCGGCTTGTAGGCACGCAGTACCAGGTCCTCGACGTCGTAGGCGAGGGCGCATATGGCATCGTCTGTTCGGCCGTGCACCGGCCAAGTGGCCGCAAAGTCGCAATCAAGAAGATCATGCCCTTCGATCACTCCATGTTCTGCCTCCGTACCCTCCGAGAGCTCAAACTCCTCAAATTCCTCAGCGAAGCAGGCGTTAGCGAAAACGTGAGTCTATCCTCCCTTCACCCCCGTGTTTCATATTCGTGGCTGCGCGTGCTTACGGCAAGCTCGGGCTAGATCATCTCTATCCTTGACATCGTCAAGCCATCGTCACTTGAGAGCTTCAAAGAGGTCTATCGTGAGTCCGAGCCCCTTCGATCGACAAGGCGTGTCCGACACGAGATGGCTGACACCTCCATTAGTCATTCAGGAACTGATGGAGACTGACATGCACCGCGTCATCCGGACGCAGGACCTCTCGGACGACCACGCCCAGTACTTCGTTTATCAGACTCTCCGCGCGCTCAAAGCCCTGCACTCGGCCGATGTCATCCACCGCGATCTAAAACCCTCCAACTTGCTGCTCAACGCCAACTGCGACCTCAAGGTGTGCGACTTCGGCCTTGCGCGCTCCGTCAAGACCGCCGAGCCGTCGGGCACCGAGACGGGCTTCATGACCGAATACGTCGCGACGCGGTGGTACCGCGCGCCCGAGATCATGCTCACGTTCAAGCAGTATACCAAAGCGATCGATGTCTGGTCTGTCGGATGTATTCTCGCCGAGATGCTCTCGGGCAAGCCACTGTTCCCCGGACGGGACTACCATCACCAGCTGACGCTCATTTTGGACGTGCTCGGCACGCCGACACTGGATGAGTTCTATGCGATCACGACGAGGCGGTCGCGCGATTACATCAGGGCGCTGCCGTTCCGCAAACGGAAACCATTCGCGCAGATTTTCCCCAATTCGAATCCGCTCGCGATTGATTTCTTGACGAAGGCACTGGTACGTGGTCACTGCGTTTGCTTATTCGAGGCCACCCCTGACATTAGTACCTTAATAGACGTTCGACCCCAAGAAGCGGATGACTGTCGAGGAGGCTCTCGCCCACCCATACCTGGAAGCTTACGTGCGTTCCCCACATTATCCTCATCCGTACCCATCACTCACTCACCTTGACAGCACGATCCCGACGATGAACCCGTCGCTCCCCCTCTCGACCCCGAATTCTTCGAGTTCGATCGTACGTCGCCCTATCCTATCATCCCATTTTCCCATCATCCTGACGTCTTTCCCTTTTCTTCAGTCCACAAAGACGACATCAGCCGCGAGCAGCTCAAAGAGCTCCTCTACGAGGAGATCATGACTTTCCGCCCTGCCCCGATGACCTAAACCGCCCATCTGAGTCGCTTAACCCACGGACTACTCCCACTTCGCGCGAGCTTCTCTTCATATCTTTACCTCACCTTGTTTTCGCTTGGGTCTCGTCTCTCCTGCTTCTGTCATTCGCTTTCCTGTTTATCGCCTGTACCTATAACGCTTCGCCAATCGATCAACCTTCATCAGCTGTTGTAGTTTTCGCAATTCTCCTCTCGGCGTACTGACGCAGAGGCTTTAAACTGTTGTTGCCAAAAGCCGCATTATAGAAACATACTACATCATATATATACATTACCTCTGTGGAAATTCATGGCCTGCGCACAGCGAAACATTTATGACTCGACACAACGGATCTGTCGCCCGATCGCAGACAGAATAAAGGTCGTCGAAAGAGGCATGCCATTACGGGTGAATTGGAACGTAGTAGAGGTAATTGGGATGATGATAACGATAACAATGACAAAAGCATAGCTAGGCTCGAGTATACGAGTGAGGCAGACTGCACTGGCCACCGACACCGACACATCGCTACACACAACAACAACAACAATACGTAAAAGCCACAAAGCCAGGGATGGGCGGGAATAACAAGAGAAACAAAAAGGAAACCTACTACACACACACGTTTTTGCGGAACAACAAGGAGCTTTTGGACGACCCTACGCACACGCGCACAGATGGCGACACGATGGACCCGTTCAACACACACGTCCACCTCGAACCATCCCATCACGCGGCGTCCCCTCCATCTCCATCCACCACCGACGACAAATCTTCGACCAAGAACCACAAACGCCTACACGGCCGTGCGCCTACCTACTTGCCCGCAGGCGGCCCACCGCGCCCGCGCCCACCGGGGCCGCCACGCGCCCTATACCCACCGCGCATCTCGCCATTCGGCGGGGGCCCGCCCCGCCCCCTCGCGGGCGGGCGCTCTCCGCGCTCCTTCCGCGTCTCAACCACAATCCTAACCGTCTCGCCCCCGCCGACGTCCACGCGGACCCCGCCCTCGCCGCCCTGGGCCTGCGGGAGCGACGCCTGAATCGCGCGCTTCGCAGCGTCGAGGCTGAGGAACTCGAGAAACGCGCACGCCTTGTTGCGGATGATCTCGACGTCCTTGACGGGCCCGAAGCGCGCCGTGAGCGTCCCCGCGAGCTGCGCCTGCGTCACGGGCTCGACGACGCCCTTGATGAAGCACTGCGATGTCGTCAGCGCCTGCACAGCCGCTGCGCCGCCGGCGCCGCCCTGGCCCTGGCCTTGACCTTGGCCTTGGCCTTGCTGGTGCCCACCGCGCTGCGGGGCGCCGCCGCGAGTTGTGGGTGTCTGGGTGCCGCTTGAGGGCACGGGGCTGCTCGAGGTCGCGGGCGCGGCTTCGCTCATGCCGCGCGATTCCTGCGCGACGGCGGGGCCCCACTTCTTCGAGTTAGACGCGGCGAGCGAGGCCCATGTCTTTGGCGTCGTAGAGACGGGCGCTGGTGCGGGCGCAGGCGCTGCAGCAGGAGGTGGGGGTGCAGCGGCCGGGAGAGGAGCAGAGGAGGAAGGAGCGGGTGATGGTGCCGCGGGTGGTGCCGCCGCGGGTGCAGGTGCAGGTGCAGGCTCGGGCTGAGCGGGCGCAGGTGGTTCCTGGGGGGCGGGAGCGGGTGTAGGCTCGGGAGCGGATTCAGCGGTGCCGTTGAGCTTGGACTCCGGGGCAGTGGGTGGCGATGCCGGCTCGGGGGCAACAGTGACGGGCTCCTCCGCAACGGGAGGGGCGACAGGCGGAGGTGTGGGTTCTCGTGGTGGCTCCTGCTCAAGCTCGGGTACGGACAAGGGCTCGACAGCAGCAGCCTCGCCGGGAGCGACGGCAGCCTCAGGTGCGGAGGAGGCATCGCCGTCCTCGGCGACGTCCTCATCGACAGTCTCCTCCTTGAGGAAGCGGAAGATGTCGTTGAGGACGAAGTAGCCGTTGGGCTGCTCGGCGAGGAAGAAGGTCTGAACGAACTTGCGCCAGTCGGCGCCGGCGTTGGACATCTCGCCGATGACCTGGATGATGATGCCGCCGTTGGCGGAGGCCTGGGCGTCGACGGAGTGTATGAAGACTTTGCAGTCCTTGAAGCCAATCGAGGTGATCTTGTTGTGGATTTCCTGTTGGGAGATGCGGGGACGGTCAGGATGGCGCGATGGAAGGGGGGATGACGCGTGATTAAGAAGGGACAGACCTGTTGGCCAAAACATGGCTGGATGTCTTCGCCCTCTGTGCCGTGAATGAAGGTGGAGGATTTAGTGTAGAAACAGTGCAAACGATTGGGTTCTTTATTGACGAAAGTGTAGTACTGGGGGACGAATTGCCATCCGACTTCGGAAGGAACGACGTTCTGGTGGATTGTTGTGCTTGACATTATTGGAGTGATGCTACACAGCAAGTTAGTGATATGTTCAAAGATCGCGTGTGTGCAAAGAGGCGAAAACGACGAACCGATGTGACGGGCTGGAGTCGGAGAAAAGTGCGTTGTGGATGCGTGCGTGAGGCGAGTCTAAGGATACAGAGAAGAGAGAGACCAAAACCCTGGCGAGGCTGGAGAGCTCAACAGACGATGCGATTGGGAAACTTTACAAGTCTCGATTTTTCCGCTCGGCATTCCCCGGTCATATTACTCAGCCACCTGTGGCGCGCAGACGCGTGGGCCGACCAGCCCCCGATACCTTCACCCGCATACATGCATTTCCTCGGAGCCTGACACCGCGACCGGGTTGTTTTTTCAATCAGCTCACAGATATTTTTCATCCATAAATGCTCGCCGAGCCGGAGGAATGAAGGGCCAGGCAAGGAGTCACCACAGATTTCCCAAATGGTGAAAAAGACACAGCCACCGCCAAGTGGAATGCCTGACATCACTCCCTCCAATCGCTTTGGGTTTGGCGCACAGTCCGAGCGCACAGGCCATCCCTTAAAGCCCCGGCGCTGAGAGCACTCCTTGCATTCCCTTCTTTCTCTCCCACAGCATCGATCTCATCGCGATGCCGTCCAATATCTTTATATTCCTAACGTTATTGTTCGTTCTCGCCTTCTGCATCAGCGGCAATGGCGTCTACGCGTTTGGCGCGGGCAATATCCCTTCGTGAGCGCTCTCTTCATACTGCGTCCGATCCTTCAGATGACTGAACGACGTGCACGATAGCTTCGCATACATGGAGGGAAAGGCGTTTAGACACGGAGACATCGTGAGTGATCATTGTATGCGCGTCGAATACAAACTGATAGGGATGTTGTGTCCCCCAGGAAGACGCGCTGTCCCAGATCGTGAAAGCTTCGAGCTCAGGTTTCGCCCTGACCAGTCTGATAGGCATGAAAGGCTCCAAGTTTAACAACCTCGATATCAAGCGCATATATTTCGGGTGCGTGACCTACTCCGGAGGTTACCTCCGATGCTGATCGCATATTGCAGAAACTGGCTCAGAGATTACAGCCAAGTAAGGCATTCGAATGCTATCTTTACTCCCCTCCTGACGTTTTTGCAGGCTGTTGATATTGGAGCTCTCAAGAAAGTGCAGATCCAGGTTAGTTAACTTGGTATTCTAGTGCGCGTGCCAAGAGTCTCATAACCGCTCCAGACGATCCTCAATCTTTGCATGGTTCTTGGGTTCATGGTGACGCGACTTCCGTCTCAGTGCCCCTCCTTACGCTTACTCTCGGTCCCGTTCATAGGCAAACGGATACGCGACACGTGAATTCGAAGTCACCCCGGAACGCCTCGGATGCTATCTCCCAGTGCGCTCACCTTCTTTCGCTCACTCGGGTAAAGCTGATCCTCAGTCAAGACAGAACACATTGACAATCCGAAGGGATACGGAGAAGGCGAAGATGCGAGGAATTACCACCCAGGCCTACGTGGGCCTGTCGACGTGAGTCACACTCTCTCGGTTTTTACCCGCCAGTAAACTGAAGGTGGCGTCCAGCCTCGAGAGCTTGAGATAGATCCCCGCTCAGGGATGAAAAACTACATTGCAAACGGCACGTGTACCATTTGAGCACATATAAGCCGTCGTTAGCTTACCTCGCTTTTGGGCCTTCGTTTAGAGAATGGGCACTGGGACACGTCCAAGGCGCTCGTCCGACGCACGCTCGAGCGATGCATCCATCTCGGGCGGCAGCACCGCGCAACGAACCAGAAGCAGGACCTGTACGAAGCGTACCGCCTCCTTGGGCAGTCGGTATGCACACGGTCGCATGAGATACGACTCCTCCCTTAGATTGAGTCTTGGTCATAGCTCCACACCCTTGAAGACTTCCCCGCACACTCCAATTTCTGCGAGCTTGCGCTCGTATCGATGGGTTACCACCAAGTGTTCGTGCAAGTTGGCGATGGTGTGCGCATTCAGGCGCCCAATGGGAAGCATGTGGCTCCTCTCGTAACAGGTGCCTCTGATGTGTACCGGTTTTAAATCCACAGTTGAATGACATGCAAACGTAGGAACTTTCGGATCGAGCGACTTTTTACATAGTTTGCTTGGAGGTGAGTTCCCCCCATTGATTGTACTACCCTTGTTTTTGACGTCATGGATTACAGAGGCAACCGACCACATCGTATGTCGTATCCACTTCCATTGCAGATCTTGTTTAACCCCGCTGCTATTTGTCGGTCGATAGAGCGAGGTACGCGTTCATGCCCGCTCTCGCTCTTTTATCCTCATGACGATGTTGAATAGGCCTCCGTGACGGACCTCAACAAAGAATTTGACAACGCGCGGGCGAAGCAAAACAATAACAGCTCGATCAGCGCGCTCCACCAGTTGTTCTCGCAGCTCCCCGGCGGGACCGGTGCCGAGATGAACCGTGAGATGGACGGGATCGAGCGCATCCGCGCTGGCCCGTCGCAGGGTGGAAAGCGCCCCGAGGACATGAGCCCCCAGGAGTTGCATGCGGTGTTGTGGCAGGTGTTGAACTTCCGTGATTCGGGTGCGTGGTTGAGCTTCTTATTCGTTCTGAGGGATGGCGGTTGATGTTGAATTAGTAATGAAGAAGATCGAGAAGACCATTGGTGAGCGGTCTTTACTCTTTTCCTGCACGGTGGATGTTGACATGCCTTTTTCAGAAAAGATTCCCGGTCTCGGACCTCTGATTGAGAAGCTCAGCGAGTCGATATCAGGTGAAGAGGTTGTCAATCCATACTGACGAGGTCACTGACGTCGTTGTGCCAGTCTTCGTCTTTACTACACTGGAAGTACGGAATATCTTCCTCCTGTGTATTATCTACTTGGTATTGACCCGTATCGTCCAGCCGTTTTTGAAGCCGATCATGAAGTCTTCGACGTCTGCCCTGCAGCTCGCTTCTGGAGAGGTCATCAACCAGCACGATCAATACGAGGTAATGAACACGTTGTGAGCTTACATATGAGCTAACCTCCTCCTGACTCATAGGTCTTCAACGATCCCCGAGCGGTAAGTCATCATCGATGGTAGCGTTGACCTATGCTAACTGTTGGGGATTGACGCGGTAGACTGACCCTACGCACTCGTTCCTGAGTAAAGATCACTTTGTGGGTACCGTCATAAGACACTACGTGATGCCAACTGACGATCGACCCAGAACCTCATTCTCAATGAACCCGCCGGCCATCTTGCGAAGATCATCCTGGTAAGCAAAGCCTTAGTTGCGTAAATTACGGTACTAACAGGGGTGCCGTAGACGCATACGGTTGGCTTGGTTGTCAAAGCCTGGGGTGATCCGAATATGCCTCCACATGCTGTCACTGAAGACGTCTTACAGTGCCTGTAAGCCTTCTTTTCTATAGGTAGTGAAGATCGGGTTAGTGATAGCGTTGGTCCTAGCTTCCACCCCGACTTCCACGACTCCCGCTCGAAGATCCAATCGGAGATGTTAGGCTTTATGCGTCAATGGGTCGATGGCCTCGGCTCCCGTCAGCGGACCATTCTCGACCGTCTCGGCAAAGAGTCCGTACGGAACCATGAGAACATCCGGCTCGCGGGCGAGGGCGGCACCGGCACCGCCGAGGGCACTTACGCGCAGAACCAGGGCGCGCAGGCGAATCAGTGGATCGCGGGCCAGGTGCCTGTCCTCGGGCAGGCGCAGAACCTCTTCGGCAAGGTCCCGGGGAGCGGTGGCCCGATGAGGGAGATGCCAAGTGGACCTGGTGGGTACGCCCCGCCCGGTGGCCCGCCACCGAGCTTTGGCGGGAACGAGTACGGTCGCAACGACGGGCCACCGCGTCCTGGGGGCGAGGCGTCGTCGTACTATACACCTTCGTACGGCTCTGCGCCCCCTGGTCCAGGTGGTCCAGGAGGATACGCGCCTCCGCCCGGTCCGCCGTCGGGGTATGGCTCGCCGTCGCCCTATGCGCCTCCTTCTGGACCGCCACCGGGTGGGTACCAGTCCTCGTACGCACCATCATATGATCAACCGTCTGGCCCACCGCCCGGTCAATATGGCGGCGGAGGCGGGTACGGAGGGCCGCCTGGAGGTGGGTACGGAGGACCGCCTGGAGGTGGTTTTGCGCCGCCCCCTGGGCCACCTGGTATGCCTGGTGGGCCTGGTGGATTCGCGCCGCCGCCCGGTGGGCCCGGCGGGCCTGGCGGAATGGGGTTCCCTGATCCCAATGCATACGGGGGCCAGTCATCGTATGGTGGTGGGGGCGGGTATCAGCAGCCTCCGCGCCCGTGGTGAGGTGGTAAGGGACGACGTGGATGGGTGATAATGAACTGTATATGCTTAGACTCGAAGCTCAGAGGAATCGTTTTGCTAAAAGAAACTCAGATACGTTGATGTCCGATTACTGTATTTTATCCCAGTGAGAGATTGCTACTCTCCAAATATTCTACCTGCTAGCATCGGCTATTGAAGCACTTGAGACCGAGGCCGTTTCACCATGGTTCGGGCTTTACGGTGCATGAGACCGATTTACTGCAGTGATGCGCAAGATTCTGAATAGTCGGTAAACAATAATCTATAGGCACCCGGGTTACACGTAGAAGAGCGTTCGAGGCGATTGACGCGGACACGAGCTTCTTTGCGGGTTGATCTATCTACTGTACCTATACGACCGTAGGTTCGTCACGCCTCACGCTTGACCCGTAAAATGAACTTAAGACCTGGTTCGTCACCCATCACACAAGACAATGAACCTCACTGCGTGACGAAAAATACTAAGACTCTTATATTCTGATGTAGTAAAGCCGTTCGCTGCAGCGAGTGTTTTCTGGATCCCTTGCGCTGCGAGTTTAATATTTCCGAGACCCTTACCACGAGCATAGTTGACCGGAGATGGGATGTCGAGCTTCAGCGAGTCAGTCATACCCAAGCCACACCGGTGGCGAAGGTTTGAGGCACCTGTGCACAGGCCCAATGGACGAGGAATTAAAAGGTGGTCCGCGTTGCCTTCTTCTCCTTCCAATAAAACATCCTCTTCGCCCCCGTTTTCTTTGGCAGTGATGTTTTGATGATGTTACCGACCTGGGACCCTGGTTCAAAGTCACGCGTTCGCTGGATGTTTGAACTTTGGTCTCGTTGGAACTTATTTTGATTCCATGTCACGCAAAAATCCCTTGAACCTATGGTCGTGTAGGTACAGTATATTGATACGTTTGCGGCGAGGCTATACTTGTAATAGCTGCGGGGCTGCGCTGACATCACAAGGCTGGGGCGCTGAGGAAATGATATCGCATCTTATCTTGGGTGCAGACGGATGTGAGCAGCAAATGGGCGATGCGTTGATGCACTGGTTGTGATGCGAGATGCGGGAGGTAATGTGCACTTGCACGACGTGATGCGTGTTTAAGGATCAATTTGAAAAGCGGACGAGAACAGAAGACAAAGCGAAGAGTAGGTAGGGTGCGGTATACAGGGGAACAGAGGAGATGTTTGTGTGGTTTATACTCGAGCGAATCAAAATGTATGCGTACAGATATCCAGATGCGCCAGAGATGGAGATGATTAGCGGAGATTAGGTAGTGTATGCCGGGTGTAGGGTGCGTGTGGACTGGTTGGTGCTGGTGCTGGTGTAGCTGATGAGATGAGGATCACGTTTAGGATCAGAGTGAGAAAAAAAGGGGACAGGGGACAAGGAAGCGGGTGCGACGGGTGTAGAGCGGTGTGTATGGGAACAGAACGAGGAGTGTGGGGTGCGATGGCGGGGTGTGGGATTGCGTATGTGAATGTGATTGTGATTGTGACTGTGAATGTGAATGCGGAGGCGGGGATAGCTGTGGAGCGGGGAAGAGTCAAGAGCCGGCGGTACCAGTGGGGAAGGAGCGTCAGGGGTTGAACTCTTCGCGCTGGAGGATGGTCATCAGCCCTGGCACGCTCTTGGCCTTGTCGAGTGCGACGGGTCTTTGCGGGTCTGGGGTGGTATTGGAGCGCGAGGCGGAGGCGTTGTATCGTACCTATAGTAGTCAACACGTCAGATATGTGGCTCAAGGAAATCTCAGCGAGAAGGAACAAACCTGCACGCGGTACGTCCCATCCCGCCGCATCTTGGGCTGCCGTATCGTACATGTCCAACTGCAACACCGCCGACGTCAGAAACTATGCTATGATCACACCAGGAAGGAAACAAAGAAGAACGCACCTTTCGTCCACGAGCACGTTCGCGCCCAACAGCGATGCCTTGTCTAGCAGACTCGCGCGGGACGCCCGCAGCAGTCGTGGCACATCCACGCCGCCCGTGCACACGAACGTGTCGCCGTGCACGAGAGGGACACGGCGCTGTGGCTGCATCGCGCTCGTCAAGTCCACGTCGTGCGCGAAACACGGATGCGTCTGCGGTGCGCCGGAGGAGAGGGAGAGGTGTTGTGCCGAAGATGGCGAGTGTGCCTTCTCCTTGCCCTTTTCCGAAGACATGGTCCATTTTCGTGAAGTTGTGGGGTTGGCGGCGTCGCTGCTTCCGGAAGAGGAGGCGCTGGCGCTACCTGAGGTGGTGCTGGTGCTCGCTCTGGAGCGGGCACGCGTCGAGGCGCGGCGGAGCCGAACGAGGATGTTGGTGATCTCTGCTACCGTCAGCGCCATGGCTACGCGTGTGGGCGACGGCGGAGGGGAGGGAGGAGATACGGGTCGTTCTAGGAGAGGTACTGAGGGGCCAGAGAGCGAAGGGAGCACGGTGGTCATCGAGTCAAGGGAGAAATAGGGAAGAGGAAGAGGGGTCTTGTTTATAGTTTGACAGTGCGGGATCCGTCACAACCGTGGGCTTGTGGGTGTCCGGATCGGAGAACGGGAGGTGTTGTCTGGTCTGGAGGTATCTGGAGGTTAGTCGCCGCGTTTGTGGTCGCGTCGAGCCCGGCGCTGGTAATTATGCGTCAGGTATGACCTGGGAAGGAGAGCGAAAGCTGGGATGATTGGGGTGCTCTATATATGCACCAACTCAAAGGGAGCCTGGGGATAGCGAGTGAATGTTGGCGGAGTTTGGGCGCCAGCACCAAGCTCGATCAAACCAAGTCTTCGGGCCTTTACCACGAGCCACGTCAGTCCGACTCACTCAACTCTATCGAGCTCTATCTTTGGTGCCACGACCTCTCGGAGACAACACCAGGCCTCAGACGACCAGGCTTCCGGACGTGCGCGTGATCCTTAAGGTGTGTGAAGAGCCAACTCCGAGTCGAACACTGGCGGACTGATTCCTGATGCAGATGGAATGAATCATAAACACGAGCTGTGAGCCACGCCCTTGTCCATGGTGTGGTGGTGGGTCGGGTCAAAATGACCGCTCGCTCAAAGCCAAACTTTAGCTCGGCGCGGCGCAGCGGATGGATCTCCTCGGAATGGACCTCCCAAACAAATGATATGGCGAAGGCCGTTCATGTACTGCCTGTCGATAACACGGATCTCCCAATCAACGCCCAAACACAAAAAGATGGATCGTCTTCTTGCCTTCTGAGCGTGCCTCTTGAAGCTTGAATTTCAGATCACCGGGAATCGCACCGCTTTGTGCAATATTGGTACGCTGTATCTATCCTCTTTGGCTTGACGTTTGGGGCATTGGAGAAGACCAGCCTCGACCACCTTACCCTTCACGAGCACAGCGGATATCATCCAGAAACGCTGACCCCGTGGATACTATATCAACGCCTCGAGCCACGTTTTTTCATCTCATGATCATCTCCAAAGGTCTCCGCGAAACGTTGCAGCCTATCTTTTCATGAAAACATAGACTTAAACAACTGGGAACGTGTCCGTGCGTCTTCCGCATGTTTCTGCTCCTCAGTAGCGCTCCCCGCGTTGGCTGGTGTAAGTGTCTTGACGCAATCGACCCTCGAAGGGCACCTTGGATAACTTAATACTAAAGAGGCAAGTTGAACTGCTGACCCACTGCCACGGCATTCGTCGGCCTCGCCTGGCAAAATCCTTCCTCGGGTTCTCGCCGGCGGCCAATACTCTGCGTTCCTGCGCTGCGCACCGTACCTTACCTTTGGACTCCTTCTCGATCCACTAGCTGAGGTCCTCTTTCTTGGCCTCCTCTATAACCTTTCTCATCTGGCCGCGGACGACATCATCCGCGGAAGACAGGTTCTCTATAGCATCGCGCCGTGATCTGGAGTCCAATAATCCCTTTCATGGTCTACCAAACGCAACTAGATAACTCTCCAGCCCTTCAGATCGGTGTGCGCGCCGAATCCAACCCATCGTTATACTATGTTGTTCCTGAGTCTCCAAATTAATGGCGATAGGCTCAACTTCCGGGAGAGCGGGCGCCGACGACGGTAACGCTTCGAATACACATATGCCGATCCCTGTTGGACGTAAATGCTCGGAGACCTGCTTGAAGGTATTCCATGAAGCTGATATCCTACCAGAGCATAGTGCTCATGCCGGGTGAAAGAGTCTCAAACTAAGAAACAGACACATGCTAGTTTGACTTATACGTAGCATAAAATATTATAGATAAGCTATTACTAGAATAGAACTGTCCGTCGAGGTGACCTACCTCCTCGGAACATTAAAATGATACTTCATTCATTCATTCAAACTAAAGTACAACATGCCCCCCGAAACACAGCCATTGACTTCGCCTATTGTGTCGTCTCGTCTAGGTCCACGACGATAGGATTACCGTCAGAAGAAACTGAACCTGACAGTAACGCTTCGAACGCATCACCCCGGCTGGAGAATTCCTTTGGCCAAGGACACAAACGCTCGAATATCTGCTTGAAGGGAGCCCAGTGCGGTCTTATGACCGGGTATGCGTCCCCAGAGTATCCAGAAATATGAATGCACCACCGCCTCACGGTCTCTGGTCGTTCGTACCCGTTCCAGGACGATGTTAGTGGAACGGAGGCCAGCTGGCGAGAGTAATGAGCAATCGTCCCGGTGGTCTCGAAATTCTCCTGTGCCCCGAACTCCATAAGCATGACAACATCGTCTTGAGGCCTCCTCCCGTTGATACGAGGGCCGACTAGTGCATCGACGGCAGAAGCATTGACAACCCGTCCTTTGGTTTTGACTTGAATAGAGAATGTGCCTGTATTGTCGTCATCCCACTTAGCGTCCAGGGAGCCCGTGTACGTGGGGATGATGATGTTGACGACCGGCTGGCTATGGGTGCACTGAATTGCGCATTGCCGATCCCAGAGATAATGCAGGAAGGACGCCGAAATGTTTCCAACCTCCTTATCGAGGTGAATGAAGTGCGTGAAGTTGACGTGCTTCCTTCGTGCGGCGTACAAGAGAGATAGGTAAGCCGCGTCTTCATGAGACCCGTGAAGTTTTTTGAGTAGATCTTCGAGAGTTACAGTTGCAATGAACCGTCTCGTGCCCTCGAGATTGATGAAGTAGTCCCTGTCTGGACCCGTCGTGTGTGCACAGTATGTCGCCGCGTCACGGGCTAAAGTGAGGAGCAGGCGAGCACAGAGTTGGCCTTGAACGCCGTGATCCACGACATGACCTGCCAACTTGTCAGCCAGCATTATTATAGCATTCCTGATGGAATGAGTCGAGGGCCGCAGTGTTAGGGCAGCTGCTAGAGCCAGGATGGGCTCCGAAGGAACTCTCGTTTCGATGCAGGTGTCATTCGTGGCAGCATACAGCATCCGCATGTGGGAGTGGACCGCCTTGACAGCCATACAATTAGATTCGGGAGAGTGGGCCAGGGTGAGACCCACTCTCTGGGAAAAGGCGGCGAGGACGTCGTCTGGATCTGGGCTGTGAGGGCTGAATGACTTGCCACCGAAAAGCTTATTAGAAGCAAGCTGCTCTACGGGCTCGACGGTATCTGCGGACCATAACTATAGCCGGTATGACGCTCTTCATCTGTGTTAGCGCGCGATGAAGACTCACCGGTCTCCCGTATTTCCGTACTCGATCGATATCAAGGCCATCTTGGGGAGTATTGGAAGCATCTGAAGGCGCGAGTTGGTCGAACCCAGTAAACGGATATGGCATGAGCAGATCTAGCTCCCCACCGCGATGGGACGAGTAAAATCCTCGCCGATGTGGAACAAGATCATACGAAGAAGCATCAGCGTCGATGAAGGTATACCAGACATGGAAGGCGCCGGTCCGATAGCCGTCGGCAGCTCCAATAACTCTCCGAAACGCGCGAATAGTCATTCCAGTTGGATCGCTCTTCAAACCCTCGTGGCTGTTTAGAAAGTGGCATTCGTCAAAGCCTATGACAATGAAGTTATGTTGGGCCGCTTGAAGGATGCTCGCTAAAGCCTTGACTTCCCCGTAACACAGAGTTTCGTACACTTGCCCGTACCAAGTGGCGAGTGCATTCTGATCGTAATCCTCTCCGTTGTAGCCCAAAGTCCCGGCGTAAGTGTCAAGTAACTCCTCCGCAAGCCCCTTGATTTCGTCGAACGACCGATGTCGTGTTGACGCTTTGGGATCGGAAGCATCTTCGATCATGAAAGAGGTCACCCATCTTTGTCCCAAAGCGTTCGAGTCTAGAGGGCCGTCATTGCACTTGGCAATAAGAAACTTGAACATCGCGCCAAGGAATGCCCCCGCGACCATTTCCGCCTTGGGAACGCAGTCAGCTCATAAACTGACATGAAGCTAAGAGACTTAAATGCACCCTGACGTTCGGACGCCTTTTCAGAAGAAAGTCTTGTACTGACTGATCGGGAGGTGGCCACCCCTCGCTGATATCCTTGTAATAGCGCGGGCTTCTGAAGGTGACGGTGACGGATGGGATCTGCGCGGAGTTGTCAGCCTTCACCAATGTGTAAGAGTAGTGCCCATACGGTATTGGCAAGTTCCCTCATCAATCTGGATTTACCCGTGCCGCTCGACTGTATGATGGCAATGATCCTTCCATAGTATCGGGACTTGTTGTATAACAAACGGTAGACTTCGAGATCCCTGACGAACTGATCCACGGCGTTCCCTTCAAACTTTTGCTTGAAGGCTTTGTCAAACCTGCACGCAATTCCATTGCTAATGACACAGGGTTAGATACAGACGACGGTTTGCATGTTTGAGTAAGCCTCACTTTCTTTTACGAGACTCTTCTTCTGAAGCCCAAGCTGCGAGATGGTGCTTTAGTTACAGTCTCTGAACCAATAGCGTTAATCTCACATGGCCTACACACTTTTAGTAAAAACTGTACAGGACCTTCAGACCTGAGATGTTCCAGTTCGTTGAGGGGGCGTCGAGGCCACAAATCATAAGACGGCTCGGGTTGACGACCCAATCCTTCTGGCTCAAACAGAGCGGTTCGAATCTCTGGGTGAAGGTCCTTGCCGAGCGTCTGACATGATTCTAGCAAAACGTCGATCTCTGAGCGGGTCTTCGAGATCGGACGTCCCATGATACGCCTCAAGTGCCCGACAAATAACATCTGATCAGGTGTCGCCGATCCATCTCGCAGGGCATTCGACTGTGCTTCCAACCACTGGCCGATGCTTTGGTGTCCTTCTTGAGCTTGTAATCCAGGTGACGATGCCATATCATGAAAGCAAAGAAGGGTTCACAAGGAGCGGCTGCGGTCTGACGGTAAACCCGGGCGACGACGACCGAGAAATAACCACTCCGCTTCATTCTCCGACAATCCGCACGGAAATGCAACCTTGGAACAAGGACGGGGTGGCCATTACACGCGAAAACTGGCCGAAAACCATGTCGAACGATATTACATATCTCATATTTATGGAGGTTGAAACATCGGTCATGTAGTGGGTGTACACAAAACCTTTGCCATCACATCACGGCACACACACTTGCACTACCATACAGCTAACCAGAAGTCAGAACGCCACACCAGTGATCTACCACGACAGCTAAACCAGTCTCGTTTGGTTGCATCGCCGGATTCTCAGCGGCTATATACTCGTTCTCATGACCCCAAACCCGCCCATTCTTCAACCGCTTCCTCCTTGGTCTCTTTCTTGACCTTTCTCGTCTTGCCGCGGACAACATCACTTCCCGCGGACGACTTCTTGAGCCCTAGCATCGTATCGTGATCTGCGACGAGAAGGATGAGTACAAGGGTATACACAAAGCACGAAGGACAGGTAAGATATAGGGGAGTGGACAATCGTTGGGTACAACGTCGTACAAGCCCCTTGGGATAAGGGTCCCAGAGAAAGTCTACTCACAGTCGCCAGCGACAAAATCCGCCGCGATAGGTCGGCTGCCCGAGGTGACATAGCTCGTCGAGACGCCCTTAGCCACCAGCGGCTGCGCCAACAACGCTTTCAGCTCAGCCTTCAGCGCTGCCGTCTTCCCGCTCGCCTTCTTCTGCACGTGTTTCGTGGGCCGACCCTCATCCTCAGACGCACTGTCAAGACCGAATCAGCCTGGATACGGCGAGAACAAAAAAAAAACGATAAAACACTACCTCATAAAGTCCGAATCAAGCTCGATCTCCATCGCATCCGCCGCCTCCTTCATCCACTTGCGATCGTGGTTCTCCTTCTTCACCTTGTGCTGCTGCGCATCGATCTGCCGCGCGACGCGGATGCGCTCCTTGAGCTTGTCCAGCAGCGCGAGCTCGACGCTCATCTCCAGCACCTCGTCCTCGTTGCGGTCCAGCGAGCGGAAGAGCAGCTTCACGGTGCGTCGCTCGTCGGGCGCGATCATGAGTAGCGAAAAGCCTTCGCGCATCGCGCGCGCTGTGCGGCCGCTCCGGTGCACGAACACGTCCGCCGTGCGCGGGATCTGGTAGTGGATGACGTGGTCTACGGATGGTATGTCCAGTCCACGCGCGGCTATGTCTGTCGCCAGTAGCACCGCATTTGGTGTTTGTTTGAACCTGCGTTGAAGATAACGTGAACCGTGGAGTTAGCCATGTGTCAAAGAACATGTGTTGAAGATAAGAGTGAAAGAGGGCGACGGAATGAAGAAACGTTAAGGTAGAGAATGCCATATAGTCAAGTGGGGAGGAGTAAACAATGACTTTATAGAGGAAGACACGAAATCACTTACCTATCAAGATTCTTGAGCCTCTGCCTCTGCTCAAGCTGCGAATGCAGCGGGTACGCAGGCAGCCCGAGCAGCTCCATCAGCGGTGCGAGCCGCCGAATACCATCTATCGAAGAGAGGAAGACGAGTGTCCGTCCAGGATAACGAAGGAGGAAGTAGTACAGATAGACGTCCTATAAGGTCCAAATCATTGATCCGTTAACATCGTCATAGCCCATCCCCGAAGCGGTAGTGTGGAAGGAGGTGAGGTGTCAAGTGTCCCCGAGGAATAGAGTTTGATCGGCCAATCCGACAACAGGTAAGTTCGTCAAGTGAGTTGAGCCGAGGTTGATGGTTTGGTTTAAGTTCGAAACCCCGAACAAGCGCAGATGCGGTTGCATTGGGTTTTTGAGAATTCGTCCGATGGTTCAGCAGGTTCAATTGAAACATGAGCATGGCAATACGAACGAGGGGCCGTAGCGGAGACGTCATACGTAGCAACAAGGAACTCGACGTCAGCGACTTGCGTCACAGCTCATGCATGCAGGAACCTTCACCTTGTCCGTCACCAGGCACTCGATCTTGCTTTCTTTGAGACTGGAAACGACGCCGCCCTGCGGGCTCAGGTCGATGATTTCCGGCTCGGGGTCACGGAAGTCAAGCCGGAGGACCAGGTCGTCTAATCGTTTCGGAGTCAGCAACTTCAGTGACGAAGGAAGCAGGACAAAACGTATATCAGATGGAGTACCGAGAAGGCGAGCGTGCATCCTTCACGGAAGCCGTGATAGAAGAAACAATGGAACAAGAATGGAAGGAGATAGACCAACCGAGCGTGCTGGCAGGCTTCTGTTTCGCCTTCTTCCCCACTTTCGGGCGCCGGCGCTTTTTGAGGTTCTGCTGAAGATCCTTGCTCAGCGTTGCGGAGAATACGTATGTCCGCATTCCGTTTTCTTGATTCGTGCCTGCAATAGATGGCGTGGCCCCGGCGACGGTACCAGCATTTCCAGACTGATCGTTGTCCCCCTCGTCACCGGACGAACCGCCCTCATGCTCAGGCTCAATCTGATCTTCTCTACGGGGACGCGTCAGCGACGGCAGAAGCAATGAATAAAGAACGGGGAATCATATGCAAGGGCAATCAATGAAGAACGGCGGGGAAGCGTGGAACGTGTGATGAAAGAGACACGCACTCAGATTGGCGAATAGTGAGCCGAAGTATATTGTCGAGCTCGGCGAAATGCCCGGTTTCGATCATCCGATCGGCTTCATCGAGCACAAGGAAATCGAGCGCGGACACCTGCCGCGCGAGGTCTTCGTCCTGTTTTTCAGGAGGGCCAAGGCAAAAAGATGAGATGCCGATCAGTAAACGTTGCCTTGGCCAATACTAAGAGAGAGTAACAATAGCGGGAACGAGGTGCAGTCGCTGCAACGTTTTTGGAACGAAGACAGATATGGGAGCAAGAAGACAATAAGCATGCACCAAAACGTCGGGTGTGGGCGTGCATGAGAGCAAAAGCACGGATGCGATCTAAGACCGAAACCGAAGGGGTACAGGAAATCGTGGGCGAATGAGCGTACGCTTACCTCTGCGAGTACGTCCCACAGCCGACCAGGTGTTGCGATCATCACCTCTATGCCACGATCGAGCAGGCGCCGCTGCTTCTGGGCAGACATCCCACCAACAATCGCGGCGATGCTCACGAGAGGGGGGCCCGAGCCCGCTTCATTGTCGCTGGGTTTGCCATTTGATTTCTTTTTCTTTGAAGGGGCGGATAGATCTGGTTCATCGCCCTCCTCCCGCTTGACTGCTGCGTCTGCGATGGCCCGTGCGAAGATGTTGAGGTGGTCCGCGACCTGAAGAGCAAGTTCGCGAGTCGGCGTGATGACGAGCGCGCGCAACTGGCGCTTACTCGATCCTGATTCGGTGGATAGTACTGGCCGAGGGGAGGTGAGTATGTGTTGGAGGATGGGGAGGCCGTACGCGAGGGTTTTGCCGGAGCCCTGGTGTTGGAAAAATCGTCAACGTGAGCTGCCCAGGGGTTAAATCATGTGCGATGGAACTAACGGTCTCTGCGACACCAACGATGTCCTTTCCGGCTATGGCTTTTGGGAGAGAGTTGGATTGGATGGGGGTGGGCGATTTGAAGTTTTTGGAGTGCAGGACTTGAAGCAGGTGTGGGTGAAGCTTGAACGGTCGCCAACTTGGGAGGAGGGCGCCTGGGAAGGGGGTACAGTGTGAGCGCTGGATTCTATGGAAAAAAGTGCAGATGGGCTTACTGTCGAACTTGACCGACGCGAGATACGACGCAGTCTGGTCATCTTTTGGTTTCACGTTAGGACCGTGTTCCCTCGCTGTGCCCGTCTGGGGCTCAGCGCCTGGTTGTTCTGAGCGGTCAAGCACCTATTTGATCAGCTCGAGCGCATATACGTGACAAGGAGGAAGAAAAGGGAGCATACACCTGCATGTATGCAAGGGATGGCCCGGTGAAGGCGACTGGATAAGAGGGGGACATACGTTAAACTTGAGAACGCGGCCATTTTCGGTGTCCTCGTAGACGATTTCGACGTCATCCACCTCTTCAAGCTCAAGTACCCCTTCGTCTCCATCGAGGCCGGTGTCGAGAGGTCGCTGGATGGATTGCCACGGCAGGGTATCAAGGGTCCTGTGCTGGACCTTTGTTTTTTTCTTCAGGGACCCAGACACTGGCCTGGCTTTGCGCTTGAGCTGGGCATTCTGGGAGGGCTGAGGATCGATGTCCATTGGGTGGTCTACTGCCATCATGACGGGCAACAGAATCGGACGACTGCTGTCGTCGTCGCTGTCGGTGACGGTGAAGGGAGGAGTTGGGTTGCGGAGATGTCGGGCGCGTTTCCTGTTGAGGCTGGCCGGCGGAAGCAACTGACCACGGACCGGCGGCCGAGGTTGGCTATCTGATCCCGAGCGTCCGTCACAAGCCTTGGGGATGGTAATATAATCTCTCCCCCACTTTATCCTCCTCGCCACTCCCGACCTTGTCCTCTAACACACTCCAGAACATCCTCAACAACCTCCACTGTGAACCCGCACAAAATTTGGTTCATCTTCTGAGGTCTAGCGACTGTGACATAAGGTCCGTTGTTGCCATCCTCGGTTGCGGACTCGTCGACGAACTGATGAAGATAAAGTTTGCAGATCGCCTCCGTGTCCATGACACATACCCTCCCCGAGCTCCCCCTAGAGTTATGGCAGTACATATTCGCACTCATAGCCCGCGTGCCCGGATACCTCGACATCGACATGGACGACCCCTTTGGGCCCTGGCATGACCGCTCCTTCAGTGCGTCCCGCGAGCTTCAGCGGAACAGGCGCGTCCTTGTCTCCGTGTGCCACTCGTGGTATAACGTCGCAATCCAGTTCTGTTGCGAGCACCTCATCATCCGCACAGCCGACAGGCTTTTTCACATCCTCTACGCCTTTGAGGAGAGCGAGCGGCACCGTTGGCACGAGGCCCCGCTAGGCACGTACACGCGCCGCATAGACCTGCACATTCAACAGCCGTCGCCTGAGGCACAGCAAGCTGTCGCTGAGCTGTTACGGTACACGCCGAACCTTGTCATATTCATCAATAACAACTACTCACTCGGCGAAGGACAGTCTCGCAGCCCGCCGCCACTCACCGTGCCCGGCGAGGTCATCGAGGCCCTGTCGACAACGTGCTGGGAGACCATCAAGCGCGTAGAATGGAATAAGAATGAGGTTCCGTCTTGGCCAGACCTTATGCTCCTCTTCGAACGCGTCCCGAACCTCGTCACTCTCTCCGTCTCGAACGTCCTCGGTGTTGGTCGCACAGGCGAACTTCCCATGCCAGGTCAAGCATACAGAGCCGCACCCGGCGGCCCACAGCTCGTCCTCCCAGCACTACGAAACCTCTTTCTCGGCGACCACCCCTCCTTCTCGCACGCCTCGCTCGGGAACATGCCTCTATACACCCTCCTCCGCCTCCTCTCGAACAACACCGAGCAGCTGCCCTCCCTCGTCCGGTTCGACGGCTTCTCGCCCCTATACCCCGACTTCCTCGCAGTCCACGGCCCCAAGATCCGCACGATCCGCACCGTCGCGCACACGCCGCTCATACCGCAGATCCTCGGCCACCTTCCGCAGCTCGACACGCTCGTGCTCATGTTCCCGCACCACGACTTCGGCAACGCGCGTCTCGAGCACGCGACACTCCGCCGCGTCGCGATCGTGCCCATATCCGAAGAGCACGTGGGCGTACCCGAGCGCATATTCAGCACGATGGTGATGGCGCCCCTCGGCGAGCTCATTAGCGCGCTCGATGTGGCGCGGCTGCCGGCGCTGCAGAGGGTGCGGATAAAGAATGTGGGCACGCTCGAGAATATCACGGCGCATCCGATCTTTCTGGAGCAGTGGTGGCGCAGGTGGAATATCCGTGGCGTACGCTTCGAGGATAAGAACGGCGACTCGTATCAATATGCTCTGCCGGGTGGGTTCCATTCCAACCGCCACTTGTTTCGATGTCGCTGATAGGCTTGTCTTCGCATAGATCAAGATGTCGTACTGAACGCCGTGCGCGGAAACTAGCCTTCTCATTCTAATGGTGACATACAGCGGAAGTTGCTCCTTTTTCAGTTAATCAGCGCAGCAAGGATCTCTTACCATCTAATGACTTAATCTTAATGCGTTCACCTCCGTAAACTATCATCCTACTGCATAGCATTGCAAATTTTGGGAGTCTTAACGAATAGGAGGATAGATCTACCACCATATAACGACGTGCTGACGTAGCAATCCGAGATGTAAATAACGGAATAAACAATGGAACTAATAAGCTCATGATATGCGAGCTCTCTGAAAAGTAAGAGAAACCAAATCGAGACGAAAGTGTGCGAATAGATAGACACGAAGAAGACTATGTGTGGCAATAGGGTACAGAGGGGTGAGCAAGGTTCCACGAAATAGTTATGTTAATTTTTCGAAGGATCAATAAACGGGCCGATTAAAAAGAGAGTGTAGCGTACACGTCGAGTCGTACGAGTTGTGAGATCGGGTCGAGGACGTTCAGAGACGGAGTCATTGGCGATTAGACTAGGCTATAAGTATCCATAAATATCGGGCCGACCGGCTACGAGGTCGTCGTTAGCATACCAGCCACGGCGGAACACGAGAAAGCCTCACCAGCAGCGACGAGCGGCATAAAGCGAGCACAAGCGAGCAACAACGTTAACACATCACGCATCGCTCAGACGCGCTTGGGCAGCAGCGTGACCACGCGCTCCTTCTTCACCTGCAGGCCCGTCTTGCCGAAGTAGCGCTCGCTCTCGAACGACCAGTGCAGGCTGCCGACGATCCAGTCCGCGAGGCCCTGCACGTACACCTGCATCTGCGCGTCGACGTGCGGGCCCCACGACGGCAGGCGCGCGCGGTCGGCGACGAAGCGGTCGATCGAGGCCTTGCACATCTGCCCGACGAAGTCGACGGCGTCCTGCAGCGCGAGGCCGTGCGAGTGCATCACGACGGGTATCATGTTGTGCGTGTCGCCCTTGGACTGTTCCACGTTGTACGAGAAGATGTCCTGCGCGGCCCGGCGACACAGCGTCAGCGCTTAGAACGGACTTGCGGAGAACGCGAGGGGAATGGAAGGAGACGCACGTTCGACCACGTAACGAGGTCGTTCGCCGCCTCGCCGAGCGCGCGCACGACCGGGTGGTCCATGACCTCCGCCGGCAGATCGAGGTTGTACGCGTACTCGATGAGCGCCCAGCACGGCTTGCAGCCCGACGTGTCGCGCCGGAGCGCGATGTACGACTCCAGGTCGGGGATGGCACCCGCCTCGCGGTCGGACGCCTGCTGGTGCACGGCCTGGAAGAAGAAGTCGAACGTCTCGACAAAGCGCTGGCATGCGCCCGGCGCGGCGGTCTCGAGCATCCGGCGGTAGAAGCTAGAGTGGGAGGAGGCAGACATGAGTAAGTGATCGGCTGGACACGTGATGGGAACGGAGACGATGACGCGCGCGACGCGTCCCGAGTGATAAATCACTCGGTGATTGCGGGCTCAGAGTGGAAGTAGATGCACAATGAAGGAGCTGTGCGGGCGCAGGGACGCGCGCGCAGAGAACAAGGATGCAAGATGCAACCGGCGGTAGCGAAGGAGAAGACAAGTCAAGGGCTGAACACTCACTCCTTCGTCATCCTGTTCAGCCTTGCGGGCGCATAGAACGTGTACGGGTGGTACAGCGAGTTGATGACCACGTCGCTGACCTGCTGCGTGCCGCGGATGTCCATGTCGTCCGAGAGGTTGTCAAGATGGAACAGGTAGTTCATGAAGTCGCAGCAGACGCGCAGCTGCGGGTAGCCCGCCTCGGGGTAGCACATGGCCGTGAGCTTGCCCGCCTTGAGACCGTGGAATGCGCGCCGCTTCGCGTCGGAGAGCTGGTCGCCCGAGAAGAGCCACTGCTTGCACTCCTTCTGCGCGAGCTTGTGGTTCCGGCTGATGCGCAGGTCGAACGTGCAGTGCGAGACGAGGTCGGGGATGATGATCTTGGTCGGGGCCGAAGAGGTGGAGGTGGAAGCAGAAGTAGAAGACATTGTGAATGAGATGAAGAGTGTAGAAGATTATACGGAAATGTAGAAGAGATGCGAGTAGTATGAGCTGTAGAGATTTAAGCAGGTGTAGATGATTATGTGGTTGAAGGAACGAAGGGATAGAGGACCTGTAATGTAAAGGTCTAGAGGAGAAGACGTGCTGAAGGAAGAGAACGAAGAAAAGCGAGGAATTACCGAGCCATGTGCCTGCTTATATACGTCGTTCAAGTCAAGGGATCTGCTGTGTGAAATGACTGTGGAAGATTTTTTGCCCTGCCCTGCCCCGGACGGGCGGTAAACGCAGGATGTATCGGTGAAAGCAAGATCCCTGCAACGCAGACGACATCTCAGATTCGGTACCGGAAGTCTATCATTGGCTTACCATCCTCGCCCTCTCACCGATGCAGACGTAATGACATGTAATGTGTACATAACCTTCCGGCAAGAGCCGTGACGACAATGGGAGAAGTGTGAGAAGCACTGGACAGACCTGCATGCGGAAGCAAACGCAGAAGAGCCACAGACGACCCGAGATCGGACAGAAAACGCCACGCAGACGATGCGGCGGACGGGACGGACGGAGGGATCATTGCCGGGCTGTGGGTTTATTGGCTTGTAACGTGTGTGAACGCGGAATCAAATGCTCGCTGGGCGGTAAATTTTGGTGTCAGTGGTGCTATAGCGTAATGCAAGACCTCAACAAAGCAAACCAGGGCGATGGCTGGACCACAGGGTAGCCGAATTCCGGACGGTGTGAGATGGCCGACTTGAGCTGGAATCTGCGAGAACGGCCTGCGTTTTTTCTGAGCGTATCTACTGGTTTAGAGGCCGAAAGACAATAGCGTGTCGTCATACGCAGTGTCGGTGCCTATGGTCCCGTCGGGACCGATGAGCAGAGCTTCTATGATGCTGTAGCCAATGTAGCGCTTCCTAGAGCCTATAGGTTATTCTTGTTTCGCGGACGTTTATCCATTGTTGTCGGAGCAAACTTTCTATTTTGCGAGCTTGATCGAAGTGAACAGGAACGCGTTCATTGATTTAGCCGGTCGCAATGGGAACTGACGGAGGAAGGAGGAATTAGAGCTGTAGTTAGGAATAGAACAAGACGCGCCTTGGCTGTGCGATATTTCGGAGACCGGGGTATGTCCGAAGACATTGGAACATTGACAACAGTTGGCTCTGGGCTGTTCATGAGCACTGCAGCAATTAGGCACTAGACAAAGGCAGGCAACGAAGCCTGTTCATCATCCCGTCAATAGCGAGGAAATACAGCCCCGAATGGTGACCGATTCTGATGAATGCGTTGAAAATTTCATCGATGCATGCCATCATGAGCATATGGGCACGTCCTCGAGCTAACACCGAGCATATGCTGTCCAGGCCCGGAACGTCTCAAGCGCCCATCCCGTTCGATGAAACCGTGCGATCCACGCAGAGAAAGCTCCGAGTCAGAAGAGCAAGGGCCGGTGCGCTACTTGTTGGCGTCCGTCGTGGTACCCATTATGGCGGATCGATTTTGCCTCCATAGAGACAAAGATGGACGGGAATGGACGCATGACGTCTAAGTTGCCATTGGCCGCGTCTCAGATCCAGATTTTGACCTGGTTGTATGCGCGTAGAGCTAAACGCGTAATAGATGAAAAACATGTGAGAAATGAGACAGGGCAGACGCTCGATGAGAGACGGCGATTGCGAGTATCCACAAGGATGGGTTACTTGTCTTGCATTTCTCCGAATCAATTCTTGAGGATTAGGTTTGTATGGACCGTGTTAGCTCCCTGGCAAAGGCCGAGTGCGGTGTTGAGCGGGGTGGGACCTGATGGCAAAAACGGCGAATGGAGGTTATGGACATGGCGGGCCGGAGGTGTGTAATGAGTGCGCTGGCAGAGATGGCCATGTCGATATCGATTGTGCAGCATAAAGTGCTCTAGTCTCAGGTGGATTGCGCGAAAAGTGCTGTTCGACGAAATGGAGGGACTGGCGCAGTCAGAAGCGCAGGTCGGCAAGGACCGACTCACCTCATAAACTGCTTCTTTCGTCACTCCTGTGCTCGTCTACCAAGTCAACCTCCAGCTTCAACAACACGCTCGCTCTCTACCTGCGTCTCTTTCTGCGGCATAAACCAGTCTTCTCGCTTGCTCGCTATGAGCAGCCCACAAGGCAGCCCGAATACCCCAAGGCGGGTCTTTGGCGCCACGGATCTCTTGGGCGTGGACGATGCACCGGATGTGTCCCCCGACCGCAGACGCGTCTCTGGAGGAGGACGTAGTCTTCGTCGTCCAAGCTTCATTGGCCGCTGGAGGAGCAGTATTTCTGGATCTTCAGACGGTGGCGACGGCACCAAATCGATTGACAAACCCCCCATCCCAACCGCCATCCAATCCTCAGAAACGTATTCGACTCCTTTGCCCACCCTTTCCATGACTGTCTTATCCATCGTGCGTTATTTCCCATTCAGATGCATTTCAATACCAACAGTACCCATTGTAGACTATGCTTGGAGAGTTCTTGTCCGCCAACGTATCAATGCCCTTCCTCCTCCTTATGGTCAAAGGTCCGTCCAGTTCCCGTGATCACACGACCAGCACTCAACAGTGAACTTCAAATAGGATTTGGCACTCTTCACGATGAGGCGGAGATAGCGTTCTGGACGGGCATTCTTGGTACGTCATCACATACTTCTCGGTCACCTTCCAAAACCTGACGCGGACGTGCTGCGCGCGCAGTCTCCACCTTCTTCCTCACCCAGTTCTTGACGTCTTTGCTATGGGTCCGTCCGTCACCTGCATGTCATCTGAGACCACGCTAATCATTAGTTTCTGCCTCTATCAGGCCACTGCAGCAGACCGGCACGGCCAGCGAAACGTTCTCACCTTGTCCTTATTTGGAAGCGCAGTGACCGTCCTTCTCTTCGGCACTGCGACGACGCTGAAGCAGGCCATCGTCATCCGGCTTCTTCAAGGCATCTTCTCGGGCGCCGTTGGAGTTGCGAGAGGTTGTGTTACTTCTATCACCGACACCAGCAATGAAGGAAGAGCTTACGCGATTATGGGGTGAGCAATCAATCTCCAGATCTGCGCTTATGCGACAGCTGAACGTGACATTGCTACAGTTTCTGCTGGGGCATTGGTGGTGTCGCGGGAGCTATCATCGGTGGGAGCTGTGAGTTCTCGCTCCTATTGTCGCACTTTCACCTCAGCCCTGATGTCCCGCCCTCCAGTTGAGTCGCCTGCCCAGAAGTGGCCGCAGGTTTTTGAGAAGTATGAGCTATTCGTCAAGTACCCTTACCTCCTGCCCTGTGCGGTCGCCGGACTCATTACACTTACTGGTGGGTCAAGCTTTTACTTTACGATTATTCTAGAGCTTACCCAACTCACCCCAAAAAACCTTGTGCGCACAATCACCCTAGGCTCTTTCTTATCCCTGTTCCTCGCGCGCGACGGCGGCCCGCGCGGCGGCGCAATCCAGCTCCCGCCAGAAAAACTCTCCCCCGACCGGCCGGAGCCCATCCCGGAGGAAGAGGAAGAGGAGGACGTCCTCGGAACGCCTGACCTCGAGGCCATGTCGTCTAACCAGGGGCGCAACAATTCGCTCACAGGCTCGCTCAGGCGCACGCTCGCGAACCGCTTGTCCAATTATTTCCCGCGCACGGATAGCATGCAATCAGGACATTCGGAGGCGCCGTCACAGTCCGTCCCGCTGTCGGCGTCGCCCCGCGTCTCGCGCACGAGCCGCGCAGACGGCTCCGCATACGGGTACACGGGTCCGCGTGGGCGCGGGGTTAGTGGATCGTTTGGTTTTGGTGGGCCGAGGCGCGTGAGCGTTGCGAGTTCGCTGAGGCGGCGGAGGGGCAGTGGGGTGGAGGGAAGCTATACTGTCTCGGGGTCGTTCTCGGAGAGCGCGGCGGACCTCAATTTCGCACAGCGGTTGTTGCTCGCGAACGAGAACGCGGTGACGAACATTGCGGATCTGTGGGTCGCCGCCGCGATGAACGTGGACGCCGAGGACCCGTTTGAAAATGAGTCGGATATCGAGGAGGACATTGCACGTCTACGGCGCCCCGAGGACGGCGGCGAGCCATCTGGCTCGTTCGCGGGCGACGACGAGTCGTACCGCGATTACCCCGATGTGGAGCACGCCGCGGAATACTCAGACGCAGGCACAGCGCGCGCCGACGCCGATGAAGCGACGGACGACATCAACTCGATCACCTCGACCCCGGTCGCGCGGCGCACGATGGTCTCGCCCTCGCCGCACCTGCCGGCCTCCCCACGCATCGGCACGCGCGCGTCGATGGTCACGTTCGCAGCGGACCCGCCGCGCCGCGCGTCGTCCGCGCTCCGGCGCATGCCGAGCGCGACACCGTCGATCTTCTCGCATGCGGGCGTGCGCACGCCCAGCGCGGTGCTCGATGCGCAGGCGCGGGCTGAGGAGGGCGTGGCCGCTATCGATCTCGGGCCTAATCCGCCGTTTTCTGAAGGTGCACATGGCCACGGCCAGGCTTCCGGCTCCGGCTCGGGATCGGGGCTGGGAGGAGTTGGCCTCGGCATCGTCGCGGGCGGCATTGCGGCTGCTGCGCCCGGTACGCAGGCGGCGCGGCGCACGGCGAGTGGGGTGTCGATGGTGCGCACGAGCACGATGGATGCGATTATGGAGGGGGGGAGAGAGCAGGAGGCGCAGCCGCCGTCGCTGATGTCGCAGCTGCCTATGCTGGTTATTGTGCAGTATGGGCTGCTGGCGCTGCACAGTACGACGCATGATCAGGTGTTTTTGTCGTATCTTGTCTCGTGAGTTTCCAGTTGCGTCTTTGCAGGGGTGGAGAATGGGAGCTGACGTGTGTGCGAATAGGGACTATGGGTCGGGAGGGTTGAACCTCAATCCGGGGCATTTCTCTCAGCTGAGTATGTCGTGAATGGCTTGTTCTTCTGTAGATGGGCGCTAATGAGGGTTCGGTTCTCAGTCGCGTTGATGTGTCTCGCTCAAATCGTGTATCAATTCTATCTCTATCCGTGCGTCCTACCCTACCTTCTTGCTTCCCGTGTCTTGGCTGACGTTTTCCTGCCTTGCAGAAACATTGGGTACGCCTTTGTCTTGTCCTCTTGCTCCTCCGCTCCTTCTCATGATGGATGGCATTGCACAGCCCTCCTCGTGGTCGCTTCTCTCACCTGACAATGTTCCGCATCGGGTCGTTTCTCTTCATCCCAGCCTATGTGACCGTCACGATGTATCGTGTCTTTGCGAGCCCGAACAATGATGGGAACTTTATCCTCATGAGTGGTGCGTTTTTCACTGCCCCGTCAGTATGTATATAGCGGCTAATCTATATACGTCTGGCCAGCCCTCGCCGTTAGCACGTAGGTCGATGGCGTTTGAGCCATTGCATGATGTCTGACGAGAATGTTGTGCAGGGCGATTCGATACTGCGGGAACACGTTTGCTTACACCGCTGTGTCGATACTGTTGAACTATAGTGAGTCCCCAATCGAAGTCCGTGAAGATAAGTAGCTGACTCTTTCGCTCAAGTGACACCGCCGCACGTCGTCGGCTTCGCCAACGGCGTCGCGCAGAGTATCGTCAGTCTCGCGCGGTGCTTTGGGCCCATTGTCGGAGGATACGTGAGTCCCGCCCAATCCCTTCTTGATGTAGCGGCTTGCTCATGTGTCATCCCTCGCTTCCTTGGGTTGTATATGGTGTGATAGCTCTGGGCCGCCAGCACGCAGGACAACCCCGCAGGGTACCCGATCGGTTTCTTTGCGTGCGCCGCGTTCTGCGCGTTGGCCATCGCACACAGTTTCTTCATCCGCTAGAGTTGCATGGCTGTTCGCATTTACTGTAAATACCCCTCGAGGTTTTTGTTTCGTTTTCAAACCAGCATCTTTACGAGTTTCATGACTTGAATTACCAGTTGTGGCAAGGACGATCGATTGATTCTGTATATAATGTAGAGTTCGAGTACACCTGGTGATATTGATATGTAGATTTCTCGACATAACATCCTTGGTTCTGGCGCTATGTTTGTTACAGTAGCCGTAGTTAAGGCAAGCTTCAGCAGTCTTTGTCTTCACGCCAGAAAGAAGGGTTGGTTTCGCTGTGAAGAGAACCGGTAACGTGTCTGGTTGTCGGAGAAATGTCGAGAAGGCACATTTAGTAGGCGAAAGCCAGGGATGAATTGAAGAGAGCCCATCAGACGAAAGCAGGCATTCTACGACATTTGCCCCGTCGATGACATTGACACAAGATGCTGTAGAATGCTGTAGCTTCTCGGTGGCTATATGTTGAACGGCGCGACCTAACAAGTCCCCAGGCGGGCCACATGGCTAGCACTTGTCGTTCACCGTCATTGCCACTGACATTTCGGACATCTAAATCCCGGCCTTGACTTTGTCCTTCAGAAATCTGATAGGATTCGATTGACACTGGACCACAGCCTTGATGTCCTATATAACTGTTGTTCTGCCACACTCGAGATGCGCCAAGCGTCGAGAACGGGTCTCGTCGCTCAACCCACTAGGCTCGTCCTCCGCATAGCCTACTGCTAGAAGACAAGACCTCGGCCTCAACTTGAAGACTTGACCCGATCTCCTTCATCCCCCTCTCTCCAACAATACCTGGATGTCGACCGTCGACGCGATTCGGAACGGCGCGGCGCGTCACGATGAGCTCATCCGCCAGATTGGCGAACTGGATCACGCACCCCCAGCGCTGCAGGCCCAGCAGGAGCACGTCGCCGGGCTCGAGACGCGCCTCTGCAACGTCAAGATCAACATCGCGAAGTTCGAGAAGAAAACGGAGAGGGAGAAGAAGGAGCACAGGGATGTCAAGGATAGTATTGTCAGGTAAGTTCATGGGTTAGTGCTCTTCGTACACCGGAAGTGATGAGGTATGGTTTTTTGTAATGTGCAGGAAGCTCACCTATCGTATGACTGGCAAGGGCGATAAGTTCAAGGAGCGCATTACGAAGGAGGAAAAGTGCGTTGTCTGTCTGTCTTTGGACCATTCGAAGGGCATCATGCTAAACGGATTCAAGGGAGTTCGCCGACGCACTGGCCAAAGAGATGCGGGCGAAGGATTGGGCGGAGACGCTCCAAGGCATGTTGGATGAAGCGATTAAGGTGGTACGTAGGCTCATCCTCTGATCGCCTTGCCATTGGCTCGGCCGAGCTGACGTTGATTTTAGATGCAAGACCTCGCTGCCAAAACGGCCCACCATACGGAGCTCAAATCACAGCTCGACCAGTTGTACAGCTCCATCTTTGACGGTCCCACCTCCGGTACGTTTCCCTCCCATCATCTCCTCCGCCATCTCAGCCCTTTCTGATGGCGCTGACAGAATTCCCAATGGACGACCAACTTGAGCGCACGCTTTTACAAGCTCAGCAGCAGCATGACCAGATCCAGCAGCGGCTTAACAAAGAATCTCAAGTCGTCGACCTCCTGCAGCGCGCGGACGACTGCTGCAGTAGAGCAGAGGTGCAGATGAAGGAGGCGCTGGATTACTCGACATGGGACATGTTCGGCGGTGGGGTGTGCGCAGACATGGCGGAGCGCAACGCGCTCAACGCCGCGATGAGCCTCGCGGCGCAGGCGGAGATGATGGTGCACCAGGCGTCGATGCAGGCGAACAAGCCTGGAGATGTGCAGCTTGTGCCGGCGCTGCAGTTGCCGCAGATGTGAGTGGGATTCGTTACTTGTTTCAGCCAGGATAGATGCTGAATGTATTCAACAGCTCGTCGTTTGGAGATGTACTGTTCGACAATATCATCACCGATATGAATGCTCATGGTCCGCTCGGCTCTCTCGACCTGTCTATGATAACATGAACTGACCTTTACGGGGTATAGATAAAATAGAAAAGTCGGCAGCCCAGCTCCGAGCCGCCCACGAAATGGTAAACCCTCTTCTACCCAACATTCTCCTCCACCGCTCATCCACGCATGCACGCGCTCCTGCCAGGTCAAAGCACAGCTCGCCAGTGCACGCGCCCGCGCCGACGCGGTTGGCAACGACCTCGTGCAGGCATCAGACAAGCTTTCGAGTGCACGCACCGAGCTCGCGGCTTACCGCAAGAACATAATCGCCCATGTCGCCCACGGCAATGACAACAGCGCGAACGCTCAGCCCGCACCGCGGTATGCACCTCCACCCTACCTGCCTGCGGGCGAACCGATACCTATCTCGGAGGGACCGTCTTGTGAGTCGTGTTTGTTTGCTTTCTTTCGATCTTGTAGAGGGGAAACTAACGAAGTACCTGCGATCTCCCTAGTAGGAAACCGATATGCTGCGCATCCGGCATGCGCTGGGGCGGGTGAAACTTCGCCAGGATCGTGAGCGCCATTTTTTGCAAGTTGAGTTGGGCGCAGGCATCATAGCCGCAATGTTCCCGATACAAAGTCACGATCTCATGATCAGTTATAGCGGCTCACTCATTCTGCATCTGATACTGTACCCCTCTGCGATCGGCTTTCATCCCGAATGATCATAATCAATGTTACCCGGTTCAGGGTTGCAATGGAATATTTCGGCCCGTGAAACATGTATTGTATTCGCAACATTCCAGACAAAGTATTCAGGCACGAGAACATTGATGCTGACACAAAGAACATTTTCTTGTATAGGTTTGGAGGCGCGTATATAGCGTCTGTTGAGCGCCTGTGATTATGTCTCCGGACTTCCCTGACGCACGTTCGTTCCAACCAATTGAGTTTCTGGCTTTGCGATTTGCACGTGATCGGCGGGTTCTGCCGCATCAACTCCTTCATTTTGTATCTTCTCACGACTCTAATCCGAACATATTTCCATACGCTACCGCCTAGTGCATTCCTGGAGAAAACTAGTTAGTAGGGTGTGTTAGACTTGTGATCAATTCCCAAAGTTCACTCAGTCTTGCATTAGTATGTGACTAGCGTACTGAAGGTTGAGATCGATGAGATGGGGTGTCGAGGTCTTTGGAGTCTGGGCAGCACTCTGGACTCCGCGTGGCTGACAGCTGTCCTGCACCTGACTGATGCCGACAGCTGGAAGATGTTCGAAGGGCACAATCACCATGCGACTCGGCCGCGAAAAGAGGGGAGAAGCAGGAGGAGGCCCGATAAAGCCTCCATCAGCCCCGATCGGGCACCATCATGCAGGGTCGGCTTCGCTATCAACGTAGTCGTGGCGTTTTGAGGGGCGTAGCGCCCCTTTTCGAGGCAAAAGCATCCACCGATTAACCTTTCGCAGCACATGTTGACTAAATAGTTTTCGCTCCCGGTGTCACGCTCCGCGACGTGCGACGTGTTGAGGGAATATACATAGAGAGCGCGGGGTCGGGGCTTCCTCGGTTCACCCCCCCATCCTTCCCTTCACAGTCCCTCGTTCGCCAGCACGTAGCCTTCGCCAGCGGGAGTAGCGTCGTTCAGTCACATCGGTGAGCAGGAGCCGACCTACCCTTGAAGGACCTCGTACTCAACTCCGGAGAGGATGTATCGCGATGTTGCGGGAGCCGTGGTGAGGAGAGATTTGTCGATGTCCGTTCGGAGAGACGAGACGGCGGAGAACTACTACGGTGAGTCGCGCAGCTCAAACCGTCCGTCTTCCTTTATCTAACACTTCTCGCAGTGGTGGGGATGGTGCTGGTGACTTATGACTGGTGTGAGTATCGTTTGCGTGGATGTACAACTTCCCTAATGACAGCAATGTCTACTCTCAAGTGTTGAACTTTTCAACCGAGGTTAGCCATCCATGTCCAATATGTCGTAGTATCTTTCGCTCAACTCTAGCTCCCAGGTCGATGTTGTATGGGTAGGCGAGGCTTCTGGTGGTGCATTCTGATGTCGCTGACGCTTCACTCAGCGGAGACGGTTTTCCCTCGCCTCTGTGCTTTACCTCTTAGTGAGTCGCCATCCTTGTTTTAACTAGTCGGTTTTAATTAGATGTAGTTGCGATATATGTCCCTGGCGTTGATGCCGTACGTCTTCCTTTTACTATATATATTCGCGATCATGAAGCTTATCGCTCGCGCTCAGGATACACGCCGGTATGCAAGTTATCCGTTCTTTCTAAGGTGGCTCCTGATGTTTTATGGCAGTTTGGGGCTACAACTTGGCGGTGACGGATGAGGTGAGTCATCAGGCACACAAATACCGCATTCTCAAAGTAGAATACTGACTGGGGAATCGTCACGGCAGTGGTGAGTCCTTCCGTCGCTGTAAGGTCTGGCACATGAACTGACATTAATTGTTAAGGTGTACGTTTTCTTGTGTGATATGCGAAAGTTCTTCCTCATCCACCGGCCACAGGTCTCAACGTGAACATGGCCAACTGGCTTCTAACAACTTTGTGCATTCCGTGCATTCAAGGTAGAGCGTCTGAATCTCGTGCTATGATCGATTGTTGATTATGATCAAGGCATCATGCTGATACGCGTCCGCGCTGTTTATGGGCCGTCACGCTGGGTGCACAAGGTTTTGATAGCCGCGTTCGTCATCGAACAGTTGGTAGTCCAAATCATAGCGTTCATGACGTACCACCCTGGACCCAATACCTTCGGTGCTCATATCCATCCTCCATAAGGCCGATTTGCTTGTCTGACCTGCTTGGCGTACAGGTATCGAGTCTGACCTTCATGGCTATCACAACTGCAACACGCAGTTTGCGCTCCAGAACGAATATTTCGCACTGTGGTGCTTTGTGCAGCTTGCCTTCGAGGCGATGATGGCCTCCGTGTCGCTGTACACCCTGTACCAGCACATGCGTGAGATCCGTGCTTCGTATCGCAGGTGGAACTGGAACGACTTATTCGTCGTCATGGTCCGCGAGCACACCTTTTGCTTCCTCTTGTGAGTGAAGGCGGGGTTGTATTGCCTAGGGTAGAGGACTCACATAGCATGCTCAGATACATCATCTGGGGTACCCTTAACGGCGTTTCGAAACTGCCCATCCATCATCCTTACACAACGCCATGGGTGCGCACTACACCATTTCCGCCTCTTTCTCCGTTCTCACTGAAATGTGCTCCGTTGTTCAGGAAGGATACATCGAGGCGGAGCTCTTCAACTCGTTTAACTTCGTGCTGTCGTACATCCAACAGTACGTTCTCGTACCGCACCTCGTCCTCGACATTCGCCAGCGGTGCGCGACGTCGGATCTTACCACGCTCAACATCGAGCTTCCCACTCTTCAGTTCTCCAGTGCGAATCGAACAAGGTCATCTGTTGCCTCGAATGCCTGAAGCCACACGGGATGCGCACATGCACAAGTATTCTCTGTTTCACTATCATCGTCCCCTGGAAAATAGACATGTTGGTTATATAGTGTACGGTAGTCGCAGCTGTAGAACAAAATGGGTGATATACTTGGGACAGGTCAATGCGTGGACGATGACCACGTCCGCCCATTCACGCCTCGTAATATTATAGGTGTGGAAGAAATATTCAGGATATATACTTGTTCCATGGTCGTACTCAGTAGCGAATCCCTCCATATCTGCAAAAGTTGCTCCGAATTGATTTGGTGATTCATGGTGTCAGCGTGCAGGGCGACGTTAGACATGCGGATTTCCCCTGGGGCCAGTATTCCGCCAAGTATCATGGACATACAAGGCGGCCGCCCAGCCAGAGGTTTTCGAGGCCGGGCCAGGCGGTCATCATCGCGGCGAGATCATCATCTGAGAAGTCAACCTGGCAATCCCACCTCGGAATATTGATCTCCTTCAGCCGGTGCAGCCGAAACAAGGGCGTCAATGTTTTCATGCTGGTAGGCACATCAGACGCCGTACAACAGTGCAGCTCCAGTCGCTCGAGAACTGGAAAGCCACGAGAGATCATTGTAATGAGCGCAATGAGATCTTGACCGTGTGATATGTCGAGGGATAGAAATTTGAGCCCCGAGGGTGTTGGGAATATGGTGGATGTATCATCTCCGGGATCGAAATGCTCCGAGATGTTGACTCCAATTATAAGACGAGTCAAGAGAGGGAAACTTTGAGAAAATTGCCATAAAGTCTCGGGGGCTATGGAAGCCATTACATGCAAGCGGAACTCTAACTCCTCGAGTAAAGGAAGGGATCGTGCTATTTCCCAGACGTCAGCTGAGGAAAGTGAAATTCCGAGGTCTGAGCAGCGCAAGGAGAAGCTTGTCAATGACTGTAGAGAAAAAAGCGGGCGAAGGATATCAATGGTAATAAAAACTCCATCATCATCCAAGGGGACGCCCCCATCACCGTCTCCTTTAAACGAGAGATTTTTCAAGTGCTGAGGATGTCCCTGGGACAAACATGAAAAAACCTCTTCCATCTGTCTGGGCGAGAGACTCAAGCTCAGATTGGCTAACACAACCGTTTCCGGGATGGTCTCTAGACTATACAGGAAATCAATGGCGTTGTCGTTAAGATCCCTAAAGTTCACTTGAACAAGATCAAGAACGCGAAGAGCAGGAAATTGAAGCATGGTCGGATAGGGAAGCACAATTTCTTTCTCCCATAGGGATAAGTATTCAAGGCCTGGTAGTTGCGAGACGGCGAGGAGAGCGTCGTTTTCAAGATCGGGACATTTCAGGTACTCGAGTAGACGGAGCTGTTCTACAGCACGAGAAAGTGGTGTAACCATTGGATACTCGGGGTGCCCGTCTGATATGATCCAGTACCTAGTGTCCCTGGGCGGAGTGACCGCCAGTGACTTTAAGCGCGGACTCCGCTCTGGTAACAGCCTCCAAAATTCAGGATCGACGCCTTCGCTGAACTCCAATGTTAATGCGGAGGAATTTGGGAAAAAGAAGTCGCAGTGAAGTTGAAGGCTCCATGAAGCTGGACCACTAGTGCTGTTGATGCCATCGACGACGAGACTACGAAGCTTAGGGAAAACCTGCTCAATGGTAGATGATGATGACCAAAGTCTCCGGATAGCATGTTCGGTTATGCGCCATTCAGACAACACTGAGAGATGAAGGACACGGACACGGGTAGTGTAGCTCATGGCGTGCATCCAATCGTCGCCCGTGGTGAGACCCACGTCGGCCTATTCAGTGCCGAAATCAGATGTCAGCGTTGACGATAAAGGGTCCTACGCAGATGAAATACCTACAACCACACAGGTTCTCCATAGGTTCACCTCCATGACAGGCTTCAAGACTTTGATCAGGCAAATAAGCTCGATAGGTTCAAGGTCGCCTGACCAAAGACAGTCGAGCGCGGGCTCTTTCAACGTCTTGCATGTCCTGGCAAGTGCCGCCAACGACTTCACTGTAGACATCTGTGAGCAGAAGACCTGTTGGATCTCTGCTATCTGGAGTGCAGCGTGCATGGCCACGAAGGAGAATTGTCTGCGGATGATTGGATTTGATGGCTCCGGACGGGCTGTGGAAAGAAAACAGAGAACGCGCGGACTGTACCACATTTGAGCGGAGTCTGAATGCGAATGCGTGAACAACTGCGTCAAACGTTCGACCATCCAAGCAGCGATGATTCAGACTCGAGGCATGGAAACATCTCATGGATGGGATATACCAAGATGATTTTACCTTCAGTGGTATCAACAAAAGATATTCGAACGCAGGTGACGCGGCAGTGGGGTACGTGATTCCAGGGCAGGTCCAGCCTGAGAGAATGCGCTGCAGACAAGAGCAACTTGAATGTGTCCTTCAAGGCTGGATGTGCTCGGAGACTCGAGAGCGATGCGAAGGATGCATATGGTTTCACTGATGAGTAGGAAGCAACGCGCGGGGTGTTAGCGTTGCACCAGTACTGCGCGTACATTGGATGGAGTCAAGGAATGGGTATTGTAGTTGACGTATAAGCTGCCAGTTCGCGTTGAACTAGTGTACGATATCATACAAACAATCTAGAATATTCAGCTATAGTCTTACACTCCGCACAACTGCGGATTTCCTGTCCACCGAGCTTTCTCCTGCCTCCTGACCTGACGCATGATCCTAATCATCGCCCACACCTGGTCCCATCGTCGAGTCTGCTGAACGCTCTCGTCATCTGGCCAGATTTCAAGCTCGGACCAGGCATCGACGGAACCCTCGTTAGGGAACTGATCTGACAGAAGAGCCGCGACCATGACCATGTTGGATGCGCTGATGCGGGAGTCCGTCAAACTAAGGGGAAAATCGCCAGATCCGAGGCGGACGTTGTTGGGTGTAGACGCGTCCGCGGCGGCCTTGAGATCCACCTCGGTCAGAGGTGAAGTCTCAAAGTCAAGCGCAATAGCAAGTCTATCTAGATCAGCGAGGCGACCAAGGAGCTCAATGAGCCCATGCAAAGTGACGCGTGAGCGACAACGCCAACCCGAGCATGCATTGATCAACAGACGCTGGATTTTCGGCCAAGCGCTGGCCATCCCAGCGAGATCGTTGTCGTCAAGAAGCACAGAGCGATCCGTGTGTATGTCCACAGATATCAGGTTTCTGAAACAAAACAGTGGTTCGATCATTGCGCCCGTTAGAATAAATTGAGGCGATCCCTGCCCCGATGGGTCGTCTCTTTCCACGAGACTTAGGGAAGCCAGAGACTTTGTACAGCAGTGGTTCGAGAGCGCCTTTGTGAGTTCAGCTATTGCCCGCTCTTCGGAGTGTTCCCCAGAGGCAGTGAGGCTGCGGGGCGAAGTTCTCATCTTCTTGAAGAAGTTTGCAATGCTAGTCAGAGAGCGTCCCCGCGAGCATTCCAAGAAGAACGAATCAATAGCGGGGAAAGCAGGGTTCACGAATTGAGTGCCGTGCGGATTGTGATCCCCGAGGTGAGTCTGAAGCGATTGGAGGGTAGGCGATCCCGAAAGGTGCTGTAACGCTGCGTCGTCGAGGGCAGGACAGTTGACCGACTTTGGGCCATCCCAGGAGCATATAGTATTCGAGAATGTACGGAGGACTTGTGGATGATGCCAGCCATTGCCGGGGCTGTACCACCTAAAGTGACGCAGCGAAGGACAAAGCTCCTTAACCAATGTGACACGGCTCAAAAGGTGTGCATCCAAGGATATGTCGTCCGTGCGGACGTCCAGGCGGATCAGCGACGGACCAAGTAGGGAGCGTAGAAATGGCAACGCTTTCTGGACCAATGGATCCGCCCACGTCAACTCCCGAAGTTTGGGAAAGGGGCGTGAAACTGGAGCCCACGAAAGAACGTTGAGCATTTCGGGTTCGATTTTCTGTCCGATTTGAACGCGCTCCCCTTCCACGTCGGCCCACCAGATCGGAGCCACGGCTTTAATGGTAACAACACGCCGGGCATACTTTAACAGGGTGTTCCAGTCGGCGACGACGAAGGCACGCTTCAGTGTGTAGATCTGTGCAGTTATGAATACAATGTGTATGAACGATTTGGAGAACACGTACTGCAGACCCTTTCTCGACCGTAGCTCCTACTAGATCGGATGGAAGACAGCGCAACAGCGGGGCAATCGATTCCAGGATTGACCAAAGAACGTCTAGGGAAGGTTCGCTGAACGAGCGGCAGACGCGAGCGAGAGTTGAGAGATCCTTGTCGGATGGCACGTGGCGTGCTATGCTGAGTATCATCTCGTTAATCAGGAGGACACGGTGCATGGGTGGTATGAACGGAGAGCGGGTGGACGGTGACAAAGGGAGACGTTCAGGTTCTGAGAGGGAAGAAGTCAACCACCACACGAGACCGCGATGTGATTTAAGGTTTGGGCCACCAGCCTTTGACGTCGCCATATACAGCGTTGGTATGTGATGCTACACCGACCGGGCGCGGTGGAATGTCCCGCGCTTCTACCATTCGCGTCATCACTCCTCGACATCGTCGCTTTCCTCCGAGTCAGCGTCCAGATCCGCCTTCCCTGTCCACCGTGCCTTCTCCTGTCTCCTGACGTGAAACATGACCTTCATCGCGTCCTCCACCTGCGTCCACCTCTCCTCATACACCGCCACCTTCTCCTTTCCATCGTCTTCATCTGCGTCCTGACCACTCACTCTCATTCCACGATTCTTCCAGAAATCAAAGTGTCGCACGTAGGGGAAAAGGTCCGATAGAAACGCAGCGACGACGAGAACATCCTCCCTTCTTATCCTCGAGTCCAGCAAGTCCAACGCAAAATCATCGTGCAGATAGCGAATTCCCTTGCGGTTTGTCTTTTGCCCAACCTCGACTTCTCTGGGGGTCAGCCGCTCGTAGTACGCATCTACTGCAATGGAGAGGGATTCAAGGAGCGGGAGCCTGTCAAGGAGGTGAGGGAGAACGCGTAGGGTGACGGCTGGGCGGGTACGCCAACCCATGTCCGTGTTGATCTTGAGGATTCTGAGACCCGGCCAGGCGGTGGCCATCTCGAGGAGATCAGCGTCGGTGAGGGCGACGCTGCGGTACGTGTCAATCTCGAGCTTGTCCATGTTGTATAGGGAGAAAACGGGCCGGATCATGGCACATGTCAGAGATGAGTCTGCGGGTATTTGATGGAGCTCGGTAGGGTTTTCCGCAATCGTGAGCGTGTCGAGTCTGGCAACGTCACAGTGCGTTCCGAGCGCCTCGGTGACCTGGGCAATCGCGTGGGTTTCGATTGTATCTGCGCCCACCCATAGCTCTTCCGGGGAAATCATCGCGCCATTCAACAGGGTTGCAATAGTCGACAGGGGAAGCCCGGGCGGGCTACTCAGCAAAAGTCGCTTGACAGCGGGAAATGTAGGAAGAGCAAGAGAAACGGTGTCTGGAAAGGGGCCGTCGAGAGTGGTGTTGAGTACTCTCAAAGAGTTCGAGGGGGAGAGGTGCTGCAGTGCGGTGCTGTTGAGCACAGGACACCTCAGATACGTAAGGTTGTTCCATTGACAGATTGTGTTTGAGAAGATGCGGGCGTCGTTGTCGTCGTACCTCGCGAACCTACTTGTATCCCATATGAATTGCCTCATCAATGGACACGTCTCCGGGAGGAAGGAGACAAGGCTCATGACTTCCACGCCAAAATTGTCCATGAAGACGTTCAACACAGTGATAGATGGGCCAAGTAAAAAGCGAAATAACGCGACAGTGGGCCGAGCGGAAGGTCCTCGCCATACGAGCGTACGGAGTTTGGGCAAGAGAGGCTGTAAAGTTGGGGGTGAGGAGAGAGTATCGACAATCACCTTGTCCATGATCTCTTCCAGTTTTGTGCGCTTTCCATTGATGATCACGTATGCTCCAGATGTTACGCCTTTGAGAGCCACAACGCGACGAGCATACTTCATGAACGTCTCCCAATCTGTTTCCGTGAGAGGGCGTATAAAGGTGTAGGTCTACATGTAGAGATGAATTTCATTATTCAGTGTATACGAGAAATCACGCACCACGTCCTGAGGATACTGCGTTCGTTCGACGAGATCGGCTGGGAGGCAGCGAAGCAAGGGTAGAAACGAGTCCAAGCTGTACCATAGCACATCAAGTGCCAGATCAGTAAACCCACGGCAGACCCGTGCGAGCGCTGAAAGGTCTTTGTTGGCTGCATGCCACGCAATGTTGAAGACGACCTCGTTGATGAGAAAGACACGGTGCATGGGCGGGAAAGGCTAGGCGACGTCGATCGCGCGCCGACGCGGCGCTCTCGAGAAATTTGAGAAAAGGGGTTATCAGCCTTAAACGGATGTATCTCCTATGTCAGTACTAAACTTCGCATCGGCGTGTTAAACACAAGCCGTCCATGCCTGTCACCGAGATTATCACAAAATTATCAAGGTATCAATATATGCGATACAAAATTATGAATTCGCCGCGCAATAGGCAAACAATGAGACTATTCATCGTGCATGAAGTAGTTATCACCGGTGCACTGTGCACCTCAAGCTGTGGTAACCGCCATACAGCGAACCTTCTCTTGTGCCCTCACACGCTGCAAGATATTCATCATCCCTTCTATCATTCTCCATCGTTGTCGAGGCGCCATGATACCACCACTGCCACTCTTAACTTTCTCTTCCTCGCCATCTTCATCGTCGTCACTACTGTAATCGTTCCAATCATCCTCATCTTCAGCGTCCACCGGAGGAAATTCCATCGTCCAGGCTTCGAATTCATCCAACTGCGGGAATACGTCAGACAGGTACGCCGCGACGTCCATCATGTTAGTAGGAGACACGCGCGAGTCCAGCAGATTAAGGGAGAAATTTGGGGAGGTAACGCGGGGTGCTCCGGGTGGATCCGCCTCAAAATCGATCTCTTTGACGGGCCCCTCGGCGTTAAACGCGATGGCGAGTTTCTGCAGAGACGGGAGACGCGTGACAAGACCGCGCAAGACATGCATGGTGACACGTGGACATGTACGCCAGCCGGCGCTTTCATTGATGCTGAGGACTGCCAGCTTCGGGAGTGCTTCGGCTAACTCGAGAAGGTCACTGCTAGTGAGTAGAATGGTCCGAGCAGACTTAATCTGCAGTTGGGTAAGGTTGCCGAAGCGGAAGACAGGGCGGATCATCGGGCAGGTAAGAAGGATATCGTCGGACTGCGAGAACCGAGTAAGCGTCTCGGTTACTTCTTCTGTGATGTGGAACACTTTAAGAGCTTCCCAATTGCAGCGCTCTGAGACTGCGTCTGTGAGATCAAAAAATGCGCCTTCGGAGCTAGTGTCTGACATGACGTTGAGCATATCGGGACAAAGCATGCTGGTGTTCATCCAGTTGGCGAGAGTTGCAAGTGTTTGACCTGGTGCCAGTGGGCTCCTTAACAGGAAGGCCTTGGGACCGGAGAACGTGGAAGCTATTGTTTTGGGGACCTGGGAGTCTGGTAAGGAGCCACCCACAGTCGCATCGACGTACAGGAGCGTATCGGAGGTGGAAAGGCTCTGCAATGCGTGGGCGCTCAACGTAACTCCGGACAGGTGTATGAGGTGTTTCCATGATACTACGGTGCCGGAGAATGCGCGAACGGCATGATCATCGAAGGGCGCTTTGGTATCCCAGCAAAAGACGCGCATATATGGGCAAGATTCCCCGAGAGTGGCAACTAAGTCTGACGCAGGCTTGTCCAAGACGTTCGTGAAGGCGAGAAAATGAGTGATGGTGGGTCCTATGAGAGTGCGAAGTAGAGGTAGAGCGTGATGATCCGCACTTTTCCATCTTAGCATGCGTAGATTGGGGAATGGCCGGTCAGTCGGGGGTTTTGAGAGAGCGTCAACTACGGAGGCACCAACGATTGGATAGTAATTGGAACGTGTCTTCAGGGAGTTGGCGAGATCAGGTTCGAATTCATCTCTGCTTGAGAGCGAGAAAACGCGACGGGAATACTTTAGGAAAATATCCCAATCGGCAGTGGTGAGGGAGCGCTTGAGAGTATATTTCTATTGGCAGACTGAGCAATAGGTCCAATATAGGTGTTAGAAGTCATACCAGAGTTTGGATTTTCTGCCCTGCTTCAATTGCGAGAACGTCGTCTGGTAGGCACATGAGGAGAGGGAAGAGAGAGTCTAGTGTAGACCACAGAACATCGAGCGAGGGATCGCTAAATGAGCGGCAGACACGTGCAAGAGCTGAGATATCTTTATCATCTTGAACATGACATGCAAGTCTGAGGATGATTTTGTCGTTGAGGAGGGCGGTGTGCATGGCTAGGTGGTTTCTGGCGCTGACTACTGAGCGATTCAACGCGAGCGTGACGCGCGTCAACGCGTTTTCATTCGCGATGTGGCAGACCCTGAGAAGGTTCGCGTGGCAGACAGGGGCTAATATCCACGAAGACGAGCCGTCGCAAAGAAACGACAATTTCCCAAACGATTTACCTAGGGGACGTTCAACGTTCAACAATCAACCGTTACAACAGCTATCATGCTATGAGTATGTAAGCATATATGCCGGTGAGCACATCCAAAAAGTGATTGAATTCAGCCAACGTTGTCTTGAACGTTCTCCAACTCAGAGAATTAATAAAGCGGAATCGAGGCTCGAGCGGCATCGCCAAAGCTCATATTTTCCACTGCCACTGGATAACCCTCCCTCACTCCCAGCCGTATTGTGTTCAAGCCTCTGCAGTACCCAACCAGCGAGCCCTCTCCTGTATCCTAACACGCTGCATCAACTGCATCATACCACATAGCCCATCCCACCGCCTACGATACACATCCACACTCCATTCGTCAGGATCCAACCTCTCATCTTCATCCTCATCCTCGTCCTCATCCTCGCCAAGTTCTTCGTCAGCTGTGTGAAAGTCCATGTCCCAGTACTTGAACATGGGCATGTTCGGAAACAGATCCGACAAAAACGCCGCGACAGCCATCGTATTGGCCATGCTCACGCGCGAGTCTAGTACGTCGAGTTTGAACGTTTCCGACATGTTGCGGGCCATCGTCCTTGCATCCGGACCCACGTCTATAGGGATGGCTTGAATTCCCCCAGTCGGGGCTACAAGTGCTAAGGCATTGAATGCGACGGCAAGCTTGGTGAGGGAAGGAAGACGTGCGACGAGCCCGCGCAGGACGTATATAGTTGTGCGCGGACGGGTGCGCCAGCCGGCATTCTCATTGACAGATAGCCTTCCGAGTTTGGGTAACGCGTCCGCGAGGTCTAGCAAGCTTTTGTCGTCGAGCATGATGCTGCGAGCCGTGTTGATGTCCAGGTCGACAAGGTTACTCAAGCGGGACAACGGGCGGATCATTGAAAATGTGAGTACAAATTCACCTGGGTCACATAGTTCGTCGGCTTCACCCGCAACTTCTTCTGTAACAGAAAAGATATCAACGGATTCTAACTTGCAATGCGTCGAGACGGCCTCTGTAAGATCTGCAATAGCTGTGTCAGTGGTGATGTCCGCATCTAAGGCGAGCCAACTCGGAGAAGACTGTGATGCGTTCATGAAATCCGTGAGCGGGGCGAGTGTCTGTTCTGGAAGGGCACTCAACCAGAGTAAACCAACAGAAGGAAATCGAAGTGGCGACGACAAGACCGTGGCCGGGAGAGACCCATCAAGGATAACATCCATAGTCATAAGCTTCTTCGAGTTAGAAAGGGACTGCAGCGCATTTCCGTTCAGAACGAGGCCTGAGAGAGACTGGAGGTGATCCCAGGTGGCGATGACGTCCGCAAGTTTGGTTACGAGGCGCTCGCTGAACCCGGCTTCCCCGACGCAGCCTAATCCGCCAAGGCGGGGACACATATGACCGAGCGCGCTGAGTAGTTCTAGAGCCTGATCACTAGAGAGAGTCGCTGGCATATTGAGATGGGTTACGGATGGTCCGAGTAGGCTCATCAAGAGAGGGAAGGCCATGCTGGGTGCACTTTGCCATTTGAGCGTGCACAGTCTCGGAAATAGGTGGAATGGGGGCTTGGAGAGTGCGGTCAAGACGGTATCATTGATGATGAGTTGAACCCTCGTTTGGATTCGCCCATTCGAGAAGCAGCCGCGTTTTCGCTTGGTGGGTTGGATGCCCTCTAGAGACACGACACGACGAGAGTATTTGAAGAGCGCGTTCCAGTCGGCAGCGGTGAAAGGGCGAGCGAGGGACCACGTCTGACGGAAAAGCTGGAGCAAATGATAGCGAGTGCTGAAAGATAGCGTACCATGGATCCTTTGACTTCACCATCCTCTGCCAGTACAAAGGGACCGGTGGGAAGACACGAAAGCAGAGGAATCAATGAGTCCAACGTATGCCATAAAGCGTCGAGTGCAGGATCGCTGAATGACCGGCACACCAGAGCCAGAGATAAGGTGTCTTGATTAGCTCGAACATGATACGCAATTCCAGAAACAAGCTCATCGATGTTGAGGGCGGGATGCATGAGTAGATACTGGACTGGGTTGGGACTTGGTGTTAAGTCAGTGTGCCTAAGCTCAGTAGCGTCAGATGCGCGACGCGACGCGTTTTTGCTCGTGAGAAAGTGGCGAACAGCCGTACTTGTGCCAGGTACTGCCATGTCGTGACCAAATATCTCTCACACAGTTTTATCTTCCTTCTCTAAGTCGCCTTTTCTGCTTCCTGAACGAACGTATACCTCGCTTCTCCCCAGACCGGGCCGCGTACTTGCTAGTCGTCAAACATCGTGCATTGTGGAAAACGGTGAATAGTAACGCTGCAGCAGCATATCTGGCGCGAGTACCTGAGTCGATTCCGGGGTCAAGCAGGTCTCACTCACAGCTAGGAATTGTCGTGCGTGGATCCTTGTTTGACGAGTTGATGAGCTCTTGTATTGTATCACAATCGATAAGGGTGCGCTCAGCGTCGCGACGCCAACAGGCATCAACCCGAAGTGCCAGGATGGAGTTCGTACGAAGGCTGATACACGCATGGAAAAGGGACACGAAGGTCTGACTTCACCAGCCTTGGCGGAATCGGTGACCGCTGCAGAACAGCCCCGCTATTCAAAGCTTTGCACAGATAAATGTTCACTGGATACAGTAAATAATAAAGAGAAAAGTGCGCACATCCATGGCGACGAGGCATCAAGAAGAGGGAAAGATTAGATAGCATACTGGCTATCTGTTGCTCAGCGTTAGATCCTTCGCCCACTTTGCCTTTTCCTGAATCCTAATCTCTCGCATAGTTTCCATGGCCAGCTCCACCTCTAACCAACGCCCGACCTGGGTGCTAACATTATTATGTGCTGGGCTATCTACCTTCCAGTAGCCGAAAGCTTGTAAGTTGGGGAAAAGATCGGTGAGAAACGCCGCAACGGCAAGCATGATGCGAGTTCCTGAGCCAATTCTAGAGTCCAACAGGTCAAGCGTGAAACCAATGGCCATGCTGCGGCTGCTCTCAGTCGATGAGGCGCTGACGAGCTCTCCGAGGGAGTTAGCATCTGCTGAAATGCGCTCAGCATCGACAGCCAAGCCAAGCGATTTCAAACGCGGCAGACGCGCGAGCAGGGGACGCAAAACTAGAAGTGTAACCAGTGAACGAGTCCGCCAACCGGCATAAGCGTTCAGCTCAAGTTTATGAAGGTTTGGCCACGCGCTGGCCATTTCGAGGAGATCATTGTCGTTAAGCTGGATGCCCCGGTCAGTGTTGATATCAAGCGAAGTGAGGTTTCTGAAGCAGAGTGCAGGACGAAGCATTGGACACGTGAGGAAGAAACGAGGGTCTCCGTTTTGCAGCGGAAAATCGTCCTCTGCAACATGAAGATGACTAAGCACGTCGAGGTCGCAGTGAGCTGAGATCGCCCCTAGAAGTTCGGTGATTGCGACCTCCTCCGTCGTGTCAGCAGAAAAGCTGAGGTCGATAGGGGACATGGTAATTCTTTTGATGAGGTCTGCAAAGACGGCCAAGGTGTGCTGTGAGCTGCGCTTCAAGGTGAGCACTTTAAGGGCAGGAAATGCAGGGCTGTCAAAGTGGAGATTATCTGGAAAGGGTCCATGGAGGCTGGTAGTAAGCTTTTGGAGACATTGTGACGATGAAAGTTGACGGAAGGAGTTGTTGTTGAGCGCAGGAACGTTCAGCTTGGTGAGTCCTGCCCATGCGCATGCAGTACTCGAGAAGATGTCAAGTCCGTGACGAGAGAGCGTAACATCGCTGTCCCATTCGAACTCGCGCACCAACGGGCATAACTTTCCGAGCGCGGCAACAAAACTCATAGCAAGCTTGTCCAGAAGCATGTTCCCTGTACGGATTATGAGGCAAGCAGTATCCGGACCCAGCATAGAATGTAACAACGAGAAAGCTCCTCGATGTTCCCATGTCATATTGCGGAGTTTCGGAAATGGGAACGAAGTTGGCGGGGTGATGAGGACATTTTGGATCTCGGGATGTATTCCCTGCGTAATTGAGGCTTCTTTTCCATCAGTGATGATGGTCCTTTGTCCTAATCCCCATTTCAAGCTAACAACGCGCCGGGCGTACTTCAGAAAGACAGTCCAATCGCAGTCGGTGATTGGACGTTGGAGTGTGTATTTCTACGTATGTCACATGATGAAGCTACAGTCGTCTGCTTCGCGTGTGATCACACACCAGCGTTGAGCCATTGCTATCCTCTCCGATTAGGTCTGCAGGGAGGCATCGAAGCAGAGGGACGAAGGAGTCCAGCTGATACCACAGCGCATCCAGCGCCGGCTCGCTGAACGACCGAGAGACCCGAGCGAGCATTGCGAGATCCCTGTCATGTTTTGTTTGGCGCGCTACATTGAATACGACCTCATTGATGAGAAGTGCGCGGTGGGTGGACGTCGTTGACATTGGCCAGAGATAGTGGTGTGTCGCAAACACAGGCCAGGCTTGACGTCGACGACGCGACCGTAAGAACGCATGTGATAATAGGGGTTTAATTATCACCAGCTCGAGACAACGTTGCAACATCGAAAAAGAAATCAATGCATTTGGAGGGGGAAAATCGGTTTCAGAATTCTTAAAAATATTACCAACATGGCACTACCAGAGGGAATTTGAGCACTCAACTTCTGATTGCCTTCAGCCAGACGCCTGCTACTTGCCCGCTATTAGCTGAAACTCCAACCCAACGTCTATCCTGTAGTCCGAGCGTATGCGCAAATTCAGAGTACCACACATCTGGTACGTTAGAGAAAATTTCCCGACGCCGTCTTCCTAATATACCGTCGGCGCTGTGAACGTGACTGGACGGGTAGCGTGTGTAGGTCCGGGGCTAAATGTACGTCCGTGACTACGAAGCATCAAATAAGCAGGTATTTACTGATCATCCATCGCACATTAATAGTTTCCTCATCTACCTCGCCTTTTCCTGACTCTTGACCTGACGCATGCTCTCCATTTCTCGCTTCACCGCTGACCACTGCTCCGCTTGCGTGCGGGCGTCAGCATGGGTCGGGTTTTGTACTTGCCAGTAGTCAAAGTATCGAAAGCTGGGGAAAAGATCGGATAGAAACTCTGCAATAGCGTTTATGATGCGAGCGCCTGCGCCGATTCTGGAATCAAGCAGGTCAAGCTTGAAGGCAGGGACCGCGGTACGCGGGTTGATGGACGAGGAGTGAGTGAGCTCTTGGAGTATTTTATCGTCAGTAAGAGCACGCTCGGCGTCAACGGCGATCGAAAGACGTTTCAAACGCGGGAGACGGTCGAGCAGGCCACGCAAAACGATAAGAGTGGCTTGCGAATGTATTCTCCAGCCACTGTGGTAGTTTAAGCTAAGGTTTCCAAGCTTTGGCCACGCACTAGCCATTTCGAGGAGATCATCGTTGTTCAGCTGGACGCTCCGATCCGTGTTGATGTCGAATGAGGCGAGGCTGCTGAGCCGGAGGGCGGGACGGAGTGTCGAAGACGTCATGCAAAAATGCGGCTCTCTATGCTGTGAAATGTCGTTCTCTACAATCATCAAATAGTCGAGTATCTCGGGGTTGCAGTGAGCTGATATTGCTCCTATCAGGTCGGCGAGTGCAGCCTCCTCAGTACTGTCGGCGAAAAGATTGAACATTTTAGAGGAGATGGACATCTTCTTGATGATATCTGCAAACACTTTCAGGGTACGCCGTGGAGGGGTTCTCAAGGTGAGAAATGTAATAGCTGGAAATGCAGGGCCGTCGAACTGGATATTGTCTGGGAAAGGTTCCTGAAGCTCGGTGAGGAGCTCTTGAAGAGACTTCGAGGATGAAAGCTGGCGGAAAGAGGGGATGTCGAGTGCAGGGAGCCTCAGTGTCCCACTCGAACTCGCGCATCGACGGACATAGATCTCCCAGTGCGACGACGAGGGATATAGCGGCCTTATCGAAAGGCATCTCTCCCATGAGGATGATGAGGCAAGTGACTGAGGGACTGAGCACAGAGCGTAGCAACGACAAAGTTCCCTGGTGCTCCCATGTCAGCTTACGGAGCTTCGGGAACGGATGTGACACAGGCGGAGCACTAAGCACGTTCAGAACCTCGGGATGGATGGCTTGCGCGGCTGAGGAGTCTTTCCCATCGATGCTGAGTGCCCTTGATCCCAAACCCCAGTCAAGGTGCACAACACGCCGGGCGTGCTTCAAGAAAATGGTCCAGTCGGCGGAAGTGATGGGTCGCTGGATAGTATATGTCTAAGGCGCGTCATGAAGCTTCAAATAACTATAATATGTGAGGATACGCACTAGCAGCGAGTCATGAATCTCCTCCCCGATAAGGCCATCAGGAAGGCAGCGAAGCAGGGGTACGCATGAGTCCAACTGAAACCACAGAGCGTCTAGGGCGTGCTCGCTAAACGACCGAGAGACCCGTGCTAGCGCTGCAAGATCCCTGTCGTGTTCTGCATGGCGCACTACATCGACGATGATCTCATCGATGAACAACGCGTGATGGGTAGATGTCGTCGACATGGGCGGGAACCATACGCGCTGCAATCGCGGTGATATGCGTGCACCCGACGGGCTTTACGCAACGTCAAAGAGCTGTCAAAAGAGCGCAGCGACACCTAGTAGCGACACTGCGTGTAGCAAAAAGGAGACTGACCCGACGGGATCTCTGAGCTTGAAGAAGGAACGCACAGCCTCGCACGGCGCCTCACGGCGCTGTTGCCGTTCCGGACTTGCAGCATAGGTAGCCGGACGATTATCATGCGTCCATGATGTTCAGTCGCGGTGCGGTCCGGCGTGCGCAGTTCTCTGCTCCAACCCATGGCGTCAGAAAAGACGTAGCCAACTACAAGTCGACCACCCCCACCGCTGTGCAGTGACGTTTCGTACGTTTCAGAACTTGGGCCATCGTTCATGCGCCTTTGGATGAGGTCGATGTAGGCGTTACTCCGACGGCTCGTACTGCTCAATGCCCTGGCAAAGTACTGGTGAACTCCCGTTGGTTGACCTCGTGCTTGACCGGGACCGTCCATGTGGCCGATGTCAATCGCAAAGTGCAATGTATGCACACAGGTGTCTCTTGTCTGCCAGTGTCATTTAGTCGCTGTCGATATCGTCAGCTGGGTGCTCTTTTCTGTCAGAACGTTTGTGCAGAACGTGAGTGCCCCATTGGCGCTGCGCGGTGTGCACCCTTGCGCACCGTCCCGGGCCAGCTTGACGTACTAGATCTACATCGCACGCTAATAGACTGCTGCGGTTGCTGCTCCGTATGGAGATTCTTCGTGCGCCGCGTTTGGATTCGCTGCAGCGCCAGAGGCACCAGTGTATAATGGCTGACGCTCACTGGCCTGCTGAGAGGCTTCAAGCTATCTTTCCGGCCTTGTCTTCGGCACTTCACATGTTCGACGCCCTGTAGGTGGTGCAAAGTGTATACTCTACCCTACCCGAAGCGCTCACAGGCATGTGCCAAGGCAGACATCAGGTTGACCAGCCTCCTCGGCACACTGTCCGATGTACACCCTACAACGCATCCTCGGACCGTCACGGTGCGAAGCCGAACCGATCCATCGTGCGAGCGATGCGTCGTGCTCGCGCGACACTCGCAGGTGGTAAACATGGGGTGAGCTCGGCGAACTTGGGTGTTATCTGCGTCCAGATCCTGCCCGGGAAGAGAACGACATAAAGTTTCTCATAAGTTACCTGCTTATCGGATCATGATGCGCCTCAGATGGGTGCTTCTATCACTTGCACGGACGGTCTCAGCTACCCGTTCGAAGTATCCATGCCCATGGGACGCAGTGAGACCTTGCATTTGCGCGTTTCGTGGTAATCGGCAGTGACGGCACCTGCCTCCTTGTCTTGACGACAGCCCGCGCGTGCGATAACGCGTCTTTGTATCAAGGGGAGCGAATCGCGGGCTCGCGGACGAGAATAGGTTCTCATTCCCAGACCCAGGCTAATGGCTTCTCCCCGCATCGTCGTCGATCAAACTTGTGTTTGCCGCGGCACCCTCGCCTATCCTCGCCCCTTGACCAAGTGATCGGGGTGATTGCTTCCACCCCTATGCCTTGTTCTTGGGAAAGGCGGCGTCGTGCAGAGTTATTGTTGTCGCGACGAACACTTGGACGACTGGGAGGGTATGCGGATGACTCGCTGGGCGCTCGATATGGCCTTCTCACGTCAATGGAGGTTGCCCGAAGTTCTATATCGCGAAGAACTTCTCAGCTTCGGAACTGGGTTTCCTAAGATGAGCAGTGCAGAAGGTTTGAACTTTAGAGACGACTGCTGATATGAGGTGCTGCTGATACGGTTTGAATACAACGGAACGCATGATCGATGAACAATGAAGCTACGACATATGCGGGGTGTGTCTTGCCGGCTTCTCCGGAGCCACCAGAAGGCGTGTTTGTGAATTGGGCTTATCGGGAGCCACCGCGTCCGCAAAGTCCGAAGGGGGCTTGCACCTGCTTGCTTGCACCTATGTATCGCACAAGCGCGGGTCTTTGTTCGAGGGTGAATGTGAGGTTGCTCCTTGTGGCTTGCGGTCCGATCTTGACGTCAGTGAGTAAGTAATGGTGACTCGTGCAGAAATGCCTCAAGGACAAAATGTCGTGGAGGTGACTGGAGAACGGGACGGTCGGCGAGATGGTGGAGTCGGGATCAGTATGTACTTCGGCTATGCCGCGGCATGTCCCCGCGATTGGCCGCCAATGCTGACATCGTGGCAGGCTGATGGATGCGGGGCGCCTAGGCCCCCGCTTATTCAGTCCCAGTCCCCGTCGAGGTCTCGTCGAGGAGGGTCTCGAGGAAAGGACAGGAAATACAGAGAGTGGCCATTTGTATATGGTGGTGGTCAGGGGTGGACGAGCAGTATTTTTGGAAGATCGAGTGTGCCCCACAATGAAGACATGGCGCTCGTTTTGGAAGAGATCACGGCTTGGTAACGTCCGAGATGGGGCGAAACGGGCTCCGCTGAGTTTTTCCACGGGAGGCTGCTTCGGCCTATGTCATAAGTTTAGTTCGACCCTTCCCTTTCTCAAGCCTACGCTCCCTCCCATACCAATCCCATGCCCTCCCGAACCTCAATCAAAAACGCCCACCATCTCTAACCCATTCTTTCCCTCAGGGACGCACAAAACAGACTAGACGTGTGGACGGCCACCCCCAGAGGCACCATCGCATACAGGCTCCCCGCCAGCCAAAGTCCCTCGGTAATCACTCGCGCCTAAACTCCAGCATCAAGACGACCGGAGCATTGATCCACCCTTCGTCTCGTCCACCATGCAGGGCCCTCAGCTGCAGTCTACACCCACTCTGGTACGTCCCACGAGGCTTCTGGACGCGCATATAGTCTCTAACATACCACGCAGACGACCCGAAAGAATGCCCCATTCTGGAAGCGGATAACCTTTCGAATTGGAGGCAAGAAGTCCAAGGACCCTCTTGCTGTCATCGAATCCTCCGCCAATCATGGCCGCCAACGTTCTCGTTCCATGATATTCTTCCACAAGCCAGAGGTCTCGAATCCCGTCGCTGCACTCAAGATGGACCCCTCAGCCAACCCTACTGCTGAGGATGACTCCTCTCAGGATGCCTCCTCCGCCACCAACACTCCGCCTGATAGTCGTCAGTCCCGGCGCTACTCGTCATGGGATCCCTCAGCGCCTGCTACTGCCACCAGCGCCGTCTTCGCAGCGCATGGTCCTGCAGCTATGTTTGCATCAGACCGCACCATCTCGGATGGATGGATACGACCGTTCGATGAAGAACACGCATTTACGCCCAGGAGCTCTCCACTGTCCTCTCCCTCACCGCCAGTAGCCGTGCATATTGGTGTTGCCTCCGCCTCTGATAGTGCCGTGCATGACGGGTCCGCGAAGCCAGGAAGCCAGACGGCGTCGGAATTTCCCAGTGCTCTTGCTTCAGGGGATACGGCCCGGTTATCAAACGTTGTCCCACCCCCAACAACGAGTGATCTCGAGAAGACGCCCCGCAGCAGTACAGATCCTAATTCCATCTCCCATACTACCCGTGCTAGCCTCGCGATTCCTCCCACATCCTCCTCCAATGCTGTCCCTACTTCCATTGATTCCGAGGACGAGTCAATACCTACGCCCAACGCCAACTCCTCCCTGAACTTGAACATACCCAGCTCTGGCTCCTCCTCTATTCGAGCCCCTTCCCCCACTCGTGGCGCCGAGATCCAGCGGAGACGCGGGCCAGGCGAGATTCTCTCGACGACGCTGCCCCCGCCACCATTCCGATGGACGTCGGAAAGAGGGCTGAGGCTCTCTCCCGCGGTGGTATCGCGCCATCAGCCGATGCCTATTCTTAACCTCCCGATGCTGCCCCTCCCGACTCCTGCGGCAACTGCAGCGACGGAGCCGGTGCGGCCGCAGGATCGTCTTCGCAGCATACCCTCGCTGTCTATCCATGGACGGTCAAATACGGACGTTGAGGCGGATCATTACAACGCGTCGCTGGGCGATTCCGACGATGAAGATGGGGACGGAGAGGAGGATGAATACGGGGAGCTCGACTCGCCGGCGATTCGAAGGGAGGATGCGGATGTGGATGCTGGGCAGAGCGACGACGAGGCGGACAGTATCATTTCGCCTGGGACTCGATCTCGCCAGATGTCGTTTCAGCATGTTCGGTCGCCTCTTGCTACCACCACCGCCACTCCTACACCCGGTCTCAGTGTTAACACGCCCACTCCACTCGCTCATGCTGGCCCTTCCAGAGCTGTGCGACATGGAAAAGCCCCTGCTCACGTTGAGCAGACACCCATAGGGACCAACGTCGCGGATTACTTCTCCGCGAAGGTGTACCAGGACTTTATCGAGCACATGCCGGGCTACTCGCCGCCGCCGTGGGGCGGGTGGGCGAAGACTCTACCAAAAACGCCGTCTGGGCAGCGCCCCAAGACGCCATCGAGGGTGATGCCCCCGCTGCCCATGGCGCGTCCGGCGCAGACACCGCGGACGGGCGAGGACGTCGAGACGCCGAGGCCTATAACGAATCTGCACCGTGTTGCGTCTAGGAGCATGGTCGACCTCAGCGCGACTTCCTCGTCTGCGCCTCGGCGGCGCAAGAGCACGCGCCCGGGCACCGCTGCGAGCACCGCGACCAGCCTTGGGAGAGGGGCAGCCTCTGTCCCCGTACCGGGCGAGATGGCCGCTCCGGCGGAGGAGGACGCAGGCGAGGGGTCGCAGGCTGGCGACGACGACGATGCTGGGGAGCGCGCGAGCCGCGCGTCGATGGATACGATGGAGAGCGACGAGCACGCGACGGAGCTGATGATCGGGCGCATGATGCGCCGGCAGTCGCTGCCCACGTTCAGCGCCGCCATGACCGAGCCGCCGCCGTACCCGTCCTTCGCCCCGCCGCGATCCGGCGTCGCTACGCCTGCTGCTGCCAGTGCCTCCCTCGCGCGCGGCATTCTGCACGGTCGTGATGATATCATGGGCGGTACGGGGATCGCGCACGACGGGACGCGGGAGGGCACGGAGGAGCTGCCGTGTTATAAGAACGAGCTGTACCTTGCGGCGGTGATGCCGCGCAAGATGGAGTTCTCGGCGCCCGGTGTGCAGGCGAAGGACCGCAAGTGGCGCCGCGTGTTCTGCGAGCTCGAGGGGACCGCGTTTCGGGTGTACAATGCGCCCGCCGGTGCGAGTGGGGCGGGCGCGCTGGGCGACTGGTGGGAGAAGCGGGTGGGCGTGGGCGATGTGACGAATCCGACGTATGCGCCTGTGAAGAAGCGCGGAGGGTCGGGTAAGGGTGGTGGGGAGGAGGACGAGCGGACGAAGTTCGGGGTGGAGATGGATGCGTTGGAGGCGGCTGAGGCCGCCGCCGGGGAGGGCGAGGGGTCGTGCTCGTCGTCACGGCAGGGGTCCGCGTCGCCGCAGGACACAGCGCGGCAGCGGCGGCGGGACTCGTCGCAGTCGTCGCTGCGCTCACTGTCGCCCACGCCGCGCAATATGAAGCGGTTCTCGAGCGCGAGTATGCTCCTCACGCCGTTCCGCGGCGGGCTGGGGTCGTCGTCCTCCGCGCCGTCGACGTCTGCGTTCGCATCGTCATCGAGCGCGGACATGCCGGGGACCGCAAGCGGGCGCACGACGCCGACGCAGCGCTCCGTTGCGCGCCTGAGCCTGCTCCCGTCGTCGTCGTCGGGCCCGGTGTTTCCGCAACAGCAGCGCGACCCCGAGTGCGCGTGGCGCCCGGACAGGTGCGAGATGATCAGGCAGTATACGCTGCAGAGCGCGGAGAGCGGGCTGGGGAATGATTATTTGAAGCGGAAGAACGTGATTAGGGTGCGGTTGGAGGGCGAGCAGTTTTTGTTGCAGGCGCAGGATGTGCAGGCTGTGGTTGAGTGGATCGAGGTGCGTTGATTTTTTTTGTTTGGTTCTTTTTGGGTGGAGGCTGATGGTGCGGTGGACTTTTAGGCGTTGCATACGGGGACGAATATTGCGTTGGATTTGGATTCTAGAGTTATGCCGAAGGGGCCGATGTTCCCGAGGTGCGTATCATCATATTAATTCCGGAGGCGTGTCGAGGAGCTGACGTGGTTTTTGTCGTTCACAGACGTAGACGCCGCCGTGCGCGCCGTACCGCGACGCAGCAGCATGTGGCGGCGCAGCCGGTCGTAAGCGGCAGTTCAAGCGGATCGTCATAGCATGCGCATAAAGCCGCTGTATTCGTGATCTTCAGCGTGTATGATGTTTTCAGTAGGATTTTTCTCTGCTTGCTTGTTGTCTGTTGTCTGTTTTCTCTGCGCAGCACGGATCGGACATTCCTACCATACTTTGCGCATATAGTCACGATGTTCATTCCCCCGTTCCCTCTGTTTGTTTGTTGTCAGCTATTCCGTTTCTCCGTCGCATCACACTTTTACCATCTCTCCCTGCATTTGCATTATGTCGGCATTATTACCGGTGATATAAAAGACACGGCTTTGTGTAGTTCCTTTGTCGCTGCATGATACACGGGGTGAGCGGGATTTGGGGGTCGTGTTTTGTTCTGATCTTGTGCTCATTATTCAGTGTATATGATCTCGACGATGTTGTTGTAATTGGCTGTCGATTTTACAATGCGTGTTGTAAAACTGCAACTCTAGGCTCATTTAAGCGGACAGCGCTGTTAAGCGGTAGTCTTTCCGAGTCTCGGATGATGAAGTAGATGATACAACAATGATACAAGGTCTAGAAGCGGCGATTGGGCCCCGTAATTAAGAGGGACGGTTTTAGAACGAATTGAAGGTGGGTTGTGCTATGTATGTATGTGGGCCGACCTGCTGCGCATCGGGCTTTGCGGTGTGATGTGGCTTATCGAGAGTTGGTGAGCTTTTTATACGCTATGCGCAACTATCGATGGAAACTGGCAGAGGTGGCAATCGGTATGGAGGACAAAGTGACGAGACAGGTTATCTTATCTCTATCTCTGCTAGGTGTCGAGGACCATGGTAAACGTCGAGTACATGGTAGAGAAGTAGCCCATTTGCTCATCAGTTTCGTGCTTTAATTCTACACTATGCCTGGTCACGATCGCAGTCAATCAGATGCATGGTTGCGGTAAAGAAGGACATATAGTGCAATGTCCGCAAGTGCTGACAGCTTCGGGACACCCCTGCACTTGGCGAAGCGGTCCGAGGCCATGAGGCTACCGGGAGACTTGTTCGCCGTCTGTAATGTCAAACGTGGTGCGGATTGGCATATATGCGACTTGAATACATGCTTTGAATCTCCTCTTGTGTGCTCTCCCGCCGAGAGAAGAACAAAGGATGGTTAGACAACGAACAAGGGCATGATGGAGGTGCGGTTGATGAGGGTAAGCAGTGGACGGCGGAGATTCCCACGTTTGGACTCCGTTGCCTGCCGAGTTCGGGTTTTGCAGCCTCTCACAACGCCCATCAGTGTTATCTCGCCCTTTTCTGACTCGCCTCATCGATATTTTCTTTTCTTCACCGACCCACAACTCCCCCCGCACCCACCCAGGCCAGCCAGCCAGTCGCACGACAGTCCAACGACGACGCCAACGACAGCGAGCAAGGCCACCCTCGACGCCCTGTTGCCCCAAAAAGTAGCGCCGAACCCAACCACAGCAAAAACAGTCCAACCTCTGTCTCCCGCGCTTTCTTCCCCAGTCACCCCCACCTGCCCAGCATACCACAATCACACATACTAGCCTTTATTACGACCTCCACCTCGCTGCACCCAACTCATGGCGGACTCGACGACAGAGATCGATTTGGACTCGGTAATTGACCGTTTGTTAGAAGGTGAGCCTTCTTCCCTGTACCCCGCCCCAGCTTTTTCTGCATGGCATCCACCCTGCTCGCCCATGGCTTCCGAGGTAATGGACGAGGCAGACACCAGCTGCGTGGCTGCCGCCCTGACCAAACCCTCTGCCTCGCCCGCCTCATCGTCCACGTCACACCCCCAGCTCCGATGTCGTCAGACACCTTTTTCACGTCCAGTTTTCCCATTCGCTATCCTCGCCCGGTCTCACGACCGCGGTCCGTGTTCTTGTCCGACGTTTTCTGACTTTTTTTCTCCTTCCTCGTTGCCTCGGCAGTTCGGGGCAACCGACCCGGCAAGGCCGTCCAGCTCCAAGAATACGAAATCAAGTACCTTTGCACAAAGGCACGAGAAATCTTCATTAATCAACCTATCTTACTGGAACTAGAAGCACCTATAAAGATTTGTGGTGAGTTTTTCCATCTCTAATTTCTCCCCTTCCCTTGCAACTTTTTGTTCGAGTTGAGTCATCATGACTGACGCCAAGGTCCGGATGGACGCTTTTCCCTGATCAGGTGACATTCATGGCCAATATTACGATCTTCTACGTCTTTTCGAGTACGGAGGGTTCCCCCCAGAGGCCAACTACCTCTTCCTTGGCGACTACGTCGACCGTGGCAAGCAGTCGCTCGAGACCATCTGCCTTCTCCTCGCCTACAAGATCAAGTATCCCGAAAACTTCTTCATCCTCCGCGGCAACCATGAGTGCGCCAGCATAAACCGGATTTACGGTTTCTATGACGAATGTACGTAATGCTTTGTTGATGCGTCACCCTCGGCGGGGACTTACTCGGACGGTGGTTTTTTGATAGGCAAGCGTCGATACAACATCAAGCTGTGGAAGACGTTCACGGACTGCTTCAACTGCCTTCCGATTGCGGCCATCATCGACGAGAAGATCTTCACGATGCACGGAGGACTGAGCCCTGATTTGCAGTCGATGGAGCAGATACGGAGAGTCATGCGGCCGACGGACGTGCCAGACACCGGTAAGCCGCCTTTCTACGTAGCTAAATTTATCGTGATGGGGGCGCTGACGTATCGCGGGCTGACAGGCCTGCTGTGTGACCTGCTGTGGTCCGACCCGGACAAGGATATCACTGGGTGGTCAGAGAACGACCGCGGCGTGTCGTTTACGTTCGGCCCAGACGTCGTATCGAGATTCTTGCAGAAGCACGATATGGACCTCATTTGCCGAGCACATCAGGTAGGCACTGGGTTTTCCTGGATGCGGATCTTCTGGGGGCGACGTTACTGACGTATTGGCATCCGCAGGTCGTCGAGGACGGCTACGAGTTCTTCGCGAAGCGGCATCTAGTCACGCTCTTCTCGGCGCCAAACTACTGTGGAGAGTTCGACAACGCGGGTGCGATGATGAGTGTGGACGAGACATTGCTCTGCTCGTTCCAGGTGCGTCCATCTCCATCCCCTACTGCCGGTGGGCTTCGAAGATTCGATCACTAATGGGTTCATTGGCATTAATTTAGATCCTGAAACCGGCCGAGAAGAAGAAGCAGTACCCGTACGGCGGGATGAACGCCGGGAGACCTGTGACGCCACCGCGCAAACAGAAGAAGAAGGACGGCAAGATGGGCTGAGCGAGTTGTGCACCCCCCTCCCCCACGGCGTCGGCGTTTCGTTTCTCACGAAACGCGTCCGCCGAGCCGAGTCGCGGGGCCCTCTTATCGTTGTTGCCTTTGCTTTTGTCGTAAGGTGCTCGTCGGAGGCCCCGCGCACTTGCGCATACCCTACAACCACATCACAACACCCACTCACACTCACTCGATCACTCACTTGTCTATCTTTTCCTTTGTTTCTGTCTCGACTCTCCTTTTGTACTGTCCCGACGACTCTTATTGTGCAATCTGTGATTATTCTCTCTCTCTCTCTCTCCTCGGTATCGGTTCACTTTATTCCTCGTGGATGGGCCTTCTCGTTTCTCGCGTTGGCAAGTTCGGCAAGTTTTGGCAAGGCAGCTACTAGGGGGACGGCGCGAGGCAGGCAGATGGTCGGGTGCCGGTTTAGGCGCTCGTTGCGCATGGCTTTTTGTGCTGCTTTCTTGCGCGTTGCGTTGTGTGTATATGCGTTGGGCTGGCTGGCTGTAGATAGAAAGGCGGCAGCAGCAGCAGCGGTAGCGACGTCAGCGGGGCCACTTACTGACCATGCTCGCAGGCGTCGCGAAGTGCGCATGGTCTGGCTCGAGCGTCTGCCTCTCCTCTTTACTTGCCCTTTTATTCGTGCCATTCTGCATGCTTATCTGATCTGCCTTGCGTTCTGGCTGCCAGATGTAGCCCGCGCGGTCCTCCACGCTCATCCCGTCCATATTCTCTTTCTCTTTGATTCGTCATATATATCTATTCCAGTAGGCCTTGGACTAATATCCCTGTGTACAAATCTCTTTTTCCCCTCCTTTTTTCTTGGCTTGGTGTCGCTCTTTTGGTTCTCTCTACTCTGCCCGCCCGCCCGTTCGTCTGCCGTTCGTCCCGTCGCTTGGGCAATCATGCGCGTATGCGGGGCATATAAGGATGAGCACGCTGATGCCGGCGCAGTGAAGAGTTGACATGGACACTTTAGTTGCGCGCGTGCGTTGAGCGGGAGTAAAAAATTGTTGACATAAACATAAACACGATGAATTTCGGAATCCTGAATCCTGATTATATGAATTCGACGCTGATATCATCCATCTCATCTGCTGACCACTGTGGGCCGAGTCTAGATCTGTTCATTCGTCGACGCTCTGAGTGGTGAGCACATGGATGTGCCGGTTCTTGCCAGATGCTTCAGAAGGTCGAAGCTCGGAAAAGCGATTGGGGCGAAATGAATTCGGGATGGGATTAATATCGGTCGTTGAGAAGCTGTTGCACATTAGGCTTGCTTCTTCGTTCAAGGTGAAATTGATTGAGCCTAAGGTTTGCTTAAGTCCGCCGGGTTCGAGCATGGGCCTTCAAGTTGGTTGGGCCTTGGATTGAACCTACAGGCTGTAAGTACTGGTTTAGTCCGTGGGCTTGGGGTTCAGTAAAGGGTGCTGGATACAGTCGACCTTGTTTTATGATTGTTCAATGTTCTCATACGTGCGTTTCTTGTGAAAGTGCTGCCGCTTGTTTTTCCGTATGTTTTCCCTGGGTGCGATCGACTCTAGCGCTGGGTATTGGGATGGAGCTATATCTGGTTTCGTGGTTATTTGGCTGCTGTTGTGTACAAGTACGATGCCCGCGTCGCTCACGCTGGTCACCTCGATGTTTGTAACGCGAAGCCAAGCTACTGTTTATGGAAAGTTTTGTTCAGAAGGACAGTTTAGCAGCTTGAAAATGGCAGTCGTGTTTCGCAGATCTGAGTGCCATGTGTGAAGTTGTAGCAGGTGCTACATATACTTGAGCAAGTGCTTATTCAAACACGCATACTATGTGTATTGTCCAGGACGAGGAAGTATCATAGTGTATGCATTACACTGTTCAGTGCACAGGAGGTGTGAAAGCAGGGATACTAGTGTTCGGATCGACAGTGAGCTTGCTGCATTGTGCGCATCAAGCGCAACAGTGATCATCACTGTCGTCTCCGTCGGGAGCCGTTGGGGAAGCACGCAAACGATGCGTCATCACGCAGATCACCACACTTGGAAGCCCCGCCCTGCCACGTCTACAGCCACCAATCCCGTCGATCACATATGCCATCACACGTCAACGCAGCAAGCAAACCATCACGCCAGCATTGGTGCAAAAGAATGATTTGCATAAAGGATGTTACTATCGTACACGGGTGGGCAAGAAGACGGAGCGAGCAAGCGGGGTGATAAAACGAGCGCTGCGGCGGTCTGGTCCATGCAATCGGTGCGATGCGGGGGTTTGTTTGTAGTAGTAAAATAGCTTATGCAGCCCAAGGCTAGGCTAGAGTAAGTAGTGGGGGTGGGGGTGGTATGTGCAATATATATCAAAATCAACATAAGATGACTTCCAGCTAAAACCGTCAAGAGGGACAGACTCAGACTCAGACTCAGACTCAGACGTCGGAGGCCTTCTCGTCGTCGATGTGGACGTCGGCGACGGCCTCGGCCTTCTGCGCGATCTGCTCGGTGACGTTCTCGCCGTCGAACAGTACCGCGGTCTCCTCGAGCGTGCGGTTCTTGGTCTCGATGAGGAAGACGTAGAGGAAGACGGCCTCGGCGGCGAGCCAGCAGACGTACACGAGCTGGAGGATGGGGCATCAGCATCGTGCGTAATAGGTAATAGGCAATAGACGCGGCAGAAAAAGAAAAAGGGGATGCTCACGTAGTACTTCCAGCCGAGGGCGTCGAGCGCGATCGGGTTGACGTACTGGTTGAAGATAAGGGCGACCGAGATGACGAAGTTGAAGACGTTGAAGCCCTTGGCGCGGAGCTGGTAGGGCAGAATTTCGACCGTGTACGAGACGATGAGCGGCGTGAAGGCCAAGCTGGAAGCAAACGGAGTCAGCTACGAAGCCCTTAATGGACATAATGAGGAGAGAGACGTACTCATAGGCAGCGTAGAAGAGGAAGATAAAGGCGATGACGGCGTGACCAGCAGCGGGCGCCTGGTTGACCGCGTAGCGGGCGAAGCAGATTGCCTGTGCCATGTAGAACAGGAGCATGCCGATGATGGAGGTCATGAACAGGAAGCGACGGCCGAGACGGTTGATCATGAACGCCGCGCCGACGGCCCAGAACAGGTTCCAGACTTGGAGGATACCGTTGATGAGGAGCTGCGTGCTGGAACCCGAGATGCCTATCTCATCGAACACCTTGTTGAGGTAGTACGAGACGAGACCGTTGCCGGACCACTGGGAGAAGAAGGCGAGGGCGACGATGATGCGCATGCGCTTGCGGTTGCCCGGGGTGGCGACGAGCGACTTCCAGCCGGCGTTCTTGGTGACTTCGCGGTCGAACTCGATGGCAGCCTTGATCTCCTCGAACTCGTACTGGACGAGGGGGTCCTGTTCGTTGCCGTCGGCGTGGTAGTACGCGAGCGTCTTGAGGGCCTGCTCATCCTTGCCCTTGCTGATGAGCCAACGGGGCGACTCGGGGCCGAAGAGGACGAGACCGAACTGGAGGACGGCGGGGATACCCTGGAGCAGGGAGGGGAGACGCCAGGCCCAGGTCGAGTTGATGCGGAAGGTGCCGTAGGTGGTCCAGGCGGCACTGGGTGTGGTGTAAGGAACCGGGTAAACAGAAATCACGGAGCGTCAGACGTACATGATGGAACCGGAGTACCAAAGCGAGTTGTAGAGCGACGTAAGCGGGGCACGGTATGTGGGGTATGAGATCTCAGTGACCAACATGGGGGCAGAGTTCGCTAAAAATAGACTCCGTCAGCATACACTGCGGCCGACATAGACAACAACTTTACCTGCGAACGTGAGACCGAAACCGATGAGGAAACGGGCACCGATGAACATGTTCACCGACTGCGACGCGGTCTGGAGCGCAGTCGCGACCAGCATGATGGACGAGCCGAAGAAAACAGTCCGGCGACGGCCAATGCCATCGGACATGTATGGTGCGAAAGGATAAGCCGCGAGCGCTCCGATATTCTACCATCCGGTCAAACATGTCATGAGACGCAACCCCAGGGACCAGGGACTGGGAAATGCATACCTGGATGGCGTTAAGCAGACCAAGCATACCGCCAGACGGATTGTTGAACGCCGTCTCCCACTGCGTGAGCGACTGGAGACCGTTCATCATGGAGCCATCGTAGCCGTTGGTGGAGGAGGTAATGAGACTGTTATTTTCGTCAGCACCCACGTGGCGAGAAGGATGAGTGGTCGAAGTTCGAAGCTACTCACAGGAGGAACACCCAAGCGTTGAGGATAATGATACTGGCAAACAGAGACGTGTCAATGGAGGAGAGGTGTAGGTGAAGGTGGTGAAAACTTACCGCCTGTTGTTGTACCACTTCCTCCTGGGGTCGATGAGGTGGGCGAAGGAGGCGTCTCCTGTGCCTGCTGCGACGGTAGCACCGGCACCCATGGTGAAAAGTAGGGGGCTGAAAGGGATGAAAGAACGGCGGGGAGTTGGTCGGAGTAATGATGGGTGTTTTATACAAGAAGGAGGGCTGAATTGCCAGCACGGAGAAAATGTGACAGCTGACCCAGCAGCGACCCGACCATGCAGTTTTCTCCCTGGGTGCCCCGCATTCTGGCATCACTCTACATGTTTGGATTGCAAATTGTCCGAGATGTGTGCCTGTTCTGTCGTCCAATATTCTGTCAAGAGAATCCGGTCGTCGACGAGTCAGGCCTTTCTACACGCGCATCTTTTCATCTTTTTTTCACGCGCCTCTAGGCATTAGCGGCATGCTGCTCGTTCTAGGGGCTGTCAAAGACCGTTAAGCAACCGTTAAATGGCCGAGGCATATCCTATCGTGAATCCACCAGTCCTTAACAAGCCTTAGCTTTCCATTGCGGGCGGAGGCGCTGGGAGCCCGGGGCTTTGTCTCGAGTTTATGTCCAGAGTGAATGAGACCGAGGCGATCGGCGCAGCATGGTAACCAAAAAGTGGTCTACACCACCCGAAGCTCGTGTAATTTCCCCCCTTGGTTGTTCGCATCATCACTTGCTGGCAAGTCAAGCGAACAAACGTCGTGTCGGGATGCGTAACGCCCAGACTCCTCCCGCACATGCTAGCACATGCTCCCCACGTCGTTTGCCCCCGACGCTCGTGTCTAGGTCCGCCGTCGGGATGCGCCCCGAACAACTTGCCTTTTCCGGCCATGCTCCCCTCTCTGATTGACGCAGGCGCTTCCCCAGAGTCCTTCCCCGCGCTCCCCCGCGTTCTCCTGCATTCTGCGTATTTTTGCACCGTTCATTCTTGCACACCGGACTCACCGCCTCTCCAGATGCATTCCACATGGTCACAGAGGCTAAAAATGGCCGCGGATCTAACCGTTTCAGAGCCTGGACGGTCTCCGAGATTTCCCCTTGCGATGGGCAGCACAGTGTCGTAGAGCGGCCAGGTTCATTGGGGTATAGATTGAGGTTCAGCTGGTGACTCAAAACGCACGATCCCCGCCCTGATGACACGTAACACATGAAACACCGTTGGTTACGTTGGAGCTGCTTGCCTCGCCTCAGAGAGATTGATGTTCTTGTCTGCCATCATGGGCGGCGATGAGTCCAAGCTCTGCTTCGACGCTTCTTCCGCCGCTCGGCTGGAGACTAAAGAAGAGTCTGGTCGTCTAGCGCCGTGCAGAACGACGTCAGCGATTTAATCTTGGACGTCGGACGTCGGGAAGAAGCCTACAAGCGAGTTCATTTCTGCACATACCACAGCCAGCCGCTCGCTCCGGTGCTTCGGAAGGCGGTTTCGGGGAGCAAGATCCGACGACCTACACTAGTCACGGCAGCGTACACAAGATCAAAATGCACAATAAAACACCGTTGGCCTCGGTGACGTGCCCGGCATGGGCAGCGCTATTTGTGGATGTGATTGAATGACGAGCGATCTTTTTTCAATGCGTGCCGTTTTGCGTGCATATGTCAGGAACAATGTGCCTACGACAGCAGCCTACAGCAACTGAGTGGTTCCTAGGTCCCCCTCTCGTGCGTTGTTCAACGGAAATGGCCTCAAGAGCGCGACCTGCTCTTCGTTAGCTGCAGAATAAGCATTGATGGAGAATCAGGGGAAAAGGATGATGGCACTGGCAGGCGTGTGATGATCCTGTCCTGGGGGGTCGACAAGGTCCACAACCAGTACTAAATAGTTAGTCGACAATGGTTCCTGCCACGATGCACCCATCGCGTCCAACGGCCGCACAGAATCGGGCCATCGAGCTTGCAAAGGCAAAATGAAGGAAACTGCTCGATGCATCCCGGTCGACATAGTTCCTGGTGATCACACTTACATACCCCCGATGTCGACTTCCTTGCCCCGCTCTGGGGAGACAAGCCCTACTTGACCGCGTGGGAGACCGTAAGCTGGGAAGTCGTCAACTCCGGGCCATTCCGGGCGCTGCGGGTTTGACAGCTACACACGCTGAGGACGCATCTCGATCGAGGTCATCAAGGGCAGGGCATGCACGCCGCACCGAGCATGCGCCGGGAGAAGCCAATGAATTCATCGCGGGTTTGCTCAGTGGTTTGAGGGCGGAGGAAAATGTATTGTCGTATGAAAACGTACATTCGTGTAATAGTCGTGCTCGTAGCGTACGGTACTGTATAAGCTGAGAAGGCGACTAAGCTCGTGTTCCACAAAACCTCGAGCATCTGGCGCTGCGAGAAAAGAACTTACTACGGTATATGGGATATGATGATACAACAGCGGTGAGCCCTGAGCCACCCCAAAACCCCGATAGAATGAAAGACAAAAGCGAGCGAGGGAGAGAGAGAAAGAGAAAGGGGGAGCAGGCTCGATCATGCGTACTCGCCCTTTTCGTCGGCGGGTGAGTTGTCCTCGCGGCGCTCGTGTACCTCGGCCTCGTGCTTGATCTGCTCGAGCTTCTCCTCGCCGTCGAAGAGCGCGGCGGTCTCCTCGAGCGTGCGGTTCTTGGTCTCGATGAGGAAGATGTACAGGTAGACGGCTTCGACAGCGAGCCAGCAGACGTAGACGAGCTAAAAAAATTCATACACTTAGTATTGACTGCTACCTTGCTCCCAGCGAATAGAGATGGCACTCACATAGTACTTCCAGCCAAGAGCATCGAGCGCGATTGGGTTGACGTACTGGTTGAAGATGAGCGCAAGCGAGATGACGAAGTTGAAGATGTTGAAGCCCTTGGAGCGCAGCTGGAACGGCAGAATTTCGACCGTGTACGACACGATGAGCGGTGTGAACGCGAGGTCGTACGCGGCGTAGAAGAGGAAGATGAACCCGATGACGGCGTGGCCCGCCGCGGGCGCCTCCGTCTTGGAGTACTGCGCGAAGCAGATGGCCTGCGCCATGTAGAACAGGAGCATTCCCGCCGCCGAAGTCAAGAAGAGGAAACGGCGCCCGAGACGGTCCGCGCAGAACGCGGCGCCGACGGCCCAGAACAGGTTCCAGATCTGTAGAATGCCATTGATGAGGAGCTGTGTGCTCGAGCCGGTGATGCCAATGAGGTCGAAGACCCGGTTGAGGTAGTACGAGACGAGACCGTTACCGGACCACTGGGAGAAGAAGGCGAGGGCGACGATGATGCGCATGCGTTTGCGGTTGCCCGGGGTGGCGACGAGCGACTTCCAGCCGACGTTGTGCGAAACTTCGCGGTCGAAGACGATGGCGGCCTTGATCTCCTCAAACTCGTATTGCACGAGGGGATCTTGGTCGTTGCCGTCGGCGTGGTAGTAGGCGAGGACTTTGAGGGCCTCGGCCTCACGGCCCTTGTTGACGAGCCAACGAGGGGACTCGGGAGCGAACAAGACGAGGACAAATTGGAGAATCGAGGGAAGACCCTGGAGAAGGGAGGGAACACGCCATGCCCACGTCGAGTTGATGCGGAAAGTACCGTAGGTAACCCATGCAGCACTGGTACGCACACCGTAACATTTAGTCGTGCGAAAAGATCAAGAGAAATTTACACTCACATAATAGAACCAGAGTACCAGAGCGAGTTGTACAACGACGTAAGAGGAGCACGGTAGGCGGGGTAGGCGACCTCGGTGACCAGCAGAGGTGCAGCGTTGGCAGCGAACGTCAGGCCAAAGCCGATGAGGAAGCGAGCGCCGATGAACATGCCGACAGACTGGGATGCGGTCTGGAGCGCCGTAGCGATCAGCATGATGGTCGCACCGAGCCACACCGTCTTGCGACGGCCAATACCATCTGAGACGTATGGGGCGAAGGGGTAGCCGGCGAGACCGCCGATGTTCTTGTGACAACACGTTTAGTCATGCGCGATCCGCTAAAATGATCAAGTAGAGGACGTACCTGGATAGCATTGAGGAGACCAAGCATACCACCAGAGGGGTTATTGAAAGCAACCCGCCATTGGTCGAGGGACTGGAGACCGTTCATCATACTTCCGTCATAACCGTTGGTCGACGAGGTGATGAGCAGGAGGACGATCCACGCATGAAGGGCAATCAACCTATGCCAAAAAGAAAAATCAACAACCCAGAGGAAATTCAGAAACGCGAACGCAACGACGTACCGCCTGTTGTTGTACCACTTCCTGTTGGGGTCGATGAGGTGAGCGAAGGAGACCTCGGTAGGAGCAGCTGTTGCGGCACCAGCACCCATGGCTACGAAGAGAACGAAGGAAGCTCCTGGGGAGGCGAAGGAAGCACGGCTGAAGAACCAGCTGAGGGATCAAGCCGAAAAACGAGCATGTTTTATACGCTTTTCTGCTGCTTCGTTTCGCAGAAGGACATGATATCGCGCCCTGCCCAGGCGTTGCCTCGAGTCCCTGGACTTGGCCCCGCACGCCTCTGCGTTCAGTATGCAATTTCCTTGGCTGAGGCGCTAGCTTGACAGGAACGGACATGGGGGACCAGCTGACCGCCCGAGACGTGTTTTTCCCAAGGTACGCCGAAGCCTGGCACATGGCTGGTGTAAACAAAGTGTCCGTTGGGGGGAGGACGCAGAGGCAGGCAGAGGCTCAGTGAACAATGAAGATGGAGCCAGAGCGACTCGGTGCCTGGGATCTAGCGTGCCCGATCGCAGCGGACTCGCCTCGTTTTGATTGCGGAAGAGCAGCTGATCGACAAAAAAGTGCTTCACATGCCATACATGGTAAAATCTGGGGAAACTTCTCCAGTTTTGCCGGGATGCCGGGATACAGACTCCGGTTCCCAAACAAAAACATGGCAATATACGGCTGTTCGTAGGCTCGGACCATCCAGAGTGTACTTGTCAAGTACTTGTCGGAAAACTGAACAAACAAGAGCATTTTCAGTGAGACTGAACAGACAAAAATTAGACCATACCGGAAGTATTCCGCCACTGCGAGCCAGACTTAGCCAGACTCGGACTGAGTACTGAGCCTCGATGCGTGGCAGGTGGCGGCGCTGCAGAGGAGGTTTTATGATTTAGTTCATCATGAACGGTAGGTAATTTGACGCCGACGCGCTGGCCGTCTTCCCAAATGTCTCAAAACGCTCAGATCAGGCACCAATACACCGACGCTTCACCAGGCATAACCTGACAGGAATTCTGCAATTCAACTCGATTCATTTAATAGCAAAGCAACGACAACAAGGAATGATAAACTCAAAATATTGAGCGAGGAGTAGATGGAACTGTGGTGGAACACAACGAGAGATGGGGACATCTATTCGATCTGTTGATTACCTAGCAGTAAGAAAAAAAGATCACAATATCAAAACTCATCAGACCCTGGTTACACTCGTCGCAAGAGGTCAGCGGCCATGGGCTCGCGCTCGGTACCAGCGTCAGCACCATTACTGCCCTTCATCGGACTCCGACTCGAGTGTGCCGAGCTGTCTCGACCGTGCTGCCCCGTCAGCGACGCCGACATATCAGCTGTGTTTCGCTTCCTGCGCCCGAACGACATGCCCCAGCTGTTGGCGAATGACGCGAGCGTGCTGGCCGCCGTGGACGGCTTCTGCGGGCTGGAGCTCAACCCTGCGAGCGGAGACGTCGCCCGCGGGACATGGTAAGAGCTCGTCCGCCTGCGCACGCCCGGCGCGTCGCTCATCAGGACGTTCGACATCGCCTCCGAAATCGAGTCTCGTGGGGACGGCGGCCCGCGCGTCTTGGAATCGCCATCGCCGGTGCTGGCGCCTGAACCGGAGCCAGAGGTCTTTCCTGTGTCGGTACCGGTACCGGTCCCCGCGCCCATTCCATTTGCATTTGCTGATCCGCTGCTGCTCTGGATTGAAACAGACACAGCGGCTGAGCGCGGGGAGCGCGGGGAAGCAGTCTGAGGCGGGGAGGAGGGTAAAGTATACTCCGTCAGGGCGGTTGTTGGCGCAGCCTTCGCGGCTCCTGCGGCGGACGCTGTGCCGATTGGTGGGAGGCGCCCACCTGAGAATTTGGACGATACAGAGGCACGAGATGCGCGCGAGCCGGGCCGCAAGGGGGATGGGACACTCGGTGGGTTCTGGTGCACGATGGGAACAGTTGGCGAGGGCGGAGGTGGACGGACGGTGGAAGTAGAGGGAGGAGAGGGTGTTGGAGCAGCTTCTGGAGGTGGTGTTGGTGTTTCATCCTGCATTACAGCGGGCAAGTCCTTTGCGGGAGAGTCTGCTTCCACCGAGCTCGGACTATCTGCGGGTGCCTGTGCAAGCAGGCGTGATAGTGACGAAGGGCCCGCACTTGAGTTTGAATTTGATCGGGCACGGACGGGGAACAGGTGGGAAGTCGGTGGGACCGTTACGCTGAATGCGTTCTCAACCTCAGACTGCGGCGGCGCTGGCGGTATAGGAGTGTTGTCACGAGAACCGGCAGTAGGAGGTGAAGAAGAGATTGGCTTTGGCTCAAAGCCCAAATCCGACAACCCAGATGTTTTCCGAGACGTAACCCGACGCTTGTTCAACTGACTGGACTGCGTCCAATCCTCCACCTCAAGCATGTAGTATTTGACGCCATCACCCAGCCCATAAGGATTACTACTTGGGTCCTAAAGAATGGAAAACTATAGTTAGACAGGCACCACCGGGCGAGCTAGTGCTAATTAGCACGTACCTTGTGGTCGACGACACGCTCCGTTATGGACGTAATCCGGGCGACGATCCATTCGCGCGTCTTCAGCTGCTCAGCGAGATGCCCGGTTGCCTGGAGGAAATAGTGGGGGAACGACACTATTGTAATTAAGGCACGACCAGCCACACGAGCGGGGAAACCATCGGAGAATAGTTCAGGGCCCAGGTGATCCAAAAGCAGGAGCGGTCAGCAGCCAATATCCCGGGATTCAAACACACAGCTAAACAGACATACCATTGAACGCCGCCCAAGGTTTCGACACCGAATTGCGCGTAGGCAGGAACAGGGCGAGGTCGCCCTTGCCAAAGTTGCGGAAAGAAATCTTTCCCTTTGCGCGCTCGCGGTACTCCTTGCATTGTTTCTGCCACTTGCGGATGATCGAGCCCGTCTTCGTGATCACCTCGAGGAAGTGGTCGTGGTCAAAGGCACGCAACGTCTCCAAAGCGGCGGGAGGGTCCGACGGGTCGATCGGCTCTGGTTCCTCGACCGTAACACTGCCCATGATCCCATTCGTCTGGCGCGGGAACGAAGACGGCAGCGTGGTGGACTCGAGCATGCTCTGCGACTGCAGCTTGGACGCCGCCCCGGGGTGCTGCTGCGCGGCCTGCGCGATCGTCTGTGCCTTAACGTGCGAGTTGCGGAATGCAATCGCGACCTCGAGGAACTGCGCGACCTGGCGGCTGCTCTCCTCGACGCTTTGCTCGAACGCGGACTGCGACGCCCTCCCCGCGCGAATGTCCTCGCGTAGAATGCGTTCGACGTGCCGCGCCTCCCTCAGCTCGTGCTCCACGCGCTGCAGCTCCTCTCTGAGCCCGATCGCGTCCGCGCCCCCGATCTCCGCCTGGGCCCGTGCCTCCTTCGCTGCCGCCTGTGCGTCTGCAAATTGGGCCCGCAGCTCCGAGAACTGGTGCTCCAGTACCGCGCGGTCACCGTCCGCCTCCGCACGGTGGTCGCGCATGATTCTATCGTGCTCGCTGGCCTGCGCACGCAAGAGGCGATCCCGGTCCGCATCCGTCTCGCGCAAAACACGCTTCACCTCCGCGCTCTCGTCCCGCGCGGCCTGGATCTGCGCCTCGAGCGACTCGCCCTTGGCGCGTGTCTCCTCGAGCAGGGCCAGGTGCGCGGCCTGCTCCTCCAGCAGCTGCTCGACACGCGCCGCGTTACGTGCTTCCAGGACCTTGACCTCTTCATCCTGCACGCGAACCGACGCGAGCTCCTGCCTGAGCAGCTCGGCGACGCGTGCCTGTTCCGTCGCGTCCGCCAATGCCTCCTGCAGGCCCTTGCGCTGCGTATCGACGTCCGTGAGCTGCTCCTCATGTCGTCGCTCCAGCACGCGCCGTGCCGACGTCTCGGACTCGATCTGCGCGCGCGCCTGGTGGAGTTCGCGTTCCAATATGTCGGCGCGCTCTCGCTCTCGCTCGACTGCGTTTTCTGCATCATCCAGCTGGTTGTGCAGATGGCGGATGTCGGCCTTGTGTGCGTCCCGCTCCTCCTGCATGCATGCCTCTTGCCGAACCAGGGCATCTTGTGCATCTTGTAGCTGTATAGCTAATTCTTGGAACACCTGCTCATCCTCTTCTGTCACTGTCGTAACAGAAACGCTTGCTGATCAGAGGGAAGGTCCGTGTCAGATACGATGAGACCCACGTACACCGTCTTCGCGAAGAACCCAACCTTGAAGCCGAAAGCACTAACACGGCCAAGTGTTCTGTCAGAACGCACCATACGAAGGCAGGTTATACGGTAGAAAAAAACTCACACGACCGCTCCGCAATCCGATCGAAGTTCCCTCCAAGATTGTCCATCTTGTGCACCAGCTTCTCCAACGCGTCCTTGGTATCCCGCACACTCGTGAACGCGCCCTCATCCCCGCTCTGGTATGCAAAGTCTTCTAGGTCCTGGAGCATCTGCAGTAGCGCTGTGCGTCCACGATCATGCGTCAGTACGGGCGGTCACTGCGACGGAGGGAGGAAGAGGAAGAGGAGGGAGTTGAACGTACCCTCCACATCCTCGCGCTCGAGGTTGTACGGCGCGTCCTGCCGTGCGGGCGTCGAGATCTCCACCCCGGGCACGGTGCCGTCCATCCCTCTGAGGTCGAACGGCAGCTGGCCGTGCACTTCGCCGCGGTAGATCTGCCGGCGCTTGCGTTCGTTTGAGCTGCTCGTACATGAGATCAAACAAGAGGTGGAGGTCAAACGTTGGATGTATGCAGGTGAGAAAGGAGATACGTGTAATTCAGTGACATGGCCTGTGGACGATAGATGGAGAAGAACGTACGTGAGCTTCGCCATGACCTCCATTATACTCTGCGCCCTCTGATAAAAGAAGTTCTCTGCTCGCTTGATCAGTCCTCCATCCTCCTTCTCTCATGACCAAAGTCAGCAAGAAACACTAACCAAACTCTTTCCTCCTAACAACCTCCACGACCGTCGCACCGTACGCATACACCATCCCGTGCAGCCGCTGGATGTGCGAAAAGCTGTTCTTGCCCCGGAACTTGCTCTGTAGCGCCGTGAGCGCGTTTGGCAGCTCGGTGAGGTGCACGTTGAGCGACGAGATCTGGCGGAGTGCGGAGATGGACTGGGAGGTGTATGCATTCTGTTGTCCAAGGAAGGTGAGTGTGAGGATGGATTCACGTGGAGAGAATAAAGGTAGTGAAGGAAAAAACGAAGTGGGACAGACAGACCTTAGCTTCCGTAATCGCCTCCACCTCCTTCCGGAGCGCAGCGTCGAGGTGTTTGAGCTCTGCGTTTGCATCGCGTTAGGATTGGCTCCATGTGTCAAGAGGTCGCAGACGCACCTTGGAGAACGGACTCGGACGCCGTCGCCGGATCTGTTTTTTTGTAGCTTTGTTAGCTCACACAGGTTGGTTGAAGTGGAAGTACGACTGGCAAAGAAGACTTACTGTCCAGGGTACCCGCGGATTCCGCCATCCGCTCGAGGATCTCCTTCGCGCGCCGAGCGGCGGTTTCTGCATCGTTCACGTAACTGCTCGAGTAATAGAACTGAATAAGAGAGTAAAACAGAAACAGGAGAAAAAACACGCACTCGACATGAGTCGCCGCCGCACGAACTTCGTCTGTCCCCTCGCTCAGCTGGCCTACTGCCCGCTCGGCATCCTCGAACTGTTTCTTGAACTCCTCTACATACAACGCCTCGTCAATTCCATCTGACGTCGACCCGGGGTACCGGGTAAAAAGTCGATAAGCCACGCACCATGCGTCCTTCTACACCCCGCCGCAACCTGCTGCATCTTCTGCTCGCTCACGTAATGCCCCAGCGTGCGCACCTCGCCCCCGTCCTCGATCGCTTTCCGCGTCGTCACGCTCATAAACTCCGCGTGCACCCTCACCCGCTTCACCAGCTCCAAGTCCCCTGTCACGCCAGCGAGCAAGCGCGCCTGGCGCGCGAGCTCCTCCCGTACGGGTCCCGCGAGCGCGTCGAACACGTCCGCGAGCGCAAGGACGTGCCGCTCCAGCGTCGCAGCCGCAAGCCTGAGCGCCGCGTGCTGCCGGTGCAGGGCGGAGAGGATGTGCGCAGTGCCGTCGGTGTGCGTTTGTGCGGTGGCGAGGTAGGTGGAGGCGAGGGTGGCAGGACGGAAGGGTGGAGTGGCGGCGATATTCTCTGTCGTGGATTATATTGTCTGAATATGCGGTGGATATGGGTCTGAGTAGCGCCTACCTTCGATGGGCAGCTGGAGAGGTGGAGCGACGCGTAAGCTCTGGAGGACATGGTCGAGGTCGATGTCGAGATAGTACTTGTTGAAGACATAGATGGTCTAGCCGAGTCACGGAGCAAGAAAGATTGCGTTGGTCTTCACATATTTTTAGGTGTCAACGATGGCAATACTCACCTGGTCCTGAGCGCCCACAAGTTCCCGCACGTTGTCCGTCCGGAGCCGCGTCCCGTCGGTGAGATAGGCAAGGATGGCTTCAGGGTCGACGCCGGTTTCCTGGCTGAGGAAGATCTCAAGGCTTCCAATTCTGAAGTTGAAAATGACAATCCGTGAGACGGATGCGCCCAATGGATAAACTTCCGTCAGTGGCCGTACAAAGGCAGCCGAATGAATTAGACTGCTTACCTCTCGATATCTCTGAGAGTGGCATTGACCTGCACGTAGGGAGACGTCTTGAGTCTTTCACCTTCCATGATAAGACGACAAACACACCTGATAACTCTCTCCATCCTCTGCACGACATATCTGTATCATGACCTCCTCGTGGTGGGGGTGGGGTCGTGTATGCCAGCGTGTGAGGTGTATGAGTGTTCAGGAAGGATGATAGACTGTTTGTTTCGCCTGAGCGGCGACAAACGAGTGTCTTTTTGAGTAGCAGGAGAGGAGAAAGAGGAGAAGGAGACAAAGGGAGAAAGTTGGTCAAGGATCTGTTCGGGCTCAGTCGAGTCTGCTCAGTAACAGAGCCGCGGAGAAACACCCCTGACGTAAACCACATTTGACATTTCAGGTCATTTAGCCCCTATCTAAGCAAGCTTCCCACCGCCTGCCTAGGCCTGCTCCTGGGCCAGCAACATTTATCAAACCTTTCATGTCTTGTCATTTCGCGAACTTGATCACTCCACGCACCGTATTGAAATAAAGGAAATCATCCTTAATGCTGCATGCCACGGCAACTCTGACAGGGACCTTTCGGCGTCCGCCCGAAAATGTCGGGCCATATGTATCAGCGAGCCAGCACTGGATGCTCAGAGTCTCTGGTCAGGGTGAGGTCCATGATGATGGGAAATGATTGAGAGTAAAATTCAGCCGTCACTGGAAGCGGGCCATGGAGAGTGTTCACCATCACTTTCAAGTCACGCAAAGGCGAAAGGCGTTTCAGGGTTTCAGCGTCAAGCAAGCAGCAGTTCAAGTTCTAATACTTGAGGCGGACCTGGAATCGTTATCCACGTTTATTCCTGTCTACAACAAGATCACCTGGAAGACAGCGAACCAAAGGATCGAACGTCAACGGACCTGAGCAGCAAGAAATCTTTGGTAGACATATCAGTTTTCATCAACAATATCTACGTCTCCCTCACCGTGTGCAACCTGATCGCGGATATAACTACGCGACCAGCGCTAGGCGGACTCTGCTCGGCCATCTCAGCTCGCTGCGTCCCTCAAAACCTTTCGTCTTGGCGTATCAGAGAGTCCACCTTCCACGATGAACCCACCAAGCTCCTCACACTGACCTACGCCATGCTCCGCCCACTTATCAGATTCACACAAAACACAACGCTCAAAATCTGTCTCCTTGATCTGGCCCGAAGCAGCTTACGATATAAGTATATTAAAACCCTTAGCGTCAACCCGTCAAGAGGCTGGCAGATCTGCTCGCAGGTCAATCTAGAGGTTCCCTCGGGTGGGCTTATTTCCTGACAGATAGTTTGAATATTTATTTTGTTTGTGCTTTCTGTCTAATTTCTCCCAAAGATTTCATGAAGGGAACCAGCTTCTCGAGTGTCGCTCAAGCGCAAGCAAAGAGTAGTTGCTCTAGATAGGGGCTATGCCATATCTTGGTGTATCCTCTCACGGGTCTGATGCGCTCAACAACGCGGTTCGTGACGCGCCTGTGGACGCGTCGCAATAGGGCCATCACCGGCACCTCCAGCAGCTCTCAGCCAATGTTATCCACCCACCGTGCCCTATCCATCAACGAGGTCATCTTCAACATAGCTACCTATGTAGAAGCCAAGAAGGACATTGCTTCACTGGCAAGAGTCTCTCGGGCCCTCAGCGAGCCAGCGCTCGACGTTCTGTGGTCAAATTTGGACTCCTTCATTCCTTTGCTGCAATGTCTCCCATCCAATCTTGTCGGAGGGATTGTCGAAGACAACACATTGGTATGTCTCCTTATGACTGAAGGTATCTGCTGTCTCATGTTACCTTGATAGTTCTTATCCCTCGAACGCCCATTCACCACTGCTGATTGGCAAACACTGGTTAAATATGCTCGTCGCGTTGTGTCCTTGACATGGACTTCAAAATCATTCAAGGGTTTCTCCATTAGACTTGACGGGCAGCGCGTAGAGCTCACGAGTATTACAATTGACGGGGCTCTCTTCACCGTCCTTAGCGTCCCTCCAGTTTCCCGTCTCTTCCCTCGGTTGTGCCGTCTGACGTGGAAAAAGCGATCTGGCCAAGGGACTTACTCTCTGTTTCGTGCCATGCTTAGCCCATCCGTAACTCACTTGGATATGTCTTCATTCGCATTCTCGATTTCTGATCAAGAGGCCTTGAGTCTTGTTGCTATCCTAGGAGATTTGTGCCCATCCATGCAGCACTTTAAATGGACGGGCGCACCGCTACTTCCCCGCTCATTGCCCTCTAATTACACCGACCAGGCATTTTCTAGCGTGGCATGTGCATGGAAGAGACTTACATCCTTGTCGTGCCCTGCACTTCATCAGACTGCTTTGTTACAACTTTCGTCCTCAAGCTACCTCCGCGACATCACATGTACCCTGGCTCACTCTTCCCCCGAGACTCGCACTCTAGCGATCAACCGCCCCGCCTTTCCCGCTCTTACCGCGCTTGCCTTGAGCAGCCCCCCACGTGCCTCCCTAGCCATCATCGCTAAGTTTATCAGCAAGATAGCAATCTCCCCGTCGAGCCTGGATTTTTCTGCGGATACAACAACAGAACTCGCGCTCACCGAGCTGCTCACTGCAGTCACAGAGCACTGCAACAAGGACACCCTTACCTCCCTGCGTGTTTCAGAAAACTATGATAGATCCTCGGTTATCGAGGGGGGTCTGGCTCTTAGCTACGCAACCCTTGGCCCTTTGTCTCGCTTCCGTAACCTTACACGCCTCGAAATCGACACCCACCGGAACATACTTCTCGATGACAACGCCCTCCTCGAAATGGCAGGCAGCTTCCCCGATCTCAAAATGCTCCATTTCAACTCCGGCTATGCGTGGAGAACTCGTTCGCAAGTGACATTAGTCGGCATCCGCCAGCTTATAGCCCGTCTCGCCAGCATAGAAACCCTCGCACTCGCAGTCGACGCCGAGACTCAGCCGCTCACCATGAGCGCAGTTGCCGAAGCCAATAGGGCACTTGCAGTGCAGTCCGCTCGGGCGACCTCCACGTTAACCTCGCTCAATCTGTTGGACTCGCGGATCGACTTGAATTCCACGCTCGTTGTCGCGGCATTTCTCTCGGACTTTTTGCCTAACACGGATACTTCCTTATCGTGGAATACGAAACACTCGGAGTTTGGTGACGCAGATGAACAGGGCCAAAGGTGGACGGACGTATGGGCAGCGATGGACGTCATATGGCAGGTGAGGGAGCAGGAGAAGGCAAAGTGGACGAATAATCGGCAACTATGTGACGGTTAGTCATAATATTATCTCTGTCTATACGTTCTCGAGTGAACATGGACGCTCTACTGAGTATGATCAGTCATCACATTTGTCTACGTTGATGACAGGCTTTTCAGGAAACGTCTAGTGCAGTTTAGGTCATGTTAATTGTTTTCTCCGAGACTCGCCACGTCGGAATTTAAACAGTGCGTCGCGACAGGTCGCAACGTGTGCCCGGTGTTCTCAGATAGCTCCATTTTATTTTCTCTCTCTCCACATTGACGGGCCCATTGACAGGCTCATCAGCGAGTGCATCTTGCACGTTTGCTGATGCCTAAATTGAGGGCGGCACCAACATCGACTTGTTCGAGCTTGTGGACGTCATGCTGAAGCTCAGGCTCGCCGCGCTGAAGATCAACGAGAGCGCCGGCTGGCGGACTCGCCCACGCGCCACCATGCGCGTTCTCCGCGGACTCATCGCGCGCCTGCCAGACCTGCAGACATAGTCCATCGCATTCAGCGCTGAGTGCACTGAGGAAGAAATAGACTTCCTGGCGTACCCACCGGGTGTGCCTCGTGTAGAGCCCTCCGCAGACTTCTCATTCAACGTATTGAACTTGTGAGTGCGCTCGAACCCACGTACCATGGTCCCTGCCTTCAAGCTTGGCCTACTTGATTCCAGAATCGGTGCAGGCGCTCGCATCATGAACGCTATTGCAGAATTTCTATCCAATCTCTTCCCCAGCTTTCGATACTTTGACTACTGGTAAGTACAAAACCCGACCCACGATGACGCCGGCACGCAAGCGGAGTGGTGGTCAGAGGTGAAGCGAGAAATGGAGAGCATGTGTCAAGCTAGGAGTCAGGAAAAGGTGAGCTAGCGAATGAATCTGGAGCTGTGGGGCTGCTATTAACTGTGGCCCGGCTTTGGACTTTCGGAAAAGTTATGCTCAGCGAGGAATTCGGATTGAATGAAGTGTTAGAGTTTCTGGTTGTCTTACAAACTGGGGATCTATTTAGTGCGTGTACTTGAAGATCTGGCCAGGTCTTTGTCCTCCCGGAATCTACCTTGTTCAACAATTGCTTACGTTTGAGGCAGCTTGCTCGCAAGTTCATTTCGTTCAAGCGCCCATTGACATACGGCATGCTCTTTTCCTAATTCGCCAACCTTTCAAGCAAGTACCAACCTCGCAGGCTGCTTTCTTGACTGTCTGGAACGATTTCTTATGGCTGGTCCTAGCTGGTCGCATCCTATCGGCCACTCATTTGAGCGTCAGTATAAAGGACGGATTGTCTGCATCAGACACTCGCTTGCACGAAGCCAGGAGGTGTGATTGTGTGCTACGGCATGTACGTATCATTCTTCCTTCCGCCTCATGAAGATTGAACGTTGTCGAACGTAGGACAGGCGCCTCAAAAATCACATTCACAATGAAACAAGTGCTGCGACGTTAGCGTCTAATAGGTCCGTGTCTATTCCACGTCCTCGAAATCTTACTATTAACTAAGTCTTCTTGCGGTTTAGGCTCAACGGCGGGATCGCGCGCCGATCTTGCCGCTGCGACTTGCTTTGTAGGCGAGCACCGCATTGTTCCCGTCGTGAGCCACATTTTGCGTGGGATTTCAAAGGCAGAAGAGGGATTCGAATTTTTAAGCAAGGAGAAACAGTTTGGAAAGATCGTAATCCAGGTTGAGGAGAGCAACGGGGCAAAGCTATGATGGTAGGTGGTAAACAAATTTACTCGTTTGCATTATGTAGTGTTGGCTACCCTGTTATATTGCACCAGAGGCAACATTGTCACAGAATGTGTGGAAACATAAAAAAAAACCTTTACGGATCCAGCAGCATGTTGGCACGAATAGAATTTGATGGCTGAGCAGCTGAGGTGTGCCGCCGTGGGCTGGTACGTGTCGATCTTGGGGTTGGCTTGCGAGCGGCTGTGTTCTCGCTTTATAATGAGCAGTTGTTCAACATTCAGATGAGTGGGTAAGAATTCACTTGGCTTTCTTGTGATCAATCGCGTTTCAACGATGGCGAATTGCGGCCAGCTTGAAGTGTTTACTCTACAAGCGCCTGGGCCACTGCTCCGTTCAAGCTCCGTTGTTTCCCGCGACTCGCCGCATCGGGCATAGAAAAGCGCGTCGCGATGCGCGTCTACGCCAGTCTACGCCGCACTCACAGATAACACCAGGTCCAACGATCATCGCATTACGCCTCCCGCTCTCCATCTTGACGAGATTGTCTTCCGAATTGCACACAATGTTTAGGCCAAGAGAGACCTTTTAGCTCTCGCCTTAGTCAGCCAGTTATTCAGCCGCACTCGATGCTCTGTGGCACACGCTGGAAGCGTTCATTCCTTTGCTTCGTTGTCTCCCTCATGGTCTCATCTCGTTAGACGCACATGAAGCCAATATGATGGCAGTAAGCTTCTCTTTGGCATGTACATGCCTTTACCTTACATCGCCGTCAACAGAAATGGACCCTTACTCGCCCTTTCACCCCTGCCGACTGGGACACCTTGTTGAAGTACTCCCGTCGAGCCGTGTGTCTAGAGGGAATTGAATGCTCCAAATCTTAGTGACGTACCAAGTTTTAGCATACAATTGATCATGTACTCCTCATGATGCTTTCCCAGCTACCCGTTGTCCGCCTCTTTCCCAAACTGCACATGCTAAGATGGCGCAATGCACCTCACGAAGCCATGCCTATCCTCTTCAACATACTTGGACCGTCCATAGCCCACATTACTATTTGCACCAAATTTATCGACATCGCCGCTATCACCCTGCTGGCTGTACTCGGCCAAAGATGTCCTCGTCTTATCAGCTTTGGCTGGAGCAGCGAAGCCGAGTTCAGCGAGGGCCTTGTCCGCGCACTTGCAAATGTTGTGAGGCCCTGGACCCATCTCACAATGCAGCTGAACGCAGACGCTCTGCGGACGGCGCTCGCGATGTCTCCCGCGGTCACACCATTAATCCTGGAAGCCACAGCTTTTTCTATAATCCAATTCTTGGTCGATGTAACCTTGGTTCAGGCCGCACAAGCTTCGTGTATCAGCATGCCCATTTTATCGCACGGAGCATATTATACTGGCGATGTATCTGCAGAGTGGATAAGTTGAAGACGACACCATCATGATGCACTCATTCACAAAGCCGTTTGTATGAGGTCCACGTGGATTCGGTGCAGCGGTGCCTTTCGGGCACAGTCCTTTACTTCCCTTTCTCACGCATTTTCCAAGGAATCGTGTCAAAGTTGATTGTCTGTCATTTATCGATTCACCCATAACATCCACCCATGCATCATGCCTTACTCATCAGCGAGGTTGTCCACAATATCGCAAACCACATTAAGCTAAACAAGGATCTTTCATCACTCTGCTGCGTATGTAGGGCTTTTCGTGAACCAACACTCGACGTCCTTTGGTCGGAATTAGACTCCTTCATTCCATTGCTTCGATGTTTACCATCCGACCTCGTCCAAGTTGAAGCTGGGCTCCGAGATGACAGACGTGGAACCGCAGTGTGTATGACTCTAATTAGATTTACACATCGTTCTCACTTCTTTTTAGACGGTTCTCTACACGTTCAAGCGTCACTTCACCACTGCAGACTGGGATATCTTCTTTGGATATGCTCGCCGGGTCACGACTCTCCATCTTTCAACAGAGGCTACTTCAACAAGCCATTCAGAACACCAATTATTAGTGAACCAGAGGATCGATGTCTCAATCTTTCAGGTTCTATGTAAACCCCCGGACTCTCGCCCACTCTTCCCTAGGTTGCGCCAGCTGGGCTGGTATGATGATACTGCTCACGATACCCTTTCGTTCATGCGCCTCCTGATCACTGGAAATCCTTCTATCAGGCACCTCACGGTGTATGCTGAGATTATGGATGTACGCATGCTCAGTCTTGTTGCCACTCTCGGGCAATTATTTCCTTCCTTATCCTATCTGCAGTGGGGGGACAGCCTGGACACTGTGCTGACCGACGATATCGCTGAAGCATTTTCAAACTGTGTATACGCGTGGGGAAATCTCGCTCATTTAGAGTGCCCTACCCTGAATGCCGACGCCTTATTGCATCTTTCGTCGCTGAACTCACTCGAATATCTCGGGCTCACTATACCGGCCATTCTACCTGTTCATCGCGAGCCCCAGCTCAACATGTTCTCCGTTGTCCATGGATTATCCCTCTTGACTCATTCTCATCAGTCCTTGACGGATGTTGCACACTTCTTGGAGCTGATTGTTGCGTCACCGGAGGACATCTTCGTGGTTGCGGAGATGACTGTCGATGCTGGTGTTGCTGCATTCATGGAGACACTCTCGAGGCACTGCGATCACACTAGCCTCCACAAGCTCCATATCATGGAGTTTTACACGGACGCACCTCAGTCGGATAGAGAGCGGTTAGCCCTAGGTTATAACGCCCTCCGTCCACTTTTCAGTTTTGGCGCGCTGACAAGTCTTGATATTGACTCGGGAAGACGCGTTTTACTCGACGACAATGGTTTGCTTGCAATTGCGGACGCATTGCCCAAGCTCGAGAGTCTGGGCATCAACGAACGTTGTGGATGGCGAACCTGCCCACTCACCACATTACAGATTTTGCCCAAGCTTTTGTCTCGTCTTCGAGACCTGAGCTACCTTTCCATTGCGCTTGATACACGGAGACAATATCCAGAAGGGGACACCATCAAAGTAATCGTCGAGAATGGCATCCCAGAAATTGCGCGTGTTACCAATCTCAACTTCACTCTCAATTTGCTGGACTCGCGAGCGGGCACGAACGATATTCTCCATGTTGCAGCGTTCCTTACCGATGTCTTCCCTACTCTGGAATACTTTAGTGTCTGGTCCTTGGATGATAGTCCACTGGATAGTGAGGATAACGATGACGAAGATACAGAGCTGCAGCCATCAAGGTGGAGGCAGATTGAGGATGCCATGGACGTAATGCGCGATGTCAGGAGGCAAAAGAGAACCGGTTCGGTGGGAAGTACAGCGTCTGGTAGTGATGAGTAGTTACCGAGACCTTATGCGTGTAGAAATACGGGGTCGCTCGCGACAACGACACAGCGCGCCTGTCTAGGCGAGGGCAGGGTGCTCGAAGGGCAATCGCGTGAAGATCTTGACTAGCTTTGACAGGATTATATACGTAGATAAAACTCGGAATCTATGTGATAACAATAACATGTCATGATGCGAGCGGCATGCGAACATTATTCCAATAATGCGTTGAGATAGGTTTACTATATTCTGTAGCCAACGTATATATATACTGAACGTTGTGCCTCGGTTGTATTAGCTAAGAACACAACAAAGCACGTCTTGCCGCTCCTCTCTCAAGCTTATCTGCTAGCCTCGAGGCTAGGTCCCATCAGTCTTTCTACGTGCTTCCATCGCTCACGATACTTCTCCCCGTCTTCACCTGGGCCAACTACGTATGTGATCGTGGGGACATCCCATGCCTTGAAGACAAGATGTGATCCATTCTCGGCGCCTCCCTTCAGTCCCGGAAATAGGCCTTTGAGAAACACAGCCGTAGTCTGTATGTTATCTTCATGGATGCGAGAATCAAGCAAGTCGACGAGTATCAGCCCTTTTTGGTGGGAACATGAAAATTCGGATAGATCAGGTGGGCCTTGTGTATCGACTGCGAGCATAAGATGGGTTAGGAATGGGAGGTGAGAAACGAGCCTGCGCAGCCCGCTCAGTGTTACTCCAGGCTTCAGTACGCCCCAGCCTTGACTTGGGTTAAGGCTGAGGAACTTCAGCTTTGGAAGGGTCTTCACCACGGCAAGCAGAGTGGGTTCGTCCAACAGTACCGTACGTCTCGTGTCAATCTTCAAGAGATGTAGCTCCATGAAACCACTAAGTTGTTTGATGTCTGAGGAGCCCATTGACCAGGTACCAGGAACATTCTGAAATGTCTCGTGAACGGCCAGTTCACGCAACTGAGTTGGGACAAGCCTTTGGGCAACTGCGGCGAGAAGCGAGTTGAGCGAAGACGCAGAAGAGGACGATGAGTCTGCTCTGAACATGTCGATGGAGAGGAGGATGGAAGGTGGCATGCTCTGCAAGAAGTGCGCCACCACACCGAGAGTTTCTTGTGGTGCGGCAGTGAGGTGTAGCATCTTGAGACCAGGAAATGAGTCCTCGGACGCTTCTTTCAAGCTGTCGGTGGGGGAGACATACAGCGTAAGATTTCGCAGGTGTCGCATCTGGGAAACATGTCGGAATGTGGAGGGTGTAAGTGAAGTGCAGCAAATGAGGTGGTTCAAGTGCGGCCACGTAGATATGGCGCGGGATAAAGCCTCTCTTTGGGCTTCTCGAGCCGGCAGGGGGTTCATCAACGTCAAATGCTGGTGATCTTCCCATACGAATTCCTTCATATGATGACAATTTTGTGCAAGCGATGCGGTGATAGCAAGAAGCTCTTGAAAACTTTCTGGGTACCGTAGTGGCGGACAGTCAATCTTGATCTGAAGGTGCTCTATCCCGATCGCAAGAAGGGATTTGAGGAAGAAGTTGTGAAGAAAAGAGCTGCTCAAGGACCACGAGATCATCTTCAGGCGAGGAAAAACTCCTCGAAGAGAGACACTGGGTGGAGGAAGGGACAACACATGGAGTAGGGCCGTGCTGACTTGCAGAAAAACACGCGGGACACTGCCAGGGGTCTCTTCGAGATGAACTTCTTGCCCGCATATCCCCAGCAGAATGACGATTCGACGGCTATAGAGTAGAGGGCGTACCCAATCATCGGGGAGCGGCATGCGCTGAAGGGTGTACATCTACCATTGAGTCCGAGGGTACATGGCGCGTTCGATGATGAAAATTGAGCATCAATGTGAAGCTCAAAGAAGTATTAGTGGAAGACATACCACTTGAGTTCCATTTGCGGGAATGTTTTTTCCCAGAACGCCGTCCGGAAAGCATAGTAGAAGTGGAACAATGCTTGGTAATTTTGACCAGAGATTGTCGAGGGCGGGATCGGAAAATTTGCGGCACGTAAGCGCGAAGGTTATGCGATCGCTGTTGGTTGGTTGGAAGGCCACGATGCGATGTAGAACGTCGAGTATGAGAAGAGCGCGGTGCATGGTGTACAAGCGAAGAGAAGCGTACGAAGATACAAGGTGGCGGGTGGCAAAAAAAAAACGGAGCGGCGAGACGCGACCCGGCGCGACGCGTCACGTCGCGTCAGCAAGGCAACCTCAACGCGCTGGGCTAATACTTCTCGTATAACTATACAAATGCAATTCTTCTTTGGAAAACGTTATATATCATGTACACCAGTATATTCTATAATTACTTGTTCGCCCCTCCTTGAGCCAAATATCGTCTTATCACCTTCTCGTATATTTCCCATTGCAAGGCCGTCTGATGCTCCAGCATCATGCCAGCGACCACTCTCCATCGATTCCTTTGCCGCTTCGCCTCCGGCTTCGACACCCCACCGAATTCGGGCTCTTGACCATTGTCGTCGGCATCCCACGCCCGGAATCCGTATCCATCCTCCGAGCCGGCATCGAAATCTCCACCAATATGAGGGAAAAGAACCGCCAGCAAGAAAGATATCCGCCCCATGTCCTTTTTCTCGATTTTTGAATCGAGAAGATCAATGTCAGGTTCCCGAGGTCCTTGCTGAGCGACGTTGATCCAGCGCAGGGCACGCTGTTGCTCTAGGATCCCCATTGGCCTGGTCGTCTCGACCGCCACCGCAAGGTTCGTGAGTCTCGGAGCTGTAAGCAGTAGCGCCCGTAAACCCGGTAACGATACGCTGGGATGCTCAACGCGCCACCCGCGGTCCTTGTTAATCACGGTAGTGTGTAGGAAAGGCCAGGCCATCCCAGCGCACATCATCGCCCTGTTGGTAACGTCGACGCGGCGCCCCGTCTCAACTACCAGGCTCTCGAGGTACTTGAAGCAGCCGAGTGGCTCGAGGTGCTCAGCGTCGAGCACCCAGGACGGATCCGTCGGGGCTTCTTCCTCGAAGAAGTCTACTTCACGTAAACTGTCGACGAATATACGAGCTTCGAGCGCTTCGCACAGGTCGAGGACAGACTTGGCGGATGCGTGAGTGGCAGTGGCGCGGAATCTAGTGACGGACAGTCGGCAGTTTCGGGAAAATTGAGAGAAGAAGTGGATGATCGAGTCGAAGGTGTGATTGGTGGCATCTAACTCCAGGTTCACGAGCGCGGGGAAAGGGCGTGCACCCAACTTGAGTTCCTTGTTGTACTTCGCTTGCCACGGCGGACCGACGGCGATTGTGAGGTGCCGGAGCGCAGGCAAGGTCGCGAGGTGGGAGAGTGCTTTGCCGTCGAGCTGACCGCATCGGAGGTGCTCGAGTCGATCCCAGCCTCTGACAGCAGACGAGAATGCATCTATCTGCGCCTTCCTCACCGGTGAGAGCAAGAAATCGTCTCTGGCAGATGAGTGCAGGAGTTCTTCCCAGATAAACCGCCGCACAAGTGGACATGCTTGACCGAGCGTCGCGACGACGCCTGCGAGTTCATCCATCTCACTTTCTCCGACCGCCGGATCTGCTCTAATATTCACGTTCTCGACGGCGGGTCCAAGAAGGACTTTCAAGAACGGGGCTGAGCCTGAAGGAGCATCGGCCCACCAGACGTTCCTCACGCGAGGGAAGACCTCGGGGACGGAGATTCCCGGCGGAGGCGTGCCCAGCATACAAAGGACGGTCCCGTCGACCCCCAGATGAGTCGGACGTTTTCCGTCTGGGATACCAGGAATATTGTTCAAGGTGTGGCCAAAGCCATTAATATGGTGGAATGTGACAACGCGGCGGGTGTAGAGCAGGAGGCGATCCCAGTCGGATGGGAGAAGGGCACGGCGAAGTGTGTACGTCTGAAAAAATTGGCATTAATAAATTGAAAAAATTGGCATTAATAAATCTAATGGCGAGAAGTACTCCGCGGAAACGCAAGGAGTGAACGTACTGCTCTCGTCTTTTTCTTATTCAACTTCTCCACAATAGCTCCTGGAGGAAGGCAAAACAACAATGGTGCGACACAGGGTAGAGTCGCCCATAGCGCATCGAGCACAGGCTCCGACATGACCTTGCAAGTGAGTGCAAGCGAGGCACGGTCGCGGTCGCGGTCGGATGGTTGGTGCTCGGAGATGGTCCGCGAGATTTCGGCGATGAGCAGGGCGCAGTGCATGGTGATGGTACGTTTTCCGAGTTCACAGGTAAACGAGGTCAAAATCGAGTTTCTTCTGAGGATTTAGTGAGGGGAGGAGATAGAAGGAGGAGATGAACGTACAAAAGATACCGTTTTTATGTCTTTGGGATGTGGGGTAGAGTCTCCAAGTCAACAGGGTCGCGTTCCACCGGCGACGAGTGACATCACTTTGTTGAATGGGCCCTGGGGCCTTGGCAGTAACATATCCACCCAGAGCCACCTTATCCAGCTGGTTAGGGAGTAAGTATACCCACAGCGATTTCCCCAGTGCTGGAACGTTGTCGGGGAGGGGCCAGTAAGAGTCACCCAGGGCGAGAAGAATCGGAAGAACTTGTCGGGTTTTTCAAGGTAATGGCGGACATCGAGGTTCAGCACGCTGAGTAGATTCTTGCAGATAAGAGTACTGGGTATCAAAGGGTTGGCTAGGTGACCTGACCATATCGTCTGACGTCCTTACCAATGTAACGTGCGAACGCGAGGGCCGGCGAGGACTGAAGCTGAAGTGGGGTTTCACCCGCGCAGGACGACGGTTCGCGTCACGAACGTCACGCGTGACCGTGCCCCTGTTGCGCGCGAGCGGATTCCGGATGCCAGGGCCGAGCCGAAGCGGACTCAGCACGCTCGCCCGCTCTCGTTCGCGCTCCTGCTCCCGCCTTCGACCACGATGACCGAGCGACGCGCTCGACGCGCCCAACACGCGCTGCCGACGTCGACGTTGCGGACAGCCGACGCACGCCGACGCACGTCGCCTCAAGGAGCCTCAAGGAGGGCGACCAGCACCCACTAGCGCCGCGCTGCCGGAAGTACAGCAGCCTTCCTCGGCTCGACAAGCGACGCGCCAAGCCCGCGATCTGACACACGGAGGCACAACCTCCTCTCCCGCATGCGCAGAAGAGCGCGCGGAGCGCGACACAAGACACTCGGGAAGGACTCACCGGGCGCGTTGAGAGACGTCGAGGGCTGAGGAGGAGAATGAAGATTGAGAGGGCAAGGTGAGTGGTACCTTGCTGGATTTTGAGCACGAGCTCACGCATCGAGTTGAGAACACGAAGCAACAGCCTCTGGCTTGATCCGTCGCGGTTACGCGACGGCGTTTTCGAAGCACAGGGGATGTGACAGGTCAGTTCTCCAAGCGAGAACTGTCGTCCGCCCACTTCGCAGTGCCCGCAAATTATGCCCAGCCTCCCTCAATTCCCCGCCAAAATTGACTGCGAAGGGCTTCGCACACTGCAGGACGACAGTTTGGACCCTTAGAACGACAGTTTGACCCTGCGGATGACAGTTTCGGCGGCATTGCTGGGTGAGTCGTTTGCTTGCTTTCGAATCCCCTCCTGTTGCTATCACCCTGTCCCACCCAACGCATGTACCGAGCCTCCCATGCACTTGCTATGTAGTTTCTGCATACATGTGAGCAATACAGCAGCTCCAATACACCAACAAATCACACATAAGTTCGAAAAAAGCAGTAAGATCTGCTTATTTTCCGGTTTTAGGATATCTCAGCTAGTAGCAAAGTTTCTATTGATAAGTAACAAACTAGTAACAGAGAGCGGTTGCCCGCATGATAGCCTAACTATAACCTAGCTACAAAGATGGGAAGGGGCTGGGCGATCTCCAAGCTACGCGACCCGGGGGCGCGGGCACAAGCTCGCGAGCGAGCATGATCGAGCGTGATCCGGCGGTGACGAGCCCCTGAGCCGCGAAACCGTCGCCCGACGACGGTTTCGGCAACGGCCGCGCGGGAGGAGCGTGACGCGCGTGACGGCGAACCGTCGTTCTCCCGAGAGAAGTACTGAGCGGAGGCGGATGTTTGTCTTTGCAATTGGCCCTCAGGTTGATCGCGCTTTCCCACGAGCATCGACAAATGTGATTGCCCCTGTTTTCCAGACACGCGTACTTCAACCGTGCCTCTTGCCTTTCCTTGCGTCGTCGCGGCCTTTGCGAACTTGTCTATCTTCCGATCACCTCAAGATCTATATGGACACTTGGACTTCTCGAAGACTATAGGAAGAGAACTTGGAACAACAAACTGAAGCCGCGGTCTTGTGCTCGCTTCTTACCCAGATGACGAAATCCGTACCAGCCTCAAATGGCAGTCCACCACCTGGAATGTCAAGGTGTGCTACTTATTCAAGTTCATACTGGTGCCCTTCCAAGAACCTCCGTCGAATGCAGGTTGGCCACCCTTGAATTTGAATGAGCACCCTCATATAATGCTCATAGAAGAACCAGAGAGGAAGAGAATGGGGTTGGAGTGATTTAAATTGCACCACTCCGAGCGGCCTCCGTGCGGCAAGCTTCGACACTATCCTTTCTAAGTTGACTCACCTCTTCCTCTTGCACAACCTTGATATGGTCTATGATTCGAGGGTCTTCCCTATAACTACTCCACTGATCTGAACACAGATAGTACCTTGTCTCTGTCTTTAACTCTTACTCCCTTGGACGAGGCTCGCAATGCATCGCGCTCTACTCATCACTGAGGTTGTGCTCAACATCGCCCATTATGTCTCCTCCCAAAAGGATCTTTCATCCCTCGCTCAAACGTGTAGATCCATGAGCGAGCCAGCCCTTGACGCGAGGTGGTCGGAGCAGAGCAACATAGCCTCTCTGCTACTATGTATGCCCAGAGACCTTATCAACATCAAGCGCGACGCACGTACTCAGAAGCTGGCGAGTGTTGTCTTCATAGCACAAGCAAGCGTCGATTTGACGTCTCACGCACCGTTAGATCTGGACCTTTGAACGCAAGCTCACTGCTGAAGACTGGACCACGTTTCTAAAGTATTCCAGTCGCATCATCACTCTTCATGGAGTCGTGAGACATGGGCGTACTGTGTTTCAAGGGCACGATGTCGTGGTCTACGACAAGATCGACGCCACGATATTCAAGGCGCTGTGTACACCACCGGCGCCACACCATCCGGTTCTATTCCCAAAGCTGCAGAATCTGACCCTGACTCACGGTGATACGATAGTTCGCGACGTTTCTCTCCTTCGAGTCCTGCTCGGCCCATCCATTACCTCGCTTTACGTTTCTACAGACCGAGTGGATAAACAAATGCTGAAAATTGCATCCTTGGCCGGCCGGCAGTGTCCCTTGATGACCCGGTTCGACTGGGAGGGAACGTCAAACAAGGATGCCATTCTCTTACCTCATGTCGTGAGCGCCTTCTCCGATTGTGTTCATGCATGGGGCAGTCTCGAGTACCTGACCTGCCCCGTCCTCGACAATGGCGCCGTACGGCATCTTTCGTCCTTAAAATCCTTTGAGAAGCTCTCGACCACTCTTAGCAGCGCAGTATCCAAAAAAGCAAAAAAAATTGCCAGGAGCGTTTCCTGCGCTCAGGCAGCTCACACTGTTCAGCCCGCCTCATCATTCTCTATCGACCATCACAAACTTCATCAAACTTATTGAGATCGCACCCACTGGCGTCCAGCTCATTGCAGACACCGCCTCCGCATCTGCACTCGCAGACCTTCTACAGACGCTGTCAACACAGTGCGATGCGATCAAGTTAAACACGCTATATATCTCCGAACACGGCTTAACCGATCAGTCGCCGCAGACAGCGGGAGGTCGCTTGGAACTAACCCGCACGACGCTCGAACCAGCGTTCAAGTTCAAAAACTTAACTATGGTCCAGCTCAACACCACTCGAGAAGTCTTGCTGGACGACGCAGCCCTCATAGATATAGCGGACGCGTGGCCGAAGCTCATAGCCCTCGGTATCAACCCGCAGTTTGCATGGCGAGTCCGTCCTCGTGTTACCCTACGCGGCCTGCGTGCATTCCTAGCTCGCCTTCCCAGCCTCAAGGTCCTCGATATTGCATTCGATGCGACGATCCCCTTTAGCTCCGGTCACGGTATATCCGAGGATATTAACATGGTTTATGATCCTAAGCCGCTTTGCTCGCTCAACTTGCTCAACTCGTGGATCGACGAGGCAAACATAGTTGAGGTAGCGAATTTCTTCAGCTGCATCTCGTTTCCGGACCTTCGGGATTTCGGAGCTTGGGCCTTCGGAGTGGCAATGGTCGAGGGAAGGATCAACGTGGAGGATATTATGAATGCAGGGAGCCAGCAGAAGCTATGGATGCGTGTTCGAGAGAGGATCAACGCTCAGCGTCGCAGCAGGGGTCTAGTGGAAGTATCGGAGTGATGTATATTAGTATGATTCCTTTCTCTGTCCTGACATTGCACGGCTGATTCATGTTGCTGACTTCCTCACTGGCATGTGTTTGCTTTCAAAGGTGTTGGTCATATTTTATCCCCGTCCTAGAAGATGATAACACTGATTCTAACGCCTGCCAGACCAACATCTCAATCTCAAAATAGTGCTAGAACCCGTCATAGTAAGTAGTACTGCACGCCATGAATAGCTTGGCGCGTATTTGTTGTAGCACTCTTCCTGGATCTCGCTAAAAGTTCTGTTGCAATGTTTTGGACATGGAAAGCATATGTTGCATTTACAGATACACGTCGAGATTAAGGTAAATACAACTGCAACATGGCGTGGTGCGTAACGACTCGAGTTTACATTTCAGCAACACCGATCATCTGATCCATCCTAGCAACGGACTGGTTCGACTAACGCAGAAGCAAGCTAAGGATGCCCCTGTTGTGTGATCCGTAGAGAATGGATGTGGTTCCGTAAACGACAAGGCAGAACGTGAGCCCAAGAACTACTGCTAGGGAAATAATATCATATCTGTCACCCGCTTGATACGCTTCGGTAATAAACGCAACAGAGAAGAAGACGAGGCTGATTTAAGAGGGCGAAGCAGTTAATTAATCATGCTTTAAGGCTTTACCTGCAAAGTCGCTTACCTCCACATGAGAAGCGCGTAAGGCAAGCTGTAAACTACGGCTAAACGCTCAAGCCCCCGCTTATGAGAGTGCATTTTCTTCAAAAATGAGGCCTGAAAGAAAAAAGGATTGAGTATGCTTCTGATGAAGTTCTTCAGTTTACCTACCACAGCTCCGACATCCTTATGACCCTCACTTTGATGAAAGCGAACTAGGAATGTGCCGAGTACAATACTTCCAACGCTGGTTGTTAGCGACCAGTAGCTTGCAATCTGGGTGAATGACTTTTGGCCATTGTCCCCGTTGTCCACGCTTTGGATGGAAAGAAAGCCGACATTCGCACCCAACAATACCGTGGCCTGGAAATCGTAAGGCATCAATCCGAAGAACAGTATATCACTTGCTTACAAGAAGGTTAAAGTCTTGGAGCTGCATGTGCAGACGTGTGATAAACTCTCTCCATGTGTACCTATTCGCTATCTTGTTCAGATAGATGTCATGCAGAGTGCTGACATATGCCTTGGGTGCTCGAAACAAAAACCATGATCCCAGCTCCATCCATAATGACGGATAGTAGTCCCAGCCCAAGATCCATCCGTACACATCTTCATCATAGAGCCGCGCATTGGTTGTTCCGTGAAAGTTCATGAATTGATTGTATGCTGGTAACTTCAACGTTACTCGTTCTCTTGCAAGATAAGATAGATGCTCACTGATATTATGCATAATACGACCTTTCAGTATGGGCCGTGTCTCAGATATAAGCATTTACAGGGCTCGAATGTGGTTCGTAAACTGCTTACCAATGGCACATACTGCACGGGATTCCTGTCTCGTTGCACCTACTGAAGTGCATACATTGTCAGAAGAGAACCAGAACAATAAGGCAAAGCGAGGCATGCTAAACCTTTGATATCATCGATTACTGATAAGTACGTGTCTATATCATGGACGTTTAAGAGATGTCCTATAGTATCCGTGGATGTATAATCTTGGAAGTTTCAAACAAGAATTTGGTTAGCGTAGCTTACCGCGAAGGGATAAATAAAACTCACTGCATTTGGCAAATATCATGGTGCTCTTAGCGTCGTCCAGAATGTTGTCATTGATCTCGCAGGCTACAGGATACATCATGCAATGCTTCCTTTGTTTTTAAGGCGTCTCATTAGTCTGCATCAAGTTAAGCCATAGAACTTGGAGAAGACAAACCAGTAGTACGCAGCTATTCCTAAACCTGTTATAATTTGAGTTAGCTTGAAGCAATCCATAAACATATGAACAATCCGCGACAAACGTTTATGAGACATATCTCTTACACCTTCAAGGCCCCAGAGGAGAGAGTTAACGTCGTGTATCCAGAATAAACTCTGTCCTTCAGGGTTGACGAAATAGTAACAGATGTCCACATCATCTTCCGCTGAGTTCAGCTGAGGCTCAAGTACCAAGAGCGACTTGTTCTTTATGGCGTCGATCTGATACTCTTCAAGGTGATTGCTATGGTGGAGGAGTAACAGTTCAAGTTTGCTGCGGAAGTGGTTGGCATAAAATTCCACGTCTCCTTGAATATCATCATCGCACACGTTTACATCTGTAAACGTTCTCTACACATACGTCAGGGAGTCGTCGATCCCTGCGCGTGATATCACTCACAAGTGATTCATGGTAGTAGAAATTTGATCCTTCAGGGTGGTGAAGCATCTTCCAACCATCTGGAACTGGATTTCTTGCGGGTAATCAGATGAATGCAAAAAATAACAACAAGACGAAGCGCACGCTTGGAAATGCTGAGGAAAATATGCTGTCAAGCTGGGGATCAAAGGATCGGGAACCCTATCCGAGATGGAAATCATTTTCGGCACCATGTATAGATCTCAAGCAACCTACAGACCGAATGGACGGCGATATCGTTCCCAACGAGAAGGTACCATGTTACTGGCGTTTTCGTATCTTCACGATTTAGGTGTATAGTAGTATTTCGGCCATGAAAGCCGTACTTACTCAGCTCTGGCATCCCATGAGTCGTACCGCTTCAGCTCAGAAGGTGATATTGGTGAGAGTTTAAGCGTGTATTGTTCTTCTATCTCAGTGTTAACACGGGACGGAGGTTCAGCTATGAGGCCCCCCGTGTGTCCTGGGAGGGATGGATCTCAGTAATCGTCCTTGTCAGGATAAAGTCATGTTCAACGACTGCCCAAGTTACCTCCAGTTGCAGAACGCCCGCTGCGTAGCGACGGAGTATTGTAGGGGTTTCCAGTCAACGAATACCTAATTCCGAGCCTATCATGGGTCGATCGAGAATCATCGTCATGTCCAGATTGGCGGCCTGAATGGGAAATCTCTGTAAGAGGCAGCGGAGGAGTAGTAGGTTGCATGTTTAGGCTATTCCGGTCTATTACACTGGGATGGATTGCGCTTAAGCTCCAAACAGATACAAAGATCAGACTATGCAGCACTGCGTACCTCAGAGGGCCTGGTAATGAGTCGGGAAGCGTCATAGCAGCTCCATCGACACGAATCTCTGAAGTTAGTTTCCATGTACGGTCAGCTGGCGGCCCTTGCGGAGGCCCTTTGAGTCGAGACAGGAAGGTCAACAGGGAGATAAATTTGCTGATGAGTCGGCTGAGGGTTACAGAGAACTTCCAAGAACGAAGCTGCTTCAGAGCGTGACAAAGGAGCTGAAACATGATGAGGTTCCGGCTGCGGGGCGTCAAGCGAGAAGGAGAGGAAGGACCGGTGTGAATATCGCGGCTCAGTGCCTTATCAAGCGCCCGATCTTTTTTGTGCAGAGACGTGATCATCATTTCCAAAACGCACATAGCTACCACACACTCGTGCTAAAGATATAACTGAATTAAATAAATTGATGAATAAGGGTACAACTAGGTGTTTACGTGCGGGTGCTTTAGTAGCAACTAGCAGGCCACATGCCAATAGTTACCCTTATAAATTATTCGTAATATTGATCGTCGATATTTTATTTCCAGCCTTAGTGCAATTAGCCTAGCTTCAGATGTGTAGCAAGTTTAGGACATGACCATTAGACATTTTACGATATCAAACAATAATACACGCGAATTATTTGTGACTTACAGGTACACAAAAAAATGTCAGTGGCGAGAGGAGGAGCTGTTTCTGTGACCTATGTCTCGCTCCAGTGTCAACCGTCCTAGAGCCGCTACGTAAAAACACGTCTCCAGACGCCTACGAATTCAGCTTCTTCTGGATACCCTGCAAGAACTGAATCGGCTGCACGTGGAAATCATCCGTCGTCACAATCAAAATATCCGTGTCATAAAACGACAACAGCTGCTTCGCCCCATCATACGTCGGCCACTGCACATCCGCGAAACACGCTCTTCGCGCCCGTCGAGTACCCGCCCTGCGGTACATTAGGGTCCAGGTTGTACGCAAAGTTGATCAGCGGGTCGGTCCCCGCGAAATCGGTGTTGTTGAGGTTATAAAACTCCTGCAGGTCGGACTCGTGGAACGAGCCCACGCCGGGCACGTACTTGTTCCTCCGCCAGATCCACGACCACGTCTTCTGCGTCTGACTCAGCGCATCCAGCGCGAGCCTGCGCGGCGCGTGGAACAACACTCCCGAAAACGTTTTGAGAACGTAAACACCGCAGCTGAGGGCTTGTTATCTTCGTATTATTCGTGTTGAGAGATAATCGTTCCAACGTTGTGCTGAACCAAAGTCAGTTTCATGACACCAAAGTAATGTCAACCGATCTACCTTCAGAATCCCAAACTGGAGGCATGTCAATACCATCCATTCATATCGCAGACACCCAGCACCTTTACCGACCTCGTCGTCCCAGTCTTTAGCACTCCACTCCACTCGGACTCACAACGCATCAAACCACCTCTCGTCCTTCCCTCTTGTACACCCCGCCGCCCTTCACCACAAAGGCAAGACTCCAGCCTCAACGTCCCTCCGAGATCGCCCACCACATCACCCTCCGTCGCCACCACATCAGCTGCCCATCCCCTCTCCAGCACCCCAAACGGCACCTCGTTCGCCCCCACATCCACCTCACTCTCCTCCACCTCCCCTACCTGGGCAAGCCGCTCGCGTCCCGCAGCTCCTTCCCAGTGCATCGACCGCACGGCCTCCCACGCACCGCGCGTCGCCGAACGCAGCGCGTCCGCCCACGACAAACCGAGACGGTGGCGAAGCACGATCTCGCGTGCGTCTGCACCATGCGCGAACGCGCCTGTATCCCCGCCCGCTGCGATCCTGTTCGGCGGCAAGCCCGCAGCAAGCGCATTGCGAAACGTGCGCCGGCCCTTTGTCTACGAGCCATCCGCCTTTCTGCCGCTGGGAGGCGCCGACGGGGTGGAAAGCGCTTCGTACACCGCAAGCGTGGGCATCCAGCGCGTGTGCGAGGAAGGGTCAGAGAGGAGGCGAACTGTCTCTCTTTCTTCTGGAGATAGGATCGGCGGGCCGCTGTCCGGCCCCGAGAATGAGGAGGCGAGGTCACACCCGTGGTCGATCGTGTCGACGCCGAGCGCGTGGGGATCATGGCTTTGAGCTTGGCGTCGTTGAATGTCGCGAGGGGCATCCGAGAGGCTGAGGGAACAGCAGCATGACGCGAGCGGAAGGAATATTGTTGAGGTTTTGAGATTTAAGGTTCGTCTGCACGATATGAATGAGTCGTGAGATTGGTTCACCTGGATAGATCTGGTACCAAGTGCCCCACTGAGCACATAATTTTCGGGAGGAAAATGAGAGGATATGCTGGACAGACCTTGATCCAATCTGCACCTGCACCAATATGTCATCTGACGGCCTTGACGCATTCATCGACCCCGTCTGCAACCTCTGCGCCTGCCACCCCGTCCACACCGTTCTGGTTCACGTAGAGCGAGATTTTTGGCCCTTTGATAAAAGTGTGAGCTACTCCCAGACAGATGGGGATGGTCCGCGAGAGGAGCAAAAGAGCGCACCATAAGCACCGGTGGGGACGATAGCACTGTTCGCACATAAGTATCGTGCGCCAGGGATAAGCGCGTCGGGTCCTGAGAGGGCGTTGCGCAGGGTGAAGTCAGCGTCGCCTGCATCTTCTGTGCCGAGGTCACTGCATTCAGATTAGCTTACTGACCAGCGTTGGATGCAGTCACTCACCGAACAGTTGTATATCCCGCCATGAGCGTCTTGCGCGCATTGACTGTCGCGCGAATTGTCCGCTCAGCGAGACTCCATTTCGTTACTTGGTCGTCCCATGACACCTCCGAATACGGATGCAAGAAGACTTGGTGCCGATGAGTACAAGAGTTAACATCGTGGCTATTTGCGAGTCGCGACTGAGCACGGCTCACGATGCACATGCGCGTCCACGAGCCCCAGTAAGACCGTCTGCTTCATGCAGTCGATGTTCTCGCCGCCAGCCTGGGCATGCGCGCTCACGAGGGCCTCCACAGCAGGGATGGACTTGTAGACGCCGACCTGCTGGACGAGGCCCGAGGACTTGTTGATGACGACGATGCCTGTGCGCGGATCGAAGAACTTTCTCGCCCAGGCCTGGCAGACTTGGTCCGGCCCAGATATCACATCGGTGCCCTCAACCGATGTGGGCCGGGGCTCTGGGTAGAGAAGATGGAATGGAAGAGATGTGCAGAGTCGCTGGTTGACAGCTGCTCGATGAGAACCAGCTCTCTCGACGTCACGACGACGACGGTGGCACACACGAAAGGCGCCCACGGCTGCCCGCGGCCCGACGCGAGGCCGTCTCCGCACAGAGCGGGGGCGGGCCAGGCACCGGGAGTCTCCGAGCTTCCGCTTATTGGGCGGAATAGCTCGGCAAATCCATCTTAAACTTGTTGCGCCCCCGTCTACGCTTCTGTATGAACCCACCTTCTCTTCTGCGCGGTTAAACGCACGCAATGCTCATCATCACACTTGTTACGCATCCCCGAAACCTCCAGAACTCAGAGACGCCGTCTACGAACGCCGCATCGATGAGAACATCTCTTCGGCAACGCAGTGTACAATTTGTAGTTGCTGTGATGGCCGCCAGCACACTCGAGCGAAGATCCCCAGAAGCGAGCGAGTGGCACTTGGTTCACCCGTTCGTTTCATTCTGTGACGAGAGACGCTTGTACAATGACATACAACACATGAATGAACGTGCAACATATGCATATGAATTCTTCGCATCAACGGCCATCCGGTCCACACGTTCCCGAATTCCAACTCCACCCCTTGGATTCCCGCTCGCAACTTCCTGTAAAGACCTTCAAGCTACAAAACAAGAAAGAAGAACATTCCGCATCAAAAGAATAAAAACCTAACCTTGTCCCACTTTATATTCTTATCCTGCGCCGTATGTTCGTGCCCGGAAGTCGTCACCATTGCCCGATCACCGTGCCAGCTGGGCATCAGCACAGCGGCGCAATACGTTGAGTTCTGAGCTTACAGCACCCAACGCACCAGAGAAGCACTGATAAACGGGGTGCGCGAATCCGCCGCCGCCGCCGCCGCCGACGTGAAGGTAGACCTTATCGATTATCGCTCGGCTGCGCGTCCCGAACAGTTTTCTACATACGATGTGGCGTTGCGGAACTGTACCCTGCTCGCAGGTCTAGGCCAGCGCTTGCACCGTCTCCTTCACAATCCTAACCTTTTTTATGACCAGCCGTGGCCACGGCAAAATTTGCTCAACCCCGTGCACAACAACGTGACACTGAGCGCTAAGCAGGGACTCGCTCGTGTCGGCTGCCAAGCCATCGCCCATCGCCGTCCTCGCATGGTGGCGGCGGAGGCACAACACCCACTCCCGCGAGACGACAAGACGGGGACCACCATTTCCTCATGTCCCCAACGATGCATCGCGTCCAAATGCACTCCACGTTTCCTTCGAATCCCTTCTCTTACCTTTGATCACACTAGACGCATCATAATTACAGCAGCAATATACACATAGCGGCAACGACAACACCAGTAACTGCCCACTGAACACCGGACACCGCCACGAGCTGCCAGTGACACGCGCACCGCCGTGTCACCGAGAGCCCGTCGGCCGGTCACGGTCTCATCCCGGCGTTGCAACAACGGTAATAACATCATCTCTGCAACTTGAACTGACCCGCGGCACGGCGTACATACGAGCGCACGTTCCCGGGGCGCACACCATCCATTGAGGCGTAACTGCCGTGCTACCAGGGTATATATAGACTAGCGGAGGCTTCTAATCTGAAGCTCAGGCTGGGCGGTTCACAGTCTGGACCTGAGCTGCAGTTTAGATTCAGGAAAACGGTGCTTTGCACGCTAGTGCCATTCACGAGCATCATGCATCATCATCATCGTTGACCCCCTATGTCCGAGTCCGAAAGCGGTTTTCAAGGGACACACGCCCATGGGACCTTCCCTGGGCCTGAAACGCATTGTGCTACTGAGGATCTTTGAACGACGGAGCCAATGCAAAACTTGGCAAGTTCTCGCCCGGAGAAAGAAAGTCTACTACCGCCGGCCGCACAAGCGAACGGTGGTGTCTTCAAGCTTCAAGCTTCAAGCTCAAGCTAAGTAGCAGGCACGTTCACGCGCCATACGAAAAGAAGTGACACAATTGTGTATATTACGCCTCCGGCTTGTACGATGCGAGGATACATGAGATTATAACAATGCGCGAGATCGAGTGCGGTAGATGTGAGAAGATGCTGCATGTCCGGTGGTGCAATGCGTGGTATGATGCGAGACTATGTACGGGCGGTGTCGACAAAACAAAGCAGATGAGGTGAGATGGGGTGAGATGAGGTGAGATGAGATGTGCATGTGCCGCGGCCAGAAGCGATGAGATAGTTGCAACAAACAAAGAGACAGAAGAGAAGAAACGCGACACACGGGTGTGAAAGTCGAATAGGGAGCGGCGGAAGAGTGATGTCGCGGGTAATAAAGAAGAGTGCTACAATGCGAGCGAAAAGAAACATAGCGTACGTTGTAAAGTCAATGCACGGTGTTGGGCCGTTTCGATAATGTCCAAGGCCAGAATATTTGAAGTCTAGGGGTAGTGTAGATCGTAGCGTCGCGTCGCGTCGTGTACCGAAGCCGAGATATCCAAGTGTTCGTGTTTGAAATGTCGAGGACATCGAAATCGTGTTTTGAACCCGAAGCTGTCGAGCTGAGGATCCTCCTCACTCCCCGTCCCGCCGACTCATCACCACCGCGCCCTCCCACCCAGGCACCCTCGGATCGCCGCCCGTCACGCTCCGCCACGTCCCCACAAAGTTGCGCCCTCCAACGACGTACCCCGTAAACACCCACCAGCCAATACCGTTCTCGTTGTGATGCGCGTCCGTCGGCTCCCCCGCGTTCGCGACGAGCGGCGCGCCCCCGGGAAGGCGCAGGATCGCGACGAGCCCGTCCCACGTGCGCACACGGCCGAGGAAGCGATAGTGGTTCCACGCGAGCCCGTGCGCGAGGTCGGTCTCGCCCGAAAAGACGATGTCCTGCACGCCGTCGCACCGCCGCCTGACGCAGTACTCCTCGCTCGCCTCGCTGCCGTCCGTCATCTCCACGTCTGCTTCTTCTCCTGCCGCTTGCCGCCGTCCGAGGCCGACGCTCTCGTACATCATCTCGATCGTCGCGTCCACGGCCATGCCCTCGTCGCCCGAGCTCATCGACTCGTCCTCCCATTGCCCATCCTGTTCGTCGCTCGCAGGCTGTCCTCCCATGCCCTGGTCCTGGATATACTCCTCATCGTGCTCCCGCTCGATGATTACATCGTCCCCAGAGCGCTCCAAACACCCACGACACGTCGCCTTGTCGTGCACAGATGGCCTCCCAGGATCATAGTGCGCGTACGTGTGCGGCTGTCCATGCGACATGATCGTCATGGTGTGCTGTCGATAACAAGAAGGGTTTGAGTACGCTGAATGGCAGAGAGGGCTGCAGGGGGGCGAAGCGACGAGGGAGAAAAGCGCACCTGCGAGTCCACCCAGCTCCTCGTCCCAGGCAGCCATCCCCTCCACAGACTGGTGTCGATCCCATTTGCAGCACCAAAGGTGTACCCGGGTGCAAGCGGGTCGGCCGGGTCGATCGAGTGGTGCTCGCGCAGACGCATGAACACGGGCGAGGCGGCACACATCGGGTTGAGCTCCGAGAAGCCGGCGGGCATGGTGGGCGTAACGAGGAGATTTCTGAACCCGGTTTCTTCTGGCATCTAGGATAATGTGAGAAGTCAGTGCACGAGTCAAAGATAGAGGATAGTTGGGTAGAGAGAGGAAAGAGGACGCACCAGAAGTCGCCCTTGCCACAACCCCCGCATAAGACCATACGAATAATGCGTCCTCGTAATGCTCGGCTTTGAAAACATGTCCGTGCAGTCCACCGCCCTCCACCAGTCATCGTCCCAGCGTACGCTCGGCCCATTTTGCAAGCCATCCTCGCCGTCGTACCACTCGCCCCGCTCCACTAGTCTCGCGTGCTTGTTCTCGGTCAGCTCGCGTACATCGGCCTGCGTCGGACCCTGCCTCCGGTTGGCGATGGCCTCAGCGCGGTTGAGCGGGAGGTGAGGTGGCACGCCGAGGGGCACGACCTCGCGCCTTGAGAACCAGATGAGCTTGGCGGCCGTGCTCGCGAGCGGAGCACACAGTTCGCGTGCATGGCGGTCGAAATGTGGGACCTCGGCGACGTTTCGCTGGGCATACGACGGATACGCGCCGTGCGCTGTGATGATCGAGTGCGGGATCGCAGAGGGCGGGGTGTTTGCCGAGGTGGGCGAGGGGAGCGGGAGAGTGGCGTGGTGGGCGGGGGCGTAGGCGTGTGCATAGCGGAAGGGGAGGTTGACCAGGGGCAGGAGGAGGTTCGCGAGCTCGCCTCGGGCGGTTGTGGGTTCTGCCGACAAGCGATCTGTGGGTGCAGTGCGTGAGGATGGGGATGGAGATGCGAGGGGAAACGGGGATAAGTCAGCTCGTGACATCATTCTCGGAAAGTGGGGAAGCGAGGAGGCGTACCGGGGGTGCTGGTGAACCACATCACCCAGAGCGCGAGCGATATCGCCTCGTCCTCCCTCGGCCAGCCCGTCTGAGCCAGGCGGTCATTGGCAAGGCGGCCTCTGACGAACCTGTCGACGAGATCGGGTGCGCCTGCCCACTCGAGCTGGGCGATGTTCCGCCCGTCGTTCTCGAGGCACATGATGTATGCTTGCCATAACGCGTTGACGAACTGGTTCTTATTGCCGGTACCGCCGCTACGGAAGAAAGAGAGAGCTTGCGAGTAGTGCTTGAGCTGGTCGGCGAGGTATGGGGCGTGCGAGCCGTGTGGACCGAGACGGCGGGCAGAAGCGGCGGGGTCAAACTGAGTGCGGAATATGCGGGCAAAGAGGGAGGAGGAAGAGGTGAGGGTGGCGTGGGTGTGCTTGCAGGTGAGGAAGAGAGGGACGAGGGCGGAGGGCGGGCCGAGGGGGTCGAGAGCGACGAGGTGGACGGCGATCTCCGTGAGAAGTTCGTGGGGAAAGCGGTGCAGGATGGAGGGTTGGGTGGATGTCATCGCGTGTATGGACGGAATGGAATGGCAGACTAGGAGGGGAGGGTTGATATACTGGAGAACTGCGACAAGTTTAGTTGAAGAGGAGCTGAAAGCGGAAACACCGTCTGCACTGTTTGATGTGAGGGCAGATCGGCGAGGAAGAGAGCGGTGGGATATGCTGGTATATATAAACTAGGTCATCCATTATAATGTGCGGCGTTCCAGCACGGCGAAGCAACTCAGCAGGCAGACGGAGGGACATAAGAGAAGGCGACAGGCAACCCCCTGCACAAAACAGGAACGAACCAATCACCAATCTCCGGCTCGGCCGTAATTCAATCTTGATTTCCTCCTATGAATCTCTGCTTCAGCTCTGCTTCAACCTCCTAGCGCGGTCTCTTCCTTCTTACAGCCCTTCTCCCCTGCCGATCACTCCGATCCAGTCATCCTCGCAAACCGAACCCTCCTGCCCATCCAAGTCCGGTTCCTCGCCCAGCACCTGCCCACAACCGAGTGAACCGAGCCGATCTCAGATTCATCTCACTTTCTCCCCACGCCTCCCTCGCCTTGGTTTGGTTGACCCCCCGTACCATCACTAAATGGGGGGATGAATGATAAGCAAATGACCTTGACCGACATCACAGATCATGACAAACATACACTGGGGAAATGGTGAGACTCCGACATTAGTAGCATGTAAAGTCCATTTTGAACATGCAGGAAAGATCACGGGGATATGAGCATAGCAAAGAATCTATTATTTACTCGAAGGGGCATGCTATCATTAGTAGATACGGCATGATAATAACATATGGGTACTCACGTCGATCAGAATTCACGATCTACTCTAAGCGCCATGTTACCATCGGCAGAGCCCACATGATAACAACATACGGGTACTCACAGCTATTAGAACTCACAATAGGTGCATTATAACGAATTGCGATCACGACGAGGTTTCCAATACCAAGAAATTCGTTGCAAATAATACAGTATGTTCTACAACAGACATTACGGTATACGAGAGAATTTATTGAGACTAGCGTCCGCAAAGGATGAGTATGAGGCGATATACGAGAGCAGTGACAAATTAAAGAGAGGGAAGGAGTGAACGTTTCCATTGGGACAAAGCAGGTGGACACGCTGGTGTCTTGCGTGTAGTCCGCAGGCTGCCAGGAAGAAAAAGGGCGGCTAGGGTTGGGGCAAAAAGTGACGTGCGCGTCAGCGCGGAGGTGCGGAGGTGTAGTGGGGGCGTCTGAATGAGTGTCTGAACGATCCTCACCATAGAACCGTGTGATTTGATTGATCTGTTCTTCCCCCGCATCGTCCCCCGACTAGTGAAGCTTGAAGGCCTAGTAAGCTCGTCAGCTAAGGATCAACTGACTGAGACGGTGACACAGACGACTTACCCTCGGACGCTTGTGGCATAAGTGAGTGAGGGACGTCACCGCGCTGGGTCGGGTATATAAGGCCAGCATTCCATATCTCTCTGCTTCTCTTCTCCCGTATCTCCCGTTTCCGTCATGCTTCTCTGCAACTCCACTGCGCTTCTCCCGAAGCGCCCGACATGACACCGTGACATTGAGCGGGGATTCCAATAGACTCATTTGAACCTTTCATGACTCGGAGTCAATGTCTACTTTTGCGGTGAGCGTCCTTCTGTGAGTCGGCAGATATCGATTGTTATGCTTCTTGTCCGGTGGCTCCAGAATGATTCGACATACAATTAAGGTTTTTAAGAACGACAATTACCTCGTGTTACCTTCCACTCCCTTGGAACATCGCAATACTAGGATTTCATTGATCCTGCCACTGTTATTAGAGGTGCCCGCTTAATCCCAGCATTCGAGTATGAGCAGACACCTGGTTCATCAATCCCTTGACATATATGATGTCTTCACATTGGGCCGAAGAACCCCGATTCAGTGAGCGAATGGTTATTCCATTATGTGAACATATACGTGTTTATCCGAACATTAATGTACTTTACTAATGACTTATTCCTTAAATTCGTTGATAGGGACATGCTCATGCAGTTTTGAGGCGGTGGCATTGCCCACAACTTACAGACCGGCACCAAAAACTTCTAGCATTGACTTTGAGGCCAAGGAACGCGACCTAGCCAATGACCACAGCAGTGATGAGGGAGAGCAAAGTGAGGAGTCTGAGGAACTCACAGATGACAGCCGCAGCGGAGATGGCAGCGACGAGGATGAGGCTGAGATGGATACTGCAGAGCAGGCGGATGAGGGAGACTTCTTGGGTAAGGATGAAGCGCTCGCTGACGAGGCTGGCTTTGATGCAATATTGTAGAGGTCATTCTTTTACTGCTCAGTGTGCTTCAGTTAGTAGCTAACCGGTTTATGAGCAGTCTCCTATAATCGAGTGATCATGTTGCTTTCGAAATGAGATCTGGATTGTTATGCTCCAACATATCGCGAGTGATATTACCTTGAATTTCGGTCCACAGTAAGCTCACAATCAAATGGTACTTAATGGTAAGATCCCTATGATATGATATTCTACTATATTCCATTCTCAGATCGTGGACTGATGCTTAACCAGTGTTGAATCATCGCCATTTACGGTCATACATGATTCTATCAACGGTCATTTTATAATACTGATAACCTCGTTTATGCTCCGGAATTTTTCCCCCGATTTAGTGATGACGCGTATCGCATCAGCGCCTCTCCCGTTCGGTATTGTGGCGGTGAGCGACAAACTTTACCCCAGCCAATTCCCCGCCTCCGTTCTCCGCCATTCCGTCCCCTCTATGTCAAGATCTTTATCAAACATTTTCCTCGTGTTCACCGTGCGGACGCTACCAATGCCGTACGAGGCACAAAGGAACGTTTGATAATAATGCAATGATATCTCTACGAATAAACGGCTCACTCATTGTTCTTGCTTCGAGGCGTTCTATTTTCCATCTCAGCCCACCAACCGGCGCCACCCGTACACGCACCGTCTCTCTTGACTCTTAACCCGAACATTCGAATCAAATCGAGCCAATCATCTCCCTGGCTCTCCCACTCTCGCGGCGCTAGACGCCGGTTTCTTGATCGTGCGCGTTTCATGAAAAAAGAACTTGACACTTTGGCTGACAGCACGAAAAACGCGACAAGCACATACGTAAATAAGTTAACGCAGACCCTTACAACGAGCCAGCTGCTCGATTCCGCTCGACCAGATGCACCTACTGCGTGCGTTCGCTTCTACCTCCATCGCGCGACTGCCTGACCATGACCAACCTACGCATCACGGGCACACAGGTAAGCGAGAGCACAATGGCAACTTGTGAACTTGCCACTGACCGTCTGGCACCGACACAGGGCCCCACGCGGACTCGCTCGTGGCCTCTCCGCTCGCGATCTCACGAGCCCACGCACGCTTCTCTGCCATTTCGCGCGCGACCGGCCCATCTCCTTCTTGTTTTGTATCCTTTTTCCTTTTTCCGACTTGGCTCAGAGAGGCACGTTTGTAGCGCTCGGTCTCCCTAATGACGCCGTCTCTTTTGCACACCGATCCGCTCCCCCGAGGTTGGGCGAAAGCGCTCTGTCGGTGGCCATTGGTTGCGCTTTCATCACGAACCACAATAAATATGATGCGGCGAGTAGGCTCGCTCGATCATCCGCTTTCATCTTCTTCTCAGCTGGCTGGGCGTTTTGCAGCGCAACGTCGGCCTCAGCCTGTTTACAAGTAAAATGGGACCGCCAGCCCGGCTCGGCTCGCAAGTCCGCCCTGGTTGCTTTTGCGTCACTCGGTCTGTCTCGGTGGTGCTCCTGCTCCTTTGGCCCAAGCGCTTATCCGCGTACGTCTTCATCGCATTCATATCCAATAAGCTTAAGTTAAGTTAAGTTCATTCGTCAAGAAACGCGTTTGGCTTGCGAGCAACCGCGTTGCTAGATAACAAAGGTGCCCTGATAACACCCATGCATCAGTCATCCAAGGATCAGTTGACCTCGCCGACGGTCCATTGAACGTTCATTCCTGAACGTCTGAGCGTCTGAATGGCTGAAGATGGGTCTGCTTACCGTGACCCATGTACTTATCAGCCGCCCGCCGGGTTTCGGCTCTGCCTCAACAGCAGTCGCAATCGCCTAACGGCCTCCAACAATAATCTCGGGGTCGGAGATGGCTGACCAAGCAGCCTGTGCCTGGAGCGCTCGCTCACTGGCAGCGGTAGTCTGCCGTTTGCTGCCGGCACGAACCGTCGTCGCAAGGTGCAACCTCCGCCTCTCGTTTCCGCTCTAACGATACTCCAGCGGTAAGCAGCTGATCTCGATCAACTCTGCGGTTCCTCTGCGTTCGTCGGCCCATTAATAGTCCTCTTTCTCTTTGATACGGTAACATCGCACACTGCACGTTACATGGCATCTCAAACACAGACGCGAACACAAAATAGCCGCCGAAAGTCTACGGCGTCAACAAAAACGATTCGAGATTCCCGCCCTGTGCGCACAGCATCTCCCAAAGCGGCTCGACGCATGCGTCCTCCTCGGACACACTACGCACGGTAAGCCGCATACGTAGGATCGACAGACCGCGGCGCCTCCCGTGCTCTATACAAGGCAAGTCGAACACCGCCGCGGTGCTGGTGAGCGACGACCACCCCTTTTTTCGTTTCGGGCAGGCGAGCCCATCAACACAGACGAGTCCATAAGCATCGCCGGCGTTCTCACCGGGCTCCGGGCGCGGGTACGTGCATACGTGAGCATCTTCTGCTATGGGACCATCATCGCATCAGCTAGGCGTATTCAGCTTCTTTGTGTTTTTTCTTTCTTTTTTTCTTTCTTTTTCGTCGATTTCATCTTACTTCAGTGGGTCGAGCTGAAGCGCCAGACAGACCCAAAGATCGGACTATGCAGCGCTGCGTACCTCAAAGGGCCCGGTGATGACTCGGGGGGCATCATGGCAGCTCCGTCGACACGAGTCTCTGGTGTTAGTTTCCATGTACGGTCAGCCGGCGGCCTTTGCACAGGCGGTTTGAGTCGAGACAGGAAGGTCAACAGTGAGAGAAGTTTGCTGAGAGTTACAGACAGAGAACTCCTAAGTACGAAGCTGCTTCAGAGCCTGACAGAGGAGCTGAAACATGATGAGGTTCCGACTGCGTGGCGTGAAGCGAGAAGGAGAGGAAGGACCGGTGTGAATATCTCGACTCAGTGCCTTATCAAGCGTCCGATATTTTTTGTGCAGAGACGGTGATCATCATTTCCAAATTACGCACAATAGCTACTACGCCCTCGTGCTAAAGATATCGCTGAATTAAATACTATCCCCGGCGTGCCTTTGGTAAGCAGACTTGATTCATTTTTCCAGGTCAATATTGGTGACTAAGAGTACAACTAGGTGTTTACGTGGATGCTTTAGTAGCAACTAGTAGGCCACATGCCAATCTTTACCCTCATACATTATTCGTAATATTTATCAATGAAATGAAAACATTTAATATGGTGATTATTTCCAGCTTTAGTGCTATTAGCCTAGCTTCAGTTGAGGTTGGAATCATTTCGGTGTAGCAAGTTTAGAATATGACCACTAGATATTTTTAGATATCAAATAATAATACAAAAGAATGTCAGTGGCGAGAGGAGTATTGTATGCGATAATATTCAAGAGTCCGACATGCAGCAATAGCTAATAGGCAACGAATGTATGCAACGCAATATCGCAGTCCCATACAGAGGAGTCGTTTCTGTGACCTATGTCTCGCCCCAGTGTCAACCGTCCTAGAGCCGCTATGTAAAAACACGTCTCTAGGCGCCTACGAATTCAACTTCTTCTGGATACCCTGCAAGAACTGAATCGGCTGCACGCGGAAATCGTCCGTCGTGATATTCAAAATCTCCGTGTCATAGAACGACAACAGCTGCTTCGCCCCATCATACGTCGGCCACTGCACATCCGCCAGTACGCTCTTCGCGCCCGTCGCGTACCCGCCCTGCGGCACATTGGGGTCCAGGTTATACGCAAAGTTGAGCAGCGCGTCGGTCCCCGCGAAATCCGTGTTATTGAGGTTATAGAACTCCTGCAGGTCGGACTCGTGGAACGAGCCCACCCCGGGCACGTACTTGTTCCGCCGCCAGATCCACGACCACGTCTTCTGCGTCTGGCTCAGCGCGTCCAGCGCGAGCCGACGCGGCGCGTGGAAGTAGTAGTCGCCCTGGAACGACGATATGCGCTTGTACTCGGGCGTCAGCGCGTTCTGCGTGCCCATGTCGTACGGCGAGCCCAAGGCGGGGTCGGCCGGGTAGAGCGTCGCGAGCTGTGCGATGTCCGAGGCGGGCAGGGACGGGAAGAAAATCTCCTGGATGTACGTGCTGAACTCGGCGTCCGTCGTCACATTCAGATTGAACAGCGAGAACAGCGTGCCCTCGTCGTCGACGTCGCCCGTCATAATCGGCACGCGCGCGTACGCGCCGCTCGCAAGCGCCTGCTGCGCCGACTGCGTGAGGAACGTGCCGTCGACGAAGGCGTGCCACGACGTGTTGAGCGCGCGGTAGTCGAGAAGCGCGGGCGTCGCGAGCACCGCGTTGAGGATCGCGTCGTACGGCGCGTCACGGAGGCAGTCGAGCTTGTCGGCCGCGGAGGTGCAGTTCGTCTGTGCGACGATGAAGTCGAAGTTGTCCTGCCCGGTGGAGATGTCCTTGAGCGCGGAGGCCGTGCCGGACTCCATGACGGCGCCGTGGAAGAGGGGAGTTTGTGGGTTGTGTACCATCTGCAACATGCAGGAGATCGAGCCAGAGGATTGGCCCCAGCTAAGCGGATGACATGAGTATGATCAAAATGACGTGGATTGGAGGATATTGGAGAGAACGTACATGATGACACGGTTTGGATCACCACCGAAGGACGAGATGTACTTCTGTACCCATTGCAGAACAGCGTATTCTATACGGAGGCATGATGAAAATGAAAGCAACGAGGAAGCGAAACACAGATGACTTACGGTCCCAGAGACCAGCGTTACCAAGACCTGCAGCCTTTATTTCTGCACCACCGAGGAAACCAAAAGCTGGAACGATTTAAACCTCGAGAATATTGGGGAAGAACGAAAGAGCGCACCATTCATGCGGTAGTTGAATGATAGCTGGATGACGGGCTGACCAAGATCAAGCGAACGGCCAACAATATCGGTACCATTGGTTGAGGAAGCATCACCAGCCTCGAAAGCACCGCCGTAGATCCACTGGAGCACAATCAGCCCTTCTCTCGGCAGCAGCCAAAGATGAAATTCGACTCACCACAACAACAGGAAGCTTGGAGTCAGCAGTAGTGTTGGCTGGACGAACCAAGTTGAGGTAAAGACAGTCCTCAGATGTAGCGACGATGCCGTGAGGCTGGAGGACGGCAAGATATGGCAGGATACCGTTAAGGCCAGGGTTAGTCGGGAAGCTGCCATTCGGTGCGAGCACAGGCTGTTGCGGGCACCCGTTCTTGAACGCGGTCGCATTCTGCACACCCGACATCTTGGCTGGCGCATGCGGGAGAGCGAAGCGGAGCTTGCCAACGGGGGGCTGCGCGAACGGGATACCGTAGAAGGACTCGGTATCTTGAACCGAGCTGAAGCCCTGGAAGGTGGCATAGTCGAGTGAGACAGTGGGCGGACCGTCACGCCTCCAGATGGAGGCTCCGATTGCGGCGGACACGAATGGAAGGAGCGCGCTGATTGAGGCGCGCATTGGAGGGTAGACCGAGTGGGTAGGAAATGGGCCAAGGAGAGTGGGGGGCGAAGGTCACCTAAGGTTATCCGATCAGCCGGTTAGGCTTTATAGGACCTGGCTTGATATAGAGAAGTTTCTTCGCAGTAGTTGAGTGCTGTGTGGTGGTGACATCAAGGAACGAGCCAAGACCAAATGAATTGGGCGCGTCTCTGCCATAGCCCTGCGTTGAAGTCTGGTGAAGCGTCCGACATCGCGACGTCGCTTTGATGAACGGATGAATAGCCCCAGTTGCTGCATCCTCCTCGAGACGCAGTGACAAGTGCACGCGATCGGTACCACCGCCATCCCTAGGGCGAGGGAGAGAGGCTGGCTCGAACGTCATGTTTGAGAATGCCGGAGATAGTTGCGGCAGTTGCGGCACGCCAATTAAAGTCGACGAATTTGGAAGGGATAAGGTTTAGGTCCACGAGCAGAGTTGGTCACCTGGTGAATACAAAGTACATATGCATCTGATAGCTGCATCCCCATTGAATACTCGTCTGTGTTTCGGGTTTCATCTCGGTCCCGGGTGAAATCGGTAGGAACTTGGATGTGTTTGCGAGGGTGGCGATGAATGAAGCTGGAGTGATGGAGGCGGTGAGATGGAATGATGCGACCATGCTCACAACACCCAAATACGATCGAGGCAGCGCAGAAATTCGATTGGTCATTTTGTTTCCCACGCTATCTTTCAGCCACCTTCATGCCATCTGCAGTTCACAGCGAACGCGTACTTGTCTCTTCGCGTTGACCTACTCTCTCAATGGCTACTCCGAGACTGTAAATGTCTCTGGGAAGGTGAAGAGGCCGATGTACCCAGACACTCTTGCTCGATTGATCTTTGTCGTCTCACAACAGACTCGGAAGACTGGGCACCAGGCAGCGCCGCAGGAACAGGTTCAATACTTTACCCTCATCCACCATCATGCATCACGGATCGAACGGATGGTGGATTGCAACTAGATGAGCCCCGGAGATGCTCGGTCCCGCCTGGTATTGCAGCATATTGCCTTGATATTGCCTCGGATGTCATAGGGTGCCTCCTGGCGCCACTAAAGACAGGTATCAGCGCCCGTCCTTCACTCGACACACAGTTTCCGGACATATAGGGACAGATGAAGTGCCAGCCCGTGAGCATATACTAACTGCTCTAAATTGTGATGAGCCAGCCGCCTGATTCTATGTAGGTCCGCGTGGATAACGTTTCGAGCCTATCTCGTTAACGTCGAGCTGACACAGCCGACTCTATCATGATATCTACAATCTCGCCCACATGTTTTCCTCGAAGCCATGCGCAAGTTGTCAGCACTCACATGGATGCTCGCGCTGAAGAGGAATCACTGATCCTCAGCAACGTTAGCTGTCAATTAGCTGTCTTACTACGTGCTCATGTTCCAAACTCTTCGCCACCGCTAAAAGGTTTCATCAGCACTCTTTCGTATGCGTTTCATCCCTTCGCCTTTCACTACGCACACATCTCCTCATAATGTATTTCCTATCATTATAGGTCCATGGCTTCATCGATCCCGCTTAAAGGGTCATGACGCTGGCCCACGTCCGAAACGAGGCCATCCAGGCACTGACAGGTGTTTGTGGCCTGACCGCTCGTATGTGGGTCCATGTATGCACTATACGCAACGAATGCATTACAACCCGTACTGGTAACACGTCAATGTATTGCCCTTGATGCAGGGTTTCTCGTTCGCCATGAACGTACTCATATATCTCTTTAGCAGTACTCTCGACGCGGTGAGCGCGAAGTTGTCCCCGAGAAACCCGCTATTCGTTCGTTCGCAGTATCGCTAACATTATGATCGTCATCATCACAAAGTAAAGTACATCCCTAAAAGTCAACCAGAGTCCGTCCATCCAAAAAGTGCTACACGCATCTACATACAACTAAAGGTCCACACCTGCTCAAAAAAACACCAGCGTCCACAAATCGTACAACATCTCCCTCCACACACCCTCCCCACCCTCAATCCACACCCGCGACATCATCCCGCTCCTCCGTCCTACCCACACCCTCCCCCTCATCACCGTCGTCCGCAAGCTCAAAGCTCACACACCAAAACACCCGCCCATACGCCGTCTCCCCCTCGCCCAGGTTCTCCGCCGCCGACGCCGGCGTACCAACGCGCCCGCGCTCGCAGCACACGAAGCGCACCGGATGACGATCCCAGAAGCGCATGAGGTCGAACGAGATCCCGCCGGGCAGGCGCAGCGTGAGCGAGGGCGCGAACTCGAGGTAGCCGTAGCAGAAGTCGAGCGTCAGTTCGTCCTAGAACAGGTCGGTGTGCGTTGTCAGAAGCGGCTGCGGAAAAGGAGGAGAGGAGAGGTGGAGATACATACATCAGGTCCAAACACAATGTCCTTCCTCCGTTTCACATTGCTAAAATGCGCCCGGCGCTCGCTCGCGTTCTTGAGCTTCAGCTCTCCCCCCGGCCCCGCTGACCCTTTTCCGCTCTTGTGCTTCAGCTTCGCGACCTTGCTCTTCACCGCCGACGCTTTGCTCGCCACAGACGCTTTACTGGCCGCAGATGCTTTGCTCAACACCGACGCGAGCGACGACGAGGACGAGGCCGCCGACGAGCCGGCACTGCTACCGCTGGTAGTGCTTCCGCTGGAGGATGGATTCGAGGTGAGCGCGAGGTGCAGCTGTGATGCGTCATCTACGACGCTCTCCTTCGGCGGAAACACCTCCGTCATACTCCGAGCTTCAACTTCTGAGCTGAACGTTGAGCTAGCGCGGGAAGAGATCGAAGCAACGGGAAGACTCGAGGACGACGCAGATGGGTCGCCAGTAGACTCGACATCGTCATTACCCACATCGTCGAGCCGTCGATGCGCAAGATGCGGCATCGTCGATACGAGCGGGGACAACGCCCACGGGCGCGGCGTGGATACGAGATCATGCGAGAGTGTTGGGTCGATGTAGCTGCACACGCGTTGGGAGAAGTATCAGAGATAGGGGTTCCGGGTTGGGCGGGGATGCGTGGGACATGAACCCATGCGGGGTGGGATCGTCAGGATAAACAGACGCGGTACCCCACATGCGAAGGGCCAAAAATAACATCATGGCGATGACGACGAGCAACCGTCAAAAGATGGACAAAGGTCGTGAAACAAAGAAGGAATTGTCAGCGACGGCCTCGACAAATGCAACAAACTTGTAAAGAGACGCACCTCATGAACTTCAGAGCGGCACCAGAGCCCCAGGGAAGTTTGAGGGGCTTATCAAAGACATTGCCAAACAGGACATCGTCTGCGGAGTGGGGTTGGAGGAACCTGCCTGTGGATGACAAGAGGGACGTGTCAGTATCGCACGATGTCCAATAGACGCGTTTCAAGAACGCTATGGGTGCGTCTGTGCATGCGTGTTGCTAGCAACTGGAAGCATTACACCGCAAGACCAGGCAACAGGGATTCCCCTGCGCGAGCACGCCTATTCTGCATATCCAGGACATGGCACAAAGCCAGAAAGTACCACCCACCTCGAACCTGTATACTCCACGTAACACCCTTCCTATCCTCCCTCTCGAAGTACTCGCACCCCTTGCCAGTAGAAACATCATTTGGTGGCTGGAACCCCTTGATATAAACAGCAACAGCGCCGTCAAATGCGTCGGATGCGATGGGGTGCGACGAGCCCGAGTTGACGAGGTGCGTTATGGGCTGGAGGGAGTCGGGGTTGGGCCCAGCGAGAACGCGGAAGTGACACATTGGGAGCGCAAGCTAATAAGACTGGGGATTCTCGGAGAGAGATATGGAGATTTGAAAGGAGACGAGGTGTCTTGTAGTTGGACGATAAAGGGGGGGAAATGAAGAGCTTAGAGATAATTAACTGGACTGGGATCCTGCCGTATTGAGTGAGGTGATTATTGTCGTACGACGAGACTGACTGCGCAGCCGTTGGGTCGCGTTTTAGATATAAACAAGAAGAGAGAGAAGATGAGGCGTTTTCCCGAGGTTGCCAGTACCGTCGGGGGAGGAAGAGAGAGGGTGTGAGAGGATTATGGGCGATACATGGCCGTCTGCTCTGCCCTGACGATGGATCCGTCGTTGTGGAGCAGGAGCCTCGACATCCGCATATGGAATGCAGGACCCGATCGCTTGGGTATGTGGCTGTGCACTGGCACTGGCTGTCACCCCACGATCCGTCGGGACGTGCTGATAATGACAAGGTAATGAGCTCATTGCCTTACTTGAACTACAGGAAACAGCGAGCAATCTTTCAGCAAATATTGCAGGGTTTGTTTACCATGGCCCTATGTGAGCAAACTCCCTAACAGTCCCCGCAAACACCTCCCTCATCTCTTCCACCAGATCCTCATGAGGCGGCCACACATCCTCGTCCCCAAACACCTCCGGATCCTCCTTCTCAATCTCGCGCAGCTCCCGCATGCACCTGTTCATCGCCATCTGATAATTCCTCGCCAGCCCCTTCTCGCCGCTCCCATCGTGCCACGTCGCAGCTGGGTCGAATGCCACCTCCGCGTGTCTATGCCCGACGCGCAGCCGCCTGCCCTCGAAGATCTGTGCGAGTACGATAACGAGCACAACCGGGTCCCCGACGCGCGATGCGCCCATATGCACTTGAAACGCGCGGTCGTTCCGCGCCCCGCCTGCTGGCACTTCATCAGGAACCTCGATGAGCGCCGACGCGTCGATGGGCATCGCGATGTGTTCCAGGTCGGGGCAGTTCCACACGAGCGAGTAAAGAGACTCGATCGTCGTTAGAAGCGCGCCCGAGCCCCATCCTCGGTGCTCGTTTATGCTGAAGTGTCGGAGGTGTGGCCATGCACATGAGAGCTCCTCGATGTCATCATCCGTCAGAATGACTCGGAGGGGCACTGTGATGTCCAATGTACAGAGGGATGTGAATGACATGAGCGGTTTGAGTGTGGCGAGCGTCAGCGGTGGACTGGCGGGATCGTCGTGGTTGAGCAGGGGTGCAAGGTGCAGGAAGTCGTCCGCCGCAGAGCCGATACGTGCCTTATCGAGGGTGATACCAGAGACATCGGGGTTGTTGAGCGTGGTTAGATGCGCGAAGAAAGACTCGAGCTCAGAGAGAGATGGCGCGGTGTGATACTGAACCTTAAGTCCATCCGGGAGACGTCCGAGCTGCGAAAGAAAAGCATTCACATCCTCCATATTCCTCGTCTCAAAATCCAAGGAATGAAGCTCCGCAAATTCGTATTTGACTGGCTTCCCAGCAATCAAGTTGCCCGAAATCGGCGGCGGCGAATCCAGCATCAAAACCTCCAACCTCGCCAGCTTTCCGAGTGCCACCATCCCCTCCACTCCAGTCGGAGCCGGACACTGCAGCACCTCCAGTTGATCCAGCCTCCCCACAGCCTCCTCGACGGCCAACAGCATGCCCACCGGCACGTCGGCCGTCTGATCTCCCCACGTAATCGTTAGGTTTTTGAGTGCAGGACACGCCTCCGGCAGGCTCATGATCACTTTCTTCGTCTGCGAGCCGCTCTTCGACTCGCCGGGTCGGAGCGATCGCATCTCGACGGTCTCGAGGGTGGGCACAAGCAGGAAGCGGTAGTCCGGGATACGGTGTTTTCCGGTGCGATAACCGTCGATGCGGAGCCGTCTGAGTCGCGGAAAGGCGTGCGCCCCGAGATGCGGCGGTGGATCATAGAGCAGGTCGAGGATGAAGGATGGGGTGGGGTCCCATTCGGAGAGGATGATCTCGCGCATACGGCGGGTGTATGCGTACAGGTATGACCATTCGGCCGATGTTAGGGGTTTGACGTCAATCTATGCGTGGAAGCCGTTGTGAGGGAGGAGGTCAAGACATGTGGATTTGGGGTAGAGAACTACACGGCTTACGACTTTGCCCTCCCCGTCACGTACCAACACCCTCTCCGGTATAACATTAAGAAGGCGAGGGAGGTGCCACGCCTGCTCCCAGAGGACATCGAGCGCGGGCTCCTGGAAGGCCTTGCAAGTGCGCGCGAGGATCGCGAGATCGCGGTACTCAATTATGTTCTTGACGCAACGGAGAACCACGTTCAGGACTTCAGAGATGAGAAGAGCCTGGTGCATTTTTGTCGAGGTGGAGGGATGTAAGAAGATGGCGAGCAGTAAGGAGCAGATGCCGTGGACTCAAGGAGAGTAGAAGATATTGTTAGGGTGCATAATTTAGCAACCCCGTAACCACAGAAGTGACTAGTTCTCGGGTCTGATAATGAGATATTTCTCGAACAGGCTTAGCGTCGCCATCACAAAAAGTAGTCAAACATGATAAGGTATGGTACGGGCTATAGAAATTCCGTACCTATGATAGCCATGATAAGCAACGATGTATGTTCACGGTATGAGGATCTTCATGATACATATCTATCATCACCTCTTACCAGAATAATGATATGATAGGCCATGATAGAAATCGTACGGTGGGCATATGGTCTGATAGGGCGCTATGGCTCACCCTGAAAATTCTCAGACCATGATAGCCGCCAGTAAACAAGTACATGACGCCATAGGATGTACCCAGAAAGTAGCCGGAGCCATATCAGCGCACCATCTCACTGTCAGAGTAGTGCGAGTCCAATGTTTTGCACGATCTCATTCAAGAATAAGCTGCTCAACTACTAACATTATTGATATTTGTGTGTTGAATTGAAACACAGGAACACAGTTATCCACACCCACGTATTGGTCCAGAGGTGGTTGATCAATCGATCAAATCTGTATGAAGGATAGAACTGCCGCAGCTCCTCAGATGGACCAGGTTCCCGAGCACTAGTTTGAGTATATTCAGGTTGAAGGCATGTAATGAATAGAACACGCATATGGTGAGTGTATCATTACATAGAGATATAGAGTATAATTCATAGCTTCTTAGGTGTGGTCAAGGATTGAAGCCGAGAGAAAGAGGAAGTACATGTTCAAACGCTAGCATGGGACGGATATGAGCAGCTACTCCATGATGGTACCAAGATCCTGACATTAACATTAGGTTTACTTGGTGGGGCGCAATCCCGCGGGCTGCGTGCATACATGCTACAACCCTCCTCACTTGGACTTTCCGCCGCAGCTGACAATAGTCAGGCTTTTTGCATTGGCCGGGCGATGCGAATCGGTGCGAGGATGCATGACGTTGGCGAAAATTCAAAAAGAATAGCGACATGGCTTCTGCGGAGTCGGACCGCGGGCCCCGAGGGTAGGTTATTTTAGGGAGCTGCCGCCACAGAAGGAAGCTCGCTCTAAATATAACGTTGAGATAATCAAAGATAACGCGCCACCGCTGATCATGTCGGCCCTAAACTCTTGCGACAAGATAAGATAAGATAAGGGCTTGTTTGTTGAGCGCCTCGTCCTCTTCCTCATCTGCCTCTCTTGCTTCCCCCCTCCGTCAATTTTAGTCGCCACACTTGCCTACACCATCTCGAATGCTAAGAAAAGGAAAGGAGGCCTCTCTCTACTTTGCCTAGGCTATGGGAAGTCATATCCATAGGTATTGTGTTGTTTCTTAGCATATATGCGCCCGCCCCCTTTGTGAGTTCCAAAATCGAGTGATCGCATGGATGATGATTGGGTTTTATTCGCGCGAGTACTTGCACATATTTCCTATCTTGCGTCTGCGTAGCTAATTGAGCTTCTTTCAAGCGTTAACCTTGGGACAAGGTGTGTAAACAATTTGTCTTCGTTCCAGTGAAAGCCCGCCCACCATTTCTCATATTCTTTGTCATGCCCCGATCCCTCGTCCAGTCACACAGCAGATGACCAGTCTCTGCTGGAACGCCGTGAGATATCTTCTCTAACGCAGCCTCGGGAACGCCTGTTAGCATGTGCCTCTTGTGCATCTTCGGCACTTGTGCTCGGTGCAACTGCGAGCGCACTCATGAGCACACTAGGCGCTATAGGGTGAGATGGGAGCCTCAACCGTAGCGACTATCTTGGTGAGAAGGATCTTGAGCTCTTGGTTGTGAACGATCTGCCGGGACGCTTGCACGAGTCACCTGCAGCAATGCATACATTTGCCTACTCTCCTTTTGTTTGATCAAAATTCCTTGATCATTCGCGAAGTGATTCTATTTCTGGTTATCACCATTGAGCCCTCCGTCTTTACCCTTGTCATGCATAGTATACACAACAGTCATGTACATAATCTTACTTAAATAATTGAAGTCAGAATTTAGCTGTAACATCGATGTGAAGAGGCGTTATAATACTCTATCATCTCCACAGCCCTTTATCTATGCTATAATGTAGACCACATAATATATAGCATAGCCTTCGCTATCATATGCTATCATATACTTACTATTTCTATAGATATGTCATGATGCCGGGGCCTTATGATAGAAAAAAGGGTTCCATGATAGAAAAACAGGTTAGCTACCATGCACGCTGAGGTACCCGCGGTATGATACACATGATGAGGTCCATATACGATGATAGGCTTATGTACGGGGCTACAGGTTTTGACTACTTTTTGTGATGGCATTGAGGTGGTCGATGACCGAGTACTCGCTCGTGATAGCGAGAAACCACCACCACGAGCAGACCGCGATTTTATCATGAAGGAAAGGTACGACCTGGAAGCCTATTTCGTTGCATCTCACATAAAAACTTTACCTAGGAATAGGAGCCTTTCGCATTACTTTTACGACAGCGGAAAACTCTAATTAACCGTGATCGGAGGCGACCTTCCACAATCGGTTGTCTTTCTTGCGCTAAAAGGTGTGGCCCTAGGGAGAAAGTCAAACCTTTCCTTGAAATTTCTCTCGAGATCAGGTCAAGTAAAACAGCTTTCAGTTCGCCCTTTTTCACTCATTTTTTCTCTTGGTAAAATCACGCTTTGCTTGCAGTGATGGCGAGGATGTTCACGGGTTCCGTGACACGCCCAGAGGTCCGAACTTCGAGCAGAGGTCCAGTACTGTCCCGGCAGTGGACGATGGCGTTCTAAGTCTGTGTGCTCCTGGAGAAGACGACGACGAGACGCCTCGTATAGCTGGAATGAGTCACTACGAACATGCGCGAACACGCTATGTGCCGACTACGCTAGCCATGCCGGCCCTAAAGTATGCATCGTGGCTTCCGAGTCCTCGAGGCATCGGTCCGACCGTCGTCATGAGCGAAATGTTACAGTGGTAATATGCAACACGCTTCCTTCCTCTTCCTTCCCTCATCGATCATCCCACATAGTCAAATTTCTCGCAAATTTCTCGGGTCAGACGCGTTGCTACTATGATTCAGGAAATTCTCTCCTTCCTGAAGCGATACCTCTTTAAATACTCCACAGCTCTGGGCGGGTGCATCCGCAAGCTACTAGCACTAACTTTCTTCTTGTCCCGCATCAAAGGCACACCGCGAACGCCGCCAAGCAATGCACCAGCATCGGTTTCGGGGAGTCAGGTCAGCGTAGCTGCTATGACACTTCCTGGTCCATCCCAGGTTGAAAGGTAGGCTTTGATCTCCATCTGACGAGCGAAACGTATTCGGAAGCGGATTATCTTTGTCTCATGGCTTCCACAGCTGTCAATCGCCGTGGTCATCGAGCCCGCGCTCCCAGGAAGGAAGCAACTCGAGTGGCCGGGGACGGCTATATGGTGGAAATAGCTCTGATCAGTCCTTCCCGCTTCACACAGGACACGTCGTAGTCAACAGAGAGCCAGATCTCGCTGTACCCGGTAATGGAAGTTGTCATCACGACCTTCCTGTTGATCCCATGTTACCTACCGATCTTCTGCGTTACGATCGAAACAACAGCCTTAGGTATGATCTCTCACTATAGCATCATGGCCATTAACATGTATCTAAACGAAACTAGTTATGAAGACGCACCCAACATTCTGCCGTCTCGCTGGAGACGGTATCTTCGACCGTCCTTCCGGTAATTCTATGTTCGTCAATGCCGCTTTGCTGGGACTTATTTATTCATCGTAAGTCCGAACTCGGACAACACAATCCCAAGAGCGACAGCATTTTTTCCTGACCACGAATCAGCGTATCAAAGCCAACCAGAGTATGTACATGAATATCGATGCAGATATGCTTAGCTAATTTATTGCAAGGAATCCTGTCCCAAATGGTTGGCAGATGGTTCATCATCCCGAAGGTGCAATATTTTATCACCATCAAAAAATGGTAAGAGGGAGACGTTATTATTGGGATCCCTGCTAACATACAGAGACATAACTTTCAGAGGGTTTTTACAGACGTTAACATATGCGATGAACTCATCCAAGAAGACGTAGAATGGTATGCGGAATATCTCTTCGAGCAACTCAAGGAGGGCCTCGGTGTTAGCAACCATTTGGATAGACACCAAAAGGACGTTTTAGAGCGATGCTCCGTGCTCGTGATTGAGCCCCAGGTGAAAAGTATACGAGATGAAGTCGGGATCGTCATTCGATACTACTTCGTCAATCACGAAGGACAAAGCATTTTCTGGTTACACGAGGTTGACTTTACGCTGTTTAACCTCGAGGGCGTCTCAAAGATGTCCCACAAGAGTTGGTGCATTATCTATATCGTCTCAAAGCTAGCTAAAATACATCCCAGAATTTGGTATAGCTGCGCATTACTGGTATGTATTGCGGCCGTGCTCAGTGGCTGAGTCCAAACAGGTCTAAAAGGCTATGTTTCATAGGAAACATTGCATGATATATCCAGTAGGTTGCACGGTTAACGACGAACTCTTGGATGGTATCAAGAACATCATACTTTACGCTAAGTGCAGTGAGTTTTATATCATTTTTGGTCGAATTCCGCCATTGAACGATGAAAATAAACGAGATTATACCTCGGCAAACACTGCGGGACACCTCATCAGCATCGGCGAAGTAGACACGTATTTGTCTGTCGTCGCTAACCTTCAAGGTACGGCATGTTTCGCCCAGCCTTCAAATTCGCTTTGACTCTGACGTTACATCGTTCCGTTAGCTACGACTACAAGGGGAACCCATGCCGCATGCGCAGTTGGTGAGCACGCCGTTGACCATATCTTAGGGGCTATTCTCAGCTCCAACAATTGACTTGGAATTTAAGGTCGTATCATGCATAATATCAGTAAGTTTCGAGTTGCCTGTAGCAAGTGAACTAAATGATGTTAAGTTACCAGCATACAACCAGTTTATGAACTTTCATGGACAAAGCAATGCACGGCTCCACGATGAAGATGTCTACTGGTGGATTTCAGGCTGGAACTATTATCCGTCGTTGTGGATAACGTTCTTGTCGTGGTTTCTTTTCCGTGCGCCAAAGGCATACGTCACCACCCTCCACGACATCTATTTGGATAAAATAGCCGACGGGTACTATACGTGGAACGAGTTCATTGCGCATCTGAATAGGCAACTTCAGGAATTCAACCTTCTTGTAAGTAGCGATATACCCTCCCAAACATTCGGTGAAATTGACGTACTGGCTCTTTTTGAAGGCTACGGTATTATTAAATGCTAATGTCGGATTTCTTTCAATTCAAAGCGTGGACAAGGGCAATAACGGTCAAAAGTCGTTTACACAAATCGCGAGCTACTGGTCGTTATCAGCAAGCGTTGGATGTATCTTGCTCGGTACATTTCTTGTCCGTTTCCATCAAGGCGAGGGTCATAAGGATGCCGTGGCAGTGGTGAGCTATCTCGGCAAGCTACTCCATAGGCGCTGAACATCCGTTGTTTTCAGGCCACATTCTTGAAGAGAATTCATTCTCGTAAACGCGGTTTGGAACAGTTAGCCATAGTTTATAGTCTGCCTTATGCTCTCTTGATGTGGAGGTAAGCACCTGTGTTGATGCGACGGAACATGTCTGATGTATGTCAACGCTAACGCTGCCCAGCCTCCTCTTCTTTTCCGTTGCTTTTATCACCGAGGCATACCGAGCGGGGGACCGATCCGACATAATCTCTTTGGGAGTAATCGTTGGGCTCACGTTTTACCTCGTTTTCTATGGAACATTCTCGATTCTCTACGGCTCACACAATACGAGGGTCATGGGCCTCAGATTGCCGCAAGTTCGCCTGAAACTTGCTCCTTCTACCTGGGCTAGCAAGCTTTCTTCTTTGAGTTCTCCCTTCCGCTCTACGTGGTCGAAACTCTTTGCTAAAGCAAAAGTGGCACAAAGAGCGTCTGAGATGGCTCCCACTGGGTCAACCACAAGCGACATCCAACTAGACGATCTGGAAGCGCCATCTCAGTCCCAACCCGAAGCTTTTACCATTGAAGAAGTGTCATGGGGTATCGCTGTCGTGTCTCGAAATTAACTTACGTATCAGGTAGTCTAACGTAGAGTGACTCCTCGAACTTGTAGCGTAGATGCAAACCTATCACTCATCAGCCTGTCGGCGTGGTAGAACTATATTTTAGTAATAGTGGTACTCAGCTGGCTTTATCCTTTGTCGGACCATGCCATTTCACCGACGTATATTACCTCCTGAGGCTATTTTACGTGCTCCTAATGTCGCATTCGCCTTCATATGCCCGACGTCTGAGCCTCATTATTAAGAAGGCGTTCCACTTCGTCCCACCGGTCACCCGCCACTCTCCTCTGCTTCACCATACTATCGACGTTAGATTTCCCTTTCCAAGGGGACCAATTACCCATTATCCGAGTGACATTGGGAAGGACCGAGCGAAGGCGCCTCGCTACAACCTCGGGATCTCCGCACGGAGAGTTTCCCACAGGCAGATACTGGATGTGTCGGTTGGGCGACAAAACTTCATCTGGCACCTCATCCAAATTCTGCTCCGCGTCAAATGAGATCCCGAGCCCGCGCAGACAAGGGCAGCTCTCGATGAGGGCGTATAGCCCACGAAATGTAACACGGGGTCGGACGAGCCACCCAATGGCGAAGCGATGTGGAATCCTGTGCCAGGACTGCTCGACCCAGGAGCCAAGTGGGTCTTCGGTCAAGTTGACGCCGCCATTGAGCGACAGCTCTTCAAGAAGTGGGAAGGCATGTGCTAGTTCAATGATGTCGGAATCGTTTAGGGTGATCTCGATGGGAACGTTGATATAGAGTAAGCGGAGTCGGGAGAAGCTGAGGAGTGGCCGTAGCCGTGCAATGGTCAGGGTCTCCTCGAGAGGGCAGCTGGGTGCGTCGCGCGCAGGGAGATTGAAGCATGCTTTGGAGGAGTGAATATCGAATCTCTCGAGCTCGCGCCGGGAGGGATGTGTCGAAAGTGGCCCGAAGAGCTGTTCGATGGTCGACGACTGGTCTGGGAAATGGCAGACAACGAGTAGCTCTACAGGAGAGAGCTGCATTTTGGTAATAAATGCGATAGGATGGAAGACGTTATCACACGAAATGCGGCAGTACGTCAATGATGGGAAAGGTGTGCCAGACACACGCGACCGTACGTCACCCAAAGATTCTTTTCTCCCTAAGACAATATCCAACCGGGCGAGCGATTGCATTTGAGCAAGATGGACCAAGGCGTCGTCGGTCACCCTATCGCAGATAAGATTGGTCAAGTGTGTCCACTGGCAGAGTACCTGAGAAAAGTAATAGATACTCTTCGACGCTGGGATATTATCTACCAGCTCGTAGTCTACGAGTTTCACGTCTCTGACGTTGGGGCACGAAAGTGGCGCTAGAGCAAGAACCACCAGGTCGTCATGGACTTCATGTTCAGAAACCGCGATGTGGAGTCGTTCAACAGTCGGCGAGAGGAATAAGCGGAGAAATCCAAACGTTCTAGAGAACGAATTAAACCCGGCCCAGCAAAGAACTTTAATGTTTGGGAGGAGAGGGACCATATCGGGCGGTGTTTGTTCCAAGTCGTAGAACCAAGTATCGTCGCAGTCTCCGAATGGACCAAATGTGCGCACTCGTCTGGCGTACGTCTTGAAGAGGTCCCAATCGGCGCGGACAAGGAGCCTGACAGCCTCCTGCGACGTTGCTTGCACGTTCTGGTGCGAAAATACAGGCGCCATTATTTCCTTTAAGGAATGCGGAAAAACTGGTGAGACTCACATTTACGTCTACATTTCCGGAGCGCAACTAAGGACAAGACAAGCACAGTCAGTCCATCACCCCTACTTCATGGCATAGACAGAACACACCCATGGACGAAAGCTCATAGAATCCTTTGGAATGAGTTGTCGTAAGGCTCTTACCGAAGTCAAATGCTCCCAGAGCGCATCCAAAGCAGGTTCTTGAAATGTGCGACACGTCCGAGCCAACCTCGCTAAAGTCCCACGACGCGTGATGGAAGGATGCTCCCAAGTCCCTTGGAGCTCTTCATCCTGAATATTGCTGAAGATGATGTGCAGCACTTCAATTATTGCCAATGTTCGGTGCATTTGAAGACGATGGTTGTGGTAACAGAATGTTGATGGTTCGGCAAAGACTTAGAACGTACCACGCGTTGGGACTCCGACGCGTCTCTGGTTTCCCCAACATGCTTTGGTCCCGAATCCGATGCCTTCATGCACCAGTAAGTCGTTGCAAACGCAGAAGTGCCAGGCTCGCTCACCTTCAAACGTTTCAACCCACGAAGTATCGCTTTTTGCCAAGATGTAACTCGACGTTTGCTCCCGCTCATAACACCCGACCGTTTGACATCGTCTTCTTCGGCCGCGACGAGTTCTCGTGCACAGTCTTGTCACAGCTTCATGCTGCCCTGGGTAACCCTACTGCTTAGTATTCTTGAACAGAATGATTGACAACTCGTCATCCACGTAGATGTATGGGAAAACATCTCAATCGTGACGAACCCGGACTCGAACACAGGGAGGAGAGGCTCTATCGTGTCGGTATGTGAGTATCTCCCTTGACCTCTGCTACGACTTGCTTAAACGGTCTGCCTTATGCAGCACCCTTGAAACTCCTCGCTGAATCGCTGTCACGTCCTGTGCACACCATCCCGCACTCCAAGCCCGAATTCAGAACGTGGCAGGTACGACCGTTGTCCCTGTCACTCTCCGTCCACTGGCCTAACGCACATTCAGCTTCCACCACCCTTCTCCACATACCAAATACTTCCTTCTCCCAATGCCTCCAGCTCATCTACACCCCCGACATCACCCGCACCGCATCACCTTCTCATTACGGCCTCCTTCGGACGCATCCTCCCCGCTCCCCTCTTACGTGCCTTCGCACCCGGCCGCGCACTGAACGTACATCCGTCGCTTCTCCCGCTATACCGGGGCGCCTCGCCCATCCAGTACACGCTCATGAACGGCGACACGCGCGGAGGCGTATCAATTATCGATATGATGGAACGCAAGAAGGGGATTGACGCAGGCGGAATCTGGGCGCAGGAGGAGATGGTATGTCGGACACCTTCCTTCGCTAGCTATGGTCAAATATTAACCGTGCTCAAAGGACGTGAATCCAGAGTCGACATTCCCAACTCTGCGCGACGACCTCGCTGAACGGGGCGGAAAGCTGCTCGTCAACGTTCTCAGGGGCATGCTGGCTGGAACCGTACGTCTCTCCTCTACTCACCCCTCTCGTTCCCAACCTCAAATTCATCGTAGGCCAAATCCACCCCACAAGACCCAGAACTCTCCGCCTCCTCCCCACGCGCACCAAGCATAACAGCACAAGACGCGCTCGTCGACTTCTCCCTCATGTCGCGCGATCAGATCATCCGCCTCGACCGCGCCATATCGCACCAGAAGCCGCTGACGGTGTACACGCCCTCTGGCCTCTCGCTGCAGCTCTCGGAGCTTCGCGGACACGACTCCGACAGGTATGATACGCTACAGACCCTGTCTTCGCCTGGTGTCGCCGCATACGACCCGCACTCGCGCAGCGTGCTCGTGCGCTGCGCGGACGGCGCCATTCTGGCCATTGGCACGCTCAAGGAGCAGAACCGCCGTGCGGTCACAGCCAAAGTGTGGTGGAACGGCGTGCGAGGACGGGAGGTAGACTTTGTCGACGGTGGGGTGATGCTGAGTCCAGCCCCACCTTCGAATACTCGGTGAACGACATAGTCCTTGCGAGATGACCCCTACATCTCGTCGTCGTGTGGAGGAAACAAACACGATCTCGGAATTGGATGCTGCTACTACATCATACACAGCGTCATAATACTATTATAGCGTTACAAATGGGCTCGACGACCCTACAACATTTAGCATTACTGTTAATAACGATATGGCCGTTATGTCATCGCAAAGCAATCGTACTCAAACACAATTACGGGCTGGGAAAATGTCCTACCAGCCACGGGGCATGGTATAAAGCAGGGACAGTTCACATTTTCGGGCGAGGCGCAAAAAAGGGCACCGTGGTTCGCATTCAAGGAATGTACCGGAACATGGGCGCCTGGAAAATGCAGCCATCAGGATCTCCGTCGTCAGCAATACAGGGAAGCATAGCAAACATACCTTGTCGGCAAGCTCGGCGGTGTCGACCGGGTCGTCGGGGTTTGGCACACCGTACTTCCTGTTCCGGCGGTTGTTCTCCATCCTGAAGGAGAGCTATTCGAGGATAAGCGAGTCAGTAAGATTTATTTAGGTCATGCATTCATGAAAACAAGAACGCACGTAAAGGACAATGGAGAGGATCATCGCGAGGCCCTCAAGCCCGCAGCAGACAGCGTTTCCGAGACTGGTTTTTTGGTGTACGTCAGGAACACGTATTTTTGCATAAAGAAGGTGAACGTACATGTATCGTGGCGCATCGGTAGTCGGGTAGATATGCGAGCCAAGGATACTCCCGCCCTGGCCAATAGCCATGAACATGGGAATGCCCGCCGCCTTCTTCGTCTCTGAGCCTAGATTGTGCGCGACTAGATAACAGCTCATCAGTCCATCTTGCTCTTTATCTGAAGAGACAGAGCAAAGAACGTACACCACGCGATGATAATCCCAATAGAGGTATACGTCCCCGTGGTGATGCAGAACACCGCAAAGTACCGCACGTGGTCGTTCAGCGACACGACGAGAAGCAAGTATCCCAGCGCGCCGAGCCCACACGAACCCGCGACGGTGAGCCCGCGCGACTGGAGTCTGTCGGTGAACCACGAGATGCCGGTGAGGAAGACGGCGGCGACGGCATACGGAGGTACCGTGAGCAGCTGCGCACGGGCGTTGGCTAGTGAATGATGATCATGCAACAAATGTTGAGATCAGCGGGCTGATGAAGGCGCAAAACGCGATTGGCCATGGTGAAAGACGTGTACGTACTGTAGCCAAATGACGCAATGATGGTCGGCAAAAAGCCGCCAAGAGAGCCAAGAGCGCAGTTGACGCCAAAGTAAATGATACCGCAAGTGTAGATCTGTCAGTGGGGGGAAGGGGAATGTCAGCATCTTGACCCGAGGTCCGAGGAAATTCTGAAATGTGGCTAAAACATGTGATGGTACGCACCCTCCAGTCTTTCAAAGCCTTGATGATGTGGCCTACAGAATGTTCAGCGATGAGAAAAGGTAATACTACTTGAGACGAAGCTCACCCTTGTTGATGACAGCACCAGTATCAGCACGAGTACCACGGTTCATACGTTCGAGGGCGATGACGCGCTCGCGCTCGTTGAAGAAATTTGTCGCCTCAGGACGGTTGGGGAGGGCGAAGGCTGCGAGGAGGCCGAGGAGAACGGCCGGGATACCCTCGATGATGAAGAGCAAACGCCAGTTTTCAATGGGCACTTCAGCTTGTTGGACGCCATAGGCGATCAGACCGCCGAAGGCACCTGCCACGGCGGCGAAGCCAAACCAGTATGCGAGACGAAGACCCATCTCATTGCGGGTGTAGAAGAAGGCTGGAAGAAATGTTGAGCGCATATAACCATCCTGTGACTTCGGGGGTGCTTACAGTAGTACAGGGGTATTGAGGGTCCGAAGGCTGCCTCGAAAACACCTAGGCCCACACGGACGGTTATAAGGCCACCGAAGTTGAACGCAGTTGACTAAAGGTACATTCTGATTTAGTATATCTTAACATATAGCGGGGAAACAAAACATACTGCGAGTGTCGAGCAGATGCCCCAACCGGCTGCCGCCACCGCCATCCAATAGCTTGGTGGAAAGAGCTTTGAGACGACGGTGGCTGGTACTTGGAAGATAATCTACAGCGGGGACGCATATGTTGAGCAAAGACAAGCATATATCCAACTTTTTGACTCTCACATAAGAAAAGAAGAACGCTGAGTTGACCCATTCAAAGAGCAAGCCTGTTGGGTCGCCCCCGAGTACGTCTGCAGGCAGACCCTGAAGACGCGCATTTCCCAGATTTGATCTATCCAGATCTAAAACGTGTGTAAGAAAGTGATCATCGGTGGTAAGATGAAGTGTCTTGCGTACATGCGAGGAGGTAGAGAAAGCAAGTGATGGGCAAAATCCTGAGGTCGAGCTTCCTGACGAGACGCTTCTCCTCTTCTGGTTCGATCTTGAGGATGGAGTCCTTGTCCTCGGTTTGCTCGATCTGAGCCTTCTCGAGCATAGCGGGGTCCTGGGCAGCAGCCATGGCGAACGACGCAGCGGAACGAGGGGGACGCAGCGAGGGGGAGGGGGGAAAGAGGCGCTGGATCAGGAGAGTCAGACGTCAGGCCAGGATTTGGGGGACGTGCAGGGGCGGTCTTATAAGCCAGCGGGGGATATGCTAGGCGGAGCTAATAATAATTTTAGGCCTCGCGTATCAAGTTGGCGGCTGGAATTCTCACTTTTGTCAGAAGGTCATTTATGGTGCCTTACACTGACCGGCAACCCGGGCCTCACGTGTGCATGCCATTCATTCTCCCCCATTTGCCGCCGGTTAACCCCGCATTTCCAGCTCTCCGAATCCGACGGCCGAACCCTTTTCCCCACATCGCCCCAGGTCTTCGATTCACACTCACCCACATAAAGTGCGTATGCAGCTCACTTGATAATGGTCAGACCCATCTGGAAAGCAGGTTCGCTCCAGACCAATGGCCATCTGATGAGCGGAACGGGGAGCATCACCAGTAACTGCGTCTACCCCTCGCGCTTCATCTTTCTGCTCGCAAGTTCAGCCTACACGTTCTTAGAACGCGTCGATGGAAGCATCTTCGTCCCATATTGCTATCGTAGCTCGAAGACGCGAAGACGATCCTTTTTGCGCGTCCGACCAGCATCTTCGCCGAGCAGCCCAAGAATACAGCGCGGAGATCACTGCGGGAGAAACTGCCAATGTACCCGGTACCCTGCACCCCACACGCGGCATACCGGCCTCAAGCTTCAGGCGGCCGAGTGAGCTTTCGAGCCAATTTAGCACTCGTGCCTATGATTGGACACGTAGTGACATGTATGTCATTTCGTCGTGGACTTATGTCGCCGCGACGGGCTGCCGCGTTCACAGATCTGGTTCTAGCGCCGCAATCGACTGGGTAGGATGACCTGTGACGAAGTTCCGCGCCTCGGTCCTTTACGTACCCTCTAGCCGTGAGAGTCCGTGCTTTCTGCATCAATAGTGGGTGTTTTAGAGTTGCCGCCTGCAAGCATTAATTGTTGGTTTGTTGAGAAATCGCCGGCTCCGGGTCCCGAGTCGGCGGCCGCTCCGTGTTCCGCTCGAGTAGGCTGCTTCTTCGCTCAGCTCCAACATATGACGAAGTAAATGAAGCCAAATATAAAAGGTGAGGTGAAGGAAATGGCAGCGAACGCCTGTCTTTTCGCAATGATGATGTACCACGAACATTCCATGTTCCAGGCACTCGTATGACGTGACTCCGAATCGGTGAGCAACAACTTTGTGAAAACTGGAGTGGTTACACCATAGATTACTGCCGTCCTGGACGTTAGCATGAACTAGGTATAAATGGAGCGGATACAAGCATCTGCAGCGTTTGTACAAACAAACTCATGCTCGCGATGAGGGCCAACTTCACGGATTGGCACCCTGCTCGAGAAGTCGATGGCAGATATCAACTCTCATATTAAATGTCTATCATGGACCAACCCTCTAACAAACTAATATTTAGAAGGATAGAATCTGTCGTAAGATTATCCTCAGGCTGTCAAGGTTCCGGAAACGAGGATCTGCGTCATCTGCATCGTCGCGTGGAAGAACACGAAAAGGTATATCCGTTGATTTCTTCATTCCGTCTAAACATTCCGGCGTTCCCAAGCTCACTTCTTTTGCGGCTCGTTATAGTGGACATGGACGCAATCTTGTATCCGGATCATGCATAGTCTAATATAAGCACCAGACTAAACTCGTATTCTTATGTTTAGTGCAAGTGCGCTGGCACGACGTGGACATCCTTGCCTCATGACAGAACCTGAAGTCATTGGTCTTCCTGTTATGAGTACACCAGCGGAAGTGGGTCTTCACGCGCGGATTCATAATAAAGATGACCTCTTCAAACATAGTAAACATGGTTGGGTGACGGTAACACCTTCGTAATCTGCTGTCGTTTACGACGGACTTTGAGGTGTATCGCCAAGCCATATTCAACTGGAGATGAGGCTTATGAAACGGGCTATATATCCCCGCTAATAAAGAGCTTTCTTCCAACGGACCATGGCTACAAATCGAGGTTGGACCTTTCTGCACAAATATTCCATCCATCACGGAGGGTTTAAACGGCGATTCAGGAGCTCCCGAGAAAAGATGAAGGTCTACTTTCCATGTATGTTGCTACGGACATGGCGGGTCGGATAATATTCACGGCGATGTCAAAACCTTGAATATACTCAGCTTCCTGGTCAGCCTGACTCTAAAAAAACCTTCGGTCGAGAAAGTGCAGAGTACCGCCCATGCATGTCATACACCAAGTACTCAGGTCCGTCCCACAAGCGCTTCTCTTATGAATTTGCGATCTTCTCTATGTATAAGTAGGTCATTTTCAGACACGGAAGTATCGGGAAACAAAGCTCTCCGGAAGCCGAAAGATATCGTCATTTTCGTAGCGAGCATAACCGATTCCCGGAAATCTGGTGTAGACCCGCGGACTTACGACACATGCACGACCACCGAACCTTGCCGAATATCTTCGAAAACCCATTCCTATCTGTCAGAGATGTCCTCGAACTGCATACCTTCTTGCTTCGAATTCGCAGCTCGAGCTCATATCTTGCTTCGTTGACATTCGTCATATTCGATATCGCGCATCAGCCATCCTTCACAGACATCCTGCGTTTGGCCGCGTTACTTGGCGAACTATGTCCAAACGTCACCGAACTCGAGTGGTCTCATTTGCCCAACTGGAACAGCCCTCTTATGCCTCAAATTCCCAATGCTGTCTCCAGTGATGTGCGTACTCTGAGGTTCTAGAATGGTGCACATGCCCAGTGTTAGACAGCTACTCCTTTCGGAATCTATCAGCTTTGACCACCCTTAAGTTCCTATGGTTCGTCGTGCATGAACCCTTCCCAGACACGCTCTACCTCGCTTCTCCAGCGTTTCCAGCCTTGGATCATCTGTGCATATGTGCTCCCACAGGTCATCCTATGACGAACATCACCACGGTGCTGAAACAAATATCCTTCGATCTGTCCTCGATTCAGCTTATGGCGGACGTCGCCGCAAAGGGAGCCGTGCGTGGCCTGATCCAAACGCTCTCGACGCAATGCAGACCGAATAAACTCTCCAAACTCCACATTCTGGAACGCAACGAACCCGACCCTTCTGACCCCTCATATCTCTTCACTTTGGGTCACCCAACACTCTCACTCGCATTCAGATTCAGAGAGCTAAGGGAGTTGGTCCTAGTGACGTCCCGCGTGGTGGAAATAGACGATGGCATTTTATTGGAGATGGCAGCCGCATGGCCGAAACTCCACGGTCTGTCCATCAACCACCAGCACGGCTGGCGGACGCGTCCCCGCATCACCCTACGCGGTCCGCGCGATTTCCTCGAGCGCTTATCGTATCTCGAGTTGCTCGACCTTGCTCGATGCCACAATGACGCCCTCAGAGGCGGTCCACGGCGATACTGGAGTCGGAGGAACAACGGGGTCTGAGAGCATCCGCGCATCAAGTTACCCATTATTCTCGTTCCATGTTTTAGACTGGTGGATCGACGAGGAGAGTTTGGACGCGGTCGAGGCCTTCTTTTCGTTCGACAGGTTCCCTGAGCTCGAAGATGTTGACCTCGGAGATCGCCAATGGTCAGACGATGGAGAGGCAGGAATCACACTTGATACTGCTCAGGCACAGGTATGGATGCGTGTGCGGTCGAGGGTCAGTGCCGAGCGACAGGCGAGGGGTCTTCCGAGCGAGCCCCAAAGAGAGCGCTTCTGCTAGAGGTTATTTCAAGACCGTTTCGCTTTACGAGTATACGAGCCTTTGTTTGAGATCCGTAGATAGATAACCTGACAGTAATATGGGATTACAAATCAAAGCAGCGTCATAGCCTCTTCAATAGCCCATATTCCAACCCTTGCCCACCGTGAATCTCTGGCCAAAATCTTTCTCACCTCCTCCGCACTCGCCTTCTGCCCATCAGCGCCACGGCCTCGCGCTCTTCTCGCACTCAATACCGCACTGATTTCGCGCGCGAGGAGTGCAGGCGTAAGAATGACATAGATCTCCTCGTCGGCACGAGGATCCGAGAGCGCGCCTTCGTCCTCGTCATCTTCGGGCAGTCTCGATGCTGAAGCGGAGGTGGAGGCAGTGGATCCAGAGGCAGACGAGAACACAGATGTGTTGCCCGAGGTACTCTTCCACAGCGCGCTCGTCTCGCCCACCCCGTTCTCAGCACCACCGTCATCATTGCCATGGTCGTTGGACAAAGCAGAAGCTGAGGAGTTTTTGATAGCGCTGAACGACCAGGGTGCAGGCGGCGCTCGCTTCGGCGCTTCTGCATCCCAGAGGACGATAGCGCCCTCCTCGTACAGCCTGACGAGCGCCCATACGAATAGCCGCCGCTTTTTCACGCGTGGAGGGTCTTCTTTCTTCTTCTTTTCGCCCTCCTTCCCCTTGTCTACCTTCACGGATCGACCCTTCGCAGCTGATGATGATGCAGAACCTGATGCAGAAGCAGCAGCGGCAGAGAGCATATACGGGTTGGATGCCTGCTGCGAGAATTGCGAGTGGGCCGCTGCCTTCTCCTTTTCCCTGGCTTCGCGAGCGCGGCGCCGCGTCTCGGCGCGCACGACGCGTCCCGCGAGGAGGGCAAGCTCAGGCACGCGGCGCAGGTGGGAGAGCGTGAACCCGAAGGGCGTGGAGGTATCATCCTCTTCGCTGATATCAACTCCGTTCGGCGCTTGCTCTTTCTGCTTGCCCTTGCTCTTCTGCGTAGGGGTAGGTGTTGTGTTAGCCTCTCCGATGTCATGAAACCGCGATAAACGTGGTGTGTCGAGCGGGTGGGTCTTCGAAAACGGCCGCTTCTTCGTTGGCGTCGTTAGTGTGTCATGAATGCTGGTCACTTCGTCTCTATAATCTCCCCCATTGTTGTCGAACCTGTTCATTGACGTCATTGCAGCGGCAGCGGCGAGAATAGGGACATTGTCCATATAGTGTTTGAGGTAAATACGAAAGGTGTTTGATGTGAGGTCGCGTGAATGTAAGCGAGATGGGTGACGCAGCTTGATGATCTGAGGATGAGTCTGCGTGAAAAGCCGCCGTAGGTCAACTCAAGCTCGTAGACAGAGAAAGTCGAACATACAGGTGATTTGGCAGGACTCGATGGCGCGGACGACGCTTCGCTGCCGTCAACAGTGCTACTCGCGGGCGAGACTGCTCTTCTGTTCCTTCCGTTGACGGACGGCAGCGGATGATCCGCAATGTTTCGTCGTTTCCTAGGCGTCTCCGGGAGTGTCGATGGACCCGAATCATTTGAAGGTCCGGCGACATAAGATCGCACAGGCGACGCGTTGGAGGCTCTCGAGGTCGGAGGGTGCGTAGGAATGACGAATGGTACTGCCTGGGAGTACTTTGCTCGGTGAATGTCGATAACGCGCGCCCAGTGTCTAATCTCCGCGTTGGCGCTTTCACAGTGCTCTGCATGATATAAACAGCAGAAACTTAGTTATGGAGTGCGAGTCAGCGGGAAGTGGGAAAGACGCACCAAGCCTGTCCACAACAACCTCCTTCGTCTCATAGCGTGCTGCAACCCTGCCTACAACCTCCACTAGCGCCCCAACATCCGCGATCGGTTCGGGTGGCCCTGGCGGTCCTGCAACCATGCTTGACTCAACCTTGCGTTTCTTTGGTGGACTTGGGGCGTCGTCCGTGCGGCGGGAGATGGAAGCTGGAGGTCTGGTTTTGGATGGTGGTGGCGGCGGTTTGACGACAGCATGACGGAGAGTGCAGTCAATGACAGCGGTACCATCGTCGACTACACACCATGAAAAGAGAGCTATAATAGAGTTAATAGCCACGCACCAGTATATACCGTCCGCTTTTCATAGACTTGGACGCCAACGACCATCCCCGCGATATGCACGCTCCGACAGGGGGTATATCCCAGCCAGAAGAAGTCAGCGTCTAAGACGACGGTTAGCCAGCCCTGGACCCTAACATCGGATTAAACGTCACTGAATGCGTACCTTTGATACCACTCGCCGTCATCGCAAACACATCCTTCACAAAACACGGCGCTACTGCGTCCTTGTGGAATGTCCATGCGTACAGTTCTTGAGGGGTGTGTACCGAAGCTTTTGAGCCACTGGGTTGTTCCATTACTCGGTAGATGTTGTTATATAATAGATATACGATAATATGGGATGGATGGATGATGATTTGAAGATGCTCGTCAGATTCGTGGCTCTGTGTTGTTCTAGGGTGTGTGACTCGGCTGCGAAGTTCCAATGCGAGTAAGCAAGATAGTGGAGAAAAAGAAGGAAGAGAAGATGATTAAATGGTTCCTCCTGTTTAGAAGGGTTTGTTTCCGGCCATGAGACGCATGATGTGAGTCAAAGTGAGGCTGGTACTGAGATGAGCGTGTTGGAAAAGAGAGGGGAGAGCGCGACGCGGCAATATTCGTCACGTGCTCGTATGTCACCGTGTCTTTCTCACGAAATAGGGGCACGTTGGTGTCGCAAATTTAATAGTTCGATTGCAGCCATTTCCGATTTTGGTGCCTTGCAACCAGCCTGCAATTTAATTGAAGCGGGAACGCAGCGGAGGTCTCGCGGATTTTAGAGTATTTTTAGCTACTATGGTTGAAATTTTATTACGTCTAAGCTGCAAGCGGTTGCAACGCTCCTCAAAGTGGATTGCAATCGCCCGTGTCAGTTGCAATGTGCTTCTAATCATATAAAATACTATTAAATCATTCTGACTGAACAGTAATTGTAGTCGATTGCGACCGGCTGCAGCCGGAAAATGAACTTTGCGACAGGGGTGGCCGCTATAGGCCGCTAGATCATTCAGTACGGATCCTTAGTTTTGTAACTCGACTCATGCTTATTGAACACTGATAGACCTTATCACACTGTAATACTGTATTCATCGTATCGTTGCGGTAGTCTCCCGAATAGCCTACTTAAAGCCTTTTAAGTATTTAAATGGTAATTCAACTGCTATCCAAATCAAGTTGAAATTTAATGGAATAAGATTGAGATATGGAACTACGTGAAACCCTTAGTCAAAGCAATAAAAGGCGCCCCCAGGCTCATCATCCGAGAACTCCTCTTCCACTTCTTCCAGAACCACCTCGTCGACCGATCCATCTCGCTTCAACTCTTCCACCTCTGTCTGAGCGATACCCTCGCAATGGTCGAACCTCAGGAGCCGCAGACGGTGGCCGCGGTCCGCACGCATTTTGAGACCCTCGCGCATAAGTTCCACCAAGAGCACATCAAAATTCAGGCCCTCGAGTCTTAGCTCCTCTAGCGATCCGAACAGCTCTCGGCAGAACAAGGAAGCAATGGGTGTGCGGGTACCCACGAGCGAGAGGCTCGCGACATGCAGCACGCGTAGGCCGGGCACGGTGGACCACAGTGGCTCCCATTCAGAAAGCTCGTCGCCGCAGTGGAAGTGGCTAAGAGAAAGAGAGATGATAGAGTTAAGGTGCAGGGATCGAAGAACGTTTGTGGCAAGTGCAGGATGATCAGATATGTTGATGTCGATGGTTATATGGATAAAGTGGCTGTTGGTTGTGACCAGATCGGCATCCACAACGTTATCGATGTTAGAGTTCACAGAGCCTGCGATGGTGAGCCAGTCTCCTGTGCAGGAGATTGAGACGCTGCGCAAGGCTGGCAGAACATTTGACTCTGAGGCAACTGTAGATGATGTATTGTAACGCCTCTGCAACGAGGCAGCCAACCGTGGCGAAACGACATTTTCGGAAGCAAGGCCGCTCATCCGCAGGCTTATTATGGTTTCTTGATGAACACAAAGACGATCGAAAACATCCAAAGCTTGCATGGTTGTGCCACCAAGCGCGATTCTTGACAGCGAGGGGAGTGCTATTACAGCATCCGTCACATCATGATGGTGTTCCTCCTCTCGATCCAAGCCCCAAATGACGAGCGTCTGAAGGTGCGGTGTTTGCTTCAGCAATGCCAAGGTATCTGAAGTGGCGGGACAGGCGTCGTGACGTTTATCAACCTCACCAATGATCAACGTAGTCAAGTCGCGGCAAGGGAAAGATTTCCACGACTCGATCATGCAGCCTCCCAGCGCTAGGGTGCGCAAGCGCGGAGCGCCTTTAAGCAAGGCTTCGGGAATGCGCACAAGAGTGCTAGGATTGTTGCTGGTCGTGACAGTGGCCAGAGCGAGGACCTTGAGCCATGGAGCGGAATGAGGTAAAGAGTCGACAATGTCCTGGAGACTAGGTGTTTGAGAGGCTCCGTACTCGACGAGAAGCTGGCGACATTGGAAGTATCCCTTGGGAGAGCGTAAGAATTCGGCGAACCAGGGGTCGGCTACGAAGGGGGCATATCGGATGATGATGGGAGCGTCGTCCACACGGGCGAGAGACTTCTCAGCATGTCTTCTTGTTCTGGATCCAAAAAAGGGGGAGACCCAGACCCGTCCACTGCTCATCATCAACTGGCACCAGCGACGACATACGAGCATGATGCGAGTCCATTCCCAGCAAAAGCTATCGCAATGATGGGCAAACACACTCCAGCTGGGAGAGCGCTGGGTGTAGAAAGGCCAGGTGTTTGGTTCTATGTCTGGTTGGATACAACTTCCTGCACATATGAGGAAGATGTCGTATAACAAGTCGTCGGATAGGAATGCGATGGGTGGAATCGACGGATGCTGCGACGGTGTGCCATCGGAGACCATGGTTCCAGACAACTGGCAGTGACTTCTGCAGAGGATAGATTAGTATAGACGTCGTGTAGGCAGAGAGGAAGCGAATGCCTACGGTTTGTGAATGTGAGGTTGGGCAGAAACAAAGCGCGATGAAGGGTCTTTCGAAGAAGCTCTGTAGTGGATATCGTCAGTGGTCAAAAGTTGGGCTATTTATATTAAAGATTCCTCAGGGACCTATCCATAAATATATAATTCGCTCCCGAAGACTCATCCGAAAGTGACTCCCACTAACTCCTACGTGCTCAGCGAGCGCCGATGAGAACATACGTACATCTGACATTATAAATAATATCATTTGTTGCCCAGTTAAACTTTCCAGAGGCAGGATCTGTCCACAACAATTTGAATGTCTACAGACGTCCTGTCGTCTCTTCGCCCCTATTTGGCCAAAACATCTCCTCCAGCTCAACGACGCGCGCCCACAGCTCCTCAGCGCTCTTCCACGCAACCCCGTCTTTCGCCTTTCCTGCATAGCATTCATCCACCGCTGACGCAAGCGATTCGACGAACTGAACAAATCCAGGGTTCGTCCAATGCGTTGTGAGCTCAACGATCGCTTTCCCCGTCTCGTCGACATCTGTCAGCGGTTGCTGGAAGAGTGAGCGAACATAGCGCCAGGCGTCGAGGTATGCCTGCATCTCATGTCAGTAACGTTTACAATATCGATTGTGCCACACGGAGAGGCTATACGAAGACGTGGGACGGGTACGAATTGGGAGACGACTCACCTTCTCCATGGCCCATAAGAACACCAGCCCCTCCTCAAGCGTCCCCAGACTCGCGATCCTCGCCATCTCAGCTGTGTAGTCCCTCGTCGCCTTTCTCTCCCTCCACCCTTCACTGTTCAACCCATGTGCCTTCGCGGTCCCCTCAAAGAACCGCACCTCGTCCATGACGCCCTGCAGCGCCTGTGAGAGCATCTCCAGTGTTCTCCTGTTCTTCTCCTCATCTTTTCCGCTCGACTCGAATGGGATCTTGGTGATAAGCCCGCCGATGAAGCGGGGATACGCGTGTGCGGCGTAGATCCGGTCCTGCGAGAGCCAGAAGGCGAGTCTGTCTGCGTTCAGCGTGAGCTTGCCAGCGCTCTCGAGAAACTCGTGCTCCGTAGCAACTGCGTAGGGCCGCGGCGTGGAAAGGCTTAGCAGGTGGTGCGTTAGAGGCGGTGTGTCTTCTACTGCTGTCGATGCCATGTTTTGCTATGAAGGGGAGTTGGAAGAAAGCAGCGTGAGTTCTCGAAGGCAATATCAGCCGGTCTGAACCCTGCTTAGACGTGATCATACGCTTAGCTCGCGCTTCAGAGTTTCATGGGCGCAGATGGATGCTTGCTATTCATGTTTCCAATGTCGTGATATGCTACGTATACAAGCTTGAATGACGTCAATCAAAGACTATTCATACCTCATGATCGTATCCTCATCTCCATCCAACGCCATCTAGGCCAACGTGACCTCCCAAACCCTCACACACCCGTCATCACCACCTGCCGCAAGCTTAGCCTTGCCACCCTCCGCATGCCCGAGCCACCACACCGCGCCAGCGCTGGTCGGGACCGCGTTCACAATGTCGACGGCGAGAGAAACGGATTGTGCATCCGCGATCTTCCACACGCGCACGTTCGTGTCGTTCCCACCGGCAGCGATGTACACGGGGAACTCGCCCTTGCCGCTGGAAAGGAATGCGAGGGATTGGACGCGTCGGCTTATGCTTGAGCGGCTCTTGGATATAAGCTAGGTGTAGGGTATCAGTGTCAGATTGAGAAGGGGGGTAAGACGACCAAGTATGAAAAGGGCGTTTTGCACGTACCTCAGGGGAATCGGGCTTCGTAAGGTCAACAAGCACGATCTTCCCTTCTGACTGTAAGATAAAAAAGGCATGATCAGGGTTGAAGATATAAAACAACGAGGAGCGTCTTCATGTGACTCACGTCTCCCCAGGCCAGCAGCGATCCATCGGACGACAATGCAATAGAAGTGATAGGGTTGGCGTGACCTTTCTGCTCCGCGATCTTGTTCAGCTTGTCAGTCCACTTGTAGATGTACACGGTCCCGTTCTGCAATCGCCTCGGTTGAGAAACAAATCGCGACACTAAAGAACTGGAAAATTACCTCTTTAGCGGAGGCGACCGCAACAACATCACCTTCAGAAGCAGCAGCGATGGCGCTGGGTTGTATCTTTTCTTCCCAACTAAGGATCTGGTTGTCCCTGATTGCGCGGACTGATTGAGCGTCGGCGAAGAACACGGTGCGGTCCTTGGTTACGGCCACAGATATAGGTTGACCATTTGTCCCACATGATGCAGGTCTGAGCAAGTATGGTTAACGGAAAATCAAGGTGACGAGGGAAAACAAAGTACGCACGTGAACTTCGCCTCCTTGCCCTCATACTCAATCTCCCTCAGCGTACTATCATTCCCGACCGAGAACACCTTTGCGCTCCCTCCACTACCAGTGGAACCAGGCGCCAATGTCATCCCGCCCACAACTCCCGTGTGCCCCTGTCCGCCGATGAGACCGCTATCCCCACTCGAGACATCGTAGCTGAACACCCGTCCATCGGCGTCTCCAGCCAAAAACGTGCTCCCGTCCTCCGCGAACGGGCTCGCGACCTTGATTGCCTTCTGCGGCGCGCGGAGGATCCGTGCGGGTGCGTCGCCCACGCGGGGGTCGAACACGTTAAGGTCGCCTGACTTGGAGATGGAGATCAGCGACGTGGAAGATGTGCCAGCAAAGACGGCGCCGAGCTGCTGGTTGGCGTGGTCTGCAGGGCCGCTGCCGAGCGTCCATGTGGAGAGGGGTTTGTGTGATTCAATGTCCCCTGGTGTTCAGCAGAGGCGAGAAGGGATGAGCGCTAATCGAAGTAAAGATATCGTGGTGGACTTACAGAGCTTAACCGTGGTATCCAGTGAGGCAGTCATGAACGACTTGCTGTCTGGGCTCCAAGCGCACGCCATCTACGCATATACCGGTATATGATTTACTGGGTCGCCAACGAGATATGACAGAGCACGCACAATGCTACCATTATGTCCTCCCTCCGTGAACTCCGCGATCGTATCAGCCGTCTTGCCGTCGTACAGGAAGATCTTCCTGTCCGAACCGACGCTCGCGAAGTAGTCTCCAGATGGTGCGTACTGCACATCTTGCACAAACTTGGTGTGAGTCTTGATCACCTACAGCGTCAAAAAGGAGACAAGAACGGTTAACATGAGCTCTAACTATAATGGTAAAGGAAGGGTAGGTGTGGAGTATACATACCTTCTCGAATTTGAAAGGCGGACCTGCATGGAAGACGAGTTGGCCGTCGTCCGAGGCTGTCACTGCTCGGTAAGGTCGGGTGTTTCGGATGGCGACCGCATTGATGGCCTATGTCTCGTCAGCATCGAGAGTATAGAGCAAGTAACGTCGTATACATACCTTGGAATGTCCACCGATCTCCCCCGAAGTGTTGCCAGTGTCGGAAGTGAACGCATGTGCGAATCTGTATTCCTATCAGATCCAAATACAGAGGAAGAGAGCGGAAACACGCACTTGCCCCTCCCGTCTCCAACGGCGATGAGGCGCTTGCTTTCGCCATCCCAAGCGAGATCTTTACTACATCGCACCCAGTCATAGTCAGTCTTCGCAGTCGAATAATGTATGAAGTACGAACATCGGCCCACCGAGAACTTTGAAGTCCCCCTTGACACTCTGATCCTCACCGACGGTGTCCCATACTTTGACTGAACGGAGGTAGTGGAGTTGTTATAGTCAGAACGTGGCCAGTTACCAACAGAAATCAAACGCACCAGTGCCGGTCTCGTCCGCAGACGCACAGTAGTACCCTGATGGCGAGAAACGCGCAACGGTCGTGTTCTTGGTGCCATGTCCCGCGAAGGTCTTCGATGAAGCTGGGTTCTGTCAGAGCAGATGGGATATAGGTGAGACTTTGCGTCATCTAGCCACGATGCTGAAACCATAGGGCGCGCGGGGACACGAGGCAACAGATAGAGAAGAGACATACCACAAGATCGCGGATCTAAGGAAGCGCATGTCTTCGTTAGCCATCGTGTATGCTGTAAAGAGAGGGGAAACATACGATGATATAGCTCTTACTCGCGTAGATAACCTGATCCTTGTGAGCGCTCAGCTTCGTGGACACGGCCTGCGTGGTCGAAGGGTTCGCAGGGAACAGCGCGACGTTCCTGTACTTCGGTGGTCCTCTGTTTGCCATCGCGGACTGATCCTCGCGTTACGAGTGCAGCGAAAACAGAGTGAGTGTGTGATATGGGCAGAGGTGAGGAGGGGAGTATCTCGATCTGTGGGAGCGCGGTTGAACGCAGCAGTTGGGGAGCTAGTTGGGGGCGCAGCGGCGCAGTCTTGGCGTCGTCAGGGGCATCTTCCAAAGAAGGCAATTAGGCGCCCTGGAATTTCGGGCGCTAACTTCAACTTGAAGGACATCAGCCTGAAAAACTCTTGAACGAACTAGCTGAGTCACGGAGGTACGAGCAGAGCAACACGCGCGGTATCTAGACATGGAAAGACAGACTCAGTCGTCGCGCGGGGAATGCGAACCCTGTTTGTATTCACCTAGACACGGAAAGACAGACTACAAAGGAATGTGAGTACGGTGTCTAGATCGATAAATAAATAACGGTCTCACCTCAGTCGTCACGCGGGGAATGAGAACGCTGAGGTGAATCTATCGAGACGTCTGGTATAAGTGTAAACTCGAGAGAGCTCCGGTATCGTAACGCCAAGATACTGACACGTCGAAGATAAGTAGAAAAACACATGAGATCACAGAAAAGAACGTCGCCGAAGCGAATGGAACTCGAGATAAACGAATGTGCGCCTGAATAACAAATATATGTCAGGAAACCGACCAGAATAAGGGTATATGCATCATCCCGACGTCGGACTGCACTCCGCTACGTCGTAACCATCACGATCGCCGCATCGCTGCATCGTCGGCGATGCTCACTTCGTACCTAGCTCGGCGCTACTCGCCCGAGCACTAGTCGGCCGGCGCCTGCGTGCGCCTTGCCTAATCCAACACTGAGATCTAGGAAAGATGATATGCGACAACAATTTAACTCTCTATAAATGGGGTAATACAACATAATATCTTTCAACTAATCAAGAAAACACTAGGCTCCAAAGACACAGGATGTACATCAACTAACGCTGGTGGCTGTCGGCGGAAGGGCATCAGGAAACAACGAACACTAAAAAGGGCGCAAAAATATGCCTCCTGTGTTATATAAACAATACCAAAAAGCTGTCAACTGTCACTCAACGTGCTCAACGCCAGGCTCAGTGCTCGAATAATTCTTCAGCGGGTTCTTCCTCAGAGCCTCTATGTAAATATCCGCAACGTTAATCACAGCCGGTCCTAAACCCTTGGACCCCGAGCCTATGATCGTGCCATGGACATTTCCAGTCGTACTCACACGAGCCGCGGTGGTCTGGAGCAGGGTCTCAATTAGCCATCTCTGCTCAGCACGAAATGCGCAATATCTTTCGCTCACCTCATCTATGGCTGGTGTAATCGTAGGCGCCACAGTCGACGGCGCCGTGACATCCTCTGTAGTGTCCGGAGCCCTTAGCAGCACCATACCGGGAATAACAGGCGCCGCAGATAGGGAGGAAGCCGTTGATGTCGACGGCTCATGATTGGCAAATCGTGTGAATGATGGTTGTTGTTGGGCACTATAGACGTCGGTGGACTCGGAAGGGGGCGGTGATCCAGAGGATAACATGCGCTTCTGTAACTCGCGATGCTTGCTCTGAAGGTGTTCGAGAGGAGAGGCTTGCCGGGTGATGCCCAGGAGGTACGCATCGTCAGCATCGGCGTGCCTGGAGATATAGCGAAAGGGAGATGAGATACTCGGCACAAGACATATGATATAAGTGTGCTCACCTCCCCGCCTTTTCCAATGCATTCGCATGCTCTTCGTAAAGCAGTGCGTGAGTGGTGCCGATGTCATTTGCGAGAAGGAACTTGAAGATTATGGCGGGCTTCTCCACGTAGCTGGCATACAACGTCCACAGCTTGAGATATTCGATCTTGCCTTTCCACTTCCCCCCTCTATTCTCCTTCAAAACTCGCGTAGCTTCCTCCAGCAGCTCAATCAGACCTGACTCCGCGCTCTGACCGTCAGGATAATTCTCTAGTGTCCAATCCACGAATCGGCAGTACGCCTCGAGCAGATCACCGTCCTCGTTTTTGAGAGCATCGGCGACACTGGCCTGGTGTTTATGCTTTGCTACAAGAAGATTAATGTCTCTCTGAGCAAGCGGGGTGGATAAGAGGGTTGAGAACGGGATTGTTTTGAGAGGACCTTTGGGTCGAGACTCGGACTGGATGTTCTCCTTCGAGGTCACTTTGCCGCTGTTGCCGTCAGCAACGTCGGCTGACTCTTCTGAAGAAGATGAAAGGGCGTGGTCGTTGGTATCCTCCATGCTGGGCATGTCGCAGAGGCCCTGAGGGGATATGATGGGCTGAGGGCTGAGTTCGGGCGCTACATAGTCGAGTTGGGTTAGCCATGTGCACAAGCAAGTACGTGCAAACAACGCCCTTCGCCGTGGCGTCACCGTGAAAAAGTAGCGTTAGCAGCAATGTCTTTCAGTTAAGGTACTTATCCTCGGTCTCTTGCTTCTTGTTGTTGCAAGCCTAGATGCGAATGGCTGCTAAGAGAAGGCTTGTGCCACTGAATGCTACGCTGTCGACCACATCATGATGTGTCAAGTCAAGGTTGCCTCAGACTCTTGGCTCAGGGGCAGCGGCCAAGAAAGGCAATTAAGCGCTCTGGGGTCTTAGGCGCTCAATGAGCTCAACAGCGCTCACTGGGATCCAGTAATGGTTAGATGAGTGAATTAGCAACATGTATTTTCAACATACGAGTCAAACGTGGGAATATCACAATACAGCGGTGTTTAAGCAGACACCAAATTACCAGGCTCAAAAGGCGCAAACATATACTGTAAGTAGACTTAACGGTCGACCAAAAAGGGCCGACAAGAATACTAAAGAACCAAACGAAAAGCAAACGCAACGAAAACATATCTACCTCAAAAGAATTTAGCAGCATTCAGGCACGTTCAACCATCGTGCTCAACGCCGGGCTCCGCACTCGAATAATTTTTCAGCGGGTCCTTCCTCAGAGCCTCCGCCTCCGTAGTGATAACAGCGCCCTTCGAGCCTTTGATCTTCATGATCGTATCAGGGGCGCTGCCAGTGGCACTCATCGGAGACACGACAGACTACAACGACAGTCAACCCCTTGCTCCTATAAAACACTGGCAAGAGCGTTCACTCACGTCATCTCTAAACGGCGTAAACTTGGGTGTGGAGGGCGCCGTGCGCGTCTCCGCGGGCTCTGGGTCCCTGAACGGCACAATAGTCGGCCGCGCAGGAGTCTTAGGTAGTACCGAGGCCTTGAGGGCAGGCGGCGGGAGCATGCTTCCCCCTTCCGAGGATCCACCAGGCGCTGGGTCGCGGAACGGCACCATCTTTGATCCGGAAGTCTTTGACGTGTTTGACGTCGAAGGCCCGCTCGCTGGTGCTGCAGAGTCGCGGAACGGCACCATCTTCGAGCCGGATGACTTCGACGCCGAAGGCACAGTAGCCGGTTGTTCTGGGTCGCGGAAGGGTGCAATCTTCGAGCCGGAGACGGAAGACTTCAACGAAGAGCCACTCGCTGGTGGCTCTGGGTCACGGAAAGGCACGAGTTTAGTGGCAGAAGTCGAAGACTTCGCTTTCGATGGTCTGTCCGTCGAAGGCTCGGCATCGCGGAACGGTACGATCTTCGAACCCGAGTTTGAAGACCGCGAGGCGCCGCTCGCTGGCGGTTCCGGATCGCGGAACGGCACAATCTTGGATGTCGACGAGGCCCGCGAGTCCGACGCGATACGCTTCGACCGGCCGGGCTGCTTGATCGTCGTCCCGCTCGCCTTGCGTGACTCGGGCACGTTCTCCTTGACGCGCGTCTTGCGCGTCCCGAGCTCAGGGTAGGCGTTCGTCGCCCCGAGCTCGTCGCCCGCTTCGGCGCCTGTGGGGTCGACAAAGACTTGTAGGCGTCCGTTCGTGGGTCGCGTGGCTGGTTGTTGATGCTGGGCGCCGAAGACGTCGCCTTGGGAGGAGGATGCGCCAAGGGGGCGTGCGGTAGATGAAGGGATGCGAGATGAGGATGCAGACGCCGAGCGGAGGGCCCGTCGTGCGGGAGCAGGAGGAACGGCGTCGGCGGATTCAGGAGGAGGGGCTGTTCTAGAAGATAGCATGCGTTTCTGGAATTCGCGATGCTTGCTCTGGAGGTGGTCGAGAGGAGAGGCTTGCCGGGCGATACCCAGGAGGTATGCGTTGTCAGCGTCAGTTCGCCTGGCGAAAGGGAAGGAGAGAAGAGACATTTGGCACAAGACGCGTCATAAAGTAAAGTAGTGCATACCTTCCAGCCTTCTCTAACGCGTTCGCGTGCTCTTCGTATAGCAGTGCGTGAGTGGTGCCGATGTCGTTTGCGAGAAGGAAATTGAAGATTATGACGGGCTTCTCCACGTAGCTGGCATACAATGTCCACAGCTTGAGGTACTTCATCTCGCTTTTCCACTTCCCAGCCCTGTCATCCTTTAGGATCCGCGTCGCCTCTTCCAGCAGCTCGAGCAGTCCTGATTCCGCACTCTGACCTTGAGGGTAGTTCTCCAGAGTCCAGTCCACGAATCGGCAGTAAGCCTCGAGTGGGTCATCGTCTTCGTCTTCAAGGGCAATGGTGACATTGATGCGGTGTCTTCGCTTCGCCGCGAGAAGATGGGCGTCTCTTTGGGCATGTGGTGTGGACAAGATGGCCGAGAGCGTAGTGACGCGACGACCTTTGGCTAGAGGCTGGATGTTCTCCTTGGCCGCTTCAAGGAGATCGCCATCAACGACATCGACTGCCTGTTCTGAAGAAGATGAAAAGACGTCGTCGGCTGACTCCATGCTGAGTACAGTGCAGAGGTTTAGGAAGAATATTGGGTTGAACGTTGAACTTGAGTGACCAGTTGGTCATGAGGTCGCGTTCGCCATGTCGCGTGCGAAAACAAACACACACAAATAACGCGCTCTTGGCGCTCTCCGGAACATCGGTGCCTTACCACCAAGTTGGACGTGACATGGCCAAGCACATGGACGTCGTGATGGGTCCGCCCTCGCCGGGGATGCAGTGTAAATCTCGTCACTCTCAGCTACTTCCCGCTTACACAGCACGTACGTGGTTTGACCATGGACAACTCGCCGCAAGCCGTCCTCAGCGCATACAGTCCGAGTCGGTACTCGCATCAAGACAGGTACGCCCAACTCTTCAGGCTATTACTTTACGCCATCAAGCTGGTCTTCATTGCGCGCTTCATTACACAGCATTTGGCAAGACTCCCTATTCATCCCTGCCTATGCAGCTGTTCTTTCGACTGTAACCTTTATCATTTCCATGTTAGCCAGTTCGAGGTCTGCACGAACGCTACGAACTCGGGTTTCGCACAACGGAGAGGCTTCCCATAACGACCCTCTTCCTCAGGACCAGGAGTGTGCACCTTATACACAATCCAAGGTCGCTCGTGAGACAAACTCGTTCAAGCTACTCATGCTATTGGGATATCTCTCTTTTCTTGGGGTAAATGCAGCTGTAATCGCCAGTGCACAGGAGTACGAGGGCCTGACCCGACTATCCCTTTGCTTTGTATCTGTGTGTCCAGTCGTCGACGTGCGCTGTGCCGGTTTTACTCACTTCGGTTTTAGGTCAACGTCTCGCTTTTGAGTCTCTATACCCTCGTCAAACGGCCTTCGCAGAGTAGACTCGCATCTAGACATCTCTCTGCGGTCCTACTGATTACCTTTGCTGTCTATGCGTACCGTGACATCTACTAACATTCACCGGGCAACCTCGGGACATCCGCGAAGGGTGGCTCTTATGGGCCAAACTGATTAACATTGCCCTTGTCGCTATTGTTTTTCCTCTGATCTTTCCTCGCGATTATGACCCCATTGACCCCTCCGTAAGCGTCCTATCTCAGCGCCTACCTCATCGTTGTATGTTCCGTCACTCACGGGAACCGCTCCAGGATTCGAGGAATTCCCGTCCCGAACAGACGGCGTCGTGGCTATCAACGTTCCTGTCCCTGTGGCTCGACCCGATCATTCTGTTAGCTCACAGAATCGGCCACTTACCAGTTAACCACCTGCCTCCCTGAGCCGATTACGACCGCTGTGCTTACTTGATGAAACGATCGTTGCCGGTATGTGCTTCTTGTCCCATGTGTTCTCGGTTCACTCATGTTCTTGTTCCACATCAGCATCTATACCGTTCCTCCGGAGACACGCGTAGACATATTTTCTTTGGACTCATGAGAATATTTATAGTGGGCTATGTAGTCCTCGCTGCGATGGTATCACTTCAGGCTGTTTTCTCACTAGCTGCCCGCTTGCCATCAACAACCTACTCCAGTAAAATCAGCTCAACTTGCTCGCGACCAAATACTTACTCTGCCAAAGATATCTAGAGGCTGGCGGCGCCGATGCCATATATCGCCCATGGGTGTGGATTCTGCTATTGTTTATGGGGCCCGTGGTGTCATCGCTCGCTTTGCAGTGGTACACCTTTATAGCGGTGAGGAAACCTGTTGTTCATATGTTCCAGTGCCTTGATTTCTATTTAACGCTAGACGCGCGTCCTAGTCCGAACCGAAGCTATCATCACTCAACTCGTGTTTCGGCATGCTCTTCGGGCTCGAACGACGGCTGAGCTACCGGAGCAAGAGCAACCCACGCTAACTGGTATAGAGCCGGACGCAGAAAGCAGTGCCTCCTCAAGTAACAAGGGGAAGTAGAGATCTGAGACCGCCTCTTCAAGTTCAACGTCAGCATCATCAAGTATGCCGAACCGGGTGCCAACCCTCAACTCCGGAAATTTTGTCGGCAAGATCAACAACCTCGTCAGTACCGACCTTGGCAATATCACTGACGGACGCGATTTTCTCTTGTGTCGTGAGCACATTTCTGCCTTTCTATGTCTTTATATGTTTACCCTACATAATAGAGTGCTCTACGTACCGCTTCAAGTTGGCTTAGGCATGGTGTTCCTATACGATATTCTTGGCTGGAGGTTAGTAATCCAGATCCCTCGTCAGCATCACTGCGTATACTTGCTAAATGTTGGGCCAAAAGGTGCTCTAGTTGGGTTGGTGTTACTCGTAGTGTCATTGTTTCTCCCAGGCTCCGTCGCCCGATTGATGCAACAGACCCAACGAGAGAAGATGAAGCGGGTACGTAACTATTGGATCAGAGCAAATAGCCGCTTAGAGTCGTTTCAGACTGATGCTCGCGTGCAAACTGTCACCGAAAGTGAGTGTTTATGGAGTACCACACATAAAGCAGCACTTACCGGTCATAAGCCATGAACGTCCTGCGCATGGTGAAGTTATTTGGCTGGGAGCGCAAGATGGAAGAAAGGATCTCCAAGAAGCGGGAGGAATAGCTAATCTTTACCTGGCGTATGCGGCTTCTCGGGTTACTCAACGACAACGTAGAGTACGTATCAGCTCGTTTATAGTAGAGCTGGGCGTTAACCATGGCTTTCAGCTTCATCCTCCCACTTCTGGTCATGTTGGCCACTTATGCTACATATGTAGGGTCACCAGCAATGGAACTTTAGCATGTGGAACCTGACCGTTCCTTTCTTCGCAGGCGCTGGGGATGAGGAAGGAGTTGACTGGTAACGTTTCTTGTGTTAGTGGTTTCATGTCAATCTAATCCAGAGAAGCCGGCAATGTCTTTTCTTCGATGGCAGTTTTTGACCTCATGGGAAATCAGCTTCGCGCGATGCTGAACTTGACTCCGAAGTTAATCAAGGTACGCTCGCTTCTCCGTCGTGGACTGGATAGTTATGAATCTGCATTCTACTTTCAGCTACAGTATCTCTCGATCGAGTTGATGATTTCCTGAACAACGTAAGTCGAATTGCCAAGGGACTTCGCCCACGCACTAAGCCATTCCAGACCGAGTTGCTTGATAGATACACGAATGACGAAGGGGCTCTTTCTGTTGATGTCACCGACCAGGATCAATCTGATCCCGAGGAGATTGGCTTCCGTCATGCCCTGTTTGCCTGGTCGAACGAGGGCGACGATGAGGCCACTCTGAATTCGCCTCAGCGCAGGTTCAGTCTTTCGATTGAAAATGAGCTACTTTTTGAGCGTGGGCACATCAACCTGATTGTCGGCCCCACAGGCTCGGGGAAAACCTCCATGTTGATGGCTTTATTGGGTATACCTCCTACTAGCTCTCTCGCGAATCCGGATTTGATGGTTTCTTTCACGTCACAGGCGAGATGCATTTCATTAATACTCCGCTTTCTTGGTTCAACCTTTCACGCAAAGGTGGTGTGGCTTATGCTGCGCAAGAACCATGGAAACAGAATGCAACGATTAAGGCACGTTCGCATCCAGACGCGGCTTTTAAGCCATCTTAACCAGGTGTACAGGATAATATCTTGCTCGGAGCGCCTTACAATGAAACTCGGTACCACAAAGGTTTGCGATTCTTCTTCGTCTCCTTTCATCTTTTGTCTTAAGCGAGGTACTGCAGTCCTGTTTCAGTGCGCTCTTGTGCGTGACCTCGCTTTGTTTGATGCTGGAGATCAGACCGAGGTTGGAGAGAGGGGCCTCACCCTAAGCGGCGGTCAGAAAGCTCGCGTCAGCTTGGCTCGCGCGGTATACTCTTCCGCAGAAATTATTCTTTTGGACGATGTGAGTAATCTCTCGCATTTCTCGTCATCCTTTCATAGAAAGAGATCGCTGACTTGAGCACCAGGTCCTCGCTGCATTGGATACCCACACTGCGAAGTGGGTTGTGAACGAGTGCTTGGGTGGAGATCTCGTAAACGGCCGAACTGTTATCCTTGTGGTATGCGTTATGAACTTTTCCTCTTTTCCCGTGATGATGACAAGCGTTTGAAGACCCATAACATTGCGTTGGCGGGAATGATCGCTCACTTTGTAGTTTCTTTGGGTCCCGATGGGCGTATCGTCAGTCGGGGGACCATGGATGATGCTATCGCTGTTAACGACGCCGTCGCTGATGACATGACCAAAGGGGTCGAGAGGATAGCGAATGAGGATGAAGTGGTCGACGACAGAGCTGAAGAAGTCACGATCGGAAACAAGGCCGATGGGAAGTTGATTGTGGCCGAAGAAATCGTCAAGGGTCATATGAGCTGGGCTGCTTGTGAGTGTGCGCGTTGTGGCAGTTAAGACTCCCCCTAATCAGTCCGTTATTTAGTCAAGCTGTTCCTAACTAGCCTAGGTGGCCAGTATCCGTTTCTCTTCTGGACCCTTTTTATCACTTTCATGGGTGCGACGGAAGCGTGCAACGCTGCTCAACCATGGTTCTTGGGCAAGTGGACTGCGCAGTACCAGCTTCACCCACCATCAGAAGTCAACGTTGGCTTGTGCGTGAGATTGTTAAAAGGAATCTGGCAGATACTAAAATACTGCCCCTTCAGCTATCTGACTGGCTACACTCTGGTTTTGCTGGGCTCCACCATTTTCTTTACAGTTTCATGGGCCTTTTACTGGAATGGAAGTATGAAGGCGTGTAGGACGGTTCACCAAAGGCTGGTTTCCGCTGTGCTTGGAACGACGTTCCGGTGGCTCGACACGACACCCATATCTCGCGTTATCACGTGCTGCACGCAAGACATCCGAGCCTCTGACGGTCCATTTGCTGAAGGCATAGGATGGCTGACGAATGTCACAATGACGATTCTTGTGCGATTGGGTGCGGTAGTGGTTCTTTCGCCTATTTTCTTGTTCCTGGCGCTATTATCGGTATCTTGGGAGGTTGGATTGGGAGGATGTACATGCTGGCCCAGGTTTCGGTGAAGCGAGAGATGAGCAATGCCAAAGCCCCGGTGATGGGGCAGTTTGACGCTGCTATCGCTGGTCTTGGTCAGTTCAAAAATCAAATTCTATGGACATTCCTGTTAACAGAAGCATCGTATAGCTTCTGTTCGCGCTTATGGGGTTGAGGAAGCATTCGAAAATAAAAACCTTCGTGCTCATTGATCATTATACGGCTGTGGCGAGGACATTTTACAATTTAAACAGGTATGCTCCCTTTTGTGGAGATATGATTTAGCTTTATCATGTTCTAGATGGGTCTGCGTTCGTGTAAACATCCTCGGAGCACTTTTCTCCTCTGCTTTGGCTGCTTACCTTGTTTACGGACGTCAAGACATGCAGGCTTCGGACATTGGGTTTTCTTTGAATATGGCAGGTTCGTGCCATGTTGACAATACAGGAGCGAGGTTGTTTACCATAAGATCAGTCGGTTTCAGCTCACTAATACTTGCGTGGGTACGTATCATGAATGGGGCGGAAGTCAGTGGTAAGTAACTTCCGAAAGATGCTAATCAGGTCTGAAATTGTGCATAAGGTATCAGCCTCGAGCGCATAGAGGGGTATCTCCGCATCGAACAAGAGCCAAAACCAACAGATTCCGGCAAGCCTCCTGCATACTGGCCTTCGAGTGGAGACCTTCATGTCGAAGGTCTATCTGCTAGCTACTCTGCCAATGGTCCTCAAGCTCTGAAGAATGTCAACTTCCATATCAAGTCTGGAGAACGTATTGAAGTAGTTGGAAGGACCGGAAGTGGCAAGGTAATAAATCTATGATACCTGAACGACACCATCTCAACTATGCTATAGACCACCCTCACGCTGTCAATCCTGCGCTGCATATTCACGGAGGGACAAGTTTGTTTCGACAATATCCCTACGAACAGTGTCAACCTAGACGCCCTTCGATCCAATATCACAATTATACCCCAAGCTGTGCGTATGCTCTTCACCCATCTAATCGACCCGTATTTGACTTGTGTTGCCCAGCCCGAGCTGCTGAGCGGTACCCTTCGTCAAGACCTTGATCCTTTCGATGAGCACGACGATGCCACACTCAACGATGCTCTACGCTCTTCTGGCCTTTACGCTAATCATGACCAATCTGAATGCGAGCTCTCACTTGACAAATTGATTGCAAGCGGCGGTAGAAACTTATCTGTTGGACAGCGACAAAGTATTGCCTTAGCGAGGGCCGCTATCCGCAGCAGCAAGCTACTAATATTTGATGAAGGTAGACCCTGAAGCTTAATTGAAATGTCTCAAATGCACTAACGCCTTACTAAAGCAACGTCAGCCATTGGTTATTCTTCTTTACGCACCTCTCCTCGGTCCATGATGCTAATGTTGCATCAGATTACAAGACCGAGTCTGTGATTCAGACGTCTCTCAGGAAGAAAGCCCTGAGAGGAGTCACTCAGATCATCATAGCCCATCGCATGATGTCTATGATTGATGCAGATAAGATTGTACATCTCTTTCACGTTCCTTCAGACTGAAACTGACGAATCTGGACAGATGGTTTTGGATGCTGGCTACCTTGTCGAATTCGGTAGTCCGTGGGAGCTTCTACAGAGTGAACAGGGTACATTTCGCGCCCGCGTGGACGAGAGTAAGGACAAGGTTCCCCTTTACGATGCTGCCAGAGAAGCCAGCAAAGGCGCATGGTCTTCATAGACATTCCCATCTGTGCCATAGCTGCTTACTTAGGAGACGTAAATACATCTAACTATCACAGGGACGTTGTGACTGTCTGAGGTGATACCACTCCCGTGTCTGCACTTGCTCTGCATCTCACACTCTCAGAGTTTCGAGCAGCCATTACCTGGCCGAAGCCGCTTCGATATTCTCTTGACCGCCGTTGACTGCCTTCTTGCTACGAAGATATGCGAGCGATCGTTCCGCGAAGGTTTATGCACTCACGCTGCACCGGGTTGTTTCCGGGAATATCCCAAGGCCTCAATGACCTCAGGGAAGCGCAGTCGACTCGGAGCCGGGAGCCTCGAGATGAGAACGAACTGTCCTTTATTGAGAGTGACATATAGCATTCATTCTCCCCTCTCACACTAGGCATCTACCAGATTTGGCCCTTGTGACTCCGCCCGGTCGTGATTCTTGTGCCCAGCGGCCCTCCGCGATCATGAATCTTCCGAGCATTTGCCCTTCGATTAGCCACGCGATGCGGGGGGCGCGTATAAAAACATCTCAGCATCCAATTGGAGCTCCACAGACATGGTCGGCCATTCGGCACCGCTTGCCTTTCTCCCTGCTCAAGGATCATGCTGGCTGGTGTGAGCCACACGAACGAATCCGCACTGTCATGGTGGATGTGGAAACTCTAGATACGACAGTGATGCACAGGAGCATAAAACTTTAAGTGATGCAAGAACACCCACGCGGAGATCGGCGATACCCAGACTGCTCGATATTCGCTGACGGCGAAATCTTGCACTGCAAATAGCTCGTAGGGGGGCTTGGCATTCTCATCTACATGGTTCGCAAGTTAGCGAAGAGATATGCGAGCACGTCAAAGATACTGTAATAAACGTCAACGACTCCAAGATGGTTCGCCGTCTAACACATTTAATTATGCAATAAGTGTGTCAAATTGGTGTCAAAACAACTTGAAAGAGGTAGGCATGCAAGTTGACGCTCGAAATGCATCTGCCAAAGCTGACTGGTGATGCCGGAGAGAGATGCGCGGAGTTCTCGCGCTCGCAGACAGAAATGTGTTCTCACCCACGCCACGTTTTATTGTTATACCATGAGAGTGATTCGGAACCGACACTTTGGTGGCTATATTCTTACTCCGTGGTGGTGGGTGCCACCCCTGCTTCTTCGACGTCTTATCAACGGTCGTCGTGACGTCTCCTAGAGGTGTGTGGGTAAGTCGGGCCGGAATATTCAACGAGTACAATGTTGACATCTTATTATCCTCGATCTTCAACGTAACCGATGGTGCAACTATCCCGCACTCGAGAAGAGGCATAACGTCTATGGTCAAGCTGATGAACCATACTTCCCCAATCGATGTGAAAGCGTGCCCTCCTACCACGGAGTTACTGACTTTACTAGGCTAAAGCGAGTTGGTGCGTAGAATGTATACTAAACCTGAGCCCGATGGCCGCGAAGACGACGTTCGCATTCATCATGTCGATAAGAACTCGGTTCGAATAAGCGAGGACAAAGCATATTTCGCTTGGACAAGATAAAGCTGCCACGAGCTACCATCGCAAGCTTTCCATGCCACTCATTGATGTGGAGCGAAGCTTCTTCAGGTTAATCATAGTCAGCGATTACTTGCTCGGGTGGCGAATCGAATCTCGGTCGTAGGACAAAGGAACGAGCAACCCATCGGTTCACTGATTATTGAATGTATTGTTGAAGGCAAAAATAAATATCACATCCGTTGACTTCGTCTAAACGCGCCTTACTATGTAAATATTGTCCGTGAAAGAATTGTAATCATAACATCGTATTCGTAAGTCAGTCGAATTTAACATAATACCCGTGAGTAGATGGACCCAGAGCAACACCCTATTAGTCATACACACAAAGACTGGTCTTGCATTTATCACCCTCCCCATTTAGTTAGATGGACCGACCACTTCTTGCTTGACTTTCGACAGGCGTGAGATGGTTTCATCGTCGAGGCCAAGATGGGCTTTGACAAGCTCGGGAGGGGTAAGTGCCAGCCACTGGTTCAAGGACACGTCCTGGAAACGATCTATACGACCCGATCAGATCGCGAGGACGGCCAAGAGGAATTATGAAACATACCGCTCTTGAAGATTTCCAAAAACTTGAGTGTAGTGTTGCCGGTGTTCTCAATGTAGTGCCCATACGAGGGAGGGATGTAAGCGATATCACTGGGGTTGAAATCCATGGTGTTCGCCGTAGACGAGGAAGCATAAACAGTGATCCGAGCTTGGCCTTCGATGAAGTAGGTCCATTCGGGTTCGGTCGGATGCCAATGGAGCTCTCGCATGCCACCTACCTCGACTTCGACTTCGGCGGCAGCGATGGTAGTGGATGCGTTGAATGTGGTGGAGTCCACAACCTTGAAGGAGCCGCCGGAAGCCTTGGTTGAGTTAACCTTTGACAAGGCAAACGTGTAAGGAATAGGTGTGTCGTTAGGTACCACCAAGTCGCTCTCGAGGTTTTCTGGAGGAGGGGCGGCTAGATAGACATTAGCATGAAGCGATGAACTGACAGAGATGGGGACTTACAAGGGAAAATGTACAGCTCTTCGGCGGGGATGTGGTCGAAAGCGGAGATGTCTACCTGGAAATTCTTTGCGATGACTTCCTTGGGGACATGGGCGAGCCAGTCGGTGAGCAAGAATGTAGAGTCTTCGCTGAAGGAGCCGCTGTCGAAGATCAAGAGGAACTCTGCGCCATCGGTACCATTCAAGGCTTGGATGCTATGAGGGAAGCCTGCAGGGAAGTACCACAGGTCACCCGGTCCCTATTCATGGTTGGATGAGCGAGCGATCTAACGCACAGGCGCGAGTCATACGAACCACATCACCAATATAAGACCTTCCTTCTGGGTCGATAGTACCAACGCGAAGATTCCCCTATATCAGCGTTCAGAAGGTAATTCAAGTTGAGTACACATGCGAAAGTACCTTCAAGACGTAGGCCCATTCGGCGTCCACGTGCCAATGCATCTCACTAAAGGTAGCCTGTCAGTCTCAGAGAAAGTTACGGATGACAATAGAGACTGACCGGATGGCGCCTGGTTCTAGGCGCATGTCGACGCCAGCGATGGCAGTAGCTATGGGCATCTGATTTACTGACAATTCTCCCGAGTTAGCTATATGTTCAATCACGACGTGAATCGAGGGCTCACGGTTCTGCTGCCGGGCCCAACCGCCAGTCTGTAGACGATTGTGACTGAGAGAAAAAGGCCACTTGAACGCCGGACTGTTGTCGTGTTAGTATAGTGCCGAAACGTTGAAATAGAACTCGCTTACACGGCTCCTTCATCTGTAGTGGGCGGGGCAAGCGCGTCGGGGTTCATCAGGTCGAGAGCAACGTTCTGGGGCCCGATGACGGTGGAACCAAGGGAGCCACGCATAGGTTCGGGCTTGGTACTTCCTTCCAGGGTCTCAAGCGTAGTGACAACATCATCCGAGTTAGACCACAGAATGCCGTTTGGGTCATCACTGGCGTAGGGAACTGTCGGCGTACTCTCAGCAGCTGAGGAAGTAGCCGTGCCAGCGGGGGCAGCGATCACCTGCGAGGCAAGTAGGAGCACGGCGAGAAGTGAACGAAAAGATTTCATGGTCGCAAGAAGGGGAGCGAGTGGCGTTGGGCAGCTGGAGCTCGAATTGCTGCTGCTGGACCTTCGAGCTTTTGCCGGCCTAGCTTTATACTCGAGTGGTGGTTCATTTCGGCTCCGATCATGAGTACTACCTCATACGTGAAACCACACTACGCGTGCCCCTATTCCCTCCGGCAAACGGGGCGAGAAGCCACCGCGGAGCGATGGAGAAATCCCAAGACGGGCGTAAGGGATGGGTATCCACTTTGTCGCTGGTCTACGAAGGTTTTGCTGACCAACCCAACCCTGCAAACAACCTACAAACATACAAAGATTCCCGTGGCTTGAAGTGGGAATCGGGAGATCTAAGGGGAACTGGGACCGCCGATCGGTGGACTCAGAAGAGTACAGAGACCGTGTCTGCGTCGAGACATGGGGAATCTCAAATCGAAACTCGCCATTCGGCAGATGAAATCGGCGTGGACCCAAGTTTAGTCCCATCTAAATTTAGCGCGGTATCATGACTGAAGACGTAGTATCGTGACACCTCGCACATGCGTAGCGGGAGTATACGGGTTATCTTTTCAATGCACCATTTTCTAGCGCTCGACCTAGCCAGGACGCCTCAGGCGCCATGATGATACCAGCTTCGGGTAGAAAGCCGATGGCGCTGGTGCATCATTTTTGCGTCTGACAGGGCACGCTGTAAAATGCGCACACGAGGTCGGGCGAAGACGTCTTGCGATCGCTTAGGACGTTGGGCGCTATTAGGACACCTTCACCCTGATAAAAGTCCGGCATTGAGTTGGAGGTCAGCGGTCATTAACGAGCTCGACATGAATTTACCGCTTAACGTAGGGAATTATCGTCTTCGCAGAAGCCATGAGATCATGGCGCAGGTCCGCGCCTCCGTGTCCATCACGAGGACTAGAATAACAACGACTAGGAAGGGAACCAACGTGGACACCTGACTTGGGTATTCAGCGAAGCGCTGAATCCGTATCAATATCGTACCGGGAGGACGGAGTCATGAGCAGGCAGGGACGCATGGACCCCGTAACACGGAAGGGTACAGGAAAACATATGGTCGATTTTTTTTCCGCTTTTGGACGATGCATGTTCCGAATGACACAGCATGTTCTCAAGAGCAGGATCACAGCGACAAGCATGCCCTGAAAATTTTCAGCATCTGGCTGTGCCTGAGCAATGCGCCGCCTCAATGAACGCGCACCGCAATTGCTAAACATTAGTCCGTTCAGACCTTCTCACCCAGAGACACATATGGTGAGGGTATTTCAGCTTAGGTAGATAGCGACCACTTGACGTGATTGCTCAGAGTATGCAGCGATAGTTGCCAATAACAGCCACCAACCGCGAAGGGCACCGCCCAAAAGTTAGATGAACTTCTTCTGTGGGGCGTTTACGTTGAGTACACAACAATAGCAAGATCTAAAAAGTAAATCTATATCTCACTCGCCATGGATATGAAGCAATGTTGACAGATCTAAGAAATCTACCTGACCACCAAATCGATATTTGGCGGCGGTTGATAGGAGGCAGGTGAGAGCAGCGGCACGCTCATGTGGATACTTCCTTTGCTGAATCAAGCAGTTCAGGTACCTTGACCGAAAATGAAAAGATTCGGAGACATGACTTACGAACTCCGGCTGAACCCAACGGAGCTTGGGATTCAGATATATCATGTCCAAGTTGAGCGTTGGAGTGCCACCCATGTCGTATTTGAAATCTAGGGTCCAGCGGCCTTGATTGTGGACGCCACACATGAAGTACGGCTTGCTGATCATGAAGGCCGTCGGTAACTGCCCGGATTGCCGGGATCGTGTTGTTGATCCGATCCTGGCAGCCCGTCATCTTGATATAGAAGCCTCGGCCCGGCGTCAACGTGGGCGACGTCGTGTACCCGTGCGAGCGGAAATGGGAGCAGCAAACGAGGCAGCAGTTTAAAATAGCCTCTCACCCTGCACATTTATTTTTGAACGACCACAATGGGAGTACCTAGTGCCGTGACTTGAAGTAACAAAACTTGGCCATCTTCGTGCGCCTAGGATAAGATGATATCGATGCTCGAGGCACGATACGGTAAACAGTTGGTTTTAAATCATAAGTACCCCGTTACCATAGCTCCAATGGCGACGCGGAGATTACCTGAGCACAGGGAGACCGTCGTGTGTGTACTTCATCACCGCGGAACGTTAAAATTTGCGTATGTATGTCGTAGCGTTGCTGAGACAACATCTATGCAGTCCATCGCAGCACGATAAGCTCACGATTGGATGGCGAAGGCAAAACCCTCATCGTCATGTGGGATGTAGACTTCCTACGCGCGGCCTTCAGACCAATGGCAACACCGACTTTTTTCAGAACCAGCGTGCTCGAGCCGTGAAGCCGCGAATCATGAAGCCTTCGCAGGCGAGAAGCAAGACGTTGCGCCGCTCGCTTCGCAGGAACCAAGGCAATGCATCATGGCGCAAGGAAGATACTGAAGTACAAAAAAGTTAGTGAAACGATGGGTTCATCGAGGTCTCATACCAAAACAAGGGTACATCAACTGAGAACGAAGTGTGGGTATACACGGCTGTCTCCTACAGCCCCACCAGTGTTATCACCAGCCCAATAAGGATATCTGAAGTTAGTCAACCAACGGCTGTGAGGAATCAAGTGAGTGTGAGTTGTGCAGAGATAGATTCGACTGGCAAGCATGTGTCGGAAAGCATAATGACCGGAAGTCTGCTTCCAGTGAATTGGTGTGCGCACTATGAAGGAAGAAATCTCAAGCGATTATTCGGATTCACAACGAGCTCGGCATACGAAAAGGATTATCTTAGCTATGGTTTGTACGACTCCAGACTTGGCCAGGTCATCCCGAACCTGGACAACTTCAGGACGCCCTCGCTTGGGCGTACACCGGCGCCAGTGCCTGACCGATTCTCGCACTGTCGAAAAGTTTTGTCGAGATCATGAGAGCAAAGGTGACACCGAGGGCGTAGTGAAACCCGAGAACCTCACATGAAGCTACCGAACAAAGGGAAATTTGATGCTCTGTGGCCGACGCCGGTCGATCCAAGGGCGATGATGGGAACGACGGTGATCAGAACCGGAGCCTCGGTGTCTGCGATGTAGAGCATAGGGATGTCGGTCTAGGAGAGAGGCGGGTAAGGTAAGCTTCCTCCCCGGGCGTGGATGTATGCGCACATGCAGTCGCTCCTGGACATCCTTCTCAGGCCATAGACGGACGGATCAGATCAGCATGTGCGAGAGCATAACGGTGCTTACACTACGACGTCAGGCAGTGACACCCGAAGCAGGGAAGCCCCGGCAGCTTCGTGATCGAGGAGAACGTACCTGCGTATCACCACCGTCATGATCGACGTGTCCCAAGCTGAGTCGCAATGGCCTCAAGAGAAAGGCGTTTCCGCTGCTTTAGTAGGAGGGCGCCTAGGGAAACGTAAAGGGGATCAAGTCGGACATCCAGGGTATATATGCGCCTGAAAGTTTTTATGCGACGACTGCGACGACGTGCTCAGCGATTCTTGCTATCAACTGAGGTGTTGAGGTCCGTCGTCGACGTCGGCAACGGCGTTGGGCCACTCGGAACTGCTGACATCAGCCTTTTCCACGCCCTGGATTTTTCCAAAGCCATGCATGGCGTTTGGCTCGAGGCGTCCACTGCATCCTCGCGATCCTCGCGTCGACCAGATCTCCAGGTCATTGCAAGGTAAGCACTCTCTTATGCCACTTAGAAGATATGTAAGAAGTACCTTTGACATAAATGACGACCGATTGCTTTCATTATAGCATAGGCTCACTGGCTAATCGAGATGGCTTCCGGCTACGCTTCCCCTACCCCTCAAGAGAGCGAGGGTCCACAACTTCACCCCTACCTTCATGGGCCTCTCCTGTACATATCCAATCTCCCACCTTATGTCACCGACGAAAACCTCGCTGGAGCCTTCCAAGCTTGCGCACCTTTCCGGCCAAACATCCCCCGTGATGGCAGTACCCACCCGCTTGCGGGCACTATAGAGTTCAAATTCCTTGAAAAAGGTGCTTGTTGTTCCCAATCGACATGCTACAATAGCTTCAGGTCTCACCGATCCCGCTGACGCTGTTCCTGCTGCAGCCGAAAAGGCACTTGCCACGCTCCAATCTCGCCCCATCCCAGGCCTACAGCCCCCGGTGTTCTTGGTACTCTCCCCATACCCTCCAACGAACCCACCAACGCCCCTTCCCCCGCCGTCCGCGCAACCTCGCTTCGTCAAACAGCTCCCTCTTGGGTACACGGACTCGCAACTGTACGATCTCTTTCGCCCCTTTGGGGCCCTTTCATCAGCCCGCATCCAAAGTACCTTTGGGACGGTAAACGGCATCGTCGAATTCTGGAGAGAAGAGGATGCTCGTATTGCAGAGGAAGCAATGCACTGCGCCGACGTGGAAGGTCAGAACATCGCCGTGCAGATTTACCAGTCGCGTCGTGCGGCGGGCGGGCATGCACCAGAGTTCAACGCGCATGCGCCAACGTTTGTGCCCTCTGGGTCGGTCTTCCCTTATCCAAGCCCGAATCAGGTAACAGTCAATTCCTATCATGGATGTTAGTGATCTGAACGTAATGTTACTCAGTATTCGCCGTCTCGCGCTAGTCACTACCCACCCCGCAGCTCCGTCTTCGTGCATGGCCCCGGGCAGCAAGTTCAACTCGCACCCCCGTCAGGGCCTGGATCCAGTAGCCATAGCGGGCTCATTGATCCCTGTAACCTTTTCTGCAAGGTCCGTCGATCCTGTACCAACCCTAGGGAGACGTCGTTGACCATTCTACGTAGAATCTTGATCCTGAAATAGACTCGAATGGGCTGTTTACTCACTTCCGCCAGGTCAGTTTGATCGAGCTTGCTGATAGCCTTCGACTGATCTTTGCCCACAGTTCGGACAAATCGTCAGTGCTCGCGTGATGCGCAATGAGAATGGAGAGAGCCGTGGTTTTGGATTCGTCTCGTATCAAACTCCCGATCAAGGTGCGTCGATGCAACTTCGCTAGTCGCGCTGTGCTCATTAAACACAATCAGCCAACGCTGCCCTGAGTGCTATGAACGGCACGGTCATTGGTTCAAAGCAGCTTGTCGTCCGCCTGCACGAGCCTAAACAACTGCGGCAAGAGAAGCTTGCGCAGCGCTTTGGTCACAACGGCCACCCGAGGAGTGCCAGCGGTGCCACCAGTCCTACTGTCAGTGAGGGCGGGGACAGTTACCTCGGCTTCTCGAGTCCTCGACGGATACCTTCTGTTCTGGCGTCGCCCATCATTGGTCACGGCGACCGTGACCGGGGACGAAGGGGCTCGGGCAGTTACTATAACGTGAGTAGCTTACATTCAGTCGTCGTGTGATGTACTGACACGGGTGCATCTCAGGCTGCTCTCGCTGGTACGCTCGACATTCCCATGCGCTATGACGACCTGGCGGCACTTTCACCCGTTGTGCGCAAGGAGGTGCTCACTGGTGAGCTAAGCCGGCGTGTCAAGGCGCTGGACTCTGTTCCACCCACGGATGTGAGCTCAGTTGTAGAGGCACTTGTCTCTCTGTCCCTCTCGGATGTCGTTTCTGGCTTGCAAGATCCTGCCAAGTTCGCAGACCAGGTTGCTACAGCCAAGAATGGCACCAAGGGCGTGCTCGAAGCGCCATCACCTGCGAAGTCGACTTCCCCAGCAACGTCTCAGGACTCCCGCTTGCTCGATCCGAATGCGCTTGCGACGACTGCCTCCGCACCTGAGCATCCCTCAACGCCAGTTTCCGTTCCCGCTTCGACGCCACCGCGGACATCCTCACCGTCTGGTTCCGTCCCTCCATCCTCGGAAAAGGACCGTATGCTTGCAGCTATCTCGAGACTTGAGTCGTCACGCCAAGCCGATCTCACGGAGCTCCTGATGAGCTTGCCAAAGCGCGAGCGTGCATTGTGCTTGTTCAACAACGAGATCCTACGTTCAAAGCTTGCGGACGCTAAGGCTGTACTAGAGAGCGACGATGGCGACGACGTGCCAGCGCCGCCTACTCCTGCATCTGCACCTGCTGAGACGCCCGTCACGCCTGTGACCAAGAAGATCGCTCCGGCTGCAGATTCGCCGCACACGCCTGCGCTCTCCTCTCGCGGTCCGTCAGCGGCTCCGTCGCCTGTGCCTGCGACTCCCAGTTCTGTCGCTGGCACGTCGGAGCACACCATTGCGTCACTCGCCAGGATGCCCGCTGCTGACATCATTCGCCTCGCTAACTCCTCGAGCGCTAAGCTGCCCCATTTGCCCAAAGCGGATCCTCTGGTGGTGAAGGCGACGGACGAGTTCATAGATTCGCTCCAGAATAAACCCGTTCAGTCACAGAAGCAGCAACTTGGCGATAAACTGTACGTCGATATATTTACCCCACGCTGACTCGACGCTGACATCACTTCCTCAATAGCTGGCGCTCAATCAAGGCCTTTGGCATCAAGGGCGCGCCGAAGCTCACAATTTCTCTGTTGGATCAGGAGGATCTACGCTCCCTTGCACACCTCATGAACAGCTATCCCTCTGTGCTCAAGGAGAAGGCCCTCATTATTCAGGCGCAGAACGCTGGAAAGTAGATCAATGGTGATAGCGTTTTTTGCTTGACGGGCTTTTTAAGCGCGCCCGGGTGAAGTGATTGCCTGCAGGACGTGTGCGCCATGAGCGCATATGTATACCCCTCTCGTGTTTTGGTGGTCTTCAATAATGACATACGGTAATGTTACTGATCTCAGCCTCTCATTTACTCATAGTACCTAATTCTTCTCTTCGTGTTTCATATCTGCGTCTTCTGGATCACAACATATCTTTTTTCCGCTGTTCAGTGAAGACGACCTGAATTTAATCCTCGTCGATACTCGCCTCCTCGCTTTACATCCCCTCGTTCTCATCCCCCTCTTCCCTCTTCTCCATCGCACCGTTATCGCTGCTTTCCACACTCCTAGCATAGTCTTTCATTGAGAACGCCATCTTCCACATTCTTTAATCACTCATTGCCTCCTTCGTCGCGTCGGCATTTGTCGACCCCGCTTTGTCATTTTACGAGTTTTATGACACCCTGGTTTGGGCTCTTGATTACGCCCTCTACCAAACATTGCTACTCTTTTTACATGGAATAGGATTCACATTGTTGATCTGTGGTGTGTTTCACCTGATCTCACCCTTGCAGTTCCGTCACCGGATAAGACAACGCAGTGGTCGCTATACCAGCTGCTTGGAAAGTTGCAATGCAACGCAGTGGCACAGACCTTTCCGGGTCACGTCTTTCATCTGCGGGCGAAACCAGCGACTACAGCCTAACCTTACAGCGTGCGGAACCTAACCTATGACTTTCCAGCTGGTGATATTGCCTATTTTATTCATTGTCATATGATAGTATTTGGTGGAGTATCACGATGGATGGCACCGGCAACTTGATGGTCGAAAATGACGTCCATTGCCCGCTTGCGAGCGCCAAGCGGTGGCACGGAGTACCACAAGCGCTGACATTCTGATTGGGATTCAATACGAACTGGATATGTCAGGTTTGACGGAACTTTGTAGAAATAAGGCGTTAGGTCCGCATGCAATGAACGGAATCATCCAGATAGCACCGACGAATGACATTTTATGTCTGTCTATGTTCTATTGACGAGTTCGTCCGCCACGCTGATATTCGGTGAAACCTCCGGAGCTATCCCTAATGGATACGAGATACGCTAGGTTCCGTGACGATCTCAAAAGTTGTTTGCCACATATGTCAGGGAGAGCGCCAGCAGCTGTTTGAACGCTTGGAGGTCACCAGACGAGATGCGATAATGGCAGTGTATACAGCGGATCACCCTCGGCAATGTAAATAGGCGGCACATACGGTGGCTGCATCGTCGTGACCGGCGGCGCAGTCCGAGTAAAGCAAGAGGCGTTCGTGGCGCTCATGCACCATAAGCCATTACGTTGTGTGGGCGATAGGTCCCGCAAGGTTCCGCCGGTTCCCTGGCAGATCTAAATGAAAGGTCTTCGCATGGCGGTGACATGTTTCTCCGAGAACCAACGATCACCGGGAAGCTCTGCTTTGGGAGATTTCAGCGAAGTGTTCTGCAGAACGTTACCAAAACGAAGGGGTGATCGTACCTCTTGACCCACTTCGACGTTCTAAACAGAACGCTTGATGCACCGACGGAATCTAATTTTAGCTTCCGACTTCGAACGCCTCTGCGGCAGCGGTTAAGCATGCAACCCGACAAAGATGCTTGTCTCTGCCGAGATTTCAGCTGACTGGTGAGATTCGGTGTGTATTATTTTGGTTTGCCCCATTTTTGACTTCGCCGCTGCAGTATTATAAGCATGCCCTTGCTCGTCCTGTGCGTTGAGATCGAAACCTTCGAGAAAGGACGGCCAACCGTCTTGTCAGCATTGGTGTTTAAATAAAACGATTTTTATAGCGCTTCTTTGGACACAGATATATACAGTCGCATACATATTCTGAGTTGATATTTTAGCAACGTCTGACTTTGTCGGAAGCACTTACCGATCTGCCCGTGCTCGTTCAGTACACGTCAAAGGACCCCGGTCATTGCTAATATTCTGCCATAGTATGCCAAACCACCTCTCAAGAGGATCAAGCGGTGGCGCACATCAGGAGGTTAGTATAGAAAACACGGCGTTTGTTTGCGAGCAGCCACAGGAGACCATATGGCAAGAACGGTATTGGACTGTAATCCAATTCATCCGAAAGAGATGCCGAAAGCAACAGTAAAGATGGCGACTTGGATCTGTCTTTCCTCGCAGCTCTAGGAGAGCCACAATCAAATGTTGTGCTGGATAAGATGCAGTGCATCGCCGGATGCCCTACCTGATCATTGATGTGAGCAGTCAGCTGAACGGGGCAGCATGTGCACTGATCTTATTTCCTATCGTAGTCGTTGAGATATTTCTTGAGCATACACAGCCTATGATGTTTGTTCGCGGATTAATCACAGGTCAACGAGCAATTCAGCGTTTTGAACGAGTAAGACAAGAGTCAGACCGATTTCAGACGGACAACAAGTGACATCGCGTTCACGACACAACACGATCACATGATGTTTAAAACTCCGCCCCGCGCGCATACATTTCCACGACTCTTTCCTGTTTTTGCATGTACCCCTAAACTCCTGCATCGTCCTTTTCTTGATGGCTGGCGCTTTCAGCGGCCACCTGCTTAATTCTTGGGAGGCGGCGAGGAAACCAGCTCCATTCTCTCAGCAACCCTCAGACATCTCCATCAGTGGCCCCATGTCCTTTAATCCCTCCATGCACGGCCACACGCCATCGTTCGGAGGCGGAACAGCACCTCCGTCCTACTCCTTTTCGATGGACATATCTGAAGACACCGCGGTCAAGATTGCAACCCTGCAAGCGAAGCTGAACAAGAAACTTGGACCCGAGTTCATCTCTCAGCGTCCGGGTCCGTCGGGAGGCCCAAAGCTCACGTACGCCGAGGGGTGGAAGATCATCAACCTCACAAATGAGGTGTTCGGCTTCAACGGCTGGAGCTCGAACGTCGTGAGCATTACTACTGACTTCATCGACTACAACGAGGAGAGCCGTCGGTATAACGTTGGTGTAACGGCCATCGTCAGGGTGACGCTGCGAGATGGGGTGTTCCATGAGGACGTGGGTTGCGGGCTGCTGGAGAATTCGAAGACGAAGGGAGGGGCTCTGGATAAGGTGAGCACCTACATTCTCTGTTAATCATTATATGCAGACTTCTGTTCTCTTTAGTGTAAGAAGGAAGCTGTGACGGACGCGCTGAAGCGAACGTTGCGCAACTTCGGCAACTTGTTAGGGAACTGCCTTTACGATAAATCATACACCCAGGAAGTCGTGAAGATGAAGGTTCCAGCAGTGCGTATCTTCTAATATGGACCGTTGTACCTCCACGAACTCTTGTATGTAGGTGAAGTTTGACAAGTCGGACTTGTACCGGCGGCCTGAGTTCGAAGAGACCAAACCTTCTGTCCCTCAATCCGCACAGGCAGCTGCACCCCTGCCTCCTGCTAATGCCGCACCAGGAAAGGATAATGCATCTCATCCGAGCACCGTCAAGATCGAGCCTCAGTCCGACACGATACATCACTCCCGTCCATTTGGCCCCCTAGTACGCCAAGCAGATGCATCGAACAGACTGCCAAACGGTCCCTCGCGTGCACCACCTCCCGAAATCCGACCGCCTCCCATAGGTCGCGCACCGCAGACAAATGTGCCTCATACGCGTAACGGTGTCCAAAGCAACCACGCTCCACCAGCTCAGCAAGCCTCTACATCTAGAGCTCCTCCTGCGCCTGCGCCGGCACCTGTCCAACGTCAGGCTCCAGCGGAACCTGAACCAGAGGATGATCCTGACATCGACATTCCGACCGTTCTCGAAGAGTCTTTTGGTCTTGACTCCGATGAGGATGCGTTTTATGCGACGGTTGACCTAGGCGAAAACGACCTTGGACAGCCAATCGTGGCTGATGACGACGGTGGTCGACCGATTGACTTTGAGGAGGGGCTGCGACCCGATGACGAGAGTATGGAGAGTATGGACATGAGTACCAGCACTAACATACCTGCTCGGGCACCGGCAACAGTTGGGCAGCAGCGACCTGAAGTAAACGGCAATGGACGCAGTTCGGGCGCTCCAATGCGGTCCAATGGCGTCGCTGCCGGTAATGCTAACGCGAGCTTGAGCTCGAGCAGGAATGGAAGTGGCCAGACCAACCAAAATCTGAGTCGCCGGACGTCAACGTCCTCGATGGGCGGCAGCTTCAACTTTCCGCCTGGCATGGTCCGTTCTCTCTACCTAGGTCACCGATCATTCTGAACTTGATGGTGCTAACCCGCGCCGTCCAGACTGCAGCTGACTTCACTCGCTCGTCTCAACACAATATGCCGCCGCCGCCGCCGCCACAGGGCCAACATCACCAGCCGCCGAGCAACCTCAAGCGGAGCGCTGACACGATGCGGTGAGTCCCCCTCTGGTGTCCACCAACAGCCACTCTCCCTGCCAAGAGCAAGCTAAAGCTGACGAATGACCTCGGTGTGGCGTGTAGCGCGCCTCCTTCCGGGCAGCGCGGGCCCGGTCCCGGGATGGGACTCGTGAACCCGGCATCTTCTCGATCGAGCTATCAGCAGGCAGGTCAGGCTGCTCACACCTCGTCCAGTACAAGTGGCGCCATAGGTGGTGCTCTCACTGGTAGTGGTGCCCCGAGGCAGCCGCTGGGGGGCTTGGACGTGGACGAGGGCGGCGCGGTCAAGCGCATGAGGCGATGACTTGTTCGTGGCTTCCTGAGGTGGGGTTACCAGTGTTTCGTTTGCGTTTTGCTTTTCGATTCCACGCTCTCGTAATGTGCTTCGTCGTGCTGTGTCCCCGGTCGAGTTCCGGGTTACTCCCCTGCAATTTACTTCTACTTCGCCCGCAATCTTGTCTGTCTTTCCTTTCTCTCTAATCGCTACCATTTGCAACTCCCAATTCCAACACATACAGTTCATGGATCTTGCCTTACGCGGACTCAACCACCCAAAGCTGTTAAAACCCTTTTCTGGAGATTACCTTCCGCCATCTCTGCATCTCCGGCTGTCCTTCTCAGGTTCATACATATACACATGCTTCGCAACCGTATCTCGCCATCTCACCATCGCCTGGGGTGACCACATGCCTCACTTCCCCGAACGTCGAACTTCCGCGTCCTTCCATTGAACCTTCGCGACCACGACGTCACCACGGCCCCTCGCACACTTCATAGATGAATGCATGACCTGCGCATCGCCGCGCATGACCTATACTTGCACCCCTCGCTATTCTTGCCGCGCGCTATTTTTGCTACACCGCGAGCTCTTCGTTGGTTTTCATAGGACAACAGTCAAAGATAGCCCAGGCACCTGGTGCAGCGCCCCAATACGCGGCGCCTGTGTATATAAATGTATGATGCATGTTATGTTATATGAACCTTGAAGCTGGATCAGCCGCTGGGGGGCCAATCGCTCGACCGCCGGCCTCGCGTCCGCAGCATTCGAGCAGGCAGTGAGAGTTTTTGGATGCGTCCCTGCTTCCTTGCTTCTTGCCGAGTCTCGCTCTTGGTGTCAGGGCACAAGGTTTCAGCGCATGTGGGCACCTCTCCATGCTTCTCTTCTCTTCCTGCGCGCACTTCGCTCCTTCTCGTTCCCGTTCACGTCTGACATTGTGAGGACCGTCGCTAAGTATACACTGATGGCGAGCGCTATGTATTGACATGCAGGGCAGGTACGGTATACGTGTCTACGAAACACATCCGGAGAAGATCCAGAGGCCCATTTTGAGTATCAAGTCCTTTTGAGGGACGGCCGATGAACGCACGGCGGATAACCGCCGTGCAAGCAGAGCGGTATTTTTGTGGGGCCAGTGTGTCGAGTGACTACAGCCAGAGTGGAGAAAGAAAAAGAGGGTGCGCAGCGCGCTCAGTGATCGCCGTCGTGAATTCGTTATTGTCATTCGTGGTCGCCGTCGTGAAACTCGTCATGGCCGTTCATGGTATGTAGCGGAACTCAGGAGCCTGAAAGGGTGGTGGTGCCCCATGAATAACAAAGCACATATTGGGGAAGACGCGAGAAAGGCGTGACGCACCTTGTCAGCCAGTTCGGAGGTATCAACACGGGCATCTGGGTCGGGGATTCCATACATTTCGTTGCGTCTTTTGTTTTCAGTGCGGAAGGAGGTCTAGTGATGCGTGGCATCAGCATTGGCATCGTGCGAGAACGAGAGCATCAATACTACTTACGCTCAGGATGAAGGCGCACGCGGCGGCAACGAAGAGCAGTGCACCCGTGGTGGTGAACCCTCGGCTAAATTACCAACAATCAGCAAATATATCATAAAACGCGGCGAAAGAAAGTGCGGGAGAGGGAAAGCGCGTACACATAGTAAGGCCCTTCAGTGAGAGGATAGAGATGCGAGCCGAGCACCGCACCACACTGGCCGATAGCTCCGAAGAGTGGCACTCCAGCAGCGCGTTTAGATTCGGAGCCGAGGTTGTGCGTGACTGGCGGCGATGTCAGCTCTGACTGATAGGAGATATAAGACAGAGAAAACCAGCGTACACCACGCGATGACGAGCCCGATGCTCGTGTACGTCCCGCTCGTGATGCAGAACGTCGCGAGGTAGCGCACGGTGTTGTTTAGCGAGTTCAGGAGTAATCTGCAGGTGCATGCAACCGGGTTGACATTATGAACATAAATGCAACGGTGTGAATGCGCGGACGAGGACATTCGCCAGGTCAGAATATGCCCACTTTCAAGGATAACGACTGTATGCGCTCACATGTACCCAACCCCACCAAGCACACACGCCCCCGTCACGAGCGCCCCGCGCGTCTGCCACCGATCCGAGGCGGCAGAGCCGAGGATGAGCACTGCACCAGCACAGGCGTACGGCGGAACGGTCATCAGCTGCGCCTGAGCTTCCTCTGGTCAAAACCCCGTCAGCACAGGACCAAGCTCGACGAAAAGGCAGGGAGAAAGAACGCACGATGACCCATGGTCTCGATAATCGTCGGCAAAAACGCCGACGTGCTCGCGAGCGCCGCGTTCAGCCCAAAGTAGATGACGCCCGCGGTGTACACGCGCCAGTCGGTGAACGCGGCCACGACGTGTTCTGCGAAATGCGAGTCGAGTGTGCATGAGTTAGCAGCGAGCCGCAGCACGGTCTGAACGAAAAGTGCAAAAAAGAACAAAAAACAAAAAACTTGACGTACTGCGGTTGACGGTCTTGCCGCGATCCCCACTCGTCCCGCGGTCCATCCTCTCCATCGCCAGCTTGCGCTCGCCGTGCGTCAGAAACCGCCCCGCAGGCTCGTCCGGCCGCCCCGGCAGAAGCCAGAAGCACGCGAAGCCAAGGACGACCGTCGGGATGCCCTGTTACATGATATATATCGGACCGTCGCAGCGAGTGATGTGAGCTGTAGTTTTAGTAACGGGGTATGCGAAAGGGAGTGGAATTGTTCGAAAGATTCGAAGGAAGGACAGAACGAAGGAAGGAAGGAAAGAAAGAAAGAAGGGGGGGGAGAGGAAAACACACCTCGATGAAAAACAAAATCCGCCAATTCGACACGGGCGCATTGGGAAGGTGCTCGATCCCGTACGCGATGAGCCCGCTGAACGCGCCGGCGACGGCGGCGAAACCAAACCAGTACGCGACGCGCGTTGCGTATTCGGCTTTGGTGTACCAGAATGCTATACACACACAAATATACATGTATGCGCGATTTGTCAGATGGTGATGGAGATAGATGAAGGAATAAGAACAGGCAAAGAAAGCTGGTGCCAAACGAAACGAGAACGCACAGACGTAGAGAACGACAGCGGGCCCAAACGCCGCTTCGAAGACGCCCAGAGCGAGGCGGGCGACGAGAAGGCCGGAAAAGCTCTGGGCTGTGGACTGTACGCGCACCGGCATTGTCAAATTTCAATGCGCAGCAAACGGAAGAAAGGTGCGGGGATAGGCGCACCATCAGTGTCGAACACGTCCCCCACAAGATAGCTGAGAGCGAGATCCACAGGCGCGGGTCGTAGTACTTCGAGAACACCGTGCACGGCACCTGCAGTGCGATCTGTACACGTATCATGTCAGTTTGTCATCGGTCCAGGACTCCCTTCACATCGATTCTTCTCTTCGACAGGGGCAGTGTAAGGGGAACAGGGCACGCACGTAGGTGATGAAGAAGGAAGCGTACACCCAGTCGAATAGCTCGCCGGTCGGGTCGCCCCCGAGCACGTCTTCGGGGAGCCCCTGCAAACGCGCGTTGCCGAGGTTCGAGCGGTCGAGGTCTGGCGTTGCCCGTTCCCCAGAGATCGAGAGTCGACAGGAGAATTTCACGCCCGTATTAGGACACGAAAGACAATGAAAACAAGGCGAACAAAGGGCAAATCAGCTTCACGCACATCGGGCGACGCGCACATACGAAGGAATTACGCACAGGCGCACAGGTACAACAGACACGCCAGCGGCACAATGCGCCCATCCAGCTTCCGGACGAGCGCATTCTCCTCCTCGGCGGCCTCTGGGTTCTGCGTCTTCAAGCGACCACTACCACTACCACCACCACTACCGTCGCGGTCCGGATCATCACAACGGTTCGGAAGAAGCGCGGTGCGCTCGTCGATCTCCACGCGAGCTTCCTCGATGCTCGCTGCGCTTTCGTTGCCTGGCATGTCGTTCCTTGGCCGTGTTGTCCAGTCAACGAGGTAAAGTTACAGATGAGGAGTTTGACAGTGGATGGGGACGTGCAAGGACAGACAACAGAGGGAGATGAAAGCAGCTAGGCTCGCGCACACTGGTCGGGGTACCCGCACAGTCCTCGGCCGAAGTCACTAGTGATCAATGAAAACCTCCGTTCTGAATTGATGTGACTCATTGCAGTGGAACCTGGAGCACAGACCACAGAAGGCTGGAGCAAAGCTAGAGACTGGAGTCGAACGGCCCAATCGCACTGGACGCATATACAGATGAACAACGCAAAATGAACACACATGATCAGTCCAAGCTGGTGTTGCGTCCAGAGTTTCACTTCAACAGCTCCAACGGCCAACCGGTCCGATAGATCCCCAACCCCGGGATCCACGGCGCCAAACACCCACCAAACAACCTCAGGGGCTACCTTGCCTTTCCTGGACCGCCTTCGCTGAATCGCCGGGTGTCACGCGCTGATGCGCTGACGCCCCGAGGTTCTGTGACCTCGTCTTTGCGATTTTTAAAAGTTCAATGCGACTTAGGTGATCACGTCTGTCATCAAGCACTGAGTTAGTAGTTTGTCTGATCCACATAAGACTCTAGCGATGAGCAGATGGACATATGAGCAGAATTATAAACATTGAGCAAACTTGCTTTATACCCCTTCTCCAGAGGCATTGAAAGCAACAATACAGGAAAAGTACACTATGGACACGATACATTACAACATCATGGAGAACATCCAAATCACGAAGAAACCAGCAGACAGGAGTAGAAACTTTTGCATAAAAATAAACTCAAAGATGGGCGGAAAATCTGAACGGGGGAGGCAGAACAGAACCGACAGCAGTTACGAGATACGCTGCCCGTCGTCCATCCTCGCCAGATCTTCCTTTGCCGACAACAAAACCTCCTGAACAACCATTAGCCTCCAAAATCCCAAGGACACAAAAGAGAGAACGCACCGTAACAAGCGCCTGCCTCGCCTCGTCCCTAATCTCCTTCCACCGCCCCTCATACGTCCTCACCAGTCGCTCATACTCGTCCTTGCGCGCCGCCCCGCCCACGCGTATCAGCGCCCTCAACACACACATCCCCGCCACCCACTCCACCTCGTCTGCCTCCCACACCGCATCGCGCGCCATCATCTCCGAGAAACTCGACACTTGCTCGCTCACGCCCGTCCCCACACCACCCACCCCGACGCTGGAAGCCGATCCCGCCGTGCCGCTGCCGCCGCCGACGACACCCAGCGCACCCCCGATGCTCCCGTTCATCGCGCCCCCAAGACTGCTGCTCCCCATCGCCCCGCCCACACCCACGCCCACGCCCACGCCCACACCCATCCCCCCATGCATCCCCCCATGCATCCCGCCCGCATCGTACCCGCCCACCATCCCCCCGCCCGCCGCTCCCGTCCCCCCAGGCGTCGACCCCCCGTACCCACCACCCGAACCCGCGTTACTATTCCCCGTCCCCGAGCCGATCCCCTGCGGCGCGGGAACGACGACGATCCCAACTTCGAGCGCAGCACCGTGCACCTGCGCCCACACGATATAATCCTTCCTGCGCTGCCGGTCCGCCGCTATCCGCTCCATCTCGTCCGACATGTCGATGTCGATGCTGTCCATGCCCCCGCCCCGCCCCCGCCGCCGACATTGCCAACGCCAACGCCGACACCGTGCGAACCTCGCGACGAAGTCGAGGTGGCGTTGTGCGTAGGGAAGCCGGGCGGGCGCCACACGCTCGCGGTGCGCAGCGCCATCGAGAGCGCACGTGCGCCGGCCGCGGGGCCGTGTACGCCCGCGTGCGCGACGTTCGGCGGGAAAAACGCGCACGCGTCGGCGTACCGCCGGAGCAGCGCGTGCAGGTTCGACGACGACGTCGTGCCGCCCGACGCGCCGCCGCCATGTCGCTGGGAATGAGCGTGTCCGTGCCCGTGACCATGGCTGCTATGGTGGGACCCGCCCCCGGCGCCAGCGAGAATGGCGGTGGCAGCGTCGAACAGCGCCTGCACGACGGGCGCGAGCGGTGTCGCGGGCGCGGCGGACGGGTGGGATAGCGCGTATTGCTGGATGAGCTGGGAGAGCGTCCCGGCGTCGATAGAGGACGACGCGAGGAACGCGTCGCGCAGGGGCGGTGTGGGGCTGCCCATCGAGCCGACGCCGAGCGAGAGCGCGGACGGGCCGGGCGAGGGGACGCTGAGCGCGGAGTGCGTTTGGAACGGGTAGTGGTACTGCGATTGCTGTTGCTGCTGTTGCTGCTGCTGCTGGCCGTGTTGATGCTGCTGTTGCTGCGTATGCCCGTGCTGCTGATGCTGTCCGTGCTGCTGCTGCCCACCATGCTGCTGCTGCTGCTGCTGGCCAGCAGACGGACCAGCCTGCGACGCAGGCGAGTCGTGCTGCTGCGTCTGGTCATGGTACGACACGGCGCTCGACAAGTTCGGGCTCCACGTCAACCCACTGTGCGTCGCCGCCGGACTCCCGCTCACTATACGCCCATTCAGCCGCAGCCCACACCCTCAAAGCCCAAAACGCAAAACAAGACGCACTCTTATCCATCCCCCCAACGCCCTTCGTCCCCGTCCCCGTCCCCGCGCCCTTCCCCCTGGTCCTCCCCTCCATCTTGCGCCTCGCCCTCCCCACCGTATTCTTATACCAATTATATATCTGCTCCCTAAACCTCGGCTCCGCCTCCTCCGTCCCGCGCAAATCATCAGGCATCCCAAACGTCATCAGAAACTCGTCCGCGCGCTCGAGGGCGAACTTCTTCGCATCGCCACGGACGGCGCCGCGTGTGCGGGACTCGAAGCCCTGTACGTGGCCGCGGAGGAAGTTGAGCTGGTCGTCCGTGTACGCCTTGGGCAACCTGGGTTTCGATCCCCCAGCGGAGGATACAGCGGCGGAGGAGCGCGGATCGCCCCCCGACATGTCTGCGGTCGGGTATCGGGTTGAGTGCAGAGATTTCGACTGCTGTGATCTGGGGATCGGAAAACTGTCGGGTTCACCCTCAGATCTCGGCTTCTTCCGATGTCCGTGACCTCATAATCCCATGTATATTCAGTGTCTAAGATATTACTAGCAATAGGGTATAATACTCTCCTCTCTCCTAGTTGGCAGGCTTGCGGCACACACACAGGTACATCGGCGTGAACAACTTCGTCTGCCCACCGCGCACAAGCGCATCCGCCGCAACCTTGAGCGACTCGCCCACCTCATACGTCCCCTTGGGCACCATCCCCACCATCTCCATCACCCGGATCGCCGTGTGCGACACCAGCTTCCCCGACCAGCTCATCCGCCACACCGTAAAGTAGTCCCACGCCGTCTGCGCCTTCCAGATGTCGCCCTCCAGCGGGTAGTACCACCGCACCTCGTCCGGCCGGTCCGCCAGGTCCTCCTCGTGCTCGATCGTGAACCCGACCTTCTTCAGCGCCTCGCGCGCGTTGCTGATCGGCCGCATCTCGGGGATCCCGTTGCCCAGCTCGATCCCGTGAGCGAGCGCCTTGTGCGACGGGATGGACGGGTCCCATTCGTCGGTCATCACCCATTCGTAGACGCCGAACTGTAAAAGAGCTGTGAGTTGATGAGCGATAAGGTTGGGAGAGCGAACGTACGACTCCTCCGGGCTTGAGAACCTTCATGATCTCACCATAGACACCCTCGAACGAGGGCGCGTGGACGGTAGCCTCGATCGCATAAACTAGGCACCCATATCAGATACTTCATTCATTCGCATAAAACAAAACCAACAAAACACCCACCAGCATCAAACGAGTTCGGCCCAAACTGCTCGCTCAGCTTCATAAAGTCCCCCTTCACAAAGTCGACCTGGTGCGCAAGCCCCGCCTGCTTCGTGTACTTGCGCGCGCGCTGCAGCTGAAAGTCATTGTTGTTCAAGCCTGTGACATGCGCGTCCGAGAAGCGCGCAATCGCGCGCGCGGGGCCGCCGACACCGCACCCGACGTCGAGCACGCGCATGCCGGGGCGCAGCACCATCTGCGAGGCGAGGTAGTGCTCGTGCCGCGCGAGCGAGGCCGCGAAGGCCTCGCCCTTGAAGAACCGCGAGAAGTGGAACGAGTCTGCCCAGCCGTACTCGTACAGCTCTGTCGCGCCGTCGTAGTAGCCTGTACACAGTAGAGAGGGCGTGCGTGAGTAGAGGCGACGTGTGGGGGAGGGGAGGGGGGCGTACCGTTGATGACGTCCGTGTAGGAGTCGAGACGGGCCTGGTTGTCGGCCTCGGACTCCTTGCTGACGTCCTTTTGCCAGAACTTGGTGTAGTTCTCGACGCGACTCTCCTGACGACCGTCGGCGTAGTGGTTCGGTGCGGTGACAGTTCCGTTCGACATCTTCAGAAAACGAGGGGAAAGGTCTAAAGACGAGATATATCAGCGCTGGCTGCCTACAAAGGACCAGAAACACAGACTCACAAGAGAGGGGCGAAAGAGGGACAGTGGGAGGAAGAGGAGAAGGTCAAAGGAAAACCCGCTTTATAAAAAAGCAACAAAGAATTCAGAATCAGCTCATTTGCTAAAAATCCCGACCATGACCTGACATTTCCTTTCTCGGCGCGGCCGGATATATGCGTCCGCGGGAACTTTGGGTCGTGCGCTGGGATTGGCTGGCTTATGCGTGCCGTCGGGTGGCGCGCGACCTTGAATCAATTCAATTTTGCTTGCTTGAAGGGCCATGCAGGTGCGCGGGATTCTTGTGCAAGATTCGACAGAACCTACTACTCCCTGACCGCCACAGGTTTTCTTCAAGAGTGGCTCGAAATGTTGAGCCCGGAATACTTGTGGAATTCTATCGCACAAATTCAGTTACGGACTCGAATCGAACGACATCATGTACAGCTGATACGGAGGCAAATGGAGAAACCAACAAGGCACCGGTCGAATATCGTTCGATATTCCATGCAACCAACGACGTCTTGTAAGGTTCGATTCGATTCTGAGGTCACCTCAGATCGACCTTTAAGGTTGCTTTAAGGTGTTCTGTGTAAAAGGGGGGTATCCGGGCCGGCTTGGCGCCGCGAGCCACACGTGACACTACTTCCTCCGCGCAATATTCTCTGGCCAACCTCCGCTTCGCAGTCACTGTCAAGTTTGCACCTCGCAGCCCCGAGCTCGAGCATCCTCCACCCCACCCTCCCCACCAAACAAAGGCCCCACAATGCCCACCCCCGCCATCCAAGCCGTCAAATCCTTCCGCCTCAAATCCCTCAGCGCCGCACGCCTCCTCAGACCCGCGGCACAGCACGCGCTCTCCCAGCCCGGCGCCGCCCCGCGCGCGGTGCCGAACCCGTTCATCCCGCGCCTGAACCCCAACACGGGCAGATGGGCGCCGCCCAAGGTCTCGCTGCGCCAGCAGGCGGACCTCGTCAAGCGCGCGCGCGCGAGCGGGACGGTGGGGCTGCTTCCGCCTGGGCCGAAGCTGTCGGTTGCGGAGTGGACGCGGGCGCAGGCTGCCGCTCAAGCATCTATTGCGCCGACAGGGGAGACGGTAGAGGAAGTGAAGAAGAAGAAGGAGAAAGGCCCGAACTGGACGGTGCCCGTGGCGTGGACGGGCGACGTCAAGGAGCGCGCGGTCGCGGGCGCGGATATCGGGTATAGGCTGTATGCGGGCCGCAAGCGCATGTTCAAGGGGCACAAGTGGGAGCGCGTCGCGGACGCGCGGAAGAAGAAGCGCGCGGAGGCGATGGCCAAGATGGCAAGGCGCGTCGAGGCGTACAAGAAGGTGCGCTGCTTTGGCTTTTCGTTTATGGCGAAAAGAAAACCTTTTTGGCTGACCGACTGGTTGTTTTGTGCAGTTCTACCAGAACAGACGGCCACGCCCGCTCGAGCCGCCTCGGGCGTCGGCGAAGGCGGCCAAGTTGCCGTTCTAGACGATACGTATCGTTGCAGCCGTCATACGTTCTCGTCACATATGAACATGTCTTCATTTGTGGTATTGCTATCCCATAACATAGAGCTAATAACGACCCAATGCTCAGTCCAATGCACCATCACCATTCCCCCGTCCTTGTCCTTCGATGACTAACAACTATCCGCTCCATGCCTATAGTCCATCACTATCCACTACTGGCCAAACTCCCCGCTCCCCTATTTTCGACGAGCCACAATCGGAACAACACGCGGCTCCGCGCGCTCATACGTCCTCGTCATCGAAGTATACACAGGCCCATCCGGCCCATCACGCCGCTCGCGCACCGTCATCCTGCGCTTCGTCTCAACCCACTCCTCCGCGCCCTGCGCGCGCTGTGGATAATGTTCCGCCCACGTTTTCTGAGTACCATGGGCAGAGCCGAGCTCCGACGGCGCAGTGTGGTGCGAAGTTGCAGCGCTCAGCTGCTGAGAGCCTACCCAGCGCGCTGTTCTGTCGTCGTGGTGATACGCATACGGAGGCTGGCGGGCGGGCGCGGCGGGTTGTGGCTGGCTTGTGTAGCTCTGCCCAGACACGGATCCCGCGCGGAGAGGGCGGAATGGGTGGTTCCGATTCTGAGCCTGTGTTGGAGAGCGCACCGGCGGCGCTTGAGCGCTGTACGTGTAGGATCCAGCGTACGACGGCGAAGCATGATACGTTTGTGCAGAGATGCCGCCGCCGCCAACGCTTGCTGGCTTGTGGGCGCTGGCGCTGCGCCGGGAGCTGGTGTGCGAGCTGGCGACGTGCGACGGTACGGCTGATGCCGGGCGAGTCCCCCTTGAGTTCGTGCTCGCTCTGAGAGATGCCTCGTGTGCTCGCTGGGAGGACGCAGCGTGCACCGAGGATGCGTGGCCGGCGCTGCTGGGGGTGTCGCTTCCCGTGTACCTGGACTTGTGCTTGCGTCCCGTCTGTTCTCCATGCGGGGCGGGGATTACGACGATGGGAGGCGTTGGCTGAGTATGAGTTTGAGTATGAGCTTGAGCTTGAGACGGGCTGCTGCCTTTGCGAGATAGCGATGGGAAAAGCATGGTCAAATTTTCCTAGTCCTTGTGATGGCGATCTTGCGGGAAGCGTGGAGTTGTAAATGAGAAGCTACGAGTGAGTATGAAGCTCATGTTGACCGCTCCGTCCGTTTATATGGTCTCTGACTCCCTGATGTGGCAAACCAGCCAGTGTGGCGTCAAGCACATTGTCGTACCAGCAAATACTGGAGACAACACTGTAAGATGCTGTGGTGTTGAATATAGCGGTGACACAGGCTGCGCCGACCTATTCGAAGTTGCCACCAAGCTGAGCGCACGGAGGTGTCAACAATTTTAGACGCCGTTTACGTTAGTGGGTTCGTTGCATTGATCCCGAAGGGTCTATCCCATGTCACAGAAATGTTATGGCTCTACGATCGTGATTTTACCTCTGGAACTACAGAGCCTGCCTGCCCACAGGAGACTAGCTTCGCGGGAAAGGGGGAGGACGCCACAACCCACGACACCAACCATGTCAAGGCTGTGACTCGGCGCGAAAACCAAGTTAGCCGTACGCTACAATGTCATTCTTGATTATGGAATAACAAACATTTATACATCACAATGAGCTGCCACCACTACTAGGCAGGCGACGAACGAGGTAATTGTTCTAAGCAACGATAAACCTTTGGCTACCTTCTACAGCTACGACTCCGTCTCGAAGACTGTCTAGGGACAACCCTCGGCTCAGATTGCTCGGGTACAGCCACAGGCCTCATCCTACGTTCTGCAGTATGAGCTTGGCTGCCAACATGCTTCCACCAGGGCTCATGCGAGTACTCCTGGACCGGCTCATAGCGCGGGCTATGGCCACTCGGAGCCGGCCTAATATTAGGTGCAGCAGCGAGAAAACGAGCACTGCTGCTTGGAGACGGGTACCCCGTTTCGTCAACAGCGCTTTTGGTGACTTGAGCGAGAGACGCCGAACGAGTGCTTGTGGGAAGGAGAAACCCATCGCGGTATCGGACGACGCCGTAGCGGTCCACGGAGCGCCCCCTGTGTGCGGAGAAGTGGGCCTCTGGCTCCGGGTCGTCGGGACGCCGATGCTCGAGTGAAGGTGTGCTCTTGGGTGTGCTACGTATTTCTGTGGCTGGTTGTCTGTTATTAGCGAGATGGTGAGGTGTCCATCGCTTCGACCAGGGATCGGATGGTGGATGTCCTGTAGCGTTACTCCACTGTGGCTGGTTCAGCGAAGGGGTATGCCGTCCTTGCCTGGTGTTAGGTTGATCCCATACTGGATCAGGACTTGTGGTGCTTCTGAGGTGAGAAGAGGATGCTTGAAATGGATAAGCGCAACGATGCATGGCAAGTTCTGGGGATACGAGTGGTATATGTGCGCTAAGCGGAGACACTGTCGGGGAGAAACTGTTGGAGAGTATGCACCGTTCTGACCTATGACCTATAAGTAGCAAATAACTTTGTCAAAGCGTCGCGTATGTTAGCTGTCAAAGCGCAGGAAACAGCTAAGCAAAGAACATAGATTGTGGCGTCCCGAGGATCATTGTGATGCTGTAAAGATAGGGGCGTGGTCCAGGCGTCGGGTTGTCACAGCTATCGGCCGCTGACCCTACATCAAGGAGAAAGAACTTGTCCCTTTCAGTGTAAGGTGTGAGACTGTGGAATATTCTCCGCCCGTGGCTACAGTCATCCTGAATCATGCTCTTGTTGCTATTTTCTCCGGCAAGGAACAAGTCACAATGAGGCACTTAACAGCTTATGTATACATTGCTCGCGAATAGCAGACTTGACTACTATCCTACAAAATGAAGCGCCTAATTATTCAAACCTACAACAAACACCCACAAAATCAGTTGCTCCCAATCGGCTCCTGGCCACCGGACGCGGGTCCTACGACCTCCTGTTTGATCTTCGACAGACGCGAGATGGTGTCGTCGTCGAGTCCAAGATGCGCCTTGACAAGGTTCGGTGGGGTCAGCGCAAGCCACTGGTTGAGGGAGATGTCTTGAACACGGTCTGATGATACGGTCAACTGAGGACTGTCGAATAAATAACGTCATGGATTGCACGTACCGGACTTGAAGATCTCCAAGAACTTCAGGGTGGTGTTGCCGGTGTTTTCGATGTAGTGACCTTAGCCGGATTCCGGGATGAGGAAATGCTGTCAATCTTGTGCGTATGATATGCTTACCATAGGATGGAGGTATGTATGCAATATCTCCAGGCTGTATAAATAAAGATCAGCACCAGCGTTGAACTAAGATAGCTGCTTGCCGTACGTTGAAGTCGAATGTGTTGGCTTGTGCTGAAGCAGCGTACGCCGTGACGCGGGACTGGCCCGATATGAAGTACGTCCACTCAGGCTGGGTTGGATGCCAGTGCAGCTCTCTATATTTGCGAACGGTCAATGTCACTTGCGCCGTCAAGCGAATGTATCCGTACCTCATACCACCTACTTCGACTTCGACTTCAGCGGCAGCAATAGTCGTGGACGCATTGAAGGTTCGCGCATCCACGACCTTGAAACTACCGCCGGAGTGCCTCGTGGCATTGACCTGAGAAAGCGGGAAAGTGAACGGGGCCGGCGTGTTATTCGGAACAACCTCGTCTTCTGAAAGCGACTCAGGTGGGGGAGAAGCTGAGCTTAGGTCAGCGCGCGGTCAGCGATGGTGCGATGCCGTGAACCCACATGGGAAGATGTACAGCTCATGCGAAGGAATGTGGTCGAAGGCTGATATATCAACCTGGAAGTTCTTCGCGATGACCTCCTTCGGGACGTGTGCGAGCCAGTCCGTGAGTAAGAACGTGTCGTCTTCGGAGAAGGAGCCGCTGTCGAATACGAGCAAGAACTCGGCTCCGTGGGTGGAGTTGGTGGCCTGGATGCTGAAACGAAGACGTCAGTCAATCGGGCGCTCACATGCAGTGGCCAAAATAGCTCACCTGTGAGGAAATCCACGAGGGAAGTACCATAAATCCCCTTCGCCCTGTTTGATTCCGATGTGAGCACCTTGATTTGGGTGGACCGAGCTACGGTGCAGTGATGAGGCGTACCACATCGCCAACGTAGGATTCGCCTTTTGGAGTGACGACGCTAACGCGAAGATTTCCCTGGATGTGATGTCAGGAGATCATTCGATTCTTATAGGCGATCGGGCTACTTTCAGAACGTACGCCCATTCGGCGTCTTTGTGCCAGTGCATCTCGCTGCTCGTGTCGGTCAGAATTTGATCAAATGTGCATCCACCTGGCTCACCGGATGGCTCCTGGTTCCAGACGCATATCAACTCCAGCCAAGTCGGTTGCTACTGGCATCTGCTGAACTGCCAGATTACGTCAGGAAAAGCATGCATTCTTAGGGATCGATGGAGCTTACTGTTCTGCTGACGTGCCCATCCACCAGTTTGCAGCCGATTATGGCTCAGCGAGAAAGGCCACTTGAAGAAGGGACTGGAAATTCGTCGTCAGAACGCCGCAGTGTGACAAAGAAAATTAGCTCACATGTCGCCGTTGTCGGTGGTAGGTGGCGCAAGTGCATCCGGGTTCTGCAGATCTAGGACGACGTTTTGGGGTCCAACTACGCTTGAACCCAATGACCCGCGAACAGCTTCAGGTCCGTCGTTGACCACGATCCCCGTTATCTCCTTTGAGGAGGGATTTGTACCAGAATGCCAAAGAGGGTAGTTGGGGTCGTTGCTCGCATAGGGAACAGTTGGGGTACTATCGTATGCAGAGGAGATACCAGTCCCAGCAGGTGCAGAATATACCCGCAAAATGAATAGAAGAGAAGTTAAAAGCGTCGAAAATGTCATCTGTGGTCAATAGGGAGAAGAAACGCTGGGCCTGAGAGGAGAGTTGTCGAGCGCTTTATACCTCTGACCTGAGGATTCCGAGCCGACACCGGAAACTTTTTGGCAGAGATGCATGGCGGATACTTCGCTTTATTTCCGGCCGCATAAGTTTCGTGCACTCTGAAAATAGCGATTTGCCTGTTAGGTTTAGTACTCACCAACGGGTTCTTCGGTTACTTGATACTCACGTCTCCACATCATGTGTAAAGAGATGCGACGAGCTGAGAGAGATCCTGCTTGAAGTTTAAGCCAGTGATCATGCGAGCCCCGTTTCAATGTAGCTTGACTCGGAAGTCACAGAGGGGTGGATCTTCGGCACCGAGCCAGCGAAGATAAGGTTCCTCACGCAAAACGAGCATTGATCGGTCTCTAATGCTCCGGCAGCACATTGCCGGAAAGGATCATGTTCACCTTGAAAGTTAAACCAGGTAAGAAGGTTCGATAGAGGTGGGCTTCAGCATGCCTAGGATAATGCGCACCTGAACGGGCTACTGTTATCTCACGCTTGAGGTATCGTGAGGAGGAAAAACACCTGCCATAAATCCTCTTCTTTTTGACCGCTTTGAGGGACTGGAACGAGTAACCCGCTAATTGCAATGCCATAGCCATGTCAAGGAATCTAGAGGGTTACCCTTGTACCAAATGATCAGCGTTTCCACAAAAAGCTGGGCCAAAATGCTTGCGCCAACTCGAGGACTTATAGTGCTACAAGTGTTCTGTCGTAAGTGAAAGAGAGCTGACCGTTGGAATAGGGAGGTCCGGACCGCAGTCTCGAGGGTTGATGCATAGTTCAGGGCCGGTTTGGCCAACATACACAGTCAATGCATAGCTTGTTCGCAAGTTTTGTCGTCTCCAGGAATGCCCAATTCAACATTAAGAATTCGACTGGGAATCCCGCAGACGATTTATCCTAGACTTACCTCTCCGTAATATGCAAGCCTGTGCCTTGTTGAGTCTCGTCTCGTGAGTCGGAAAATCGGAGTTGTGTTTGTGACGTCGGTGTTTGGTTGAGTCGACAGCAGCAGTCAACTCCGCTCGGTGTTCTCCGCGCGGATGTTCTTGACTTCAACGTTTCAACCTTCGGGATGTTCAAACATTCAACGTCAACGGCCAACCTTGCAATATCCATGTTGAATGCCCCATCCCCGGATGGACACACATCTCATTTCCCCTGATCTGGCCTGTATTATCTTAGGTCTTCTCGCTGCCGAACTGTGGAGGTAAACGGGATCCGCAGCATCGGCACATCTGGCCCACATGGTTTATGTCTGCGTTCTGGCCAACATCCAATACTAACGGACATCCTCGGGTACTGTCTGGGGCTCCTTCCCTCTCTCTCTCCGCATCTTCTTCTCGAACAAGGATGCCCCGTGAGGGTATGTATCTTCGCCTCATTCTGCTGCTTGGCGTTAACTGCTCGGGTCTTGGCATCATGCTCAGAATAGCGCCTTTATCTCTGGCTTAAGCCCATCTGTCGACCGAAGAACCCAAGCGTGGCGAGGACCTATGGGGACCCGCGCAGCTCGATACTGACGATTAGAGTTGACCCTGATAAGAAGATTCGGATACCGCCGGCTCGACGGATCCGGATCGCATCATTCGCGGTTACAAAACCTTGACCATTGGCAAGCATGTCTCTCGTTGGGCTATACTACAGTTGCTGACATGGTAATGGCAGGATAAGCAAGTTTTATTGTCGTATAGGTGGCGTGATGTAGCGGGTGGAATTACCCAACGCTCGAGTAGACACTAATGTAAGATTCACTTCTCCTCATTGAATATGTTCCAAAAATATGTTGGCGCCAAACAGGTTGAGATATGCGCAAAAGAAATCATCGCCGTTATGGTGCCAATGTATATATTAGGACGGCACAAGGGTCACCTTGCGTGGCTTGCAAATCCTCGTCTTTGGCTCTTCACCTGACATTTATCGGTCTATTCGAGCGAGAGCATGTTGGGCACAGACCTCCTTCTTCATCGCATCTCTCAAAGCTTGCTCAAGCTTTTGCGTCATGTACGAGTAGACCTCGTGTTTCAACTGTTTGACACCATCCGCCGATTCATGACCGATGCGCGCCCACTAAAGCAACGTCATTGCAAGGTTTGTTGTCCAATTAAAGGGTCATACGTGATTGACCTTGGCATTTCAACTTTTCAGGATATTGATCCATACCGAGGGTGAGTGTGCCTGTATACGCCCAGCCAGGTACAGCTGTCGTCCTCATAGTTCCTAATTTTGCTGCTCTTAGCGGAGAGACGGCACCGTGGTTTTCATTGTGGCAGCCAACACCTTGCGCCCAGCCCTCTGTCGATTGCGGCGCGGCTCTGTGCGGGTGCTCGCAACAGAAGGGTCTGCACGTCATCGCACCTCCGCCGCTTGCGATTGTCAAGTCACTGGCTCGCACCAATGTTGGCGGCTCCTCGTGTGCATCAAGCTCTTGTTCAAGCCCGGTATTTCAACCAGCACAGGCGCGCACACTGCGTCAACCGTGCATGGACGTCCGTGGTGTGACAAACGATCGAAACCTCTACCGTCATTTCGATGGGACCCCCCTCGTCGTCGACGCCTACATGACGTTTGCTCAGGCCACCTTGAGTAGCAATACGGAGGGTCCAGGATGCCTGGCGGGACTCGCGAGTCCGTACGGCCTTACGGCGGAGCCGGGCTATCTTACCCCCGAAACCGAAAGTCTGGGCCCAACCGAAGCAAGGGGAGTGCATGTTTCATTATGGCCAATGTCTGCAAATGAAGTGGACCGTTATGGTCGGGAGGTTCGGTGCGTACACGTTCATCACGGTCTATTTGGATTCGTCGTAACCACATTCGGATGTGCCTTGTCTGATAACTTGATCCCCGCCTGCAGCGAAGAACACGCCGTGGACCATTGCATCCCACGCCTCACACTAGAATATCCCAACCACGAGTCAGAGTACGCCGGGGGAGCAGCCGGTGCAATGCCAAGGTCGTAGTCTCTCCTTCTTCTGGTCGGCGTTCACAGGCTTACATCGGCTCATCAGGACCCCTATTCCTTCGGGCTGGAAGCTATGCATCCACCCCCAAGGAAGTCCGTACTACTTTAATCCCGAGACGGTAAGCCGCGGTTTCGGTAATGATTTATGGGTGTTGATAGTACCTTCAGAGGACACTCACAGATGTCGACATCTGCCTGGGGGGCGTTCACGAAGATATTTTGTGGTATTCACACCATTTGTGGAGGATGCTCATGGATGCTCTTGAGTCGACAGCAGAAAGCACGGTGATTTTGAACGAGTGTCAGCTCGTCATTGAGCCGAAGATCGGCAGGGAAGGTCAGGTGATTGGTTGCTATTACTTCGTCAACACAAGAACACGATGTATCTTCTGGCTGAGCGACCATGATGCCTCATCGATACTGGAGGGTTGTGCTGGCGTGGCTCGAATGTCACATAAGAGTGAGGACAATAATTCTTGTTTTCTTCGCTGCCTGATCGTCGCCCTCTCAGAGCATGCTATCGCAGCGCAGTTTTGGCATGTCCAGTTTATTGTCTCCATTGTGTCTCATCATCTAACACCATCGACGCTATCAGGAAACACTGCGAATTGTTTCCTGAAGCGCTTACCATCGATTGCAACACACTAGACGAGGCTATGAACGTTTTGCTTCACGCGCACTGCGGTAATCCTTCTAAGACTGCTACCTTGGCATACACTCATCATGATAATCAGACCGTATCTCCTCGGGCCCCTCTCTAACGAAGATTGGATCCGACACTATGGACGTTTACCTGAGTATCCTAGGTAATCTGAAAGGTATATGATTTCTATGATTTATGCACTGCCCTCAATATTGACGGTACATCCGCCCAATAGTACTAGGAAGGTCTAGCCAATCTTCGCACGTTACTTCCACCGTCGGTTAGAACCTCCTTCTATCTTCTTTCCGCGACGTGCTCACTTCTGTCAAAGGCCGCATCATGTATACCATCAGTGCGTGTCCCGCTCCGCCAGAAGATTAATCGACTTACCACCGATCCGAGCAGCCTCCGACCATTTCCTAAATCATTACGGTCAACAAGAAGCACGACGTTGTTCGAGTCATGCCTCTTCCGGCTGGCATTATGAACAATCCCTCGGCATGGCGCTTGGTTCATGGCTACTTTTTCGCGCGCCGAACACGTACTACGTGAGATACCTCCACAAGATCTTCGCCGACGGAATCTCCAGCAAGCAGACATGGAACACGTTCAGCGCCAGGATCAACTCTGAGCTGCAGGAATTCAACTTGTTGGTGAGTTGGCCCGCTCTTTCTCCGCCAAACATTGAATCAAATGGGGTGTGCGATATCAAGGCAACCGTGTTGCTAAACGCGAACGTTGGCTTTCTCGCTATCCAGTCGGTCGACAATGGAGGCGGGCGATCGATGACGCAAATTGCAAGCTACTGGTCACTTATCGCGAGCATCGGCTCTATAGTTCTCGGTACATTTCTCGTTCGTTATCATCAGGCGCTCAACCACGTCGATGACGAGATGACGTCTCGCGCGGTTAGTGATCGGCTTCCCGTGTTACTTTCCCGCTGACGGATCACGATGTCATCTAGGCAAAGTTCTTAAGCCGTATGAGCGCCGAGAAACATGGACTGGAGAAGCTCGCTGTGATATACAGCCTTCCGTACGCTCTATTGATGTGGGGGTGCGTCCTTTATCCTTCTCTTCTCTTGTGATATTGTTACGTTATCCTAACAAGCGCACCGATGCTGGACATCGCACAGAATCGTGCTCTTCCTTGGAGCGTTCTCAATAGAGTGGTGTCAGCCTGGGGACATTCGCTCGCGCTCAGCGAATGCCGTCTTCCTTGGCATTACGTTCGTCATCGTCATGTGGGGCATCTGCGTGACCCATCTTGCGGCAGCAGATGACTCCGACTACCTCACTCGACTTTGTCTACGCTTGGCGCGCGTATGCAGCCTCCGCGGTGGCTTCAAGAGCGCAGTAAAATCAGAATTGAATATAAGGTTCAGTTGGCCAACCACTGCTGCTGATAGGGCAGTGGACAACGGAAGGTCAGTATAGGAGAGGAGTAATTACAGTATACCCGAGGACATCGTTGATCGGACTACTTTTTCTTGCGCATACCACACTTCGTAGACAGTTTGCATGTGTCTTTTTATGAGTTTCAATTATTCCGAGCGAAGGACCCCTGTATACCAGCTTACGAAAAGTCCTACGCTGGTATTATGTTGAAGAGAATGCAGTCTGCATGCTAGTAGACCCTTGATTACGATCTGTAGCATTCCAATTCAGGATCACTTGAGTCCATACAAGGATTATTATTGGGTAACGCCGCACTCCAGTGCACGGCAAAGCCCGTTACCGCGGATTTTTTCAAACCGGCCAATGAATTAATGAGGTATAAGTATCAAATCATGGCGCTCAGGCTCTCTATGGCCATGAACTGTGGACAAGGCATATTTTCCATAACTTTGGACGCGAGTTGAGTCTGAAGTCACGGCATACAATGTTCACCAGTCACTGGCGCGGCCACCAACAGAACACGTACATCGTAGCGAAGAAGGCTGAATAAACTAAAATTTAAATACAAGGACCAAGACATTTAAACCATACCGAATCTACTATCTTACACATCCCTATGAATTAAAACCTAGACAGCTGTTGAGAACCGAAGACGCCACACATGGGCGTGAAATTTGAATCAATCAACGCCGACTCCCCTGCATGCACATTCAAAAGTTGACATGACAAAACGTTGCTAAGATACACTCACTCAAGAACAATAATGGGTTGTGTAAAAATTATCTGGGTGCGCAGGTCACCTTCTGAAGCATTCAAGTTGCCATCCGTTGAAAACTGCAAGCAAGTGAAGGCTCGCCACATCCGAAATGACTTACGGGGCAGTGTTGCTACGCAGGGTGTTTGCGGATAAATCAATAGCATTGTCGCACAAAATGGCGCCGACAGGCACTATCTCGATCCTTAAGTATGTCGCAAGATTACTCGATATGACACTTTGAAAGAGGGATGGGTCTGAGTCCATCAGTAAAGATGAAAAATGCTTGTCGCGCCTTGTACAAGGTTGTGCAACCCTGCACAAGGCAACAATTTGACCGTAACGCCGAAATCGGCAAGGCAAGTCTATTGGCGCGGCAAGGTCGCTTCGGAGGAGCGGAGTTTACACGGACAAGTGCCTACAAGGCAAAGAAATTTACTTCGTTCGGTATTCCTAGACCATATTCCGGACCTGAAACATCATCTGAAGCTTGAGAATATCCGAATAGTACGTATCAGGTTGTTTTTACAATTCAATGTTGGGTTTTATGTTTCATGACGCCTTGTCACCTTGCCACAAGGTGACAAGGCTGGCAAGAAATTTGCGGTTTTACTGATGTCAGCTGCAGAGGCTGCAGTCCCATTAACGAAAACTAACATGGTGGTTGAGGACAGGAGATAGGAAAATGAGATTGTACACTATGCCGTAGATGACGTTCAGTAGTTGTTCAGTGCGAGCGCGAAGACGCCATAACAAGAGAAATGTCTTGGAAATGTCTCACAAAACAAGACCAGAGGCTGTACCATGTTAGGTCACATGACCTCGTTCAATTTTTCAATCGACCAGCCATCTGTCGTGCCGTTAGCAAGCCCCTCTAACCCAGTTACCTCTAGCGGTAACGGGAATCAAATGTGTTAGCTGGTCATCCTGAATGAATACACCTCAGGTGGACAACGTATGTGGCTCTCCGAGTGCTTGTACTCTTCATCAGACACATCTACACAGCATATTAAATGCTTCGTTTCTCTCCTTCGAGGTTATCACCCTCGGCGATCTTGACGCAGGGGTGAATCTGATTCACCTTGGGTTCATGTGTCTTGCTACGCCTAGAGGTGCGGCCCGGCAGATGACCGCGTCATCCGGCCCGGAAATTAGACGGAACTGCGCGAGCGACTCGACACATTCAGAGCAATCAGTCGAATGCCGATGTGGCGCGCGAGATTGCTGCCTGAAAGTTCGACCTAGGCCGGCGCAAAGGTCGCTTCGATGCTATCTTGCGCACATATGTATTCCTGGTATGAGAGAGACGCGAGCGGTACTCGTATCAGCTATTTCTTCAGCTAGTGATGCAATGGTATTATCACAAGAACGGCACACTCCTTCTCTTAGAGAGTGATGATTCATCGACATCTCCGAGGACTCATGGCCTGCCATCATATCCATAACTATTTATGAATAATTGTGATTCATAGCACTTTCCACTCCTTCATAGTCGGTGTTTCGTCTCAATTTCTGCTGTTAGAATATATACTATCAAAACTAAACAAAAACATTGTAGTAGGATGCGGCACTAGAAACACGTAAAATCGCCTCAGGTGGTAATACACATCTGTGAAATGGCATGTTCCGCTAAATGATAACACCAGCTAAGCAATACTGTCAAAATATAGATGTTCTATCATGCCGACAGGTTGAAGAGTAATAGATTTTAATTTACACTACAAGCTCGAGGAATCACACTACCCGATACATAAGTTAATCTCGAGGTACGACAGCGATACCCCATGACACCTCCTCAATGGTAAAAGCTTCAGGTCGCTGAGTTGGGGCTTCCAGGTCGTCTAGTTGGATGTCACTTGTAATTGACACAGCGGGAGCCCTCTCAGACGCTCTGTGTGCCACTTCTACTTTAGCAAAAAGTTTCGCCCACGTAGAGCGGAAAGGAGAACTCAAAGAAGAAAGCTTGCTAGCCCAGGTAGAAGGAGCAAGTTTTAGGCGAACTTGCAGTAATCTGAGGCCCACGACTCTCGTATTGTGTGAGCCGTAGAGAATGGAGAAAGTTCCATAGAAAACGAGGTAGAGCGTGACCGTAACTATCACTCCCAAAGAGATTATGTCGGATCGGTCGCCCGTTTGATATGCCTCGGTGATAAAAGCAACGGAGAAGAAGACGAGGCTGAGCCGCGTAAGCGATGCCATACATTAGGCACGTTCCGTTGCATCAACACAGGTGCTTACCTCCACATCAGAAGAGCATAAGGCAGACTATAAACTATGGCTAACTGTTCCAAACCGCGTTTATGAGAATGAATCTTCTTCAAAAATGTGGCCTGAGAATAGTGAATGCTCAGTGCCTATTGAGTAACTCATCGAGATAACTCACCACCGCTGCAACATCCTTATGGCCCTCGCTTTGGTGAAAACGGACAAGAAATGTACCAAGTAAGATACTCCCAACGCTTGCTGATAACGACCAATAGCTCGCTATTTGCGTGAACGACCTTTGTCCATTGTTGCCGTTGTCCACACTTTGAATTGCAAGAAATCCGACATTAGCATTTAATAATACCGTTGCCTTCAAGAACCAATATGTCACTGTCACTGGATACTTGGGAGGGTACATCGCTACTTACAAGAAGGTTGAAGTCCTGAAGTTGCATATTCAGATGTACAATGAACTCGTTCCATGTGTACCTATTGGCTATCTTGTCCAAATAGATGTCGTGGAGGGTGGTGACATAGGCCTTTGGCGCACGGAATAGAAGCCATGACACGAATGTCATCCACAACGACGGAGAATAGTCCCAGCCTGAAATCCACCAGTAGACATCTTCATCGTGGAGTCGTGCATTACTTTGCCCATAAAAGTTCATAAACTGGTTGTATGCTGATCACATATTGTCATTTCGGCCAATTACTACATGACAACTCACAACTTACTAATATTATGCATGATACGGCCTTGAGATTTAAGCCGATTGTTGGAGTTGAGGATAGCCTCTAACATATATGGTCAATGGCATACTCACCGACTACACATACGGCATGCATTCCCCTCGTAGTCATATCTAGGGGGACAATTTATGCCGCCAATGTCAAAGAATGAATAAGCCATGCCGTACCTTGAAGATTAGCAACTACAGACAAATACGTGTCCACTTCGCTAATGCTGATGAGGTGTCCCGCAGTGTTTGCCGAGGTATAATCTTGTTTTTATTTTCATTGTTCAATGGTGGACTTCACCCAAAAACGATGAAACTCACTGCACTTGGCGTAAAGTATGATATTCTTGATACCATCCAAGAGTTCGTTGTTAACCACGCAACCTACGGGATACATCATACAATGCTTCCTATGGAACATAGCCATTAAGACCTGTTTTGACTCAGCTACTGATCACGGCGTGATACATACCAGTAATGCGCTGCGATACCAAATTCTGGGACGTATTTTAGCTAGCTTTGAAACGATATAGATAGTGCACCAACTCTTGTGGGACATATGTGAGACGCCCTCGAGGTTAAACAGCGTAAAGTTAACCTCGTGTAACCAAAAAATGCTTTGTCCTTCGTGATTGACGAAATAGTATCGAATGATAACCCTGATGTCATCTTGTATACTTTCCACCTGGGGCTCAATCACGAGCACGGAGTGTTGCTCTAAAGCGTCCCTTTGCCGTTTGTCCAAATGCTTACTAACACCAAGAACCTCCTCGAGTTTCTCGTAAAGATATTCCGCATACCATTCTACGTCTTCTTGAATGTGTTCATCACATATGTTAACGTCCGTAAAAACCCTCTGAAAGGTACATCTCTTTTCATAACAGGGCATCCAATAGTAACGTTCCCTCTCACCATTTCCTGATGGTAGTAAAATATTGCACCTTCGGGATGATGAACCATCTGCCAGCCATTTGGGATAGGGTTCCTTGCAACGAATTAGCCGAACACACCTGCGTCAATATTCATGTACGTACTCTGGCTCGCTTTGATACGCTGATTCCGAGTCGTGGTCAGGAAAAAACGCTGTTGCTGTTGGGATTGTGTTGTCCGAGTTCGAACTTACAATGAATAAATTAAGTCCGAGCAAAGCAGCATTGACGAACATGGAAATACCGGAAAGGCGGTCGAAGATACCGTCTCCAGCGAGAAGCCAGCATATTAGGTGCGTCCTCGTAGCTATTCTCGTTGAGATACATTTACTGGCCTACAATAGTGAGAGATCATACCTAAGGCTGTTGTTTCGATTATATCGCTGAAGTTCGATGGGTAACATAGGAGTGACAGGAACATCATATCCAACGGATCCATCATCGGGTCCAGCGACATCTGGTTCTCTGTGAAGCGAGGACCGATCAGCGCTATTACTACCATGTGGCCGTCTTCGGTCACTCAGGTTAGTTCCCGCCTGGGAGCGTGGGCTTGAACGCCTTGGCGATTGAGACAAAAATGATCCGTTCCCGCCAGATACATGAACTCGTTAGATGGAAAGCTGGCAGCTCAGTGGTCTCTCAAAGCCTACCTTTCAGCCTGGGATGGACCAGGAAGTGCCATAGCAGCTACAGTGCCCTGGCTCTCCGAAACTGATGCTGGTGCATCGCTTTGCGGCTCTCGTGGTGCGCCTTTGATACGGGACAAGAAGAAGATTAACGCCAGTTGTTTTCTGATCAGCCCGCCGAGAGCTGTAGAGTATTTGGTGAGGTATCGCTTCAGGAAGGAGACAATTTCCTGGATCATAGTAGCAAGACGTTTGACCCGAGAAGATTGACTCTGAGTACGCCAGATGATCGATTAAGATCGATGAGGCCAAGGGAGGAGGAGGAAGCGTGATGCGTACTAGTACTACTATAATATCTTGCTCGTGACTACATTCTTGCGGAGCCATTTAAAGACCGCCATGTCCAATCTTAGAACACCGTCGTGGACCGCCAGGATACAGTGCGCACGCAAACTAGTAGGAGCATATAGCTTTCAAACGGAGATCATGATCACATTACGTCTTGCATACGTCTATAATATGCACTCGAGGTTTCGCGGTAAAAACGCGTCCGTTCAATTCTGGTCTCTTAGTGCCCGTGTGTAATTGCTCAGTGCGTGACTAGCCTTCTTCCACTGCAATGCCTCTGAAGGTAATAGTGCTAAGAGAGAGAACATAGTACACAGTACATTCGAGAAACAGTCAGTGAAATGTGCTCAATGACAGGAACACCGGTTCCCACTATGTCGTCAACAATATTAAGTCAGTCCTTTGCTTGACCGTACGATATACTGCAATCTCTCCTCGAAGTTGGGGCTGGGCTCAGCCGCACACTACCGTCGACAAAATCTGTCTCCCGTCCTCGCACGCCATTCCACCACACCTTGGCCGGGACCGCGCGGCGATTTTGCTCCTGGAGCATGTCAATCCCCAGAACGGCGCCATCCGCGCAGCGCACGAGCACGCTGCGCGAGTGCGGGTCGTAAGCGGCGACACCGGGCAAAGGCGAAATCTCCAGAATACCCCTGTCAGAGTCGTGTCGGCATAGCCCCGAGAGCTGTAAAGATAGCCCAGAGGGCGTGTACACTGTCAGCGGCTTCTGGTGTGATATGCCACGGTCGAGGCGGATGATCTGGTCGCACGACATGAGAGAGAAGTCGACGAGCGCGTCTTGTGCTGTTATGCTTGGTGCGCGTGGGGAGGAGGCGGAGGTCACTGGGTCTTGTGGGGTAGATTTGGCCTAGAATGAGTTCTAAGGTTAAGGAGATGGATGAGCAGACGAAAGGCGTACGGTTCCAGCTAGCATGTGCCTAAGAACATCGACGAGCAGCTTGCCGCCCCGCTCAGCGAGGTCGTCGCGCAGAGTGGGGAATGTTGACTCTGGACGCACGTCCTTTGAGCATGATCAGCAGTCGGCCATAACTGGAGAAGGGTGGGGTCGACGTACCATTTCCTCCTGGGCCCAGATTCCGCCTGCATCAATGCCCTTCTTACGCTCCATCATATCGATAATCGACACGCCTCCGCGCGTGTCGCCGTTCATGATCGTGTATTGGATGGGAGACGCGCCGCGGTACAACGGGAGAAGCGATGGATGCACGTTCAGTGCGCGGCCGGGTGCGAAGGCACGTAAGAGGGGAGCGGGGAGGATGCGTCCGAAGGAGGCCGTGATGAGCAAGTGGTGCCGTGCAGGGGATGTCGGGGGTGTAGATGAACTGGAGGCATCGGAAGAAGGAAGGGTGTGGTATTTGGAGAAGGGTGGCGGAAGCTAAATACGCGTGAGGCCAACGAACGGAGGGTGAATAGAACAATGGTCATACCTGCCACGTTCTGAATGCGGGCTTGGAGTGCGGGATGGTGTGCACAGGCAGCGACAGTGATTCGGCGAGGAGCTTCAAGGGTGCTACATAAGGCAGAATGTTTAAACAGGTTGTAGCAGAGGTAAAGGGGATACTCACATACCGACACGATAGAACCTCTCCTCCCTGTCTTCGAGTCCGGGTTCGTCACGATTGAGATGTGTTCCCATACATCTATGGGAAGGACGATTTGTCAATCATTATGTTCAAAGATACAAAGCAGTAGGGTTACCCGGACCAGCATGAAGCTGTGACAAGACCGTACACGAAAACTCGTCGCGGCCGAAGAAGAGGATGTCAAACGGTTGGGTGTTATGAGCAGGAGCAGACGTCGAGCTACATCTTGGTGAAGGGAGAACGTGGTCTGTGAATCGGAATGTCCGCTGAAAAGAAGGCCGGACGTTTCTGCGTGTGTAGCTAGTAGCTGGGGTGTGAAGGTGCTGGGACCGAAGCATGTCAGAGAGACGAGTGACGCGCGACAAGTCATGTCGGAGTTTGCGGGGTCCACAAGAACAAAACGCGTCGCGTCACGAATAGGAGGCACTCAGACTCTGGCCATATATATAACCATCGCCTTTTGCTCATCTCCAAACTATGCACCATGTTTTAACGAATCTCGAAGTGCTGCACAAGATCTTCAGCAGCCTCCAAGATGAAAAAGGCAAAGAATTCGGAGAGCATACTATTACGCGTCGTTCAACTCTAGCACGCTTAGCGAGGACCTGTCGCACCTTTCAGGAGCCCGCGTTGGATACACTCTGGGAGCACTTGACCTCGGCGGATCCTCTTCTGAAGCTCCTACCAGAAAAGTCCATTAGCTATCGCCCGTGGGTGAGTCATCGCTATACTACGACATGGGTGTGGCTCGCTAATGGCATTCTCCCTGTCGTTAGCTGCTCGCAAACGAACATGTGAGCCCCCCACATCTTGATCTTGGTCGCGGAAAAGAATAAAGCCTGTAATCATTCATCAGAGAAACAAAGGTGCCGAGGCGTTTTTGCAGGGTGCGGGCAGGGTGCTTGTCCGAGCCGATTGGGACCTCTTCAAAACGTACGCAAGACGAGTTCGCATACTTGGTCCTTTCAAGTCATACACCGGGGTTTTCTTCTATAATTTAGAGCTAGCGCCACACGATATGCTTCCTCTCCTTCCAAACCTCAAGATTCTTGACTGGAGAGGGTTTAATGACCACTCAATTCCCCTTCAGTACCTCGGGCTCTTCCTGTCGCCAACTCTGAAGCGCCTTCGTATAGAGCTCTCCACGTCAACAAAACATGAAGAACTCTACGCTCTTTCCATAGCCCCTGTTTCTTGCCCAAAGATTAGAGACCTAGGTTTCTCCGGATACGAATTCATTCGCGACTTCGGGGCATCGAGGAGCACCTATTACTCCTCTCAGATACTCTGCCAATGGTCCAACTTGAGCAATGCTGTCTTCGACAGCGTGACAGATGATGCTCTGGTCCATCTAGCTCAAATGCAAACTCTCGTCTCCTTAAAAGTCGATTTGGATAAAATTGACTCCCTAGATGGTGTACGGTCGCGCGTGACCGGTACGGCTTTCCCCTCGTTAACATCCTGCAGCCTACGATGTGTGGACGTATACCTTTCAATCGAGTTTGTCACCATAATGCAACTCTCCCCCGTAGAGTTAACCCTTAACTCGCCTGTCCTCGACGAATCTTCTCCCATCGAGGAACTCTTCACCACGCTTTCTACACATCCTTCCCGGCGCGAACTGGAGAAGGTCAACATTCATTGGACTAAAGTACAATTCAATCTCCCGGAGCTCAAAGCGCCCCGTGATCCTCCTGAAGAGTGCTTGACCATCATGCGTCTGCGACCCCTTTTCAGCTTCCGCCAACTCCGCGTGCTCTCCATAAACATGCCACTCGAAATCACCCTCGACGACTTGGACATCATCGAACTTGCACATGCCTTCCCAGCTCTCGAAGAGCTATCGCTTAACGGTGGCGATAACCTAACCGTGGACCCACTGGGCCCATGGTATGTACAGGCATTGGATGATTTTTCGCGGCAGCGCTTCTGTGCTGGGTGGCTCGTAAAGCCTCGTGTCACATTTCGCGGACTGTACGCCCTCGTCGAGAGCTGTCCCCGCCTTCGCGGTCTCGGAATCTCGTTCGACGCGGAACAGGCTGCAGACGAGGTGCCAAATGAAGTTCCGTCCCCCAACAGGGACATCCAGTATCTGCCCGTGGGCAACTCCGCGTGCGGGGATCCCGAGGGTGTAGCGAGCCGCCTTCGCTCTATCTTTCCCAATGTCTCCCGGATAATGACCCGCTGGTCACCTTGGCAGCGTCAGCTCGATAACAGTCGGAAGCAGCAGAAAGCGACGAGCGACCGGTGGGAAGAGGTAGGACGCCTCCTGAAGGAACCTCGGGAAGCGGGCAAAGCACCTTAACCGTATTTCCTGTGGTCGCCTATGCGCTGGTCCTAAAAACGACGTAATCTAGCCACCTACAGAAAAACTTCGGTATAGTAAATCAGAATAAACGGATATTGTGAATTGCCCGCAAGCGTTGTGCGCCAGTGTGAACATCTTATTACCGACAATCTAGATCTCGGGGTAAGTCGTGGCCCGAGCAGAGGAGAGACACTGTTGCAGCGAATGACGTGAAGTTGCGAAGACGTGCGTAAAGCTGGAGGGTGGAGGGGTACTTGTACGGGAAAGGTTTACTGGGCGGGCTGTGGTAACTATTACACCTTTTGCCTCTCAAAGCTCGCGAACGACTTACTCGATACGCCTCACCTCCTCCACTCCACCACACTTTGATCTTGAACCAACATGCCGAGGTTATCATGAGGGTCTTTGCAGTGAGCCAGCGATAACTTTTGCAGCGCATGTCCATTGGCCGCCCGTGTCGCCAGGACTCTTCGCAATACTGTACCATTACGACCTTAAGTTCACGGTGGCGTGGGAAGTTATTAAATTAAATTCCGCCTGTCCACCCCAACAAGTTCAACGGGTAGGTGGCCTGGTGGACATTGTTCGTGTTCTGGAACAGAAAACGTTGAATATTGCACTATTTCAGGTCAAACGATCCTCTCAACCTTATCCCGAAGTGAGAATATCATTACGAGGGATATCAGTTAATGAGAACATTTATGAGTGTTATTTGTATATTTATTCTATTTTTGGTATGATTTTGTTGTTTGCACGTCTGTCCACCTCTCTAAGTTCGGATGGGTTGACCGAGGGTGGACTGTCCACCCTAACTAAGTTCAGTTCGAGCCCCGGGTGGACAGGGGACGAACTTAAGGTCGTAATGGTACAGTAGCCCGAAAGATGCGTACCCGCGTTCGGGGATTTGGGCGTTGGGATCCACCCAGTCTAGATTTAGCATCGTCATATGCGTGAGGTATAGCTGTTGGAGCTGTGGTAACGGGTAAATTTTCTTCTGTGCGGTGTCAGCGGTGTCCTCGCCACCTAGCGGCACCAGAGAGATAGAAAACAAGCAGAAAGCAAGAGAGTGCGGGAAGTTCCATGTAAGTAGTTTCAAGGACGGCAGCTCGGTCCATATGTCACGCCAGTGACGTTGATCAATGAAATCCAGTCCTTGAATTTGCAGGAACTCGATGTGCTGTAAACACAGCCCCCTTACAATCGACGTGACAACGCGAGACCTAGTTTGATTATTGTTGAACTCGACCATGAGTTGAAGCTGAGGATCTAGAAATTGACCGGGTCTTGATCTTGGGACGGCCAAAGCGGTTAGCTCACGTGTTTGGTCTGCTGTCAAGTGCAGGCCCCAAGAAGTTCGAAAACGTAGTGATTCTGACTGAGTAGAAGCGGATCGATACTGGCTCTCCAACGAATATGCCAATGCAGCAGAGAGGTCGGTGCCGTCCTCAACTGGGGAGCATTTCAGGAAGAGCTTGACTGTAGTCGGTACAGATAGATGGCTCAACAAGTTGAGGCACTGGGCGCCACGACCAATAAGCACTAATCCACAGAGTTGAGACAAAGCTACGCGATGGGCGGATGAAGGTGTATGCCCGGAGTCAACCTTGGTTAAGCAGCTCAACACAAGCGTTTGGAGACGTTGTAGTCTGCTTAAAGTGGCAGCAAGCTCTGAGAGAGTGGGTTGGCTGTGCGAGTCGAGGGAGAGGAACGTCAGGTTCTTGAAGCATGGAGAAGGACCCCACGAAGGCAAGCTACATCCCTTAAGAGCTAGTGTTCTTAGCCTCGACGCTGTCTCCGTCCAATGCATCGGTATCGCAAGTTTTTGGGCGCGGGTATCCTCGATGACTAAGACTTCGAGACAAGAGGCTAGCTGAGTTGCCATCTGACTGATCAGAGGGTCAGGTCGTGCATCGCCGCTCAACTGCGGGCGCGGCTCGCGGCAGCGAGAGAGCCACTCGTATTCTTGTAGGGCTTTCCACCAGCTAGAGTTGGTGGACGAGAGCCGTAGCACTAGAAGTGCACTCTTGCAGCGATTGAGCATCTTGCGCACTTCAGTCACCCCGGGTAAAGACCCCTTTAAGCCACGTTTTCTCCACCCAAATTCTGTCCCTGTAAGGGGCCTACCCTGCTTGATCATCCTGCGCCTGCTTGATTGATCCTTGCTGCCGGGCAGGTCGTCCCAAAAAGTACCCTTGTGAGCTAATTTCTGGCAGGACTGTTCTCAGCTAATTTGGATATCCGGGTACATTATCCAACGGGTGGCGGGATATCCTGCAACGTTCCCCACATGTACACCTGGATATCCAGACCATCCATACACCCCTGTGCTCTGAATATCCAGGGAGCTTGGACATCCCACGCCCCCTACAGGGTGTCAGGGGTCCCAGCCCTCGTCTTTTTTTAAATTATTTTAGCTGTACCCTTACTATGGGAATGATTTAGTTACTGTCTGTAAAGGTCTTGTACGACATATTGTTATATATAAATTAATGGGAGATGAGTAGTGTAACATTCCTGAATACTACTACTAAGGCATACATGGTATATAGCAGCCTCATGTATATGTTTCATTTCAATGTTCAAACCCATTATGTTTAAGGTCCCTCAGTTTGCGACATCCAACCTGTTGTCTCAAGTATGTGATATGGAGACTTCACATATGTTCCTGAGGCTAATCTCCGTATTCTGCACCCCATCGATGGTGTGTACACAATGTATATCAAAGCTTGTCAGCCATGCTGAATTAGACTAGGGATATCCTACAGATCATGTTCTGGCTGTGTTTGGTCTTCCTGGAGGCCCGACCACCATATGCACTCATTTATGTACGGCGATGAGTAATACTACACCTGTCTTTCATAAGTACTCAAGTCGGTATATTACTATAGTTCTGCGCGAGCATCTCGATGACAAGACGGCAAGATGGTGGACTTGTCACTCTTGGCCCTCTGGTAGCTTGGTGAACCAAGCTACAAGTCTGACAAGGTGGCGAAAGTCGACACAGAAGGTCACAATCTTCCTGATGTGCTCCGAGTCTTACAGAAGATATAGCAGCTGCTTAGAGGATTTTCGAGTTTTAGCATTATTTGGTTTTATTGGCATATTTTAAGGGATTTTTTCAACATTTTACAGTGTGTCCTCCCATCTAAGTTCGAAGGCTGACTTTTTGGGGGACTGTCCACCCTCCGTAAGTTCGGTTCATGAGGGGGGGTGGACAGGGGACCGAACCTAAGGTCAAAAAAGTACAGTAATAAGGGAAAGGAAACATCAGTGCCCGAGCTGCGGCAAAATGTTTGATCACTCGAGCAGTCTTGCAGTGCACATAAACACTCACACGGGTTCTAAACGTGAGTTGTCCATTGCTCACTTTACCACTCCAAAAGAGTCACACCAGGCATAGGACCAGCCAGCCCATTCTCTTTCCTGTACTTCCCAGCTCCTTGTGGCTGAAACTTGCCAACAGCCTTCACATGCCTGGTCCCCAATTGCGGCAAGCGCTTTGCCACTCAGTCCAACGCGACCCGGCACCCCCAACCGCACGACACAATGCCAAGCACCAACACCCGCGACCAAGCGCCCGCCGTGAACTTCGATGCACCAGTCGTCTCGCACGACATGCAGACAACTGCGCCCCAGCCCGCAAGCTATGAGTGGGTGCAACCGTACAGCTCGATCGTGGATCTGGGTCCACGTGAGTCAGCTCCACTGCAAGAGCCATCGGGGGCGCCGGAACACGATGTGGTGGGACCATCGGCAAGGCTTCAGATTCCACGTCGCCAGTACGAGCAGGAGGAGAGCGACAAAGAAGAGGGAGGTGAGAGAGATTTTATGGGCGATGGATAAAACGTGACATACCCATCCTGGGTAGGATATATATGGAGTTTGGTGACGTAGTTATAGAGAGAAGATGGAGCTGGCGTTGTGTACATAAGGGATGCGGGAGTTGAACTGCAAGGGCACCACGGGCCAATAGAACAACTTTCACAATTATAAGCAGAGTTTGGAGCCGGTCGAAGTGGGCTGGGCTTACCTCTTGTATAAATTACGTCGTCAGACTGCGAGAGAGGCAAAAGTGACGTCAATAGGCCTCAAGGCGGCCAGCCTACTGAAAATGAGGGTTAGGATGGTCATGGTCATGGGCCAAGGTCAATCAGAGGAGCATATATGCAGCATCCACTTCCCCCAGCTATTTGACGACTAGGCAAGCTTTCACCACAGGCTAAGTTTGACGCCACGCAGCAACTGCCTCTGCGCCTCACCAATGGGCCGTTGTCGTGGTCTGGATTATGAGAAGAGGTGTGTTTCTTTTGGGAAAGTGATCCAAAGGTGATGGTGCTCACAGTTTCAGCATTCACCGGATGGGCTCACGAGCTCTACGTCAGCCCCAGCATTCGCGGCTGAATCTGGCCCACAGCTCTGTCTTCCTCTAGGTGAGATAGATGTAGAAATTCGAGGTCGCACAGGCTCGCGACGACGCACAGCGCGTTTGTCCCGGGCAAGAGGAGGGTGCCCAAAGGGGAATCGCGTGAAGATTTCAACTATCTACGACATCAGCAAAAAATGAGCGTGACAATTGCTGTGATTGGGTGTAAAATCCTATGTTAATCTATTACCACATAGGCCTGTAATTACCTACGATTTTTAAGGGGGGGTCAACACTTGCTGCAAATTTCCGGCAAATATCTCTAGTACACATGCAATATCAGCCAATTTGTTTCGAGTTTTATAAGCAAATAACCCCTTATTGGCAACAAATGCAACTTATTATCACACCATTGTTAAAATAGAGGGGGGTCGAAACAATCACATTGGCATTGTAAATATTCTACTGGATATAAGAATCAACTACACTTTGTCTTCAGACTCGGGCCCTGTAAATGTACTTGATGCCCTCGACCGGCTACAATGACGTGAAATGGCAGCAGCAAACTCAGCATCTGCAAGGGGGTTGGATGCGGCAGGGCCATCGTTGTCCTCATCAGAATTGGGAGGAATACCCGCATGGACACTGAACGTGAACAAATATTAATATAGACAAGATGGGAAAAGCAAAAGAGATACGAACCGTGCACCTCTGAGGAGGTTGTTCTTGATGTCGTCGAAAATGTCCGATTGGGCGTCCTTTGCAACACGGTCAAACTTGGCCATGTTGTCAATGTGGGCCTGTAGGTGCTTGCCGTACTCATGACGGTCGAATTGGATGGTCTGGCGCTTGCCGTCGACACGCCACTCATCAATCCGGCACTGTATCTAAGAGGATACAGTCAGCAAAGCCCAGGAAATGTAATTGAGTCACTCACCGCAGTCCACAGAAGAGCCAACAGGGGGGTTGAAAGCGGGCTGAACATCTTCCGATACTTGACCCCCGTGTCGCGGATATTAGTGAAGAATGCACTGTTGAGTGCTTTTTGGAGGATGGGATGCTCGTAGAGCCCCTCGCGCTCGGAGTATGTCACTGCCGAGTTAATGTTCTATATGCAGCATTAACAATAGTGACCAGGGCAATGCATTAGTACGTACCTCGTAACACATGCCGAACCTGTCAACAAGACGATTGGCAAGTGCTTTGTTGGCGACATGGATCCTCGTGTCGAAGTCAGAATCGACAAAGTGGTAATAGGTGTCGACGTGGCCCGCAATCGCAGTTTTGGCATCACCTGTGGTCATAGATATACGGCGACGCATCTAGATAATGAGAAATATTAGTAAGAAGCGCCAAAGACACCTGAACGTACTTACAATGGCCAATATATCATAATCGTAAGTAATGTTTGACGCAAACTCATGACGAGCAGCCAGCCACGCCTCTTTTGCCCACGAGGTAAGGGCAAGATCATCCGCCCAGATGCCCCGTGTCAAGGCAAGGGCCAAGAAATGAGAGGTAGCCCACGTGAAGAGCGTCTTGACAGGTGGTATGTAGTCGGAGATGTTTGTACTCTTGGTGTCGAAGTTCTGAACCTTCCTCGGCAGGATGAGGTCGGGGTTGTCATCGTCTAATAGGTTGGCTCCATTGTCGGGTTCTTCGGGGTCTTGTGACAATGCCAATGGGACTTGTGCAGCCACAGAACGAGTACTGGCAGTGGCAGATGGACGAGCAGTGGCAGCGGCATGCACAACATGAGAGTTAACTATGACAGTGATAAGCGGGCGGGTGTCGGGGGCAGAACACATGGCTGGGACATTGCTCACCTAATTCTGCATGCATGCGGCGACGTTGAGGATGGACATCAACATCATCTTCTTTGTTGGACATGACAACTCTCAATCCACGTTTTACGCCTTGTGAACAGAATTAGATAGCACAGAGTCAAGGTGAACACAGAGCCAACGTACCCACTGCAGAGGTTCGTGCACCATCATGAGCAAGAGGTTCATCTCGGCCACCCTCAACATCGGAGTAGTCGGCCGCATCCATGTCAGAGTCAACGTCTTGGGTGGCCGGGTGTCGGTGTAGGGTGGTTGTACAAGGCATTGCATTGCCTTGACCAATATGCTGAGTATAACGTTAGTATAGCACTCTGGATAATCATAAGGGTCACTTACATGCAGCGGCGGCGGTGATGGGAACCGGCTAGTGCGAGCTGTGAGATTGTAAGGGGCAGCAGGTGCACAGGTGCTAGTGGCACTTTTCTTCGGCAAGTGAATGTCCTGGCTTTTAAACTATGCAAATATATCGTATAAGATAATCAGTGAAATTTTATTGGTATGTCAAAGATACCACTCACGCTACTTGCACGCAGCTGGTTATCTACACCAAACAAGTTAGGTTGCATGCTCGTATCTATTTATTGGGAGAACGTACTAAGTGTGCCGACAGATGACACCCTTGCAGAGGATCGCTGCTCGCTTTGGGCTGCGACTTTTTCCTGACGACGAGTCTCCTGGCGTTGACGCTCATCATCTGCCATGTTCTTAGTCAAGTGGATTCAGTTCAGAAAGCTCGTAGTCTTACCTTCCCACTGGGCTCGCTCTGTTTTCTTGCGGTTGCGAGGGGGGAGAGCGTCGTGCTCTCCTTCGTCATCAAACTCCATGTCTGAAGTATAATCATGAGTAGAATACTAATGTGAGGGCAATGATACTGGTACTTACGACGAGTGGAGATTCTGGTGGCCATGGCACTTGCGACTGTCGAGGAGAAAATTTTCAGAGCACGAGAGGTGGTGAGATGAGACAAGGAGAATTCCGGCAGAGTATGAGCTTGTATCGATGGGCGCCAAACAAACCACGCACACAGACCGTGCATGCGGGAGCAGAGGCTAGGGGCGCAAACGACCAAGTGTTAGCACCCAGCCGCTACTCTAACAAGCTATTTGCCTACCTTGTTCCTGACATGGAGGCCAACATGAAGCCATCTACATCCAAACCTCCCCCCGAATACTGCCCCTTTTGCCTTGCAGGGCCGTTCGCCTCTGAGAAAGCGATGGGAGTCCACATCTCGAAGAAACGTAGCTGTCGTGAAGAACGGGACAATGCCAGGCGCAAGACTAATGCTGGGACTACATCATATCCGTTAACACCACCACCCTCTGAACCGATCCAATCTTTTGACGTACCACTCAATGACATTATCATGGGGGGCGATACCGAGATGCTCGACCTTGATGAGCCATCGCACCGCGTGGGCAATGATGATATGCGTGCCAGCGTGGATGACGTTGAAGATGAGCTTCACATTTGCGAGCGCTTTATCCGAACTTACCCTGGAATTGTTGCGTCGGAGTTGGGCATGGCGCACACAATGTTCGACAAGCTCCGAGATGAGCAGCTTGCCCTTGGTTTGGACCCCTGGGCTCCCTTCGACGATGGTTGCGAGTGGGCTCTTGCGCGATGGCTGGTCACAAACGTGGGGAAGACTGCTATCGAGGAGTTTCTAAAGTTACCAATAGTGAGTACTTGAGTGCTCGCGCATGCGACTGGACATAAGATCCGAAGCTCACCTTTGTGCAGGTGCGTCAACGCCTTGGGACATCATATCACAGTGCATATACACTGTTCAAGAAGGTTGATGCCCTACCCCATAGTGCCGACTGGCATCTGAAGAACATCGAGGTCAGCGGAAATGTGGCTGGTAAGGATGGAAAGCCAATGAAAGAGAACCTCGAACTATGGTTTCGTAACCCTGTGGACTGCATCAGAGACCTTTTTGGGAACCCGCAGTTTGCAGAGTCGATGGTGTATGCGCCGGAGCAGGTTTTTGACGACGACAACGGGAAGATGCAACAATATGAGGAAATGTGGACAGGCGATTGGTGGTGGGAAACGCAGGTACGTCAGCCTTTGTATATATATGCCCATCCAAACACGCACCTGATGCAAAGAACTCCTTCTTAGGGCCGATTACCGGAAGGTGCTGTGGTTGCACCGGTGATTCTAGCGTCCGACAAGACCGCTTTGTCCATGTTCTCGGGTAATAAGACTGCATGGCCGGTGTACCTCACAGTTGGAAATATATTGAAGGCCATTTGCCGCCAGCCATCAAAGTGTGCGACCATTCTCATTGGTTACATCCCCGTCACAAAGTTGGAGTGCTTCTCCGAGGACATCAGGTCTGAGGAGGGGTACCGTCTATTCCACTACTGTATGGACTCCATTCTCGATGCTCTTAAAGACGCTGGTGCAAACGGCGTGCCTATGACCTGCCCAGATTGTGTAATCCGACAGATCTACCCCATCCTCGCTGCGTACGTAGCAGATCACCCTGAGCAGTGTTTAATTGCCTGCTGTAAGGAGAACCGTTGCCCAAAGTGCTTGGTCGGCCGTGATGATCGTGGCAGTCACCGCCAATCTGCGCCAAGGACTACAAATTCGTTTCTATCGAAGGTGAAGAAGGTCGACGCTGGTCAAATGCGGATACAGGACTTTGAGAATGATCATGGGCTGCGATGGGTCCATGACCCTTTCTGGGCAAAACTTCCCCATGCCAACATCTTTGCTTGTCTAACACCCAATATCCTCCACCAGCTGCATAAGGGTATGTTTAAAGACCATCTCATGACATGGTGTCTTCATGCAAATCTCTTGGGCAAAGACGGACTTGACGGGCGGTACCGTACAATGACCCCTTTCAACGATCTCCGTCACTTCAAGAAGGGAGTCTCCGTGGTTTCCCAGTGGACTGGTACCGAACACAAGGAAATGGAACGTACATTTATAGGTGCTCTCTCAGGCCTTGGTCTGGACTCCGAGGTTATCGCCGCTGCTAAAGCCTTACTTGATTTCATCTTTCTGTCACAGTACGAGTCCCATACAACCGATACTTTGGCAGCAATGACCAAAGCACTCCGCGATTTTCACAAACACAAGGACGTGTTCATGCGCCTCGACATCAGGACAGGTTTCAACATACCGAAGCTCCATTCTATGTTACACTATATCGACTCTATCAGACTGTTCGGCAGTGCCGACAGATTCAATACAGAGTCCCCTGAACATCTGCACATTGACTTTGCGAAGCGCGCTTACAGGGCTAGTAACAAGCGCAATTACCTTATTCAGATGACCATATGGCTTCAACGACAAGAAGCCCTCCTCATGCGAGCGTCGTACCTGGAATGGCTTGGTAGCCGCGAGCCCACAGGTGCTGACAACAACGAGGACAACAATCCAGAAGACCCAGAGCTCGCCGACTCGGAAACACGGCTCTCGCTTGCAGACAAGCCCGATGACGCAGACGCCGTCCCCTCTCTCGAAACCGAGCTCAACGCGACAGATGGTGATTTGGCCAAGCGTCTGTCTCGCTTCACCCTGTTGAACATGGTCGGTTCACGTGGATATTACCTCCCACGCAAATGTCACCAACCCAATGCCCGTCTCTCTCTGCTGCAATCTACGCACGCCGCCCCTCTTCTGGTCAAATCCATCAACACCTACCTCGCCGCTACTCAAGCTCATAGTCGCCATATCCCCCAAGTTGCTCCATCTGCCTCTGTCAATGTATATCACTACGGTTTCGGTCCTCGCCCCCGCTCGCTTCCACTCTAGCCCCATCAAGTGTTTTCACAAGATACGTGCATGCCCTGAGCACACGTCCAGAGACTATCGCAAATCTGTTATACCTGCACAATTGGACCCTGCGCTTTTTGTGGAGGATGGTCCTGCATTCGCGCGTGATCTGGATTCGCTTGCTGGTACAATGGTCTGAAACTTATCCCAACTGCATGTGTACTAATTTGCTGCATCCTTGTGAATAGGACTACGCGTTGGACGTGTTCACGTCATCTTTCGCCTGCCAGAATACTATGGCGAGGCGGAACCACTGGCCTATATCCATTGGTACCAACCCCTAAACACGATTGACGCTTCTTTGTCAATGTACAAGATTGTAAGGTCCTCTCGCCTCCACGGTCCGCACATGTCTGTTGTTCGTATCTCCGAAATTCTGTGTTCATGCCACTTAATACCATACGGAGGAGGTGATGGCGTCTCCTCATGGACAAGGGAATCAGCCCTTGACAATGCGGAGACCTTTTTACTTAATCATTATATAGATTTAGACTTCTTTGAGCATGTCCGAGTGGAGCGTTCACGCGCAAGGGGATAGGTACTGTAGCACCAATATATTGGTTTCTGTGATAATAACCCAGCCGTTCCAGCAGTGATTGAGCTGGTCATACTGCTGCATATATTTACACTAGGTGTGGAACCCGTGGACAGCCACGGGACCGGAAGCCTTTAGTCGAGAATATCCTGCCATCAGTATCAGGTCGAACCATGCCCAAGCAATATTATATATATAGTTCTCATACTCCTGCAGCCTACAATCAAGATATGTGATTATAAATGTAACTAAAGCTGTTAACATTAATGTTACAGTAATCATTATATATGTCTATGATACAGACTGGCAAGTCCAAGAAATAAATGTCCTTGTGGAAGGTAGAAGTGCGTAGTTCCAATGTATTTCCATCCCATATATTATCCGCACACATGTCTCTGACTGGTATGTTGCCCGGGTTGCCCGTACATGCCCCAGCATAGCTATCCCACTGCAAGCATTTCTTAGTCATAGTGACCTTGTTGTTTGAATATTGTTTTGATTAATAAGTTGAATGCATCTACCCAGGTTTCAAAAATCAGCTCCCCATTATTCGGAACCTTTATCAAAGATAAGAAAGAAAGCTGCCTGTCAATGGCAGCTAAACATCCCTGCTTTCGATAAATGTTCTAAATAATGAAGAACTAATTATTGAAACCTGGGTACCCACATTCACCTTAATATTTAGAATAATCCTCAAATAAAAATACCACTGTTGTTGAGAAATGCTTGCAGTGTCCATTACCCGGTTCACCTTTGATATCCACTTCTTCCTGTCAGTCCAGCTCACGCATGAGCCCCCAGGCCACCCACGCATTACCCAGTTTACACTTAAACTATATATCAAATATATCAATGCTGTATCTCGCGCACGTATAATTATAGGCTATCTATACGGCACTGCGGACAATTGGGAATATTGAATATCGAATACTGAAGCTAAAGCGGCTTGTAGCTTGAAGCCAGCTTGGTTCCAGCCTCATGCGAGACGCGCAACAAATCGTGAGAAAATCATTCCAAAAGAGGCGCAGCACAAAATACGCGAGACGCGGCGGCAGAGGCAGCCAATCAGATGTCCGGTTTGTCTCTGGTTTGTCTCAGCCAATCAGATGCCTGTATTTTGTGGGAACCAGACCGTCCTCTAATTATATGTAGAATGAAAATCTAACGCGTTCAAGCTGCTCGCCATGCACACTCATTAGCCAATACTCAGCACTTACTGTACCTCACTTTGTTAGTGGCGACCACTTGCTTGGCAGACCCAGGCAACAATGTTAATCTCATTGAGCATGTGGCTGCTCGAGCCTCATACACCTGATGCACGTCATGCTTTCGAGCGTGCTCGTGTTTGAGCGCGTTCATGTGGTGGTTTATTCTAGTAGCTACTACACGGGTGGTGCTATGTTTCACTCCCTCCGGGCTACAGGATGTTGCTCGACGCTGTGCGCGCTACCCGACCCGTGGAGAGTATGCCTTGTCCAGAGCATATGTCCACGGGGCCGAGCAGCTCGTTGCGAAGAGCGTCCAGTGCCGTCAGGAGGCGGTACATGCTACTAACGTGCACGCGGGTTTGCGGTTTGGAGCACCTGCGCCCACCACCGGCCGAGAGAGGAGGAAAGAGAGAGACAGAGAGTGTAAGCGCGCGCTCAGATTAAAGAACAATGGTCGGAACTTCAATCACGCGTGCATACAGAGCCAAATAAACGAGTTTCGCGTCGCGCATGAGACCCAGTGGAAACGTGCCAGGTTGCAGGTGATTTGAGCACTTTTGCGGTGTCGGTGTCGCGCGGTGTCGCGCGGTGGCGGCGATTTCCGGTGGCTGTGCGGTGACGGGAAAATCAAGCGCCCGTGACGGGATCGCGCTCAGCGACGCGTCAGCCTCTGTAATAGACTATTATCGCCTGCATGTCCTGTATCTAGCCGTTCTATCTTAACAAACATGTCCCACGATATCACACTCAGCGAGATCAGTCAGCTTGTCACTGACAATCCCGCCCTCTCGCCCATTTCACTCACACAAATTCTCGACTTCGTCGATCGCTGCTGTGTACTCCGATCGGACTTCGCATTTGTTCAGCAAGGCAAACGTAGTTCTGCCAACGCTCCGCCTGTCATTCCCATCGCGCACGCAAGGTGGCTCTCTAGCCGAACGCGTATCCTGTTCCCTCTACTCAATGCTCTATGGACTGGCCTCAAGAATACTATATGGGCTATACCGTCGCCTCAACAACGGCTCAACAACATGGTGGGCAACATAGAGGAGACAGGATGGAAGAAAGGGATCGGTGAGTCGTCAGATTCTGTTTCAGACCGGCAGAATGACATCATAGCCATAGCATATATAAACATCTATCCTCAGTCGCTGAACTGTTCTAATCCGAACTGCCCCAAGGACTCTGAGCTTCGTAAAGGGGAACCAAAGCCAGCCGTCGCCTTTACGCTCGACCACGGCGTTCAATATGCTAAAGTCGTCAACGCACGACTTCTGTCAAAAGTATTGCAATCCGGCACTATTCCCAGACCTTCAAACGGACGACGGTACCGGCTGGTGGTTTAACACCAGCATAGCCGAGCAGACAAACGTATGGCTAGGGTCGTATCATGCTATGGTGCGCGAGATGACATCCGTACGATTTAATTTCTTTCTCGACGAAATGATTCGTCTACGTAACATAGACTTAGTGGAGAAGCTTCCTTATAACACTAACAAGAGGTCAGTAATGAAGGTAACATAGCAAAATGTGGAGACGCACCTTGACATGGCACTGGCCATAATGCGTAGCCTTCCTGCCACCAACGATTGCAGGGTAAAGAAGCGTCTCCTCCGGACACGAGGGACATATGACATAGCCATCATCGGTGTTCTTGGGCATGAACTTCTTGCGAGGCCATGGGTTTTGCTAGGTGTTGTCGATGGAGAGATGTGAAGGGCTTATGGGCCGTGGAGGTTGAGTTAGAGATTGGTTAGAGAGGGGGAGACGCGAAGATAGAGAATGAGAGAGAAATGAGAGAGAGACAAGGAAGCGAAGCAGTCGAGTTCGAAATTTATATCTCACCCAAGAGCGAATGACGAATGCCTGGGGCGTCGTAAATCTTGGGCATTGGAATAAGGACTGCTACGCATCATTGGAATACGGACTACGCTAAGCGAGACGCGACTTCGTCACGCATCTTAATTTTGGCATCCCGCAGCGATGACGTCGCTATCTCGCGCCGACACCCGCCGACACCCGCCGACACGAGTCGACACCGATACCAAAAAAGTTCCCATTTCTCCTTCGTCCTCAAACGTGCTGTGCTCAGATGTGTGGGAATCAGGGCGGATTGGTGAATCGAAGCATAGTAGGGTACATCTTTGATTTTTCATCAATAAAATGCGGGCATATTGGTGAAAGCCAGTGCATGTGACCTTGGCGCGATTAGAATACCAAAAAGTTCGACGCATATGGCACTCAGGGAACTAGATACGGGCCCGGACTTCCTGCTGTTGCTTCATCAATCATCTTTTTCATGAATGGAATATTCCCAGCAGCGGTCCTGGTGAAAGGAAGTATTGCCGCGTTTGCCTCGTGAAATGCCAAGTCTTTATAAGTCCTGAAACCGACACAAATCGTCATGCAGAGGTCCTGATTGGCTCAGACAGTGAATTTAAATGTGATATCCTTGCAGTAGTTATGTGTTTGTCCGCTAATTATAAATAGGCAATTGAAATGCCCCCGTAAAACCACATTTCAGTAGGTCTGTAATATTCAAGTTAGCTGTTGCTTGGCTCTGCTTGCTGTGACTTCTCTGGAAACAGTCAGGAAACTCCGCAGTTTTGATCCCCGCGTGTCACAGCCTTGTTCGTGAGCGCGTACGTAGCTCTCCCTTCCTTCCTTCCACCACCACCACCATCCTCTTCACCACCCCGAACACCGCCCGTACGCACTTGGGTACGTCTACTACGACATTCTCCTAGTTGCCGCAACATGACTCTTCCACATTCGCCACTCCAGTCAACCTCTTTAACTTGCATCACTCAAAATTACTTCTGATTGTCGAGTTCACGAGTAGGAAGTGATCGAACATTCAGGTGAGTCGATTCCCGCAATCCGGTTTACCTTGCCTTTGCTCAGTGACTGCACAAAGCTTGTCCTCTATGTGGTACGTACTCGCTACCTCTGCCATCACATATCAAGATTCATTCCATCGACAGGCTCGCGGTCGGGCATATCCGGCTAATGCCACTACTCATTATTTGTAAAGATAGCCAGCATGTATATTTAGTAGCCTTTAATATAAATCAAGCTGCTTTGGAATTTTCGCTATGGATGGAATAAACCGGATTGAATCGTATTCTATTATATCAATTAGGTATTTAAATTGAGTTCACGTACTCGTGAATGCGTGCACCGATACGAACCGATGTGCCCGGATCCGAGCCAATGGGCGTCATGAATTGACACCAAAAAATCGGTGAACAGTCCAGCCATCGGTTCGCATTGGTGTGTATCGGTGCATCAAAGAAGCACCACGAGATATGCTTCGATTCACCAATCCGCCCGGATTCCCACCCATCTGAGCACAGCACGTTTCCACTGGGCATGAGATGCATAGGGGACTGGGGCTATTAATCGTATCTACAAGCAGATGGTCAGCTTTTGTTTGCCGTTGCTTGGTTATAGACTCCTGCGCACAGCACCCTCGCTCGCTGCTCCGAAAGTCTGAATGCAGGACCGGAGAGATGTCCCAAATCACACTTCCGCATCCGTTTACGAACCGATGTTCAATATGGGCCGCATCAGCTCATGTCCACAAGGCGGCGGGATCGACCAGTTTGTTGAAGCGGAATTGTTCGAGTGTGAATTGTATTGAATAATAGAATACATTGACCAATCGGAACGTGCGTTGGTGTCCCCCCTGTCGATGAATTTTCAAGATCCAGAGCCCTACCTCTTAACGTCCAAATGTATTCAGACGATTTCCCGATGTGTTAAGCCCCTGGGCTTTTTCGTCTATAAGAATGGGCCAATCGTCGCCCACATCTTCCAGTCCCTCATCATCTCTCCTCACCTTGCCTTCCTCTTCATCGCCCCTTATCATCATGCGAGCTTTAGTATCCCCACGCACGAGGGCATCATCGTCGTTAGCCACGAGAATTATCGCCGGGTTAGGGCAAGCGAGTCCGTCAAGGCGCCCGCAGAGCTCAAGCCTCGCGTTATTTCTCCGGCCTGACCGGCGCGTCGTGATAAGCTCGGCGTGGCTCCTGTCCGATATTTTTGGTCTGGCGGCGTCAGAGCATGTTCGAGGCGCTACTGGTATTGTGCTTCCACTATCCTTGAGCAATTGCTATCATCCTATGAATGTTCTGTGGTACAAAAATAATATTGTATTTCCCTCCATTGCGGTCTAAATGGGTAGCGGAGGCGTGTCTTGTGGTTGTTGCACATTTGCACAATTGTATAAAAAAACATTCAGTCGTGTCAGCTTAATAGGCCAATATAATACTTTGCTCAATTTGAAGAAGTTATCCGGACCACTCGTTAAATACTGCAATGGTGTGCACCTTCGAGACAATTACTGACAATGGGAACAATTCACCACAAAGTAGAGGAGCCCGAAGTAATTGCGAAAAGCCTTTTTCCTGATGGACAAGATTATATACCTAGTACGAGCTCGGAAACAGTAAGATAAAAACGACACGTCATGATGCGAGCGCTGTCGAACACTAATTCCAACAATAGAAAAGTCACTCAGATTCAGAAAGTGAAGATACTTCCCCATCGACATCCTTCGGTTGGGCCTGACACAACCGTGCGAACTGACAGATACTCGTGGGAATTTTATATGCAAGGCAAACACGAGGCCAACGCACGAACTCCGAGCCACGCTGAGTACAGCCCTTGAACTTGCTCTTGAAGCTTGAAGCCCGAAATCCTTCCTGTGTCACACACCCCACAGCCAGCACAATCCCAGGTGTAGCATTGACCGCACAGTTGTGAGTCTGGTCTCCAACTTATCCAAAACTCACTCCAAGAAAGGCTCATTACAAAACTCAGACGTGGAACACCGATTCTAGCTTATCTATTATGACCTCCAAAACGTCTCACTCATCACCCATCACCCTCCTCCCCGATGAACTACTATCTGATATCTTTATCCTGTGCACTGGCGATTGCCTCCAGACGCACGCAGGTCCAGAATCATGGCCGTTACATCGCGAAAGAACACCACTCTGGCACGTAAATACCCACTTATCTTGCCGTGCAATCGCAAGCCCCTGGTTGCAATGTGTCCGCTCTGGCTCATCTTTGTGCTGGGATTGGACACGTATGATGCTAGTGTGCCGGCATTGGGCTGCTGTAATACTTAACGGGAAGATTTTCTGGAGTCGCCCGCTCTTCTCCAAGAAGAGGTCGGCTCAGACAACACTATCACGGTCCGGTGATGCTCCCCTCATTGTTCGACACGTGTTGTCAAGGCACGCTGATCACACTTGGTTCCTCAATTTTATGGGCCCAGGTCAAGGGTTTTCGCGATGTCGCGAAGTTGTCATTCAGGCGCACACACCACCCAACTTTCTCCAGCTCATAGACTGTTGGCCTTCCGCCACACCGCTGCTCGAGGTGTTGGCACTCAGCGTGGACCATGTTCCCTGGTCTATCCCTCTCCCCACAAAGCTCTGGCAACCCGCAATGCATCTAAGAACACTGGCGCTAGTGGACTGCGTGCTTGAAAGCTGGCACCCCGTCTCTATGCTCAATTTGACAACATTCATTTATATCTCAGAAGGCCCCTTCGCTTCAAGTTGCTATCCCAGTGGTCCTGATATGATGGATTTCTTACAATGCGCACCCAACCTGAGAACACTCGTACTCCGTGGTCCTTGCGTTTATAACCGTTCAGAAGATCCCGTATTCGAGCCTGGTGTTGTAGCGGTCCTGAACCGCTTGTCCAGGGTGTCCCTCTCTGGGCGCCGAATGTCTGTGCTTAATCTCCTCCAGCACCTTTTATTTCCTTCCACTGCAATTCTAGAGTTGCGATTAGATTGCAAGTTCGAATCTGAAGACGCTGATACCGTGTCACGTCACTTCCATGAAGCGATACGGGAACACTATCAAGCAACGTTGCTCCCTTTGGATACGCAGACAAACACGGATGTTGTTGCTCATGAAGGCTCTTTTCCCATCCTCGACCGCGTCTTCATTGAATATGACTCGGCGGACTACATTGGGCATGAGGCCACCATCACAGGCTATATCACAGATGCCAATAACGAGCCACATCCTTCTATCTCCATCATACTCACTACTTTCGGAGCATATCCCAATTACCTTGCCCCACACATCCTCCGAGAACTACGGCCTGACGCCGTAACAACACTCAGCCTTGGTTCTCCAGACGTTGACCCTACACACGGACTGGATATATGGCAGAATCTCTGGCGGGCTGTGCCTGCGGTAGAGGTCCTCAATATCATCAACTTCCCCTTATGTCACAAACCCTTTATACGCTCGCTCTCATCATATGCCACTGGAGCTGATTCGGATGGCTGTCCGTTGCCCGCGCTGGAGGAGCTGCATATTCGCCACGGGTTCCTTGCCTTCATGATCACGAAACACGGCCTCAGGCTGAGCCTGCACGAAGCGCTTAAAGCACGGGCTGATAGGGGGTCCCGTTTGCGGTTGCTGAAGTTTACAGTTCGTGGAGAGGAAATGAACATGGGCCTAGAGGATCAAATGAGACTGAATGAGTGGGTCGACGAGATTATTTGGGAGACGGATTGATTGCAAGAGAATGAACTTCGTAGACGGGGCTCGGACGTTCGTTTGAAGGGAAGAGAAGGTCCAAGAGAGGGACGTCAGCTCGTCACAAAAGCCGCACGTCATCCATGTGGGTCGAAAAGACGTGAAATGGGTATGACAGAAATAGGATGCGCACATGTTGTAGTTTTGGTAGATGAAATCAGACTAGGATATCGACGCGAGACAAAATCCTAGCGTTGCACTGGGGAGAAGACGTACATGAGTTTAACACCGAGGGAATCCTTGACACAGATGGCCGCAGCACGCGTATACATTCTTCTTTACTCATTTGCTATTCCTTCTTTGCTGTTGCTTAGATGGATCCTGCAGATATACCATTCTCGGGCGGTGCACGCGGTTGCATCGAGATGTAATTCGCTTTCACCGAGGGTATTTGCATAATAGCATGTGTCGTGCGTCAGTACGAAGTTCTTGTTCCTGACAATCTTGCGGGCATGCCGTAGCCCGAGCAGAGAGGCGCTGCTGCGGTGGACGGCGGGAATCACGCTCGCAACGACGGGTGCTAAGGCGAGGTTGCGGAGACGCGCATAAAGCTGGAGGGTGGTGGGTTACTTATTCAAGAATGTTTTACTATCTGAGCTGTGGTATATATTCCGCCTTCCTTTGCCGCTCAAGATTCGCGAACGAGTTACATGATACGCCTTACCTCCTCCACTCCACCGATGTCACAATTTGATCACGAACCAAGATGCCGAGGCTATCTTTCGTTTTGGAGTTACCTTGACATTCCACCAGTGTCAGCTTAGGCAAACTATGCCCGTGGGCGGCCCGTTCCGACAGAACTCTTCGCAGTAATCCGAACGACACGCATCCACGCCCGGACGTATGAGAATGTGGGCCCACCCACTTCCGCTCCACCAGCGTCACTTTCGTAAGATGTAATTGTCGGAGCATTGGCAAAGGGCATAGTCTCTTCTGCGTGCTGCCCCCAGTGTTGTCTTCTCCAAGAGGCGAGAGTGAGAGAGATAACCAGTCAGATGCGCGGGATTCCGGGAAGTTCCAGAAAACATCCGTTACCGACGGCAGCTCGACCCACAAATCGTCCCAGGGATATCGGTAATCGAAGTCCAATCCTTGGATTTTCACGGATGTGAAACGCAGTGCATGTAGCCCTGCCACAATTAACATGACGACGCGAGACCTGTCTTGAGTGTTGGTGTCCCAGCCGACTATGATGCTCAGCCGGGGACGTGGAAGTTGGCCGCTTGCTGGAAAGGGGGTGGCCGTAGCGTTGATTTTGCGTCTTCCGTCTCCACCCAAACCCAGGCCCCAAGTAACATCATGATCAGGACTTAACGTGTCCAGCCTTCGAGTAGAATAGGATAGACAGTGGTGTTTTAAGAAGTTGGTCAATGCAGCAGGGATATTAGCGCTGTCCTCAACTAAGGAGCATGACAGGGTGACCTCGGCTGACAGTGGTACAGACATGTAGCTCATCAAATTCAGGCACTGGGCGCCCCGACCATTCAACGCCACTATAGAGAGGTGAGGCAAAGATAAACGGTTGGCGGATGGTGAGGGTGCGTGGCTGGAGTTGATCTTAGTTAGGCGTTCCAGTACGAGTGACTGGAGACGTTTTGTTCTGCCTAGGACGGCGAGAACCTCTGAAAGAGTTGGTTGGCTATGCGAGTCGAGGAAAAGTGATGTCAGGTTATCGAACCATGGCGATGGAGCCCACGAAGGCAAGGTGCATCCCTTAAGAGCTAGTGTTTTTAGCTTCAATGCTGTCTCCGTCCAATGCATCGGTATCGTGAACCCTTGGTTGGGAGTGTCGAGCTGTATGGAGAGAATTTCGAGGGAAGAGGCTGGCTTGATTGCCATCTGACCCATCAAAGGATCAGGTCGTGCATTGCCACTCAGTTGTAGGCGCAGTTCGCGGCAGCGTGAGAACCAATTGTAGTCTTCGAGGACTTTCCATCGACCAATGTCGGTGGACTTGAGCCGCAGTGCGAGAAGCGAGCTTTTGGAGAGATCGAGCATCTTGCGCGTGTAATTTTGATCGACAGAGAAATTGGGAGATACCCAAAGAGCTGGATTGGCTAGGGCCACGTCACGCCAGCGGCGGCAAACGTGTAGTACTCTGGTCCACTGGCGGCACTTTGGCAAGCACGCGTGGGGTGGCTTTGACCTATGGGTTCCAAATAGGAATGGGTGGACATCGATACCGGTGTCAATCGTAAGGCATTCTTCAGCGCAAAAAGCGAAGATGGATGCAAGTAGTTCGTTGGCTAGAGAATGGATATGGGTGGAGGAACTTAAGAGTACGGACGCCATTTCAATGTCAGCTTCAAACTCCAACCTGCAGATCTCTACCCGTAAGTGCCATAAAGCAAGTGCAGGCATGGCTGGTTTACTTACTAGCAAGCTATAAAACGAGCTGGTCTGTGATTGATCTGCGAGGCCTTGAAGAAAGTGTTGCGTAAATGCGGACACCTGGCCAATGGCAGGAACGTGGGCAGAGCGTGGGAATATTGTCTGCCATGCTGTGCGTCTCGTCATTTTCGCGTCGCGACTTGCTTCCCCCCACAACTGACCTCTCCTCCCTCTTACCCCCAACCCAGGTGCGTCCACCTTATTTTACGCCATGGAACTTTGACCTCATCCTATTCGCAGACTACTGCTTGAATCAGATGGCACCCGCTAGAAACAGCAAGCCCTACGCCGTACGCAACGCGATCAAGTGACAATGAGGCAAGGGGATACTGAAGCGTTCACTAGCGACCTCGCCGCTCCGATGGTGTATGGAGTCACGACAGAGCGGCGCTCTCGAGTGGGCCTGCCGCCCGCACAGCTGGTTCCGAGCCCTCGATGAAACTCATAGTGTCCAACCTGCACTACGAAATCACTCCTAAGAACTTGATGGTGCGCAGCATTCCTCGTTCCTCCCTCCCCATAGCCTTCAGGATTCTGGCTTACCTCCTATTACCTCCACTATAAGTCCATCTTCGGGCAGATTGGCACGCTCGTCTGCGAGCCTCAAATCAGGGTACGATGACATTTCGAATGAACACACTTTAGGCTCCCGTTTACATCCTGCACCCTTACCCCGTTCTGGCCCCGTCGACCGTTGACTCTTCGTTCATTGCGTGTTTCATACCCAGTATGACCGCAGCGGACGCTCCTCGGGCGTGGCTATCGTCACGTACGAAACAATCGGAGAGGCAACGCGGGCCAAGAACCAGTTCCAGGGTCTTCTCGCAAAGGGTATGTGGCGGGCATCATACCTATGTTGCCGTTGGATTGAATCGTTACTCCTTCCAGGTCAGCCGATGGAGATAGCTTCTCATGTTGATGCACCTCGTCGGACGCGCTCTGCAAGCATGCCTGGCGTCTCGACGGCGTCGCTGCTCAATCGTATTGAGAAGCCGTCTCTCGTCGACAGACTTAATCCTACGGACAATAAAAAGCAACAGCAAGGGTGAGTTATAGCCATTCAATTTCACAAACACTCACTTACGGATGATACCTATTACAGTGCTGGTCCGGTGAGGAATGCCCGTGGCGGCGGCCGTGGACCACGTGGTGGAGGCAAGACCAGAGCTGCCAGGCCGTCCAAGAGCAAGCCGAAGACGGCAGAGGACCTTGACAAGGAGTTGGACGTATTCATGGGCGATGACAAAGCCAGCTCTGTGGGTGCGACGGCGGGCACCAGTGTCGGTGATCCGGCCGAGAAGCCTGTTGGTAGCACAGAAGACGTAGCGATGGCTTAGGCTCGTTGAATGCTGGTACCGCATTTTTTTCGACTTCTTACTTTCTTGGGCGTATGAGCTTTGTGTTACTATCTTATGGTCCGTTGCACCACTTTTCATAGATGATAATGTGTATTCTCCCCAGCAAAATATTGGTATACGACCCCTACTCTGCATATGGACGCTCGACTGCCATCTTCAAGGCAAGTCGCCTGGAAAGGTGGCTGTCAGCTGTTGCCCTGATCCAGAGCGTACGGAACTGCGCTCTAAGGACAGTAATTGGCTCTCATGAATGGTGCGGGAAGAACGCACACAGATCTCCTTCGGGGTCGGATGAGAAATATCAAGAGACCGCTACTGCAATTGGCTGCGCCCATGGCAATGTTACCTACGACTATTAGCGTAGTAATAAAACCAAGTTGAGGCTTCAAAAGCACAGAACTGTCAAAGTCGTGAGTTCACGGGGCCTCCGCTTCCGAGGTAGCCCGCAAACCAACGTCTTCATCTCGACACACAAGTAGTCAAGCTAAACATTAGGAACAAATGCAGCGGCTCTGGTCTGAGAGTGACAGTGTAGGGGATGTTGGCCTGGCTTTAGATACCGATGCCGTAGGGTGTTCAAGGAGGGAAACATTCTGAAACATGAGCAATTTAGTAAGTGACTTCGTGAGAATATTGATACACGAACATCTCAACAGTTAGCCTCGGGAACCTGAAAGTCGCGAGTGGGGCCACCGAACGGCAGTGAACCGGGTCCAAAGCCACCTACTTATAAGAATCCATCAATGTGATCCGAGACCGAGGTATACTCACATATCCATCTCTACACACATGCCTCCGAGTGTAGACGTAGACTCCATCACCGCCTACCTCTCCTCCCTGGTCGAGGACCGCCCGCCCTCCGAGATCGTGCTCGACGTCGGCCTCGTCTCAGTAGGCGTCTGGCTCCTGCTCAAGGGCATCCGAGCCGCACGGAGCAGTCGACGGTCCCTCACCACGACCCGGCTCCGTGGGCCGCCGAACCCGAGCTTCCTCTTCGGTGTCGGCGAGCAGCTCGAGTTCGCGCCGAACCAGGACTCTGGCGCGCTATTTGAGGCGTGGTCGAAGGAGTACGGCGCGGTGTATCAGGTTCCCAGCGCGTTTGGGGCGCAGAGGGTCGTGCTATTCGACGTGAGGGCGATCGCACATGTGTTTGCGCGGGATGCAGGGCATGTTCCGAGCTCAGCCGAGTCTGGAGAGGCTCCGGGAGCGAAGGGGACGTATGATCACTTGGCGTTTACGAAGTTGGCTGTGGCGAACTTGGTATGTCTGATTCTAAGTTGTTTGCTTTGAAGTGGCTGGTTAATCATTGCCGTCAGATTGGAAAGGGAGTACTATGGGCGAGCGGCGATAACCACAAACGGTGGGTCTGCCTTAGCATACTTATGTTGAAACCAATCAAGCAGTGTATTAATTGCGCTCTTTGTTAGGCAACGTAAGGCGCTCACACCGGCGTTCAGCAACGCCGCTATCCGAGATGTAACGCCTATATTCTTTGACTCTGCATACAAGGTTCGCTACCTCCGGACGAATGTGACATGAATCTAACGCAGATTTCGTTGATAGGTCAAAAACATCTGGGACGAGCTTTTGGCGAGCTCGTCTACCAACGACGAAGTTGTCGAAGTCCAGCGCTGGTGCGTGACTGCTCCCATGCAGTTTCCTACCATATCAATCCTAACACTCTACACTGAGTCAGGATGAACCACATCTCGTAAGTCCCATCTCAGGACCCACCATGCATCGGCATTGACATACCCATGCCATCTCCCCAGCCTCGACTCAATAGGCCTCGCCGGCTTCTCGCACGACTTCGGCGCCATCTACGGCAAGAAGTCTGCCGTGACTGACACCTTTGACGCTTTCTCGACTACGCCGCCAACCAAGTTCTACCGGTTCATGTTCGTCGTCTTGGGTCTCGTGTTCCCGTGGTTCGTGAATCTTCCCACGGCGCGCACGCAGATTAGCAAGAAGCTCAACGACGCGATGGCGGAGATCGCGCAGGTCTTGCTCGAGCGTACGAGGCGGGAGAAGGAGCAGGGCGGAAATGAAATGGAGAAGGATCGGAGCGTGATCGGGACTTTGTGTGAGTGCGCTCGTCCTGCCGGTGAGGTGCCCAGGAGAGAGCGAGCTCATCTTTTTTAAGTGAGGGCAGAAACAGCAGGGACCGAATTGCACCTATCCCATCAAGAGATTTTGGATTCGGTAAGTGTAATGACAAAGAAAAGACGAAGTTCATCGTGGCTGACGTCGGATTCCCGCCCAGATGAAAGTCTTGCTTCTCGCAGGATATGAAACGACTTCCAGTATGTCTTGATCCCTTTCATCCTTCACGAGCTACTCATGACACCGTATTCACAGCTAGTCTGACGGTAACCATGTCTGCACCGAAAAACGGCGAGCCTACAACTAACCTCACACCTTTCTCCAGTGGGCGCTTATTGAGCTTTCAAAGAACCAAAAGGCACAGTCCAAATTGCGCGAAGAGCTCTCCCAGTTCTCAACGGGCGACCCGACGTACGACCAGCTGACAAGCGACTCGCTGCCCTACCTCGACGGCGTCGTGCACGAGATCCTCCGCCTGCATCCCGTAGCCAACGAGGTGCCGCGTGTTGTACGTCTCGCTCTCCCACATTCTGTCTTATTCCTCCTATCGATGCCACACTCAACGCCTTCGTAGGTCGTAGAAGACGACATCATGCCGCTCTCCGAACCCATCCTCGACGCCTCGGGGAAAACGATCGCGAGCGTGGCCGTCGCGAAGGGTACGAACATAGCCATCCCCGTCGAGGGCATCAACCGCTCCGAGGCGCTGTGGGGCCCCGACGCGAAGGTGTTCAGGCCCGAGCGGTGGCTCGAGGACGGTTTACCAGACGGCATCCCGCCGCAGGTGAAGGGTGTGCAGGGATACCGCCACCTGCTGACGTTTATTGATGGGCCGAGGATATGTCTGGGGAGACACTTTGCTGTGGCGGAGTTCAAGGTATGGATGTGACACTGTCCATTATGGAGGTATAGCTGATGAGAAGTATCTTCCTTGTGCGATAGGCGGTCTTGTCAGTATTGATCAGGAACTTTACGTTCGATTTTGCGACTCCAGACGCAAAAGTCGAGGTCATCAGAAGTTTCCTGTTCCGTCCCAAGGTCGTTGGAGAGCAAGGCGTTGACGTGCCTCTGCGTATTCGTCGCATCGAGTGAAGGAGTCGGGATATGGACTTTGGTTTTAGCTGTACTCTTACATTAACTTAAAAACGGACCACCAGTCTCTTGTATCCATAGCACAACCCCCGCTCAGTCCAATACCACTATATACCCTTCCTGCCTTCCTGGTCCTCACAATCTCGCAACCTGCTCCTGCTCCTCCCACAAACTCCAGATATACCCCTTATCCGCCGGAATCCCATCCCCAACAACACGCTTATACGCCTCCTCGACCTTCTTCGCCCCAGACACGCGCACCATCTCCAGCCCCCAGCTGCCGCAGTCCCGCATGAGCCCCGCCCACGCCTCCTTCTGCATCTGCGCGATCTCTTCGACGCTGAGCTGCGCGCGGCGCCGCTGGAGCCACTCGGGCATGAAGAAGCTCTGCATCTTGGCCTGCTCTTGTTGACTGGACGCGTCATTTTGGGACTCGACGATCGCATCGGACGACTTGGGTGCGTCCGCGCTTGCGAACTTGGTCGACGACGGCGCGACACTCGACAGGCCGATCGAGATCGCGCCCTCCTTCAGAACAGCGCCTCCGAGATGGGAGAGCACGTCTTTGTTGGTGTCTTCGTTCCCAGCGACGTCGACGTAGATCCATTTCCCATTCGCGGGTGAGATGTCCCCGGAGCTGCGCAGGTTAGGATACGTCACGACGACGTCGTACAGCCCCAGCCGCTCCGTAAACGCCTTGTTGCGCTCAGATGTCAGTCCAACGAGAAGCAGCTCCTCCTTAGCAATGTTCTCCCGCTTCCGACGCTCCCGCACGCAGTAAGCGATGCAGAACGCCGTCTTGGACGACGCGGAGCTGAGTAGCACCCGGTTCGCTCTCTCGCTCTCTACCTCGCCCGCCCCAGCGCCTTTAGCGCGAAGAAGCGCAGAGATGCCCCTGTACCCCGACTCATGCAGACAGTCCTCGAACCAGAACGCGGTCCAGTACAGCGGGCGGTAGAGCATCGTCAGATCCTCAATCTTCCCATCGGGATTATACATCGGGTCCGCCGCGCACCGTGTGATCATGTTATACGGTCGTCTATCTAATACGACCCAAGCACCACGCTCAGCAAAACCCGAATGCCCTCTCATATAACGCGCGGCAAACACTCACCAGCAGGCAACTGCGGCCTCGGCACAAAGAACGCATGCGCATTCACGTCCCTCGTGTCCACAGGCAAAAGCAGATACTTGGCCGGCGCCAAATACCCATACACGCGCTCACCCGGTTTGATTGCGAACTTTTCGTCCGCGACGCTCACGGTGGACTTGACGACGGTGCCGAAGCCCCACACGGGCGTGACGCCGTGTGTCTTCGCGGAGACACCGCCAGCTTCGGGGGCGGGGTGGAAGGCGAAGTACCTATACGAACATGAAAGATGCGTTCATATTGGCGTTTGGCCACGGCACACAACAACAGTTGGAACGCACAAAAAGTGAGGTGCTTCCCCAAGAATCTGGTAGGTGACATTGTTCGCCGAGTAGCCGAATCGGTCAACCTTGATGAGCACATGGTTCTCAGGAATCTCCGCAGGCAAAGGGGCATGCGCAAGAATGCCTTCGTTTGTGTTCGAGTTCGGTTTGGGTAGCGAGGACAGGAAAGATGGTCGAGGGTGGCAAAGTGTGGTATTGACGTCTGAGGAAGACATGGTGGTGGATAGGGAAATTTCAGAACGGTAGCACGTTCACTCCCTCATATTTAAGCATCTGGGGTAAGACAAATCATTGGTTACGTCCTCCACCGGTGTTTCCTGTACCGGAGCTAAGCGTGTCGCGCATCACTGATCGCTGTTTTCCTCGCTGTGCGGCATTTGGTCTATCACTCGGGGGACCTGATCGATTCACAAAAGTGGCTAATACACCGCTCAATCAATTTCCTTCTCACCGGTTCGCAAGCCTCCGAACAATGATACACTCCCAAGCTGCCGCCTCGCGGCGCAGCTCATCTCGTTCTCTCCATGGTAGAACAGCAATACACTGCATACAATCACATAACATAACAAAGCCATAGGATCGCGGACAGTCATTCCATAAGGCCTATGCTAGTCGCCACCTCCAAATCGTGACATGGTTCAATGCGAGAGGGACAGAAACCACGAATGAAAGGAAGTTTTTGATAGCCCAAGTCTGAAAGCAGTCGATAATACGAGGATGCTTAAAGCTTGCCAATCGAAGCAGCGTTGATGCTCTGACCAGAGGCCTTGGCACGCTTGCGGAGCATCTGGGTGGACTTGTTTCCACGGTTACCTCCACCCCACTGCCTGCGGGCCTCATCGTACTTGTCGGAGCTGGTAGAAAATAAATGAACACGGAGCGCTCAGAGCGATCAACAGGCAACTTACAAGTTGGCCTTGGCAGCGCTGATGAGAGTGGCGAGCTCGCGTGAGTCCTCGCTGCGGACCTCCTCCACGACAAGAACAGCGGCAGTCTTCTTGTTGACGACCGTGCCGAGACGAGCCTTGCCCTTGACGATAACGTAGGGGACACCCATCTTGCGGCAGAGAGCGGGGAGGAAGACGACGAGCTCAATGGGATCAACGTCATGGGCGATAACGACAAGGGCGGCTTTCTTGGCCTCGACAAGGGCGACGGCGTGGTTGAGACCATACTTGACGAAGTAAGGCTTCTCGTTCTTGGTGGCCTCTTTGCCATCGGCAACGGCCTTGGCGGCAGTCTCAAGACGAGTCTTCTTCTCCTGCTTGGTCTCGGGGCGGTACCTTACGGGTCGAAATAAGTGGTAATTCTCGCCAGCACCTCAAAGAAATAACGCACTTGTTCAAGAGCTTGAACAGGTTGATGGCGGTATTCTTGTCAAGCGTGTGGGAGAACTGCGCGATGGCGGGAGGGACCTTCAGGCGCTGAGCGAGGATGACCTTCTGGCGCTGGAGGCGGATGTACTCGGGCCATTTGACGAAGCGGGTGAGGTCGGCCTTGGGGCGGATGTCCTGGCCTATGCATAACCAGTTAGCGTCATGCTACGATGAGACCCCAAACCGAGAAATAGTCATACCAATACCGAAGTTGCGAGGCTTAGCCTCGAAGAGGGGGTTCTTGGTGCTCTTGACGGTGCGTGCAGCACTGCCGGGGGCAGGGGCAGGGCGCTTGGAGGAACCGGCTTTGGCCTTCGGGGGCTGGTCATTGAGACGAAAGCGTCAGCGAGATATTCTTCATAAAGAAGAAGGGATCCCGGGCTCTCGGAGCTCTAATGCGAGTCATACTGCCTCGAGAGCGAGGAGACGACCGCCCAGCATATCATCAACCGACGGATGGTGTGCAGTGCTCGTAGAGCAGCACAGAGCATCGCAACGGTGATTCACGGCACTCGATTTACATGCCTGGGGGCATCACGGTTCGTGCGTGTACGTGTCATGCGTCAAAGCATGTGCTGGACTTGCTATAGAGATCTTTGTTAGCATGACCGGGCGTGGCCTCATCCAGATGCGCAACTCACCATCCATCGTCTACCTCTCAACTACGCAATACGAGGCAGACGAAATAGAGCTTGCGAGAGTCCAGGCATGGCTGGGACTCACCATTTTGACTTTTGAGGGGGTTTGTTGACGGGAAGGAGGTGTCTTGAGGGCCTTGAGGATGGGAGCGATGATAGACGCTGGATACAAAGGTGGTCAAAGTTCGGGCGGAGGTTGAATTCGGTGCGGCCCCGAGAGACGCGGGTGACTCGGCTGTCGGGTACATATGAAATGCCGGGCCGGCTGTTCCTGGCAGTAATCTTGGTGGCTGTGCATGGTATCGGGCGAGCGGAATGGTGGACGTCGTCTCTTGAACTCACTGACCTTGGACTCGATTGCGCTGACACGGAGGCCTTGTTACGGGCTGCAGTTTCCAAGTCATCCGACTTCTTATAGAGGTTTGTTACCCAGATATACCCATCATAAACGCATAGACTGTCTGGACAACCATGTTCTCCTCCCGTCTCCGCACACTACCTGCTCACCTTCCCCGACGCGTTCCGAAGGCTTCCACTGCTCGCGCTTACTCCCAATCCGCCTCTTCCTCATCTTCCGCGCGTCCCTCATCACTCCGCACACTCGCCCTCGCGACCGGCGTCGGCCTCACCTTCTACACCCTCGGCGCTCTCTTCCCTCCCCGCGTCGCCCTCCTCGTCTCCCCGCGTCCCGCTGCACCTCTACCCGGCGCAGACACAACCGAAGGCCAAGCATACACTGCCGAGCTTGAAGCATCATTGCAGAGTCTGCCGACACTCGTCGAGCACCGCTCAAGGGAGGATGCAGAGGAGTGGTACGAGACGCGACCGTACGCGACCATGCCGGACGAGCGCAAGGTGAACAGTCTTACGGCTGGGTCGCTCAAGGGTCCAGGGAAGCTGGCGCTCGCACCGCTCGTACGTGTCAGGGTAGACGAGAGCGAGACGTTTGCGATTCTGCATCTGGGGAGGGCGCTGTGTGGACACGATGGGGTTATACATGGCGGATTGCTGGCGACGATCTTGGATGAGAGTTTGGCACGAGTGGTGCGTATTTGAGCTTACATTAACTCGCTCGTTTTGCTGACTTGCTGGAATGTGTGGCTATAGGCGATCAGTAACCTCCCAGACAAGATCGGTGTTACAGCCAACCTAGCCATAAACTACAAGGCGCCCACATTCGCTGACCAAGTAAGTCTTCCGAGCCTCATATCGTCGCAGGTCCCGGCTGACCCAAATCTGCACAGTTTGTCGTCATCAAAGTCAACCTCGTCGAGAAGAAAGGCCGCAAGACCCAAGTGACAGGAGGCGTCGAGGACCTCAAGGGCAATCTCCTGGTCGAGGCAGCGTAAGCCGCACCTTTCTCGTAGTCTATATCCCCCAGGATTGCACACTAATCACGACGTAAATCGGACAGCGCAACCTTCGTCCAGCCCAAATACGCCCACCTCCTCTCCAATTCCGCCGTCCGACAGGCGATGGGTGAACCTGTCAAGGTCCCAACAGCGTCCCGCGAAGCAGGCAAAGAGCCCATCCTACTCGGTGAGGGGAAAGCAGTGCCGCCGGCGCTACCTGCAGTCAACAAGAAGATATGAGACTGGTTGGGTGTCATGTCGTGGTCACGGCTGCACGTACGATCACTCTTACACCTTGATCTAAATCATTCGACTACCACAAATAGACTTGTAGAGATACAGCTGTTCACCACTGCGGTGCGCGCGCATATGAACGGGCCATGCAGGTATGCCATTCAATATGAACTTGAGGCGCTGTCGCAAATGGGACCACTCTCAGATACAGCTGCGGAGGCATTCCCCAGACAAACAAAGCGAAACGACCATGTCTACGAGAAGTGAGGTTAAGCCTCAATTCAACCAAGTTGACGTTGATGCATGGCGAAGGGTGCCGCAGGATGCCGCTCCGCGACCACACTTTGCTTGATCCCGCATGATCACTCCATCAGGCACCAGCATCAGTTGACATCCCATATTCGCATAATACATCAAACGCTCTACATGCGCTTCTTCTTTTGCGGTCAACCAACTCTGACATTCGTATCAGACATGTCAACAGTACGCCAGCAGGTCCCGATGTACAATGCAGCCCTCCGTCGCCATCAGTTTTCTAACTTATATAGGTGAAGAGGCGCGAGCTCTCCGAGCTTCCCCCCTCGCCGCCGCTCTGCTCAGCTCTCAGCTCCTTACTACTCGAACTTCGAGTCAAGCAGTCGAGCTCGCAAGCCATGGAGACGATGGAACCCCAGCCTCAGGCAGCAGACGCCGGCCAAACTCAGCAGCAACCCCACACACAGCCCCGCGTCGCGTCCGTCGACGGCACAAGCTGCGACAAAGACCGCTTTAGCTCGGGCTCGGGCTCCCCCGAGCCAAACGCGCCCTACGCGAACCTCACCGCGCTCGCGCAGGCGGCCGCGACGCTCAGCAAGCAGACGCCCACCGGGGCGCTCCGGTCGCACTGGCGCGCGTTCCTGTGGTGCCTGTTCTTCTGCATCGGGCCTATCATGTCGGGGTACGATCTCGTTGTGAGCCGCCTTCTTCTCTTATTCTAAGCTGTTCTGTCGAGTGAACACTGAGCGTGATGCGGATTTCATCAGGTAGCAGTGAGTCTCATCGGCGTACCCGCGTTCCGGCGCGACTTTGGCTACCCCGTGGGGCCGGACTACGTCGTCAGCGCACCGTGGCAGAACGGGTGGTCCGCTGCGTCCTCTATCGGAAGCATGTTTGGTGGAGTGCTGGCTGGCTACATTTCAGATCGTGCAGGGTAAGTCGCTGCTCGGCCCCCACATCATTTTTGACTCGGTGTTGCTGAGACGTCATCCATCATCGTCTCAGACGCAAAGTAGCTGCAATGACCGCTTGCCTTGTCTCTATTCTGGCGGCGCTCATCATGTTCCTGTGCCCGCCGCACAACATGGGGCTGTTTTTGTTCGGACGGCTCGTCAGTGGTGGCAGCATCAGTGCGTTCTTTCCTGCCCATGCAACAGTATGTGTATATTCAGTGTGTTGCAGTCATGCTCCTGGTAGTTTGCAACTCGTACTGCGCTGAGGTATCTCCGCTTGCACTGCGGGGTATCACGACGTCGTCGATCAACATGTGGTTAAACGGTGCGCTCTCTCTTCTACGTCCTCACGAGTATAATTACTGAGCAAACGACTTTCATAGTGGGTGAACTGTGAGATCCTCTTCCGATATCTGCCCCGCGTACACTGATCATTGACCACCCTCCTGTATGACCACACTATAGCATTGGTAGGGGCGTCATGAGCATCTACGGTACACGACTGGACGTGTACTCTTACCGCATCCCTTTGTACGCTTCCCTCCATATATATCCAGCCGTGTTCCTAACCATGACGCTCCAGCGCCATCCAGTGGATCTATCCCGTCCTCATGTTGCTTATACTCCCCTTCGCACCTGAGTCACCCTGGTACCTCGTGCGCAAGGACAAAGCCGAAGTCGCAGAGGACACGGTGCACCGATTGGGTAGCACGAGCGTCGACGCCAAGATCCAAGTGCAACAGATCAAGGAGACGATCGCGCTCGAGGAGGCGCACAGCAAGAGCTCGACGTATGCGGAGCTGTTCAGGCGTGCGTCGTGCTTTTCTTCCTGCCGACGTTTCAACGGCCTCTGGCGCTGACGCATAACTTGCTTTACAGGCGACAATTTCCGGCGGACAATGATCACAAGCGTCATCTTCGTCCTCCCGCAGATCGTCGGCGTGCCACTTGTACTCTCGTACGGCACGTACTTCTTCGAGCTCGCCGGGTTCGTGGCAACGAAGGCATTCGACCTTAGCATCGGCATCACTGCTCTTGGCGTGCGTATACTTCCTTCCCTACTTCTGTTGCTCTCGCCGTCCAATATACCGCTGACCGCTAAGCTAACGTACTTCCAATAGATCTTCGGCAACTTCGTCACGTTCTACACAGTGAACCACCTCGGCCGACGGACGCTCTTCAACTGGGGCACCTACGGCTGCGCAGTCATATGTCTCCTCATTGGCTTCCTGACGATCCCCAAGACGCAAAGCGCACGTTGGGCCGTCGCTGTCTTTGTAAGCTCGCCCTGCCGTCTCTTCCCTAAGCCATCTCATACTGATTTATATTTGGTATAGACTGTACTCTGGAACTTCGTGTACCAGTGCGGCGTGTACGTTCCCATTCCTATCAGACGATCAGTCGGTCTACTCTCAGGGTGCTAACCCACGTTTCTTGTTTCTATGCAAATTTAAAGTGGCCCAATCGGATACGTCATCCTCGCCGAAGTCCCCTCCGCGAAGCTCCGCACAAAGACAATCGGCATGGCCAACGTCTCCCAGGCCCTCGCCGGTCTGCTCTCGGGCATCATCACGCCCTACCTGTACGTCTTTTCCGCGTTTGTCTGGATCAGTCTCCTGCGCCAGTCGCTCGAACAACAAGAACCACCGCTCACCCTATTTACTCAGGATCAATCCAGACGAGGGCAACCTCGGCGGATATGCTGGCTTCTTCTACGGCGGGCTCACTGTCTTCGCGTCCGTCTGGGTTTGGTGGTTTATTGTGGAGACAAAAGGGAGGACGACCGACGAGTGGGTGTTTCTCTCTCTCTTCTGTTTTGAGATTCACAGACCGGAGAGCTAACGTTCGATTCGCAGGGTCGACATTCTCTTCGAGCGCAGCGTGCCCGCGTGGCGCTCGGCGTCGTACAACTGCTACGAGGGGCACGAGGAGAGCGGTGCTCAACCTGCCGCTTCCCAAGAGGAGCGGGAGAAGCATTAGCATCACTGTTCACAGGCCAGACATCAGACATAACGAAAAAGGAAAGGCCAAGACAAGAAAATCCATTGGTTTGTGGTATACAGTAACTATCTCGACATACATGCTCTTCATACTGGTATCATTTGTATTGAACCGGATTGCATGCCGTTCATTGACCCAAAAATCAAGAATTTACCAGGTGGGATGCAAGAAAATCCGACATTAAGAATCTAGATAATGTCTCGACGACGTGGTGACTAGACGAAACCATACATGTCAGCCTCGTCAAGCAACCAAGCCCTTCCCCTGCCACTCGCGTTCGGCCCACTCATAGTGCCGGCGAAGACACCCTCAGAACCGGCTTCAGCTTCAGCTTCAAGTCCAGAGAAGCCATCGAACGAGTTCTCAAAACTAACGCCAGCCTCCAAAGAGAATCCAGACTCGGACGCGGAGATAGAGACAGCAGCCACAGCGCTACCGACAGAGCCAGGACCAGAACCATACGCTTTGAGAGGCGATCCAGATGCAAAAGTCTCGGGCTCCATGTCCCGCGCGCGGCGGTGTCTGCGCGGGGTAGTACGCTGAGATACGGGTACAGCGGCAGCACGCGACCTGGAGGGAGAGCTGTACGTTGCGTATGGCGCATGCATTGTGCGTTTGTGCCTGAGCTTTGGGCTGGTAGTAGTATTGGTAGTCGTCCGATGGCGAACCTGAGGTGAAGCGGGGTGCGCGCCGATGTCTGCGCCATCATAAGTGATCAAAGAAGCAGCCGCAGTCGTTTTCCTCGGAGACGGTAAGTCGGAGTTAGGCTTAGATTTCTCCAGCGTACCCTTGGCCTGCGCGACCAGCGCCGGCTCTACGTTCGCCGCAGAGCTCCTACGCGTGCCATCTCGAGTCACTTTAGCCTCTCCCGCCCACCGAAGCCGTCGCCGCCTCTTTAGAGTCAGCAAATCATCCGGAGAGATGTACGAGCGCAAAGCAAAGGCTCCAGGAGGGATGCGCCCGAGTAGCTGAGATAAGACCGGGGAATGTGACGAGCCAGTCTTTGAGATCGTTCCAGCCCGGGCAGAACGAGCCTTGCCAGGCGATAGTGTGGATGACGAGCGTCGTGAAGAGAGCGAAGAGACTAAGTATGTGCGATGGCGTGTTGGGGAGGGCGACGTGTTGAGCATGGTGGATGGTGGTCGTATGCAAGTGCCAAAAGCGCGATCGGACTGAACTCGAACTGTATGCCAACGCGTCGCGGTGGCGCGTGTTCGCGCGTCGATTTAAATATCATAAACCAAGACAATCGAAAGATGAACGATATTTCTACAGAGCTGTGATTGAGCAGGGTATCTATATCAACGCCTAACTATCTACACTTCACCACCTCTCTACCCACTATCATAGTCCTTGAATCCAACCCTTACCAGCACTCGCTTCATAAACATTCCTAAGATCCAGCATGCACTCCAGCCATTCACCGCACACCCCCAACGCGCGCCCAAAACATCTCCTCCCGCAGACGCACGACCTCGCGCCACGTCCGCTCCTCCCACGTCGCGTCCGTCGTGAATCCCGAGTCGGGCGGCACCTCCTTCTCCGCCTCTACCTCCGTCTTCACCTCGGGTTTGCTCTCGTCCTCTGGCTTGACAGCCACCTCGGCCACATTCCCACTCGTAGCGCCCGGAACAGGAGCGAATGTAAGCTCGGACTCGGCTTCGGATGGAGTGGCGGGCATCTCGACGTCTTCTGCGGCGGGCTCGACAGCTCTGTCCACATCAATCTTGTCTGCTCCCTTGTCTTCATGGGCCTGAGCTACTTCGTCGGCTTCCAACTCGCCAACCTCTGTGTCCTCCGACTCCTCCACCACAGCCTCCACCTCCTTCTCTCCAGCCACCGGAGTGGCCTCGGGTTCAGGCGCGGCGACCAGCGCACCAGGCGGTGTAGGCGCAGGCCGCCTCGCAGCCGCCCTCCTCGAAACCGGAGGCGGAGCTGCTGCACCCTGAGGTGCCGGCGCTGGAATCGCATTCTCTTCACCCCCGTTCGCAAGCCCTGTAGGATTAGGTGCAGGCGAATCAGCGCGCGACGGCGGAAGCGGCACCGCACCGGGCGAGGGCATAGCGCCCGCGTCGAGCGAGCGCATGTGCGCTGCGTTCGTCGCTGCAGACAAGTCCAGCGACTTGCGCACGGCTGGAGACGCCGAGGCGAAGCTGCTTTGATCGGCCCCGGGGGTAGCGGGAGGCGTGGCGAGTGAAGAGTTGTCGGCGAGAGCCTGCTGCGCGGGGACATCGTCTGTGTCCGGGGGCGTGACGAAGCCGTCATTGTTGTCCCTGTCTTCAGATGCTGCCAGTGTCTCTGTCGATGTCTCCTTCTCTTCCTGTTTCGCCTCGTCTTCTTTCACCGCCATCTCTTCGTGCTCGTGCTCATGATGCCCGTGCTCATGCCCCGCATCAAACAGCGTCTCCTCCTGAACATGCCCATGCTCGTGCTCCTCATGCTCTGCAGGTTCCCCACCGTTATCCTTCTCCCCACCCTCATCCATCTTCTTTTCCCCCATAGCCTCCAAATCATCCGGCACACTCGGCACCGGCTTCCGATCCGTATTCCTCCTCGGCAACGGCGGTGGCTTCGGCGGTGGCACCCCCGCCCCGCCGCGAACTCATGCGGCACATCGGGATGCGATGGCGGCGGCGGCGGCAGCCCCTTCCCCTCCCTCCCCAGCCCATCCTTCACCAGCTCCACACCACCGCTCTCCCCGCTCGCCCGCGCACTATGATCCGCACTCACATCCCGCGATCCCCACCTGCTCCCGGCCCTGCCCTTCCCGCGCTCCTGCAGCGCCTCACCCAGCGCGCTCGCCATACCCCACAGCCCCCTCCTCCTCGGCGGCACAGGCGGCGCCTTCTCCCCTCCCGCACCGTTCTGCGCCGCAGCACCCACACTACCAGCCGCCATCGTCGAAGGATGCGACGGCGGCGGAGCAATCTGTTTCCCAGGCGACCCCCCACCAAATCCAAAGCTGATCCCCTTCTGACTATCCCTATCCCTTCCAGGCGTGCTCGGGCGTGTCGGCGGCGAGCCGGGCACGACCACCGGCGCATGCTGCGTCTGCGCATGCGGCGGGAGCGACACCGGCTCCTCCCACACGTGCTCGACGATCCCGCTCCGCACGAACGCCCAGAGCGAACACGTGCTTCTCATCCGTGTCAGGCAGTAGTTGGACGCGCAGAGCGGGTACGGTGTCGCCTGTTGCGGCTGTTGCTGTTGCTGCACACCGGGGGTGCGCGCTGGCGACACTGTGCTTAGCTGCCTGATGCTCTGGGCCGAGGACGACGCGCGCCTGGGGGACGCGGGCGGATGCAGGTGCGCGGGGTGCGATGGCGGAGGGGAGGATGCGGAGAACGGCGTCGATGCCAGCGCCGCGATGGACGAGCTTTGCGTGTTGAGCCGGAAAATGAAAATCTGTTCCGGCACCGACACCGGGATAGCCTCAGTGGCTGTGGGCGAGGAAGACGTCTCCTCAGCGACGAGATTGCTGTTAGAGTTGGTGCTCGTCAGCCCTCTCAGCCACGCGGCTGAGTTGGACGACAAGTTGCGCGTGAGGGTCAGCGAAGTCAGGGGATTCTGACTGCTCCTCCGCTCCTGCGGCCTATCTTTGCCATCGCTGCCGAGCGCTAAGCCCGGCGGAGTCGGCGGTGGGAGGATAGAGGTGCCACAAAGAGCGCAGGAAAGCGTCACATTCGCTGGCAGAGGGTTGTTCTCCGCATAAGAATGCGAGGGATGTGAAGGGGGCGAGGGGAGCGCGATGTGCGGATAAACTTCTTGCAGAAGCGAGAAAAGGGGAATGGGCTCGATAGAGAGCATGCCTGTGTGAATGGCTGCAAGGACAGAGCGTCGGGTAAGCCAGTTGAGCGAAGGGGCGAGGTCGAGGCGAAGTGTGGGTTCCCTAGAGATCGGTGTTAAACGACAAGCTAAAGTCGAGAGAAAGTACAACATACGAGTCTTCAGTGAGCAACCGCGCGGGGAACGGCAAACTCAAGAGCGACGACATAGCCGGCGGATGCGCGTTGCCCGACGCCCTCAGCGACCTCAGATGCCCGACGAACGACAAAAAGTCCGTGAACGGCTGATGCGTGTTCATCAGCCTCAGCTGCCTCTCCAGCACCATCCCGTCTTCTCCAGGCCCCCGATCGACCCATTTGCCCTTGCCCATCCGTATCCTCGCGCGCTCGGCCTCGGTCCGTGCGTTCTCCCGATCGGCCATGAGATCCTGCATCGCCGTCTGCATCGCGCGCACGGCCTCCTCGGCCGTCCTGAGCGCCTCCTCCGCGTCGCCCGCCTTGCGCTCGCTCTGGGCCGCGGCAAAGCGCGCCTCGGCGACCATGGTGTTTGCCTGGTCGAACAAGCTCGCGCTCAGATCGTCGAGGTCCTTCTCGATGTCATGCTTTGCGCTCTCAGCCTGCCCGCGCTGGGCGGCCTCGAGCGTCGCGCGTTCCATGAGGCGGTTGAGCTCGGCGGTGACGTGCTCGCGCTCGACGAGCAGGCCGGTATTGAGCGCGGCGAGGTGCTGGGTGCGTTCGAGCTCGAGCTCGGAGACCTGTAAGGTAGCGTTGCGCAGGGAGGCGGAGGAGACGTGCATCTGGTCCTCGAGATCGGAGACGCGGTCATAGGAGGAGACGAGCTTGGAGTTGAGCTGGGTGACTTGCGTGAAGAGGTCGGTGACCTGGGAGCGGAGGGAGATGATTACTTGGGCTTGGGCATCTGAGGCGTCGTCGTCTTTCTCGTGATCTGATGCTGCAGCGAAAGTGAGTACTAGTATGCGTCGGGCTGTTCGAGGCGCGTATATACTCACCATGTTCGGTGGTCCCATTCTCCCCTTTCCCTACACCATTGACATGAGGATGATCGAGGGTATCCTCAGCGACACCGCTCTCGTGCGTGTCTCCATTCAACTTCTGCAAGTCGTCCGGAGGTTGTGTTTGACCGTCCACTTCAACGACGGAAGCCATAGCCAGTTATAGGTTATCGTGTGTGCACCAGAATGAGCGTCGAAGTAGCGCCCTTGAGGTGTCTGTAAACCTTGTACCACTCTGGGAGTCCTGCGGGTCAACAAGGATCAGTGGCTGTTGAAGTCGGTGAATAGGGAACGTGTCATCACGTCAAACATTCCTCCCATCAAAGGGGTTCCTTTCACCCAAACATGGAAAAATGCCCCCTATGTCTTCAACACTTCCCCAACACCTCCACGGTCAGAATCCAGATACTATGACATGTGTACACCATTTAGTAATACGATATCTCGTCATGACTTTACAACACCCTTCTCAATCCACTTCTGATGCCGCCACATTAGCTCCCTGATAATCTCTTCCTCAATCTCCGTATGCGCAGTCGGACTGGTCTCTATCCACGTCTCCGTATATTCTGCACCACCCTTCTTCCCCTCTCCATCGACCTGTTTCCCACCTGTTGATGGCTCAACAAGAACGACCCGGTACTTGCGGTGGTGCAGGTCGTTCCCGATCACGACCTGGTGGCCGTACCGCTCGAGCGCCTGCCGCGCTTTGGGTATCAGTAGATTAAGGTCCGTTTCGAGCTGGGAGGTTTCATATGCATGAGTTGCATGAAGGGTGAGGAAAGGTAAGAACGTACCTTGAACGACACGATGTATCCCTCCCGTGCCCACTCTTCTACCATCGGCTTGAGCACCTTCGGCACCTGGTCCATCTCGATATGCAAGCTCCCTTTACCCGACTGGATCTTATGCTCCGACTATGCGTTCAGAAAACACCATAATCAGCTCGGAGTAGAGATACAAACACATCGCAGCTATACTCACCATCTTCTGCCTCGGCAAAAAGAAGTCGCTAACAGCTGCAGCGAGATAATACATCCCCCTCCGGCCCAGCACACCCATCTCCTGACTGATCGCCCGCAGCAGCCACAGATAATCGTTCACCGTCACGAACGTGAGCGTGTGCAGGAGTCCCTGAGCGTGCACGTCCTTGTACGCCGATAGAACAGACAGCAGCTCCGCGTGCGACTCGGGCTGGATCCGTATCTGCGCGCCGGCGCTTGCCGTTGCGGAAGAAGTGGGCGGCTCGATCTCGAGAAAGTCGAGGAACGGGTTCGTCGAGTGCGAGTAGTGCCGGCTGAACGGCTGCAGACTGAACTGGCGGTGCATGAAGATGACGGCGTAGCCGGACTTGAGGAAGTACTCTGCGGATGTCGCACCTCGCGTCCCTGTTGTACGCATCGTTACCGTGCGTGCGCCCCGATGGTGAGCATGTGGTGTGGCCGATGTTGAGTGACGCGAGGAGAAAACACGCACCGGCACTGAAGTTGTCCAAGAACCGCACGCTGTTACGTCCTCGATCAGCCTCCCCGTTCTTCCTCCAGCTGGTCAAGATGCACGACGCTCACACGTTCAACTCGAGCGGGACAGTCGTCCCACCGCTCTACCGGTCAGCTGCATCGTCAGCCAAATCACGCACAGGATCAAGCAAGAATGGAGCGCACCGTCACAAGCACAACGTTCCTCCCGCTCGCTGCGTGCCGCTTGATGAACCCACTAACGTTCTCGACATCCAGCTGCAACGAAGTAGGTGGGGGTTGCGTCGCGAAGTAGCTCTCCGCAGAGAAGACGGTAGTTCCGTCGACCAAGGGCGGCGCTGTAGCCATGTTTGAAGTCTATGACGATGACGGTCGTGGGGCGTGATGTCTGAAACTTGAAGCTGGGTAAGTTTCAGCGCCAGCGATGAGGTTCCAAGCATAGGGTAGGGGCAAGCTCAAGTGAGCACGGGCAGGACCTGACACATTCGATGCGACTGGCTTACCTGGACCTGATCCTTGTTTCTTTCCTCACGACCACGTAGACCGGAACAAGTTCACCGGAGAGACGGATCGAAAGTTGCTATCGGCAATGCGCGGCGAGCCCAAACCGTTGGATTAACAGCGGGGCACTATGTGAGAAAGAGTCCAGCGCGATCCTGCGATCCTGCGAAACATGGGCACCTAATGACCACTTGTTGTTCTGGCGCAGTTCAAACGCGGCTTACCGTCGTGGCGAGAATAGAGTGCGTATAGCGTCAAAAAGAGATTGGAGAGAGAGAAATCGGTAACACGACGTTGCCCCGGAGCACCGCGTCGGGCCCTCTTCCGGATTCCGCTACAATACGCTTCCCACGCCTCGCCCACGTTTCCGCCAGGTGTCCGCAACGCTTCTTCAAGGTCTCCCTTGAAGTCAATCACAGACAAGCTCATTTTACAGCTTGCTGGTAAGTATACAACGATATCTAGCTACATTAATCATACTCACTTGGTAAGGATTACACAGGATCGGTTCTGATATCGATGCTGAAATGGCCTCCAAACGCTCAAGTCCACAAGCAAGTCCACCTCCCAGAATCCATATCCATTCTCTAGCCAACGAACTCCTTGCGTCCATATTCGCATTTTGCGCTGAGGAATTCCTTACAACTGACAGCAACATCGATGTCTACCCATTCCTCTCTGGAACCCATAGATCAAAGCCGCCCCACGCATGTTTGCCAGAGTGTCGCCAATGGACCAGAGTACTGCATGTCTGCCGCCGCTGGCGTGACGTAGCCCTACCCAATCCAGCTCTGTGGGTATCTCCCAACTTCTCTGTCGACCAAAATTACACGCGCAAGATGCTCGATCTCTCCAAAAGTTCGCTTCTCGCACTGCGGCTTAAGTCTATTGACTTTGGTCGATGGAAAGTCTTGGAAGATTATAGTTGGTTTTCACGGTGCCGCGAACTGCGCCTACAACTGGGTGGGTATGCACGACCTGATCCCTTGATGAGTCAGATGACAATCAAGCCAGCCTCTTCCCTCGAAATTCTCTCCATACAGCTCGACACTCCCAACCAAGGATTCGCGATACCGATGCATTGGACGGAGACAGCATTGAAACTAAAAACGCTAGCTCTTAAGGGATGAACAACATTTCTTCCGCCTTACACCCTTATTTCTGGAGCACTACAATGCAGCGATGTCATTGAGGGACCCGCTATCAATCACTAGAGACTTAAGCGCATGTGTAACACTCCCAAACTTCCGCAGCCTCTCCGTGGCATGCACACTGCTCTCCGTTAACGTGGTAGCTTCCCTCGCGCCATCTCTTCCGCTTCCGTGTTATGACTCCGAGAGTCCTGAATGCGATGATAACCATACTGCCGGATATACCTCCGATGACCCTATGCTTAGCATGGAGATCCTGCGTCGCGGTTATCTGTCCACAGCCCTCGTACTCGATGTTCTCCGCGCTATCCCGCTGGAGGCCATCACCTTCCTCAGCATCTACGATCTCAACCTTCATTCCGATCAGTGGAAGGAACTATGACCCACGGTGCCCACTTTACGCGTTCTTCGCGGCAGGAGGCGTGTACCTCACCATGCGGCCTCTCATTCTCTCCATCACCCCCACCGTGCCGCTTGACGCTTCCCCGGCTTCATCGGAACTTGAGCTTGAAAGCCATTTGCTGCTCCCCAACCTTGAAGAGCTGCAAATCCACCACACTCGCGACTTTCGCCCGTCCGAGAACGAAGTCTCCCGGTATACGCAGCTACGCGAGTGCCTCAGGCAACGAGACGCCGCTGGCACGCGCTTGCGTCTGCTGAAGGTCGAGGAAGGGACGTCTAACTTCCACATGAACACGGAGCAAAACGTTGAGGAGATGGGGCGAGATCGCTCAGTGGATGAGGTTGTTTGGATTTGGCCATATAAGAAGGAGCCCGTGTCCGCGTAGAGCTTCGTAGCTTCGTCGAAGGCCAAATTTGGCGGTGGGAAGCGAACATTTAACACTTATAAGAGCATGGTATGTGGAGCTCGGACTTCGAGCAGTAATTGTGTAGTGTAGCGGATGGGATATGTAAATGCCTGAAACCATCATCGACGAGTCAGCACAGCAGCATACGGAGCGACAACTGAGAGGTGTTTCGTGCGGAGTATCCTAATCAGAAAAGCTCGCGGAGTCAGCGGAGTTGAAATATGGACGGGGCAAGTGTAATCGACTACCAGCTGAGACAGCCTCATCTCGTACTGTTTCTTTCAAGGAAGGGTCGTCTCCGAGGTATTCAGAAACCTTTCATTCCACCTTATACACCTCCGATCCTGACGTGAGCTTCAGGCAGCTCAGCAAACCCTATACTATGTCCTCCCCGGGAGAGACAGACCCAAACTTGCAGAACGGAAGCCCACCCATCCTAAGTCTACCCAACGAGCTTTTTTCAGACATTTTCGTTCAGTGCATTGGACCCGTCATCCCGCTCTATACTGGTCCAGACGTGTGGCCTTTACTCACGCATCGCAAACCGAGCTGGCGCATAAACGACATATCTGAATCGCCCGACTTCATTACGCCCCGTCTGCAGAAGTGGGTTAGCCTCATGCTCGTTTGTCGGCGCTGGTACCGCATTCTGATCCAGACACGTGTAATATGGAGGTCTCCGGTGTTCGATCAGGAGCATCTTGCCCTGATGATGATATCGCATTCGAACGAGGTTCCACTCCTTGTTCGCAACGACCTACGCAAAGAACAGCCCTGGTTCAACGAGTTCTTGGGTCCTCAACAAGGGCTTTCTCGCTGTAGAGAGCTGATTCTTAACATCTCCCTCGATAAAGAACTGGAATTACGCAATCTCGCTGCATGCTTATCTACTTCTGCACCTCAGTTGGAGGTATTGAGCTTGCGCGCCGCCTATGGTTCCAGGCACCCCAATGCTACACGCCTTCCGGAAGCGCTTCTGCAAGGTGCAACCGAGCTGAGAACGTTAGCTCTTGCAAACTACAGTATACAGACCTTTCACCACCTACCTTTTCGCAACCTTGCGGTGCTGGTGCTCTACGAAGAGGGTGGACTGCGCTGTACAATCTCTGAGGTTGCAACGCTGTTGAGGCAGACACCGCGCCTTCGAACACTGGTTCTGTGGAGCTTTGACCGAAGGCACAGCACAGGCGCGCCCCTGACTCTTCCTTCAAGCTCTATTGTAACCCTACCTGCCTTGTCTAAAGCGTCCATCTCCGGTGATCTAACCCAAGTCGTGAACATGTTGTGGCATCTCTCCTTTCCTTCCAGCGCCACTCTCGAACTGTATGCTCCCTGTCCACAATCCAGCGATAGCATCTCGCAACTACAATCCTTACTTCGGAGACATTACGATGGGACAAAGCTACTTCAGACAACCAACACAGGAATCGAGACTGCGGAGGCACGTTGCGTAGATTCTGAGCTACTAAGTGCCTCGGTGGACTGGACCATCGATACTCTGACCGTTAGAGGCTTCGCAACATCTGATATGCATTTAGATGCAAGGGACGATCCGGATCCTCTCATCTCTGTAACACTTGAAGAAGCCCCATTAATACCCTTAAACCTCATTCCGGACGTTCTTCGCACATTAGATGCCAAGACACTGACTACACTCCACATGGCCGAATGGCCGCCTGCGCCTTTCTTTGCGACAGAGGATTTCGGAACAAGGCTTTGGTCGGCCGTACCCAACGTACAGCACCTTGGTATCAAACTCCCCTATGAATCGGACGACCTCATTCGTTCCCTCACTTCCGATCCAACGATGACGCCATCGTGCCGACTTCCTTTGCTCAAGGAATGGCATATACGCGGCACCTCGTACGGTGGTTTATCTCGCCCACATTTGCGTGTGACGCTACGTGACTGCCTGCGATCGCGAGCGTACAGCGGCTTTCGACTACGTCTTCTACGATTCGACAAATGCGGGAAATCGGTGGGCCGATATGCCGAGGAGATAATCCAAGACGACTCTGTTGATGAAGTGACTTGGGAGACGTCTGCTTAAGGGGCATGGCCTGGCGGGGGGAAACTGTGGCCGGTGGTTGACATGAAGATGCAGGTTAGACGAGGGAGGCTGCGTATAGTATCAGAAAATATGTAGAGCATTGTACGCCGCGTCTTCATGATGGTCGCATCCCAACTCTTTGTACGCATACCTCGGATTGAGCAAATTATCAGCAGCATTGTTAAACGACTTGTTGACAGATGACACTATATAGGACGCTTGAGAACGGCAAACGAAGCGATCCTCGCAGTCCATCGAAAATAGTACAACACTCAATAAGCTGTAATAATCTAGCTTAAGTTGCGTCTTCGTAGCTATGAGTAGCATCAAAAGCAGTCAAAAACCGACTGAAGTCGTCCATTGATAATCCTCTTGGTAGAGGCATTGCTATGACCCTTTCATAGGTTAGCCTCACCTTCTCCACTATTCCGACATCGGGCGGCCACGTCGCACCGAATTCGTTGGCTTCCCTCTCCACAACACGGAGCGGGAACACACATGCCATGAGCGCCATCGGGAAAGATTCCGGAAGTGGGTCACCCGAGGGCAGAGACGCGCAGGGGTTGAACAGAGCCCTGAGCTTGGGGAAGGAGAACAGCTGCGCGAGGATCAGAATCAAAACAACGGGATCCCCCACGCGCGAGTCGGAGAGAGACAGTGCCTCCACTTTTTTGCTCCTGACTCCACCAGCAGGTGCGGCGGAGGGAATGTCGATGAGCTGTGATGCATCGATTGGCAGCGCAATGGACCGCAGCTGCAAACAGTTGCGGACAAGCGAGTACAGACCATCGATGGTGACGCTCGGTTTGCCCCAGCCGGCGACTTCATTCAGCGCGATCTCATCGAGGTTGGGCCAAGCGCGGGACAGCTCCTCGATATCGCCATCTGTGAGCACGAATGGGCTCTTCACCTCGACCTTGAGCGTGCGGAGGGAGGCATGCCGCAAGAGAGGGCGGATTGTGTCGAGTGTCACGGGAGGTCCCAAGTCCGTCATGTTGCGGATGTACAGGGAAGCGCTCGAGCGTGCGCAATGCATGCGGAACATAACACTGACCATGTCGCCGCCACGAGACGTGCCTACGAGGCGGAAAAACTTTGTAATGGCCTCGAGGGAGGGGGAAGCACATGTTTCAACAGAGAACGAGCTCGGGAAGTTTCGAAGTCGATGGGATAAGGCGATTGCGTCGAGGACGTCCTCGACGATGATATTCAAAATACACAGGGTGCGAAAGTCATAGATCGCTGGGCTACTAATGGTATGTAGTGAGTCGCTGGGGGAAGCGACTTTGACAGGCGACGAATCGAGAGTGAGCGTGTCCAGAGATCGCAGACGGCTGAGGTTTGCCATCGCAGTTTTGTCTAGCATCGGACAAAACAGATTCGTGAGGCTCCGCAAGCGAGGTATGGTGTCTGAGATAACTTTGACTGCCCAAGAAGGAGACTTATGGCCGCCAGGTCTCCACTTGATCTCTACCTTTGTGAGATCGGGACACGCATCTGGGAGGGAAGCGATGAACGATCGCGCTGCTGTAGCTTCCTGGGAGAAGCTAGGTGAGAGGATCAGATCGAGTCCCTCCATACGGGGCCCGAGCAAGAGGCGATGATATGGGACAAGAGGACGTCCCTTGGTCTCGCGGAGGACAAGGTGAACAAGTCGCGGGAAGGCACTCCCTAAATGAGTGGGGCGCGAAGCAAGTAGCTTAAGGATGGCATGCACGGTTGAATCAAAATCCGGGATGATGATACGGCGTAGGCGAGAAGAGGAGTTATGGAATCTGGCCCACTCAGTCGGAGTCAAGGGTTTGATGTCGACCTGCGTGGTTCAATGGGTTTGCACCATAAAACATCTACTAGAAGATGAAATGACATACTTAACATTTCTCTTCCCTTCAGTGCGCACCAATGCATGCTCCGGCAGAGAAGATAACAGGCAAGAAAGATCGAAACATAGCTCCCAGAGAACATCGAGAGCAGGATTGTTGAATGCCCTGCATGTTCGAGCGAGGAGCGCCAGAGTTTGCCCATCAAGCTGTAAGAGGTAAAAATGAAAGATGTGGTAGAGTATTTCAGGCAAGTTGAGTGCAGCGTGCATCATGAACGAGAAGGTGATGGTTGAAAGCAAACCGTATGCGTATATCGCTTTGCGTGTTTGACAGGTGGCGTGTGCGCTCCGGCATGTTGCGGGTACTATGTGAACTCTAACACAAGCATTTCTCGTTGGATAGCATAAAATCGAATACATTGATGCTATTAATTGCTCAGCATGCGCTCCTGTCAAGCTGTGGGCTCATTAAACTTTTGCGGCGAGAGATCATGGGCTTGCAACCCATACGCGGCGGACGAAAATGTCAAACTACCGCTAACATATCGAGTACGCCACACAGCCAGTTATACATACGAGGCCAAATTCCCAAAAAGACTCGTCAAAAGCCCCATCGGACCTGTGGTCCTAGTCATTTCCACAACATCATCGTACGTCTTCCGAACTCTCTCCATGACATCATCCGAAGGCGGCCACGTCTCCCCAAATGCCCCTCCCTCCTCCATCGCCCGAAGCTCCTTCAAACAACTCATCGTAGCCCAGGGAGCCGAAAGTGGCAACCTCTCCGCAGTTGATGACGACGCATGACAATCAAAATGCAGTATGAACGATGACGAGAAAAGCTGCGAAAGTACCACCACGAGCACGGCCGGGTCCCCAATGACGCAATCTGCCAAGTTTAGCAGCTTCACGCGGCCATTCCTTACACCGTCTGCCGGCGTGGAGGAGGGCAGGACGACAAGCTGCGATGCGTCGAGCGACATACCAATATGTTCCAGACGGCGGCAGTTGCGCACGAGCGCATACAGGCCCTCAACTGTCACAGCAGGGTCCCCCCAGCCGGTGTTCTGGTTCAGTGAAAGATGCTCGAGGTTCGGCCACGCGAGAGACATCTTGTCGACGTCTGCATCTGTGAGCGCGCACGGACTCCCGACATTGATCTGGAGAGTGCTCAATTTCTCGAACCGCAGGAGAGGGGCGATTGTACTAATGGTGATTGGAGGTCCGAGTTCCTCTATTTCGCGCACGTGCTTGACGACAGCAGATGACTTGGTGCAGTGGTGCTCAACGGCAATCTGCTCCATGTCAGGGGGACTGTTCTCGCCGACAAGACGGAGGAACCACTCCATGTGCTTGAGTTCGGGCGATATAGAAGCTTGGACGGTGATTGACAAGGAAGGGTAATTCTGAAGCTGATGCAAGAAGACGATCCCGCAAACAATGTGCTCCAGTGTCATAGAAATGCCCTGCAAGTGGCGAAAGATGTAGGGGGGATTTCTGCTCATCATATGCATGCCCTCGGCAATGGAATCGAAAAAGACGGGTGAGGAATGTAGATCAAGGACTTTGAGAAACGGCAGCTTGCTGAGGGAAATCATAGCTTCTGTGTTCAGAGCCGGACAGCGAAGGAGCTGAAGGCTTCTTAGGTGAGGGATCGCCTCCGAAAGTGCCTTTACAAGTTGGGCGGGAACAGGATCCTGGACACCTAGCTCCCACGAGACGTCTAAGTATCCGAGATCTCGACAGGTCTTCGGGAGAGAAGTGATGAGAGATGGAGTTTTCAAGTCGCTGTCGGAGGGTTCATGTGAGAGTTTCAAGCGGAGATCTAGTAAACGTGGTCCTAGTAAGACGCAATAATCGAGGGAGAGGCGTCTGTCTTTAGGTTCGCTGATGAGAAGATGTGTGATCCTTGGGAAAGCGTGGGGTCCTAAGCGCGTGGGTCGAGCAAGTAGGAGCTTGAGGATAGAACTCGTTGTCGCTCCACCCTCTTGGACACCAAGTTGGAGAATGCGACTTGAGTAACTGTGAAAAATCTCCCATTCGTTTGACGTCAGGGTTTTGATATCAACCTGGGATGACCCAGTGGTTTGAGTAAGTCTCGCGTTACGAACGAGAGCGATAGATGAACACGTACAATATTGCCATTGTTATCACGCACCAACGCGCGTTTCGGTAAGGCATGGGTCAGGGCTGAAATATTACGACAGATCTCCCAGATGAGATCCAGCGTGGGATCCTTGAATGCCCGGCAGGTCCGAGCCAACACTACTAGGGTACGCTTGTCGACCTCGCAGCTGAAGATCTCGAGCAGAACGTCAGACACAGCGAGAGCGCGATGCATTATGAGAGGGTTATGAGGGTTATCAACAAGGCGTACGAGCGCCAGTTGGCGAAGTTGATTATGGGTCCATCGATGTCCCGCACAAATTTGGAACAACGCCAGATGTGTTGACTCGTGCAAAGAGGCGTGGGAAAGCACTATTGCAACCATGACAAGCCGGTAATTGTGTCACCTTTTACGGTTTACTAATTTGCCATCTTCTGTTGTGATCTCTTGCGAGTATGCGCTGTAAAATTCTATCGAATCAACGTCAACATCTGTGGATGAGCTTCTGTAGCAATGTCACCATACACACAGCTCTTAACCGTATACTATGCTGTTCTCAAGGCAATACAAACAATGACGGCTACGGTAGGCAGAACAAGTTGTGGGACATTACACACTCTGAAATTATCGTATCATGTCTACTGAACTAATATGTAAGAAGCTTTGCAGAAAGTGACTGAGACCAGTTCACCGTCGTATCTCCCTCTCACAGATCTCCCTCAGCGTCTCCATCACCTCTTCACCAGGAGGCCACTTCCGCCAAAACGCCTTGTCATCTCTCTCCATCTCCCTTATCTCTCGAATACACGCTGCGACCGACGTCTCATGGCGTATGACTTCCAAGGGGTGGACCGGAAACTTCTCCACACGAGGAGCAAACGACTTCGCCGTGAACAAGCATGCCAGAAGTAGCGATAGAGTCACCGGGTCCCCGATGCGCGAGTCGGACACCGGCAACGTGGGCACGATGTCGTTAGCGTATCCGTCGGCCGGATATTCCCGTGGCAAACCGTACAACTTCGACGCATCCAGCGAGAGCCCAATGTATGCGAGGTCGCAGTTACGAATGAGGATCTCGAGTCCCGTAACGGATAAAATGCCTTCGCCCCAGAGATTCTTCTCGTTGAGTCTGATATCCACCAGGTTCGGCCACGCGAGCGACAAGTCTTCGATATCTGCATCGCTAAGAGAGATAGGGATCGTAACCTCGATGTCAAGCGACCTGAGCGAGCTGAATTGTCGCAGAGGGGTAAATGTATGGATAGTGATAGAAGGGCCATGGTGACGGTGAATGCGCCCCATAGGCCAAAAGGAGTCCATGGAAGCTCTTTCGTATACGACTTCGACATTGTGTACATTGAGATTGTTGCGTGGAATATCGCAGAAGAAAGATTCAAGGGCCGGAAGGGATGGCGAAGTGTGGACGTGGGCGGCGAATGAACCCGGGAGGCGTTCTAGTAGTTGAAAGAAGGACGTCATTTTAGCCAGGTCCCAAAGGGTGACCCCTAAGAACTCAAGGTTTGCAAACTCGTAGACGTCGTTTGCGCCTTGAGCGAGGTCAGTCACCGATTCTTCGAGGACAAGATATTGCAACGAGGCCAGCTGACTGACTTGCGTCATACCGTATGTATTGAGCATCGGACAGATAAGTTCCTCGAGAGATTTTAGCTGAGGCGCTGTTTCAGAGATCACATCAACCGCCCAGTCGGCAGCATGATAAATCTTCCATATGACCTGCAGATGCCTGATATTGGGACACACCTCCGGGAGAGACGCGATGATAGCCTTCGTCACGTCGTCGTTTACAGATGGATTCCAGCCAAGCGTGTATTCGAGATCGATGATGTGTGGGCCTAACAAGAAGCGATACTCTGGAAAGCGAAGACTTCCCTTCTCGTCTACGACAAGAAGGCGGCGGAGCTTCGGAAACATAAAGCCCATGTCAGGGGGAGGCGATGCCAGTAAGTGGAGTATAAAGTTCCTTGTAGGATGGACCTCTGAGATAGCAACGTCTTTCACGCGGGAAGAGTAACTATAGAGCCTTGACCACTCGTTCGGTGCCAGAGGCCTAACGCCAACCTTCAAGCAATAGGTCAGCATGAAAGCATTAGAGCTTTCGGTCCGAGCAAGAGAGAGTTTGACGCACGTACAACTTCTTTCTTGCTATTCCGCTCGAGCACGCTCTCTGGAAGCGAGCGGATAAGACGAGGTAGTTGGTATATATACGCCCACAGCGCATCGAGAGCGGGTTCCTTGAACGACCGACAGGTCCGTGCCAGAGCAGCTAGAGATCGGTAGTCGACCCCTTCAATTGTGTCTTCCCCGGTTTGTAACCACGAGAATATTTCTGATAGTACTTCTACCATGCTGAGAACGCGATGCATTGCAGGGCCAATACAGCGTTGACACTCTTGAGGTTGTCGCTTGGGTTGTCGCCAAGTTGTCGCTCACAAAATATGCACTAATTGCACCTGATATCGCGCTGGTGGCGTGGGACAAAGTTATCGGAGTCTCCCGATGCCGGAGTTCGGCGGCTTCCTTGGGCCACGGGCCCGGAGCTTACCTGACTCACGTACGCACGCGCTTGAGATCCCTGCTCGGAGTATAACTCGCCGTTTACATTGTACGATGCCCTTGTTTCAGTACATTTCGAGCCTCCAACTGACGCGAACTCAAGATACGTAGGTGTTGTCGGAGATCAAACTTGACCGTTCGGACTGTTTCATGTCCTGTGCTACCACATCGCAAGATCTGGCACCGATCCCACCGATCCTGCTCCTCCCTGACGAGATTCTTTCAGATATCTTCCTCTTATGTTGTAGGACATGTCTTCATCTGCACGCAGATGCAGACGCATGGCCGCTCCACGCCAGGCCGAGCTGGCACACGCACAACCACTCCTGCACCAGCCGCTGCTGGGACTGGCTAACATGCAGCGCGATGCTTGTATGTCGTCGCTGGCGTGATGTTCTAATCGGTACCAAAACACTCTGGGCCTGCCCTTCCTTCGATCACGAACACATGTCGGATATCAAGAGACACGAGATGTTCTCCGTCTGCGGTGACGCTCCGCTCATCATACGGCACATACTCACCGGAACCGACACTAGCATGTGGCTCGCTGACTTTTTAGGACCTCAAGGCGGTGTATCTCGCTGTCGAGAGCTCATGATTGAGATATGCAAGAGCCCAAAGGCCAACATGCAAGATCTCTTTAACGTATGGCCCGAGTCGGCGCCGTTCCTTGAGGTGCTTTCTCTGAGCACCGACTGCTTCGGGCATACCCGGTCACCATGTCTTCCATTGACGCTTTTGAGAAGCGCTCCTCGCCTCCGTACGCTGTTTCTCGACAATTGCGCACTCGATCATGAGACCTGGCGTGCATTTCCCCTCCATAGTCTAACGACCCTGGCAATTTGCGATATCTGCAAAGATGGCCTCAGTCCCACGACCGCTGACGTTCTCGCGCTTCTGCAGCAGACATCGCAACTGCAGACTCTTGTGCTGTGGTGCCTTGATGGTGACGCAGAGGTTAATCCCCTTCAATATCCGGATATCATTGCTTCCATCCCCGAGATATCCCGAATCTCTCTTTGTGGCTCTGGCTTACAACCGCTTGAAATTATGCAGCGCATCATCATCCCTGTGTATGCAGTCCTCGAGCTGAAGTTTTACTACATAAGGTCCGAAGATAACGTTCCTTCCCGCCTCGCTGATGTTTTGCGGGCTCATTGGAAGGTGTCGACCCTCCTTCAAGACCCCATAGCCATCGTCGATGCCCCAGACAACTTCGACGCCCCTCCGAGTCTGCGCAGTGCCTCAGTGACATGCTCTGAAGATCGAATCAGCATCATGGGTTACGTCCATCCCACAATCTCCCCACAGCGCGACTCAACCGGGCCTCATGATCCCCTAGTACACATAGAGCTCAACGACACGCGGTTCAATCCTGTCCCCTCCATCCCCTCCCTCCTCCGTGCCCTGCGTGCCTATACAATCACATCCCTGCATCTTACCGAGCTCAGCCTGATTGGCGCTCTAGAATGGCAGGAGCTCTGGTTCATCATACCCGCAGTACGCGTTCTCCATGTCACCAAGCTTTCACCCGCTGTAGTTTCGCCCTTTATCCTCACGCTCACTCCCCATCCTACTATCGCTCAGCAGTGTCTACTCCACGCCCTCCAAGAACTACGCCTCCACGAGGCTAGCTTCAGCGGAGTCGGAGATACACCGCCTTTCGCGCAGCTGCGCGCATGTCTCAAGGCGCGATCGGATCGCGGGAGCCCTTTGCGTGTTCTCGAGCTCAAGCAGTGCACAGTTATCACGGAGGACGACGTCAGAGCGCTGAGTGGAGATGGGTCCGTTGGGCGAATTGCCAGCGATTGGGACTTAGACGAATTGCTGCCAGTCGAAGACGCGGACGACACGGAGTCAACTTGAATGTGGAGGCCGAACCAGCCTTTGAACGTCTCTCAGGTTGGGTAGGCTCTGGCAATCCACGAATATCCACACTCAATACATCTACTAATTTGATACACGTCATAGCCTCGATCGTCAGACAACAAGGATCAGCCGACTTCGTAGAAACACCCTAGTACATATCAAGCGCACGGGGAGATATTCAGCTCGCGGCGCCTGATGCATTGATGGCACGCTCATGCGAGACCGAGGGTGAAGCCGCGCATATCTACAATTATATCGTGTCAACGTAACCTGGATATCCCACCAATGATAAGCTCCCTGACTTTCGGAGTTACCCTCATCGCTCTTACAAGATTTTTGACCATCCCATATCTAACCTGTTTACACATGGATGAGCGTAGCAACTTCAACAAAAAGGCCATCTCCAGTTGAAATACCCAATTGCAAGCTCTGAAAATCCGATGAATTTCTTCAAGCTGTGCTGCCAAGTAGTATGCAGGCCGAGTACGCCGCCCGCTAGCATCCCGAGACGCGCAGCGAATGCAATGCGCGCTCAAACCGCACGATCTCGTTACGTCCGCACACCCCGACAGCGGTCCGATTCCCGGACGCCAGCATTGTATGACTCGACGTCGCAGTCCAACGAAGGCGAGAAGCAAAAGAAGGGATGGTGTCCCGCGCACCCATATATTCACGTCACAGCTACGCATACCAACATATGTCACCAGACATTCCCAAACAAATCGACCCTCCCTCTTTCGAGAATATGGTCGCCGTATCTGACCGGTGATACGTGAATGGCATTGGCATCGTGATGGGACCGTAGCTCGGTGCTCATTTCCGGGTGATGTCGAGAGGTACTTTGACAGCGAAGCCTATCAGCATCGCGGAGATGTGATACATCATGATCGTCAACGGAGATGCACACGATCGCGGAGATAATTGAGCTCGAGCACTATGCGCCTATTCGAATGACAAAGACGAACACCACATCAGAAGTTGTTCACCTTGAAAGAACCTTATGATAAACTGCATGAAACCTCATGAGAAAGATTGACGTTGTCTCAGAAAAGGTGATATTCGTATGTACCTATCTACAACACAATAACACATATACTAGATGCTGATGAGGTGTATTGTACAAATGCATGATTGATTCAGTGGCGATTATAAAGACCTAAGTGCGCGTAGTCGGCTAACGATATTACTTTTGAACATAAGAAGACGAGATATAAAATTAGTCCCATCCGTAATAGCAGCGAAGAAAACCAGAAGCGATGCAAGAGAAAGACCAAAGATGCGTGTGGTGAAGGCGTGAAGGAGAAAGCGTCCGTTACTTAGGGGAGTAACTCTACAGAGAAAGCCGAAGGACAAGAGTAGACGTCGGTGCGGAGAAGCCGAATGGTATACTATTCCAGGGCGCGAAGGGGTATCGGGGTGAAAGGTAGCACAGCATGGAATTCGGTGGCCGGAGATAGAGTAGCACACAGGTTAGGGTGCCATAGAAGTGCGCCGGGTGACATCGGGTCAAGGTCCCCGATCATGCACAGAAAGTTGGCTGGTACCAAGGGGACCGGCTCGTCACATACGAGGACTGAGTGCGCAGAGGACCAAGAGGTCGACCACCATTGCTGCGGGACGGATTAGATATCTGTTCTACGAGGACTAGATTCATCAACTCACCTAAATGACTGGGTACTAGGCTTGCAATGCATGCGGTAGGAGTTGAAAGCAGCCGAAGTTCTGAGGGTGTCGTCCGAGAGACTGCCAGGAACCACGCCCATATGAGCATGAGCACGATGAGCATCGTTCGACGGAGGAACGCCATAAGAAGGAACGGAGGGCGCCTCCCACGAGTTAAAGACAAACGGAGCAGCAAAGGGATTCAGCCCAGCGTCCGGAGTACCGGCGTAGCTTGGCATGGTGTTATGCCGGAAGAGATGCGGCCTAGCGCCATAGCCCTGTACGAACTGTGCGTTTACGGGGATATTCGAGTAGACCTGGCCTTGAAGACACTGCCGCGCTTCCTGAGCGCTCGCTACGCTGACGTATTCGACAAAGGCAGCAGTGCATCCAGGGTGGGCACCCATAGTAGAGCCGTCAAGCATCCGTACGTCGCGAATCGGGCCGAAAGGGTACAGGAGAGGTTGCAGATCGGAGGTCTGGGAGAACATGATAGAAGGCAGATTGGTGACCAAAAGCATCGCAGTGGGCAGCGGAGAAATCTTGAGACTAGAATGAGACTGATCGTAAAAGGGTTCGGCAGGCTGAATAGAGCACTCCAGCGTTTCAGGCTCAGAGGGGAATCCAGACGAAGAAGATGAAGAAAGCATCATGGCACGATCAGCGCCATCCAAGAACCCTGGAAGATGTAAGCCCGAGGACGAAGCTAGAAAGAGTCACAAACATACCCTGAGATCGCTGCACGACGGCCCAAGAAACATCCAAGATATGGCCTCTGTTAGTAAGGGCTGAGTAAGTCATTGTCTTGGTAGCGAAGAAATGAACCACTTGCTTTAGCTGCATTCTTGACAAAGACGTCATAGCCAGCCTAGCCTCTTCGTGGGTTGACATAACCACAAAGCCCCGTCGACGAGATGCGTTGTCCACTGTTGCAAGGATGACTGCATGCATGACCGTACCGTATCTACCGAACAAGGACGAAAACTCGGACCTACAGGAGACCCTGAGTACGTAGTTCAATCGTCGGGGAAGGGGAACTCACTTGTTCAGGTCGAACGGGATACCCAACACGTAGAGGTTACGACGCATATCTGATCCAGGCATGCCTTGGGCTCGGCTGTCTTTCGTTGGCCGGGCGACTGATCTCGCGCTACACAAAAGGATAAGTTAGGGCTCTTTAGATAGAAGGCGAGGTTTACTTACGGTGATTGGGGTAGTTCTCTCGCGGGAGTAGGTGCTTTGCTGGGGTCAAGTCAGAAAACGCGCGACGATTAAGATGACTGCACTTGCCTGTGTACATGCTTGTTGCTAGTCTCGGTGGAGACAGCGAAGGAGATACGACTTGGCTTATCCGAATTAGGGACGTCTTGTGGACCATATTCAGGAGACGGGAGGACATAGACTGAAGCGAGACTCACCTATCATCTTCTTGAGAATGGAAGTAACACCCCGTCCCTCACCAACTCTATCAACTCTGACGGCAAACGTGTTTTGCTGCATAGCGAATCGACGATACGAAAGATACGCGCTGAAAGCGAAATAGATGTAATGGAGGCTCTGAGGGATGTGCTCGGAATCCGCTTGGGTAACGAGCAGGGCTGAGGAAAGGGGAGGTGGGCGGGGAGGAGACAAGAGAGGTCGGTGATAACCGTCACCTCTCCTGCTCCGCTTTATGTACCCGGCGGCGCGTTTGACGTCACGTGTGGTTACTTTTCGCCTCGGACGTAATACATGCCAACGGCTGCGCTCCTTTAGCTTTATTCTTTGTCTCGGGCATCGTTGGTCAATAGGCAGGTGAAGACCCCTAACGTCCTCGGAAGAAGCAAAACTGATTGAGCCTGACATCATGCATTCCAGACCACCCAGGGGACTTCGAACTCTCTCGTTGACGTTGACATTTCGCTGCTTGGCGGGTGCACTACACGCTGCTCTCCCGAACACAAAGCGCGGAATCGTACATACCACAAAGCTTCTCAGTCAGAATGCCGCAGTCGATCACTCTCTGCACTGCGCTGTCGGCAAGTGCGCGCCGGGCCCTTCGGATAGCCGGGTATGAAACCACGGACGACCTCGCGAACGTCCACGCGGAAGATCTCGCACGAGGCAAGCCAGCCACTCTTTCGATGAAAGGAACATACCTCTGAAATTCTGGTCATTTCCGCGGGCTATCTATTCTCTGGCGCAGAGCTCGGCCTACCTGTATCTGAATGCGACGGCATCTTGGAAGCCACGCAGCGCACCAAGCGTGACATTGTGCCCTCAAGCCAGCCTGCATCGCAGTTGATGGGCGCCGAATACCGCTTCCCCTGTCCGAAGTACGCGTTTATGGACAGGTTACTTCCAGGGGGTCTTTCTCCCGGGCAGATCGTGGAAATCTCCGGGCCTCCTGGAACGATGAAAGACTCAGTAGGGCTCGAGTATGTACGGAGCGCCCTCACCTTCGGCAAAGAGGTTATCATAATTGGTAAATGCTCTCCTCAGCTTGCATTCCATACTTTGCTCATTTCTCTACGAATGGTGATCCCGTTGACCCACAAAAGATTTGCAAAATATGATCACCGCAGGCATACTGCGGAACCTGTTTCAAAGTTAGTGCTCTAGGGAAGGTGCCCGTTCATACAACATGACTCATGTTCGGGCCTCTTTCTTTTGGGTACTCCGGGACCAGTTGGATACAATGCCCTCATACGGTATCTGCACATAGGGAGCCTTCCCGAGCTCATGGTATTTTTGCGTAATCTGCCGTCTTACGTTGGCACAAACGTGAGCCTCTTATCAAAATAGCGACGTTAATTTTTGTCGGCTCACACACGCCGTCACTAGACTGCCCTTCTCATGATTAGTTCCGTCCACTTTCCGTTTCAGCACCACACTCAATTACGGGGCCCAAAACGCGGGGCACTTCTCAAAGTCATCAAACACGCCCTTCTTCCCGCCTGCACTCGCGGTCTCGCTGTAAGCTGCTCCCCTACTCCACGATGTCCAGGCCAACGTTGCTAGCTCTTGAGATTACCTAGGTCATCACGACGTCTCAGATGTCTACCAAGATGCTTGATCAGAACGGAAGGCTGGCGAACTTTGAGACAGGCGTCAAGAGTGTTTTGGTTCCCCAGCTCGGTAAGTCACCAGCACGTTACCGCTCCACTCAAGATCTAGGCCTCGCGGTAATCTTACCCTCAATACCAAGTATCTCACCTCCCATTCGCAGATGGGGGCTACCTCCCTGCAGGATGTACCCACCGTGTAGTGCTCGTGCCGAATTCACCTCGAACCGGGCATGTGTAGCCCTCCTTTTCATCAAAGGACTGAGATACTAACGCTGCGTGGCTGATCGTCTCTCAGAGTTGCTCGTGTCCTATCTGCACCAACACTTCAGCCGGATCAGAAAGGCCCCGAGGCCGCGTACGAGATTGTGAGCCGCCGTCTTTCTCATTCATGCGAGGGTCTAGGCATCCCGCCCATTATTGCAACCAATTGACACATTCGCAGTAATATACCCTACGCCCCATGCGGTTACCGCTGCGAAGCCACTCACTCTGACGGTGGTGCGTAAAAAAGGGGGGCTTTAGCTGGAAACAGAGGCGAGGATCCGACGGTAGTGCGTAAAAGGGGGGTTTAGCTGGAACCAGAGGCGAGGATCTCTTCTGGTGTGACGATGAAATCCATCTTCCAGTCATGTTCTACGACGGGCACATGTCCACTCTCAAGAAGCTGCTGCTGGAACGCTAACGCAACTGTGTGATCGAGGGGTTGGGAAAGAGAGAGAGTTGAGCTTTCAGAACTTGAATGGTGGCAGAAGGCGGAAATTGACGCACTGAGGAGGGGGCGTTGCCGACCCGTCTGGGTGTAGGCACTGATGAACCGATCGTAGTAGCCCTTCCCGTGTCCCAAGCGAGAGAACGAGCGATCAAATGCGACGCCTGTACACCTCAGCTAGAATCTCATCCCCATCGATTGCATGTGCAACGGCTCACCTGGCACCAGGATGACATCGAGATTCGGACACCCTACGTCGAGAGCTAGCGGTACAGAGATTCAGCAGGCGGTCAGGAGTAGGGGTGGGTGCGCAGCGAGCATAACGCAAAAACCACGCACTGTGCTCTCTTCTCTGCCCTTGCCATTCGGTGGTCGGATCAGGAATGTCCCACAAACCCAGACGCAGCGCCTTTAAATCGTCGGAGTCATAAAGTCGCACGAAATTCATGCTGCCATCATTGGTGCTTATCTTGGGCACGAACAGGGCCTTTCCTGTGGGGCCATGGCATGAGACCATGAGGTACGGTGACTTCATTCGCTCCTTACTCACCCGCCCGGAGGACGCCTTCTGCCAATGCAGTGGTGTGGACTTCACCCGACGGCATGCTGAGGTAGCAGCACACAGTTTTGCACCGTTGTATCGCTGGTATGGAGAGAACGTTTTCGGTAACAGCCCTAGCTTAAGTTCGACCTGGATTAGCCGCGAACTTTTAATCAACAATGAAAAATGTATCAAGACGACAAGGATGGGGATATCAATTGTGATGAGGAAGGCTGCCCTACATTGCGCCGTGGTGTAGCTTGGATCAGCCGAGAGCTGGCGTAGCACTGTCGCCATCGATTTTCTCAACAATCTCTTGCTTTCCTGCATTCCGTATCGAGATTAAGTGAGTGAATAAGCAGACCCAACGGCCGAGTCCATTGTGCGGAGCGGTGCGGAGATTGCCGGTTTAACCTATAAGCACCGCCGATATTGCGCCAGCGCCTTGGCTCGCCGATTTTCGATCTGCGACTGTCCACCCTCGTCCACGAAAATCTCTATCTCTGTCGAGACAGATGCATCGGTGCCGCCATCTTCAACCTCTTCGACAATTCCGGTGCAATACTCGGTTTCATACCCACAATTTTCGCGCATTAGGGCTCTAGCGACGGCACTAGCGCGGGTTTTGCCAGAGTACCTGTGAAACTCCCAGCCCCGCGCACGGACCACGTTGCTCGGCTCTCCGACGGTGCAACGTCGATGTCGGCCTGGTCAGGCGACGTCGTTCCCGGACCCCACGACGAACATGAACATGGGCACCAGCGCGACACACCCAAGGACCCGACATCGCCAACCTCGCCTCTCGCGCACTGTCCACCTGACGCATGGCGCGGCGAACACAGTCGCGCTCCCGAATTCTACGGCTTTGTAGCATGGGCATCGACATCCGTCTTCTTTGTCGTGTATATGCTATGGGCCTTGCTTCCCGACAAAGTCATCGTCGGGATTGGAGTTGAATGGTATCCTAGTCGGTGAGTACCCCACATCCGGAATGGAGCGCATATATGCACGTTGACAACTCCTCACCTTTTTGCCAGCGAGTGGGCCATTTTCGTGCCAGCATACACCGTTGTGCTCGTCCTGTTGACGTACTTTGTCTACTTTGCCCTTGCATTGTACAACACACCCTCTTTCTCCGACATCAAGTCTATCACGGGTACGCCATCGCACCACCCTTGGGCGGCCTGCGCTCCGCTCCTGACCATGTCCATCCCATGTCCATCCCAGACTCGCGCGCTCATCTGCCTCCGCCGCACGCCAGGAACCCGTACTTCAAGCACGCGGATCCAAGGGCCATCCCTGAACACTACGATATCCCCATTGGGCTCGTCAATCGTGTTGTCCATGAATGGGACCAAGAACGCCAATCCGGTGGCTAATCGTCGAGTCATGTCTTCGTGCGTATCATCGGATGCAAACGTGTACGATAACAATCTCAATGTCAATAGAATGCAATGCGGTGCAAGAGCATAAAAGATACAGCCAATATAAGTTGCGCATCCAAGTGAAGAAGACGCGGATCGTACAATACAAACGACAAGACAAGAAAAATGGCAATCATTCCGGAAGTCGTGCTCAAGGGGTAACCTAGATGACATATGGTCCATTCGTCGACGTGAATCGATGGGTCGTGTGGTCAGAAAGCGTGCAAGGAGACTACATATAGGAGCAGAACGGGAAACTAGATAACCATGGCCATCTCAAATGGCCCACAACCTCGGTGCCGACTGCCGCCCGAGGGGCATCTCGGTTACCGAGATTGGCCTATACCAGACACGCTTTGAGCATCCTTGACGAACGCGGTCGCATTGTCTCGAGCTCAGTAACAAAACTCAATTCCACTTCTCACCTCGCTTGATTGATCTTCGCCTTCTCGCGCCAGCCTGCCGGTGCATGATCGTCGCTCGCCCCTCCCCAGAATTAAAAGTGATACCCCATGTTCCTCCTACCGCCCACGTTATGACGGCTGTCATCGCCACCTTCTTGCTGGACTTCTTCTTTCTCGTCGGCGTCGCTTCTGCCGGTTTGCCTAGACGAACCGCTGCCGATGCCTGGTACTGGGTACACTGCCCTCTGCCCAGTGCCGCCTCGAGTCTGGCTTTGAGTGTTTTGATCAGTTAAGGGCGGGTACTGTCGTTGCTGCTGTGGCGGACGACCGGCAGTGTTGCCTCTATCAGGCAATCTCGACGGGCCCGGCACGCTGCTCAGAGGCGCCCAGGGGCGTCGCGTGGGTGCTCGGCCAAAATCGGGGAACCCGCTCCCTTCCTGTTTCTCCTCGATCCACTTAAACTTAGCGGGGTTCCGCTCAGGCGGCTGCACGTCGTGCGAGACCACAGGATCCTCGAATCCGACAACGAAGCGGGGCTCGCGCGGCCCACTGTCGAAATCGGGAGAGAGGCCATGCGTACGGAGGTGCCGTTTGGCGTTGGATCGCACCGCGAAGCGCTTGTCGCATCCGGGAACCTTGCATTGGAAGGCTAACAAACGGGACGAGGACCACAAAATGTCAGGTGAGTGCTTGTCAGGCCAGAGAAAGAGATGAAACTGACGTCGAGACCCAGTATGCGAGTTCATGTGCGTCGCGAGCCCGCTCGGACGAGGGAAAGCCTTGCCGCAAACCGGGCAGTCGTGGTACTTGGACTTGCGTCTCGGCTTCTTTGGCTGGGCCTCCTTCGTAGGCGCCTTCTCCTTGCCCTTGCCGCTGCCTTCGTCTTCGAGGTTGAGCTCGTTTATACTTGGAAGCCTGAATTCGCTCGTCCTTGCCTCTGCAGCCGAGACGGACTCGAGCTCGGGGCTCGTAGGCGTCACCGTGTCCTCGTCGAACTCGTCGTCGTGGTATCTGTACCCGTACTCTCCAAAGCGCCCGGTATCGCTTAGCGGGGTGTCGCCGCGCTCGAAAGAAGGGCTCTCGTCGTCGTCCATGCTACCTGACCAAGCGGGCTCGCTCGCAGGGGAGTTCGGCCAGTAGCTGTACATATGCTCAGGGCTCGAGCGTGCCATGGACTCGGGGGACCCCGGCAGAGGGAGGGGTGTCTGCTCCATGGAAGAGTAGACGGGGTCGTAGGAACGTATCGACGGTTGATGACGCTGTTGTTGTTGTTGTTGTTGCTGCTGCTGCGGTTGATAACCCTGCCCTTCCGGGTAAATTTGGTGTGGAGGATACATATTCATACGAGGGAATGACGAATGCGGGGAAGGAAGATCAAGATGCGAAGGTGTACGTGATTCCTCTCCGGGAGCAGCCTGCGAATGGGCATGAGGGTGTTGGCCCCGACTGTAGTAAGAAGGTTCCAGGGCCATTGACGGTTGGAGGGCCTGGTTGGGAGTTTGGGCATACGCTTGCTGCATATGGGGATGGGCTATCGGTACCGGATCGAAGGGGCCGGCAGGTGGCAGAGTTGGGTCAGGCATTGCGATGGAGGACTGCGATGCTCCCGAGAAGGGAGTAGTGTGAGCATTGGATCTGTGACCTTGATGTAGTACAAGGTGGTTCACCGGCGATGATACACCCCCGTACGCCTGGTATGCAGGCGGTACGGCAGAGGGCTGTTGGTGCGCGACGCCGAACGTAGTGCGCTGGGATGATTCCGGGTACCCGAGGTCGCTTTGCTGACGCAATGGCGGAGCTTGTCCGTGCTGGTGCTCGCCCATGCCGTAGGGGCGCCACTCCGAATGTTGCTGAGGTGATTGGGAATGAATATATCTGTACGGCGGCTGTTGGCCTGACCCAACTATGTTCTGCGGGGTGTTCCCAGAATAGAGAATGGGCGGCGATGGGAATGGGTCGTTACCCATCACTACCGATGGGTACGGCGACGAGCCGAGCGGATGTTGGAGATCGTCCTCGCTGTCAGGCGTGGAAGGCGTATATCGATTTTCTTCCATGGTGGGGGTTAGAGACGAAAACTGGACGATCCAGTGAGCGACCACAAGCATTTGAACTCCAGACGATACGGTACCTAGAAATGAGATTGCTATAACAGAATACGGTTTTAAGCGTGGCAAAGAGGTTCTAAAGGGCAATGGACTGAGTCAATGATCGGATCGGTCGCGAAAAATATGAAGGGCGTTCAACGGATATGGTCAGAGGGATGGGCGACATTCTTGATGTAGGCCAGTCGGATGAGGCAAAAGAAGAGGAGCTGCAGGAATCTGGGTCCTCGAGACGAATGATGAACTTCCGAGACGCCGACCAAGGAAAATGAGGTGCCTGCCTGGAGATGTGACCCCCCAAAGTCCACCACGCTGTTACTAAAGTTTATGACCCCAATTCATATCCAGCTCGGAACAGGCCCGCTGAGGCTATTTTGATGGTGGCAATGGCAAAACACCCTGACTATACCGCTTGCTGTGGCCGCCGCGTGATGCAAAACAGAGAGTATCTCTTCCCCCGCCAGGACAATGGAGAGTGCGCACCATATGCTCACGCTTGCCCACGACTTGCCAGCCTGAGGTGCTTCGAACGCGCGTGTGGCTGCATTTGTCTGGGCAGGCCCAACAGGTGGGAGATTCAGGTTGCGAAGAACGTTATTGGGTAATATATTTACCACGCTATTGATAGGCTGCAAGTACTGGCGTAATAAAACAGACTTTCAGCATGTAGTGATGGCTGCGCCTTTTACACGGACCAAGGCATCGGCGTCGACATTGTTGGACGCAGGTGTTGATGCCAGCCTAAAAACGTTCAGATCAGAAACACACGTGCGAGACGCTCGAAGTCGGACTACGAGACGAGCTTCCGGCTTGGTGCACAGGCACTGTAGATGAGTCCATATACCGAAACCTCTTTTGAAAAGAAAAATCGCTGTTCTGGAGGAAGCAAAAAAAATACATCATCACCCGTTACGCAACTGAATCCAGACGTTCACAGCCGACCGGAAAATACCGAAAACATCCTGCGCCGCCGAATGTTGCCAAGGTGGAAAATGTTCGCTATGCACAACCTGAACAACTGGCGCTGGTCCCTTTGCCTCAACTTATGTGTTTTACACGAGCCCCATTAGATATAACCGAACGACAGCAGAAGCTAACCTAAAAAAGTTACCCAGAGAATGGCGCACTCCGATCCACAGTTCAGTTCCCAACACCGACTGATTGGACATCCGCGACGTGGGACCAGTCCGCCCTGGCGAGGCTCAATTGATCGTGATCATTGTATGCATGTCCTTCTCGACTTATATCCCCGAGACAATCACTTTTTTCATCTAGCTTGTCAGCGCTATTCATGTTATTTCCGCTGAATATCGGAGGTAGACCGCAAGTAGACCGTGATCTGGGACTTCTCGCGTATTGTGCATGTATGCAGTGCCTTCGAACAACGAGGTGAAGCACACCAACAGTTGGTTGGTCTGTCTACGCGTTTTGGACAGCTTCGGCACTTCCATGCGAATGAAGAGGCAACTTCTTGACTCGAAGCTCTCCGAACTTGCCAATCTCCTATCCGAAACGACGCAAACTTGACACCATGTCGGGCGTGCCGTAATGACGCAGCTCGGAATCAATATGAAGTCCCCTTGTCGGTCGACTGAACTAGCAATGTGGCATAATGGATCATTGAGTGATTCAATTTCTAGGTTTAGCGAGTTTGATGGCAAACACGCAGAGGCCAGCCCGCCACCGATGGGAGAGGACAACTCGAGGATTCTCCAGAAACCACGCTATCGATGCCGATGACTCACGCGGTGTCCCGGGGGAATGACTCCGAGAAACCGGGAAGTTGGGATGCTTGTTTTGAGTCTGATTTAGAAGCTCTGAGCGACGATGACAGGCAAGCGCTCGCGGGGTCAGGGGCCACCCCAGCTCTCGAGTGCGCCCCAGAACACTGCATCAGCGCACCCTACACCTACAAATACCAAACGATTTGTATCGGCACCATTAAACTCAAGCTGCGCATAGACAAGGGGACTGGACTTACCTGAACGCGTCAAGCCTCTCACGGGCGGACACTGTAGGGTGCTTGGGCCGGCCTTCCACCTCGTCGCCGGGCTCGGCTGCCCCGACCGACTTGAGGCTGCGAGGTCTCACCTGCCTATGGTGCCCATTCCCTTGGGGTCGAGCACTCGATCCTCGGACCGGTGGCGCGCCGCCGCGCAGCACCTGCTGCTGCCCCGTTGTCACCGTAGTCTCTGTGCGGCGCAGACGCGTCACGCCTGCGCCTACACCACGTCCTCCCACTCCCTCGGCCTTCGGATCTTCCTCCCTCTGCGCCCATCGCTTCCACCACCCCCGTGCCACAGCAGCATTGCTAGCGGACAGCGCGCGAGACCCTTTCTCGCCCGGACTCAGGATCTCGTCGAGATCGGACCCGTCGTCCGAGCGCACGCCCACAGCTGGAACCGCAGCGCCAACAGCGCCACCCCCTATCCATGCGGCATCTTCGGGCGTATCCGGCCCGAAAGACGCGCCGCTCTCCGAACCGTCCTCGTCATCCTCCTCCTGCGACGTGCCGTCGCCGTAATCGAAAAACACATCCTCGCCTTCGTCCATTGCGTCCGAGACCTCCGTGCCGAGCATGCTCGCGAGGTCCGGCCCGCGCACGGTGAACGTCTGGATCGGCTCCGTGCAGTCTGGCTGTGGCGGCGTGGCCGGGACGAGCACAGCCGAAACTGGGGCGAAACGCGGGGGACGCCAGTCACGTACTATGGCGGCCGCGGCATCACCTAGAGCTGTCGATGCGACAGGGCTCGAGAGCGCGTCTGCGCCGAACTCGTCTGCATCGTCGTCTGAGGCGTCACAGCAGTCGACGCCACCACGCCCTCCCCGCACGCGTTCCCCATGCCGGCGTGATCGTTGTCGTGTCGGCGTGAGGTAAGACAGATCGAGATCATTATCCTCTTGCTCTTGGTCACCCTCCCTCGGCGAAGCGTGTCGTGCCCGATGGTGATTCCCCCGTTGTCGTCGGGGCGAACGGGCGCCGTGAGTATGAGTGGCAGCAGGCGAGGAGAGGTCAGGCGTGCCGATGCGCGAGAGGGACTCCGCCGGGGACACGTACCCGTCCTCCTGCGTGATCTCGATTGGATCTGAGGCGAGAGCCGGCGGGTCGGGCTCGAAGGATATTGTCACCGCTAGGTCTGGGTGCCCGTCTGGTGTAGATCCCGGGGGATCTGCCACCTCGTCGACTTCGTCGAGAAGACTAACGCTATCCGCGTGCTGATCATCGGGTACGTTCTCCTTCTCGTCTCCAGGAGGCTGATGTATACGATCGCGATGATGCCGTGAAGGGCCAGCGACTGGGTGAGTTTCAAGAGCTCTCTTCGAGGACCTTGATTGTGCCGGCGTTGAAAGAGTACCCGGGGAAGGGCCTGCAAAGTAGCGTGATGCCACCACGTTGCCTCGCTGGTGGCCATGTGTTGACCTGGTGGCTTCAAGCCTGGCGCGCTTTGAAGCGAGATCTTCGTCGAAAACATCGACGAGGGTTCGTTTGCCGCTTGCTCTGCCCGCGATCGGCACACCAGTAGCCTTCTTCGTTGGTGCGGAGTTGCTACGAGTGAGCAGCACCTTCGGTTTGGACGCTGGAAAAGGGGGAAGAAGCCAATGAACGATCGATATATCGTGCATGATGAAGATGAAACAATGAGTAGGTGGATTAACTGTGAAGCGATGGTGCGCCTACGGAAAAAGTTCATTAGGCCCTGACTCCCAGGCTGAGGGTCCAGGGAGGCACGCCCTTTGCCCTTGTCTTTCGACGAGGGTGGCCTATTGAGATCACCGCGTTGCAAGGGGAGGCTTTTGGATCCGCCAGGCTGAAAGCTGGGATTGATGTCCTCCATCGCCAAAAGTGTAATGGGATCGATGTCGCCTATCGCCAGGCGCTTGGCGACACCAGCATCCAAGTTCCTGAGTGCGGCCCAGTTAGAAAGGGGATCGTGTATGAGTTAAGAAAACTCACTCTCCGATATACGCGTCCTGTTGCAGATCCAACGGGACGTCCTCCGGTAGTACACCGAGGCACAAGAGTCGCTCCGCGAGCGGACAATACACCCGCTGGTGAAGAAACGCTTTCTCTGCCAGCCGGAAGCTCTCGATATAGTTATACGGCACATTCTTCTTCCTTTCGAAACGCAAGGCACGGACGACCTGGTCGACCGTTCTGTGTCGCCGCAGAAGTGTCGCGGCCGTCTTGAGACCGATACCAGGTATGCTCGGCAGGTAGTCGCACCCACTCAGAATCGCCATGGCCCGGAATTGCGCGTCGTTCCAGCCCACGAGGGATACTCCGCCCGCGTCGGTGACGGACCCAAAGTCCTTGCGTTGGATCGAGATAAGCGTGCACGCGACAGCATCGAGCTTGAATAGCACGTGCTTGCAGCCGAACACGAGCAAGTCCGAGTCCTCGGTGATGATACCGTCCACGAGCCCGGTGCGCTCGAGGTACGCAAGCTGCGCGTCGGCCTCGTATGGCGCGACGACGTAAGGGACGGCTTCAGCTCGCAGGGCCTTGATGAGCTGGAACGCCATCTGCGGCGTCACGTCGACGCACTTAAGGTAGAACTCGCGCGCTTGGGTGTGCTTGCCCTGCGCGGCGAGCGCATTCGCGCGGGCGAGGTTCTCGTCGCGTCGCTGCTTGCGCTCGGACTCGGTGCCGCGCTTGGCTGGGAGAGGACCTCCGTCGAAGACGATGTATGGCTGGATCTTGTGGTGCTTGAGGAGCCGCACGCGGCTCATGGCGTAGTCGACATATCTGCGAAATGAAAGGCATGCTCGCATCGACCACGCCGACTTGATTGAGTGAGGTGAGAAGGCTCACTTATTGGTCCTCTTTCCCGTTGCCAACTCCGTCGCACATGTGTATACTCCGCGATGTAGCCAGACATATGCGTCGACTGCGAGGGTTTGGCCTTCGAATTCCGAGAGGTGCTTTTGGACCTGGATAGACTTGAGCAGAGGAAGAAGGCCAGAGATACCCATAAGATAGAGACAATAAATGGGATCAAAAGAGTGGCGGGCTGGTCGGCGTGGACAACGACGCAGGAAGTGAACTTTGAAGCTCTGTGGAGGTGTTAGCTTGGCATTCACCAAGGTCGTTAGAAACAAACAAGCCCAAGCAAACGCGTCGCGTATTGCATGTGGCGACTTGCCATATATGGCTAGTTAGCAACCCCGTCACTTGAAGCAAATACAAAACTATTCCATATCGACCCTAACCATAGCAAAGCTTTATGTCCCCTTCGGGGTGACATACGTAAAAATTGGAACGATACAGAGAAGATTAGCATGGCCCCTGCACAAGGATGACACGCTTTTCCAGAGTGGTAGACCTACGGGTCTCAATATTTATTGCTTCTTTTTTTGCCCAGAGTATGTCACAGCGTTTTTTTAGTTACTCCTGTTGGCTCTATCATGTTTTGACACTGTATTAGACACCGTCAAGATGTTCATTATTCTACCGCCTCGGTAGTACTCCATGTGTCAATCTAAACATGCCCCTTCTTAGCTGTTTTAGGCGAAGTACATATCTGATATCACTCTCGCGTATGTCTGCATTAACATTCACACCCTCTCCCTCCTCTTCCGCTTATTCCCCCATGTTCGGAAAATGGTCTCTAAACCAATCCCGAAGCACGCGTTCGATTTCGGTGTTTGTTAGCCTTGTATGACAACGCGAAAATTGGCCTGCGACGTGTTCGCGAGCCGCAGCAAGAGCAAGTACGAGATCCAGCCCTAGAATACGCACGTCCTTGTCCGAGAGCGGCTTCCAAAGGGGGTCCTTCTCGGTGTGCTCCCGCCGCACAACGTCGCATACCGCCGGGCGCACCCATTCGGCAACGCCATGGGCGCGCACCAGGGCGAGCTTCTCCGCGGGATCTACGTAATACGGTACCCTCGACGCCTGGTCGGTCGCAATTCGGTGTAGGGTCCTCATTTACCACCATTGGGTTAGCTTGATCACGGCCTGCCACTCTTTGATTGTTGACGGCGCGGTGCCTCGAGCATGCGTCTGCAGTATCTACTCTGTGAGCAAAACCATGTTAGATACAGCGTTGACAGAAGCTGAAACCAGCTTGGATCGGGCATAGGAGACCGTGCAGAGGTAAGTACGTGGACCGAAGAGCGACGCACCTGAAGAACATAGCTCGCAAAAGTTACTTAAAGTCCCAGCATAATATATTTTCCAGTACGATAGGACTTTGGTCGCTCAAGCCCTCGATGCTTCGAGAGCTAGATGGCGAGAGGAACAAATTGCGGAAGACGTCCGAGTTGTCCTCGAATAACTGCTGGGGGACGCGAAAGAGCGTGCCCTCCACCTAGATTCCCATAAGTCTCTATTTCAAAAGCTGAGCTGTGCAGGCCAATGGACGCAACTCACTTTGAAGGTGACATGCGTGAAGTACTAGTAGAACACGTCGTCACGCTCTGAGGCAGAAGTCTTGAGGCTGCAGCCTGACGTGTTCAAATAATCCATGCAAGAAAGATGTCTTCGTTCGGCGCAAATTTTATTATGCCAAGGATTAGACTCAAGCGCTCGAAATGTGTATGAATTTGGCATTTCGTCTAGCACATCTGCATCAGGAATAGAAACGCTGATTGAATTACCATATGCAGTTCGAACTGTGCCATCGTGACTCCCGTGTGGCAGTAGTTGCATTTCTCAGCTCCCTTGCCTCCGCGTCCTTGCAAGCTCTTCATCGTAAAGAGGAGTGGATATATGACAGTGCAATTATCAAGAACTAAGGATACACGTATCAATGAGAATAACGCAATTGCAGCTGTCCACAGCCTGAGCCACTCTGATCATCATCTGCAGAGTCTCGGACTCTGCTCTCCGTCTCTTCCTTCCTGTCCTGCTCGCTGATGTAGAAGCATATTCACGCACTCATGTTATTTTATCCATTAGAAAGTATATCATAACAGCACTGCACTTGAATAGCGTAAAGAGGAGATAAGGCGGCAGCTTGCGACTGGCAAAGCTTACGCGAATCGACTATAAAGAAGTATAAAATAAAACAACGCTCGAAAAAAGAGAAGATCGTTCAAACTAGAGAAGCCAGAGAGCCCACATCCTCCTGCACATTACAGCCCGCGGAACTCCGCCTCCTGGGGAGTGGTTAACTGAGGTACGTAACGAGTAACCTCCTTAGCTCAAGTCGGTATTGTTAGAGCTTTGGGTTCCTCATGTGTAAGTGCAGGCTATTTTTTCTACGTCAGACTTCGTCCTGTGGGTTTACTTGGGCTGAAAAAAGTGCATCAAACTGTCTGTCTACCTGCGACTCAGTGATCTCGCTCATAGTATTCTTCGTCCACGCAGTGCCCATAGAAATACGAAAAATAATCAACTGCTGCGAGGTGACCTACATCATTCATCAGTACTGGTGTTTTATCGCAAGAAAAACAAATGTCATACACAAATACTGCACCAAATATTCCTTACCACAAGTGCTATGCTCAGTTGACTGTTATAGATATCCAGAATGAAAGACATGACGGCTAAAAGCGTGAAGGGTATCGTCCCTTCAACAAACATTGAGATCACCCCTGTGTACTTGTGTAATAGGTTTTGACGTCCTGGCATACTGTCTCGTAAGACCCAATACATGCCGATGAGACGCCAGCATATGGCAGAGGTTACATATACATTGAACGCGGCTGTTGAAGCGGTCCAGATCATATCAAATGTGACACCGACACCCGTCATGGCGGGACCCTTTGTCAAGGATTTGTCAACCAGGGTGACGAATGAAGACGCTAGGTGGCAAGATTCGGTTCCTATCATTCTCCGTCAATAATAAAAGCAGAGATTGGTCTCACCAACAAAAATAAAGTAGAGAAAGGCAGGGATAATGATTGCGTGTTTTTTGTTATCCCAGATGACGTAACAGCGCCAAAGCTAGAACTTGATGAGCGCTGTAAACAAACAAAGCAGGGTGCATGCAGGGTACCATTAAGCCATCGCCCATCCAATTTGCAATGACAGCTGAAATCGTTCCCAGGACATCTGTCCACGAGTTCAAGCCCGAGTTCGCAGAGTCTTCCACGCTATTGCTGTCCATACAGTACGTGTAGCCTGAATACTGTGTTGTCAACAGCTGTGCTGTTACCGATAGGAGGAGAGTCCCTCCAAATGATGCGTAGAATAGAGTCCAGCGGCTCTCAGCTTTGGGATTGTTGAGGAATAGATGCAGTGATGTGATGTACATGCATATTCCAACACCTATGAATCGCATTTAAGCATCGACGTGAAGGTACATTATCAAAATATGCTAATCGTACCATATAGGATCCCATCAATAATGTTCGCAAGGTACGTCCCGACTTGGAGCGATATGTAGCTTGAGCTCATGAGGAGTTATACGCTCGATATGACGATGATAATCTGCGGGGGGTGAATAGTTGATGGACCGCCGTGCAAATTATGACTGTGACGCCTTTATACTGTTTTCTTCGAGGTTACCAACTATGAACTAGAGTTATCTGACTGCGATGATGTCATTGCAGAGAGAAGCAACCTCAATGAAAGTTCGCTTGGACAGCGTGGATTATTTCGGTGCCTCATCAAGCCGTTCCGAAGCCTACTGCCCGACTTCACCGGAAAAGCCTCATTTATGTCAAAGAAGCTGACACTTCTCACTCTATCTTCGAGCATCCAATGGTTCCAATCGGTGAACAAGTCTCACTGGCTCTCAAGATCTCACGATTTAGACTTTGTGCGCCGAAGGCATGCGTTAATCACCTCGCCTGTCGGACCAGCTGTGATCGACGGGAATTTCTGTCAGGGCTCAGGCCCAGGCCCCAGGAATCGGCGCTGTTCAGGCATCTTAATCTTCAGCTCAGGAGTCCGCAATCCTACAAATCTTCACTCTTTTGTACATCAGGGGTGTGAATGCATTGCCAAGATTCACAAGCACTGCATAAAATAGGATACTAGCGTTTTTTAGGCTGTGCTTAATGATGAAGTCCCGAAGATACAATAAGGCGCTCACTGTTAATTACGCTGTTTTGGACTGCGAATATATCTCGGGTATATCTTATTGGCCTATGTGACCTCAAACCTTGTGGTAAGCGTCGTAGCCTCTTAGCACAAGCTGTATACTGGCACATGGCTAGCTTTTATGGCGGTGCATGTCCAATATTCAGCTGGCCCTGGACTCTGGAGCCAAGAAAATGTTGGAGGCACCTAGTGTGACGCGACGCGTTGTCCTGTGCGATCCATTCGTCTCTCTGCAATCTCAGGATTCCATCAGCGGCGGTCCACGATGGCGGCTCTGCAGCAAGTACTAAACCTTGTGCCTCTGTGCTATGACCTCCCTTGTCTTCACGATCTTGCCACACACGCAGCTAGCAGCTGTCGGAAACTAGTGCCTAACGGTCTCAGCAGGTTCGCTTTGGCGCAATGCTCAATACAGACCCTGACGCACAATTAGTTTGAGGGCAAGAATTTCATCCTGGCACCACAGATATTTCGAGATGGTCGACGACCTCAGCACCGCTATCATTCGCCTGACCGAGTACAAGGCCCTCCTTACAAATCTCATCATGATCACTCAAGGCTTACTTCATCCATGTCGTACCTCCCTAACCGAGACTTTGGCTACCATCATCTCCCAGGCGGCAACTCCATTTCTTTACGACCAATCGCATTCGACCATACATTACGCGTATGGTTCGTACGCCGGTACGATCACAAAAAGAACCAGGATTGCCGGCGAACTCGAGCGCGCTCCACGGGGACGGGCGGCGGCGTGCGGCTGGGTGAGAATCGGCGGAGAAGGGCACAGGCGATTGGAACGCCGGAGTCGAATCGAGGATGGCCCAGTTGTTGGGAGCTTGAGGGGTGTGATGCGTTTGCGTGGTAGCTGTGTCGGTACCCGAGTGCCCACGGTCGAGATCTGCGGACGGTGCGGGTGGCTCGGGCCCGAGATCCCCCACAGCGTTGAATAAGCTCTGAGACTCGTGTTTGTGGGATCGTTCCTGTGGGCCCTCGTTCATTTTAGGGGATCCGTTGGGGTCGTTCAGTAGGGAGGTTAGGTAGCTGAGGGGTTCGGCGGATGGCTCTGCACCTACACTGTGGACACCGCCTACGTCGAGCATGAGAGAGGAAACTCCCGTTAAGTGGGAAGGCGTTCTTGGCTCTGCGATTGTGGTATGATCGAAACTGGTATCGAGAGTCCCTCCGACAGGGGAAGGAGTCGATTTGGTGGTCGTGGAGGGGGTAGATGCAACGGTGGTGGAGGAACTCGGGGTGAATAATGTGGACTGATCTGGGGTGCAGATCGTAGAATGAACCAGAGCGACGATCAAAAGAGCGGGAGGCGACAGAGCAGACAGGAGAAGGGATGGTTGCGGGATACTGAGAAGCGACGGGAGACACAGGACCGGGGGAGAGCCAGGATGTGCAAGGAGGATAAGGAGAGATAAACCTCGGGTCAACGATAGAATGGGGATCGGGGTTGACCGAGGGAGTGTCTGCTAATATTATGTTATTGACAAGATGAGGCGAACCTAGATAAAAGGAATCGTTGGTCAAGGGGTCACGGCGCAATTTTGTTAGTGAACGATGTACGGTATGGTGGGCGCGCCACCAAAACACTAGAAGCGATACTGAAACCTCATCCCTTAAACTGGGCGGGCGCAATGACGAACAATGAGCTAGGAGCAGGCGAATGGGGCGGCGTTGATCTACCCTACCAGTGCGATGTGGCTGCACAAGACATGTTAAGGACATAGCATTGTAGATAGAGTCCAGGCCTAGGGGATGTCGTATATCGCGTTTGTCGAGCGCTTGAGAACGTGTGGTTGTTCGATAGATGGGGGTGGAGAATCGGTGGAAAAGGTACTTAGACAGGGTAGATTTGGAGCTCGAGGTAGACACGGATCTCAAGCGCGCAATGCTCCTCCGCTTTCTTCGGTACTTGCCGAAACCTTTTCACCATCCATAGACGCTATCACGATGAACTTGCGATGGACAACTTCTCGAGCTCTCCGCAAAAGCTTCTTCCTTTGGATCTTCTTTCTTTTAGGCCTCAGATCTCAAAACTCGGGGCTATGACGATCTCAACGCCATCGGGGGGCTTTGGAATGTCGGGAAGCAGCGAGCTGTGGCAAACGTCGAACAAATTCCAACCCACTCTCAAACTCGCTCACGGACGCCCACCACAGCACTATTATCCCTTTCCGCGCCTTTCCCCCAGCCTAGACCAATCTCTCCCAGTGCCGCTAGCCCCCCGCAGGCGCCTGCCTTCCAACCTCACCGCATACGCTCCTTTCACTCTACATTCTTTCCTCTCAAATACACTATAATCACCATACAATAATCAATGGCCCGCCACCGCCTCGCCACCGCCGCCCTTCCGGCCATCGCGTCCGCCATCTCCGCCCTGTACGCCCTCCGCACGGCGCTCTCCTGGCTTCTGGCACCGTTCTTCTCGTGTCTCGCGCTCGGCGCTACCGAGCCTACACTTCCCCTCCATTCGCATCCGCCCCTTGGGCTAAACCGACACCAGGTCATGCTCAACGCGCAGATGACGCACTACGATGCCTTTCCTTCTGCCGCGGGTACCGTGACCGGGCTCGGGCTCGGGCTGCCAGTGGGTGCGGGAGCACGAATACGCAGCCGGTCGCTCGGATCCGCGCAAGGACTCGGAGACGGTGATCGGTCGTTCGAAACATGTCTATTAAACGGCCTGGAACACTGCGCACCCGGGTCTGAACACGCGCTGCCCATGCCCATGTCCATGCCACAGCCCCGCGCCAATCCGCCCGAGGGCTCTCTGAGCGGCTCGCTCGACGTGCTCTACTCCCGCTCCTTGGACCGCCGGTGGCCTGGCTGCTCATTGACAGGCTGCTGCTCCTCCTCGGGGACGAGCCAGAGCGCTGACACCTCCATCTCCATCTCCACCGACACTGACACAGACGCAGTGAACACGAGCTCCGGCTCTGACTCGGAGGGGGCTACAGCGTGGCGCGATCTGGACACGCCTTCATCGCTCGTGGACTTTTCTGCTCTGCCGCTCTGTGCGACGTCGACGCCCCCTCAGCCTCATTCTCCATGTGCACCGTTCTCCGGTTCTGCGCCCATGCCCGCGCCCATGCCTGGTCGTAATATCCCCATCAGCGCGCCGAAGCCGATTCGCCTGTGCGATGCGCAGATGCTCGGGCCGCTGCTCGGGCCCCGGGGCTCCGAGTCCAGCTCGACGCCGGCGTCGGCCGCGGTGTCGGCGCCCTTGAGCGGCGATGACATGGCACTGGCGCTGGGCAACGTCGACAGCGGGAGCGACGACGACGGTCCCGCGGGCGCGGTTGACACCGGGGAGCCAGCGAGCCCGGACCAAGCGGCTGGGAGCGCGACGGCGCGCGACGTTGGGGACTTTTTCCCGTTGCTTGCGTTTGGCGGGGCGGGCGCTGTGGCTGCTAGTACGCCGAGGGCGCAGAGGGGGTCTGTGTGTGAGTCGATGTCGATGTCTATGCATCTGTCGATGTCCGAGTCGATGCCTGTGTCTACACCGCGCACGGCGCAGCCTATGCTTATGCCCACGCCCGTACCTCGGAGCGCGGACGGGAGGACCCGGTCTGGGCTTGGGCTTGGGCTCTCGGAGGCGGGGAACACGTTGAGTCTGCATTTGGATGCTGTGCTTGGGCTTGGGTCTTCGTCTGCGCCTTCTTCGCCTTCGCCTTCACCTTCACCTTCACCTTCTTCGTCTCGTCCTCCCTCGCCCTCGCCCTCTTCGGATTCTGATTCGTCCACTTCGTTGAGTGCGCCGAGGCTGGCGCGACGCTCGAGTCCGGGGGCGCGGTGGAGGCTGAGTGCCAGTCCGAGTTCCAGCCCGAGTCCGAGGCCGCCGTCGCCTGCAGCGTTGGTTTTAATGGAGAGTGCGCCTATCGTACACGCGAACGCGGATGAGGTTGTCTCCAGGCCCGCCGAGGAGCAGCCGCTGTTGAACGAGAAAGAATCGCGTCCTCCCAGCGAGCTACACCGCACCCCGTCGCCGCACACTGTCTCTCCAATTCCGCCAGTGGACACTGCGTCCCCCGTCGACACGGTCTCTGCTACCCCCGCAAACCAGCCCCACTCTCCGGGCCCTCACTCCCCCTCCTCCTCCGATGACGACGACAAGGGCCCGGGCTCGGAGGAACCAGCCGCACCCACCCTCCCGTCGCCATGGAGCACAGTCTCGCTCGCGCGACACACGAACCTCGAGATGCTGGACGCGCGACTCCGCGCGCCGATCCTGCTCGCTGCTCCGTCCTCGCATTTCTCGCCGTCTCGGTCGTTGTTTGACCTTGGATTGTTTCCGTTTCCGTTTCGGAGTTCGCCGACTGGGTTGGGTTCGCAGATGCAGATGCAGATGCGGGTGGGGGCGCGGGAGTGTGGGGTTGGGCTGGGAGTGGGGCAGGCGGGGGTTCGGGGTGGTGTAAGGGCTGGTGCGGGTGGTTCTGGCTCGCCGTCGCGTGCTGTGACGGCTCCCAGTTTGATTCCTGGGTTATTGAGGACGCCTTCGATGCCGTCGCCTGTGTCGGCGCCGTGTTTCTCTACTCGGTCGTCGAATTCAGCTTCGTCAAATTCGTCGTCGAAGTCGTCGCATACACCGTCCTCGATACCCACGTCCGAAGAATCGTCATGGGAAGCGTGCTCGTTCACGGAGCTCACGCCGTGCGCGCAGTCGTCGCATGACTCCAAACCAATCGATGGCGATGGTGACGCTGATGGTGATGGTGATGGCGCCGTGGGGCTAGGCGACGCGACGACTGTGCGCCGGATGCTGTCCAAGACGCGGAGCTACATGGGCTGGCGGTGGCGGATCTCGTGTCCGGCGTCGATGGAGAGCTTTGAGGTGTTGCCGTCGCCGTGGAGCTGGGAGGGTGCGGGTCGGGGCCGGGGCCGGGGTCGGGGGCGGCGGGATGAGAGGGATGCAGAGGTTGAAGATGGGGATGAGGAAAAGGGTGGAGATGAGGATGAGATTGAGATTGAGATTGATGCCCCTGCTTTCGCCCCGGCGCGCAGGTCGAGCTTGATCTTGGGCTCGAGTCTGGGTCTTGGATGTGGCGAGGACGAAGACGGCTCGGAGGCGGGTACGGATGTCGGCGGGGATACGCACGAGGACGCTAGGCAAGCGCATGGTCGAGAGGAGATGGAGCCGAGCCAAGGTGGTGTTCTCGTTCTCGACTTTCAGCTTCAGGCTAGCAGTTCCGATGGCTCTCTTTGGGACCTGTGTGTGCAGGCGATGGAGGTGTTCGGTGGGTCTGCACCTGCGGACATCGAGGCTGAGGAACATCAGGCAAAGCTTGCCGCTGCTATACGTCCTTTGCAGGTCCAGAAGAATAACGCTTCGGATGAGCATGAGGGCCATGTGCAGGTCGGCGCTCAAGAGCTGGGGACGGGGCTCTGGGCAGACGGGTGTGGGCGGTGGATGTATCATAGGCCCGGCTTTGGGTTTTGAAAAGACATGATTTTGTGGCGTGACCTACTTTTCTTTGTTTGGGATTTCGGTTGGGGAACGGGTCGAGATGATGGAGCGCGGTGAAGTGCCAGTGGGTGGTGCCATTTGGATTGTGTGATGTCATATTAAGCGCGCGTTGAATACCCTGCCGGAGGACACGGAGGTGCATATAGGTGTCGTCATTGAATACCTCGGTTTTAGTATGAAAAGGGTTTCCTGGAAGACGTCGAGGGGAGTTGATGGATATATGCGAAGGTCCGAGCAATGCGGGGGGATCAGACATTGCACGCGGCCGTCATGCGTCGACCAATGGGAGTCGGCGCTCGATAAGCAAAAGGTGCCGTTATCGCACTCGGAATAGTTTGTGGCTGCGGTCCCGTCACTGAACAAGTCATAATGACACTCGTCCTTTTCTCGTTTCTAATAGTCCACTCATTTGCGCAGCCTCTTTTTTGCGCTCTCTGCTTTTTCCTCCGACCTTTTCTCTTCCCGCTCTCGGTGGTGACGCTCCTTGGTGCACCGGAATCGGAATTGGAACACACGGGATGCCGCCCTACCAGCTTCCCATGGCTGCCGCTGCCCTCGTCGGCGTGGCAGGCAGCATCCTTATGCGCTTTGTGACGCGCGAAAAAGAGGGCAAGATTAAGCTTCCCTCCACTGGCGATGATGCGCTCGGTTCTGAAGCAAAAGCGCACGACCCGTTCGACGTTGTGCTGCCCGAGGACCTCATTGACGGATATCCGGTGGAGGAGGACGAGTATTGGGCGCAGGTACGTTTTCATCAACTTCTGTCGCGTTCCGTAGCTAACCCAAAATATGTATGCGCCGCCAGATGCGCCTCTGGAAAGTCTCCATCACCGCCAACCTCGTCGTCATCCTCGCCCTCGAAACCGTCTCCCTCGGCTGGGCCGCCGCCGCCCTCTCCGGTCTCCCAACCGGGGGCGCAGGCACCGACCTCCTCCTCGTCTACCTCTTCCGCACCCTCTACGCCCTATACACCGTCACCCTCGCCGCGGGCGCCGTCCCGCTCACCACCGTGCGCCTGCACCGGAACAGCGTCATCCACCTCGCGGTGCTCACCGCGCTCGCCTTCGCCCTCCAATTCGCCATCTCCATCCTCCCCATCTCGGCTTTATCGCCCGCCGGCTCGTCCGCAGGCGCACTCAGAGCGCTCTGGCACGCTACACTCGTGCTGTACGCGCTCAGCGCGGCGCTGAGCTGGACGATTCCCACCGGCCCGCCGCTGCGCTTCCCGCCCGAACGGGTGTATGCGCCCGCGACCAATAGCAAGACAAGTAATAAGAGTGAGGACAACGTCAGCGGGAGCACAGGCGCGTCCGTGCTCGACTTTATATTGTTCAGCTATACGACGCGGCTCGTGCGGCTCGTGCAGACCGCGGAGTCGCTCGAGATTGGCGATTTGCCGATTTTGCCGGCGAATATGCGCGCGACGTTTCAGTTCCATCGGATGCGCGAGCTGCTAAGGGTGTCGCCGATTGTTACGCGGGGCAAGGGCAAGGGGGATGGCAAGGACGGCGGGAAGAAGGGGACAAGACCGGGCTGGGGCCTCGCGTGGCGCGTGCTGCGCGTGAACGGTGTCGCGTTCGTCGCGGAGATGATTATGACGGCGCTTGCGGCGCCGCTGTGGTTCGCGAGCCCTTTTTTCTTGCAGAAGTTGATCGCGTACCTTGAGAGCGATCCGGAGAGGCTGCATACAGGGTGGGGATGGGTGTATGCGATCGGGCAGCTGGTGTCGCTGTTGGTGGTGCATATGCGTGGGTCCCCTCTCCTTCTCTCTCTTTTGTTGGGCTTCATCGTGTTGATGGTGGACAGTGGCCGCGCAGTTCTTCTCGCTCGCGACGGCGGTGATCGCGATTAGGATCAAGGCGCAGCTGAACACGATTCTGTTCGAGAAGACGCTTGTGAGGAAGGACATTGTGTCGTCTGCTGGGTCGTCCGACTCCAAGGAGGACTCCAAGGATGCGAAGGGCAAGAAGGACTCCAAGGACTCCAAGGACAAGAAGGCAAAGAAGAACAAGGACAAGGACGGGGACGAGGACGAGGAGGCCGAGTTCAGCAGCAAGGCGCAGGTGATGACGCTCATGACGACCGACGTCGACCGCGTCTCCGAGTTCTCGTTCTTTGTGTTTTCGCTCGTCGGTGCGTCCTTTCTCTCCTCCCTCTTCCCTCTTCTGTCCCCGCTCGCTCTTTCCTCCTCTTCCCCCTCCAGTACCCCGCCCAACGCCGAACGCTGACACCAAACCCTCACTCTCGTTTATTCAGACTCCCCAATAGAGCTCGTCGTCGGCACCCTGCTGCTCTACCGGCTCATCGGCGTCTCGTGCTTCTGGGGCCTGCTCGTGATCGTCGTCATGTTCCCGTTCAACACGCTCGCGGGCAAAGTCGTCGTGCGCTTCCAGGACGAGCTGATGAAGGCGAGAGACGAGCGTGTTGCGCTGATGAATGAGGTGCTTGGGGCTATTAGGATGTTGAAGGTACGTTTGCAAAGAACAAAAAATCTCTTCTCGTTTGGCCTTGCGGTCACTGATGTATGATGTGTGATGTAGTTCATGGCCTGGGAACGCCCGTTCGAGAGCAGGATTCTGAGAGTGAGAGAGCGCGAGCTGAAGTACCAGAAGCTCAACTACTGGCTCGAGGTAATCTTTGCCGCCATCTGGTACGCTTTCCCTGTTCGCCCATCATGTTTCCCGCTTATCGAAGACCAGGGACTCTTCGCCGCTGATCGTCACCCTCGTCGCGTTCTGGCACTTTTCCGTCTGGCGCGGCGAGGCGCTCACACCGTCGATCGCGTTCCCGACGATCCTCGTGTTCCAGGAGATGCGGTTCGCATTCAACGCGCTGCCTGAGACGTTTGTCAACATGCTGCAGTCCTTCGTCTCGCTCCGCCGCATCGAGCATTATCTCGAGTTGCCGGAGATCACGCCGGTGCCGCCGTTGGATGTCGGTGGGGACGGGGCGGTGCATGTGTTTGGGCCGCCCGGGGAAAGACAAGGCGAGGGTGTGGAGGGAGAGTATGCGGTGGCGTGCGCGAGCGCGACGGTGACGTGGCCGCAGGACCGGAGCGGCCGAGGCGGGAAAAGCGGAGCGAGCACGCCGTTTGCGCCGTCGACGCCTGGGACGCCCGGTGGCGGGCAGCAGCAGGGCAAGTTCGTGCTGCTGGATATGGACCTGCGGTTCCCCGCGGGGGAGCTGTCGCTCGTGTGCGGGAAGCTCGGGAGCGGGAAGACGTTGCTGTTGCTTGCGCTGCTCGGTGAGGCGGACGTGTTGGCGGGGCAGGTGGTGTGTCCCCGGAGTCCGCCGGATTCGTTGGCGGTGTATGGGCCCAGTGGGGTAAATATGGAGGGCAGGGAGGGGGAGTGGGTTGTTCCAGGGATGTGTGCGTATGTGCCGCAGGTGCGTCTCGTTTCGGCTTCGGTATAGTACCAGTGGTTCACGGGAACGACAGAGCGCGTGGCTCCGCAACGCGAGCATCAAGGACAACATCTTATTCAGCCTGCCGTATGACGAGGAGCGGTACCAGCGCACGCTCGAAGCGTGCGCGCTTATCGCGGACCTCAACATCCTCGAGGACGGCGACGAGTCCGAGATCGGCGAGCGCGGTGTGAACCTCTCTGGCGGACAGAAGGCGCGTGTGTCGCTTGCGCGCGCGGTGTATTCCCGCGCGTCCATCCTGCTGCTGGACGACGTGCTCTCGGCGGTGGACGCGCATACGGCGCACCACCTCTACCACGAGTGCATCAAGGGCGATCTGATGCGGGGCCGCACGGTCGTGCTGGTGTCGCACCACGTGCAGCTGTGTTCGAGCGGCGCCGCGTACGTTGTCGCGCTGGATAATGGGCGGGTGGCGTTCGCGGGTGACAGGCAGGCGTTCCTCGGTACGAGTCTGCTCGGGGATCTGGGCTCGTCTGGCGCGGAGGCGGAGGAGGAGGAGGAGAAGCTGGTGGAGGACAGCGAGAATCTGCCGAGCGGGTCGACGCTGTCTGTGCTCAAGCACGTCGGCGAGTCGACGGACGTGGGCGCGCTTGCGTCCTCCCAGCAGGAGACCGAGGACCCGCCTTCCGAGACGAGCTCTACGGCGTTCACGGAGGACACGGCCAGTGCCACGGCCAACGGGACTCCCAACGGGAACGGTAAAGCGAAGCTCGAGCGGAAGCCTCCGCGCAAGCTCATCGAGGAGGAGAAGCGCGCGGTCGGGCGGGTGAGCAAGGACGTGTGGGCGATGTACGTGCGCGCGTGCGGGAAGCACTGGTACTGGTCCTGGTTCGCGCTCGTCCTCGTTCTCGCGGCGCTGTCGCCCATCGCGGAGTCGTACTGGCTCAAGTCGTGGTCGGGCGCGCCGCCGGAGGAGACGGCGGAGAAGGGGCCGGTGTATTATATTGGTGTTTATGCTGCTGTGAGTGTTTTGGTTTGCGGTATGAGAAGACGATGCTGATTGGTGGGTGTAGCTGACGCTCGCGGGCGTGTTCTTGTCGACGTATCGGTACTTTGTGCTTTGTGAGCCCGCTTCTTTGTTAGGTTTGCGTTGAGCGATTGGTTGCTTACGACGGTGGAATAGACTCGGGCTCGATTCAAGCGTCCACGGTGCTGTACAAACGTAAGCCTCTTCTTCCGGGCATTATGCTTGCTTGACCACGCTGACCCTCGTTACTGAAAGGCCTTCTCGAGTCCGTCCTGTTCGCCAACATCCGCTTCCACGACACTGTCTCGCGCGGAAGGCTGCTCAACCGGTTCGGCAAGGACTTCGAAGGCATCGACAGCAGGCTCTCGGACCACTTTGGGCGCAGCATCATTTTTGCGCTGGCGTTCACCACCATTTTGGTGTCCATCGCGTTCGCGGGCGGTATCCCGTTCGTGCTTGCGGCGTTCGTGCTCGGATATTTCTGCTTCACTGGTGGGTATCTGTCAGTTTATCTGCCAGGGATGGATATGCTGATTGCGATCATGGTTATGTAGTTGCCAAACTTTACAGCCAGGCATCCCGTGATATGCGTCGTCTTGATTCGGTTGCTCGTTCGCCGTTGTATTCGCTGTACGGAGAGACCATCGCTGGTGCGACGGTGCTTCGTGCGTTCGGCGCGTCATCCAAGTTCTTGCGGGATATGTTGACCTGCGTTGATACTGTAAGCTTCACATTCTCGACTGCCAGTCGTTATAAATTTGACTTGTTTTCTTGTTTTGCAGCAAATCAACCCTTCATACTGGCAACTCGGCGTCAACCGTTGGATCTCGGCGCGGTACGACCTCCTCGCAAGCGTGACTGTTGGCCTCGTGGGCATTATCGCCGTCATGACGCCCAGCATCTCCGCCGCGCTTGCGGGCTTCGCGCTCTCGTTCGCGACGCAGATGACGCTCACGCTCCTCTTCCTCGTCCGGCGCTTCGTGGGACTCGAGCAGAGCATGGTCGCGCTCGAGCGCATCAAGGAGTACTCGGAGCTCGCGCAGGAGTCGCCCGAGTTCGTCGAGCCGCGCCCGGCCGCGAGCTGGCCCGACAAGGGCGCGATCAAGTGCGAGGATCTGGTCATCAGATACGCGCCGCAGCTGCCGAATGTGCTGCATAATATCAACTTTGAGGTGCGCCCGGGCGAGAAGGTGGGTATTCTGGGCAGGACGGGATCCGGCAAGAGCACGCTCGCGCTGTCGTTCTTCCGCTTTGTCGAGGCGACCGAAGGGCGGATTCTCGTTGATGGAGTCGATATCGGCAAGATTGGTCTTACCGATTTGAGGAGCAAGCTTACTATCATCCCTCGTAAGCGTTTGGTTGTTTTCTCAAAAGGAGCTCATCTCAATGGCTTCCTTCCAGAGGATCCGACGATTCTGAGCGGAACACTGCGGTCGACGTTGGACGTATTCGACGAGTACGAGGACGCCGAGATCGTATGCCGCTTCCTCTCTATCTTTCGGCTCTAGAGCTAACCTGGCTATACGCAGTACGAGGCCCTCCGTCGTGTGCACCTTATTCCATCGTCCTCTGGCGAAAACACGGAGGCTCAGACGGACATTGAAACTCCTGAGACCATCAACGTGAACGTGTTCAGGAACCTCGAGTCTCCTGTCTCGGAAGGAGGCGAGAACTTCTCGACTGGGTAAGCTGCTCGTTCAAGTCCTGGTACATTACCTTTGCTGACAGTCTTTGAAGCGAGAAGCAGCTCCTTTGCATGGCACGCGCCATCCTCAAGCGCTCCAAGGTGCTCGTCATGGACGAGGCCACCGCGAGCGTCGACTACGCGACGGACGAGTTGATTGGCAAGACGATCAGACAGTGCGTCGCTTGACTTTTCTCCCCGCTGCGTACGTTGCTCACATGAGGGTCCAGGGAATTCGCCAACAGCACGATCCTCACCATCGCTCATCGCTTGAGAACGGTCATTGACTATGATCGAGTTATGCTCCTCGACCAAGGACGCATCGTCGAATTCGACAGGTACGCTTTTTCATCTGCGTGTTTATACGAGTCAAGATAATCTCATGCATCTCGATTTTGTAGTCCCGCAATCCTCCTCGCAGATCCGGAGAGCCAGTTCCACAGCCTGTGCAAGGCAACAGGCAAGAATGAGTTTGCCACACTCAAAAGAATGGCTGGCTTGTAGAGTGCCGTCGACTTGCTGTACATACCACAGTTACTTTTAGATAGATTCTTTTTATGATTTATTTGTTGGCTAGTGTAATTACGCATCCGCGGTGTTGAGAAAATCAGCAAAGTCCTGCTGTAATCTACAGTGTCTACAGAATTCAGCTTTTCAGAGCAATTAATAAGTAATGTCACGAGGTAATGAATCACAGTGCTTGCTACAGGAGCTGGTTCACAACTCCGAGGACGATCTCTGGCATCGACAGATACGGCGAGTGACCGGACGAACAGCGCACTGTTCGTATCGATATTCCAGCGGCGTCATTAGCTCGCTGGACCATCCTCTGCTGCATCGAGATTGAGATTGCTTCGTCCTGCTCGCAGAGAAGATAGGTCACAGGGTGGTGAGCGTACGCGGCTTTCGTGACCGGCGTCGTCGACATCGATACTGGACACGGAACGAGCTCCGATGACCAGAACTTCTGCTCGTCTGCCGGCAGGTCGTTGTAAAAGCTCCATTCTGGATTTGATACAACCGACATGCCGTCGCCCTATGAACGGTCAGCCAAGTACAACTTATCCGGGTGACTGTGGGCATATAACTTACATCGGTCAGGATGCGGTTCATGGGCTGCTCCGCCCGCGCCGACGCGAGCGACTCCCCCATGCGCAAGAGGAAGCCAGAAAGATAGAGCATGTGGACCACGCCGCCGCTCAGACCACGCCCAGCCCGCAGCTTGCGCATGAACTCGGCGTCCGCGCCCTGCTGCGCGGCAACCCCGCCGTACGAGTGCGCGACCACGACGACCTCCTTCCCTTCCCCCTCGACGAGCCGCCGCAGTTCGTCCCTGACGCAGGCGCCGTCCTGGATCGGGCCAGAGGGTGGGGGCTGCCCGATGCTGGGTAAGCGCGGACAGACTGTCTCGTACCCGTGCAACTCGAAGACGTCGCGCACGCGGCGGAAGTGGCGCGGGGTGTGCCATGATCCGTGGACAAAGAGAATAATAGGCTTTCTAGTTGCAGATAGCATATACTGATGATACCAAGGCAAAGTTGGTAGCACTCGGCAATGGGGGGATGACGCAAAAGGAGAAGTTGAACGACGCTGTTCCGCGATGCCTTATGAGCGGATGACGATGTCAGGGGCAGCACAGAGGAGCGGTATGTCACAGCATACAGAGCCAGATGTGAGGGAGCCGAGGCGGCTTGAAACATCATAGACGTCTCTAGATCCGCGGAAGCAAATATCCGAGCCGAAGCCACGAGAGACGGAAGAGGAGGGCAAACAGGAGAGGGAGATAGGGGCAGGACGGCTTGGCCCGGCAGGTACCAACGGAAGGCAGGAATCGTCATCATACTGACTGTTAGGAGGCGCTGGAAACCCTCGGTTTGTAGGAGAGTTCCGCAGGCATGAATATACAGCTCATCCGCTTGGCTTTTATGTGTTGCCCAGGCCAAAGACGTTAAGGAGACGACGTCCCGAGACCGACGTCTGGCCCAGTCATATCAGAGCCTAGACGATATGACAGAAGCACGGACTGTGACGCTCCAAGCTCTGACATCGTCGATATGTGCCCGCCGTCGACAGAGGTCGAGGACTAGGCACTGGAGGCTTGTGAACTTCTGAGGGCAAGCAGACAGATCCCAAAGCCTAATCGACGATGACTTCTGACGATTGGATCATTTCATGGTGAACATGTATCGGCCGCAAGTCACAATGATGATAAGGAGTTAGGAACCGAGCATGATGAGCGACCTGGGCGCTCGAATGAACGCTACGGTAAACTACTCTCCTAAGTCTCCGCACCTTGTTCAGATGCTGTTTAGGGCAGGTCAAAGGCACGAGGTTCCTTTTTCCATCTTCTCTGTCGACCCACATATCTGATTAACATCTGAATAAGCTAGCAATGGCTAGTACTAGCATTGGACAGTCCGATTAACTTGACTACAACGCTCAGCGTTATATCCCAACCATGACGCATCATAGCATTACTGCATCACCCCGAACAACTGCGCGTGTTCAAGCACCTGCCTGGGGCGAATTCGACCTTAATCGCTTTCCGTGGACACTCGCCGAATTTCAGTCACGTCGGAAATCTCTCTCGATCCCATGAGCCAAACGCTCAACACCCCTGAGTCTCTGGAAGCCACCTGAACACCGAATGATACCGCCCGCCGACATCCTCGGCTCAGCGCAGCGCCTTCTATGGCATCCGCTTCTCAAAGCATACTGTAAACTGTGACTCAGGCTACCGAACAAGTGCTGATTGACACCTCCGACATATCCGGCTAGACCATCCTCCTCGCCAGCTCCTGGCGCCTACCTACCAAAAATTACCCTTATAGCTCAGAGTTTCAACACCTACTTCTCACCCTCATCGTCTCTGACGTTTTCCCTTGAAACACAAGACGTTGGCGCAATGCTCAGTACCTGCCACATCCCCGACACCCGCGGCCCTCCGTATCTCAGTAGTACTTCAGTGCTTGTCCTCAAAACGGCGTATACCTGCCAAACCCTGTCCCTGTTTAAATCCGTGTTGATACCGCGGTCGCGTGATCAACGAAGTGATCCAAGTGAATACTTAGCGCGCTTGTCCACGTTCTCATCCTCGCATCTTCACGGACAGGTCTCACACGCCAGGGTTTGTAGGCGCTCCGCTTGTTACATAATTACAGCACCGCACGTCATCTCGACAATCAACATCTTCGCCGCTAAAAGGACTAAATTGACCGCCACGCGTCATGTCAGACTTGCCAGATTGGCAAGGTTGTGGGCGAGCGAGCCTCGCATCAGGGATGACCAGAACAATCCCCTCGAAAATATCTTTTCCTACCGTCGATGTCGCTTGTTTAATATTATGCTACTACACGGCGCACGAATACGAAGCGGAGCCAGTATGTTATAGTTTGCGAGAAACGAACGTAGAGATAGTAGATTTTGTATACACCCCATGTATAGAAGAGGCACATGGCCAACCTGATATTGTACACCAATTGAATCAACTGCTTTTTTCTGTACGCGTGTTATCAAACTATGGTAAAAAGATAGAGAAGTCCGGAGAAGTCCGTGCGCCACCGCGAAACCATCGCATCCCAGATTTAGCCTTCCCCTTGTACTTCCCTGCTGTACGTAGCGCCCCGTGTTTCCGTCGAATGCTCCACCTCCCATAAGCTGAGGCAGAATCTGACAGCGGCCAGAAGAGCATCTGTGCGGGGCCGCCACAGCATGGGAAGGAAGGAGTGTGACCAGGGAGGTACGAACGGTAAGCCGGAGACCTTTTGTTGACAAGCGCCTAGCGCGCTGTCGAGGCGGTGATGCGAAGAGCGGAGATGCGAAACCAGGTGTCCATGGACTCGGGGCCAGAACGGCACGAGTCGAGGCCAGTCAACCCGTATCACGGTCTGTCCAATGCAAGAAATGTGGTGTAGGAAGAGAGAGAGACTGAGAATGAACGAAAGCGAGAATGATGGCGAGAATGTGTTGATGTGATGAAGATTGAAATTGATGAAAGACAGAATACAGATGCCCAAGAAGATACCTTTGCTGGATGATGCGATGATGCGAGATGAATGATCCAAGAGATTCGAAGTGCAAAAAGGAGAGATACGATCAGACCGAAGACAATAAAACGAGACATAGGCGTCTAGTAAGGTGGCCGCTTGAAGTCATCGTTGATAATCTGAGCTTCGGGGTCGTAATCATCGCCCTTGATGATACGCCCAGCCGCGTCGTACTCGGCGACCGGAGTCTCAGATGTGGAATCCCCAAGGTTCTCCATCTATTCAGCAATGTGAGTGGTCGCCGTCAGGATGGGAAGCACGCTCAACAAACCTGAACATGGACGCTGTCTCCGCCTTTCTTCGCCATGGAAGTAGAAAGTGGGCGTAAGGTTGCACTGCGGAAGGCAAGGGTTGATCCACCCGTAGTAGTACCACTGTTACGCATGTCAGCAAAGCAACGAGGTAAAACAGGATCGACTACGCACTTGAACATCTCGGCACCGCGCGTCGTGTAGTTGGTCAGCCGACGAACAGCTCGACATGCTACAATCTATGTGAAGGAAAGTCCACCTCAATCAACGCAAGCACACTAGAACCCGGGCTTACTGTGCTTGCGATGGCAGCGGGTACATTTGCGATGATCGACATGACAGCATTCAGATTGAGAAGCATAAATGTCTACTCACGGATATTAGTCAGAGTGGAAAGTATCATAGGAAGAAGGGTGTTTACCGTCGCAATAAGGTTAGCCAAGAAGCTGTCAAAAATACGTTGAGGGACGATGCCACATTGAATAAAACATATGCACGTACGCGATGACGAAGTAGATCAAACCGTCGCCAAAGATCATGCCAACTAGTCTGGATCGCCCATTAGCAGGGAACGCGAGCTTCCATGCAGTTAAGCAAAGGACGAGGAAGTCGAAGACCATCGAGTAGATGAAGCTAATGGCAAGGATCTCGTTGCTAGTGGACGTGATCTGGCAAGCACCGCCGACCCATTGGGCCTTCAGAAGTATACCTACGCGACGTACATGCATGAGTGGGACGAGAACGGCTATTCCGCAGGACGTACCGTGAAGGAGGAATGACCAGTGGCCGAGGATGATGATGACTAGAAGAACGATGATGTACTTGTTCTGGGACCACACCGCAATACTGGTGGTACATCATCAGCGGGGCCATCCTGACGAGCTAACGTTACGCACGTTCTGAGAGACAAGTTAATGCTTGCCAAACCAATGGCAGCATTACCGAACACCTGGTTGAAGGTGTAGAGCGCTTGACAGTTAACCTCTGTGGTGACATTGAGTGCTATTGCGCTGCATATATGCGCATTAATGAACACATATAGGAGCACTCGGGGCCGAGACACGTACATTCCGATCAACGCAAATAGCAGGCAGTAGCGACCGGCGAAATAAAACATCTACATGGGAGACGGTCAGCATGGACATGATGACAAACGGCGGTGACGCCTACCAATGGCCACTTGAAGCGCTTCTTGCCTGAGATGAACTGCCAGTCGAAGTCAAGTGACGTGGCGAACTCCCACCTATGAGATGTGTGAGCGAGCAAGTAGGGTGAACATGGGTATATGCGCATACATATACAAGCCCAAGAGACAATGCATAAAGCGGTCGAAGGCCACTGCATACGAGAGCAAGAGCGTCAGTTTCCATAACGTCATGCACGACAATGGACCGGATACACACCAGCGTTGGCCGCGATGATGTCGGGGGATTGCCAATTGACCATGGTTGTTGCCTATCGCGGGGGAAGGGGGGGATCGGTGGTTGAGTCAGGAGCGGGACTTGCGGAGGGATGGGTCCAAAATGAAGGCGACTTTATAAACTGGGAGGGGATGCCAAAGAATACGAAGTGGGCTCGGGTGCTTCCATCCGCTGTCAGCTTCAGGCGGCGAGTGCTTGAATGGGCCTTCGATACGATATCCATATCCGTCGACGGGATGTACTCACGTCAGTTTAGCTAACCTTCCGCACTTCGAAGACATCTCGGCCTTCGAGATGTTGGCCAGCTCTTCGGATACATACATATCCCGCATCAACACAAGCAACACGACAAATCCGTGCCTCCGTCTCCCAGATTCGCCTACAATCCCAGCATCGACATAGGAAATTGTAGGTTCATATCCTTATCTTAGCGCACCTCTATAGCCTATATGCCCGTCGGTCCACCTTCCCGTAACACGGTTGGCGCGCTCCGGGTGCTGATTTCGCCCTTACCAAAGAGCGAGGCACGACTTGTCTTTTCGAGACGAGTTACTGATTTTGCAACTTGTCTTTCAGATTGACAGATTTGGTTCCGGCTTCCCAATCGGAGGCAAATTTAGAACCCCGACTGGACATGTCTATCTTTTGCTTCCCCCTCTGATCGGCCACCCAAGTTGAGCGACCTCAAACACCTTGCTCGCCTCTTATTCGTCTACTCTTTATTGAGTGTCTATTGTGGTCTCACTGTCTCACGTGATAAGACACGTCCATATCGCTGCAGCTATGTATGTCTCCGGCCGCGAGCTCGGGGGCCAAAGAGGCTTCATTGAAATCTGGGGAGCTTGACAACGCAACCACGATCGGGGAGCCGTATGTCGTAAACTCTCTATATTTCGCGTTATTAAATTTACGTGCATCACAGATCTGGCGGGCCTGGAATCCATCTGTCCCAAGCTTGCCGTCGGGCCTGCGCCGTTGCAGTGCGCGGCGGCTATAGTGCGTCACAAATCCCGCGGCTGGTTCGGCGATGCTGTCGCATAATCCAACGCATCGCATTGCGCCTGTTCGAAGAAGCTCGCAAGTCGCCAGGACGTACGCGAAGCAGCCGTTCGTCCCATGTGCCCGTGTGCGTCTGCTGAAACCCCTGGCGCTGCAATAGGCTGGCGCTTTCCCGCGAGTTCCGCCGTCGGCACCACTTTCTGATCATCACGAGTTATCACGAGAGACCGGTGTTCAATCGAGTTTCAGAATTGCGGAAAACAGATGAGCAGCTGGGCCCACATTCTCCTCGATGTAAGACGGCTCTCACGGGCTTGAGCGCAAGGTTTGGCTTCGGTGTTTGTTCGAGCTTTGAGGGTGTTCACGTCCTCCTTAGCTTCGCTCAACTCTCTCAATACGAATATCGGATTGCACATCTAAGCTCGGGGCAACAGAATCCCGAACGACGGCTGACCTCAAGCTAAGAAGAAGTCGGCCGTGATGTCACCGTATGGTCATGCGCAGCAACAGTTCGCAGGCCACGGGTTGAGGCAGTAGATCCATGATTTCTGACTTGGATGGTTTAGCCCTCTCAAAAATTTCAAGGGTGGCTTCCCCAGCTCCATACTACAGTACGCTGATGTCAACATTTTCAGTTACCAAACGTTTTGCGTGGCCCTTGACAAGAGGCAGGGTGTTACGACGATCCCTGCCTAAGCCGATGTGCCCAGAGACCGAGATGGCATATAGACGCCCATTTCATAACTGCAAGTGTCGTAAAATTTCAATTCTTCACTGCGCACTGGTGCCTAATGGCGGCGTGGATCTGCGCAAGAAATGTAGACCATAAGGGACGCCGTTCTTCCTTCAGACCGCTCATTTTCCTTAGGCCTAGCCTGTCGGTGTACGTATGCCAGGCTGTGGATGTCGTTACATCTTCTGTCCGTCTTTTACTATAGGGCGTCACTTGGCGACCGCTCCACGCAACCCGCCCAGTTCATTCACAACTTACCGCAAAACAATTTCGTTACTTTGTTCGGTCGCACTTGCTTGTCTTGCGGCTGAAGGCTGTACGCTGACCACGATCGGCGTATGGAACCTTCGAAGTCCACGTGCATATGACCCAACAGACGTCCATTTGATAACTCGACACCGTTGTGTTGAGCGCGACGTCACTTCTTCGCTTCGTGTTCGTCTCAGGCGAAGTCATATTGCGTTGCCCTAAGGCCGAGTCTTTCCTGCCCTAGTCTTGTGCGTATCACCCAACGGACTCGTGCACATGGGACTTGTAAGGTCCCATCACTAAGGTCCACCCTTGGATCAAACCTCAACGTAAAGAGAAAGCCAGATGCCATTTGCGCTCCATCTAAAGTCGCGTATTGTTGATACCCACTCTATTATAATATCCATGTTTCGAAAAAGGTAAAGTCGAAGGACAGAACGTGAAGATCTCCAGGCGGATTCTTCACCATTCCAGTCTATTTCAAGGCTCACCAGCCCAACAGCCAGTCTTCTTGAAGATTTCTCCATTTCAATTGTTAGGGATAGGGTGCCTCGGTGAGGAAGAACATGATCAAGATCAGCTTCTTAATTACACAAGTGCGAGCACAAGATTCACCTTATCTAATATCTAAGAACCATTAATCAGAGATTGATGCGCCTTTATACACGATGTGCCGGTATGATAAGCAAGCACCAAGCAATTCACCTACCGCATCCGTCCCGAATAGCAATCATATCTTCCTTCTTCAAATAGAAGGTGCCAATTCCGCGCATCTTTTCCCCCTTCGTTCTTCGCTTAACCGATCTTAATCCCTTCCGCGAAGTCTGCAAAAATCACGTTGAACGCACGATCTACTCGCACGTTTGGCGCGGAGCAGATCATAGATCCTAGCAGCGGGGACAGCTGAACAAGACACGCGACGCAGGTGATAGGACGAGGATCTACGAGGATTATCGATGCTGATGATAATTTCAATATCCAGGGACCTGTGGATCCTTGCTCTTAGACATCGACGAAGAGTCGAGGGTGTCGCCGCTGTAATTTCACAAATTCTCAGTCCGGCAAGTTGTTGAACATATAGGTTAAGTTATTCCCGTTTTGTATCGCGAATCGTCAGTCAGATGCCTGTGCTAACCAGATATTTATAAACGTCAAACGAGAATAACACCCTTTGTCTCGTTAACGTTACTCGGACTCATCTGACCGTATAATACATACGCATTTATCTATGGTTGAACCACAGCAGAAAAACACTCTAAGCAGTACTTCTCCGCTACTCGTCTCGTAACTGTGAGATCCACTATCATTCTACTCGGTTCACATCTCAAGAAGGTCGAATATTTTTACTGGTCTTGTTACGGAGAAAATATTGTCGCGCACAAGGAGAATACTTGGTGTCTTTCAGCAGTATTCTATTTATACACTCACAAAGCCAGCTTCAGACACAGTTATCACCATAAGCTAACTTGTTCCTAGAACAGCCAAAATTCAGGATGGAAGGTTCTTCTTATCCTCCCTACTATAATTTCGTCAGTGCGACCAACTTCGGTTACATTTCCAAACATTATGTTAAGATATCGATTGTTGCTTGGTGAGTCTTAATAGCTAAGCAATGGCGTCTGACTTTGATGTCCTTAGTGTTTAATAGCTTCTCAAATATTTCTAATCGCTGCTTTCAATATGACAGGTCTAACCTCAACACCTCACAAAGTCCCTGTGGGTTTCGTCGCAGATGCTTGCTCCAAATTAGCTGAGGCCTTTGTTTTTATCATGCTTATGAGTTAAGAAACACGCTCAATGGCATATTCGAACGCAGCACTCTGTTTATCGAAAGCAGGTTTTCTCTTAGTTCAACTCATAATTCTCACAAAACCCTTGAATTCATCAACGTCCAGCTATTTCTCTTCCTGACGAGTATCCCTTGCTGAAGTCACCTGCCATACCCCTCAACGCTGACATGTATTTACTTGACCTATACATGTTCAAGAATGTGCTAAAATTAATAGCTTTGCTCACCCCACCTTGGCGAGAAGGTCGAGATCGCTAATGCTGGAAGCGGAGATGCAGTCGGGCAATACCGTTCAACCCACAAGCAGGGACAACTTCGACCCGTGCCACAGACGTGCAAAGCCGGAAGAGATGAATTGAGTTCGTACTTACCTTCTCTATTTTCTCACGTTTCCCATGCAACACAACTTCGTGGGCTACTCGAAACTATCCAACAACTCGGTGAGCGAAAGACATTCCCCGCTTGTGCTTGGTTCTTCTGTGTCCCTACTTCTCCTTGATACGTGTACCGCTTTCCCTTATCCCTTGATAGTCTGGGCTATCTTGGCCTGGGGCTGGTGTATTTTCTATGGTTTTCAGTGGCGTAATATGGTACAATCAAGTGTAAACGCTACATGCGCGTACCAAGTGGCGATTGACAACGACCATCAAAATCTATAGCATGGTAGCTTCGGCACATCGTCTATGCTCTAAATCCACGCGTGTCCGTCCAGCGCGAATACCGTACGCGCTTCACGTATTCTCTGGTATGTCGTATTTCTGCATCTTAGAAAGCATGTCGCATGTCTCCGCTCCGCGGCACTCCCAACATGTAATACGTCGGCGGCTTCGCCGTCGGGATGAAAGCTACACCTTGTGAAGCAGCTTCATTATCCTCGGACTTTTCGGCATTCTACTCCGTAGCTCTCGACATAAGCTCAGGTCTTCAGATCCCACATTATTATTGATCCTACAACAACGTACGTTATCTCGATCAGCATCACATTCGGTACTCCGGTACGGGCAGCGATGCCCAATTCTCGACTAGCTCGTGGCACGAACGTGACCTCCCGCGTACACACGAACGCTTCCCGGCGGGAGCGAATGTGTTCTCGAGAACAAAGGAGCTGCCGCCTTCATTATGCGCTTCGGCCCACGCGGGGGACACGAGACTTGTATTCATCTTGCCATGACGACGTAATTGTCGAAGCTCAGGCGTTTACCATTGAGTGTTGAGCAGGTCAAGGTTAAGAGTCAGTGACTCAGCGTTCACAGTACGCTCAAGGTGGCGGAAGCAAACGCACGCAATGACATTGGCAGCTCTGATGTCCAGTTGATCGGCGGCCATTGTTCCCGGGACAGGCATTCGATTTATCGATCGCCGCGACTCCACGAGTCATGACGTGTTGATATGCTTTCTCCCGTTGTGGGTGCTCATGCATCCTTTGTATTTAATGCGAGCCGTACACGATCTGTCTTTGAGGATGACAGGAGGTGTCAAGAAGTACAAGGTGTCGAGGTCGAACCTGGTAACTTCAAGTGTCTTGCACTCGAGATCTCAACGCCAGCGCCGAAGTGCCCCCGACGGCGGCAGCGAGGTTTGGCGCGCTCCTCGGTAGTTGCCGCTCTGGGAACAAAGTGCGCGTCAACCTCGCACGCTTTCTCTCAAGCTCCTTGTCCTTTGCTTGCCATTGTGTTATCAAAGAGCACGATTAGATTAGACAAGTGCGCACCCACAACATCGCTTAGCTTACTGACGACAAACCAGCAGCTGCACAGCCTGTGCACTGACATTGCCAAACGACGATGCGAGCAGGACGTGTAGACATTCCGTGGGAGGCTCTCCGTGCATGGCGAGCACAACAGTCCTGAAATTGCAATATGACCGCACCGATGCCACTTGCGGTGGCGCGTGTCAGGTTCTGACGCGGGTGAGCATTGAACAAGATGCACTACGGCGCGAGATGAAGAGACATGAGGCAAGGGTCGGCCAGGCGACGCCGCTCCCGCCGTCTGGCAGTCACGGCCTCGTGCATAAGTGTACTGGATATTTACGGCAGATGACACTTACTTCTGGACTGCATCGAGACTGTATTTCCGCGCCAACGCCCACACTCCCCCACACTCTCGCGATCCATGTCGCGCCACGGTCATCATGAGTTCGCTCCCGTAAACCCGAGCTCATTTCCGGCGTGTATGTTCGTCATGAGCGTGTCGTCATACCGTCTATACACTTCACAGGCAGGTACACGTTGCTAGCGGATATGAGCGAGCACGGGCATCGGTAGCGACGGCGCGGTGGTGACGCGACGCGCGCTACCGACGTTGACCAGGACTTCTGATCTGATCGCGTAGCCGCGAGACTTTGGATACGCACGAGATCTTTCACTTGCAATCTTGCAGAACGTACACTGCCTATCTGCGTCGTTGACAGGTAGTGGCCGCGCGTTGCGTGCCCAATGATCCTCGCACGCTCGCGCGGGGCCGAGTGTATGTATCATCACTATCAGTGCCCCACACAGACACAGGCTTACGTTTGGATGGTGATTGGCGAGGCGGTGGTGGGTAGCTCGCCAAGTTGGGCTTGGGTGGGTGGGGTGCCGTGGGGTAGGATGATACAACTCGGCTTCTGTCGGTCTCGATGCGTCCAGCGGAAGTTGCGAAGCATCGGCGCACAGTATGTTTACCTGAATTCGCGCTGAATGAAAGCAGCCTTCCAATTCCGAGTCTCGCTGACGCTAACCCAAAACATACCAAAGCGAACGTCCCACTTTGAACACACGACAAGTTCGCCGCTGTCAGAGAAGATGAACACAATCATCGATAGATACCAACGAAAGTTTGAGTGTCAGAAATCAATCAGATGCTATACACATACATACATAAATCTACATACCCACACACCCACTGTACCTCGAATTCATATGTGTCAACCGCGACCCCCGCTGAATCCCGCTTCTTCACATTGAAACAGGGCTCTTTGCACGACATCATCACACCAGTCGCGAACGCGCAGTGAAGGAATAAAGGGAAACCCATAAATGGCAACTTCAGCTTCATCGGTGTTCCCGCCCCAGCGAAGCTTCGCGCGTTTCCGCAGGCGGGGTGCGCGGGCCGCCGGGCGGCAAGTATATGTGCGGCAATTCAGGTGGGCACCGGTGGAGCGAGGGAACAAGTCTCAGGATGGGGACGACGACATACATATGAGAGTGCTGTTGCTACAGCGTACGCTGGCTCGTGATCAGCAGATAAGTACTAGGGGACCTGACGGGCGTCGTGAAGGTTAGGTAGCAGCAGAGTACCGTGGGTCGGAGGGCTAGGTGGCAGCGATAGCAGCGCTCCGCGGCGTTTGCTGGAAGTTGGTGAGCGCCGGGCGGGATAAGGAGGAAGCAAAGCGGATGCCAGGGGAGAAGCACGGATTGATGAAAAAGCGTAACGCGTAACGGCTCATCGGTAGTCGTCCGCGTCTCTGTCCGACAGAAAGCATCAGCCCGCCAAGGCACAGCAGGCGCTTCTTCCGTGGCATAGACGCGGCAAAGCAAGACGTTGAGGTTGAATGGACGGAGGACTGTCGAATCGTTGGTGCTTGAATAACGTCAGGTTTGGTTAGATAGTTCAGGCTCGTATATACGTAAACCGCAAAACAGGGCTGGGCACTGAATGGTTTGGCGCCGGCGGAGAAGGGCTCGGAGACTAGAGACCTTGGGAAGTTCTTCGCGCTCTCGGCGATCTTGACATCAGAGAGGGGCCTCGGGATAAGAGAGAAGGGGGGTGAAAAAGTCGGTCAGAACACGGCCGACCAGAGTCCGGCTGTGAAGGCTGCTGATGCCGGATTCAAAAGTGATGGCAAAGTAAAAAAAACGAGAAAAAGAGGAGCCGAGAGTTGTCAAGCCCACTGAGACTGTTTCAAAACCGGTGTCATGCAGCGCTCTGGGTGTTTCGGTTTTCCAGTCAAGCGACCCTCAATTAACGACCCCAGGTTTCCGGCGACATGAGGCAACAAAGTTCAGAGACTCGAGGAGCTTGGTGGCTCGATAATTGAGGAACTGCGGTTGTGATCGTCGCTCACGAGCGCGCGACCCTGCGTAGCGCCCGCGCGGAGGTACGGCGGTGAGCGCACCTACGGCACAACGTGGACGAACATCTTGCATCTGGCCCGCTCGGTAAGCAACCACGATTCTTCGTACGTCCACCGAAAGGAGCTGATCAGGGGTCTTACCGATCGCGATGCACCGCTGACGGCGGATCGTTTCGTTCTGATGCTGACAGAGTGCAGCTCTCGCAAAGCGGCCATCTTGCTCGCTCCCCCTGCGGCGGCCAAAAAATGAGCTGGGGGTCCCGTGCTACAAAGGACGTCCCTGATTCAGATGTCCCTCCCATGATGCAAAACATACGTCTTAAAACTGAGACAAGATTAGACGTACCTCTTCCAGACACCCCACAAGTACAAAGGGAGGCCCAAGGCGGGACCAAAAGCGGAGGCGAATTGTCCTGGGAAAGGAAAGTGTAGGATGCCAAATTTAGGGGCCGAGGACGGTGATTGGGTGGATGAGATGTGAGAGATCCCAGATCGAGCGAGGCGGGGACCGGAGTTGCCTTTCTTGGAGAAAGGAGTGCCTGGTTCAAGGCTATCAATCCCGAGGCTTCTTCATCTTGCTGTCTGTCCGTTTACCATGGCAGCCAAGCAGACGCGTTTGGATGGCAGCTTGAGAGGGATCCCTTGTACGTATAGGCACACGCGCTCCATCCACTCTCAACCAGCAATATAAACCCGTCCTTGTTTTTTTCACCGCCGTCTCCATCCTGTCCTATCCCTCTCCCCCGGGTGGTACGGTAGCATCAACTTGGCAGTGCTCCTCCTAGCCTTAGTCCCTCCTTCGTCCTCCTCCAACCACCCTTGTCTATTTCTGTCTTCTTTCGCCCAACATGACCGACTGGTCGTCACAAGCAGAGCTTATGCAGGACACTCGTAAGTAACGCGTTGCCCTTCGCGACCGATAGCCGCTGACCTCTTTGGACAGAGGTCTTCATTAAGCTCCAGCATGCCCTTCTCGGTCTTTACGCGTGCGTGATAGTCTTTCTTGATCGATGGCGACGAACAGCGTTCTGACCTCCGTATGATGCTTTTAGTTGGGAGTTCATAATCTCTCTCGATTTCGACTGGGCGGTCCTCACGGGCAAGAAGAAGTTCAGATGGCCCCTCTGCTTCTACTTTGCTGGTCGCTACCTCCTTCTCTTCGCCCTTATTGGCATGTAAGTGATTATCTACACCTATACTTATTTATAAGACTAACTCGATTAAAAGTGCCATCGCTCTGGACACCACGAAGCCCATCAACTGTCAAGCACTGTATGCATTTCTCCAGTTTGCCGGGGACGCAGCCGTTGGTATGGCCAGTATCAACCTATCTCTTCGGACGTGAGTCTCCTTCTTCATTCCTTGCCACTCATTGTCTTAGATAATCGTTTCAGTATCGCTATCTGGTCGCGTAACAAATACATCATTGGTCTCCTCCTCGTCATCATCCTCGGACACTGGTCGCTCATCCTCCAAGGCGTCCTCCTCAAGGCCGCCTATTTCCCGGGCGAGGGCTGCGCGATCACGGACTCGAATACGACGGTCCTCAGCGCGACGTTCATCTACTCAATGTGCTTCGACCTGATCGTGCTCTGCCTCTCAACGTACAAGCTCGCGTGGGAACCCCGCCGCAAGCAGATGGGCGCGCAGAGCCAGCTCGTCAAGATGATCTTCGCTGACGGCCTCGTGTACTTCTTCATTGCGTTCGTGGCCAACGCGATCGCGACCGTGTTCATGATCATGAACTGGAATGCGATCATGAGCGTCATCTTCAATGTGCCCGCCGCGATCGCGTCAACGATCGTCGCGTCGCGCGTTGTTCGTCGGCTCACGAACTTCAGGCTCACTGGTCCCGAGATCTAGTGCGTACCTTTTCGCTCCCTCTCCGCCCCTTTGCGCCCTGTACTGATAAGCGTTGATCCGCAGCTCGAACTCGCAACAACAGCCCACCTCCAACCTCGCGTTCAGCGGCGCCAACGGCGTCTCGCGCACGGTTGTCCGCAGCGCATCGACCAAGGTCGGCCCGCGGATCACGGGCCCGACGAGCGTGCACGTCGAGATGGAGACGTTCACCCGCGCGGAGAACATGGACATCGAGGCATACCCGCACCACATGGCCGCGATGGAGCAGCAGCACGCTGTGCCGATGGGCGTCGTCGCCGGCGGGCACGACTTCCGCGAGAAGGAGGGCTCGGAGGCGAGCTACGAGGACGATATCAAGGCCGGGCATGGACTCTAAGCATAGGCTGAGGGTGTCTTTGCCTTTCCTTCCTTTGGTCTGGCTTCGACGTGTCCTGCCCACCTTGGTAACCTGGCACCTGGCGTTGGATAAAGCGCGCCGCGGGGAGCGGTGTGCCCGAATATAGAAGGACTGTCTCGCAGATGTTAATCCTTTGTAGCATAGCATAAACTTAAGTATACCCAGGGGGAACCACCGGTTGAAGACACAAATTCAGGGGGGTTTAGTTGACTCGTATTTCATTCGTCGCTTGCACTTGCATCTCACATCTCTGTCATCTGATCATTTACACGCGCATTCATTCATTCATTCTCGATTCACCTTCGTTTCACCTGCCTTTGCACTTTACTTTTTATCTCGAGGTCCGCTTTGTTCTTTGATTTCTGTCACATAGGCTTAGCTGTGCTACCTTGTACTATCGATTCGCGGATCGTACCATTTACAAGTAAAGAAAGAATTAAACATGCAGAAATAACACTAGCCAACTGTCGTCGCTCGTTTCGAATTACTAAGTACACCATCAGTCTGCATTTTACTTATACTTACCGCTATACACTAACTTGAAAGTTTATGAGCTTTGCTGTGTTGTGTAGGCTTCCACGACCTCGATCGGTAGCTTCTTGCACCCGAAAACTTCGAGGGTTGTGATGCACTTCGCGTCTGATAGACTCAAACATTTTCTTTGGGAAGTTAACACAGATGCGGCCATTGACGGAAAGATTAGAAGCCCGCTTCGAGCCGCGGGTCGCGGAGTTCGGGACCCACTGCCCCCCTGTCAAGCTGTCACCAGGAAAAGTGACAGCGCCTGACAGCAACCTGACAGCGCTAAGTAAAATTTACATCCGGCGAAGGCGGAAGTAAATCACTCAGATCTGGCTCACTATTTTGTCTGATGTCAATCTTGCATTGATCGTTCTCTCGATTAGTCCCGGTTCTCGACCCTCGAGCAAACTTGAAGCTCGCCACTAGTTCTGGTGCTCGGCGTGACCCGAGTGGATTTAGAGGAGCGTGGAGTAGCGATGGGTCAGCTTGGACTCGAAGGTCCGCTGCAGCGTCTGAACACGTGGCGAAGAGGCTTTGTCTCATGTGGTTTCCAGTGGGCGGGCTCCACCAAAAAAAAAAGGTTTCCAGTACTTGGGCGGGGGGAGAGCGGATGTCGATGGTTCGGAGGACTCGGAGAGAGATGACGTTGACATCGATGGATTCGATGATGCATCCTTCGACCTCTGTCGACTTTGCGACTTCCGATCAATCATCTCTACATCTACAGTATAGAGCACTTTAGCTATCTTGAGTTAAAGCCCTCGATGCACGACTTAAGGGTCGAGAATGGTCTGATAGATAGGGTTGCGCACAAGATGGCTTACTGATCTGTGATATGGTGGGTGGGTGTACATGCACGGCGCTGTACATGTGTATATGCTGCGGATGTCACCGAGTTTGCTATCAGGGAGCGTAAATATAGACAAAACTCGATTATATAGAAAGAGCTCGATCAGACCGATGGTTGGAGATTCACACCGGGGTGGTACGCCGTTCGACGCAGGGCACGTTTTGAGAACGCCGAGCGTTCAAGGGTGATCGTGGGCGCGTGGGTGGGGACATATGTATGTACGCCGGCAGTATGTGGGACACAGGGCGCAATTGTTGTCTTTCAACGAAGATTCCGAGTCGACGGACAGAGATCCTACGAGGGCGGCAGATTCACGGTGGCACGGAAGATGCATAGACCCGTTGGCCATGGAGAAGAAGCACTACATGATTCGGGTCTTCCCCTTCCGACGCCGCTACGTTTTCTGGACCAACTCCGAGCCTTCGCGGGAACAACGAAGAGGAGCCCGTTGTATCGTTGACGCGCGTCATTATAGAGTCAACGTGGTCAACGTGGTGAAGGCTAGCAAGTTGCCGAGGACGCGAGAATGTGAGTAGGACGAAGGCTTCGTTGAATTGAGATTGAGAACGTTGAGAAGCTGAGAAGAATCTAAAGGACAGGCTGCGATTGGCGTGCTACGGATGTCTGAGAAGCAGAGATGCGACACGAATGCGGATGCGGGCGGAGAGCTCAGATAGAGGAACGGGCATGAAAGTTTCGTGAGAGGCCGATGGAGTTCATTATGCATTATGCATGTCAGATGGCATAAGCAGGCGCCGAGCGCCGAGTGGTGGAAGGAAGTGGGCATGGTCATTCCAAAGGGGAATCTGACCTTGGAGAAGGAGAGGCAGCGCTCGGAATAAGCAGTATGCGCAGCTCGCGTGCTTCGTGGAATGCATATTAATCGAACATCACCTGAATGATACGCCTTGCCCCTCGCTCACTTAGTGAAGACTTGACATAGCAGGCGTCCATAAGCGTCTGCTATTTCGGGACCGTCGAAATCGTAAAGCCGCAGACTTCCCAAGCCGAAGGGAAGTTTCTAGCGCAAGGGTGGAATTTTCCGGATGTTGGTCTGAGCTTGGGCCTCGTTTCGGATGTCGTTTAGGTCTGAGGAACAACATGAAGTACTTAGCATACTTCGCAAAGAGAATGGAGACCAAGTGCCAAAGGGGCGCGCGACGCGTTAAGGAGGCAGTGACGCGTTGTGTATTTGGCCGGATTATGCCGAAATACCTTTACCTCTTCCCTTCATTAAGTAGCTTCATCGTCGACTCGTGCCAAAGCTCGTGGTTTTCGTTGTGTGATTGTCTAGCTCATATCAGCGACCATTGTGCAATCTATGTCTTTCATCGATCAGGATGCCTTCTCAAGTAAGGAGCCAAACAAGTTGGATCTGCCAAGCTCCCCTGTCTCTGTTCCCGTGAGACTTTGAGGTTCTCGCACTAGCGACATTGATGATCGTCGTTGGTATCTTATCATTGCTCGGTACCGACATGGCGCTCTCTGCTTTTCATGGTCCTAGAGTATTCATTGGATCAGTACTTGTACTGGCGTCCGACGCCCCAACGGCGTCATTATTTTCATTCGGTCTGACATTACAGCCACAACGAGGAAGCTTCATCCGTCGGTATACGGTGTCAGCCTCAAGACATCCTCTCTTGTCTCCTGCGTTCACGATCCCTCACGCTCCTTTACGACTCTCCAGGAACGGACCCACGAACCAAGTCTCTACCCTCAGCACTCTACGGCTTTTGTCTGTTTATCCTCGGCATGCTTTCAATTGTCATCACCTTCGTTTTCGACCTTCTTTGCCGCTGCTTCACATGCTTCTCCCCGCCACCCGAGGAAGGCACCCTTCCAGCCCCAGTCTCATCCCGTCAGCTTCGCTCAGCCTTGCGCGAGTCGGCCGACTGGGGCCCTTATCAGTCCATCTTCCATCCTAGCTCACACAAGTCTCTGCACTCGGCATCAGCTTCGTCCTGCGAGAGCCAGAACGATCAAAGCTACGAACACGGACGATGCGACTCTCGTGAACTCGCCACGCCACCCACGTCTCCGCCCCTCCAGACTCCGCCCCTACGCCTAAGCCTGCCCCGCTACGAGGAGGAGTCGGGATCATTCTGGTCTCTACGGCGCAGCGCCACGAGCACCCGGATCGGAGAGATGCTGTCCCCCTCCCCCTCGCGCAGCCCTCGCAAGCTTCTCAAGTCGCTCTCGCTTCCTCGGCTCTCGCCCAAGCTTGCGACTCAGCCGTTCCGGGTGCACAACGCCTCGCAGGCCGTCGACGGCGCCGGGGGCATGTTTTCCCTCCCTTTCCCCATCAAGGCGGAGATCGCTGTCCACGTCGACGTTCATGTGGCTTCAGAGGCCAGGGCGGTGGATGAGGAGGTTCGTTCAAAAAGCCCCGATAACGACAGCGACAACGATGTCCTTCAGACCCCCATCGACTCTTTCTCCCCGTCGTCTGCTCTCGAGCATTCCAACGACCGTGCCGGGTCTAGTCTGTACGTCGCCCGACTCGGAACCTGTCATCTCTCCGTCACGACGATCGAACGAAACGAAGAGCAAGATATCGAGATGGAGATTATGGCAGTCAGCAAGGAGTTCTCCGGATGGCGGGTGGAGGACTTGTCCGACGGGGAGTCCGACGTGGATACGTCCGAGTCGGTGGAGCCCTATTACAGTGTCGTTTAAGTCATCGTGTGCCAGGATTTTATTCTGTTAAGTGTTTGTATATTTGGGGAATATATTCTTCTTTCTTGGTTAAGTTGCGTGCTACCGTGCGTTGTGTCCTTTATCCCCTATTGACCATGGCTGAATTTGACGTTAAGCGCAGATCGATAGAACACGTTAGTAATTTCACGAAGAGTATCGTGCCAATGCAGCCGCTAAGCCTTTTCTCTATGTATCGTTATATTAACCTCAAGTTACCCGGGACGCGTCGTGACGACGCGCAACCGAGGTGTTCTGAATAAATGTTACTTGAAAAGATTGTGATAGTATTCCTGGGCTCGCCCGGAGATTTCACAAGGAAGCGAAAACATCATGAAGTGCAGTGAAGTTTCGAGACTCGGAGGGCTAACGGTGCCATTGTTAAGTGGTCGATCGAGACTTCAAATGGAGATGTAGGGTGTAAATAAGAGAGATCATCGTTTTTGTATTGAAATGAATGAAGTCGCAGAGACAGGTAGCTTATCCATAGAGTATGGGCGTGGCAGTTACTTGGGGCCTTGCTTGGGGCGCGCCAACCTGGTTTGCTTTGAAACTCCGCAGCTATGTCGTCGGCATATTCCGAAAGCCTTTTCCTCAATGCATCAACCGTTCGTGACATCTAGTTCACGACATCGCTCAGCAGTCTTAATCCCAATCGTCGTTACCAAAGCGTGGAGAGCCTCGGATTCCCTTCTTCCTCAGAATGCATCTTTAATACCAAAAGCACTTGAATGTAGCCGGACACCATCCACTGAACGTAACCATGAGCTGAAGAGCTCGGGGCTTTGCCTGCGCCCGCTCAATTAACTATGCCTCTAGCTTTGCCATAGGTTACCAGGCACATTTCTGCCCACTTTCAAGGTGATAATTTAGACTAAAAGGCTTTCAAGTTCTGGTATGATCTGAATTTCATCTTATCGTAACTCAGACCATCCATTGCTCAGACTCGATCGCAACGCTCTCTAGAGACATATACGCCGACCATGCCCTAGCACAAGTTTCTTCAGCGGTAACTGTTCCTCATATACACGGCTAGTACCAGCCCTCTCCGCTCCTAGCTATAGCTTCAGTTGCTATGCCCTCCGAAGCTTTCCACAACTTTGTCCGCACCCTTTGGGCTTGGATCAAGTGGCTCTTCCTCGCGTGTTTCTGCGCTACGGATGAGCCTTGTCCAGGCTCAAACATAGAGACAGAAAGGCCGTTCGACGCTGCGCCTGACATGGAGAATGGTTCTAAAAATTTTAGATCACCGGTGACCCGCCCGCCACACTGTACGTCGTCGTGAGCAAGCTTCTGCCGTGGCGTTCATGTTAAAACTCTTCTTCGCTCAGGTTCACCTCACTTGGCCAGCAGTCCAATCTTTGCTTACGCTCGTTCGGGAAATTTCAGCCCTACTACTCTCGTTAGACCGACCTTTGTCTCTCCTCATCCCCCTCGTACATCCTCGCTTTCTCCTGGTCCTGTGGCTCCCATCGCTCCTCAATACTACACAGTATATCATTCTCCTGAGCGCTCTGTCACCCCGCATCCTACACCCTCTGCGACTGCCATGTCAGATCTTTCTATCACCTCCACCCCGACTCCTTCCATCACCACTTCTCCGAGTCCTTCCACCACATCTACTCCGATGCTCTCCACCACCACCGCATCTACTCCCTCCACCAGCATCGCCACAACTCCTGCCAGCATTGCGCGATCTTGCACTGTCAGCTCTCAGTCAGCCTCCACCGCGGAGCCGATCACCCCCTGCAACGTTCCTGAGCTTGCAATCCATATCGTCTCCGACACCTCAAAGCCTCCTACTGTGTGCAACACAGGCGATATCGGAGCAGGCACCGAGCTACCCTCTGCACTCGCCCTCCCTCAACCGGCCAACGCGTTCGGATCTCATCGGAGAACGTCGAGCGTCGAGTCGGACAAGGCTGCGCTGGGTAGGCCACTTAGCTACCTGGCCTGGCTATGGAACGACACCGACGACGGATCGCCGAAGCGTGGTGAACGGGAACAGGGGCAAGAACACAAGCACTCGTCCGACGCTGCTGGGAATCTCGAGGCTGAATCATCACCGCCCGCGTCTGCTGTTTGCGACACCGACCAGCGCTCCGAGTCGGACACCATCTCCACCCCGCCAAGTTCGCCCTCGCGCGCGCCGCACACACCTGTCGAATCCCCCACATGCACATACAAGAGATGGGCGCTCCTCGACTGCGCGTCTACCCTGCCCTCGCCTGCCCCCTTCGCCTCTCCGCCCCACCACGACGCGGGCCTGCCGTCCCCGTGGAGCGCGAACGAGCTCGCCAAGGATTCAGAGTCTGAATCGGAGGCCGCCTCCGCCTCCCCATCCCAGTGTCAGTGGCCGATGCACGAGCAAAGTCCGTCGCGGGAGAGGTCACGCAAGAGGCTCGTGTCGCCGTGGAGCGTGTACGTTGTGCAGGACGGGCTAGGAGACGGGGGCGCGAAAGAGGGCAAGGGGCTGGGCATCTCGTTAAATGAGCGGTGCTCGTTCGTATGTGCGCCTGGCATCGCGCAAGAGGCAGGGCTCTGTGGGCCGTGTGAGTCATAAGTAATTAGTAGTGGGGAGTGTGAACTCGTATGCCTTCTATTCATATTTTATTCTGCTTTCTTTCCTTAGGCGTTGGTTTCTGCTTCTTTGTGGGTAGTTCGCGTAGGCTTTCTTTGCCAGTCGTTGATTGCCGTCTTGATTTTCCTCCTGTACGAGCCTTACTGCGATTGTACTTAGTCTCTTTAGTGACGGGTATAAAATGGGTTGTTGAAAACGTCTATTGAGTTCGTGAGCCAGGTTTGGACGAGTTCAAGCTGCAGAGTTTCAGAGGTTCGAACGCGTCGCGTCGCGTCGCGCGCTACTCTAGGGCCGGCTTTGGTTACTTCATCAAGTTCCATTCATGACAAGCTTACTACGAACCTAACTTACAAGTTACCACTCTCGCATCACGAATCTTCCCTCTTTACGCTGTGTGGCGCAGACAAATCGCGCTCGAGGCAGCCCCTCGGCGCTCAACACTGGGAAGATGGCAGGCACTGGTTCTTTAGCCGTTCCTGGGAGTCGGCGTAAAGTCGATAAATGGCCCGGAGAGCACATCCTGAACCGCTCTTGCATCACCCTTTCCAATCACCCGCCCATCCAAGGATTCGCTCTCTGTTTAACCGAGGGATGTCTTGTGAAATCGCCAACGCTGGCGCGGAGAAGCCGACCGTCCTCATCGTGCACGGCTGCTTCCACACCCCGGCGCACTTCAGCGCCTTCCGCGAGCTGCTGCATGCGAGGGAATACGACACCGTCTGTCCGCACCTGCCCAGCACGAGCAAGCTTCCGCCAGACTATGCGCCGGCGACGTTGCAGGAGGACGCGGAGTGCATGCTTGTCGAGCTGAGGAGGCTCGTCGAGGATGAGGGGAAACAGGTGATCGTCGTCGCGCATTCGTATGGAGGGATGGTTGCCAGCGAGGCTGTGAAGGCTGAGCTGGGGCGGAAGGCAAGAGAGGGAAAGGGAGAGAAGGGCGGGGTGTTGAGGATTGTGTTTTTGTGCGCGATTCTTGTGCCTTTGGGTGTGGAGGCGTTGGAGTATCACGAGGTGGCAACTTGTGTTGAGGTTCATGTGAGTCGGCCTTGCCATCTCTGCTTTCTTGGGCTTTAGCTGATCTCGGAGAATCAACCACGATCCCACTATCGATGTACGCTATCGGGCTGGTAGGACAATGGGACAGTAACCATCATCGACCCATCAGACTCACTCTTCAACGACGTCGAAGACAAGCAACACGTTCAGGGTCTTAATGCGATGCTGTTGCCGTCGTCGATGGTAGCGTGCACCAGCAACATCTCTTACGATGCATACAACCACCATCCGGTCACGTATCTGTTCTGCAGGAAGGACAAGACGTGGATCATCGGGAAGCAGGAGAAACAGTGGAATGACATGTTGAAAGGGCTGGAAGGCGTAGAGTCGAGAACGATACCGGAGGGCGGGCATTCGCCGTATATATCGCATCCGGAGGTTGTCATTGAGCTCATTGAGAGCGCTGCTAAGTCATGATAAGTGTGCTCTAGTCTACTCTCACGAGGAATGCTATCTAGGCTGTAGTGTGCTGCTACTCTAATCGGACACATGGTCTATGCTATCATATCTGCTCTCTGCCCTTCGGCGAAGCTATGGATCTCTACACGGACACCGGCTCCTCCTTGTATGGCCAAACCCAGACAATCTTATCCACCGAGCGATCTCGCCTCATCTTCTCGACGTTTTGCTCCGTGTTCATGTGGAAGTTAGATGTCCCTTCCTCGACCTCCAGCAGACGCAAACGCGCACCAGCCGCGTCTCGCAGCCTGAGGCACTCGCGCAGCTGCGTATACTGGGAGATTTCGTTCTCGGAAGGGCGGAAGTCGCGAGCGTGGTGGATGTGCAGCTCTTCGAGGTTAGGGAGCAGCAAGTGGCCTTCATGCTCAAGCTCGGATGAAGTTAGCGTAGCATCGGGCGGCACAGTGGGCGTGAGTGAGAGAATGAGAGACCGCATGGTGAGGTGCACGCCTCCTTCGACGCGGAGAATGCGTAAAGCGGGCACCGTGGGCCACAGGTCTTTCCATTGATCGGCATGAAGGTCGAGGTCGTAAAGGTTGAGGAAGGTGATGGTCTCCAGCGGGATGGCGCGGAGGACGCCGAGTACGAGGCCTGTAGATAGATAGCCGCGACGTAGGATCTCCATGCTAAGCATAGGGTCCTCGGAGGTGTCTTCAGTAGGATGGTCATCGTCACATTCGGGACTCTCGGAGTCACAAAATGGCAGCCGAAGAGACAGTGCAAGGGAAGCCGCCACGTTAACGGAGAGCATCGTACATGCCACCGAGAGGCTGCGGAAACCTGTGGCTGCTGCGAGGCATTTTAAGCCCCCAGTACTTGGCAGCGGATAGTTCGAATGTATCCCCGCGTTATAGTGTGCCTGAAATAGGGGCGTGAGGCGGGAAGAAATGTCGTTGTATGACGTGACGCTGTACATGTTAAGGTCTAAGATTGCGTGTGAGGGGACAGAAAGACGCTGGAAGACGTTAAGCGCTTGTAAATGTGATCCGGTGAGCGAAAGCCTAGAGAGCCCTCGGAGAGGAACGACAACGTTCGGCTGCTTAGGAGCTTCGTCGTCAGGGATGCTCTGGAGGCATCGAAGTGCTAGCATTTCAAGCCGCGGAGTCTGTTGCAAGAGTGCGACGATATCGGAGAGGGAGGGATGGAGAGCCGGGTCCGAGATTTTGCAGATGATCAGAGTCGTCAGATTTTGGAGAGGAAGGGAGTGCCATGTCTCCAGGCCGCATCGACCTAGAACCAGACTTCGCAGGCGAGGCAAACCACGTAGGAACGATTCGGGAAGAGTTGCCTTGAACGTTAAGGCGAGCACTTCCAAGAGCGGTGCAGACTCGGGTAAGTGCTGCATCAGAGGCTGAATGTCTACGCGTGAGCGATGTTTCTTGAGAAGAACGATCTCGCGGCAGCGTGAAAGGCCTCCCTGGAGACCCAAGAAATCGAGTAGCCAATCATCGCTGTCGCATAGTGCGCGGCGAACAAACAACGGAGCACTGCCTGCACGAGTGAGATACGACTCGACCTCGCTCTTACGTTCGAGCTGAGGACAGGCCCAGAGGGTGGCCATATCGAGGATAACATCATGCCACCGGCGGCAAACGAGCATCGCCTGCGTCCACTCCCGGCATTGCGCGTCGCAGCTCAGATGGCTGTGGATGCGCCAGCTTGGGCGTCTGCTACTGAAAGGCCACGTTTCCTGGTGCGAGTCCAGAGGCCATGCGTCATCGCCAAGGTGCGGCTGGATGCACTGCCCGACGCGGAGAGTGAATATCTCGGCAAGTAGCTCGTTTGGTAGGAGCGAGATGGGCGAAGTCTGGTCTGACTTGGACTGAGAAGTCATTTCAGAAGGTGCGATATCAGGAGCACAACGGCTTGAGGAATGAAAGGCATATCAGCTGGGGAAGCTCAGATAGATGAGCTGAGTCGTACGTACTGAGGAGGTTGCAAGAACAAAGCTTGAAGAAACGTGGTCCGAGCAGAACCCCGCTACTTAGATAACGGTGTTTGCGGATGCCTGCCCTAACGACGAAGCGCGCTCGCATCGTATCACTTTCCCATGATTCGGCTGAAACTCTCGAAACTCGTCGCGTTTTGAGGGTGAAGAACGAGGAAAACGCACTTGTGTCACGGAAACCTATGATAGGTGTCGAGGAAATACAACATTATATTGATTGTCAGTACGCAGCAACAGATCCGTGTGCTCGAGGTCCGAGAGCGTGAGACGTCGAAGCATTAGGGCCGGCTGACGGTAAAACCGCACCAACTGCATGAGCTGAGCACAGACAAGAGTCCACGTCTCTTTCGCAATTTTACCGGAAGTTAAAGGCTCGTCCTCACTTCTAGTTCTGGTGACCTGTTTGTGCTGTTTACAGAGCTCTGCGTCGATAGTATGACCTCTGAGGAGCCGACCAAGTGGTACTTCACCCATCTTGCTCCTACCCGACGAGCTACTCTCGGACATCTTTGTCCTTTGCGCAGGCCGTTGCATCCAGCCCAATATTGTCCCAGCAGCGTGGCCATTCATCAATTTTAACGACGATGAACCAAACTGGCGTAAAGAGGGCCACATATGCAGGCTTCTACGGTGCTGGGACTGGAGGCGCATGATGTTAGTTTGTCGCCGCTGGTAATGGTATTTGAAGACTGGTACCCTGTGCCGCGGCTCGTGCCACGCGTTCTTGGCGTTATCCAAGCCCATACACTGACCTCTCTTTACATCAGAGAACCTATGGACGACGTGTCGTTTTCATGGAGCGACCTCTGCACACTTGTTCCTCGGCTACGAGTACTTCACGTCACAGCCATGGGATACACGAAGCTTATTGGGGTGCTCTCTCCAATGCGCGAGCAGGGATGTCTGCTGCCTGCACTATGCGAGCTGCGTCTTCGAATGACACATCTCTCGGGATTTGAAGACTGCACTAGCTTTGAAGAATTGCGGGAGTGCCTAGGTGATCGGGCAACTGTTGGATATCGTCTGCTTCTCCTGGAGCTTGTAGACTGTACGGGAGTGGAGAGTAATAACGTAGCGGCATTGAGAAGGGATGATTCAGTGGATATAGTTAGATGGGATGAAGAGAGCAAGTGGGGATCTGAAGGGAATCACGAAGGTGTAGACTATAATTACCTACGCAGAAAACTTAATTCTAGTTACTGATGATGTGGCGACCCAGCGTACCTATATTACATATTGTTCTCAGTGACGGAGAAATGCATCACTGATTTTAAAAAAACAGCTCAGAGGTGAGCCAGATACATGTCAAGTTGACTGCGCGAGTTGATTTATGTCTACAGCTATCTGGCAAAGTAATGACATGCGTGTACAATACGAATCCTGATAGTCCAACTGCCATTGGGATTCATTGATATTCATTCTTAGGGTTATCAACCTCGGTCAGGGTCACGACCTAATGTGTGGCGTAAATCTTACTCTTCGGATTTGAGGAAAGTGACTTTGGGCTGTGAGGTCTGAGAACGTCACATACAATCACCATCCGTTTTGTTTTTCGTGCTATGGGCACTCTTGACGAGTAAGAACGAAGAGTGAGTGTCCAAGAATTCGATTGACAGGCACCTTAGCTATATAATCAAGAGGGTGCCGCACATTCGCGCATACACTATCCGATCCACGGGACATCGTTGACGCGATAAACCGAGTCGTAAAATAGTCGTAGCACTACCAGTCTAGAACTGCCCATTGATGTACTCCGACTTTGTCTTCTAGTACTCACCCACTCCCACGTCTTCCTCCCCGTCGCTCTCCGTATCATCTCATTCATTGGGAAGATCCAGCTTAGACACTTGCTGAATAATGTTGCTACGGGAGACGCACAACTTGAAGGAAACTCCGGGGGTGGATGTGAGAGTCAAGTGTAAATTGGCCAGGTTGTGTAGCTTTACAGTGTAAAGCTGTGTATACTGATATACTGACTTGTTGGTGATAGCTTCAGCCTCATCTATATTTCCCATCCGCGGCACTACACGATTACGACTCGACGTCCGAGGTCCACACATCATGCTCGTATAAAACTTCATTCCCGCCCTTGAACACGCCTCACCCGTAGCGGCACATCAATCCTGGCTTCCCCTGCGATCTTAGGACGCACGAGGTTGTCCGCCGAGTTGATCGCAGCGTCGTTCTTGGGATCGCGCAGCTCGAACGCGAAGTTGCGGATGAGGACGGAAAGTGAAGCCTGCGGCGTTCCACCCATCGTCAGTTCATCAAGAAACAGAGACACAAAGCGACACGCTACGACATCACACACACACCTTGAACTCGGCCAGCGCAAAGTTCTTTCCCAGACACATGCGCGGCCCATCGTTGAAGCTCCACAGGTGGCGGTGGCCGTGCAGCTCCTTCGCCGCGTACTCCGGCTCCCACTTCCCGCCGTCGCCTCCCTCGGGGCTATCCTGCCGCGTGGCGAGCCAGCGGGAGGGCTTGAACTCCTTTGCGTCGGGGCCCCAGAACTTCTCGGAGCGGTTGAGATACTGCATCGAGGTGGTGACGAGTGTTCCCTTTGCGATCGTGATGGTGTCCACAATGTGGCCCGACGCGGTGGTGAGCGGGGCAGAGAGCGGAAGGACGTCGTCTTGAAGGGCCTGTTGTACGGGGTATTCCACACCGCGAGCACCTTTTGTCAGTAAAGGAAATGGAAAGGGAGCGGAGGACGTACGACGCGTGTGACCTCTGGCAGAGGTGGATGCAACCGCAGGACCTCGTGCACGACGGCGTCGAGCGTGGGCAGTGTCGTGGGGTTGGTGAGCTCGTCGTAGGATGGGTCCGCTCCGCCTTCGTAGAAGTGGGAGAGCTCTTCGCGGAGGAGGCGCTGTGTGTTTTGGTCCTTGGAGACCTCGATAAGGGCCCACTGCAGATTGGAGAAAACGCATCAGTTCATAGTCCGAGGAACGGAGATGGTAGGAGGAAATGGGCGCTTACGGTTAAGCTGACTGTGTGTTAAAGATGGGACAAGAGAGAGAGAACGTGAGTGAACAGTTTTCTGGTAGAGATTGTCGTTGGGGAAACGTACTTGAGCTCGTCTCGTACCCAGCAAACAAGAGCGTCCGCATCTCGTCGATAACCTCTTGTTCTGTGAGGCGCGAGCCTGCCTTCTCTGCTTCGGACGCTTTGACTACACAAGCCTCAGCCTCGTCCCCAGTTTAGTATGAGGCAAAAAAAAACTCACTCAATAAACCTATAGCAGATTTTTCCTCGACCCCATCCCCTCCCTTCACCTTATCAAACAGCCCCCGTGCGACCTCGCCCATCGCACTATTGAACCGCCAGCTGTTCCGGTTCTGCGCGACGGGGAGGTGCATCACCCACGGAATCGCGTAGCTGAGGAGCATGAGAAGCCTGTAGAGCTTCGAGGGGTGTTCGCCAAGCGCGTGGAAGATCTTGGCTACCTCGGATTCGGAGGTGTGCACGGTGGGGTCGCCCACAGTCGCGCGGAAGTCGTGCGAGAAGCCGCCGAGGCCGATGGAGTCGAGCGCGATGGTGCCCATCCAGCGCTGCACTTCGATGATGCTGCCGTCCGCACCGGATTTGTCTAGGATGGCATTCCAAGAGCGGGTGACGTTGTACGTTGAGTCATAAAAGATGTGCGTTAGTTTGCGCAGGGCGGAGTGGCTGAATGCGGGGGAGAGGGCTTTGCGTTGTCTGCATTTGTTTTTGCGAACATCGCGAGTTGAAGTTAGCTGTGCATGCCCAAGTACAAATCGCGGATTAAACAAGATAACACCCACCTCTTGTGCGTGTCGCCGTGTGCCCAGAACAGCCCCTTGCCCATCTGTATGATTCACAAATCCCAGCGTTGCGCCGAATCAAGCATGTCAATCGGCATGGTCATCCTTCGCTTGCTGCCTAAGACACTCACAATGTTCTCTAGCAATAGACTAACTCCTGGCTGAAACCCGTACCCAGTCGTGTCTCTTGCCCACATGTGCGCGAGCGCACGGGGGTCGCACAACACGAGCCTGTGCATGCCGAGCGTGAACGGGGCTTTATATACCCCGCCGTACGTCCGCTCCCATTCTTCATAGAGGACTGCGGGATCCGGCGCGTCTTCGATGGCGCGGGCGACGCCGTACAGGACGGAAGAGGAGGGCGGGCCGCGGAGTGGGGTTGTGCATATGCGACTGCGAGTGGACGTAAAATACTTTAGAAGAACGAGAGTGAGCAGGGAGAGGAGGGCGATGTCGATGGGGCGAGATGCGGTGGAGGTGAGGAGGGTGGAGATTTTGCTGGTGGAGAGTAGAGTGCTAAAAGACATGATGTTGGATGCGACGACGTTTTAGGCGAGCTGGCAAAGGGTTATGTTCGGTTGAAATGGTCTGAAGCCCGTCATAGCAGCCATATTATATATCTTCTGAGTCCCGGTCGTCAGCCCTGGCGGTTCTTCTTTAGCGTTCAAATCCAAGAGCACCACACAATGTAGATGATATAGAAGCTTTGTCAGATTTGTGAGGAAAGCTCGGCAGACCCTAAAGATAGGTTGAGTTCTCCAGAGGATCGGCAATTGCGAGAGGCTGCTCAGTAATTTTACTGATGTTAGGCGCCGAGATGTGGTGAAAGGACCCGAAAAGATGCTCCCGAGGCGTGCCCTATGTCGCATAAGGAGATAAAGCTCGTAAGCAGGCGGCACGAATCAGCGTTTTACTGCGGCCGCTTGACGGAGACGGTCATCTGGAGAAAAAACCATTCGCGAATGAGGAGGAAGAGGGGGTAGATGTTTCCCAGACGAAGCCACGGGTGTGGCGATCTTTCCGAGTCGGAGAAGGTCCCGCAGGCGTCAGCGTCGGGTGTTCCTACTACATATGTCCCAGGCAAACCCTAGCAGCACGATGAGCTGTGGGCTCAATCCCACCAGAAACGAGGAGGACACGCCCGAGGGATAGGCTGAGATAGAGCCAACTGCGGAACGCCCCTTGCGCGTTCTGAAGCACTCTTTCTTTTACCCCTTGCTTTTTCAATGCTTTTGTTTGACTGTATTTGTCAGATATGTGAGGGTTAGGGTTAGTGGCATGGCATCGGAGGCTATGGCTTGTTCCAAGACTATCGGAGATCTTTCCTGCTTTGCCGTTAAACCCCGTTGACCATGTCTCTAGCACCGACAGTGCTCAGTTATTGAACACACCTCCTGCGACTGGATCCGGCACCGAGGAAATGAATGAACTTTGAAACTTTGACACGTTATCTCTCCTTCGCGTTCATCGTTTAAGCTTCGCTCTCGCTCTCGTCAGCTTTGCGGCACCGATTCTTCACGCATCCTTCCGTTCTGTTCTATAGCGATTCACAGGCTTAATGCTATCTTATTGTCATATCTTGTGGTCCTTTATCAGTTTATTATAACATCTCTGTGGTGCACCTCCAATTCTGCATTCGGTCGAGCTGCTGATCACATTTTTCACGATCAGTTCGGACACCATTCGACGTGCATTCTTTGCAGCATTCATACAGCCGTGATCTCTATCTATAAATGTCAAAATTTCTTCGGTCGACGCTGGGGAGAACATGTTAAAGTGATGGTGCGCCTTTATATTCTGAACATATGAGCATTTATCTTATAGCACACCTGAATTCAAGTCGGCTAGGCATGCTGGTGACGCCGCTGCGGAGAAAGTGGAGTCTTAGAATACAACTGAGTGGTCAGCGTTGGGTCAGCGGCGCTAATTTTGGCCCTCCCTTCCACCCGTTGGCATAGATCGGCACGGCCCATTTCAGAGAGGCCGGCGTCCTCACTCCCGGGACGGTCCGGGACATGACCCGGAAGCTTTATCTTTGGCCTTGCGTGTGGTTGGCGTTTACACTGCACCCAGGCCTCACACTGCGCTTACTCCGCACTCCTTCGTTCCTTTCCGGACGATGGCTGCGTTGCGCCCACTTTACTAGGAATAAATTCGCATACGGACAAGTGCGAGAGCGGGCCGCAGACGTCATTCTCATCCCGCGTCATGCAGACGTCAGCGGCCACAACTCAAGTCATCTCCACGATTCAGGTATATAAATCGGAGAACTTGCGAAGCTAAACTCTGCAATCCGTTGATATCGTACATTCACCATCGTATATCCAAACCCACACATAAACTATCCAATCAACCACCAAACATCATCCACCATGCCGTTGTTGTCTCGAAAGGTGAGTGCACCTCCAATTCGAAAGAAGCGTGTTTCTGACTTTATCGTTCAAGAACAAGCACTCCAATGAACACATGAACGAGCAAGGACGTCGTCCTGAGAACCAGGCTCAAGGCCAGGCAGGCATGGGCGACCCTAATATGAACAAGCCTTTGCCTGGCCAAAGCCAGCAAGACCCGCGCTTTACTCAGCAGAATATGGGTCAGCAGGACGTGAGTTGCACCCTTTAAATCTACTATAGCTTGAAGCTGATGGTCGTTCTGCTTTGTGCATAGTTCCAGGGCCAGGACCCTTTCAACCGCAACACCTCATCAACCGGAGCGTCTACAGGCACCGGCGGTGCCAACCCACCTGCCTCCTCTGGCAATCGCGATCAGGGCCATGGCGGTGGCCAATCAATGACTAACAAAGTCGAGAGCGCCGTCGGCTCCATGGTCGGCTCCAACGCGCTCAAGGCCAAGGGCATGCAGAAGCGACAGTACGTTTTGCCATTTCTACTGCACCATTATCCATTGACGCATGGCTTCAGGGAAGCGGACTCCATTCATCAACAAAGTCAAGAACTTGCTGAAGCGGAGCGTCTTGAGCATGAGGCACTCGTGCGACGCGATCACGCGGTTTCGCATGGCGCGCACCCGCAGAACAAGCACCTCGGTGGCGATGCGAACGCTGCCGTTCTTCAGCCAGGAACCGGGCGTGACATGGGCGGCGCAGGAGCGCGTGGTTTTGATCAGCAGGGCGGTGCCACTGGTGCAGGAAATGGTGATCAGGCGGGAAACACTGGCTACGGCGCGCCTGGAGGTGATCCAGGTGCAGGTGGCATGGGTCCCCGAGTATAGAGAAGACCTTGATGATTATGTAGGACTTGAATACGATTGTATCGACTAACTTACCGATTTAGTTTTGTGAGCATAGTTTGTATCATCTCAAAAATGTATTGTTTCGATAACTACATACCTCTATCTACGACTCGACGGTTGTGAACTATCATTCCGCCATGTAGACCCACCATTTTCCCTGACCCAGGCTCCATCTTAAATTGACATATACCGTTTCCCAATCGTGCTCATTTTTTTTGATAGGGTACCCTCCCAAGGCTTTTGCTTCATTAACTGAGGCGTCTTGAGGAGGTAGACTTGAAGTACCTCCTCGGCATATCGATCAACCGAGCGCGCATATTTCGCGAACTGCAAACGTCACAATCGAAAGCTGCTGTGAGCTGTCGGCCGCAGGCAGTCGCGCAGCGTGACGTGCGACCGTTGAGACAGATTTCCATACGACGTGCCGCGTATCTGCCAATCCTTGAGCGCGGGAAGTGGTTATGACGGGGCCATTGCGTAATCGGGATTGAGAAAACGAATGAAGACATCCAACGACACCGAAGCGTTGTACGTTGGGTATGGCTGAATAAAATCTCACTGCAAGTTCCTCCACGGTAAATTACAAAGATGGATCAAATACAGATCCATGGGCCACGTACAAAGTTTTAATCAAATGCACATATTCAGCCCGAGCCCTCTTCGTTATCGCTGTCGCTGCCGTCTTCTGACACCTCCCTCCCAATAAAAACCTCGCTAACCAGCCCGTCGCTCCCCATATCTTGAACATCAGAGACAGAGATATGCGAACACTCCACAAGCTCCAGGCGACGGAGTGGGCGGCCGCAAGCTACTCGCTCCCGGAGATATATGCGCAGAAGCTCGACTGGAGACGTATCGCCGACTCTAACAAATCATGTGACCTCAAAATGCAAGATCTCGAGCTGGGGGAGCACCAGAAGCGGCGAAGCGGCGACCACGGTTGGAGTGAGCGAGAGAATAAAGTCAGGGGTGATTGTAGGATGCAAGTCGGTCGCTTGAAGGACGCGTAGGGCTGGTAGGAAATACCAAATCTCCTGCAGCTGGGATGGATCGGGGAAACCAGAAACCCCGGGAATTGGGAAAGGCGGCGCGGCGTGGCGGCGAGGCTGGTGGCTGTGGCAGTATTTGCCTAAATAGCCAGAGCCCCTATCTGGATCACCTTTCTTGTTTTTAAGTACGTTTTTTCTTCGGGTTGTGTTGTCACACTATCGCTGATTCATTAACTTGTAAAGATCACTAAAAACAACGATTCTCGGCCGCTCGGGAAGCAGCTCGGATGTCGAGTCAGACAACGATGTAGGCTTCTCCAAAGCATGTGCCGCCTTTCCCATTTCCCGGGTGTTCTCGGGGAAACCGCCCTGGCTGAAGTGCAGACATGTGGCTGTATGGGCCCCTATCGCTCGAAGAACGTCCAATGCGAGGTCGTACGGGTCGTCGATGTTCATCCCGAGGGCTATGTCGAATAGAAGAGTGATGAGGGGATCGTATGTCTCGGATGAGTGGGAGAACACGTCGGGGTCAACGAATGCCGTGACTTTCAAGCTGCTGTTGGAGCACATCATCGCGAGACTGCTGATGTGAGGGCGTGGGGCGGGATTCGAATTATCAAGGGGGTAGGTAGACGAGCCGATTTTGAGCCTGCCATAGTGTGCTTCCAGGATTGCAGCCAAGCGTGAAGTGAAGTCAGTATGGGACGTAATCTTGTTCCCATGCAACTCCAGAGTGGCTTGTGCGGGAAAGACAAGACGCTGAAGAATTTCCAGTGGTTGCGTCCCCGTCCCACCGATCGATACCCTACGTAGTCCTGGCAGGGTTACGGTGCCGAGGTGAGTGCTATACTGACGTCCACTCAGCTCCTCATCTATATCGTGGTAAAGGCACCAGAGGACTAGCGTTCGGAGGGCCGGGGTCTGCTGGAGGAATGCGATGACATCATCAGTGGAGGGACAAATATCAATGTAGGCGGCAGATTTTAGGGAGATGGCGAGTGTCGTCAAGCCATGCAGGGTGAAGCCGTTCCACGACTCCAGAGCGAGGTTTGAGAGGGCCAACGTTCGCAGGCGGGCATGCCTTGTAGGGGTGTGTTGCTCAGGCGGGGCATTCCATCACCTGCCGAGAGCGCAAGGACCTCTAGCGATGATGACAAACGGCTCAAACTCTCTATGAAATCCTTTGTCTTGGTCTGTTCTTGTTCCATGGTGTCGATAACAACCTTTCTAAACCTAGATAGTCCCCCAGATTTCACAAATCGAACAAACGAGGCGTCCTTTCCGCTCAGACGATACCGGATAAGTAGCGAGGCCTCGCCTGAACGCGCTAGCGCCATCTGTGCGAATGATTCATGATGAAAGAGAGGAGAAGTCCACAACGCGGCTCTGTCAATAATGACAGCTCGCCAGCGATTACATACCAGCATAGCATTGCTCAACCAGGTCCAGCATTTTTGGTGGCAGAAGTGGGTGTCCGTGCGCCAGCCTGGTTTGGCGACAGTATCTGGGTTGAACGGCCATGAATCAGGATCACTATTAGGTTGGATGCAGCGCCCAGCGCAAGTGATGAAGATGCTTGAGAGAAGTTCATCGGGCAGTAGCATCATGGCTGGCGGCCGAAAACTGGCTGGAGCGTGCGGTGTTACGGAAGCCATGTAGTCAGATGCAAGAATTCTAGTAGATGTTAAGAACTTTGGAAGTAGTGAAAAATACGCTTTGTCTCACCACAGTCCTAGTGCCAGTGGAGATGAGCGCGACCTTGCATGGTTGGATGATGAATGCGATTTCGACTCGCTGCAATGTGCATGAGGCTGCATGAGGGGCGCGTTCGGGAATGATTCCCACGCTCTATCGCAACCAATATTCCAAGGGAAGCGGCCGAAGAACTGGATGTAGCTCCGCCCACCGTCACCAATTCGTCAAACTCTCTCATCATCCCTTCTACAATGCATCACGCCCTCACTGTGTCTGATATTCTCCTTGAGATCTTTCTCCAGCTTGCTCAGCGAGGCGACGTGGGCTCTCTTGCAGTTCTTGCCCGCACGTGCCAGACGTTCAAGGACCCCGCGCTCAACCTGGCATGGGAACTACCTCAGCCCCTCTCTCGTCTCACTACCATCCTACCGAAACATGTTCTGGTATGCGGCGAGGAAGGAAAGACTGTGAGTACACTCATACCGGGTTTTCGCTGCGAGCAGAGTCACTTTGTACTAACAAAACTGATGCAAGGTCAATACTCGCCCTCTATCGTCGGCAGAATGGGACTTGTTCTATGGCTACACTTCTCGTATCCGCGAGATCACCGTCTCGGAGCGGGGACCTACTGTGCAATCTTTGCTCAGACTGCTGGCTTCTCGACCTACAGCTATTGACTGCGCTTTCCCAAAGCTCAGGCGTCTCACCATAGAAGAGTCCGAGGACGTTCCCGAGTCACCCGAGTACCGCTCCCTTCTCGGTCCAAAACTTGAGTCTCTAGAGCTCAACCTGTTTTCCAAAGTCTTTGAGGACGAAGTTGTGGAAGGCTCCGGTGGCGCTGCCGCAGCGGCCATCAATGCACTTCCGGACGTCTGTCCCGATCTGAGGCACTTGGCATTCTCGTGGAGCACCAAGATCCACACAACTCCGACCTGGGCCGTCGAAACTCTCTCCTATGTGGTTCCGCAATTAAGGCACCTCCAGATTCTACGTTGTCCAGCACCTGACATCAACACAATGAATGCCATTGGCCTTCTGCCGTCCCTCGAGGTCTTCACTCTCGAATCGTCACCCATAAATGCTGAAACTCCAGGCGCCGCAATGGATATCATGGATGCGTCTCCGCCGTACGAGTTCAATCACCTACGTACTTTGAAGTATACTTTCGAACACATCATCAACGCCATAGCTTTCTCCTATCAGTTGCAAAACTTTCCTTCCTCGCTTTCTATCTCACTCTGCATCCCGCCTCCACTGCCACTTCTTCGAATGCTCTTACGCGTCCTCGGTCAGTTCCCCATCTCCGACATGCATACCATCAAGCTCAAACAGGAATGTACTCGAGGGAACCCTGAGGGATACATTGACGATGGCGATGACCTCCGCGAGCCTGTGACGCTCAATGTACTCCGGCCACTCTTAAGCCATGTGTGCCTCTCCACGCTGGAGATCGATGTAAAGCTTGGATTTGCTCTCACAGACGGGGACATTGACGATCTGTCTCTCGCGTGGCCGAACCTCCAGCATCTTGCGCTAATCCAGAAGGCCGGCTGGGAAGAGCCAACCGTAACGACTCAGGGGCTATACTCTCTTGTCCGGAACTGCTCATGTCTGAAGCGCCTCGAAATAACCATCAACGCTTCTCAGCTCGTCGCAGTTCCTTCAGCAATACCGGCATATGGACACAGAAACGACCTGTTGGATGCGCTAAACTTGCAAGATTCACGCATCGGTGATCCAGTCGTTCTCTCAATGATCCTAGCGCGCCTCTTCTCCTCGAGCTCGTTCTCGCTGCTCTTCGGCCCTGAGGCGACGTTGTCGACAGGGAGACTGACGCAAGCACATCGGTCGGCGGTTATGTATTGCATTGAGCAGAGGCGCACGGCGGAGATTGACTCGGGGCAGGAAGCATGCGACTCGACGTGGCCGCCTTCCGGCGATGTGGTCGCAAAGTTGGAGCGAGCGTACAATGTCAACTTGGGCTTGACCCGGTAGCGATGTTGAGTAAGCTATCACCATTGTTGTAACTTGCACGAAGTAGCGTCTCGTACTAAAATAATAGACGTATTCGCTGCCTCCGCATGCCGCTCGATACTCGCAATCCCTCAACGGAAAACGTACTTGTTGTGATCCAAATATTTCGAATACCACTGTTTCACGAAATTATTCTGACACGCAATTCACAAGCCGGTTTCATATATTAGAGGCTCTATTGATGTATTCCAGTCCGTTACTCAAACTTGTGTTCCCTTTTCAAACTCGGTCCATTATCGCCTTGCTGTCATCAATGAAGACGGGATACGCGGAGGGGGACGTCGACACCATGCTCCCCGAAGATCTTGGGGCGAACCACGTTATCGGCCGAGGTAACTACCCTGTCCTTGGGGCTGCGAAGCTCAAAGGCAAAGTTTCGCACAAGCACCGATAGCGCGGCCTACCATAAAGAAGCACTGAGTTTGCATGTCTGCGCTCAAGGACGTCGGCGCACCTTAAACTCGGCTAGCGCAAAATTCTTTCCCAAACATGTCCTCGGCCCTTCGTTGAACGTCCAGAGGTGCCTGTGGCCCTGCAGTTCTCGCGCCTTGTACTGCGGTCCGCCTTCCTGCAGCCAACGCTCCGGCTTGAACTCTTTGGCATCTGGGCCCCAGAACTTCTCGGAACGGTTGAGGTACTGCATGGACGTGGTGACGAGCGTGCCCTTTGCGACGGTGACGTTGGAGATGGTGTTGCCGCTAGCGTCGACGATGGGTTCTCCAAGGGGAATAATGTCGTCTTGAAGGGCCTGAATCAACAGAAAACAGAGGTTGAGTGCAGCCGGTAACGCAAGTAGATAGCGCGATAAAGAACATACGACACGCGTCACTTCGGGAAGCGGAGGGTGCAGGCGGAGTACTTCGTGCACCACTGCATCGAGGATTGGCAAACCGTTGGTCAGATCGTCGTACGACGGGTCCGTCCCGTTGAACTGTTCAAGTTCCTGACGAAGCTTGCGCTGGTTGTCCTGATCTTTGGATAGCTCTACAAGGGCCCACTAATAATAACGATGTCAACGCTATATCGTTCGACCGTGAAAATATGCTCACGCTTAAACTGACTATTTACGACATTAATTGAGTGGTTTGATAATTTGAGGGATGAAAGAGGCTTACTCGAGCTTGTCTCGTATCCAGCGAAAAGGAGGGTTCTCATCTGTGCAAAGGGGGAATCCAGCTTGAGTTACACCCGTCATTTAGCATTTCGAGCTGAGCAAACAGACCTCGTCTATAATTTCTTGCTCGGTGAGACGCGACGCCGGGTTTGCCGCCTCGGCTTTGACTATATGGAAAGGTGTTGTAAGCCACATGTTTACAGTAGCAAAATGCTGCACACGTACTAAGAAGCCCAATTGCGGACTTCTCTTCCACGCTCTCCTTTTCTGCCTTCGCCTTCTCGAACAATGGCTTGACTATCTCGGCCATGACCTTGTTCAGACGCCAGCCGAGCTCGTTCTGCTCGATGGGCAGATCCATGGCCCACGGGAACGGGTAGCTGAGCATCATTAACAGCCTGTATATATACTTGCCGGGGTTCTCGCCGATCGCATGGAATATAGCTGCTGTTTCGGACGTGTGCGAGGGGTCGGAGGTGGCTTTGAAGTCGTGCGAGAAGCCCCCGAGGCCGATGGAGTCCAAGCTGAAGCGCATATCGTGAATACACAAAGTTGATACAGCGGATAGGTTTGACCTACGCAATGAATCCCATCCTAGTAGGGGGTACAGAAAACCTTCAGTTACATACTAGACAAGGAACAGAAGCGGCTTACCATCGCTGAACTTCTACAATGGTCCCGTCGCCTGACTTCTCTAAGATATCATTCCATGAGTTAGTAACCTATAGCGTTGTCAAAGTGAGAGGATTGTTGACTCGTATAAATCAGAATCAACCTTATAAGTCGAGTCATAAAAGATATGGGTTAACTTCCGCAGTGCTGAATGACTGAACGCCGGGCTCAGGGCCTTGCGTTGTCTGCGGCACATTCCGTCAGACCGGCGAATCGCAAACACCACGACAATACACACCTCCTGTGCTCCTCGCCATGAGAATAGAGCAAACCTTTGCCCATCTGAAAATAGGAAGCATGCAGAGATCAGGTCTAGTGAACCCACCGTATTTGTTGGACTCACAATGCCCATCAACATCTTCCTGATCCCCAGCGGAGTAGCGTATGCGGTCGTGTCCCTCGCCCACATATGCGCGAGCGCTCGCGGATCGCCCAGGAAAATCCTGTGCAAGCCGAGCGGGAAGGGAGCGCGGTACACGGCGCCGTACGCGCGCTCCCAGGTCTCGTATACGACTGCGGAGTCCTCGGCGTCCTCAATGGTGCGGGCGACGCCGTAGAGGAGGCTGTCGCTCGGAGGACCCTTGAGCTTGGTTGTCGCAACGCGCTTGCGGGTGGTGCTGATGGCCTTGAGGAGGATGAAGGTGAAGAGCGAGAGAAGTGCGATGTCGACTGGACGAGCTGAGGAGATGATGCTGATGAGCGAGATAGTCATATTGATCAACTTGGCTGTTCGAAAGAGGATTAAAGTCGAGTTTGGTTTGATTGTCTGGTAAATCACCGCTCCAAGCACGTCCTTTTGTACCTCCAGGTTTGGGCGTCATGTATCGTCATGTATGAGCTGCACTCGGCCCGTGAGCATCATCAGATATCTCGAAGGAGGAGGAACTCACCCGCAGACACTAAGCGTCGCCAGAATTTGCTCTCATCGACCAAGGCACTGCGACCAAGTACATCGCCAAAACATAACCAGAAATAGTCACATAGTGTCATCCACCGGAATAGGCAGTCGAATTGGTCAGGAACCAATGCCAATCCCCGAGCGGTCTTGCAGAACGAATGGTATTCCCAGGCGAGTACCCAGCCCAATCGGCGAATCGAAGGCACGGCTGACCCGCGGGCTGAGTAAGGGTGCTGTCAGCGCGGGTGTGAACGTGGCCCTGCGGCAAAGGGAAATGTATTGGCGCGGTTGTGTTCACACGAGAGGTCCCCGTAGGTGTCGCAAGCGGTTGCGCCGGTGTAACGGAGAAGATGTCGGAACATGGCGTTGCGTGCATGTAAGGCATATGTGAAGAACGCGGAACTTCAAGCTTCAAACACCGATGGACTGGGAAATGAAGTCAAAAATCTCGTTCAGAGAAAACCACACTGCAGACAAACGGCGATTTTATCCGGGATGAAACCGAGAGAAAGAGGCGGCGAGATGAAAGCCTTTTCCTCCGAGTTTTGGAACCCCCTTCTGCACAGGAAAAGGTATTCTTTTAGCCAACATTTGCGTCAATTTTGCGCTGGTAAAATGGACGGGTTACCAAATTTGGACTCTAACTTCCCGATTTGGACGTGTTTCTATCTAATCTCCGCACAGAAATGCAAACTCCGAGGCAAAAATTTAACTTTTCAGTAACTTTTCGCACAGCAAAAGATGGGTGAAAAAGGCTTTCATCTGTCCGCCTTCTTCAATCACTTTTTGTAACAGAAAAATCGCAGTTTGTCTGCAGTGCCAGCCAGGCGATATCGGAGCTGTCGGAATGACCACGACGGCCAGTGACAGTGAGGTAGGTCATCGTGACGGTCACTGCCGTACCAGTCACCAACCGAGGCGCGACATGTCCATCTCTGGCCCATTTGTTTATTTTCATGCCAGTCATAATTAAGCAGCGTCTGGAGCTGTGCGATACTGGCACCAAGCAGAAGCAGACACGATAGATGCCAAACCTTCCCAAAACCACATCAAACAAACGGGAAACCACAAAACGATAATTTATTCCATCTCCAATGGACCAGAGAAAACAAACGCTCGGACTATAGCGTGAACACAGCTGTAAACCACAACGATAACAATGGGGTATACGAGCGTAGGCGAGATGCGTAGACAAACACAATCCCGGGTATGAGATAGGGTACAATGGGAGGAATAAGAACACTGGATATCAAAAGTCAGATCGAAATGTCATCTAGGACGTCGGTCCTCTTCATCGCATAGTCATCCATCACGGATGATTATACGTGCAATTAGAACAGGGTAACAGCAGCAGCAACGAATGCCACAGCCATCGCGAGCGCGCCTTGGGCACCGCCCACGGCACGCAGGCCAGCAGCGGCGTTGATCTCCGTCGTAGCGTTCGAGAAGGAGACGCTGGGGGTGTCCGTGGTCGTGTTCGACCCGTACACGTAGCTCGTGTCGTCCGAAGTGGGTGTGCTGGGGTCGTTGCAGGTGACGCTGACGGTGTCGACGTAGGCGTAGAAGTGGCCGGCCGAGGTATAGTCTGGGTCCTGCCAGTTGATCATACCACCCGCCCACTGGACCGTGCCCGCGGGCTCGGAGGAGATACCGGCAGGCCAGATGGAGAGTTGGATGCGCGAGGGGGTGTTCGGGTACTGCGAGACACCGTTGACGACGGTGTCGGAGGCTTTGAGCGTGCGGGTGACGTTGCCGTCAACGAGGAACTCGAGAGCATCCGGCTGCCAGTTGAGCTGTGAACGTAAATGAAAGGTTATTTATGGACGACCACGAGGGTTCAGATGAGACGTACGGTGAAGTCGTGCCAGTTCTCATAGGTGTCCGTGAGACCAGACTCGGTCACTCCGTTAGTCTTAGCGGCTATCGCAAGAGATAGTCTATCAGCATCAAGGGCGGGTTAGATCCCGGCACAGATACATACGGATGCTGCCCTGCCAGAAATAGTTGGTCTGGCCAGTGGTGGTTATGTTGCCGGGAAACTCCCAATCGATCTCGTCCTTGATGTCGCTCATCGTGATGAAGGCAGTCACGACACCCGCCCAGCGACCAGTCTTCACTAGATGAGAGAAGATACATATTAGAGATGTTTTTGGAAAGCACCATGCGGCTGGCCTGAGAATGCCGGCGCAGCAGGTTACCAGGGGGAGAAGTACGTACTCCTTGCAGTGATCTGGCCGTAATGGACGTAGCGCGTAGATGAAATGAGGGTTCCACCACCGTTCTCGGTGAGCAGCATGGCGAGGGCAGTTTGGCCGCCCGAGGTCGCATTCATGATGGTGCCTTGTTGGACGATCCAGTCTGGCGGAGGGGGTTCAGTGTGAGCTCACGACCTTGTGTGAGAATGTGTATGTACGCACCATACTCAGAGGCGTTGCCGTTGTAGTAAGTAGCATTGCTGAGAATGCGTGAGGTATCAGAGAGGGTATAGTTCTTGGACTCGCAGATGGGCATGGGCATGCAGGAGTCGACAGTGTTAGAGTAGAGCGGGTTGCATCCTCCGAGACAGTACTGCAGATCGTAGGTGAGAAAAATGGTAATGGTGACGAAGAGATTGACAGCGCACAGTTCCAGTGTTGCAGAAGCCGTATTCACCTGAAGATGTTTCAGCTTCCGCTACCATGTATGACCTGGATGGAGGTACTCACTGCAGCAAGGATAGTCGGAGCTACACTGGCTGGTAGCGTTACTACAAGGCTCGTGAGTAAACTCAGGATGTAGGATAAGTGCTGAAGACGACATACCAGGTCTGGCCTTGTGCGAGGGCCGGGGTGATGGCTGCCAGCAAGGGCAAAGCGGCAGCGATGAAAGCAGCGGTAAACATTTGTTTCGAGTTGTTTCGTCTGAGGTTCCTGCTTGTGTGGAGGAAAGCTCGAGCTGGGTGGTGGATAGGCACAAAGGAATGTGGGGAAGGAAAACGAATGAAAACGGCGAGGGTCGAGGAAGGGAAACTTGTGAGCGGGAAGTTGTGAAATGTGTGGGCGGTGTTACCGCGCCTGTCGCACCCCCATATCAACTGCCGCCCAATATTGCCATGCCGTCCCTGCCGAGAGCCGGAACAAGATCGGAGCTTATTTGGGATCCCATGCGATCAATATTTTTGGACTCGGCTTCCCACGGGCGAGGATAATCACCGTCAGTGCGATAGCACCGCCACCCAAACGCGTCTTCACGCGTCCTCTCATTGTACGACGCGCATCCACTCGTGACAGTTCTAGACAATATCGACGCGCTATGCCCCCAGCAAAGGAACCACAGAAGGCAAAGGCTACAGAGAACATGAAGCAGAAGAGTTTGATGTCCTTCTTCAATAAACCGGCGGACAAAAAGGCTGCGCCTGCGCCGGCCCCAGCCAAGGCTGTTAAAACCGGTCCTGCGGTCAAGAAGGAGTCTGTGTCGACTCAAGCTCTCAAGACACCGGATCCGAAAGCGAACATGATTCCTCGTGAGCCTCCCTCAAGCACAGCGAGCGCTCGCTCCTCGGACATGGATAGCAGTGTCAGGGCCTCTTCGCCTCTGCCTACCAGCGATACAATCGACGTAGACATGTTCTCCGATGACGATATGCCTATGAAGTCGACCGCTGTACGTGCTTTCCCTGCCCCGACTATTTTCAATAGCCCCTGCTTTCTCTCTCCCTCCCTGTTGTTATGCTGACGAATACATGCGCATATACCCAGAAACGCATCAAGCGAAAGCTTGTCCTTGGCTCAGATGAAGAGACCGAAGGGTACACAGGCGACAAAGGCTCTGCCACACTGTCGTCACCCGACTTCAGCGGTGGTTCTTCGCCTCTTCAAGGTGAGCGCTCGTTTCACGGCCGTAGCAACCTGCTCCACATGCATTGATACGCCCATGAATACGCTAACGCCACTTTACGTATTCTAGGCAGAGTGAAGAAGCGCCGCGTATCTGCAGCACTTTTCCTTGACGATGAGGACGAGGATGGAGAGGACAGCGAGCACGTCAAGTCGTTCTCGTCTCGCCTTTCAAGGTTCAAGAAATCGCCTGTCAAGTGTATGTTACGTTCGCGTTCGGGTAGCGTATATGCGTCACCTTACTTTGCCCTTGCAGCTGGCAAGAAATCTAAAGCCCGCTCAGACGACGACGATGGCGACTTTATCGTACCCGGCTCTGGCTCCGAGGACGAACGCCCCTCCTCCCGGGCCTCGGACCGCAGCTCCTCCTCTCGTCACACCACCGACGACGACGACGACGATACCGAACCTGAAACCAAGTCCAAGTCCAAGTCGAAAGCTAAAGCCGCGCCCAAACGGCCGCCGCTCACCAAGTCTAGCGCAGGCGGGAGCAGCACCGGGCTCAACGCCAACTCGTTCCTCACTGCCGCCGAGCGACGGGAGCAGAGCAAGAAAGAGGAGAAGACGTCAACGGAGGAACCGTTTAGCTTCCTGGTTGATGTTAGGGATGTACGTATCCATCAAGCACTCGGTCGTCTGTGCGTCGTGGTTGACTGACTGTGTGTGCAGAAAGATGGCATTAAGCCCGGTGAGCCGGGTTATGATCCAAGGACGCTGTATGTTCCAAAGAGCGCGTGGAAGCAGTTTACGCCGTTCGAAAAGCAGGTGAGTGTATGCCCTTTGCTAATATGAGATGGCTGATCATACTTCTATAGTTCTGGGAGGTGAGTAGCGCGCATGTATAGAAGGTAAAACACGATTCTGAAGCCTACCATTGTAGATCAAGCAAAACCACTTTGATACCGTAAGTCTTGTACACACATAACAACCAGAGTGCAGCTAATATTGAACCGTCGCTGTAGGTTCTCTTCTTTCAAAAAGGGTACGTCCTCATACCCCCACAGGCTCTCTTTCCATCTCACCCCTAACTCGCTTCGCAGCAAATTTCTGGAGGCAAGGTCTTACCAGGAATCAGTATTCTATCGTAGCTAACGACATATTCAGCTGTATGAAGACGATGCACGCATTGGACATCGCGAGTTCGACCTCAAGCTCACGCATCGAGTCAAAATGTCCATGGTCGGCGTTCCAGAGATGTCGTTCAACTTCTGGGCTGCGTGCGTGCTTCATCTTGTGTCGTTTGTTAAGCGTATCTATATCATTATATTGCCAGAAAATTCCTGGGCAAAGGATACAAGGTTGGTCGCGTAGACCAGGCAGAGACGGCACTTGGTGCCGAGATGCGTCTCGCCAAGTCCAAGGGAGAAGACGGAGGCAAGGACAAGATTGTCAGACGGTGCGCCGTCCCTCATGTCCCGTCAAGTTTATCTATGCGCTGAACTATTGTTCTATCCAGCTCGCTCAACAAGGTCTTCACCAACGGCACACTCGTCGACGACGACCTTCTCACGGACGAGCAAGCTGGCCACTGCATTTCCCTGCGCGAGCTTCCGCCCGTGTCTACCTCTGCAAAACCGAGCTTTGGCGCGTGCGTGCTGGACAGCGCGACTTCGCAGTTCAACTTGAGTTTCTTCGAGGATGACGTATGCTTGACCCGACTCGAGACGCTCGTGAGGCAGCTGAGGCCGAAAGAGGTCGTGTTCACCAAGGTACGCGGAGAGCTCCCGGAAGATATGTCATTGATAGATTTACTGATGCGATTATCGTGGTATTGTACAGGGCAACCTCTCGGTCGCTACGACCCGTCTTCTTAAGGCCATTCTTCCCGCGGCATGTCTCTGGACGAGCTTGCGAGACGTCGAGGGATACGACTACGACCAGACCCTTACGGAGCTTAACACCATGTTCGGCCCCGGGTCCTCCGCGAATGAGGACGAGACGATGGATGCAGATGATGGCGACAGCGCACTGTCAAGCGCCATTCCGCAGGAGATCCGCGATATGGCGAGCTGCAGATCGGCGATTGAGGCGCTGGGTGCTATGGCTTGGTATGTTGATGCTCCGTTCATTGAAGCGAGTACTTTCATTCACGACTAATGCCTTGGATCAGGTACTTGAAGCAGCTCAACATCGACCGCGACCTGCTCACGATGCGCAACTTCAACGTGTATGATCCGATGAAGCGGGGGCAGAACTTGGTGTTGGATGGGCAAACGCTTGCCCATGTCGAGGTGAGACTTCGGCTGCATCTAACCGATAAAGCTCCTAACTTGTGGTTTCTCGTTTAGGTGCTTATGAATACCGAAGGAAACGACGACGGCTCGTTGCACAAGATGCTCAACCGATGCATCACACCGTTTGGTGAGCTTTTCTTCGCTTGTATCTTAACCTTTCGCTAACATTATATGCACATCTGACAAGGCAAACGTCTCTTCCGGATCTGGCTCTGTGTTCCTCTGCGCGACGTCAAGGATATTAACTCTAGGTAAGCTCGCATACTCCTTGAGTCGCCTTGCGACTGGTAGTTTCTGGCCCTGATAATACATGCTAGACTCGACGCTGTCTCCGATCTAATGGAGCATCCGACATTCGAGCAGGCCTTCTCCGAACTCGTGAAGGGCATGCCCGATCTTGAACGTATCGTTTCGCGGATACACGCCAAGAACTGCAAAGTCAAGGACTTCATCAAAGTTTTGACGGTGCGTTCACCCCAACTGCTCGATCACATCGCAAGTGCTGAGTGGCCCGGTGATAGTCGTTCAAGAAGCTGAGCAAGGGCTTTGCTAAACTCGCCGATACATCTGAAGAGTTTGAGTCGAAGACGATTCTCGGCCTGCTTAGGTCTGCGCCCGACTTAGAACCGCATATTGACAACGTGGAGTCGCGGTACACGGTCGATAAAGGTAGGTGTGATCTCAGACCGGTAGGTAAACATGTCCTCGAGCGCTTATATTGCTCCCAGACGCAGATATGCTTCTCCCCGTCGAAGGCAAAGACGACGTCTACGATGAGGTCATGTGCGAAATCGGGGAACTGGAGAAGGAGCTCGAAGGGGAGCTCAAGAAGTTCCAGAAGAAGTTAGGTATACCGTTGACGTGGTGGCATAGTGCTATTGGCAACAAGGTAAGCCCCTTTTTGTTTCTGTCTAGACGTTTTGTCGAACCCTCACGTTCGCGATGCCTTAGGAAATATACCTCGTCCAAACAAAACCTGGTGACGATGTACCTGACAACTGGGTCAAGAATGGCGGAACGAAGGTGAGTCTCTATGCTCTGGACATCAGCCAAGCTGGTTAGCTCAAGGACTTCTAAAGAACGCTGTTCGTTACGTCGTACCCTCCCTACAAGCGACCATCCGTAGACTCAAAGAAGCACGCGAGAACCGCGGTACGGCAGTCAAAGAATTTAAGAACCGGCTCTTCGCCGAGTTCGACGCGGACCGCGGAGTATGGCTTCGTGCCGTGCGCGTGCTCGCAGAGCTTGACTGTCTGTTCAGCCTCTCCAAGTCGTCGAGTGCGCTCGGTGAGCCCATGTGTCGGCCCGAGTTTGTCGAAGGGGACGCTGCGAGCATGGAGTTTGAGGAGCTCCGTCATCCAACGCTCTCGCTTCTGAAGGATACGTTCATTCCGAACGATGTGAAGCTTGGAGGGGAGGTTGGGAGGATCGCGCTGTTGACAGGTGAGTCATGCATGTCAGTAATATATGAGTAAGTTGCTGACTATATCCTAGGTCCTAACATGGGGTAAGCATAACGGTGTGAATTCTTCAGCCGTTCTCTGACACTGATTTCTCCGGCATGCAGTGGCAAATCGACAGTACGTATCTCACTTATTCTTCCTTATATATTATGCTAACATTCACACAGGTGATGCGTATGACGGCGACTGGTGTGGTGAGTAGATTACCTTACCGTAGCGAACACTCGTCATAATCGCTATTCCAGATCATGGCGCAGCTTGGCATGTTTGTGCCTGCGAAATCTGCAAGGTACGTATTTTCTTCGTTCCACAGGCTGTTCTGACTTGAAGATGTAGAATATGCCCTGTGGACGCCATACTGACACGCATGGGAGCTTACGACAGCATGTTCTCAAACGCTAGTACATTCAAGGTTGAGCTTGACGAGTGGTATGCATATTCTTGTAATGTGAAAGGGCCTTCTCTCACACCCTGCAGCTGCAAGATCCTCCGTGACGCTACGCCTAGGTCTCTGGTGATTTTGGATGGTAAGTCTTGTCCTACCAACTAAGAACGCTTACTGAAGGTACTTCTAGAACTCGGTCGCGGAACCTCGACATACGTAAGTCTACTGAGGCTGTTGTCATAACTGACTCGAATGTTGACAATGTGATTCAGGATGGCATGGCGATTGCAGGCGTAAGTATAACCACTTTACGTCTGAGATCTCGGGAGCTCACTATGTATACAGGCTGTCTTGCACCAGCTTGCGACTCACACGTTGCCTCTTACATTCTTTGCGACCCACTACGGTTCGCTTACCGATGACTTTGCGTACCACCCTAACATCCGCAATATGCACATGTCAACCCTCGTAGACGACGAAAAACGCGAGGTAAGAGCTTCTTGATTCATCACTTCTTATCAAAGCGGTACTGACGTTTTCGCAAGCTTGTCTTCCTTTACAAACTTGTCGACGGCGTTGCTACGGGTTCCTTCGGAACTCATGTCGCCAATTTGGCTGGTGTGCCGTCGTCCGTTGTGGAGCGTGCAGACGTGGTCTCGAAGGACTTCGCAAAGCAATTTAAGGCGAAGCTCGAAGACCGTCAAAAGAAATCCCTTTCTTCGAAGATTCCGCTCGTCGCGCAGGCAGACTTCGCATACCTCCTGAGTCTGGCGACGGGCAAACTGTCACTACCGGACGATCCCTACAAGCAAGCACATCTGCTGAAAGGGGTAAAAGAGGCGCTGGGTCGTGCTCTGCAGAAATAGTTGAACTGTCTCCGCTTGTCGTTTTTGCTCTGTACGCTTTGCTAATGTTACATACCTGCCTCTTAAGTAGTCATTCATATACTCATCTTAATCGCTATGTACATGTCCTTCGGATAGACCTTGACCGTTAAACTACTGGATTCTATGCAATGTCTTTGGTCCCGCTGCTTGCTAACATCAACGCCATCCACCTTTACTACCTAGTAGATGACCAGTTATACCGACTGACCTTGTCTCGCTGACTGGACGGGTTGGCTGTAGAGCTCAGTGTAGCTCTTCATTCTGAATGAACAATGCCGCTAAGCATGGAAGAATATCATCCTTACACTCTGTCTTTCGTACGTAGGTTGAAGATGATTGGTATGATTACGTGGTGTTGAGACGCGACAGAAACAACAGCATGACGTATGAGATGAGACGCGAGTTGACCGGCCCTAAAGCTCATGGCCATTCTCACGATATAGTGAAACACCGTCAGCGCTTCAACGTCGAGAAGAGCCAGCGAAGACATTCCCTTCAGTTTGCAGAACCTTAACACTTCTCAAAACGCGCCAGTGTACAAACACATTGTCAGTTTCTTTCTTTGATCATTCTGACGCGGTTACCCACTTTCGGTTCTTGTAGACAATGCACAAAGCTTTAGAAGTGTCCGAAATCGTGTATTACATCTTTGGATACTTTCGATGGCCGTTCAACGATCGGCCCCTCTTGGCTCTAGCGTGCACCTGTCAGATGTTCAAAGATCCCGCGCTCGATCTACTATGGGAACTTTGCTTCTACCTTCCTCGTCTTGTCAGCGCTCTACCGAGCCATGCCGTTGTACGGGACGAACAGAACAATGTCGTGAGTTTGATCTCTCTTACTACTCTCTGAAAAATGTCCCCTAAAATATTGTCTCTTATTACGCGAACTTGTGAAGGTGGACATCCGGCCCCTAACAAGAGAAGAATGGACGAGGTTTCACACATATTCAGCTCGTATCCGCGAAGTCGGCATTTCAGAATGGGGCCCCACGTCAAACGCCTTACTCGCCCTCTTGGCCGCTCCTCCCGCATATATCGGACGCGCGTTTCCTAAGCTTCGACGGATCGTTATACAAGAGTTGAAGGGGCAGCTGTATTTCCCCGATTACCGTTTCTTGCTAGGGCCTCTTGTCAACTGCGTGGATCTCAGGCTCGGGGAAATCCCTTCTGAGAACGATGCTTTGACGCAATCAATCATCCAATCTATTCCAGAAGTGTGTCCCAAGCTCCGGTACTTGGCAGTCTCATGGTCCTCTCGCACGCCTCCTCCTTGGGCCAGCCAGGTTGTCTCGGAGGCCGTCTCTCGCTTAGACTCCCTTTGGACCCTCCGATGCCCAGCTCTGAACACTTGTGCAATAATGCACGTGAGCCAGCTGCGCTCTATGGAGGCCTTAGCCCTCGACTTGTTTCCGCCATCTGGTTCATTGTCCTCTAATTCCGGTACCGCTGCTATCTATGAGTTCTCTGGCCTTTACTCTCTGGATTTGACAGCCAAAACAATGGATAAAGCGGCGATATTTCTGCGGCAGCTCACGAGTCTTCCCGATTGCCTCACCATCAATCTCGGCGCCTCGCCGCATGTTTCAGAGGTGGAATCTTTCATTGGCTATCTTGACGGTCGTCATAACCGGGATTTTGACGGCCTCACCCTTCGAGGCCGACATGGATACGTTGAGCCCATTAGCTCAATCCCCGATCCTGGTCCCCCAGTCACGTTGCAAATCCTTCGCCCCCTCTTACAGTACCAATGGCTTCGCACGCTTGAAATCGAAATGCCAAGTCCAATCCATCTCACAGACGCAAATATCGAGGACATGACTATTGCGTGGCCATATCTCCAAACGTTTACGCTAAACCAGCACCACGGATGGGGCGCTTCATCCGCTACCATCAAGAGCTTGTATAACTTCATTTGGTACTGCCAAGACTTGGAGTACCTCGGCATGTCGATCGACGCATCTCAACTTTGTGATGCTCCGGAGAATATGCCAGCCGACGGATACTCCAACAAACATCTGGTACACTTACAACTCGGTGACTCACGCGTCAGGGATCCCGCTGTACTTGCACTTGTCCTGTCAACGATTTTCACCTCGAAATTCCTTTACGTTTGTTTCTCTGCTGGAGCATCGTTCCAGGGGGAGGAGTACAACACTGGGCACTCGATGGCACTCGCAGACTGCATTGAGGAAGTGAGAGAGAGAGAGGCGGAGGGAATAACAGACGAGGAAAGCTGGCCGCCCCCGCAGGACGTCGTTAAGAGACTAAGGAAAACCTTTAAAAGGTCGTTGAGAAGGCGGTCGGATTCCTAGGCTTCATCATATATTCAATCCGTCTGTAGATTCACTGTATTGATAGTAAAAGAAATTATGACATGCCATACTGTACCAATGTTAAGCGGTCCATATAAAACGCTGACCAACCGTTTATCGACAACCTTCAAAACTCGACTCGGCAGCTGTTATCAATACGAAGCAAGGCACAGTGCATGCAATAAGTAGTCTATTGTTTCCCCATTATATTACGAGCTATACACTCACGCAACATCGCCGAAGGAACAACGCTGCCGTAAGTAATAGTAGGGTTTGCATATCCATAGGACGAACATAAATGTTAAGAGGCAGGAAATGAGTACTGAGTCTCGACCGGCCCTTATGTTTGTATCGTTTCCCACGACATGGCAGCTGAGACAACGGTCAAGTCTGGTCAAGTGTCGTCACAGCAGATGTTTGCCCAACGTTCGCATTGAGCACAGTCCACCAACATAGCTAGTGCTTACCTCGGGCAGGTCTTACTAGTTGGTACCGAACGTGAATCCGACTTCTTTCTCAAGAGCTTGCTCACAGAACTAGCGGTACGATATTGTTGATTTCTGAGTCTTTCCTTGCTCATTCCGATTTCACTGACCACCACTGGGTCAACTGTAGGCGATGCACAGAACTCTCACTATTTCTGAGATCCTGTATCGGATATTCACATACTGTACCATTTCGACCTTAAGTTCTGTCCCGTGTCCCATAGACATGGGAACAGAACTTAAGACACGGGACAGTCCCATACACCAGGACCTTCGGGAACTTAAGTAGGGGACAGTAGGTAGAACCACAAAATAGACTTATATATGCCCAATGCATTCAACTACACAAGTGAAACTATAGCCTAATGCCCTAAGAACCCGCCATACTTCTTGTTAGATACACGGCGACGCTTGCCGCGACCGGATTCCTTCCCCTCAGGCACGTGGACAGTGCTCGTGTCTACATCAGCTTCATCTGCAATGCCTGGCGCAGATGCCGACATTGCCGTGCCATTGGTAGAGGACGGATCGAGGATCCGGCGCAAAAGGTCAACGGGCTCCATCCAGGAGTCGTCATCAGTGTCCTCTGCATCGGAAAAGGGGTTGTCCTCGTTGGGTGAGTTGCTGGCATGTTGAGCGTTGGTAGTGCTAGCGTCGGTGCTCGTAGAAGAGGAGATGCGAGCCCACAGGGCTGGATCAGACCCGGGGATGTCTCGAAGGAGGCGAAGGGCAGTATTGCTGGTCAGAGACTCGAAAGAGAGGCTAAGGCCGCCTCTGACTTCGCAACGAGAGAAGGCCTGTAGATACATTTTGTGTTAGATGTGTATGGCAGAAAAAAAACGCAGACTGCTCACCTTGCGAACAAGATCAGGTTGATCAATGGCCTTCCAAGCCTTTACGCCCCATGAAACAGAGCGATCGCGTAAGGTGCCGATGCGAGTGTCAATCTTGAGAGCTGACTCATCATTGGCCTCGAGGTGAGCAAGAGCTTCGTCGACTGTGTCTTGAAGCTGCGACTTCTTGATGGCGAGCTTGTATGCACGCTGGATGCCGACATCGCAGGGCTGAGCGCTGCCGGTGGTTCCGCCTGGGATGTAATGAAGACGGATCCATGGCCAGCGGGTGTGCACTAAGTCACAAAACGGCCGGCCTCGATGCACAGACCAGCAGTCCAGAAGGACTGCGCACTCCTGGTCATCCTCGTAATTGAGACGACGCTTCTGCTCTTCGAAGTAGGGGGCAATGATGCATTCGAAGTATTGCTCCATCGACGCGAGATCCGACCAGTAGTTCCTTGGGTTCCAGGAGTAGACGAACCCAAGACAAGAGGCCTCGTCCCTGAGTGGCGACCTGGAGGAGGGAACAGAGCGCTCGGTCGCCCCCTTGTAGATGAACTGAGTCGGAAGGGGAGTACCTGATGCTGAGATACCGACGACAGCTGTGAAAGCACGCTTTTCGTCCTTGCCAACAACGTCGACTTGTCGTGAGCCTTGCACGTCAAATGTCCTCGTGTTGTGGTCTGACATAACCACCTGCGTCTGATCAAAGTTGACGACGAGGTCAGAGTGGCGGATGCCGGAGTCGCGAAGGGTGAGGGCGAGTCGAAGGAAGAGTTCGTAAATTTGTTGTTCGGCGTCATCAGGCGTTTTCTGTGCAGCACAAGTCGAGGTTCGAGGGACCCAGCGTAGATTTGCAAATATGAACTTGCGGACGAAGGAATCGGAACAGATGAATGGCCTCTTGTCGGGGCCAGTCGCCTGGAAAAGCTCGGGGGCGTGATGAGTGATCATCGCAATCATTAAGCCTCGCGTCGAAGCAAGATCGATTGGGATCCCTGCAGTGCGAAGACTCTGCAGGCGATGCACCATCACTTCCACAAGATCGGGATAGTCATCCTGTAGATAGAATAAATAAGAATAGAATTAGCAAAAATCGAAGAAGAACTCACCAGGATGCCATTACGAGTGACGATGCTGTGAGGGCGATTCCCCAGAGCCACGCGCTCGAGAACGCTGGCTTTCCAGCGTGGAGGTTCATTCAGTGGTCGCTCGATCCAGCGCCCAATGACTTGACGGGTGATAGCGGTGAACTGCTGTGGATTGGAAAGGTGGAGATGAGCCGCAATCCGCTTCGGAGACCAGTCACCGCCAATGGTATGAGCAGCATTGTCAATCTGCTGGAAGACGATCGGGTGGGTCCAGTTGTAGCGTGTTGCGTCGATTGCATCATGCTGTCGTTTACGTCCTGTAGGCCCCTTGGGTTGTGATTCCCTGAACTGACGGTATGGGCGCGTCTGCTCGGCAGTGGGGTCTGGGATGTCGGTGAAGGTGGTTGGCTGGGCAGCTGGCGGCGGTGGCGATGGGATTGTCACTGTCACGGTGACGGTTGCAGGCTGTGTGTCCTGTGTCGCAGCTCTCTGTATTATACAATAAGTAAAGAACAAAATGATAAGATATCAGACGCACCTTATTTGCCCGTTGACGCTTGCGATATGCCCTCTTCCTGATGCGCTCTTTCTCCCTCTTCTTCTCCCTCCGAGTGGCTTCCTGAAGACGAGCAAGGTGCTCAGAATGCTTGAGCTGATCCTGCTCGTCTGCGATACGATCCAGCTTTGTTTTGATGCGGGTGGCCTCAAGCTCTTCGCGAGAAACAGATGGGAAAAACATATTGAGCTTCGACTGCGAGAGAGACTTCGACCTTGGAGGAAGGTTAAAACAACAAGGAGGAAAGTTGTCGTCATCATCGTCCTCGCTGTCTGTGTCATCGTCCGAGGAGTCAGTGACCGACATCAAGTCGGGCAGGGAGTCCGACTCATAACCCGAGTCCGAGATCAGGTCGGATATGTCATCAGCGTCGAGGGATTGGGTCTCCATGTATGGTGGGAGATCGAAAGGTAAGGATGAAGAGGGAGGGGCATGAGGAAGAGGGGCAGAGGAAGGAGAGCTGTCACCGGAGCGGCTACCATCGAATCGAGAGCAAACAATGGTGTCAGGAAGCCCAAGGTCCTGCTTTGTAGAGTTAGCACTGCTGCATTAAAAATAGATAACAATAGAAGCTCACCGAGTGATGTTGCGCAAGGAGCAGTGCATATTCGACACGCTCGTAGTCCTTGGTCGTCGGAGACCATGGGCGGACCTTCGTGAACATTGCCCGCTCAATTGTGTTGAGCGTGACAATCCCACACGAATATCCATCGTCCTGTATCGAGTGAGGGAGGCTTGCGATGGGTGACTGGAGATCAATGCCGATTTTTGCAGCAAAGCGACGACAGCCCTCAATGTCGGCTGGTCGAAGGGAGTCTTCGGGATATGAGCTGAGTGAATCACCCACAGAGAGTTGACCAGACCGTGCGTCAAGGGAAACAGCAACGTAGTGGTCAAGGATGGGGTCATGGAATGCAGTGAGGATGCCGTCGGCCTCTCTGCGACGGATCTTGCTAGCGATGCGCTGGAGATGTGAGAGATTTCCCGCATTGGGGGAGTCAAAGTCAGTCCATGAGACCGTGTCACAGATGGGGTGCTCGAAAGGAACCTGGAAATCGAGAGTATCAATGAGGAAGTTGCATTGAAGGGGGTGCACGTGTGCCCAGTCGCCAATCATTTCGAGAAGGGCATCGAGCAGGGATCCTGGGATGTAGCGATCCGAGAAGAGGTCAGCAAGGTCAGTGGCGTGGACCCTGCCGATGCGTGCATTCCAGCCGACACAGTCGAAGAAAGTGTCAACTGCAGGGGGGATGTGGGCGAAAATGGAAGGGGCTGGATGCGAGAGAAGCTTGGTTGTGCACCAATCGCGCGCGCTCGCCCATTTACCTACAAAGAAGAGCTGGTCAAATAAGCGATGCAATAGATTAGGTTATGACTTACCCTTGGCACAGACGGCAGAAACAACCATGTACCACCAGGCTGCGAGCCAGAGTGGTGCATAAATCACCTCGCCATGGTGCTCGAGGCGAATGCTCCGGGAGCCGTGGCCCCACTCCTCTCGGAGCGTAGCCTTGCTGAGACGTGAGGCTAGACGAGGGATGGGAATAGAAAGGTAGTCAAACGGGATGGATTGGGGAGCACGGGGAGAGAAGAGATGGGCTTGGATTGAAGGGGAAGCCGACAAGCTCATGACAGGCAGCGTGGTGTTGAGGAGCTCCGTGGCAGAGGCGTCATCGTCGAGCACAAAGCTGCGTGCTTCTTCAGGAATTTCGATGGAAGCCGCAAATTCGGACATCTCGGGGCGAGGGTGCAAGCACATGGTAGGCGATATGATTAGAATAGGGGATAAGGAAGGAATTAGAACGAGTGAGGGGGAGAGTATTAAGCAGATGAAGAGAGATACGAAAACGAGGGTTTATGAGTTAAACGAGTGAGCGATGAGAGTTGGTCGAATGGATGGGCTCTGTTGAAAGTCGAGGGATGAGCAAGCCTTTTATACAAGCTACAGGGGACCAGTCGCCACAAGAAACCTACTGCAGCGAGTAAAGCCGAGCAACTGCAGGAGAAAACGAGTCAGTCACAAGCCGTGCATGCTGTCGCACACAGCCAAGTATGTCTTGCTTGTGAGCGACAGCTTGCATGACAAGGGCAACGAGGCTGGCGCGAGGTTAGAGGAGAGGGCAAAGGAGAGACATACGACGTGCGAGCCCATCGGGTGGAGTTCTAAGTGAGACATCGTTGATCACGATCGGGCCCAAGGCATTATCTATATTTGTCCCAAACCTATGTGCCTGGGACACCCCGGCCCGAAACCGCGAACAATGTCCCACCTTCACCGGGACGCAGGAACTAAGTTTTGGGACATACTAATAAGGAAGGAGCGTTGAAACTCCGGTATCTCACGCCACCGGGAACTTAAGGTCGAAATGGTACAGTACTTCCAATGGAAATACGACGACCAAACCCTGGCGTGTCTCGCGCGCACCTGCAAAACATTCAAAGATCCTGCGCTTGATCTGCTATGGGAGTTCTGCTTTCAACTTCAGCATCTCATCCACGTTTTACCAGACCATGTCGTTATGCGCGACTCAGCGGATGACGTTGTGAGTTACTGCTCTTAGTGCTCTCTATGTGGCATGTCCTCAGTGATTCATTCCTATGGCATGGATTTACAAAGGTTGGTATCCAGCCGTTGACGACCGAAGAATGGACAAGGTTTCATACATATACAGCTCGTGTCCGCGAAGTCAGCATCTCAGAATGGGAGCCCACCCCAAACCCTTTCATCACGTTCTTAGCCGCTCCACCCGCGCATATCGACCGCACGTTTCCCAAGCTCAGACGCATCCTGATCCAAGAGTCCAAGGGACAACTGCGTATCCCTGACTACCATTTCTTGCTAGGCCCGTTCGTCGAATGCGTGGACCTCAGACTCGGGGAAAACCCGTCCGTAAATGACGCTCTGACGGAGTCAATCATCCGCTCGGTTCCCGAAGTTTGCTCCAAGCTCATGGATTTCAGTGTCACGTGGTACTCTCATACGCCCCCTCCGTGGTCGCCCCAGGCTATTTCAGAAACCGTTGTTCGCATAGATCATTTCAAAACACTCCAGTGCCCAGCTCCAAGCTCTCACGTAATTATGCATATCAATCAGCTTCCCTCACTCGGAGTCCTCGTCCTGAATCCGCTGCCCCTATATGATGCTGCTGCCTCCAAGACAGGTGAAATCTCCATCTACGACTTTGCTAGTCTGTATTCGCTACAGATGACAACAGACGGCTTCGACGCAATCACAGCGTTTGTGCGGAGGCTAAAGAACCTTCCAGATACCGTTACCATCTACCTTGGGACCTCGCCACAGCCTTCAGCTTTGGAGAATTTCTTCGGCTACCTCGGCAATTTCCACAATCGAGATTTTGACAGCCTCACCCTTCGCAAGGAGTCATCGCAAGTTGAGGTTATCAGCGATATGGATGATCCCGGCCCCCCTATTACGCTGCAAACTCTCCGCCCTCTCCTACAGTGCGACGGGCTTTACACACTCGACATCACAGTGACGAGCCCCATTTCTCTCACAGACACAGATATCAGAAACATGTCTCTCGCTTGGCCTAATCTTCGAATATTTGCACTGAACGAGAGTAACGGATGCACTAGAAAAATATTCCAATACAATTTGCCAATTTAGTTAAAATACCATGGCCGAGTAGTTTAAATAATCTTCGCATACCTGTCCGAAAATTATCCGATCCAGGCACCGAGTTTTATTTAAAATAAAGTTTGTGAAAGTATGCTGATGATTCTGTGACGGGTGACAACAGATATTTAAAATACAATCTGGTATAGCAGCCGAGTCATGAACCGGACTGGGCTGTCAAAGGTGGGTCAGAATCTGAGCCGATTGCGGATTTTTGACAGCCCAGAAAGGCTATTAGCCAATAAAAATATGAGAAAAGAAAAATCAAGCAATTTTCATTAGGCAGCAAACCATTAATCAAACGCCTGTCAAACGCCTGTCAAACACCTGTCAAACGCCCGGCAAACGCCACTCAAACGCCCGGCAAACATCATTCAAACGCCAATCAAACGCCCGTCAAACGCCAGTTAGATGCCAATCAATATAATATATTTGTTCAGTAGACTGGCATTTAATTGGCATTTAACTGGTGTTTGACAGGCGTTTGACGGGCGTTTGAATGATGTTTGCCGGGCGTTTGAATGGTGTTTGCCCGGCGTTTGAATGGCGTTTGCCGGGCGTTTGAATGGCGTTTGCCGAGCGTTTGACAGGCGTTTGAATAATGGTTTGCTGCCTAATGAAAATTGCTTGATTTTTCTTTTCTCATATTTTTATTGGCTAATAGCCTTTCTGGGCTGTCAAAAATCCGCAATCGGCTCAGATTCTGACCCACCTTTGACAGCCCAGTCCGGTTCATGACTCGGCTGCTATACCAGATTGTATTTTAAATATCTGTTGTCACCCGTCACAGAATCATCAGCATACTTTCACAAACTTTATTTTAAATAAAACTCGGTGCCTGGATCGGATAATTTTCGGACAGGTATGCGAAGATTATTTAAACTACTCGGCCATGGTATTTTAACTAAATTGGCAAATTGTATTGGAATATTTTTCTAGTGATGGGGTGGTTCTACCGCAACGATCGAGGGCCTGTATAGCCTTGTCGAGAATTGCCCAAATTTGAATTCCATCGGCATGTCCATCGACGCGTCTCAACTTAATGAAGTTCCAGAAAATATGCCAGCAGATGGTTACTACAACGACAAGTTAATGTTTATTCGTCTTGGAGACTCGCGAATTGGCGACCCCGCTGTACTCACTCTCGTCCTCGCTACTGTTTTTACCTCGAAGTGGTTCCACCCTGTCTTCTCTTATACAGTAACATGGAAGGGGGGAAACCTCGAATTTCAGCATCACATCGCATTCTTTGAGTGTATTCGGCAGGTGCGGGAGATGGAGGAGGAGGGAATCATCGACGAAGACGACTGGCCACCTCCCCCGAATGTCATTGAACGATGTCGACAATGCTTCCAGAAACCGTCAGGAAGCCTGTGATACGTATAGAATTGCTGTGGGACGACAGAATCGCCGTCCATATCTATCTCACGTGCTAGCAATCGAGGTTCGTAGTATGCTACATACATTACATGTGGCAGTTAAAGTTACCGATTATGGCAAAGCATTTACACTAGATACAACGCAGAAACACCGACATGATAAGTGGGGACATCTTATTCGTCAAAAGCAATGGAATCGTTAGCAGTCCTAGTTACCACCACCACATCCTCATCCACCTCCCCTCCAATATTCGCAAACTCCATCACAAGTTCCTTTGTTTCTTTGATCATCGCATCCATCGCCTCATGAAGCGCCCACGAACGAGGTGACTCCTCTTCTCCAGTTGCGAGATCGAGCAAGTCCAGCGGATATGCCAGCAGTGGCGTGTATCCGTGATGCATCTGCACAAGTCGAATCCGCCGGTACGTCGCACGCACGAGCGGCGGCGCGCGGACTTTGGTCCCGCTCGCAAGTACGGAAGCGCTCCTTTCTACGCTAGTGGCGCGTTGGAGAGGCTCCGGAGCAAGTTGATGGCCTGGCCCGAGGTGCACGATGCGTTCACCGCCCAGCGAAGCATAAGAGTGCGCTTCAGATAGTCGACCTCGTTCCATTCGGACATTGTGAGGGTGAAGAGACAGGTTGCTCGCTGAAGTGGGGAAAGCGGAAGAGCGCGGAGAGAGCTGTCCAAATGAGGCGTTGCTTACTCGGTGCCGCGGTTTCGAGAAGATGGTCATAGACGCGCGGCGACTGTCGGAAGGAACCACAGCTCCGTGCGTGGCACGAATTTGGTGGTTCAGCTGTAGCGTCTTTTCTTGCATGAGGAGCTTCATCTGCAACGCTATAGGGTGACGGCAGCGGCATAGTAGCTCGAGGAACGACCACATGACGTAATCCACGGCGCGCGGTGATGAGGCTTTGATGCTATCGCCTCGTCTCAAGGGCAAAAGGGGCGGAGAATGGTCGGAGAAGCTATTACGAGGCGAGTGCGTGGGCGATGGGGGTACAGAAGTCGAGCCGCTGCTTGCGAATCGTGCATCCCCCTCTCGGATGAGTGCGTGGACGAAATTCGATACACGAATCCAGATGCCTGAGATTCGAGCCAAATCGTCCTGCCCTCGAATGACGACGACCTTGAGAACCTGTAGTGCGGCAGCAATGGTCATCGCAGTGTCCCGAGGATTCCCAGGTCGCCGCTTGATAGACCCTCTAGGCTGGTCAGAGGGTGCTACTGTCCGTCTGCCATCTGCGGCCGACGCTCCTTGACAAGCCGTCATGACATATGTCAGCAACTGCACCCACGCCTTTCGATGATTATCTAAGCGCCAGCTCTCGATATGGTGTTCTTGTTGCATCAACCACGATGTCGTTTGAAGACTGATTGCGAAGGGGAACACTACGGAGATCAAATACTTGAAGGTAGGCTTGTTGCGCACGATCTCATCCATGACTATGTTGCCATGGTATGAGAGCGAGCGAACGAGCAGCCCAACAAGCGGTGAGCGGCCCACGTCTGTTCCTAGCGAAATTGGCATGTCCTCGGTAGCGCTGAGTGCAGCTCGGATGATTTGAGTGACGACTAGGTTCGCAATACCTCGCTCCTGGCTGAGAGATGCCCAGGGCATATCAGTTATGGCCTTGTACACGGCGGAGAAGTCCAATGCAGACGCATAGGCGCTAACGATCGGGGCGAGGTCGCGCAGAAAGTTGATTGTATCCTTGGCTCGGTCCGCGGACTGCAGGGACAACACGGACAAATCTCCGAGAAAGGTGGCAACGTAGTGACTGAGATGGGCCGCATCGCGCAATAGGAGTTTGACAACGTCGAGAATCTTCTGCGTGGTCCCAATGCTGTAGTGCCCACCTGCACGAAGAAACTCTACCGATAGGAAGAGGTACTCGACACGCATCGCCATGAAGTCACTGGGCGCCTTCGACTTCCTCTGAAGGGTTTCTGTAAGACTGCTTTCTCCATCGCCCAACTCGTCGGCGGTCACAGGCGCCCCACCAGAAGGGTCCACTGCAGTTTTTGGTTTGCCTGGTCCGCGTAGAAGAATGGTGCCAAGGGCATCAATGCCGTCGCGTAAGACAGATCGCGCAGTCTTGGATGTCTCGTAAATGGGCGATACAGTGTGACGCATGAACCTGAGTAGCTGTTGGGCACGCTGAATAGCAGGATCATGCGCGATCACAGTGAGCAGTAGCCTAACAAGGTTGTCCGTGTCCAAGATCTTCGTTGCGTATTCTTCTGGCAGATCTACGATGATCTTGTTCCGAGCCTGGCCTTGAGTTGGTCCCTCCGATGACTTTTCCCTGCGTATCGCTGCAAAGAATGTCTGAGGCTTATCCTCTGCAGTAGCAACCAGCAGCGCTTCCCGCTCTTGTGTCTTGTTCACGTCTCGTATGCCGACGATGTCAGGTACACGAGTGATATCTTCACGCAAGGACGAGAGTAGGGTGAAGATATGCTTCGTCAGCCAATCATCGCCACTCCCGAAGGCGAGGTTGACATGCGTCATAACGTCGAGCGTCTGAAAAATGAATGCATCCTGATGAAGAGCGAAGAACCGGTTGACAGCGTATTCGATGGCCTGGCGGATACCCGGGTGCGACTCCTGTTCGGCGTATACCTTAATGACCGCGGGCATGAACAACGGATAACCACCTCCAGTGATGAACAGTCGACGAAACCGCGTGCTAGCAATCATAAGCGCTGAAGATATCTGGGTCAGGAAACAGGATACTCGTAGGAAGCGCGCATAAATTACCTATCATTGACTGCACCACGATTCCCGTATCGTCCCCATGAGCAAGCAAGATCCTGTTGATACCATCGATGAACACCGCCAACTCCCCTCGGTCGCTCAGATGTCTTGACATCGATCTAAAAATCTGCGACAGGAGCAACAAGTAACTCCTCGAGAGCGCAACTGACATCCCATGCACGACCGAGCTCTTCCTCGCCATAGCTTGTCGTATCGCCAATCTCTTTGGCACAAAGTCTTTGAGCTCGAGCGTCTTCGCAGCGTGAGCATATGCGCCAAACCCGCCGTACCGGTCAGGCCCCTCAAAGTCGATCGGCGGGAGTGACAAGCGTGACATGCCCTTCCGAATGACACCCACATCGCGCGGATGCCTCTTCAAAAGCGCAAGGAAGAACATGTTCTGTGCCAGCCGCAACATCGTCACCGCCCCAACGCTCTGCACGCTCTCCGCCGGATCGTCCGTATACGGCGGCCTCCGCGGAAACAACGCGCTCGCAGGTGCCCCGGCTCCGAACCACAAAGCGCCCGTGGGGAGGAGAAACATGTCCACCTTGGCCCGACGGATCTCGCGGATCGAGAGCTCGCTCACCTGCGGCACGAGCTGCGCGAGCACACCCACGCTCGCTGCGAACACCCGGAGCGCCTGCCCGGCATCCGGGCCGAGCGCAGCCGCAGCGTCCGCTTCACGCGCGAGGTACTTGAGGTAGCCTGTGACGTGGTTGAAGATCGCGTGTGCCATCGCATGCGGGAGATGTGTGCGCACATGCAGGAGCGCAGTGAGCACGCGGAATGTCTGAGCGGAGTCGCCTGCTGCGAGAAGGTCGAAGATGGGACGCGAGAGCAGGCCGGGCTCGTTGCGCATAAGCTCGGTGATGCTTTGCCGGGCTTCGCTCGAAACTCCTGGGTCAGGGTCGAGCGTCAAAACAGCGAGGTGCGGGAGGACAGCCGCCAGCGCGGGAATGAACACCGCACGACGCTTCACGCCTCGCTTCGTCGGATCAGATACGTTGCGTGCGAGCGCGACTGCCGCAACATCTCCAGAGGTATCGCTATTCGGCCTTGATTTGGCAGGCGACGATGTAGGTGACGGCGGCGCACTCAGCGTCCCACTCCCGCTCGTTACTAGGCCACCACCAGTCGTCCCAGCCCCAGCCAACGATGCGCCTCGATCTGCAAGATGCGACGGAAGGAGCGTTAGCGGCGTCAGCACCCAGTCGCGCTTGTGGTCCGCCGGCTTGTCGTCGTCCATCCACCCCACTTCTGACAGGCGGCGACGCAACTCAAAGGGCAATCCGTCCTCGTTATCGTCCTCGTTCTCCTCACGGACATACTGACTCGAGCCGATGTCCGTCATCACAAATATGAGCGGATCGCGGGCGAGCCGGAACGGACGGCGCCACTGCCGGTCAGGGAGGAAAGGTTGCGACAGCAGCTGGAAGCGGAGGCTAACGAGAGTGTTGATTTTGTGGATAGAGTCAAGTTTGGAGGAGACGTCGTTGCTGTTGAGAATTTGATTAGCTCTGTACGCTTGATGTATGCTAGAGGACGGAATCTCACCTGAGCAGCTGATACTTGATAACCTCCGGAACAATCATTGGCGCCTTCTCAATGCACAACATCAACAAGAACGCCGCCTGTTGCCAATCACAAGTTCATCATTAGCTCCACACTCACTCATTATGGTGACAAGAGCAATTCACCGGTATGTGCACTCCAGAATCCTCGCACCCCACGCCCCACTCCCACAGCGTCCTCCCGAGTGCCTCATGGTCAGCAACAGTCAGCGACGCGGACACAACCACGAGTAGACGCAGAAGCGCCGCCTGTGCATTCGTCTGCAGACTCCCGACGAGCCTGCACCGTTCCTCGAACGCGTCCACAAGTGCGTTCATGGCGACCTTGCCGTCGCCACCGTTCGGATCGCCCGAGGATTTGGAAGCCGCGAGCATGGACGGGTAATAGGAGTACATCGTGCTTCGACGCTAAAAGAGTTACGACGCTGGTTGAGATGAAAGGCGCAAGAAAGAGGGAAAGGAAGGGCATATACCTGCCGAGTCGCCCGACAGCTGTCTTGCGCGGTCTTATACAGCGTCTGCAAGTCCTGTAGCGCCGTCCGGATTGACTCCTCCTCTGACAGCTCGTCGTCATTGGCCACACTCTCAGCGCGCACCGTCTCTGAGCCTTCTTCCACGTCTTTGTCGGCAGTGGCATTATTGCCAGCGCTAGCGCTGGTGCTGGCTTGCTGGACCCACTCAGTTACAGGAGTGTACCATTGACACCTGACCGATACACACACCGTAAGCATAAATCAAAAGAAGGTAAGGCCGCCAACGAACCGCTTAAGTGATCGATTCAACAGTCTGATCTCCGTCAACAGGCTCGCGAGCAGCAGCTGCAGGAGCGCCGGCCACCGCTCCAACGCACCATCCGAGCCGTCATTACGCGTCCTCGCTTCGAGTATAATCCCAATCTTCGCCTCGAGCACGCTGAAGAACTGAATCGACGCATTGAGCTCCTCCTCCTTCACAACACCCAATCAGCCTCCCTTTCAAAGAAATGCCAAGGACCACTGAAACCGCATACCTCATCTCCACTTCCATTCCCCACACCCTTCCCCCAGTCTCCCTCCTTCTCACTCTCCTCCTTCGCACGCCTCAAAATCCCCTCTCTTACCTCTTTCACCCTCGCAAGCAGCTCTAGCAGAATAATCACCTGCCCGACCCTCGGCCGTCCCCACAACAGCCCTTTACCCTTCTTCTCTGACCCGCCGAGCGCAACGAGCACCATGTCCGGGTCTCTCGTCCAGAACCGCGGCACCACGCGTGCGAGCGCGGCCACGCCGCAGAGGTGGTGCGCAGCGATGGTGAGCCCCATGCCGGAGAACGCCGTCACCGCCGCTGACGACGGCAGAGAGGGGTCGGACGAGGTCTGCGCGAGCGTGAATAGGGGCTTGAACAGTAGCTGCGGGTGGGCGGTCGATAGCGCGGCGAGGACGGAGGAAAGCGCTGGGAACGGGATCGGCGGGGGGTCGGCGACGAGGCGCTGTAGAACGTCGCGGTTTCACGTCAGAAATCATAAAAACCGTAAGAAGAATGAAATAATAAAACACGCACATCAATAAGCAACGGCAGCGCCGGCCCAAAAAACTGCACGCGCTGGGCAGTCTCGAGACGCATCACCGCACGCAGAACCTTGACGATCGCGTCCCAGGCGCCTTCCGCCAGCTATTAATTAAATCGAGTCAACAAACCTCTCCACAGTAAACGAAAACAAAAGGTGGGGCAGACTCACGAGAGACCCAACAACCCTCTCCACGCCGACCTTCCACTCCCCATATGCGCGCGACAGCAGGTCGGCAGCTGCGACGGCCATCAATTTCCCCTGTGCCCCGCCTCCGCCTTCCTCGGTAGGACCGCCGCCGTCAAAGTCGGCGCACAAGAGCGCCAACACGAGCTTCGCGAGCGCGCCCTGCGCGTCTGCGGCGCGCGGCCCGGATGCGAGCCGCACGAGGGGGACGGCGCGCGTGTTGAGGACGTGCAAGATGCGTTCGGCGTCGGGTAGTTTTTTCGCCAGCAGGGAGGTGGAGCTTGAGGAAGTGACGGTAGAGGGGGAGTCGAGGAGAGCCCGGGCGGCGTACGAGAACGCGGCGAGCGTGCGCGCAATGCTCGACTGTGCCACAGGCGGTAGAGTTGTCGTATCCTGCAACGGGCACCAATATTCCTACAGATGTAACCCCGATCAGTCAAATCCTCCTACATCCCAAAGACCAATACGCACATCAACAAGATACCGCATCACATACCGCCTCACCTCCCCCTCCTCGCCATTACTGCATTCCATAACCCGCACAACCGCCTCGCCCAGCAACATCTCCCTCACCACCCTCCCCTCCTCCGCGCTCTTGAACACGCACCCCGGCACCTCAAGCGCCCCACACTCTCCGCTCGCCAGCTGCCTCAGAAGCCCGCGCACCGCGTCAGCCTGCGCGACACCATCGCCAAACCCATCTCCCGCGCCGGTGGAGTGCGCCGCAGGCTGCCTCAGCAGCGCGATGAGAAGCAGGAGCAGACCCTGGGCGAGTGAGAGAAACGCCTCGGGGGTAGAGAGCACGAGCTCGCCCCCGCGCGGGTGCGCTAGGGAGTCGAGGACGGTGAGGAGACGCGTGCGTTCGCGCGTGGGACGGGTGGCTGCGCGGAGCGTCCAGAGCAGGCGGCTGATTTCAAGCTATGTTTCGGGATGTGTAAAAAAAAAATGCGCCGTGAGCGGGAGTATAAAGTGGAGGGTCGTGATGATGGCGATGATGATGATTGTGCGTATATGCGTGGAGAAGGAACAGCAGGATGGAAATGTTAGCGCATATATCCACCCCAAAACAAAACAACCAAAAACACACCTCGGGAGTCACAGCCCGCCACGTTTCAACGATCAGCTCGAATGCCTCCGCGGCGCTCCATCTGTCCTCGTCCAGGCTCAGCCCAACACCTGCGCCCGCACCCGCACCCGCACCTGCACTTTCACTCGGATCGTCCATGAGAAACGGCCCCAGCAACGACGCAAGCACCAGCGGCTCATGCGGGAGCGCCGTCACATGTCTCTTCGCGTACCTCAGCAAAATATCGTGCAGCGTCCCCGCGAGCGTCGGCCTCCGCGCCGGTCCAGGGGCAGATGACATCCCTCCGTCCGCGTAAACACCCGCGTTGGCATTGGCATTAGCATGGCCACCAGAGGAGGCGCCGGTGAGCCCAGATATGAGCGACACAGACGACTTGCCCGTGTGGTGCATCATCGACATCGGCAGCGTCGCGCTGCTCGACGTCGCAGACCAGCTGTACCCGTACCCATACGCGCTTGCAGCGCCGCTCCCGCCTGCAACAGCAGCGGGAACGCCATAGGAAGCCGGCCCGGAGCCGGAGAGCGAGGCGTGCGCGCTCCAGCACACGCGCAGGACCTCGTCCGCGAAGCGCCGCGCGTCGTCAACGCTCACCTCGCGCACCTGCTCGACGACCTGGCGGAAGCCGAAGCGCGCAGCGAGGCGTGAGGAGGGTTTCGGTATCGGTGCATGTGCGCAATTGGGTGTGAGGACGGAGGCCGCGATAGCGGATCCACCTGGGACTGCGATTGGAGCTGCAGCTACGGCGCCACCTGGTGTAAGAGCGGGCGGGAGGGCGGTGGAGGAGATGGACGGGGATGCGGATGGGGACTGGGAGGTGGATTGGTGTGGGGCAGCAGAGCCGGAGACGGGGATGACGTGTTGGCGGATTTGCTCCCAGCGTACTTTCGACGGTGTACGTGTTGGCTGCCCGGACGCATCCTTGTCCCTCCCGTTGTTGCTTTCATCGACCGACTGCTGCTTCTTCGCGTGCCGCTCGTCTACGCTCGACGCAGACTTGGCGGACCTAAAGACCTTGGGTGAGAACACCTTCCTCTGGATCGATGCGGGAAGCGTGGGCGCGTGGTGTGGTTGTCGCTGGTGCTGCCGTTGCTGATGTTGGTGAGGGGGCGGTGAGGGGAGAGAGGGAGACGCAATCGCGCTCGGCGTTGGCGACGCGCTGGCTAACGGTGACTCTACAATGGGCTGCTGAGTCCAAGACGAGTTCGCCCTATCGTCAATCGCAAACGGATCATCGTTGAGCGAGATCTGGAGTGTCGAGTTCTTGGAATGAGCTCTTGCGTGGTCGCTGGACGGGCTGTCGGACACGGAGCGTTTCTGGATACGGCCGGTGGAGCGCTTGAGCTGGGACTTGTGAGGGAGATCTTTGCGTGAAGACATTTGGCAGCGAATAAGAATATGGCATTGTCATAAGAAAGGAAGAGAAAAGAGAGCGATTTCAGAGGGAGTTCATGTCGCGATCAATGTTGTCCTCTTCAGGTCGCGTCGGAATCTGCCGGCGAGATCATTGGAGTTCTGCGTCAAAAGTACAGCTCAGCTGCCCGCGCGTCTTTTGAATAGCGTCATGTTTGAGCAAGGCTGTGAAAGTCGTTCTAATATTCTTCCGACTCCCATTGTGCTCAGTACATCAACTCTGTCTATAACTACGTCGCCGAAATCCACAGACATCTCGCGTTATATTCGTCGCCCATGAAACCCCTCTCACCTCCCTCTCCTTCGTCGCTCTCCTCCTGCTCATGCTGGTGACGTGGAACCTAAAGCCTCGCCGATGGGTCCGCCACATCGCTAGCCGGCGCCCCCCGACGGCTCTGGCAGTGGAGCTGACGCACGCAGACCCAGATCTGCAATCGAGCTGTGCGGTCGCATCCACTCATAGCTCGCGGGCTGGGGCGCAGTCGCATGCACATCATGCGAGACGACCGGCGCGTCGAAGCTGACGGCGAACGCTTGATCGCGGGTGTTGGTGTTTAGCGTTATGCCGTGCGATTGGAGGTGCCGCGTCGCATTGGACTGGACGGCAAACCGCTTTCCGCACCCAGGGACCGGGCATGCGAAGGCTGTTGACAAGTTTCAGCCGCAAGCAAGCGATAAGGGAGCCGGGAAGAGAATGGGCTGGCTGGTCCTAGGTTGAGGGTGACCACTTTCGTAGTGGGCGAGATGAGCAATGGAGGACTCACGTTTAGAACCGGTGTGAGTGTTCATGTGCACTGCGAGGCTGCTCGGGCGGTCAAACATTTTGCTGCAGTTCGGGCACTGATGTTTCCTTTCCCTTCTTTTCCTTTTCCCCGCATTGCCCTTGTCGTCCTTAGGTTCTGCTGACCGGCCCTTGCCCCTGAGTGTGGCGAGGGGTTTGGGGCGCGCGTTTACTATGGCAATCGTACCTTCACCCTCTTCTGCCTCCCCCTCCCACCCAACCCCGCTAAATTGCACAGCCTTGTCACTGTAAGGTATGTGCCTGCGCTCTTCGAACGGGAAGATGTCGTCCTCGGAAAACCGCGCATCTGGCCATGCTGGCGCACTCGCGGGGGAGGACGGCCAATACGGTCCCGATTCGGGTTCGGTCGGCGGTATCTGCGCATTGGCGAGATACGGGTCAATCGTCAGCGTCGACGGCTCTATACTTGGCCACCATGTTCCTCGACGATGAAGGCCTCGAGCCTCACGGTCCATCGTTGCGTCGGGATGGACATCCTGTTGTCTTGACGTCAGAAAAGGTGCATAGAAGTTTGTACTAAAAGACGCTTCAGGATTACCTTGCACAGCGTGTGCGGGGGCATAGTATGCTGCGCTCGTCGGCGGCGGCAGCAGTTGCTCCGCCGGGATAAGGGGCTGGTGCACTTGAGAGTGCACCATTTGTGCATGGTCGAAGCGTACATGAGGACTTTGGGAGGTCCCTGCGCTGGTCGGTTGTAAGAGTACTGTGGACTCAGGAAACACATCGTTAGCGTCAGTCCCGACAAAGGGAAGCCTGTGTTGGCGCCTCTGCAACGATATGGTTTCTTCGCGATAGCCGTGCATGTATATTGGCGATGGGGGTCCATATGACACTGCGCTAGACGTTGAGCGCAGGGACGACTCCGGGTGGGATGCCGGTTCGCCCTGAGAAGTAGGATGCTGTGTTGCTTCGTAGGCTTGCGAATGCGATTGGTAAGGCCAGGGATTATAGGATCGAGCCGATGGTAACGGTAGCTGAGCATGCTCATAAGCATATTCCTATCTCAAAAGTCAGTAGCAGCCAACTGCGACGTGATTTCCATCTTTACCGGTACCGTTGGGCGAGACGATCCCTCTCGTGCATGGACATCTTCGTCCTCGGGAGGGACATACATTTCGGTGCCGTCGCTGTCACTGGAAAAGGAAGGACACATGAATAATTTTGTCAAGCTAGAACGCTGGGCTACTTAAGATAGCCAAACAACATCCCGTTGGAAGCGACACAGGTGTGCTAAAGGAAATCAAGTTTCCAACCCAGGCCCCATGCGGACTCATGGTTATTGGAGTAGCGTCGGAGCGCTGTCGTATAAAGAGATAGAGTTACATTGCGTAGCCTCACGTGGTAGCCAGAAGCGGATGTTTCCTCGGGATCTTCGACAGGACCGCTTTGAAAATATTGATGCACATGTTGTGAACGCTCAAGACGAAAATGAATAAGGTTCTCATCATACACGCACTCTGCCTGCAGGCGCGGAACCCGAAGCGGCGGAAGCTGCACATAAATTGCGGTACCAGCTCGAGTCTAACGTTGTTGGTTCCAAGTCCATTGAATATGTCGCTCTCGATCGCGGGTTAGTGAATCGACATACCAAACATATGGTATTACACAAGACATGTCACGCTCCGGTACAGCACAGTTGAACGCTGATGCAGATGGGCGAGGACATGAACAGTTGGAACGCGTATGATATCTCGTCTCCTTCATAAGACAAAGGACAATAACCCATCCTAACCCTAACCCTCATACCGCTGTCAAGCAGGAGCAAACATAAGCCTTGCATAAGCCGGAGTAAATATTGAAGTACTGTACCACCTCAAAAGAGCTCAGAGACACATGTGAAATGGCTGCACAAAGGGAACTTTACTTACTTGACTAAGTTTCGCCGCCCGAGCGATGTCCTGCCAACGATAAAATAGGACATCATCGGGAGGGCGACATCGCACGGCGGTTCACTCGAGTTAACCCCACAACGGCGGGTTCTCGGTACCGACAGCCAACTGACAACTCCGAGCTACTCCGAGTCCGTGATTAGTATCAGCAGCCAAACCCCGCCTATGACATCGTCAAGGGACTTGATGTATTTGTACGACAAACAAACCAATGTCATTCCCCTTTTCCAGTGGATGTCTCAGTTCAACTGTATCACGCACCTTTCTCAGAGGTTTCTCTCGATAGCGTCAGCCTCGATCAACTTGAAGACCTCTATGATTTTAGCACCCTCAACAGCTTTGAATTCGACCGGCTAACCCATCTTCACGTGTACGCTGCGTACAGTTCCGATGTATTGTGCTTCTTTGACTATCGTAAATGGGACAACGTCACTTTCCTCACGCTTGACTTGGCGGACTCAGGCTCCTTCCAGAAAAGCTAGTACGTGGCACCTCTCTTTCACGGCTTTCCAAACTTGCTCGAACTCTTCATCACAACCTGGGCATTGGAGCCTGTAGACGTGGGTGAAGTGACTACGGCACACAATCTGCAAACGTTCGCTCTTATCCCTTTACCCCCCTGCAATCCTCCGGACGACTTCTACTCAGAAAGACCGCTGACGTTATTTGATAATCTATCCCTTCCTGCGCTCTCCAACCTCGCCCTTACTGCACCGCCATCTAGGGACATTGATTTTCTGGGTCGCTTTCTCACACGGTCGGGCTGCTCCTTATCCAGTCTTGCCTTTATCAACCACCCGGAAGAAAGAGAAGTGTTTTGGAACGCCAAGGATAGCCCCATCCACCATGCCGGCGGTAGATTAGGAGAAGAGTTCACTATTCCGTTGGTGGCATTTAGCTTCAGCCTAGAGGAGAGTCGGTTGTATCAAGAGGCCAAGGAGAGATGGTATGGCTTGTAACATCTGCTACTTAGAGAGCCTGATGGGGTAGAAGAACATGCATTGATGTGCATATCTCAAACGAGAGCGGTATAAGCATCTTGTACACGTACTCCGTAGGCGCTCGCCTTTATACGCGCCTCCGTAGCCTTACCCTGGCATTTGTCGGCGTGAGTGTGACACCGGTTGTCCACTGCAACAGCACCTCCTTCTGTTCAGACCACGACTTGCCGGCGAGATCGGCAGGAACGAGAACCTCATACTGCCGCACAACACATGCGAGCATGCAGATACTCTCAGCGAGGGCAAACCGCATCCCGATACACCCGCGCGCGCCAGTCGAGAATGGCATATCTACGTGTATCATACATGAGCAAGAATCTCATAGATGGATGTCAGTGAGCTCACATGCATGTCGTGGCCATCGATAGGTATCGGTATCGAGGAACCGCTCTGGCGTGAACTCGTGCACGTCCTCACCCCAGTGTAACGCTATTCACTATTATTCGCGCATGCCTTTGAACATCCCTATAAAGGTTGACTCACGATTGTAGTGTAGAGCCCATATATCAAGCATGACGATGCTTCTAGCCGGCACCGGGAGCGTGTACGCCTGTCCCTCTGTTAGAGATGTTTCATTGCCATTCCGCGAGAAGTGAACGCCGGGAAGAGACGTGTCAGCGTCCACATCCTTGGCAAGACGCGGCTCAGCTGGCCATAGTCTCAACGTCTCTCGGAAGAAGGCTAGTGTATACTCCTAATGGCAAGTCAGTCCATTATGACCACATACGCGCTCCTGGGTTACTTTGACACTTACAAGTTTGTTCCAGTCATCTTTGAATGCCTACCAGACAAAACTAAGTTGAAGACGGTAACGCAGAAAGTACACATACCGAGCTGTGTGGACTGACTGGCTCATTCCCTGGCCACAGTCGTGAAACCTCTTCGAGAAGCGTCTGTTGTTTCTCTGGGTACAGAGCCAGCAGCACAAAAGCAAAGCTCAGACTGTGCGACGAGGTTTCTGGTTGGCTTCGTGAGCATACCCACACCCGGTGACATACGAAATCACAAACCGTGGCCAGCGAGCAAGAAGGACTGTGGACATGAATCAATAATGACTCGGATGCCTGAAACTGACGCGTGTCCTGGAGACTTACAAAGATATTCGAGAAGAGCTCGTCGGCCGTCAGCCGCCTATGCTCACTATCCAGCGCCAAATTCGCCTCAACAAGATTCCTCAGAATGGCAGCCCCACCAGACCCCTTCCCTGTAACCTCGCTCTTGCCCTCGTTCTCGACGATCTCCTGTCGCGCTCTGACTACCAGATCCATCATATGCCTCCGCATATCTGCATAACCATCGTTCATCTCGCGGATCCGCTTCGACAAGTACGGGATAGGCAGCATAGGCGCGAGCCGCGCGAACCAGGCCGGCGTGAGGATGTACACATACACGTTTTCGACGGCGTAGCGCACTGCGGTGCGGAACGGGAGTTTGCATGTCGACGGAGGAGAAGCGTTAGAGTCCTCATCCCAGGAGACACGCCGGCCAAACCCGGCCGAGGAGAGAATAAGGAGAGTTGCCTTTGTGTGATGATCGTCCGAGTAAATACGTGCAATCTAGTAATTCGCTGTGGGTAAACGTACCTGAATCATAGTGGGGACAAGGTCGACATCGACGTCTCGCCCATTTGATGAACCGTCGAGCTGGGCGAGCCATTCGTTCACCACTCGGACAGTCTCTGTCCAAACCAGAGCAACGTTGGCCTGTTTCCACTTTTCCATGAGAATGCTCATCCTCGCTATCTATCGGAGTGGTGCTCACCTCATTAAATGAAGGCTTAGCCACGTCCCGATGCCTCTTCCACTCTTGCCCCTCTGTGCTGATCAAGTTCTTTCCAAAGAAATTCAATGGCTCGTACTAAATTACCATCCCCTCTCCATATCAGCCTCTCGTACCCAGCCCACCATCGAGAAGGGTAAAACACTCACCGCCCACACAGGCTTCGGGAACGTATGTCGATCGCCATTGACCGTCCTAAAGGCGTCCGCATCTGCGACCCAGTAGAATCTCTGCGAGTTGAAGAAGCGAACCGCGACGAACACGGTGCTTTTGAACTTCTGGTACACTACGTTCGATCTTCAGGACAGGGATACGATGCGCATAGAGTAGGTGAACATACACAAGAACTTCCCGCCATAGTACCCGACCTGCCCTCTCCACGGGAACACAGGTGCAAGAAGAAGCGCGATCGAGTGAAACGAATGAAGCGATTGCAGTCGCGCACCAGGATACCCTCTGCACCCCATCCGGTCAGCTTATCAAGCCCATATGCGACGTACGAAGGAGAACGCACCGAACGCTCGCCAACTCCCTCCTCAGCGACAGCCACCTCTCCAACACCACCTTGCCCACTAATAGCAAAACGCCAGTCACCGCCCACCGCCCTATCTTCATCCTCGACTCAACGTCGGAGTGTAAAGCATCTCGCAGCAAGGAGCCGACCACGCCCATCTTTCCCTCTTGTCACACTTGATTCCAATCGTTACAGTGCCGCTGGCAGCTGGTATGGGGCGCCGTTCAGGTCGCAAAGTGAAGGAAGGCGAGGAGATGAAAGAAGAGAAGGAAAGGCATAGTAACCGAGGGGCGAACGTTCTTCAGACGCCCAGCCCGCCAGCCCGTCGGGCCCATATGATACGCAGAGAATTCACGTTCCCACCGACAGCACGTCCGTAGGCGCAGGCTGGTGTCACCAAGCTGTCATGGAACAAAGACACCGTGATGCAATGCTAGGAACCTTGGAAATGTGTTCCCTCGTTTGCTTGCCGTCCGTGCGTGGGTCATTGTGGTGTTGAGAGTCACGGGAGAGGAAGTGCATGCTATTGGGAATAGACGTTCAGTCCCAGGGAGTTGCGAGAGGGTGACGGGTTCATGATGCGTGATGGGAGGGAGGATTATCTCGGGCCGACACCGGCCAAATGAACGCCGCCGGGTGTGGACGTTAAATCGCTTCCGGACTTGACAGCCACTTTAGGCCCTTAGATCGAACTTCATCGAATTATTGTCATCCTGCAAGAGCCTAAGAAAACGACATTGGTTCACTACAATCCAGATTTACTGTCATCAGCTAGAGGTACATGTTCGAGTTTTGTTAACGAAAGATTCCACGGTATTAAAGAAGGCGTAAAAGCGGAGATATAAAACTCGTTATAAGAAAAGGGGAAAGAAGAAAGTCCGAAGCGTCCATCTCGAGTACCCAATCACCGTCCATGAGGTTGTATATGATACAGTCCTTTTTGTTTACTAATCAAAACCGTCATTCGTGAAAAAGCAACCATCGACGGAGACGTTTTCATCGTTTACTCAGTCGTGACAGACTTGGCCCTGGAAGAGAGTTAGTGCTACATTAGAGAAGACAAACATAGGACGACGTACAAGTTACGAGGGAAGTCAACGTCGAAACCATTCTTGACCGCAAGGTGGTACGACAGCAGCTGCAGAGGGATGATGTTAAGCAGGCCCTGTAAGCAGTCGACAGTCTTGGGCACGCGGATAAAGTATTCGGCATTGACGTCGGTGTCGCCCTCGTTGCAGATGACGATCGGGTGCGCCTTGCGGGCTGTGATCTGCGCGAATGCAGACTGCACCTTAGGGTACAGCGAGTCCTGCGTCATGATGATGATAACGGGCATGTTCTCGTCGATGAGCGCGAGAGGACCATGCTTCAGCTCGCCGGCAAGGATACCCTCAGAGTGCATGTAGCTGATTTCCTTGATCTTGAGGGCGCCCTCAAGACAGGTAGCATGCCTTCAAGTAAATGATTAGTGCCTGGTCATCAATGACACGTATTAGATACGTACTGGTAACCTCTACCCATGAGCAGCAGACTGCGTTGGTTGGCGAGGACACTACCAGCAAGCTCACGGAGGCTCTTGTCGACGTCGAGGACAGCCTTGATCTGGTTGGGCAGCTCATACAGGCCCTGGATGATGCTGTTGCGACGTTCAGACAACGAGATACGGTCCTCAGACAGCTGCAGAGCCATCAACATTAGAGCGATGTACTGGGATGTGTACGCCTGTCAAGGAAAAGGTAATCAGCGAAAGCTCTACGGCAGAAACCAAGTAGACTTACCTTCGTAGAGGCAACACCGATCTCAGGGCCTGCGTTGATGTGGATACCACAGTGGGTCTCGCGAGAGAGTGTCGAGCCGACGGAGTTAACGACACCAACGCAAAGGGCGCCACGCTCGAGGCAGTAGCGGAGTGCCAAGATGGTGTCGGCGGTCTCGCCACTCTGGCTGACGAAAACGCAGACATCGTCACGGAAGATGGGGGTCTTACGGTCAAGGAAGTCGGAAGCAAGCTCAATGACGACGGGGATCTCGGTGAGCTCCTCGAAGATAGCACGGGTAGCGAGAGCAGAGTGGTAGGAGGTACCGCACGCGCAGAATACAATACGGCGGCAGCGACGGATGAAGGGGAGGTAGGCGCGGAGACCACCAAGGGTGACCTTGTGGCCCTCGAAGTTGACACGACCACGCATCGTGTTGACGACGGACTCGGGCTGCTCGAAGATCTCCTTCTGCATGAAATGGTCAAACTTGCCCTTCATGATGGCGGCGATCTCGATCTCGAGCGTCTCAATGTTACGGGTGGAGGGGAGATCGGGCTTGTCGTTGTCGTCGCGACGGAGGCGGTGGATGTGGAGCTGGCCCTCGGCAATGTGAGCAATGTCGTCATCCTCGAGGTAGAGAACGCGCTTGGTGTGCTCGACGATGGCAGCAGCATCAGAGGCGATGAAGAACTCGATGGGCTGGGGTAGGCCATCCTCGGACATGAAGTTGCGGGACTGGCGGCGCGACATTTTGGGCTGCGTAGGAGGAGCAAGGAGAGAAGCGGGATCCTTGGGAGCAACTACGCGACCGTCAGCAAGGGAACGAGTCAAAGCAAAGTACACTCACGAGAATCAATCGTCTGCCTCTCAGCATCCGCACCAGAGAGTTCGACATCAACGAAGTCGACCTTGAGCTTCTTGTCGGTCTTGACACCGATCAGAAGAGGAGAGCCACGGCGAGCGGTAACGACCTCGTTCGGATAGTGGATGGACTTGAAGACGAACGCGAACGAGCCCTCGAGCTCCTTCAACACGGCCTTGACGAGCGACGTGAAGGACATGCGCTTCTCGGGCTGCGAGTCGTAGATATACTTGGCGAGGATCGCGACGGCCTCAGTGTCGGTCTCGGACTCGAACTTATAGCCGCGCTTCTGGAGCACCTGGCGGAGGGCGTTTGAGTTGGTGACGATACCGTTGTGGACGACGATGAACTCGTTAGTGGGGTCGGAGCGGATAGGATGGCAGTTGATGTGGGAAGGCGGGCCATGGGTAGCCCAGCGGGTGTGAGCGATGGAGACCTGAGAGGCGAACGTCTTCGAGAAGTCCGCCTTCGATTCAGCGATGGTTTTCCGGAGGCCGGCGACCTTGCCAACGTCCTTGAAGAAAAAGACCTCGTCTTTCTTGTCGCCATCGATACCAATACCACAGGAGTCGTACCCGCGGTACTCTTGGCGAGCGAGGCCGCTGCAGAGGATTTCAACGATCTCCTTGCGTTCCTACGAAGTCAAGCAATGGAGTCAGCGCCGTCGATCAACCAGGCATTGGAACGCGGCGACGCGAGAAACGATTAAGGATGTGCCAAATTAGGAAAGGAATAATGACGCGCGCGGAGACATGTCGCGGACATGTTCGAGATGACGACACGTTCACGTCCGCACATACAAACGCAGCGTCGCACGATCGAAGAGACACAAGTGGATACTAGACATGGGAGGGGAATGTGCAGGACTAGGAAAAGAACGTAACGTACCTTCTCCTTCAAGAAGCTGCAGTAACCAAAGATGCCGCACATATTGTAGTTAGGTGGTATCTAGACCAGGACAAACGCGCTGCTTGAGCTCCGTGTTCGACACTGCGCGATATGAGAAGAACACATACCTAGGATAAGAATGGATCGTGGCGTGCAAGGTGGGAATGGAGGGAAGGTGAAGAGGACGTCCCCGAAGTGAACACCTTTAAGTACTCCAATCGGGGTTCAGGGTGCCCCAAACACGGGCAAATATTATTACCTGGTGGCAATGCACCCTCCAAGTAACCGAAGGCACGGGCAGTGATCTAGCCGAGCATACGGGCCCAGAACGGCATCAGCGCCCCGCCGTCACGTCCGTAGCCAGTGTCCCTGTCGCCCATGTCCTGTGCTCAACCAGTGCTACTTTTCTCCTTGAGCATGTGTCTCCCGTTGACGACGACTCGAAAAGCTTTCTCTGTGCACCACCTTGAAGCGTTTGCCCGTCAAATTTGTCTGAGTCCTTCCATGTCAGCGGCAAGGAAGCGAACACGCGCTTATCGCGCGGACGTCTTCTGGACTCTACTTGTGTCGGCCTAGACTGTCCGTCTCCCTGAAAACATACATTCGCCTCCAGGCCTCTGGCCGTCGCGCCCGGAAGGGTGGTGCATCCATGGGACAAAAATCGCTTTGAATACGTCTTCGCAACGGATGAATGTATGCTCCGACACCACGCAACGCGGTGGCGTACATACGCGCCCCAAGACCCTCTTCGGGCGCGTCGAAGCGGCTGAAGCCGATGGCTTACAGACTACTTCTAACGCGGCCTTTGCTGGCCGATCATCACGTCCTCGAAGATCGGCTTGTATCTGGCTCCGCACCCCATAGCCTCGAGGGCATCCTTTGCATGAGTTCTGCGCGTCCTGTTGTCACACGAACGTGTTCGAAAGATGGCATATTGCATAGCTGCGTCCAAACTTGTCCTTGTCGCACTGATCCGGAGATAAATCAGAATGTCATTGGTTGGCGACTGACCAGAAATACACTGTTCGTAAATAGCGTTGGCTTGGCTGGTGACAGGGAGATCGGCCTAAGGCAAACATTCCTTATAACAGTGAATGCCATTGACGCACGTTGAAGAAAGGACACCTAGGAGCATAGGGCAAACGTTGATAAGGAACAGAAGTTGAACAAAAGCAAGCGCACTGGAACGCCCAAGGAACGCGGCGTCGATAGCCCCTTTCACTTACGTCACCAACGCTACGCGTGTGAATTTGAAAGACGAGCGGACGGGAGGGTTTGGAGATTAATGCGGCTCAACCGCGGCTCGTAAGTAGAAAACTTCAAGTGCCGTCAACACCAATCGCAACAAGGCAAGGAGATGCAGCTGGGCAACTCTTACTCGTTCTTCCACGACACCCCTTATACATGTGGCTCAACGTTCTCGCACACTTTTAGGCAGGACATGTGCGGTCGAGCGGGTGACACTAAGCTGATATGACGTGGAATAATCCTGGTAAGCGCCCGTCGTCAGCCCATCGTCCTCGCCCATCGCAGAGCTTTCCTGTGACCTCTCCTCTTTATCTTCACGCACGTCCTCTCTAGGTCACTACCTGGCATCATGCAAACCATCCACGAGCGTCCTGGCCTTCCTGGTCTCCATCCACAAGTCCGATCGCGACTTGTGGACCTCCGGTTTGACTCGCCTGAGCCTACCGACCGCCTCCGGGTGCACATCCTCGAGGCTTTCCCGGACGGCACACCATCCTCCGAGTACCCCACCCGCTATCCCCTTATACTTCTTCTTCACGGCTTCCCAGAGCTCGCCTACTCATGGCGCAAGGTGTTGCAGCCTCTGGCAAACGAGGGGTACCATGTCGTAGCCCCTGACCAACGATTCTATGGCAAGTCCGTCAGCGAAATGACCGACAAGGTCACGGGACAAGTAACCCTGAAGACGGATCGGATATCCTACCAAGACAGCCTTCGCCCTTTCCACATCCTCAACATGGTGGATGATGTCACCGCCCTCGTCAAGAAGCTTGGGCATTCCAGCGTGCACACGGTCGTCGGGCACGACTTCGGCTCGATGCTCGCGGGCTACTGCGTTCTCGCCAAACCCAGCCTCTTCCGCTCCGTCATCTTCGTGAGCATGCCCTTCATGGGCGCGAACCCGCCCGGCGGGGGATCGCACCAGCGCGCGACCGCCGACCCCACCCAGCCACGCTCACTCGCCAGCGTCACGCAGAGCATCCAGCCCCTCCTCGCGCGCCTCCCCGAGCCGCGCACGCACTACTCCGCCTACTTCTCCACGCCGACCGCGAACCACGACCTGCTCGCGCTCGGCCCGCGCCTCCCCGAGTTCCTCAAGGGCTACTACTACATTAAGTCCGCGAGTTGGCCGATGAATAAGCCGTACCGGCTCGCGTGCGCGGACCACCCGCACGCGAGCACGCAGGCGCTCGTCGACGACCTCGCCAAGCTCCCGCACTATTACGTTATGCCCGTGCACGCGACGATGCCCGACGTCGTCCGCCAGTCCGCGGGCGTCGTGCCCGATTTGCGGTGGCTCACGGCAGAGGAGCTCGCAGTGTATGCATGCGAGTTCGAGCGCACGGGGTTCCAGGGTGGACTCAACGGCTATAGGAGCGCACTGTGTCCGCCGCCATTCGAGCTCGAGTCGCGGCTGCAAGCGTATGCCAAGGGCAGTATTGAGATGCCGGCCGCGTTTATTGGCGGCGCGAAGGACTGGGGCGTGTTCCAGACGCCAGGCGCAGACAGCCGGTCAAAGGAGCTTTGCACGTATGGTCCAGATGGTCGCCTCCCTGAGGAGAACTTTGTCTTGATAGAAGGAGCGGGTCATTGGGTGCAGCAGGAGCAGCCCGAGGATTTCGTGTCGACAGTCAAACGTTTCTTGCAGGGGTGGAATCTGGTGAGCAGTCCTAGTCATGCTTTGAAAACTAACAATTTCTTCATGTCTAATGCTCTCTGTAGCAACCTACGACCAACGACGTGGACATGAAATAGCACGGACTGCGACATGTAAGCAGCTTTTCCGGAAGAAGCCGGCATTCCTTGCAACTGCGGCCCACAAAAGTGGTGGGCGCAAGAGGCGCCGATTACGGATACACAGGATTCCTATCTCTTTTGGCAGACTAATTCTGATGCTATGGTATCTGCTTCATGGTGCCCCACCCCGATTTATTTATTATTGTTGTAGAATCGATCACGGGATAGGTACGAGCGGGCTCAGCCACACATTGTAATTTTGACACCAAACCCTTCCAAGTATGTCAAGTCTTTGAGACCGTCGTTGTTTCTCTTACGGAAATCGTACATTCAACCCCTCTCCGCGGCGCGCGTGCGCCAAATGTATAAGTGGTTCGATAAGGGTGACAGGCGTGTTCAGATTCCATCCGGCAGATGAGTAGATGCGGATGTATCATAGATGTAGGTGCGGCGACCTCGGTTGCCGCAATGCATATCTCCTCGACTGCCTAGTCGAGGAGTGTTGATGATCCCTTCGAGATTGGGTTTGCTGGAATGGCAGATGATCGAGGACGAGAAGAAGGTTCGGAATGTTTGCGCCTTTGAGATTGTGATCGTGCAATATGGCGTCCTCGCGGGCTTCTAATCAAACCGATGTCATGTCGGAGAAGAATTCTAAAGCTCGCACATTCATATCTGACGAGGGTGCTCGAGGGAAAGGGGCTGTGAAGGTGTCTTCTCTGCAGCTCGCTCAATGGCGGCTCTCGGACCTAACGAGAACTGACGAGTTCCAAGGAACAAGGGCGGCCCCTAGACCTGATCAAGATACTTGGCATAGTGACAGCTTCATGTCAAACCTCAAAGTTTTCACCTCTGCATTATTCAAGCTTACGACAGCTCTAAGGTTTGTCAAGTTCTCCGCTCCAAATTACCAAAGTCGCGGAGCTATCCGGTGCGTTCCTGTGTTTCCACCATTGGTTTCCACACACTCGGCCTCGCGGCCATGACATGATGTGTACAGCTGCACCAACACTGTGGCTCAAAAAGAGTGAGCCCTGGGCCTGATGGTCAAACGCCTAGGCCCAGACCCGCATTTTTAGCTTGCGGATGTTGAAGTGGGGCTGCTGGCATGACACCACAATCTCCAAAAAGTTCTTTCTTACCGTACACCCACCCTCGACTCTTGCCACGAACTTTGCCTGTTACTGCTCCTAGTAATGATCCATGATGCGATCCACGCCGGACCGAAAAATCATCGAGATTGAGATTAACTTTCCAGCAATATGGCAAGTGTAAAGTATGTTGAACGATGATCGATGATAGCTTCACTGACAGCAAGCCAGAGGAATCGCCCTCTCCGACTCGAGGCATCTGACTCGGAGAGCCAAGCGGAGAGCCCAAGTTGCAATCCGAAGAGAATTGGAAGAATGTACTATTACATCTCCTGCCCACTCGCGATGGCTTGCGCGACTGTATATCCTACGTCAACCATATGGTGGGCGCATCGGCATTGTCGAAAGACTTCCATCATGTCATCACCACGCCCCTGAATAGATAGACGCCTCAACTGCAACGTGCACCAGGTCCTCGTGCACCTTGTATGCACGCAGAAGGAGTCACGTTGCGCCACTGAAATTGACCAATGGCTAGGCAAGGTAAGCGCTGGTTCGGGCTTTTCGGACTTCTCCCATCAATATTAAATAAATATCAAGGGACTACTTCAAACTTACTCGGCGGGTAATGTCTGGTTGTTTGAAAGTTCAGGCCTCAGGTTTCCTGTGCAGAAGGACACATTGAAAATGTTTGTTGACGCCATTCCATGCTCTAGATGCTGCACTGTACTCGGGATGACACCGCCTCAGCCGTAACATAACAAAGGCCCTGGCGACCTTTTTTGTACAACGGCCCGCTTCTCCTAAAACTCAATACCATCGTAGAATGAGGCCCACCGTCGATCCTCTGCACGCTCTTCCGCCAGCGATCCGAATCATATCCCTGAACCCAGAAACAGATATAGCCGTTCTCTTTCCGAACGCAGGTTACGAAGCCGTAGTACGGCATTCAGGGTTCGGGCCGCGCTCCAGGGACGTCGCAGCCTAGTGTACCATATAAGTAAGGAAGTGCGACGATCCCGTACCGTTGGCAAGTCCTAGTCAGTGATGGCGATGCCTGTGGCGGGCCACGAGCACACCCGGGTCAGTCGCGTGCAAAGATGCGGGCTAGGGTTTTTCGGCGCTCCGTGGATTTATGAGGTTCTGAAAGGATCTCGCAGCTGTGCCGGCGGATCTCATCCATCTGCATCAGAGCCTGAATACTATCTGAATGTGAGCCACTGAGGTTCTGCCGTATAAGCCGAGATAACCTTTGGCCATGGGGGGCGCAGCGTATCTTGGATCCACGGTTGGCATGCGCTTCCGCTGCCAGATCCTACGTTTGGGCTGCTACATATGTGTGTTCGATGTTAATATTAATGAGACGTGGGTTAACTACTGTATTTAAGGTTTGTATCTACGTAGATACGAGCTATGTGCTGCATGCGCACGAGTAGTTAAAATGTGGATTTTCACAGGCTTGAAATGGCTCTCGAGGTGCGGGTAGAATAGTCGCGCCTTGGATATGATGCTTAAAGACCCCACTGACGCCATATGTTGGAGAACATCATACGCCACAGAGATGAAATATAGAGCACGCAGTGAGCGGGTTTTCACAACAATTTCAAGCGCTCGTGGGGCAGTGACCGGTGGTTTTAGCCAATAAATGTTCTGGCGGAACCACCGACATGTGTGCGGTTCCACGGATGTGTCACCCTCGGGCCCAGGCATGTCATACCTGTGGCTTTGACGCGCTGTACAACGGGTGTTTAGTTTCCACGAACGGTCACCGGACGATGCCGTATGTTGTGGTGATAACAAATGGTACCGTGAAATTTGGCGATGGGGGCTTTTCACACTCCATATTTTCGAAGATGACACACAGAAAACATGGTGCGATGGCGCCTGCCGAAAGCTAGTCAGTTCAAAGTATCAATGTCACACGTTTTCACCGATGCGGGCCCGCTTCGGCCCAGAGTTTCTCCAGGCGAGGAAGAGTGCGCCCTGGTAGCAGCTAAGAGATGTTTTGGGGTGTGCGGCGTCGTACATAATCGATAATCCCGTAACGATCTGCGACATGAGTATAACCAGGAATATTGGAGAGAACGTTTTGAATTTCGGTCATACCGGGGGCGGGGACGTAGGCTGTGGCCATGGAAAGTTTGTACATCATTGGAAGAGTTCGCCGAGCTGTCATACATCAACCCATTAACAGACTCCAAAAGCCCTGGACAATTCAGACACGGGATGATTTATCTACATCAGCGCGGGTAGTAGGGAAGATCAGGAATGTATCAGCTCATGCGTGTGCGATAAACCCCAGACGTCGGGACCTACCCTGGAGACCAAGATGTACGGCGTTGGCTTGAGCGCGGGCGGGTGAAACTAGTCCATAGCGAAAGCAGCCCGAACCTTCCGCGCGAGATCGCGATGTCAACGCATGTTTCAACGCATGTCAGTGAGCGTGTTTTCCACGTAGATGGACAAAGCATCATGTTCACGAAACGACATCTGCGCCTGCGAGGTCTACGATCAAAAAATATTAGATCGAGACGGAATATTTCTCTACTCTTAAATCAGCGCTGCAGCTGTGATTCTATTCGTGAACGAAGCCCGAGCTTGTGCAATGAGCATCATGAAGTCATATTCGCTTCTCGGGGCGCTGCCTGCAAGAGCTCAAGCACACGATCAGCATACATCGGCAAATAAACAGACAGAGAACGAATTAGAACCCCCGACGGTTCTTTTTCCACGACGAAGCCAGCGAGAGAGAAAGCGGCGTTTCCGACGGAGACTCCCAAGTGGAGCGGAACTGGGGTAAGAACAAAGGCCGGTACCTTAGCGTACGCCATACGGGCTGACAAGCCTAATAACAGATACACACAGAAGCTTAGGGCAACGGTGATAAAACTCGCATCCTCTCACGAAGATGATCAGCGCAAGCACCTACAGTACTGGTAACGTCTTCGATCTTTCATCTAGGAAGCTAAGATACGATCGCACTCCATGATTTCACCACTTAGCCGAGCCAAGCTGCCGGAAAAGCGCTGTCGGTCCTCCGAGTTCTGTTTCGGGTTAAATGAAGGGTCACCGGTCGAGTATGTAGCTGGTTGGCAGTCGTCTGCGGTCGTGCGGGCTAGCGAAGCTGAAGGGACAAAGAAATCAAATGACGCTGCGCGCTGAGATCTGTGAACGCGGAACACGCACCAAATTCAGGCTACCGTCGCTTGCCAATACAACGACGGAGGTGAGGGGTCAATGGAATGCTCGATCCGGGCCGCCCGGTGTGTCGCTCGTGGTTCTTTCTGAGTGGTTCTTAGCTGTCTTAGCTGTCTTGAAGGTTCCGCTCAACTCAATTCGGGGGGTTGGGGCTGGTATCTTTGTGTGAGATGAAGAGCTACAGTAAATGGTCCGACTTCGGGTGAGAGTGAGGTGCGGACGAGGTGCGCGAGCTGTATGAATCGACCCTCGCAGCGGTCTCGGCCTCTCGCGTAGGTCAGAGGGACCGGCTGTGTTATCCGCACCCTTGTTCGTGTCAGTGGCACAACAAACCATATGTTGTGGTGCTGTTCGTAGGAGTGTCTGCGTCAACCTGCGTCGACTGGCAGCCAATCCGAGTCATCGGTGACGTGAATTCCGGGAGCAAAGTTACCTGAAACGGGCCGGAGACACGTTGCCGTGGCAGTGATTTGGGCGCTTCTTTGGCGGATCTGTTCGCGACGAATTCCATATATGGTAAACAGGACGCTCACGACACCTTGACGCGTACACTCATTGGCTCTGCTTTCTGAGTTCTCTCCATTGTATACCTCGTCGGCCATGCCGTCAGCGCGAAATAGGGCACTGAAGCTGGAAAGAAGACGTCAATTCGGTCAGGAACTTCCAGAACCGTACCAGCTCTTGGGTGAATGACTAGAAAATGGGTTTGAATTGTGCAGTAAAATGGATAGGTGCGTGACAATGGACATTGTTTTTGTAGTTCTCTGCTAATGAATAGATGGTACAGGGGGGTCTTTGAGCATTTAGAGTGTCCAGGTGATCCTCGGGGTGGGGATTGTTAGTGTTCACGGCCAACCCAGATCTGACATCTGAGGCCCGCCTGCCATCCTGGTGGCCCTGGGTCTTGCTGAAGCTGAAAGTTAATATCTGATGGTCGAATGCACGGATCGTCTTCCTGCAACGTTTATATACCTCGCCCTAGCCCACCCGGACTCTTCCACCCCAACCCGCGTCCTCAGACATATAAGACTACCTCTGCTCGGACGCGCCAACACCTCACACCCTCCCCTGACTTCTTTCACTACCCCGTGTCGCGTCTTCGTCCTCGCTTATCCGCGCATACACGTCCTCTCTCGAATTGGCATCTCAATTTCCGCTTACACCGCCCCCTCAAGGCCTCACTTCCCACCTCCGCATCTAACGCCCCATGATGTCGATGGATCAGTGCACCTCTATCCTTACAGAGCGTCGTCCTCATCCCGCTGAGCGTCCTTCATACTTCTCCCACAGCCTTGATCTTCCTCCTTCCTCCACCACCTCCTGGTCTAATCCTCAAAGATCCTCGTTCGATTCGGCAGGAGACAGCTATGTACAAAACAGTAGCGCATGGTCCTCCAACGTTTACCAGGACCCGTCCCCTCTTGTTCCCACCCCTCTCTACCCTCAGTATTTCCATCGCTCCCCTTCCACGGATTACTGCGATCAAATTCCCGTTGTTGCAGCTTCCAGAGCCCAGACACACTCTACTTCGCCGCGCTCGTCCATGTCCCCGCCTTCGTCTCTCACCCGTTCTTCATATCGGCACGTGTCCGGTGGTGCTGGTCCCAAATATAACGGCGCCGCGCAGCTGGGGCCAGATCTTTACGCTATGAACAGCTCCGGCATGCTGGCTCCCAACCTTCTCTCGAGTACCAGCAGCACGAGCACTGACTCTACTTCGTCCTCCCACCTTGCGTCCTCTGGCTCGCCTCCCGTTAAGGTCGAGCCCGAGGATTTGGCGGGCACTGATTGCTTCGTGATGGAATTCTCCGGCTCATCCGCCGCCTCACAGCGGGCGATGTCGAGTGCAGGGCCGGCCGTTGTCCCTCTCCGCGCGACGCAGGCGAGCAAGCCTATGCGCAAGATGATGGGTGTGTTTCGTCTAAACCCTTTTACTATCCACGAGAGCGCACCAGGCAACATGACCTGGACAGGCGAGGAGGCCGGTCCGCTCGAGGAAGAGCCCAGGTTGATCGAGTTCCAGCTCGATTGGGGCGAGCGGGAGAGCGTCTCACCCGAGCCTGAAAACAACGCCATTCAGCTGCCTCAGCCTCATTCCCACTCGCACTCATCGTTCACCACTCGCAACGTGCATAACGAGGGACGATACGCTGGGAGCGGGCGCTCCGAAGACCCCGTGGTAGCGAGCCCGGCGCAGTTACATTATCCACTGGCCTTGAGCCCGGCAAGTTGGGAAGAACCACACTATGCCGCCGCATCGTCACATCGCGCATACAACCGCTCGCCTCGTTCGGAGAGCTCGTCGTCATCGTCACGTCACGCATCGTTTGATGCTTCCTTCCCGGAGGTAGGTAGTGCCCTTGTTCCATTCCCGATTCGTCCCCCGTGCCTGCAATTCAAAGATGCAACATCATTATGCTGACGCTGAATTCTTTGTTCGTTGCAATTTTAGTATCATTCCGGCGGTGATTACCACCACGAGTCTCACTCGTCGAACAGCTGCGGCGCTGCCGCCGCCGGTGCACCCTACAGCCTCACGTCCATGTCGCGCCGCTGGCCTGCGCCCGCTACGCTGACCACACCATACATCATGTAGCGGCTACGAAGAGCCGAACGCTCCACGGTCAAATCGCCGTTCTTCCAGTTCATTCTCCAACGCTAAGCGCGTCTATTCCCATTTCTATGCATTCATCGACATCCATCGCACGCCTTGTATCAATATCCGCTGTTGCCGCTTGATCTTGCTTCTTCGAACAATCCTACCCCGTCGCAACGACCTATACGTTCCACAACCACAACCATCGTCATTATCACCGCTGCTCTGCATAGTATTTTCTGTCTTCATTCCGTCTCTGTTTTATGTTGTTTGTCCACGGGTATTGGCTGGACACCATCCATTCTCGTTTTGGGACAGTGGGGTCTTGATCATGATACCATGATGCTTTCCGTCTATGATGTTTTGTCGTTGCTCTATTTCTTGCTTGCACCACATGGGTTCCGTCACGATGTTTCTCAACCATTCGGCTTTCTTGCTATAATTGGATGACTAGAAATTTGTATCTTGTGCTCCATCCACTACAAAGCCCATAAACATGTATTGTCTACAGTAGATTCCTCTATCCGCAGGATTCTTGATCCCCATCCGATCCGTAACTTTTGTGTTGTCATGCCGCATCACCACCGCTGTATGCAAATGAAAGTTCATGCCCGCGCCCTGCGGACTATCATAGGGCGTCAAGACGAGGGCTATCATTCCGACTCTGTGCAAAGTCACCACCTAATTGGCCATTTGGCCACGATAGTCGCTCACGAATGCTCCAAGAGGAAGCTCTGGGGCTCATATATTTCCCATGATTGGCCGACAGCAAAGGGATTGATACGGACAATGATTGGGGCGGCGGCAGAATATGTATTGACTCGGGATCCGAGGCTATTGTGAACGCATATAATCGTCACGTTTTCCATGCATCCGGACACGCGGGTTGACGGAAAATTGCCGAGTAACGTTTGACTTTGTTCCGGATAAGACAACACGGCCCTATGACCTGGCTGGATATCCTCGACACACGCGAGAGGCCTGTATAGATACTATAATGACCGTCCATTATGCATTAATGGTTGGCGGAGTAGTGCACCCCAAAGTGGTGGCTGCGCAACCAAATAACCACAGCCAACCGCAACGCCTCTTGGCAGCGCGCTATCAAAGTTGGTGTTCGTGAGATGCTTCTTGAATCTCAGCTCATTTAATTGTGAGATGAAGATAAGCTCGGCAGATGAACGTGAACAGTGAATCTTACTTCATAAATGACGCCAGGGGACGAAAGGGAGGCTGAAGCTGTGAAAGGCGGCTCCCTCGGGGCCACTTGGATAGCACGGGTAATATCACTTGACGACAATACAACAGCAGAAGCAGCCGCTGCAGATCTACTCGTGCGAGGCGATAGACTCCGCCAGGGGGTCGTCAGATTCGAGTTCAACTTCATAACACGTGTGGATAAGCGGAGTGTGGTACAGTATTGCAGAGTGTCGTTGGAAGCTGCGATCGCAGATATACTCGGGAGATTGAGCCGGTGGGCTATGGGATCCAGAGGAGAACGGAAACGTTGAGAACGAGAACGAGAACGAGAACGAGATACAGTAGCTAGGAACGAGGCGCCGGGAGATTCGACATCGCGCTTCCCAATGCGGTATGCTTCTCCGTGCGCTCCGCCAGGGGACAGAATCACTCGGCGCGGCTGGAGTCCGACGTCCAATGGCTGACGCGGACGGGCCCACGCCCTCGGCGTCTATTCTTCGTCCGTGTCGATGACGCTACATGCGCCGCATCGGGATTGGCTGGCGGCGACTTTTGGCAGCGCGACAGGGCGTGCGCTTTTACGTGTAAGGTCGATTGAGTATTAGGGGGGCGCTTGAATATTTGAGTATCTAGATATCTATCCCTCGGGAGGCGCGGGTTTGATCCAGCTAGCAGTGATTGTGTTTGACGGGCGGACAAGTGCCACATTACTACTTACCGTATGCGTGTTCAACGTTCAAGTAGTGGAGTGCCACCTTGCAGTGGACTTTGAAATTTGAACGTTTGATGTTTCTGTGTGAGCAGCAGTGACCTTGGCCCTTCAAGGGGTCCTCGGTCCGATCTTTTACATCGCAGATTGGCCGGTGCGGAAGGATTCGCTGGGTTGGCATAAGGAGCAATGATGCGACGGGTGTATACTTTGAGTAGAAGATTTGAACAATTGAAAATCGAGGGTGAAAGTTTGAATGATGGACAACAAGTCGCCGGCCACCTTTCGCTCGCACGACTTGAAGTCGGTTTACCTGGCACGCACCCTCGACCAGGCTGTTCTCCGCCGTCGTACTAATCCACACAACGCGCATCGCGGGTTCCTACGGGACAATGACAGCTAGCCTTGTCCGAAAACGCCTCTGACTGCGCGCGGATGCTGCATTTAGCTAGCGTCAGTTGTCTGACCGGCGGATTGCCTTCGGTTGATCGTGCCGACATTCATTCATTCCCTTTTAAAACATTGCTGCTGCGACCTCGTATTCATACCTTCGATGACCTCAAGGTCACCTATGGGTAGAGAAGATCCTCCGAGGTCTGTGATTTGAACACCGTCGCTGAAGGGTGGCAGCAGCGGGCCCAGGACAGCATTAATGAATGCAAGAGAAACCGTTGATCCAGCGGTAATAACGTGCAGCTCTTGAGGGCAGCTATGTACAAGTCTATCCGGAACTGTGTCCAGAAGTCATCGGCCCAAGATATCGCGTGCGTCTCGCCTCTCTTGGTCCTCAATGAGATTGAGCCACTGGGAGTTTTCATGGACCGAGAGATGAGATGAAAGAGACGGCCTCGGAGTCCCAAGCTAGCTCAAGGAGCAGAACATTTGCGTCCCCGGTGGCTTGGCGAAGTGAAGAGGGAGTTAAAGGCGATCGGACAACTGTGATCGCGTCCGACCGGGGTGCTTTTGGGGTGTATTAGTACATAGATCTGACCTACTCATGGGTAGTCAACGAAGGTCATTACTGAGCTATAAAATGACGTCAAAGTACTGGGAGCTGAGATGAGTTGAAAGTGGATTAGATTATAGAAGTCAGGTGAGTAGCTTCGATATTGAGATAAGCAAAACTCACTTGATCTTCTTCAACCCCGTGAGGAAGTCCGGTGCATAAGAAGGCAGAGCCAGTATGACCAGGGTAGTCGCAGCACTACTATCCAGATGTCTTACTTTGATGAAAGTCGCAAGGAACTAAGTTGGCTTTGCATAGAAATTGATGTGCGTTCATTTGGCAGGCAACTACTGTCAGGCTTCAAAAAGCAACGATAAGCATACCATGAAAAGAGCCCGCGTCACCGAGAACCAGAACAGCCAGCCTCTGTACACACTTCTACCACTGGAACGGAAGGCAAACAAGAGTTCTCGACTTCCTTGACCGCGAGCAATAGTGCCGAGCCTTGGCATAGCTGCTAAATAGGCAATTACGCTGAACATAGGAGGTAGTTATCAGTTACCGAACGCATATGGTAGCATCGCGTGAGTTGCTCGTGGAGTCTGGTCACCGTTTAGGCCACCTCACGCATGGCTGGTCGAAGAGGACGGCACGCGCAACACCGTGGGCGGTTTTCGACAAATAGAGCGATTTGCGTATGCTTCTCCAGAAGGATAAGTTCACTGACCACCAGATGGAGGATCGAAGAGTGCCTCGCCCACCTGCGACGGCATGCATATTTACATACAAGCATGATAGTCCGTGCAAGCCACATTTTGGGGGCACAAGTGGATTTAATTCAGCTTCTCCGATGAATGGTAGGCGGACAAACATTCACCTCGTGATGCATATATTTAATAGCTTCAGATTATTATACCCACTGAGATGGCCCTCGGCGCAAACTGAAAATTAACAGAGCTGATCATTGAGTATCGCGAAGACGTCGTGGTAGATGTGCGCAGGAAGACCCTTCAGGAAGGTGTCGTTAGTTTCAGCTCCTAGCAGGTAGCAATGAGAGTGCCCGGTACCATTCAGCTGAGAAGCATGCTATCCACGAATAGTGTGAAGAGATAGAGCAGTGTTTTCAACTTTTTTTCCCGCTCTGGTATCGACGGCTTATCCCGGTCGGAGATACAAGTGTCGATGACTGCCAGTGCTATACAGCAAACTGTCATCATAACATGCGAACACTCTAGGGCCGACTCGTCCACCAATTCGCAACTGAATGTGGCCAAACGCAGTCGAGAATACGCCAAGAATGCGCTCTGCTCATGCTGGATTCTGAAGTGCTAAACTCAGCCAATCGAGAAGTCGTTCAGGCGGACCCGGTTAAGTGCCTGTCGCTTGAAGTAGTGTCCTGAGTAAGTAGATATGCGTTGGGAGAATGTACAACACGTTGAAACGAGACCAACAGGCTATCAAGAGATATAATCAGTCAATACGCCGCACGCGAAGAGGCACGTCCAGCCCCTCTTCGCCAGATACCTTTGCTCGCGGAAGCAAGCCTCTCGTGAGCTCCACCTTCGTGCTCGGCCCATCTCGGAGCTCGAACGCAAAGGCGCGCACTAGCACTGCGAGGACGGCCTGGGGAGCAAAACAGAGTCAGTACGACATGGTGTCGTCACAAGGCGAGCCGCACCTTGAACTCGGTCAAGGCAAACTGCCTGCCGAGACACGTCCGTGGGCCGTCGCTGAATGTTTGTAAGTGCCTATGGCCCTGAAGTTCCTTTGCGCGAACGGCGTTGACGCCTTCTTCTCCCAGCCAGCGCTCGGGACGGAACTGCTTGGCATCGGCACCCCAGTACTTTTCGCTCTGGTTGAAGTAGTTGATGGATACGGTGAGTAGGGTGCCCTTCGCGATGGTGAGGCTGTTGACCATGTTGCCGGTGGCATCCTCGATGGGTTCGGTGAGCGGGATGACGTCGTCTTCGAGAGCCTGGGAGGCAATAGAATATTAGCCGCAGCTGCAAGTAACTCAGGTGTTGTCGTCACCTGACGCGTGAGTCCGGGTACACTAGGGTGCAGCCTGAGGATCTCGTGAACGACGGCATCGAGGTACGGAAGCGAATTGTGCAGCTGGTCGTATGTCGGGTCCCCATTGATCTGAGTAACTTCGTCACGGAGTTTAGCTTGAGTATCCGGATGCTTCGCTAGCTCTACCAGTGCCCACTTTTGATGCCATCAGAATGAGCCACGAAGGTTATAACATGACGAAAAAGCCAGGTCTCACCGTCATACTCGCTGCGGTGGTCTCATATCCCGCAATCATCAGGACTTTCATCTACGATACGTTGCGTTAAATGTGCGATGAACTATGGTTAACCAATGAAACTTCTTACTTCCGCCAAAATCTCGGCGGGCGATAAGTGAAGCTCAGCATCGATATTCTCGGCCTTGACTATGAGGATAGAATGAGTACTCAAGAATCTCCAAAATGCGCATCAGCGTCACTTACGCAGCAATCCTAACACGGATCTCGTCTCCACCCCGATGTGCTCCTTTTCTCTACGTGTCTGGTCCAGCAGTTCAAGCGAAATCTTTTCCATAGACTCGTTGAGACGAGCAAGCATACGATTCCGCTCGACGGGCAAATTGATGAGCCACGGGAAGATGAACCCGAGCATGAAGAGAAGCATGATGGTCTTGGATGGCTTTGAGTCCAGCATGTCGAGTATATCGCCGATGGTCGACTTCTTGCCGTCGAGAGCCTCGAAGTCGTGCGAGAAGCCGGCGAGGCCAATCGAGTCCAGACTGAACAAAGTAACAGGGGCATGAGATAGAGGGCAGATGGGCCAAAGCAAGTTCGTACGAGATGTGATTCATCCTAGGAACAAGTTGATTATGATTCAGAATGAAGTTGAGATCCGGAAGGATCACGTACCATCCCTGAACCTCGATCATTGCACCATTATCTGCTGTTTCTATCTGAGACGTCCATGCATCGACGACCTGGTTGGTGTTAGATAGTGTCCCTGGGCATGCTCGACTGACGTACCTTGTATGCCGCTTGAACGAAAACTGGGGTAACCTTCCGCAAAGCGGAGTGACTGAAAGCAGGGCTGAGAGCCTTTCGCTGCCTGTAAGAGCGACGGAACTCAGCAACAAATACGGGAGAATAAGAGCGAGCGTACCTCTTATGGCTCTCTCCCGCTGCTGACAGGACACCCTCTCCAATCTTCGCATAAGTTGAATCACCATACTGGCCCCTGAGACAGAGACGGGTCGACGTACCGCATTCTTCAGCGCAATCTTGGTGACAGGGGGGTGATCGTAAATCATCGTGTCCCTCGCCCACATATGCGTAGCCGCCTTTGGATCGCATAGAATCACATGCGAGCTGCCCAGAGCGTGGGGGATGGTGTACACGTGTCCATACTCCTTCTCCCATTGCTCAAACAGCGAGCCAGAGTCCTGAGACTCTTCAATGACGCGCCCGACGCCATACATCCAACTCTTTCCTGCGGGACCCCTAAGTTTGGTAGTGGTGATATGCCGACGAGCGCTCGTGACGGTCTTGAGAAGCAGCCATACAGCAAGAGAAGCGAAGGCGACGTCGATAGGCCCCGCGCTGGCCAGTCTGTTCGAAATAAGGGCTAGGATGGTCATCGTCGGCTGCCAATGCGGGTCTAGGGCACCTTATAATCGCCCCTCAGCCTTATAACCGCCATTAAAACTCCACGGAAGCAAAGTCTAGGGGTTTTGTCGCCGCCGCACAGCAGCTTCCTCGGATAGCGGGACCCGTCGGCGTAATGTGGGTTACGAGAAAAGAATATGTTTTTGGGAAGTAATGTCGGAAGCTTACATCCACATTGCCTAGGGCGCAACGCAGCCTGCGGCAGGCAGACCTGGCGTTCCCATGCTGGCGCCGAGTGGGAACTTCTTCATCGCCCGCGCATTAAAATAAGAAAATCACAGGGATCTCTACGAGAATAGTCCAAGGGCGACTCGTCACCTGTTGACGTGAACCATAAGGCACCCACATCGTAACGATAAGCCAGTGGATGTGGAATAGAAAAAGACAACCGATCAGAACATCTGACCTGCTCATCGTCGAAACCAAAGGACAAAAGACGGACAAAAGTCAGATCGGCCAAGCACCGGCACTTTCGGACTCAATTAGGCCAAGTTCCGATACAATTCCCACAGCCTTTACTTCAAGCCCCTGAGTCCAGACCGCTGCCATCTTGAACTTAGTATCGTGCTGTAGTCTCGAACCAGATGCTATGTCCTTTCAGGTAAACCAATGTGATCTCGGTTGACAAGATTTCCGCCTTCCAGAAAACCCACTTAATCATCTAATGGACCGCCTTGAGCTGTATAAGTCCTTTGAAGTGATTAGAGTCTAGACGCCTTCAATTCGAAGAACATTTTGGGAACATTCTTACGTGTCTTTATGTTCAGAGATCAACATTCATCCAAGTTAGTTTGTGAGGAGAGAGCTCGGCTTCTCATTTGCGAACATGACAGCTCCTGTGACCTCGACCTTCGTTCCAGGCCTGTATCGATGTTCACGTTCAAACGTAAAGCATTGCCCTGAACACCAAGCACATCCAGGACGCCATAATAAGACCAGGAACAAGGGATTGAACCTTGGATTCGGTTAGCGCAACACCCCTCCCAGACAAAATGATGATGAGGTGCTCGAAGGCGCTCGACAACACTTCGACAATGGGACCGCGCTGGTGGCGCCTAGTGGCGCCCTCAGGTACTTCCGAGACGGCCCCAGACATGAGCCGGAAGCTTTATGGCCCCGCGTGCGGTTGGCGTTGGTTGGCGCTTATTACCCCACACTGGCTCCGTTCCTTGTCGGGCTGCCTCGCTTTCCTAGGAACGAGAGCGGGACTTACGACGTCATCCCCACACCGCGTCATGTCGACGTCAATGTCTGTGGCTCATTCCCGTATCTCGACGCTTTGGCAGGTATATAACATGGAGGCCCTACAAGGCCTACAGCACCAAAGGTCGCAATTCATTAACATTTCGGACACCATCGTATATCCCAACTTGTCAGCTATACCATCAACCACTAAATACCCTACATCATGCCGTTGTTGTCCCGAAAGGTGAGCGCCTCGTTCTGGCTCGAAAGACGACATGTTGCTGACTTCATTGATGAAGAACAAGCACTCCAATGAGGGCATGAACGATACAGAGCGCATGGCCGAGCAAGGACGTCGTGCGGCCGAGAACCATATGGATCGCAATGCTGGCAATAACGACTCGACCATGAACAATCCTTTGCCTGGCCAAGGACAACAAGACCCACGGTTTGCTCAGCAGAACATGGGTCAGCAGGGCGTAAGTTGCACCCTTCACGTCTAATATATCTCCAAGCTAAAGAAGGCATGTGTTGTGTTTAGCCCCAGGGCCAAGACCCTTCCAACCACAATAACTCTTCCACCGGGGCCTCTGCAGGCGCCGGTGGGGCCATTCCACCTGCCTCCTCCGTGAACCGCAACCAAGGCCATGGTGGTGGACACTCGACGATGGGTAAGGTCGAGAGCGCCATCGGCTCCATGGTCGGCTCCAACGCTCTCAAGGCCAAGGGCATGCAGAAGCAACAGTGCGTCACAATCATATATATATTGTACCACTCCCTTTGACGCGTGTATACAGGGAAGCAAACTCTATTCAGCTACAGAGCCAAGAGCTCGCCGAAGCGGAGCGTCTCGAACGCGAAGCGCTCATGCGACGCGAGCGTGCGGTTGCCCATGGCGCACACCCGCAGAATAAGCACCTCGGTGGCGACGCGAATGCTGCCGTTCTTCAACCAGGAACTGGAGGTGACATGAGTGGCGCAGGAACGCGCGGTTTCGATCAGCAGGGTGGCGTCACTGGTGCTGGGTACGGTGCTCAGGCAGGCAATACGGGGTACGGCGCCCCTGGAGGTGCTCCAGGTGCCGGCGGTATGGGCCCTCGAGTGTAGAGAAGGGGTTAAAGAACTTGAAGGACTTGATTATGCCTTTTATTTTACTGATGTAGCCTTATTATCGAATATTTCACTCCATTTACAAGGAAGTAATTTCTTCAGCAGTTACAGCTCACCACTATACCTTCCCTGAATCTACTCGTCATATGCCGTTTCCCTGATCCAGTTTACATCTTAAAGCTAAAACCATCATCGACATCGACTGCTTCTTACTCACGCTCATGTTCTTGACAGGATGTCTCTTACCGAATTACTTCATCAACTGAGTCGCCTTGAAATATCTTTCTGGCATACAGGCTGACGTGCCAGCTGGAAGCGTTGTCATGGTCGATATCTGGGCTCTACCCCACAATCGTAAGTCACACTCTACGGTCGTGTTCAAAGGCATGCGCAATAACGGTGAATAGCGCTGCACTGGTGAGAGGACGTACACGAGTTCCAAAGCGCTTCCTCGATACCGATACCTACCGATGGCCACGACACGCATGTGAGCTCTCTGTCACCCATCTATGAGGTGCTTACTCATATCTGAAACTTGCAGATATGCCATTCTTGACTGGTGCACGCGGACGTATCGGGATGCGTTTTGCCCTCGCTGAGAGTATCTGCATGCTCGCATGTGTCGTGCGCCAGTATGAGGTTCTCGTTCCTGCCGATCTCGCCGGCAAGTTATGGTCTGAACAAAAGGAGGCGCTGTTGCAGTGGGCAACCGGTGTCACACTTACGCCGAATAACGCTAGGGTAATATTAATGCGCGCGTTTAAAGGCGAGCGCCTACGGGGTAATTGTGCAATATGCTTATACCATTCTCATTTGAGATATATACACTAATACACGTTCTTTTACCTTACCAAATTGTCGGAAATTCTTTTTTGGCATTGTGATCCATTGCAACGGATCACGATGCCAAAATGAATCTGGCCGTTACAGTGACAAAGTCGTCGTCAAACTGCCCATCACAGCGACCATTTTAATGCATTGCAATGGAATTGCGACAGGAATTTGATGAAATTTGCTGAGCGCCAACGGCATCGCAACGGAAAAAAACGTGTTATAATAGATCACAATGCCCCAATGGCAAAATTCCGTTGCGATGCAAAAAGTAAAATTTCGACATAAGCTCTCTAAGTAACGGATGTTACCGCCAAATCATGTCTCAAACCATACCATCTCTCCTTTGCCTCTCGATACAACCGACTCTCCCATAGACTGCAGCTAAACTCCACAGACGGAATGGCAAATTCCTCTCTTATTCTACCACCGACTTGGTGAATGAGGCTATCCTCGGCGTCCTCGAACACTTTTCTTTCTTTAAAGATATTTACGAAGGTGAGGCTGGACAAGGAACAGCCCGAACGTGTGAGAAAGCGATAGAAAACCAATGTCCCCGGACGGCGGTGCAGTAAGGGCGAGGGTGGAAAGAGCTGGAAGGATGAGGAGATTGAGGAGTTTGACGGGTCCTTCTAGGTAAAGCTCGTTGTGTGGAGGATCGCGGCTGCAATGTGAAGGTCAATGATCGCCTGCTCAGGAATGGAGAGGCGTTGAAAGATCAGAAGGGGATCAACGCCTTCCCCGGAAAATGACACTCTGGATAAGCAGGGGAGTAACACGACAGAACAGGCAGAATTGAACAGGACGCTTCCCGGCGGATCCTGTCCAACAGGATCAAAGAGAAGCATATGCATCTGCAGGCGAGGAGTTTGCCGTAGGAGGGCAATGGCTTTGGAGAAAGTGGGGCGATGAGCTACATCAGAAGTGTCGCAGATAATGAGAGCAGTGAGATTGTGTAGGGGAAAGGAGGCCCAGGTATCCAGACCGCAGCGTGCGAGGGCCAACGTTCGTAGGTTGGGTAAGCCCCGTAGAAATTTCTCGGATAAACAGATAGCACCATCAACGTTAAGCGCGAGCACTTCAAGGAGGGGTGCTGGGCAAGGCATGTGTTGAAAGAGGTCTCGAACCTCGGTCGCTTCGTAGAAGTGGCTGCAACTGATAACAATCTCGCAGCAGCGAGACAGACCCTGTTGGCGCCCTAAAAACTCAATAGGCCAGTCGTCTTGCGGGGAAAGAGTACACCGGACAAACAGCGGGCGCGGGCCCGAGCGCGAGAGAACCCTTTGAGCGAGTTCTTTTTGGTTCAGCGGAGGACAACCCCAAAGAGCACTCAGCTCGATCATGACTAGATACCAGCGTCGACACACTAGCATCATCTGTGTCCAGTCCCAGCACCGACGACCGCAGTGAAAGGCCATATGTCTGGGCCTGTATGTGGCTGAATACATCGCCCGGCTCTCAGTATGAAGATTTCGGCGAGAATCTCGTTGGGCAGGTGAGAAATGAGCGAAGCTTTGGAGTCATCTTGTTGACGTACAATTGTGACGAAATACATGGCGCTAAGACTGCGGCGGCCTGGTGATTGACAACGTCCGTTAGTTGTTCAAAGAAATGTGGGGAGTTGCAGTCAATGGCTTACGATATAATCGAGGCAGAATGAAGTCCTGGAGAGACGCATAAAGAAAGATAGCGCGTCTGCATATCGCTCAGAAGAAACCTGCCCTAACGACAACAATTCACATAAAAGAAATTCCAGTACACGTGTTGGCGGCGTTTATTACTAAAGGCACATGCACACTCGGCTTGATGGTTTGCGCTTGGAAGTTGGATTTGAGTCTTGATCGTACTACGAGACCATGACGGGGCTAGGTGGTTTTTGTGATTTGTTATTTGTCACATTCTGAAAGTTTTCTGCTGCCCTTAGACTTACTCAGAAATTAATAGCTGCCACCGCCTGACTCGAAAAACGGATAATATTCCTTGTCGTACTAGCCAACGGCAGGAAGGAGATGCCCGCCAAACATGCTATACCTTTGTTGAGCCGATTTAGGGTGATTTGTTGCCCTAGGTTAGCGTGGGTCAATGCTAGCTAAGCACGTTGGAAAGCTTGTTGGCAAATGGCAACCTTCGAACGATGCAGACGAGCGCCAAGGGTTACAGTAGTGGTATGAGAAAAGAGTTGCTCACAGCCCAGCCATCCTCCTGAGGATAGCAAACTCGGATGCACCAGTAGCCTTACACAAGCTATAAAACTGGCTATCAGGTTTTGAAAGGAGAGCGGCTGGTCTATGGACAAAATGTGAACAGCCGTCCGTGAAGTCATGACATCGCATGCATACCTGTTAAATTCGACGATCCGTCCTTGGTCGAGAAGTATGACCTGTTGAAGGTGGCAATCACTATAGCGATCAAACGAGACATGCTGTACATATGTGGCTTACTCAATCGTAGTCAATCACTGTCCTCAAACAGTGGGCGACGGTAAGAACAGGGCTTTTTGCAAATTCTCTGAATCGGTCGAGTGAATGATAAGAACAGAAGGAAGAAGGAAGAGTGACGCACTGTCTGATGATCTTGCCTATCAGTTCGTTTGTCCCGTAATCGACGCTTGCCGTCGCCTCATCCATCACGAGCACCTTTGACCGCTCCAATATTGCGCATGCCATGCAAAGCAGCTGCTTTTCGCTACTTAAACTTCAATGAAAATGTACTAGAAATGTCATGGATTAAACTAACCCAGTTAAAAAGTTCTCTCCACCTTCCGAAACCGGAGATTCGAGGCTTTGGAATGCGCTCGCGTTGATGGATTTGGCCGCATCAGTAATGGGGTCCGCCAGAGAGATCTCGCTCGAGGATGATGGTATGAGGTGTACACAACGGAGAGCCTCAAACTACATCGCGAAAGTGAGCGGTAGACTGGAGGATATAAACACGACTTACGATCTCCGCGTCTTCGTATTCATTAAATACGTCCAAAGCCGAACGAATCGTTCCACTCAAGATCGTAGGGTCCTCTGTGATTGGTTCAATGAGGCACAAGCCTTCAAACAATGATGTCAATACTCACGAGGAATAATTGTTAGGTTACTGCGCAGATCTGTGAGACTAATTTTGCTAATGTCGACTTCGTCGATCAGAATACGCCCCTCAGTCGCCTCGACGGAGCGGAAGAACGATAACGCGAGCGTGCTCTTTCCCGATACTGTTCTTCCAAGAATACCGACCTTCTCGCCGGGATGAATCTCAAAGCTGATGCTGTGTAGCGCGTTCGGCACGTCGGGCTAGTTAAACAGTCGAACTCGATGAGCAAGCTTCATTTTAGGCCAAGAGGAAGGACACGCACCGCATAGCGAATAACAAGATTCTCACACTTAACCGCACCCCTGTCAGGCCAAGTCAGCGCCGGAGATGGCTCCACAAACTCAGGGAGTTCTCGGTCAAGTTCTATGTATTCCTTGATCCGCTCAAGCGCAACCATGCTCTGCTCAAGGCTGACATATCGCCTAACAAGGAAGACCAGCGCGATGTTCATCTGCACTGCGAAGGAGAGAATAAAGCCCGCAAGAGAGGCGGAAATACCCAGTGTCATGACCACAATGTCACCCATAAGCCCCACAGTCGCCGTCGCCAGAACGTCGTACCGTGCCGAGAGCCAGAGATTAACCGCCATCTGCCAGTAGGTAGGGCTGATTTGCTGTCAGAGGCCACTTAGCTTATGTGTAATACGTGGATACGAAACCGGGTTTACTCACTGTGTCGACACGCCTTAACATATCTCGCATGAACTTGGACGAGGCGCCAAATGCACGAAGAACCGTTGCTCCAGATATGTTCGCGCCATACAGCGAGTACAGCGGGGAGCGGCCGACGGAGTCAAGACGGCGCATATCGCGAGAGGCCGCGCTGTATGGCGATCTGGTAGTACATGTACCCAAGCACGAGCGCTGCGAGGAAGAATGGTAAGCCGCCAGCAGCGGTGACGGATATGACCATGGCAGCGAGCGAAAGCGCATATATTAGGGTATGGCCGAAATTGCCAGCAAGCCGGCTGTCGACGGCCTCGAAGTCTTTGCCGAACCGATTGAGCAGCCGTCCACGCGAGATGGTGTTGTGAAATCGAATGGGAGCGAATAGGACTGAGTCGAGGAGGCGCTTGTACAAAACGTCAGAAGCTTCGATGGAACCTGCGTAAAGCACAACATAGCGAAACATTGAGGCGGCTACACCCGCTAGCGTCAACTTCAAAGATAGAGTCAATACACGTTAGGAGAAAAGAGAAAGAAGCAAACTCACAGCAGCGTAGATCCCGATGTAGTACATTGGTCCATTCCGATCAGTTTTGTCGGGGCTTGTCCCGGACCAGATCTTGAGCCAGTAGCTCTCCGCAACTGGTGCAAGAGCAGCTAGTACAAAAACGACGACAAACAAAGACCAGTACCAGTATTTGCCGCAAGCATCAAAATACGTCGCCCAAACATCGTTGCTGACAGCCCCAACGGCACGCTTTTCCTCACCGACGAGCTTGCGAGGACCTTTCTTCGCGACGTCGGCTTTTGCTTCTGGAACGTCCGTGGCAGATGAGTCCATTTTGTCTATGTTGTCAATTATCTTGGATGAATCCAGAACCGTCAACGAGGGCGTATTCACATTAGCGTCTTCTGTGTCAAATTTGGCAGGTACGATGTTATCCACAAGGCCCGTAGCGAGAAACTCCAAGCGATCGCCAGCGAATGCAACATGACCACCCTCAAGAGCGACAATATAATTAGCCCCCGACGCACAGAGCTGGACGTGGTGCGAGATGAGGATGACTGTGCGACCTTTCGCAAGGTCGCCTTTGATGCATTTGTAGTAGAGGTGATGTGCTGTATGAGCGTCGACGGCGGAGAGCACATCATCTAGCAGCAAAAGCGATACGCGTGAATAGACTGCGCGGGCGAGCGACACTCGTGCCTTCTGACCACCAGACAAATTAACACCCTGATCGCCTATTTCGGATTCATCCCCGTCCTCGAGAACTTTGAGGTCCGTCACGAGCTCACATACCTCGAGGACACGTTGATACCGGGTTTCGTTGTACGGTAGGCCGAAGAGAATGTTTTCTGTGGAGTGAAACATATTGTACCAGTCAGCTATTCTATAAAGTTGGTTATAAGTATAGCGGGACGCACCTTTAATACTCGCATTCCGGAGTCACGCACTCTGCGGCACATACGCACAGATTCCAGGGACAGTCCATTCTCCCGTATCACCCGTCTCTCCAGAATACATCCCTCTCTCCCCAAGACGTGCAAGGGACTCTGGTGGGCTACGCGGACATACAACTTGCCCCGCAAGTACATCCGCCTCCCCGAGTAGAGCAAGCATAAGCAGGGTCTTCCCGCTACCCAGCTTGCCGCACACAAGCGAGAGCTCGCCTGGCGGAAAACAGAGGTTCACGTCAACGAGGGAAAACAGCACACCAGGAGTTTGAGGCGTAGGCGTAATAAAACCCGAAGCCATTGTGCTGTCCGTGACGACGCCGAGGCTCACGCCATGCACACTGTCTCGAGGCCAGGCGAGAGTCGCGTTTGTGCACTTCACTACGTTCTTGAAACCTTCTAGTTCGTCTGATTTAGGGCTAGCATCAGAGACAGACCCAGCGCCAGGTGACGCACAAGGAGGCGGAGCAGACACGATCTCGGGAAGTAAGAGGTACCTCTCGATGCGCCTTAGCGACACAAACGACTGGATCACATTCACCGACGCCTCAGGGAGTGAGTTGAACACGAACCGCATCTGCTCAAACACAAGGACCGTCGGGAACGCGATCGACGGCGTGAGCGTCTGCCCGCGCCAGACGGTGAAATGCCAAAATGCGGCCAGCGTGACGAGGAGCGGCGACGCGTCCCAGAACGCGATGTAGAGGACCTCGAGCGTATAGCTCGTCCTCTGGAACCCGAGTTCACGCGTGCGGATGGCGAGCACGCGCCGCTCGAACGCGCGCTCCCACGCCATGAACTTGACCGTGCGGATGGCGCCAAGGATCTCGTTTGTAAGTGCGACGCGGGCATCGCGGGCTTGCATGAGTCCGTCTTGTGAGCGGACGACGAGTTTGCCTGCGAGGGAATTGAGCGGGAAGAGGACGACGATGACGAGCAGGCCCCAGATGCAGGATGGGCCGATGAGTTGGTATAAAAGTAGCGTGCCGACAGCAAGCTCGATGTGAACGGCGTGGTGTAGTTGAACATCCAGAAGCCGAGTATGGAGGTACCAGTAGATCCTGATACATTTGGCGTGGTCGATGCATTCGTCGCCATTGCGTTTGTTGAGTATATGCGCTCGGGTGGATAATAGAGCTGGGGACCAGTCGGGAGCGTCCATATGAGCGCCGTGCTGAGAACGTAGAGAACGAGTGTGATGAGCCAGAGTCTGTCAAGTGCAGTAGACGATGTTGCAGGAGAGGAAGTGGAAAGGATGGTGATAACGATTTGTAGACATGCAGCTGTTGCGGTGAGCACTGCCAAGTGTATCACGGCGCGTTTATGCGCATATACGGATACGCTCGCAATGGAACTGGCAGAGAGCGCAGCGAGGTAGAGCGAGAAGAGCATGCGTAGGGCGTATGTGAGGAAGACGTCGACGCCTTTGCGAGCATCATGTACGACGCAGCCCAGAGAGCTGGCCTCGAGGACGAAAACGGCGAGGAGAGTGATGGTAATGCAGACCTTGCGAAGGCGCATCTACAGTAATGCACATATCGCTCAATGATTAATGAACCCGCTACTAGCTCACGATAGCATACGCACCTCTTTCCAAAACCCATCCTCATCGACCGCATACCCATCCACGCAATCCTCCAGCTCAACAACTTCGAACGGGTCGCGCACATCTGACTCGCACTCTAGCTCCAGGACACTGCTAGTGCGTGGGGTGGCAGTAAGGTCACCCTCTTGACGCGTCCTCGGAAGCTTGATACTACTCTCCCTTTCTCTCGTCTGGAAACGAATGATTGAGCTACCCACAGCGAGATTGAGAGTGACGACCGCGGCAGTGAGGTGGTAGGGTACTAGCAACGGGGGCATCGTCAGGTTGCCGAAGCTGATAGTCTACTTACGAATATACGAGCTAATCTTGCGCTTGGTGAGTCGGCAAGAGTAGTAGTGTCAGTCGAGTATAAATTTAGTGTTAAGCAAGCTTATGTACGCACCAGTGTTGAACGCTGAGCAGAGGAGTCAGATCCATCGAGCATGCGTGAATCACTCCGGAGCCGCGAGTCCAGTCACATTCGTATCGTGATTAGCTGGCGCAGTGGAGAATATAGCTTGCGCGACTTTTCTGACATGCCAGCATCCGGTAAAGGAGGAAGGGCGCTGGATTACTTGTTAACATGTCGAGGTTGGGGAGCAGAAGCAAGTGGACACAGCGGCATCGTGACGCGACGGACGCTCGCGGATCCCGGAACCGAGCACCGAAAGCCCCTGAGAGCTCACATCCATGGCTCTTCCGAGTCAAATAAAATGCTTTATTGGCCACATTCTGCTAGGTAGCAATGGTTACTGTAGATTTACTCAACAAGCGGATGTGTTGGTTCAAAAGTGCTCACAAGAGCATTCGAATGGTAGGTCAACACGATTCACCACATTCATTCATTCATCGTAAATGTCGCTGATCATCTCGTTCAACCTCTCCATATCAATATCCGGGCTCCGTGGGCTTATGTGGCACGGGTAAGCTAGTGGCGTACTACAAGACTCTCCATCAGCTCTCATATTCGCGTTTCATATTGCTGAAGGACTCACGTCACGACACCAGTGCTATACGGCAACTTCGGCGAAATCTCGCGTCCGTGCTCGTCCTTCGCCTTTCGTATGTTGAACAGCGTAAGAATCGTCGCTATCGACATCCAAACCGAGTTGAGCGCGACGTGGCGCCCGGCACAGACCCGCCTCCCGAACCCGAACGCGTACATTGCAGTGTCATCCGTCGGCTGACCGTCGGGGCCTAAGAAGCGCTCGGGGATGAACTTGTCAGGGTTGGGGTACTTGGCCGGGTTGCGTGCGATTGCCCTCGAAGGACGCTTGGGTTAGCTTGGGATGGTGGATTGGCGCATACCGGGTTTACGTACCAAATGTTACTAATCACGGCTGCGCCTAGTAGACGGTGAAACATAAACTTCAGAGTTTAGACATGGCAATACCTTTAGGAATGTAGTGTCCTTCGTACACATCGTCCTCGGAGGTTGCGTGCCACACGCCAAGCGGAACTATGGGGAACCATCTAAGAGTCTCGCGCAATACGGCCTCGATGTACGGAAGTGCGGGCTTGTCCTCATACGTGGGCAGTCGCTCTCGGCCAACAACGGAGTCCAGCTCTGCTTGCGCCTTTGCTTGGATTTCGGGGTTGTTCATCATCGCGTACACGAAGATGACGAGGGTAGCTGTGGTCTACCCCCATGTCAGACAGATGTCCTCGCGTCCAATGGAGGCTTAGAAATGCTCACTGTATCTGATCCGGCTACAGCGAAATGACATCAGCAACATATAAGTAGTGCTCGTTCGGGTACAAACCAGCGAAGGCGGTTGCGCAAGCGTTCCTGATGGTCTCGACCAGCTCGCCCGTCTCGTCCTCTTCCTGGAAACGTCGTAAAGATATCGTTCCCAGACCGTGTATCGCTTCGCCTCGCTCCTGTTGGGGAAATCAATTCGTCGTGGAGTTTCGGACCATAGTAAGAAATGACTTGCCATTCGCTCCTTTAGCGCATGGAACGGAGTACTAACAAGAATGTTCGCATATTTCTTACTCACGGAAGCGTTATACCTACCACCCGGGAGCCAAGGTGGTATGTACTTAACTGGAATCGAACCGATAAATGAGTGCCTGGTAGAATATTATGCTTTCTAAAACCAGATGGACACTTACGAAATGGAAACGCGCCGACGAGGGCACCTTGCTCAGGCGCACCTATCATATTACTAATCGCGTTGTCGACAACCTTCACGAGCGGATCGTGGCGGGGCTCGATGTCATAGTCATAAACGGCGGCCATAGCCACTGCCGTACCGAGGCTACATCGTTCCTCATCATCGTCAATAAACAGCGAGGGAGGCGGGAACGCTCACGTATGGAGATGCTCGTAGAAGTCTTCCGGTGCTGACATGAGATTGCGCGCAAGTTGATGGACCTTGCGTAGCTGCATCGGACGGAATGTCTGAGCGACTTCGGACCTGAACACCTGGTGGTAAAGCCGACGGTGGAACCTCCATGTATCGGTGTACCCTATCATACTCGTAATGAACGCCATGCCGTAACTACCCCCAAAAATGCAACGTCAACAACTCTCTCAAAGCATGGCATGCGGAATAAGATCAGGAAAGACGTACGGTTCAAACGTGGCCATCTCAACGCGATCCGAATACTTCCACGATCGATTCTCGAGGAGCTCTCTGACCGCTTCCTCGGTTTGGAGGACGACGATGTCGAGGCTAAACAATTTGCAATGTATGATGTTACCTGAGGACGTGAATAGTGTCAATTATCAGAGCCAAAAAGAGAATCGACTAGCTCACCGTACTTGGCGGCCCACTCGTCGAAAGTAAGCCATGGCTCCTTGATGTTAATGTCTAGTAAGTTGCCAATCAATGGTAATGATCGAGGCCCAGGCGGGAGCGGCAGCTCAAACTCCTGGCGGCGGCTCTCGACGACCTTCTTTGCAAGAGATACCAAAACGAAACCAGCGATGAGCAAAGCAGGAGTGCGGACAGCAGCGGGGAAGTCCATTGGGTGTGCTGAGGGATGGCTTAATTTTGCGACAGAGGTCCCCTTATACAAGTTGCCAAGCAGCGTACGGGATTCCAGTGCCCAGGGCATGACAGCTTGCTCGAGGTACGTGTTATGGGCATGGTTAGGTTATGTGATGGAGAGGTTGTGGCGAGCATTTGAATGGCCCACAGCCAATGGGATGGAGGACGAGCGAGAATCCCCCTATCCAAGAACCGGACTTTGTGAGTTTCTTCCCTATCATGGTGGCGGAAGGGAAGCATACGCCGTCTGCATGTGGAACGTTGCAGTCCCATCGGTGTTCCTGGTCTGGCTCTCCGCCCGTGACGCAGGGTTCATGGGCTAGAGCATCTAAACGTAAAGGCCAATGTAACAATGGAGCTCTCAGATTGAACGTTCACCGTGCATCATAGAAGTCGTACATCCACTGTGGAGCCTGCAAGCCTACTTGTCGATATCTTGACGAACATGAATAAATATATAGAAAAGGAGAACGGGCACGGACCAGTCATCTGAGGTCTCCATAAATATAGCAAGTGGCGGAGGCCTGGGAACGGGGAACGTGCCGGCTGGTGGCCCTGCGGCCGATCTGCGCTCGACGAAAGAGGTCGGGTTTTCTCTTTGCAACGGCATACATTACCGTGGCATCATATCAACACACTGCGGCACTCGACAAAGTGCAGTCTGATTCTGATACCCGAAAGTGCTTGGAAGTAACCTACAACGTCAGTCCCTATATGAACTTTTAAGCGATGGACACAGGTAGCTGACCCGAGTTGTACAGAAATTGAGCCTAGAATTACTTTCAGCAGCGCGGGAAATCCAAAGAGAAGAGAGGTTCCGCTACCAACTGTAGCATCTTGGGGCAGGTTAAAAGCTGGATGTATGTATGCGGTGGCAAGAGGCCTTTGGTCGGCTCAAACACCTCATTGTGCTCTGATGTGTAGAAAGGGTTGGACTCGGAGGACAGGGGTTGGATTCGGAATGGTACGAACCTCCATCATAGAAGCGCAATGATTTAAAGCAGGCAAGTAAAGACGTAAGTGAAGCCCGGCTGAGGGGGTACATGCTGGGTGATGCCGGTGATCGAGGGCGGGGGCCAGATAGTTTCATCAGTGCTTGGATACTGGCGCCGTCGTCTGAAGACTACGACGTCCACTCTGTAAGGGAGCAGACTTCAAGGTAGAAGGACAAGGTAAAAAGAGGTCTCGCACACTCTCTTCGCGCGAGCAAATCGATGTTTGCACTGTGGGAAGATCTAGGGCATTGTGCTCGGGATTTCCCGGACCCAAGGCGGCTCCAGACTTAATTCAGACCGCAGAGTTAGACCCAAGTTAGACCGCCGCTCCATCTCAAGAAGGAGCATATTAAAACACAGCAGTCCCAACTATTCGTAATGTCTGCACCGATATTGCGTACAAAAAAGTCATGTATCACAGGTACGACGACGGCGTTTTAGACAGGACGTCTTCGTCAGCTCACTCATACTTGCTCTATGTCAATTCGAGCGACCCATGTCACAAACACCAGCGCTAGAACTTGACAACGTCTGCGGGATATTTTTTCCGTGCTCAGCGAACATCATTCGCCTTGCGTAAACAGCGTAAGAATCTTGAATTATCAACATCCACACAGGCTTGACTACTCTGTTGTTCTGCCAAGGAGTCAACGACGATGAAATGAACTGGTTTCATTTTCTTCAATTTCCACTGATTTCAACCCCTCAATCTCCTCCGCCACCTTGTGTCCAAAACCGACCCAACAAAATACATGATCAAACAGGACGTGCACTGCAGTACTGGACCAAAGCGGCGAGTGGCGCTGCCCACAGCTTACGTAGGCATCAACGTTTACTGCTCGCGTTCTCCGTTGTACATTGATTTCGTTATCCAGGTAGTGTGGTCACGTCAAATAATAACAGGACATCTTACGTTAGCAACCTCCGTCTCAACCTGGATCCAAGCCTCCGCGCGGCGTTCTTTGATGCCGTCACTGCGCCACCTCACGTCGTCCGGGATGCATAGGACGTTCATCGCTATAAGATCAAGGCCAAGGACAGGGTATAGAAAGATGCGGGCAGCTGCATTGGCAATACTGGCGTTGTCATGCACAGCAGAGTATAGGCTTATAGCGACTTTGGCAGATGTGTTAGTGACTTGAAACTACAAAGGTTAGTAAGCCCTGTCCACGGGTCACAGGTGTCGAGGAGCCACAATGGAGCTTCATCATTGTATATTTAGTTTCGATCGCGGTGAGACTGTGCCTCCGACTAAAAGCCGTCACGGCTCGTTTATGCCGTAATACTTGACAGGGATATTCATTCGTCTCGACAATCGTACACATGCCTACCTGTAACACAGGAAGGAAACGTCACCCATGCACCGCTATGAATTCTGAACCGTAAAGAGATAAAGGTAAGCTGCAGCTGCAGACTGATTCCCATCAAACTCCCCGTCAAATCAGCAGTACATTCGCCATGCCTTTTGTCTCTAATTCCCCTGATCTGATATCATCACTTGTGCAGTCCCAGGTTCTTGGCCGCATGGAGGGTAAGTTCATATCACTATTGATTGATCGCACCGTTTGCTCAAACAAGCCTGGGTGTCAGTGGCGCTGTCCACTCTGATTATTTATGATTATGGTACGTGAAATTATGCGTTGTCTCGAAGGTTTGGTAGCTAACATCCTTCTCTAGTTTTGCAACTAGATCATGAGGTACGCAAACCTCTATGATAGCAATATTCAGTTTTCGTTTACTCGGATATGTCAACGCCAAGGTTGACCTCATTTGGGTACGGGTTTGGCATAATCAATAAGCGATCACTTTCTTACGTCATATAAATGCAATGAACAGAAACGAAACTCGTCCGTGATGACATGCTGCTACGCTTTTGTAGGTTTCTAAACCGCTTGATAGTTCTTACATGGTTGCAAGGTCTCATTGTTTGGCACATTAGCTCCGTTACGTAGGATTGTTTGGTTATTGCATGTAAGGGGTTTCGGCATAATTTGTTGACAAACTGATCATAATTTGATAGAGTGAACATTGGTGAGAAACATAGTACAACAGTATAAGAGAATAGTGGTCTAAAGTTTTGCTAGTGTCCAGTATGCCTGCATTTCTGTCTGACAAGGTATGTAATTCATATTGCGTTGTTGAGTCCAGCAATAATTGACTTGATCCACCCAGATGTAAGTGGTTGATTGCTTTAGAAAGTGTGGCGATGTGATCTGAGGCGTGCCTAACTGAATGATTTACTGTCAAGTTGTAAGCGTTTCAGATACTTGACATTCTGAATTTACGGTCTCATAATAACTCAAGGTTTCGCAACGTATATACTAGGAGAGCAGATCCTACCAACGCTTCTGTTGCTGGTCCTTCAAGGTGGCAAACACCAGAAAATTCTGGGTCACGCTAATTAATATCTCTCTTCTGTAGGAGTCATGACCACTCGTGTTCGTGCCCTATATGGGAATTCTAAGAAGGTCACAGTCATCCTCTCCGCCATTTTCGTGGTCACACAAGCAGCTACCATCGCGCTGAACATAGTTTCGAGTGTGCCACCTTATGGGTCTAATAGTATGTCTTGAACGCTTTCTTTTCTACTCGTGTTCTTGCATGTTTTAAATGCTGTTATTAGGTATAGAAGGGGTCTTGATAGGCATTCCAGAATGCTGGGACACCCAACCCACCGTTGCTCTTACGTGGATTACCCCCGCCAGCAACAGCGCTGCTTTGGCACTTGACGCCATCTTATTAGGAATGGTCGTATTCCGATATTTTTGGCAACTACGAGAGCACCGAAAGCAAAGCTCGGCGCTGGGGCTTGGCGGAATCATGGTCCTTCTTGTTCAGCATCATTTGCTGTATTTCGTACTGTGAGATATCGACATGATGTCTTCCGCTGAGAAACATTTAACCAGGCATACTATTTTCTTTTAGGCTGTTTGTATTCGGAATCTTGGCAACAGTAGTTGACAGTGCTTCGACTTTGGTCAGACAATGCTTCCAGATATTCATCGTGCTGATTCTAACATTCCTTCTTTATTTCTCCTGCAGGACCTTGCTACACAATCGAATGTGATAGTAGGTGTATGTGAGGTGCTCTCGTGCATAGTTTTCTATATGCTAGGGCCTTGGATAATTCTGTCAATACGAGAGCGTGCACAGCTCGGTGAAAGGGGTGCGAGACATGGAGAGGCGGTCAGCACCATCGCCTTTGGTAAACCCGGAAAAGATTCATACAGTACTGAAGGAACAACGAATGGCGAGTCTGCTTAATGCAGGGAATGTTTACGGTGTCCAGATGGGCAGGGCATCACCTCTTCCTTAAAGTCCGTAGATTCACCGTTCGCTACATATAAGCTCGGTGTGGGAGATAAAACATCTCGGTGTGGATATAATAGCTCCTCGAAACTGTAGAATATACTAGCACCCAAGGTGTACTACTAGATACAATCGCCGGAGTTTCTTCTTGGCTCATTCGTATATGACCTGCTTGCGAAACTGTTGATAAGTGTATTCTATCCCTCGGGCCTCTTCCTGCTGTTTTATTCGCTGGTGCCAGTGCGTGTTCTTTCCGGCTTTCTCGTGTCCCCTTTTCCCATCCCGGAGTCGGCCAATTAGTCAAACGCGCTTGTGGGTTCTCAATTTCACCATCTTCGGACTTTTAGTGCGAACGCCGCCGCCACACCCGCGCTCAGGAGACGGACGAGATTGTCGTTCCATGCATGCCTCGCCTGCTATAACGGATCTGCTTCGTAATGTCGGCCACCAGACGTACGTTAAAGTTTGTCTACCGCAGGGTACTGTCCCAGAAGATGACAAACACAGACTCAACTACTACCGCTACTACTATTTGTAGAACTGGAGAAGATGCACATATGCTCACATGGGCGCTCCGAGAGCAGGACGGCGACCAAACGGAATCGCGCAGCGGCGTGTGACCTGTTCTCCTTCCCATGACTTTGAAGAACGCATGACGTCGTCATTGTGAACAGGGAGCCAGGGTCTCAGGTATCCCAAAAGCAAACCATGATCTCGTCGGACCTGCTCCCTGCACACATCGTGATCATCATGAACGAGCAGATACTATACCTATCCCTCCCCATCCTCGCGCTCCTCACCTTCCTATACCTCGCGTTCCCACCCCGCACTCGCACTGGGACCTCCCTACCCCTCCCGCCCGGCCCACCCGCGCATTGGCTCCCCGGCATCGGCTCGCCTTGGACAACAACCTACGCGCCTCGCCTGTTCGCAAAGTGGACTGAAGAATACGGGCCCGTGTTCGCGCTGCGCCGAGGATGGCGCGACGTGTACGTCGTGATTGGGCGGTGGAAGGCCGCGCAGGAGATTATGGAGCGGGAGGGCGGGGCGCTCGCGGACCGGCCGAGTCATGTCGCTGCGGGAGAGGTGTTGAGCGGCGGGATGCGGATCGTGACGATGGGGAGCGGGGAGCGGCTTGTGCGGTTGCGGAGGTGCGTGGCGTGGCGTTCGCGTTTTCCTCCCCGTCTCTATATCTCGCGCGATAACGTGGCCGTTGAATTCTTTCCAGGCTCCTGCACGCCGTGCTCCAGCCCAAACTCGCAGCATCGTACGAGCCCCTGCAGACGCAGCACTCTCACGCCCTCATCCTCGACATCCTCGCAGACCCCGCGCACCACCAGCTGCACGCCCGTCGCTACGCCGCAGCCGTCATCCTCGCGCTGACGTACGGCAAGACGAGCCCGACGCACTATGACGATGCCGAGGTCGTTGCCGTGCGCACGTGTCTCGGGCGGCTGGGCTCGACGATGCGGCATGGTGCGTGGCGCGTCGATGCGCGCGGGTTCGGATGGCTGAGGTGGGTGCCGGGGTATCTCGGCGAGCTAAGGGGGTGGCATAGGGAGGAGAGGGCGCTGTTCGAGGGGCAGTTGGAGGAGGCGAGGCGGCGCATGGTGCGTTCTTTTGCTGATGCGGTGGTGAGGGTTGGGTTTCTCACCGATGGGTTGACGGTGATTGTGTGTAGGATGAGGGAGACGAGACACCGTGTCTTGTAAGGCATATGCTCGAGCATCAAGCGGAGTTTAGAATTGCGGATGAGGAGTTGGCGTATGTCGCTGGGTCTATGTTCGGTGCGGGATCTGAGACGGTGTGTGCTCGCTGTCATTCTGGAATCCGCCGACAGCATGACAAGAGAGAATAATCCAGACTGCGTCGGCGGTTACAATTGCGATCATGGCAGCCACGCTGCACCCGGACGCACAGACAAAGGTGCAGGAGGAGCTGGATGCGGTGGTGGGGCGCGAGCGAGGTACGTATGTACGCCATCGTCCATGTACAAAGACTGGCTGAATGGTTCCGTAGCACCGACATTCGAAGACCGTCCCAACTTGCCTCAGACAGTCGCATTCATGCTCGAAGCGTTCCGCTGGCGGCCCGTCAGCGTCGGCGGCTTCGCCCACCGTGCGACGCGCGATGTCATCTGGAGCGGGTATAGGATTCCGGAGGGTGCGGTTGTCATTGCGAATCATTGGTGCGTCCTCCCAACTTCGGCCGATGCCTATCCAAAGCGTTGATGTGTGATGGAATGCGATTGCGAGCAGGGCAATTGCGCACGATCCGGAGGTGTACCCCGAGCCGGAGAAGTTTGATCCGCAGAGGTGGATCGACGAGGAGGGGAGGGTCAGGGAGGAGGATAGGCGGTTTTGTACGTATGGGTTTGGGAGACGGTGCGTTTTGCATGGATTGCTCTCATTCGCGAAGAGAACGAGCGTGCGCTCATCGTGAGTGACAGCGTGTGCCCCGGGAACCACGTCGCGAACAGGTGAATGCCAGTTTCGGTCCGCATTCATCATCCAGCCATCCCCGCTCTCATTCCGAGCCCGTTCAAACCCAAGTTAGACGGAGTACTGATCGAAGCACCCAAACACAGATCGGTGTTCATCAACACGGCACTAATCCTATGGGCGTTCCGGCTTCGGGAAAATCCGACAGCGCCGATCGACTCGATGGCGTTCAGCGACGCGTCGAACATGCACGCGGACCCGTTTGAGGTCGTGTTTGAGAATAGAATCGAGGAGGGGGAGATGAAGAGGATCTTGGGCGAGGTATGATGACGTGGCGTGCGACTGAGCTGACGTTTGGATATGATGCATTGATGACCGACGGCCAGAGACTGAAGATAGTTTTTGTACGTGCGTGTTATGTCATTGTTCCGCAAGCAGGTTTCAGAAGCAGTGGATCTCCCAGAATGCGAGCACTCGTACCTTTTCGTCTCGTGTGTAGTTGGTCTAGGGGAGTTTGCGTGACGTGGTTATACTCGGTAGCTCAGTTCGTGTTATGCATAAAGCTCGTAGACTGGCGAGCGAGCCCGGTGAGAGTGGTGAAGGGCAGCTTGCACTTGCTCCGACCTGATGAGTCAGAGGAACTGTGAGATGAAGTGGGTAGATCTCAGCCAAGAAGTATAAGTCAACGCATATCATCGCTGAATACATTGGGTCGAGGATGCTAAGTTCATCGATGTCATCCATGAACGGGTCATAGCTTGCTGATAAGCAAAGGACGTGTCTGCCCTCGTGGGAAATGAACGCCGCGTGGTAAATAGGAACTCCGCGTCTGTCGGAAATCTAGTTTCCCGGTTGCAATGATGACCAATTGTAGTATCCTTGCAAGGTGATTGCCGGATAATTGCCACGATCGAGCAGCGAGTGTAGTTGATTACAACCGAATGGGGCATTGGAATCACGGCCGTGAGATTGAAGCCAACTGTAGTTGTCCCTGGCCAATTGGAAGCGGTCGGGCCGAGACTGCAGCTGCCGCCGGCTATTTCCAGGTCGAGGTATCGATAGATGTCCTCGATCTCTGTCAATCATCATCCATCCCGCTGCCTCCTTGCGTGCGCGCCGCTCGCCAACGCCAGCGTTATCCCTGTACCCCCGTTGCATACCTATTACGCCCTCAAATGTCCCTCTTCGAACGGAATCGACAGCAAAAGCGCCGCGACAAGACGCGGTTCTGTGAGAAATGCGGAACAGACATCAAGATCAACGGTTGGACGCAGCACGAGGAGTCGTGCCGGAAGCAGGAGGAGATGGTGGCATTGAGCAGTAAGCTCTCGAGAATCGATCGTATGCAGAAGAGGCAGCGGGAAGAAGGTGAGTATCCCAGCACCGGTATTCGACTTACGCGTCACAGTAGATTGCAGAGTTTTTGCTCTCCTCTCGTGCAGGTCCATCAAAAGTGCCAAGGTCTTCCGACGCCTCTCGCTGTAAGTAATGTCACGCTCTACGTACGACTCCTCGGTTCAGCGCTGACATACTAGTATAGCCAGACAGGCTACTCCTCCACCTGCGGAGGATAACGAGCTCGAATACCTCACGGGGGCGTCGACTCTACACAACAGTAAGCTGGCCGTATTCATCTTCACTCCATAAAATTTCTAATACTCCATAGATAATCAACCTTCCGAGTCTGCCTATGCCTCCGCCTCTCCCTCTGTAACCCTCGCCCCTGTAGCTCTCGCGTCAGAACCCCTCGCATCTGAACCCCTCGCATCTGAACCCCCCATCTCTACAACCCCCGCAGCTGAGCCTTTTGCACCTGGGATCCTCGCATCTGGGCTTCTCGCACCTAACGCCATCGCTCCCGCACCCCTCGCACCCCCGTCCATCACGCTCGAGTCATTCCCTTATGAGCCTCTCGCTCCCGACAACCTCGCTCCTGGACTTGTTACCGTCATTCCTGAAGCTGAGCTCTATGCTTCCGACTCGGAGGCTCTCGCCCCAGCACTATCTGCTACCGAACTCCTCCCTCCTGAGCCTTTCCCTCCAGAATCCCTCGCTTCCGACCTCTTCTCTCCCGGTTCTATTCCCCTTCAAGCACCAGAGTCTGCGTCTTCGCCTGCCGAAGTCGTCCACTCCATGTCCGTTGCTACTCAACCTCTTCTTCCATTACCTTTCCCCGACGGTGTACGCCTCCCTGCTGAGGGAGATTATCGAGTCGAGCATCATCCTCGTAGTAAACGTGCGGCGGAGTACTTTGCACCTAATTCATTCCAGCGCCACCCACCTCCCGATCCTGACCATGCCCCGCTGCCGAACCCTTGGAGTCCGTACTTCGAGTCCAGACTTGAGTTTGAGATCGCAGAGCTGGCTCTCGAGACGGGTATGACAGTTGAGCAAACAAACCGTTTCCTGGACCTCATCCACCGTGCGCGACGTCGACAGGAGGATGTGTCTATCAAGAAGTACAGCGAGGTGAAGTTGCGATGGGAAGCTGCTAGCCAGAGGACCGCCAAGGTACGTTAACTTATTCAGTATCGTTCGGGCTTTTACTCACATTTGTTTCTAGTTTCACAAGGAAGAAGTCCACGCTACCTATGGTGTTGTAGACGGAAAATTCGACGTTTATTATCGTGATGTCTGGGAGTGGACAACAGAGCTGCTACGAAATCCCCGCATCTTTCCCCAATTCATATTTGATGCGCAGAAGTTCTTCAGGTTTGATGGCGGGAGATTTTCTCACGTGATCGATGAGCCATTCACTGCGGACCTCTTCTGGAACTGTCAAGTATGTCATTACTTCGTTGCTGTCTGTACATCTATCAACTAGTATCATATCTTTGTTACATTAGTCTCGTTGCCCTGACGAACGCGGAAAACCTATATGTTTCATCCTCTACGCCGATAAAACGAAGCTCTCTTCATTTGGAACTGCAAAGGCTTACCCAGTCGTTGCCCGGATCGCCAATTTACCCGTTCAAATCCGCAATGGGACAGGTGTTGGCGGAGGCCACCTTGTCGGGTGGCTTCCAATAGTACGTGTATCTTATTGTTGGTTCAGTTGACCAGCTCATTCCTTATATCTGTGAGGTTAAAGAGGATAATAAGTATCGCAAAGCGAAGTTGGGGCTCTGGGCCAACTTCAAAAATGTTGTCTGGCATGAGTCCTTCAAGCGCATCCTCCGCATCATTGCTACGAGTAAAACAACAGGGCTGTGGTTGCAGTGTGCTGACGGTATTATCCGGCTATTTTTCTTGTTCCTTCAGATTATCTCAGCCGACTACGAGGAGCAGTGCGTGTATGTTCTGAATGTTCATGTACCATTCACTAAATCTAATATACAGATGTACTATGGCTTCAACTCGAGGCAACTGGGGCCTCTGCCCTTGCCCCATCTGCCTTGTTCCCAAAGCCAACCTCTTCCCCGACTTGACAACAGTTCATCCGCTGCGTACAACCAAGGATGCTAAGTCTACATTAAAAAACGCACGCGAGGCCATCCGTAAGAAGGATAAAGAGAAAATTCTGAAGGACAAGGGCCAGCGAGATGTAGAGGTCAGTTATATGCTAGCATCGACTGTAGAATGCTTCCTGATTCACTTTTACCAAAGAGCTGCTTCTGGGATGTTGAGGCGGATGTACATAGCGCGTTCACATATGATAGACTTCACGTTCACCTTATCGGCCTGTGGGCGGATCATCTCGGGGCTCAGCTACAAGTTCATATTGGGATCCTCAAGAAGGCCCACCTCATCGATGATTAGTTCGTTTTTCTCGTGCCCTATAATATGCTGTATTCATACTGACACTGACAAACACAGCTACAAGGATTTCCCTCGCTGGCGTGGCTTGAAACACCCAACAACGGTAATGAACGTTGCATTTACAGACGGAACGGTTCACGAAGACATTTCCAAGGCAAGTTCAGGTCAATTGCGTGGTGATTTTATGTTTGCTCATGCCTCACGGATTGCAGCTCTTTGTCTTTGCTGCACATAGGGTTCTCACCAAAAGCGCTTCTCCACTTGGATTTCTCTTACTCCAGTGTGCCCGCCTATATCTTGAGTTTGATCTGATGGTATCCCTTGAGGTTCACACGGAGGAAACCCTTGCAGCGGCTGAAAACGCCCGCCGAGCCTTCATATTGAAGCTACAGGTAAACTTGTACTTTCACTTGTGGCCTTGCTAACAATCCCCACAGGAATATGTCGTGCAGTCACGATCCTCTGATGACGCTGACATAAGCGGGAAAAACTGGGGGTTTCCTAAGCTACATGCCGGTGACCACGTTCTCCTCTGCATCATGCTCAACGGCGTGCTTCGGAACTACGACACCAAGCCAAATGAACAAACACATGGCCCGCTCAAGGACTGGTATTTATTCCGTACTAACTTCCGAGAATTTGCTGCTCAGGTATGACTCAAACTCTCCTCGTCGATTGCTTTGTAATGGCTACTAAAATCAGTGTCAGATACTAAGGATTGACCACTGGATGGTCGCCTCTGACATGATTCGTACTGAGCTCAATGACGCGGATGCCTGGGCACAGCAGCAGGAGGCTGAGATACTAGGTATAGCCTTGAACACTGATGAGTCTCCGGAGCTGTCGCTTTCTGAGAGCGAAGCCATGGAACTTGAGAAGCAAGGTCGTGTCCGCCTTGGCTCCAAATGCTCTAAGGCGACACCATCCCAGGTAGAGAAACAACACGAGCTCGATGACGCATTCAGCGATTTTCCCCAAAGGCTTGACCGCTTCATTCGATCTATCGTTACTATCTCCACGCCTTTAACGCAGCTGTGCATCAGCGAGGTAGGTGTCTATGTCATCATCAGTTCAGCTGGATTAACCTTGTTTTAGATTGTCGAGTGCCGCCTCTTGGTGGTGTGCTATCAATCGAAGGTTGATTGGCAGCAAGCCATCGACTTGCTCCGGGTTAGCCCAATGTTTTATCGGATACCTCACTACGACTGCGTTATCATCCGGCTTGATGACAGCTCTTACATGTTTGGCCGGCTCCTGTTTATGTTCAAGTGTCAAGTCGGTAGAAGCTCTCTTTCGATTGGCATGATCCTTCCCTTTACAGTAGCTCAGAATACATCGGATGAAAACAAGGAGCTAGACAGGGATCTCAATTTCTTCCGTCTCAAGGCCTCTCCCCATGCTGATGCTGCATTCATCTCCCTTCATGACGTCGAGCGTGGAGCTCTACTTGCTCCAGACCCAGACAAGCCCGATGAATTCCTAGTAGTGGACACAGTCGATAGGGACATGTTTCTTCGTGTTCAGCAAATTCGCTCCAAGGCAATGTAATCAGGTATGTGAATCGTGTTTTTGAATAATTACAGGAAACTTCTAATATATTATTTGCCCATGGATCTCCTACGTACTTCGTTCAAACCTAATGTGACACCATCAGAGGCAAGCCTTGAAACCGATGCACGCGGCCAGACTCTCCTTCCAACTACTCCTTTATGCTTCAGTTTTGTGTTTGTAATCAAAGTGTAGTTAAGATTTATGCAAGTTCCTAGTATCATTGGCTATATTCAAGGTTCTGGATAACGACGTTACAGTATTTTCGACTTGTGCTAGTACTTGATTTGTATTGTGGCCAAATGACGTGCACACAGTAGCGTCCAATTCATCATATGCCTCGTCCCACGCTCGGTACTCAGTAGTTCAAGCTTCAAGCTTCAGCTTCAGTACTCAGTTGCAGTACATGGCATATATGCGATGGGGAGCACTGCGGTGCTTCGTCATTGTCCTCCTCAGTCCGCAGTCGCACAAATCGGGTCTCCTGTTTTTGTCCTCTCTTTCCTCACCAACAAGCCCAACATCTCCGTGTCCACGTCCCTTGAGCTTTGCGGCACAGCATACATTCCAGTGATCGCTCACATCCACGAGCGCGGCTGCAACACTATGCCTCCCCAATCGCCCTCTAGCACACTGATGTCATGTCCATGTACAGTTCCTTGTCTGATCATGCCCTCAAGATCATCCAGAAAAATGCCGACATCCCCACCAACTGTATCCCTCCGAGTTTCTCTTTGTCTCCATCACCATCGCTCCTCAACTTTCTCGTAGAGCTCCCACTCGAGCTTGCTCTCCACATCCTCTTCCTTCAACCATCTGCACCTGCCCACCAAGCCACCTGTGCAGCAGCGACCTGTCCCTGGTGAAGTGCTTTGGAGAGTGCTCGCGAGCAGTACGGATCTGACGTAGAGATGACGGACGAATGGGCTGCGAGGGCTGGAGGTCGTATGTTGGGGCAACACAGGGGCGTAGGCGTGGGTGATACACTCGTTCTACGATAAAGCCGCTGGCGTTGCAGCTTACGCTCAACGTTGCGGGGATGAAGACGGTCTTATGACCATGTTGTGCAAGGCGAGCATCAAGCACGAGCAGCCCCTCCGGTAGGACGCAACATGTCTCGCAAAACAAGCACTGGGCGCCCCAGATCGCCGCCCTCAGTTGCACTGAGACTGAAGGTTACGTACATCGCGGCCCTCGCCAACATAATGCAGCAGGTTGTCCACCTGGCCCTCGACTTCATTGCGCGCCAAAGGATGTGTAGCGGAGGAGCAGGCGCGAGAACGAGCAGGCAGTGTTTGTGGAGAAGAGTCTGAGGGACCATCACGCAGCTCTCGATGCTCGGTGGAAAGCGTGAGTCTTGAGCTGAACACGTCCATCATGAAGCGAACGCTAACACCCTCGTGTCCCTGTGATCGCAGCACACATAGCCAAGTAATCTATGCCAGGCTGTTTCCGCTATCCCCCTATCCGACCTCTCTGCGTCATTCTAGTACGATGCTGCTGTCTACTAGTGTCGCAAGCTGCGTACAGAGCTGAGCAAGGCACGGAGGCCAAGTTCTACCCTACTGAGGATCCAGAATTCAGCGACGACAACGAGAAAGACGATTTCAGGACCAAGTGCAGCTTCGATAGAAGCCTGGGAGGACATCATCTTCGGCCTCTCCCCTCTCCCGGAGAACATGCCCACTCTCCTGTCCTCGATGCAGCCGTTCGCGGCAGCAGCAGAGGCCGACTACAGCGATGAAGGCATGATGAAGGCCATACATAAACCAACAACGAAACCGACAGGGACGATCTGGATGGGCCCCGCGGCAGGAACAGCGCTGTCGTCTACCCACTCTCCCACTCGTTCGTGCCGCGTCACCACCATGATCCGGGGGGAGGAAGACACTAGCGAGGTCTTGCTCGTGCGGTGGCTGCCGCTCCGCGGGCGCGACTTGTACGTCCAGGACGAGCCGGTGTCAAAGTCGGCAACGGCGTCCGCCCACGTCACGGTCCCGGGCGTGTTCAAGTGCAAGACGGTCGAGCCCGGGCGCTGGAGCGGCTCGATGAACCGGTCGGACAAGGAGGACAACGTGGGCGCGGGCGTGGGCGCAGGCGTGGGCGTTGTGTCGAGGAGCTTGTGCAGCTGCGCGGTGCGCCGCTTCTCTTGCTGCTGCTCCGCACCCTGCCCACGACCTTGGCTCTTCGGTCGGACGTCGCTGCTATCGTGGCCCAAGGGGGAGGATATGTCTGTTGGCCATGCTTGGCCAACGAGTGGTGCGTGCCCTAGCTTTCAGGTGTTGCGTTCGGTGTTGAATTCGGGGTGCAGAACGACATATCACGAGCAGAGGACCTCTCAACGAAGCTAAGGACTCTGACATACGACCATGAACGCCTCACGTCCATGCACCGCTCTGCCAAGGAGCAGGCAGCCAACGCAGAGCGCGAGATGAACGTCCACAAGTCCCGTCTCGCGTGAGTTCCTTCCTTCCGCACCCTTTCATTCACTCTCCTAGGAAGGATGCTGACAGCTACCTCATCCAGCACAACGACACGCACCCTACACACCGCCGAATCCGCACACAAACACACCACCGCCAAGCTCCAGCGCACACGCACCTCCATACAGGCCCTGCGCGCGAGCCACACCAGCGAGCTCAAGAAGAAAGAGCGCGACGTCGAGCGCATGACCGAGAAGTGGACCAAGCTCGCCGAGGCCCAGTCCAAGCTCTCGGCCTCGGGCGCCGCCAGCGGCATGACGATCCGCGGCACGAACGCGGACGTCGTCACCGGCTCGGAGGTGCTGTGGCAGGGGCGGACGGTGGACGAGGAGGCGCTCGAGCAGGCGGAGCAGGCGCGGGCGCAGTTATATGAGGAGAACGGGCGGCTGAGGCGGCTGGTGATCTCGTCTGCGAATGAGCTGCAGAGGGTGGTGTGGAATGCGAGGAGCCTGACTTGTGATGCTGAGGAAGAGGTGGGCGTGTGGTCTCTGATTTATGTTTACAAGGGAGGTGCTGATATGCGTCTCAAAGCCTCAGCCTCTTACATCGGTCGAACTATTCCCGATTGCGCCTGTCGGTGCTGCGAACGACAGGTTCGCGGCTATGTTCACTGCGCTCGAGGATACCCTTGCCTATCTCCCCGAACGGCTGGCCAACGGCGAACTGGCAACGCGGTCCATGAAATCCAGCAAATCTGGCGAGGAACAACTGTTGCCCAAGGCCAACTTCGAAGCTGAACGCTTACAAGGCATCATTGATTCATTGCAAGCCGAGCTAGGTGCGCTCTCATTTAATGAAGACACTACGCAGTTAATTTTACTAACGAATTCTCAGACGAGACAAGAAAGCTCCACCAGGCACAAGCAGTGGAGACGCAGGAGCTGTACGAGCAGCTCAGCGCGCAACAAGTCCAGCATGACGGGGACATCAACGCCGGCGCAGACGAGGCGCGAGAGGAGCTCGCGAGCCTGCGCGTTCAGATCGAGGAGGAGCGTCGGAAGCTCGCGAAGGAGAAGGCTGCATTTGAGGTAGGCTCTATCTATCTCTCGCATCCACTCGATCGCTTCAAAGTCCACTCACACCCTCCAACCCGCGCTTGCAGGCCGACCGCATCAGACTACGCAACGAAAAACGCTCGTTCCAAGCCGACCAGATGCTCTCCCCTCCTCCGCAACCCGCACCCGCTCTCGCACCCGCAGCGAGCACATCGCGTCGCCACGCCCCCGTCCCCAAACCCGCGCTGGCGTCTCCACACGCCAAGAGCCCCCCGCGCAAGTACAAGCCCCCCGCTATTGCCGTCAGAGTGGCCAAGGCCAAGGCTGAGCCCGGACTGGGCACGCGGGGCAGCAAGAGGACTGTGGGGCGGCGCTTGTCTGCGGCGTTCAACACCCATGCCAATGCTAGCATCAGTAGCAGACACGAACCGGCGTATGAGACGGAGGTCATTCCCGAGACCATCTCTGCAGCCGCTTTCGCGAGCGCGGGCGTGGAGGGAGTAGGCACAGGAGCAGGTGCTGGAGCGGGAGCACTCGGGCTGGGCGCACCAGCATTCGAGCTGCCCAAGCGCCGCGAGTCGATTCTCCCGACGAGCTTTGTGCTTCCGCCGCCGTCGCCACGGACGTCGCTGCCGCCCACGGACTCGATTCCATTCTCGCTCCTGCCGCCGGAGACGCCGCTTGCTGGGTATGTGACATACGATCAAAAGGTCAGGATCGCGGTCAGGGCGTGGGGCAGCAGCAGGAGAGCGAGCTGCGTGCAGCTGCACGAGCTCCTCGACACGACGCCCACACCCACGCCCACGTCGACGTCTTCTTCCTTCTTGTCCGACGGGTTCATCGAGCCGCTCCAGCGCCCGGGCTCGATTGTCTCGCGCTCGAACACGCCTGGGACCGCGACATAGCAGCCCACGTCGAGCTTCTATAACAAGCACTACCACCCGTCCGGAGACTGGAAGCACATGTATAAGGTGTAGGTGGAGTGGCACGGCGATCGTGAGAAGATTTGGCACACACCCTTGATCCCGAGCGGGCCCAAGGACGGGGGAACGGCGGTGGCGGGGTGTATAGCAGCTCCACGCCCGGCTTGTACGGGTCTTACGGGTCGTACAGGGAGAGCCGGCACTCGCGCTCGGGCACGAACGAGGCGGACTCGGTGCCCAATATCTCATGCGTAGCTCGACTTTGCCCTTTGCCTCCGTATCCATGGCTTCTGCTCGAGGCCCTCTCGGCCCACAACATCGTTGTCGCCTGCCCAGCCCTGTCTCGTCGCCGCCACAAGGGATCCACTTGCTCAAGTCTAATAATGTGCTAATCATGTGCTGCGCCGCATCGCATTTGTTTAGCGTTTCCTCGTTTCAATCTTCTATCACCACAACTTTCAAACATGTTGATCATGAACCCAGGCTCCCGGTTCATCATTAGCTACTAAGACACCTGTCGAAGGTGCATAAGGCACCAAGACCGGGAGGTAATGAGATGAGGCACGGTGCGTTCCAACGTCAATTGCATATGTCCTCACCGCTCACCTACTCGCACGCAGGCATAGCTGCCAAACTGGATGCTGCGCACCGTGTCTCTCTGTGCCTTTCATCCTCTTTCTACTCGACTGGCACTGCAGGTTACCCCCGTCAGTGCGCCGAGCGGCACGGCTACCCACCTCTACGCGATACAACATGACTACAACGTGGCCCACGCTGAGGTGTCATGCGCAGCCAGATATGCTCAGCACGCAGTGTATGATGCATGCGGGGCTGTGCGCCAGTGTGACGGCGAGATTGCCGCGACAGGGAGAGGGAACTCCGTGAGAGGGAAAGGGAGCAGGACGGAGTATTGCTGTGCACGCAGATGCGGTATGTCTATGATGCACATCCTTACGATCTCACATGCTCCCCAGCATCTCGGACCTTGGACATATCCTCGGTTGTCTCACTTGTATCTTTGTGATTCTTGCTCAGCAAGATCTGCCTGTTCTCGTATTTTAACGTCATTATCTGAGCTGCTCTCCTCATGTATGGGAGTTCACTGTATTTGCCGTTCATATCGCACTTTACAGTCCACCGCATTGCCCTTGCAGTATCTTCTTGCCAGACATGTTCATGCGTGTATTAATACAGATAAATTGGCATCCGCATGGTAGTCCTATCTGATCCGTATGTTGTAGGTTTGCTTAGATACTATTCACCGCAAATTCCGTGGAGATTGGTACCCGGATAAGGCTGTGGCCTCCCAAGTCTGGTTTCTATTGTGTGCATGCAGACATCTGCGAGGGACTTAGCGAAAAAAAATGCGGATTAGCAGATCACGTGCCAGGACGGTTGCCGTTTGGCTGGAATTCAACTTCCGCTTTGTTGCAACCGTCCTTTTTTTCTTTCCACCACGATGCTGCGGCGACCAAAGCCATGTCTTCTCAAAGTGTAAGCTGCGTGCTACCAACACGTAAAATAACACCTTCCTACATGCAGGTGAGCATACTTCCTTAGCTTCTTGCAATGTGTAGGCCGCTAATCGTGTGACAGATAGTTGGATTCGCCTGCTACGCAGGTTCAAGCTAGCTGAGGACCCTTTGGCTCTGTCCGGGCCGGTGAACCTTCCACTACACCATAAAAACTCGCTCAAGATGTTTGCGACGACCCAGGCAAGCCCTCTAGCTTACCTTTCCACTCGAAACTCACGTCTCTCTCTCTCTCTCTCTCAGACATCACCATGGCCCATTATTCTAGCACCAACAATGAGACTAGTTCTCAAAGCTCTGCCTCTAATGAGGTGAGTTGTTGTCGCCTCCATTCTCCACTGCGCCTTTTGACCTTGCACACAGGTCCGACAGCTTCAGCTCCAGAAGCAGGAACTACTCGATGCAACACGTGACCAGGCGGCCAAGATCAACCTTCTTCTTGCGAAGGCCAGCGGCGGTAGGGGTAAGGCTATCTCGGAAAAGATCCTTTCACACATGGAGTCCATTGCCATCTCGGCTCGGAAGTACGGGACCATGGACGAGATGTACCTTTGCCAGGCCGCTTTCAACGAACCCCGGCCCGTTGACCCTGTCGATCCCATGTCCTCCTCACGATACACTACTTCTGCGACGGAGGATAGTGCCTTGGTTGAGGAGTTATATCGCGCATTTGTTGAGGCTGTGCATGCACTCTTTAATGACCCCGCATTCGTGCGCCTGGTGAGTCGGTTCAACATCTCAAAGTCCATTAGCTTATCCCCTCAATAGGTTCGGAAGGAGCTCTGGTCTGCGCAGTCGGACCAGCTCCTCAAGGTCCGCAGTGTCATTGACGAGATTTTTGTCAGCTACAACATACCCATCCACATTGTCCGCAATGCAAGGGCCAACAGGTCGCATCCGGATCTCTATGCTCTCCTCGGTATTGACCCTGAGAATCCGACCGTCATTCCGGAGCTTCCGAACATCCTCTTTCCTGAGGGCCGGGTGGGTGACCTTCGGTACCTCGGCGGAAACTGGGAGCTGTTTGCGAGGGTAAAGCTCATTGTCACTACTACGCAAATTATGACTAACCAATACTCTAGATCGCGAAGGTCATGATCTGCGGGCCAAGGAGCCTTGCCCATGAAGGACCTGGTGCGAATAACAGTGTGTCACGTTGGAACATAGTTGAAGTTAGCCCGGGCTTTTGGGCTAATGCGATGGTCAAGGTACGTGCTTCTGTTTGCGGTTATTTTTGCCGCTACTCATGGCGAGGATACTAACACAACTGGAGCTAGGCTGTTCAGACAATTTGTCCTTCCCAGAAATTCTATTACGACGGCACATCTGACTACACCGAGTATGAATGGCCCAAGCTCCACTACCGCATCAAGTCCCATCTTGTCCGTAATTGGTCAAAGCCGTATATTCAACGTCAGATCAGGCATGCCAACGCATTCATCTTCGGCACTGGATCCCTCAACAACAACTCAACTAGCCAGAGCCTCGAGTCAATTGATATTGACAACGCTCTTGCGAACCTCAACATGGATGACATGGAGCTCTCCGATGACGAGGACGCTGCCCCTGCTCCTGTCGCTCCTGCCCCTGCGGCCACCTCGGCTCCTGAGCCCGTTCAGGTTGTCACCCCCGCTTTGGCGCCCGAGCCAGCCGTCACCTCCTCCCCTGTGCGGCCTGCCGCTGCTCCCGCGGTTGTTTCTACTCCTGTCCCAGCTGTGGCCCCCGCTCTGGTGCCTGTCCTTGCGCCTGCGGCTGTTACCACTCCTACCACAACTGCTGCCCCCGCTCTTGTGGCTGTGCAAGCTCCCGCGGCTGCAGCTGCGCCCGCCTCTGCCTTTGTTCGGATCCCCACTGGCGGCTCCATCTCCTCGCCCATCGCGCCTTTCAAGCTGGCATCCCTGCTCCTGCCCCTGTCAACCCCGGTTCGGTTCAGATCCCCACCGGCGGCTCCATTTCCACGCCCATCCCCAGCGGCCTTGTCACTGCTGTTGGCCTTCAGGTTCCACCCCCGGCGGTCGCTGCTCCCATCCTGTTGGCTAGCCCTCCTCACGCTGCGGCCGCCAACGCCTCTGGCTCCACGCCCGATACCAATGACGTTGCTGCCACTCAAGTAGCAACTGGTGCGAAGAGGAAGGGTAACGGAAGGAAGAGGGGCCAACAGGCTGACCCGGCGGCAATCAACGAAGAGCCTGCCGAAATGGTGCCAGCTACGAGAACGCGTCTGCAGACGGTTAAGAGGGGAGGTCGTCGTTGAATCACCATGCCTTTCACGCCTCTATTCTTCATATAACGTGTTTCTGTCGTCTTTACTCTTAGCGCATTGAATTTATGACTTTCATGAGCTTACAACCATATGTCTGACAACCCAAGGAGGTTCAAATTTGATTGCATCACTATTAGACTCTGGCTGCAATACGATTACGGTCAGCTCACTCCACCTGTAGTTTAGTTGAGGCCACACAACTTCCATTGTAATCTAATTGCAGCTTACGTTGCAATGTGCTTGCCAGCTGAGTGTAATATCGTTTCAGTCACACGCTCTCCTATCGCAGCTAGGGTCCAATCAGGGGATGCTTAGTCACAAGGTGCCTGGGCCGTGATTGCAATCACCCGTGTCAATTGGAACATCATCGCAGTCCGAATGGGTCAGATAGTCATTGCAACCGATTGTAACCGATCCCAACCCATTTTTAGACTTTGCGACATCAGCGCACTGGCACATGGCAAACCTCCACAGCCGTCCCTGCTACCATTCTCCAAGAGTTTTGCTGCAATTCATGGTGTTTTCTACTGAAGAGTTCGTTTTGATTGACATGCTAATCCTCTTAGTGAGCCAATAAAGTTCGAGTTCTCTCGTGGAACGCACGCACACCGGTATCAAGGACCTTCCAGTATAGGAGTCAAGGCTTATCTTTAAGAACGTTCAGAACGTTCAAGCTCACCAGACACTAGATCTCGCCATTTATAGCGCTGTACTACCTCGGTCTATAAGCACTGGAATTATGTAACACTGTACACTCCAAGTCTCCTCTCCTGCATATTCATCGAACAGTGTCCCGGCTTCATTAACCTAGACCGCCACCGTGACCTTTGTCTGTTTGTGAGTAGCCGGAAGTGCACATCACGGACAGCGGATCGAGTGTCACTCATCTAAGCTAGGAAAGTTGAAGCTCCTACTCCGTATACAACCTCTTTTGTAGCATTCGCATTGCATCAGCGTCGTCTCGGTCAACAGGATATCTCCTCCCATATCCAAGAAAATCTTCGAGACGTTCAACCATCACAACTATAATGGTTTGACGTAATTGAAGATTCACGCTTGCCTGTGCATGCGCTACCCATTTTTCGAAGTGTCTCGATTTTGTTACAGCTGCTAGTGAGCAAAGGTACCTATCTTGACCTTCACAGTATCTCGCTACGGAATAAGGGCGGCCCAGGGTCGTCTACTCCTTTCCAAGCTTGACCTCGTTGGGTTTGGGGCTCAATACTTTGAACTCACATTTGTATCTCACGCACGATGTATTTCATCATCTTATAGCCACTGTCGCAAACCTGACTTCGCTGGGTCTGGACGGAGAGACCATCAACCTTTTCATGCACTCCGGAACTGAAGTACTTGTGACATTCCTGGATCTCTAGGACTCGTCCACTCAACATTACGTTGGGCATAACCTGCATCTAATTGCCGTTCTTGATAACATTAGAGCGCCCAGCCTTTGGTACCTCAGCGCCCGTGGCAGTGAAGCGCCTCCAGCCCAGCCTTTTTATTTTGACTAAGTTCACGCCCCTAGAAGACCTGGAACTTTGCAACAACCCCATCAGGCCAGTCCCTTATACACAGGTTTTACGCGTGTTTCCGGTGATGCAAAGACATGCTTGGCGGAGGTGATATAGTCAACTTTGATCGCTGTTTGTGAGGCAAGGCGCCTCCGTGATGGTCGTGTGAAGCCATCGTGCTCTGCCACCCAGTCGCTCAGGACGTTCAATATCTGAAGATGGTCCAGAGTCAGCGACAGTGCTTATCTCAGTCGCAGGTGGAGTTTCTTTATACCGGCACGGTGGTTTCTTGATCAAGGGATTTTGTGTACAGGGTTGGTACTGTCCTCCACCACTGTGTCCATCAACCCACCTTACATATTACTTGATCATACAGGACGTATACCGGGTTGAAGCAATCAGCGGCGTCTCTCATACCCTATCTAGGCGTCATCTTGGTACTCGTGTACAGTCTGTATACCGTGATACACTAATTTCGATACCTAAGCAACGTGATCATCTCAAGCAAGATTGGGGTATTTGATGATATCGGTCTCCACCTCGAACTGAGTCCGAGCGTCAGCACGGCTTTCCAGGACTCCGTTGTTGCGTCTTTCACCCCAGACCATCTAGGAACATAGGGATTCCATCGCCACAAGGTCAGGAAAAGATGAATGCGGTACCGACGATGCTGGGGTTGTCGGTTGCTGCAGAGTATATTATGTTGTCGATAAGGCTGGGGCTGATTGGAACAAATTGTACTCGTTGCAACCGCTAATAGACTTTGCGACATTGATACAAACTTGGCAGATGTATGACTCTGTTTAAAGTAGATGATGGAACTGCTTTCTTTGGGAATGGGAAAAAAAGACGCGCATTATTTCTTCCGTGAACCACAGGAACTAAGGCCTAAGGAGTCGCGATGTGACTCCATCATCCAAAACTCAGCCAGGAACAGGAACACGCTGATACCTAGCCTCAGACTGAAAGCATCCGCTAATCAAGTATGCCGTGATGAATGGACAGATAGTTTCAGGCATCATCACTATTGGGGGATTGTTTATTCCGGCGATCATTGTGTCTGCCTATCCGCAGCATGTGAGGAAATGTCATGCACTGCTATGTATCATGACATATAAAGAGATCTGTTGCATCCACCAACTGGTTCCCTCAAGCGTCCCGTCAATCCAGCAGCATATTCACTATGACTTTTGTCTCTAATTCCTCTGATTTAATACCAGAACTCGTGCAATCTCGTACCTTTGCTTATTTGGGGGGTAAGCATCAAACCATGATTGATGGATCGTCTCTTTTTCTCAGACAAGCCTGCATTTCAGTGGCACTTTCTACTCTGATCATTTATGATTATGGTACGTAAATGATTGCCTTGTAATGTAGACACTGACGACTAACATCCTTCTCTAGCTTTGCGAATAGATCGAGAGGTGAGTACACCTCTATATGCCAGCAAGAATGAATTGACATGTAGTTGTATATGCCAATGCTAAGGTCGAACTCATTTGGGTACGTGCTTAAGATTGGTTCAACAAGTGAATGTCCATTTTCTTACGTCCAACTATAAATACAACGTATAGAAACAAAAGTCCTCCGTGATGACATACTGCTATGCTTCGGTTGGTTTCCATGAACTTCAATACTTACGACATGATTACAGGATCTCATGATTCAACCTATTAGCTCCGTTACATAGGATTGATCGGGTACAGCATGTAAGGAATTTGGACATTCTTTTTTCTTTTAGCAAACTCATTGTACTTGATAGGTCGAAAATTGGTAAGTTATATAGCTCCTTGTTATACGAAAAGAGTGATTGAAGGATTTCAAAGTGTCCGATGTGTCTGTATTGCTGCCCGACAAGGTATATTATAATTACATAATACTCTTTTGAATCAAACGATCAGCTTCATCCACATAGATGTGAGTAATTGTTCTCTTTAGAAAGCGGCGACGTGATTTGAAGGAGATGCGCCTGATTCGGTGGTTTGCATCAAAGTTGTAAGCAACTCATATACTCGACACTTGCAACTTACGGTCTCAAGAATGATACAAGGTTTCGCAGCATACATACTAGAAGAGGGGGCTTTACCAACGTTTCTGTTACTGGTTCTTCAGGGTTAACGATCAAAATCCAAGTATCTGGGCTACGCTAACAAAGATCATTCCTCCGCAGGAGTCATGACCGCTCGTGTTTGTGCACTGTATGAGAATACTAGGAGATTTACACTTGTACTTTCCATCACTTTTGTGATCACACAAGCAACTTGTGTTGCAGAAAACGTAGTCGAAGCCGTGGCACCTTATGGTTTCACTAGTATGTCCGAGAAGTTTACTTTTGATTCATGCTCTTGATAATCTCAAACGCTGTCCTTAGGTACGGAGGGTATCGTGATAGGAATCCCAGAGTGCTGGATCCACCCGCCCACTGCGCCCCTTACCTGGGTGAATCCCGTCAATAACGGCGTTTCTTTGGCATTTGACGCCATCTTACTTGCAATGGTCATGTTTCGATACTTTTGGCAACTACGGGAAAAGCAAAAGCAGAGCCCAGCGATAGGGCTAGGCGGAATCATGGACCTTCTTGTTCAACACCATTTGGTGTACTTCGGATTGTAGGATATCCTCCTTTTCTCTTCTTCGACAAAATGTTTAACAGGGCCTATTATTTGTCAGAGTTCTCATATTTGGAACCTTGGCAACAATATCCAACAGCGTCACCACTCTGGTCAGACAATGGTTCCATATATTTATCATGCTGACTCTAACATTCCTTCTTTGTTTCTCCTTCAGAGCCTTACACACAGTGCCTGCAGGTAAAAAACGGCGAGAACCTCGACGTAGCGGACGTGTTATGAGTCCGAGAATGTCGACCCAGCGGACGTCGGCCGGGGGTCGAGCAATCTCGCATCGGCCGACAAGTATATGTAGTATAGTGTACAATACAAATATAGTAGGTACATGAAATTAACAGTGATGTTGTGGCGTCGGCCGACGTTCAAGTACTTTTAAATCAGCCAATACATACTCTATAGTAGTGTATGAATCAATAAAGTATGAACATTTGAATGAAGTTGTATCGGCCGACTGGATGTTGTCGCTTACATGGGCGGCAGACCAAGTCCGGCAGAGTATGACAGGGTCCGGCAGGACTCCGGCAGGTAAATTGCAAGTGGCATTATACAACAGATAATATTAGTCAAGGCTGTAGGTGTTATCTCACTCTCAAGCAATTGGTATATGATATTGAATGCCGAAAAAGCGGCAGAGCGGCAGAGCGGCAGGCCGGCAGAGCGGCAGGCAGCACATAATATTGCATGGTAGACTGTATTGAGGTTTCAGGAAGGTATCAGCTCATATTAGACACTCAAAAAGCTGCAGATTATATGATACATGAAAAAGCAGCAGAGTTTATTAAATTGGCAAAAAGCGGCAGAGGTTATCAAATACACTGAAAGCGGCAGACATTATTAAACAACCAGAAAGCGGCAGAGGTTATTAAATACACAGAAAGCAGCAGGGATTGTTAGTTACATGGAATGTGGTAGAGAATATCAATTACATAGAGAGCGGCAGAGATTATTAAATGCACCAAAAGCGGCAGAGGTTATTGAACGGTCCAAAAGCGGCAGAGGTTATTA